CAAACAGTTGAACTTAACTCATCATAATATCCCTTTTCAAGAATTAAGTCAAGATTTGTATAATCTATTGTATACCCCCAAGCCAAATAATAGGCTTGGGGCTGATACAACTAAAAGGAGAAACTTCCTGACAACACTTAAAGTGATTAATGGTTGGAGGGGAGTAAGTAGTAAGGTAGGATGGCTGATGGACAACAATGTCAAAGAGGAAAAAATGAAACAATTAGAAGATAGATTAAGACAGAAACAAACTAAAGGAGCATGCAAAAGATGCCACTTGATGCATCAAGGTGAATGCATGATGGAACAGTTACTAAGTTTCATTCTTTTGACTGGCTATTACAATATAGACTTGTGTTTTATTACCTTATCTAAGATGTTTAGGAATCAAGAAATAATATGGATACTTCACAGCTACGATGATTTTCTTAAAGTTATATTAAGTGAATATCGAGGGACATATGGGTATATGTACTTCATATATATAATGATCCAACAAGTGAAAGAAGAGGAAACCAGCATAATGCATTACCATTTGGATAAGAAGACTAAAATGGTATTAAAGTAAGTATAAAATTATAGTTATATATGTATGTAAAATTCTTTCTAGTATAAATTTTAACATTACAATATATTTCTAACTAACTTGACTTCACTTCTTCCATTTAGAATCATTACTTTCTCTTAATCATTACTTATACAAGTTAAATATATTTTCTACTATACTCAATAAAAGTTATTGCTAGCTTACTGCTACTTCCAATAGTATATTTTATTACTTTCCCAATTAAAGATTACTATCCATTAGACTCTTGTTCTAATTCATATCACTAATAAACACTACTTTTAGTTAGACTTGTAAAATAAGCGCTACTTACTTCTACATTTTTAACTATATCATATACCACTGATACGTCAGCTAATACTATTGAAGTTATTTCTAATTCCAATTGGGTACCTCCAATATCCTTGAATAACACTTATATTTAAAGTATCATTAAGTTACCTTCAGTATAACCTCTAAAACTATACTTATAATATCTAATAGACATTCTATATTACTCTTTAATTACTTAATTACTATTTCCATATGATGATATTTCTAATTAATTTGTTCTACCTTCCATCCTACAGTTCCTTTACTTTAATTAAAGTCACCTTAAATACAACTATTATGTGACAACAATATCTATATTTATTAAATTCTATTAGCTTTCCGATAGTTAGAACAAGATTACTTATGTTACTACTACATTTAACAACACTCATTAATTACTACTATTTAAACCAATTCTATCTTCAGTGCTAACTTAGCTTGACTTGCTATTGTTAAATTTCTAGTAAATTCTACTACTTAATTCTAAATTGTATTAGTTCTATCTAAATAATTTCAAATTAACATCTAAACTACATTATGTTCCAAACTAACTTCTAAAGCGCATTAAGTTCCAAACTAATGTCTAAATTACATTATGTTCCAAACTAATATCTAAACTACATTATGTTCCAAACTTACTTCTAAAGCGCATTAAGTTCCAAACTAATGTCTAAATTACATTATGTTCCAAACTAATATCTAAACTACATTACGTTCCAATGTTACTACTTTAGCAATTGTACATAGTGCCACTTATCTAACTCTAATTACTATACTTTAAAATATAAATTTAATTTTCTGCTCACTAAAAAATTACAGCTAACAATTTCTACGCACGACCAAAAATTCAAATCTACATTAATCATAAATTTATTACAAACTAGAGAAAAGCATAAAATGTGAACCAAATCATTTATTAAAATAATTATACATATATAACTTATCTAATTACATTCTACATCTTTTGAAATAACTTCCAAAGAAAAAGATGATCTTTCTATATTAAATACAACCCTTAATATACAAAAATACCAAATTTACCAACAATCAACACCAGCAAACTATACCATTAAAACTTAGAGTGCTAAACAAGTGCACCGAGTGACCAAACTCAATAGCTACCTAACCTTACCAAAACCAGCTTAAAAGTCATTGAATTGCCTTGACTGGACAATATTATAGTAATTACTTTAAAACTCTTGATTATTATATTACTGATCCACAAATAGTAATAAATCACCTTAAACAAGTGCACCTAGTGACCAAAAGCAATAGCTACCGAACCTTACCAAAACCAGCTTAAAAGTCATTGAATTGCCTTATCTGGATAATATTATACTAATTACTTTATAACTCTTGACCATTAAACTACTGCTCCACAAATAGTAATAAATCACCTTCTGAAACAAGTGTACCTAGTGACCCAAGTCCATACTAAACGAATCTTATCAAAACCAGCTTAAAAGTCATTGAATTGCAATGGCTGTATAACATTATAGTAATTAATATATTAATCATAATGAGAAATACAATGATGTCTAATTAGTGAATCCGTAACAATTGAAAGTCATACTCAAATGGATCGTGGTGAAACTATAACCAAAATAACATATGTACTTTAAAAACCATTAAAATGTTGCATATCAATAATAGTGTAGTTTACTTATGTTGTTAATAAACATTTACATAGCTCACTTCATAAAAATTTCTGGTCAATCTAAATTATACTAGACTATTTTTTTAGTACGGCATATAAACGACTCAACTTGCACCCTTAACTATGGGAAAATCAAAATGCACCCAAGTTCTGTCCTGCGAGGTGAAAATTGATTTTTTACATAGTAAATCTGCTCTCCTGCACACAGGCTAATATCTATACTAGCTGAAAAATTAAATGATCCCCACTATCTAAATTGGAGACTTCGTTTACACTCTTCAATGACCTATACTTAAATTACTATTAAATCTACACATGCTATACTTTCCTTTTAGATCTATTTAAGTTTAAGCCTTTACTTCTAGAGCCATTACTCTAACTCAATAAATGCACGGATATACTAATCAATCATTATCTCTACCACATAGCTTTTATAGACTTAACTATACCATATTATTACTTACTTCTGCATCTACCTTATTATGGACCTCGAAATATATTAGTGCCAAATAATACTTGTCAATTTTTCGATCACAATTTTTGCGCGCTAATTCGATCTCCCTAATGTTTCGCTTTTGAAGTTGCGCGCCTACCCAAACCATCCTAATCTTTTTCAGGCTAACCCTCGCTATTTTTTGCGCCTAGCCAAATTAAGCTGTGCTCTCACATAATATTTACTATTTACATTTATCTTAAATAAAACTATTATGCGCCAACATTGTCTATAATTATTTGACTCTAGTACCTTTCCAATACTTAGACCAGCTTTACTTATGATACTACTACATATATCAACACTCCTTTATGACTATTTAAACCTGTACTAACTCAACTTCACTTGCTATCACCTTTGTTAAATTTCTAGTAATTCGCCAAACTTATTTCTAAAGTGTCTTAGTTCCATCTAAATTGCATTATGTTCCAATCTAACTTCTAAAGCGCATTTTGTTCCAATACCTTTATTCCCTGAATATACGTTTCTACTTATAATTATATTAATTCCTTACGCAGTTCTACTTATAATTATATTAATTCCTTACGCAGTTCTACTTTTATCTTATTGTCCACTGCTATATTTTCTTACTTATCATCTTACTGTAGCTAACAGATCACTGACATATATTTAAAAATTAAGTATTCTGAACCCTTTTAATATCCCTTCAATTAGTAATTCTACCAATACTTAGCTGATCGCAAACATTTTTTATCTACTATGTATATTTTCCTTTACTTTAACATTTTTTAATTAAAGTATATCTAACTTAATAGATTCACGGATATACTACTTCCAAACGATCATTATATATACCACATAGCTCTTATGTACTTAAATATACCATTTTATTATTTACTTCTGCAACTACCTTCTTAAGTACCTCTAAATATATTACTGCGAAATCGGCAAATAATATTAGACCCTCCCTAATTTTTTGCTTTTTTAAAGTATTGCGCCTACCCATCCCTCCCTATTTTTTCTCGCTAGCTAAATGCTCCCTAAATTTTGCGACACTCGATAAATTTTTTGCGACATACCTAAGACGCTACAAGCATATTATACTAAGACTAAGCTAGCATCAACTCCACCACTACTAATATTCAATTTTTCACATCCCAACCATAACTACAATTACAAATCAATCGCACTCTTCACTTTTTCAATACGCTTACAAAAAATACCCAATGACGCCTGTTTTAAATATGCTCTTAACTATGTAAAATTACAATCCAAACACTCTAAATTTAGTGCTAATAAACTCTTCTTCGTACATTATATGTACTATTACCTCAATATACCCCTACCAAAAGATCACGTTCAAACAATTAATAAAAGTGCCACTTGACGCCTGATTTAAGCAATCCTTAACTATGAGAACATTACTTTCGCACATAGTTAAGATCATCTCTAAAACACCATTAACTTCACCCACCTTAATGCGAGCACTACCAAATTGTACAATTCACTTAAGCATATCATCTTCTACAATATGCTTCATTTTTAGCTCCATCAAATTAAATTTAAAGTCTACTTCAAACAGCCAGAATTTGCCCATTGAGACCTGCACAGATATTCCAAAATCCTGCACATACCGTAAAAATCTTGACTTCAACCTGCTCTAACTAACGCTACAGATCGTTCCAACACTTCTCTATACTAACTAAACCTCCCAGAGCACGTACCAATATACAGTGCCAATTACAGCTCAAAATTGTTAAAATTGAGCATGACGCCTGTTTTATGTCGCCAATTTTATAGGTTCTACGCCTATTTCAAAATGCGTGGCAAAAAAATTTCTATTTGACGCCTACTTTGTGGGCCATATCATAAAGGTGGATTATACTTGAATTGAGAATTATCGCTTTCACACCTACCATGAATGAATGCGATAGCAAAAACCTCACTAGAAACTCTTACAGCTGTTCTGTTAAAAATTAAAAATATATATATTGTAGAAATATATTGTAGAACAGAAAATTAAAAATATATTGTAGTACAGAAAATTAAAATATTTTATAGACCGAAAAATATAAATGGGGGTAAAAGAAACTTTAAAAACCATCCAATTCGTACTTGAATTTAATAGATAGATAAGAATAATCCAAACTTGAATTTAAAAATAGGGAAGAATAGGGAAAAATAATGATAATGTAATCATGAACAAAAATATTAAACTTCATGAAATAATCTAAACGAAAATAAGGAGAACTGATAAAGCAAGGAGTGAAGTAACAACCTTCCATTTGTTTATCATTGCTCCACTTTCATCAATTGAGACGCTAGGAGCAGGGCTTACTGGAGTCAAACGAGAAGAGGAAGCTGTAGTTTCAATACTTGAACTGTATCTCAATGGAGTAATGTCAGTGCTTGTTTGAGCGTTATTAGAAACGGATGACTTAGAGTCTGTGTGTGGATTGTTTGAAACAGTCGACTCGGTGTTTGCATTGCTGACTATGATAGAATAAATGCTTGCTTGAGCATTGCTTGCAATATTCGACTCGACATTTCCTGCTGCCACTGTAGATGTGAATTCACCTGATAAATTGTAGCCACTTATCGTACTCACTTCACCAACGCTGTTAGTATTAACGGTAGGTGTTGTCGACGAAGTATGTTCTCTAGACGGAGCTCCAGATTCGGGGCAATATGTGGTTGTGATTGTATGAATAATTGTAGTAGTTTTGATTGAATTCAAAGGACAATCTGTAACAGTTTCTGGACAATCAGTGATTGTAATAACTTCATTGGATGTATATGTTGTAGTTATTGTAGATCCAGTAGCAGTAGGAGCAATCTCAGATGTAAATTCTGCGGTAGTGTCTCCGGATTCAGGGCAATATGTGGTCGTGATTGTATGAATAATTGTAGTAGTTTTGATTGAATTCAAAGGACAATCTGTAACAGTTTCTGGACAATCAGTGATTGTAATAACTTCATTGGATGTATATGTTGTAGTTATTGTAGATCCAGTAGCAGTAGGAGCAATCTCAGATGTAAATTCTGTTGCAACTGAACTAGAACTAGCTTCAGAATTGCAAACACTGGCCACATAAGCTATAGTTGCACCATCTGTGATAGTGGTAGGTTTATCTTCAAGAACATGCAACTCTCCTACAAAACAATTACAATCGATCAGACTAAGCTGTAAAGGAACTTCCTCCTCCGGGCAAATATAGAATTCCGTTCCAAATCCTTCTAATGATAAAATAGGATCACCAACTATCAGCCATCCGTCGAAAGAAGTATCACCTAAGTATACACCATTGGTTTCATCTGCTTCAAGGTATAAGCCATTAATAGTGATATAACCTCCTGTCATCTCAAATGTTGGTCCATCCAATTCTTGTAAGCTCACAACATCTTCATCCAATGCTACATACTCTCTGAAATTAATAGGTGATTTCGCCACAGCAGTGATTTGGAAAGTTAGCACAGATTGACTTGGCAATTCACTTTCACTAACAGATGTAGTGTAACTGGTAGCTTCATCTTGGGTTGGGAATATCGACATTGATGTAGTCAATGAACCATTAGTATCAGTGGTCACTACGACAATACCGGAATCAGTAACAACAAATCCATCAGATTCCGTGGTGGTGAATGTCGTGGAGTAGGACGTGAATGCATCGCTCTGGGTTGGGAATAACGAGGTTTCAGTGGTCAATGAGCCATTAGTATCAGTGGTCACTACAACTATACCGGAATCAGTAGCAACAAATCCATCGGACGCAGTGGTGGTGAATGTCGTGGAGTAGGACGTGAACACATCACTCTGGGTTGGGAATAACGACGTTGATGTGGTCAATGAGCCATTAGTATCAGTAGTCACTACAACTATACCGGAATCAGTAGCAACAAATCCATCAGATTCCGTTGTTGTAAAGGTTGTCGTGAAAGAAGTAACACCATTGAATGGACCACCAGTGCTAGGGACAGATGAAGCAGATGTATTGGATAAGCTGCTAGTATTATCAGTAGTAACTGGTTCACTTTCGGTTGGGAATAAGGAGGTTTCAGTGGTCAATGAACCATTAGTATCAGTGGTCACTACCACAATACCGGAATCAGTAGCAACAAATCCATCGGACGCAGTGGTGGTGAATGTCGTGGAGTAGGACGTGAATGCATCGCTCTGGGTTGGGAATAAAGAGGTTTCAGTGGTCCATGATCCATCACTGGCAGAGGTCACAATGACAATACCGGAATCAGTAGCAACAAATCCATCGGACGCAGTGGTGGTGAAGGTGGTTGTGAATGAAGTGAACACATCGCTCTGGGTTGGGAACAACGAGGTTTCAGTGGTCCATGATCCATCACTGGCAGAGGTCACAATGACAATACCGGAATCAGTAGCAACAAATCCATCGGACGCAGTGGTGGTGAAGGTGGTTGTGAATGAAGTGAACACATCGCTTTGTGTTGGGAATAAAGAAGTCCTTGTGGTTACTTCTTCATCCGAATTGTAAGTAACAATAACTATACCAGAATCAGTAGCAACAAATCCATCAGAAGCAGTAGTGGTAAATGTAGTTGTATAAGATGTGAATGGATCACTGGGTGTTGGGAACAACGAGGTTTCAGTGGTCCATGATCCATCACTGGCAGAGGTCACAATGACAATACCGGAATCAGTAGCAACAAATCCATCGGACGCAGTGGTGGTGAAGGTGGTTGTGAATGAAGTGAACACATCGCTTTGTGTTGGGAATAAAGAAGTCCTTGTGGTTACTTCTTCATCCGAATTGTAAGTAACAATAACTATACCAGAATCAGTAGCAACAAATCCATCAGAAGCAGTAGTGGTAAATGTAGTTGTATAAGATGTGAATGGATCACTGGGTGTTGGGAACAACGAGGTTTCAGTGGTCCATGATCCATCACTGGCAGAGGTCACAATGACAATACCGGAATCAGTAGCAACAAATCCATCGGACGCAGTGGTGGTGAAGGTGGTTGTGAATGAAGTGAACACATCGCTTTGGGTTGGGAATAAAGAAGTCCTTGTGGTTACTTCTTCATCCGAATTGTAAGTAACAATAACTATACCAGAATCAGTAGCAACAAATCCATCAGAAGCAGTAGTGGTAAATGTAGTTGTATAAGATGTGAATGGATCACTGGGTGTTGGGAACAACGAGGTTTCAGTGGTCCATGATCCATCACTGGCAGAGGTCACAATGACAATACCGGAATCAGTAGCGACAAATCCATCGGACGCAGTGGTGGTGAAGGTGGTTGTGAATGAAGTGAACACATCGCTTTGGGTTGGGAATAAAGAAGTCCTTGTGGTTACTTCTTCATCCGAATTGTAAGTAACAATAACTATACCAGAATCAGTAGCAACAAATCCATCAGAAGCAGTAGTGGTAAATGTAGTTGTATAAGATGTGAATGGATCACTGGGTGTTGGGAACAACGAGGTTTCAGTGGTCCATGATCCATCACTGGCAGAGGTCACAATGACAATACCGGAATCAGTAGCAACAAATCCATCGGACGCAGTGGTGGTGAAGGTGGTTGTGAATGAAGTGAACACATCGCTTTGGGTTGGGAATAAAGAAGTCCTTGTGGTTACTTCTTCATCCGAATTGTAAGTAACAATAACTATACCAGAATCAGTAGCAACAAATCCATCAGAAGCAGTAGTGGTAAATGTAGTTGTATAAGATGTGAATGGATCACTGGGTGTTGGGAACAACGAGGTTTCAGTGGTCCATGATCCATCACTGGCAGAGGTCACAATGACAATACCGGAATCAGTAGCGACAAATCCATCAGACGCAGTAGTGGTGAAGGTAGTCGTGAATAAAGTAAACACGTCGCTTTCGGTTGGGTATAAGGAAGTTTCAGTGGTCCAGGAGCCGTCACTGATGGATGTTATGATGACAATACCGGAATCAGTAGCAACAAAGCCATCCGATTCAGTAGTGGTGAATGTAGTTGTGTAACATTCGTACTGAGTTTGTTCTGGGAATAATGAAGTTCTGGTTACAATTTTACCATTAGTGTCATATGTCACAACAACGATACCCGATAGAGTATGAACGTGTGGATCCGTAGTGTGACATGTTAATACATTGGTGTCCGATGGAACTAATGATGTTGTATGTTGAGATTCGGTGCTAGTAAATGTAAAATGGGATGTCAACAGATCGCTTTGGGTTGGGAACAAGGAAGTTTTTGTAGTCCATAAACCATCACTGGCGGAAGTCACAACAATGATTCCCGAATCAGTTGCAACAAATCCATCTGATTCGGTAGTGGTGAATGTAGTAGTATAGGAAGTGAATGGATCGCTTTCAGTTGGATACAAGGAAGTTTCAGTGGTCCAAGAACCGTCACTGATGGATGTTATGATGACAATACCGGAATCAGTAGCAACAAAGCCATCCGATTCAGTAGTGGTGAATGTAGTTGTGTAACATTCGTACTGAGTTTGTTCTGGGAATAATGAAGTTCTGGTCACAATGGATTCGTTAGAGTCATATGTGACAACCACGACACCAGATAAAGTATGGACGTAAGGATCGTTAGTAGTGCAAGTCAATACATTGCCGTCGGCCGAACCAGAATTTGTATTATCTGATCGTTGAGATTCGGTGCTAGTAAATGTAAAATGGGAAGTCAACAGATCAATTTGGGTTGGGAACAAGGAAGTTTTTGTAGTCCATAAACCATCACTGGCGGAAGTCACAACAATGATTCCCGAATCAGTTGCAACAAATCCATCTGATTCGGTAGTGGTGAATGTAGTAGTGTAAGAAGTAAATGGATCGCTTTGGGTTGGGAATAATGAAGTCCTCGTGGTAACTTTACCGTCGGTATTGTAAGTAACAACAACTACACCAGAATCAGTAGCGACAAATCCATCGGTCTCGGTAGTGGTGAATGTAGTAGTGTAAGAAGTAAATGGATCGCTTTGGGTTGGGAATAATGAAGTCCTCGTGGTAACTTTACCGTCGGTATTGTAAGTAACAACAACTACACCAGAATCAGTAGCGACAAATCCATCGGTCTCGGTAGTGGTGAAAGTAGTAGTATAGGAAGTGAATGGATTACTTGCAGTAGGGAATAGGGATGTCTTTGTAGTAACTTCTCCGTTGGTATTGTAAGTAACAACAACTATACCAGAATCAGTAGCAACAAATCCTTCAGTGTCGGTAGTAGTGAATGTAGTGGTGTAGGAGGTGAATGGATCAGTTGGGGTTGGGTATAACGAGGTCCTTGTGGTTACTTTACCATCGGTATTGTAGGTAACAATAACTATACCAGAATCAGTTGCCACAAATCCGTCAGTTGCTGTAGTGATGAATGTAGTGGTGTAGCGGGTGAATGGATCACTTGAAGTTGGAAATAAAGATGTTGTGGTGATGTGATTACCGTCTTTATCAGTAGTTGTAAATACTATCCCGGAATCAGTAGCAACAAACCCATCAGATTCAGTGGTGGTGAATGTAGTAGTATATTCATTTGGGAATAAGGAAGTAGTGGTAGTGATAGTTCCGTCGGTGTTTGTGACGTGGATTACTCCAGAGTCAGTTTCTACCGAGCCATCTGATTTTGTAGTTGTGAAAGTTGTCGTATAATCAGGTTGATCTTGTAATATATCATATAATTTAGGTATGACGGTTGGACATGGTAAACACACACTTGGTCTTGAACTATCTGGGGGTGGGGCATTGTATACGAAACGAGCACCTCCTACCCTTAGATTATTACCGGATGGACCTTGACTCCAACTTATCAAAGATGGGTCATATCCAGGACCAATTATAAACTGATATGTAACAGATGCTGCTGTAATACTTAAAGTTTTACCATCGTAATTCCAAACTGGATCTGAGATGTGAATAGTAATCTGATTATTATTCCCCCAACCACTTACAAGATATGGAGTTGCGGGGGCATTGGATACTCCAATATTATCAAAATATAACACTGAAGTATTTGTGCTAAGGTAAAATGTTTGTAAATTACCATCAAGGCCAAACAACTGAGCACACCTCAAAAAAAATGTACTTTGATTACCAATATCAATACATCCATTTCCAGCATATTGGGAACCTTGATATACAGGGTTGTTATTAAACAAACAAAGAGATCCATTGTTGATAACAGTAGCCACGCCGGAAGTAGTACAAGCTGAATCAGAACCCCAATATGTACTTGGTGCATCACCGACAGTCATAAAATATTGCATATATGCAAGGACACCTGTATTGTGAAAAATTGCATTAGTTCCGTATGGTTTAATGATATTTGTAGAACCATCACAGGCTTGACAACCTGCCAAAATAAAAGTTCCTTCATTAATGAAGAAATTACCATGTATGGTATAAGTAGGTGGACCACAGTTAGTAGTATTATCATTATACATAAAAAAGCCAGTATTGTGGATTCCCCCTGTTGTTTGTCCTTCATTAAGTTTAAAACTCAGACCGGAATTATGAGTTGGATCATACCAGGGATAAGCTCCTAAATTTTGAGAGTAAAAAATACCTTTATTTATAAAGGTACTTCCACCATACAGATGAAAATTATAACTGTTAAATATAAACGTTGAATGTTCATGAACTGTCATATTAGCATAAAAATCACAATCGTAATTTGCCCCCATAGAAGTTATATTTAACATATAATAGCCTTTAACATCAATGTTGGTACGGTTTTCGGACAATACTGTCTGCAATAGGAAGACAGCAAAAAATACTGCTCCTAAAATTGAAGACTTCATTTATGACCTTTAACTCTATGAAGAATAACATTTTACAATTTTATTGAATTAGATGATAAGCTTTCTTATATATTCAAATTTCCTGGAAATTATCTAAAGTATTTGAGTCTAAATACTGGATATTTGGGTTCAAAAACAAAAGCTGCTAAATATCTAATTTGGAACATTCTTGAAAATTTTATTTTGGAGAATTCAAACACGAGAAAATTTGGCGAATCCCAGATTTTGGCGTTTTACAGAAGGTTGTATTTTAATTCGCTCTAGAAAATTTCACTAATCTCGTACTTTATCTCATAATTAAAAAGGGTACTGAATCTTCTTCTTCTACTTCTTCTTCTTCTTCTTCTTCTTCTTCTTCTTCTCTTAACCAATAGTGATTGTACGTACGAAATTATTATAATTTTATCATGTGTATAGGATTTTCTTTGAAACTATTTATTTTTCTGACTAGCTTTGTTGCATCACTATTCCTTTAGTTATGGATGCATAAATGAGCAAGATATTGCTTCCCTGTACTAAAATCTTCAATTTTATTGTTCTCTCGGCTAATCAGATTTTTTTTTCGCTTGCATAATGCCCTATTCTATATGCACAAATTTCCTTCTGTCAAGGCGTATTTTTTGATACCCCTGATCGCATGTTTTAGCATGCAGACCAATTGTTTAACGAAACTTGTGTTTTGAGGATGAAATTTTACATAGTCCTTTAGAGACCGTAGTTACTTTTTTCAATAGAGTAAAGACTATTGAACAATTGGTTCTACCTTGAGAATTGCTTTGTTAGTGAATTTCTAATACGTATTCTATTCTATTCTAAAGACTTTTCGCGATTCAATATTTACTACAATAAATATAGTAATAAAGTTAATATCAACTAGAGTTTATATATTGTTCCACAATTAAAAATAAACTTTCTTAAATATACGACGAAATAGCCGATCATGGCTGATCGTGTCAATGGACAATTCCTTTTGGCACTATCAAAAGTGATATTAGAACTGTTCCTAAGAATTCCGTCAACTAAATTTCACCTACATCACTACAAATGTTACGTTAAACAATCATTTCAGCTTTCATATAAATCTAATTGGTTATTCTAGAACATTATTTGGTAAGAGAAAGAAGAAATGAAAAGGAAAAAGGAATATCATTTAGTATTAAACTTTAAGCTATCTTCTGATTTCGTGTAATGCCATTGCCGGTCCAACATTCTCAAAACTTTCAGTATATTAAAGCTTAATCTCAAGTCTAACTTAAAAACTCGTCTACTCCTTACCATAGAGCTAATGCCATATTTGAAGCAAGTAACTAATCGTGGGCTAGAATTTATGATTCTACGAAACCTATATTCTTTTAAGTTAGCCAATATACAAACGAAATTAATACTTCACTCTTAGACGTGAGTAAATTTACACTTTCAAATGAAAGTTTCCATATTATGTTACCGAGGCTGAGATGCTTAAAAATAACCTCATGCGCTCTATTGGTTGTGTATCTACGTGGGTAAATGTTGGTTGTTAACTAGGATCACCTTTAATTTATGCGAACATTTCCTTGCATTATATTAGTTAAATTAGATATCCTTTAAATACCTGTTCTGAGCTTGGATTAGTTTTGAACTCTAACACTTTTTTATAGTTTTCAAGTTGACTAAGGCACTAGCTATGTAACAAGTGATTTGCTCTAAGTTTTACTCCTTGTACGAACTGTAAAGGCTTATCATAAAAATTCATAGTTTTAATATTTTATTCCAGTTGCCACTTTATGTCTCATTTATATGTAAGTATAATAGTTATCATAATATACAAGGAATAAATTATATAAGTTACATGCTGAATACAAGGCTTCACATACTTTGCCTTGTTTTGAAGTTATCGTTAATACTATAGAGTCAAATATTTAAGAGCTATGATACAACTTTTATGCTACGGGATTTGCGTAATCAGTTCTCTAATATTTTTTAACTTTAGGAATAATTCTGAACTCTAGATTATTTGTATAGGATGAATGGACTAGTACCAACTAAGTAGAGGCTTGTTTACATGTTTTTCAAGATGGGTAATATATCTGACTTAAAATATTGTAAATTGTTATGTATATAATCTATAAACTCTTTTAACTTCTTTGTTACTTTTGAGTTCGTTCACCACCATTCTGGGGCATCGAATCCGTTTGGCCTACTAGAACATTTATACCCCACCTCTATATCAGAATATTCGACGACTGGTTTTAGAACTTTGATCATACCATTGAACCCATCAGAGAATAATGAAGTGAAATAATCTTCGTTTTGTAAAGCTTCTGGATTCAATTGTTTGAAAATAGCAAGAGCTCCACCAGAAATTTGATCTACTGAATCATAATATCTCAATTGCTTAAATGGAGCAAATACTGGATTTTTAATGACATTAGATTCCCAAATTTCATTGGGGTATATGTCTTGCTTCATTAATAACAAGTCATATTGTACTAAACTTGAGTTACACCAGTAACTTCCTCCCACTGCATTTCTCTTATAGACTGCAAGCAAAATAGAAATGGCTACAATACAACCTGTACCATAATCACTCATAGGAAAGGGTGGAATCATAGGTTCATTCTTTCCGAGTGCCTGACCTTGAATCCAAGCAACCCCACTTACACAATCGGCGATTTGTTGCCAGCCTGGACGTCCCAGCCATTCCCCACTAAATCCGAAACAGTTCTCAGATGCATAGATATAACCCTTCCCACGCCTTTTGGCTAATTCAGTAACTTTTGAACGTCCAAACCCTAATTTTTCGATTACTCCAGTTCTGTATCCATCAATCACAATATCTGCTTCCTCTAGTAATTCTTCAAATTTAACACGATCTTCATTCTCCTTGAGATTAAGGTTCGTAGTATGTTTTCCCATGTTACCATCAACCTGGAAAAAGGGCACGTCTGGTAAAGTTTCATCAGAAGTAACTTTAATTACAGTTGCACCATATTCAGCAAGAATTTTTCCTATAGTTGGGCCAGCAATTATTCTACATAATTCAAGAACTTTGATTCCTGAAAGAATTTGGGGCTTTTCGTCTTTAACTAATGTAAATGGAACTGGAGGAGTCTCTGTTTCTAATTCATGTATTTCAAAAATTGGCTTGGAGCTGATAGTTTCACCATGGGGAGTCTTCAAGAAATCTTCACGTTTGAGGGCTTCAACTCCGGCTTGTCGGTTCTTAACATTTAATTCTTCTAATTGATCACAATTGAATTCATCAAGTTTGCTTTGATATATATCTACTATCTTTTGATAATCAGTTAATCCATGTTGGAATGGCGGTAATCCTATCATCTTCAATGTTGTTGTTGCATCTAGAGATCCATGAATATGATAATAACGATTATCCTTGGTACGGTACAAGTTAGCTGACATTCTACGGTAAGGATCGGATTGTGCTTGATTCAAGTCAGTATGTTTAAGATATTTAAGGACTTCTTTTTTATCACCTTTAAAGAATCCATTGACAGACGAACAGTATGTCAGGAAAAGGAATAACAAAGCATGTTGAAGATCTATGCTGGCTGATCCAGTGGATTCAAATCTAACTTGACTCATCTTTAAGGCAATTAATGCTTCAAGGCCTTTTAATGCGGAAATTAACTCAGTTTGCTTTAAAGGGCATGGGACTGTAAGCTGAGTGGACTCATTATAGAATTTGATTTGTGGGGCTAATGCTACAAACTCAGTAGGAAGGATATTTGAAGAAAGTAAGTCAGCGAAAATCCGCTTGGTTTCTTCTAGCTGTGAGTAACTAATAGTCATGGTAATGTTCAACGGTTATATATCACTCATTCTTGAGTTAAATGAATGCAATCAGATATTTCTTAGATATATATATGAAATTAGTAAGAATGATTAGAGATCTAATTGCTTAAGGTGTTTTTCCGCAACAACGGAAAATGAGACCTTCCGTTAGACGAGGTTTCCGTAATATGATTCGCAATCACTGTCTCCAGGGCTACGGAGTGGGGTGGGATCTACTAATCTGGTTATATAATAGATGATGCATTAATCCGGTTAAAAGACTGTCTACAAGTTGTTCTCTTACACTACAAAATAAAACACTACAACATATAATTTCTCCGCAGTTGTCGTATATTTGTATCTAAGCTAACCTCTCAATTCCAATACAGCTGCTTTCATAGGTGCAGTATCGAGATACACCTGATAATAATTTAATTTCAACTCTAATCCTTCACCAAATTCAATGTAGGCGGCCCAATCTGTAGAAAGTTGTTTCCCATTGGTCAATGTGTATTCAACATATCCATTGACAAGATATCTCTTATCTTCAACCACTGTAGATACGTTCTGGGGAACATGATGTCTATGCGTCACAAAGGTCCACATCCCCTTCCTCATGGCAGCAATATTAGCCCTACCTTCAAATTTATTACTACCCATTACAATAGTAGGTGACTCTGAAACAAAATTTAAGTATGGATCATTTTCAGTGGGCGGCTTGAGGTCAGATATCTTGTAGAAATTGGTGATAAACTGTTGCAACTTGGTGTTGTTCTCCAAATCCTTAGAGTACGTTGTCATTATAGCTTATTTTCTCTTGTACCAATTTTCAGATCAATTATGCTCCGAAACCAAATATATATTGATGAAGAGCGATGTAGTAGCGGAAAAGCGTTAGCATCTGCAATTAAAAGTGCGGAAAAGCAAAATAATCCGGGGAAATTAGGCCCGAATTGAAATTGTATTATATATCTAATAACTGAAAGAAGCCATAATGTTTTGCTTCATATTAGGTGTATTTTAATTATAAGATGTCTATTGTAAGCGATTACACTACAACTGGTCAGTTCTATACCTTATTAAAACCAGAGACCACCCTGGATGAGAGAGTCATCGTCTTTCTTCACGGGTTGGGTTCATCCCAGAACTTTCATTATCCTGTAGCCATCAAATTAGCTCGGCAATATACATGTGTGTTGATAGATCACGAAGGTGCTGCTAATTCTCAATTGAACAAAGCTTCTTTAACACTTGATGACTTGTCCAATAATGTCGAGCTCATTCTCAGAGAAGCAGGTTTGCTTTCTAGACAAATCGTCCTTGTGGGACATTCTATGTCTGGTTTATTAATTAACTACATGAATATATTTCATGCTAATAAATTCAATATATTTTCAAATGTCTTAATTGCTCCTGTTCATCCTACTGAACAAGCAGCCGATATTTTTGTTAAGAGAATTGAACTGTTGAAGGGTGCTAAATCGTTGAAAGATTTTTCTAATATCATTCCACTGGCTGCTACTGGGTCAGCAACTGACCCTTTGAAGAAAGCATTCATAAGACAATTGCTTTTAAGTCAGTCAGTCGAAGGTTACATAGCTAACTGCAGTGCCATAGTTAGTGGAGGCAAATATGGTATTCCTAACAAATATGGTCTCATTAAGAAGCCAACTTTGATCATTTACGGAGATGAGGATAAGACGGCACCATGGGTTGGAGGGGTTGAATTAATAGAAAAAGATATAGAGAACACCACCATCGTGGAATTAAGCAAAGTGGGACACTGGATTGTTATTGAAGCTCCTGAAGATGTCTATGAAAATATCAAGAACTTTTTAAATAGTAAGTAATTATTATACAATATATATTTAGACAATCTTACGTTTAAATCGTATAAGGTTGATTCTAAGCTTTACTCTACACATATTCTTTTGGTGGTTTGCCTTCATTTTACATGAACCACTGATGACAGTCCTTGTACTCGTGGATTTAGTATTACAAGATACTTGTTGAATATCTTGTTGAGTATCTTTTATTTACAGGAGTTTAATGAATAATCATAAGCTGGCTAGCCACATCTCAAGTGAATTAGTATAAAAAGCTTCAAGTAATGAAAGAGATAGCAGAATGCACATGTTTGGGTTTACTAACTCCCTAATATTAATTGGGAAGAAAGGTATCACTTCTGGTATTGTTAAACTACAGTTTAATATTATCTCTCAGCAATAATTCATTCAGTATTTCATTCATTAACATACATATTTGCTGCGCTAGGCAGCCATAAATAAAATTTCTTTCTTCTCTAAGCAAGCAGATTCTTTCTGTCAATGATAGACTTCTCAGAAGCAGCTTGGTGATCACGAACCTTTTGACGAGTTTTTTGAATTTCTTCCTCTAAAATCAACACAATATCGTAGTCTAATCTGTTAACTACTCCTTGGCTTTTATATTCTGGTACATCACCTAATGGCTTGAAGTCTACAATGATATCATCCTTAACAGCAAAAACAGTATCATCTTTAGTGTGCTTACACTCACGATCATAAATTTGAGTGATTAAAGAGTGGTAGGTAGGGTGAGTAACTCTCCAGTGGATATGGCCCGGTCTCATTGGTGATCTATCCATGAGGGTCAATAAGTCACCGGCTGGACCATCGTAAGGAATAGGGTAAGCAGTTGGTCTTAATCCAACAAAAGCATACTTTCCTTCCTCATCTGCGTAGAAAGTACCTCTTAAATTGTAATCAACTTGGTCTGGATCTTGTTGTTCATATAAACCATTTGGAGCACAATGCCAAACTTCAATTTTAGCGCCTTTTAATGCATTACCATGGGTATCAGTAACTTTACCAGAAACAAGGGTCTTTTCACCTCCAACTTCTTGCTGAATAATAGAGCCTCCATAAGGATATTCTGGTGAATTTTCACGATAGAATGGACCAATAATAGCCGAAGATGTATGACCTTTAGAGTCTGAAGCATGAGTAATAGAATCAACAAGAGCTTCTAAACCAATAACATCGGACACCAAAATACCTTCGTTCCTTTGAGCATCTGACATCTGACCAATACGGTTAATAAAATTGACTCCCCACATCCATTCATCTACCGTGATATGATTTTCTCTAGTGAAATCATGAATGTGCTGGATCAAAGACCCAAGGATACGGTGTGTCTTGGGCGAAGCTTTGGGCCCAAATGAGTCCTTAACATAATCGGTGAATTCTTGGTTGAATGACATAGTATTATTTGCTAGTTTTGCAATCGATAATTCAAGTTTTCAGTCTATTGTCAATAGCAGACTTCTCATTGGATTTTATATAGTCCGCAATTGACCCCAGATATTTTATTTCGGCATACCCCACTAGCGATTTTATTGGCATCAGTTGCATATATCCGCGCTCCGGTAAGAACGGTTTTATTTTTATATTAAGCGGGCCTGAATATTTCTTGATAAGACAGTCTTCTTACCTGTTTGTTTATCCATCTTTATCCACCTTTATCCGCTGCCTGGATTCCTCATAACTCAATATAGGGGTATATATATATAGTTAAAACATAATATGGTTGGGGTTTAGCGGTAATTGGTTATGAAAATCAGGCCATAATGTTATTAACTAAGACATCACATCCTTCCCTAGTCTTGTGGAGAAATTATGTAAGATATAGTTCAAAAGTTGTTCTGTCTGTTGATGAAGCTCTTGAAGGTATAACTGGTAATATTACCTTATTATCGGGTGGGTTCGGGCTTAGTGGTGTTCCAGACACCATCATCAATGCCATGAAAGAAAAACCTCATATAAACAATATTACTGCTGTATCCAATAATGCTGGTTTAGAAGGTAGAGGATTGTCCCAATTATTAGTAACAGGTCAAATTACGAAAATGATCTCATCCTATATTGGTGGCAATAGGACTTTTGAAAAAATGTACTTGACTGGTCAAATAGATTTGGAATTGACTCCCCAAGGTAATCTTGCTGAAAGAGTTAGAGCTGGTGCAGCTGGTATCCCCGCATTTTATACTCCAACTGGTGTTGGCACTTGGTTGGAAGAGGGTAAGTTACCTGTTAGATATAATGAAACTGGTGATGAAGTATTGAAGACTAGTGTACCTCGTGAAGTTAGGGAATTCAATGGTAAAAAGTACTTATTAGAACCAGCAATTTTCGGTGATGTAGCCATAGTCAAGGCTTACAAGGCTGATACTCTAGGTAATTGTTGGTTCAGAGGTGCTTCTAGAAACTTCAACTCAGCTTTTGGTCGTAATGCCAAATTAACTATTGTTGAAGCTGAACATATTGTTCAACCAGGTGAAATCAGACCAGAGGATGTACATTTGCCATCGCTTTATGTTCATAAAATTGTTCAATCTGTAACAACTAAAGATATAGAAATTTTCAAGTATTCTGAAGATGGAAATGCAACTGAAGCATCTGAACCCACTGAAGCAGAAATTAAACGAGAAAGAATCGTTAGAAGAGCGGCTCAAGAATTCAAGGATGGTGATATTGCCAACTTGGGTATTGGTATACCAACCTTGATTCCAAACTTTATTGCTCCTGAAATTGATGTGACATTACAGTCCGAAAATGGTATTTTAGGATTGGGACCATATCCGAAACGTGGTGAAGAAGATGCTGATTTAATTAATGCTGGTAAAGAAACGGTCACTCTTAAGCCCGGTTCGTCATTATTTGGATCAGAAGAATCATTTGCTATGATCCGTGGTGGTAAGATAGATTTAACTGTTTTAGGTGGTTTACAAGTTTCTAGTAATGGTGACCTTGCTAACTGGGGTCTACCTGGTAGAGTTAAAGGTATGGGTGGTGCGATGGATCTTGTCAGTAATCCAGAGTCTACAAGAGTTGTTGTCATTATGGAACATGTTGATAAGAAAGGAAGATCTAAGATCTTGGAGGAATGTAAATTCCCTCTTACTGGTCAAAGTTGTGTATCAAGAATCATTACTGACTTAGCAGTGTTTGACGTTATTGATGGAAAGCTAGTATTAATAGAATACGACCCATCTACTACTGTTGAAGAAATCACTAGGAAAACGGAGGCAAAATTTGAAGTCTCTCTGGATTTGAAGCCTATTACAATCTAAGTAATGTATAGCTTTAAGTATTTAGTATTATACCAAGATAAAATTTAACGTCATAGTAATGCATATAGAATTCATACACCTCAACCAAACATTAATATTAGTTTGCAATTATTAATAATCCTTTCTCTTGGAGAGACTACTTCTTTAATATCAGCTACATATATTAAGATTAGTGTATTCTGACTAAAGTTATTCTCCAACTAGAATATTAGAAATGAATTACTAAAAAAAGACTAATTGCACTGAGCGGATCTAATGGGTTGGAGAACATATATTTCCGCCTATTGTCTTTGATATCGCTAGTGACAGCGGAGCAAAATTATGTTTCCCCGAGCCTACTCATACTTGTCATTTCTACTTGTGCTTCCGTTCTCTCCTTCTACTTGTACTGCTGGGTTTTGTTCTCAGTGGCTCTTATCATGCAAAATACCATACACTTTCTTGTTTGATTATAATTATGTTCCCCGCGGTTACCCCAGATTTTGTAAATATAAACAAACACTATAAAAGTCACATAAAGTACTCAAATGAATTGTATTCAGTATTTTCTAAAGTCAGTAGTAATACTAACGTTACAATATGACAAAAATTGAGTCTAAAATTAAACATTCAAACACTGACGTCTTGATTATCGGAGCTGGTCCATCGGGATTAATGGCTGCTACTTGGTTAGCCAGAACTGGAGTGCCTTTTAGAATAATTGATAAAAGATCTAATAAGATATTCTCAGGTCAAGCGGATGGTTTACAAAGTAGAACCCTTGAAGTTTTTCAATCTTTCTCTGGTTCTACTTTTGATATGAGAGGATTGGATTCAGCTTGGAAAATGGCTAACCATATGAATGAATTTTGTTTCTGGAGTCCGGATGAAACCGGTAAGTTGGTAAGATCTTCTAGAATACCTGATAGTATTCCAGGAATTTCTAGATTTCAGCAGATTGTAATTCATCAAGGGTATATTGAGAAATGGTTTGATGAAACGATCAAAACATTTTCGGACGGAAAGTCCAAAGTGGAAAGACCATTCTTGCCAATTAGTCTTGACATTGACGAAAGCAAAGTTGAAGATAAGGATGCTTATGCAGTTAAAGTATTGGTGAAAGATTTGTCAAAGGATGCTGTTGCTGATCCAGAACAATTCAACTCAAATGTCGCTAATGGACTCTACAGACAATTTGAAGGTGATCAAGACAAATTCTATACTAATATCGCAGATATCGAGAATGATCCTAATGTAAAGCTTGATGATTATGAAGTTATAAACTGTAAGTATGTACTTGGTGCAGATGGTGCTCATAGTTGGGTCAGAAAGCAATTAGGAATTGAAGTGGAAGGTGAAAGCACTGACTTCGTATGGGGAGTTTTAGACTCGGTCCCAATTACTGATTTCCCTGATATTAGACATCGATGTGCAATTCACTCTGTAGATTCTGGCTCTGTTATGATTATACCAAGAGAAAACGATTTGGTCAGATTATACATCCAATTGAAAGAAGTCCCTAGAGATCCCTCAACTACTTCAGGAACGTCGGGCGCTAATTCAAAGGGAAGAATTGACAGATCTAAAATCACTCCTGAGTTGATCTTAAAGAATGCTCAAGATATATTGAAACCATTTAAATTTGAAATCGAAGACATAGAATGGTTCACAGGCTATCAAATTGGTCAGAGAGTTAGTCCTAAGTTTGATAAATTCAATCGTGTATTCATTTCTGGGGATGCATGTCATACACACTCACCTAAAGCTGGTCAAGGAATGAATGTATCAATGATGGATACTTTTAATCTTGGCTTTAAATTGGCACTAGTATGCAAGGGCCTTGCTAAATTTGATATTTTGAAGACTTATGAAAGTGAAAGAATACAAGTTGCTCGTGAATTGATTGCATTCGATCATAAACTCTCCAGATTATTTAGTGGAAAGCCAATGATTCCCAATTCTACAGTAATCCAGGAAGGTGTGGATATGGATGAATTCCATAGAGTCTTTCAGAAAGGAGGAGAATTTGCTTCAGGGACTACTGTTAATTATGGAGAGTCTCTGTTGATTGATCTTTCTGCAACCAGCCCTGTTGATGAAGATGGTAGATCATTTTCCTTAGTTGCTACAAATATTCCAGTTGGTAGGAGACTAGAAACCACGCTTATTGAATCTCAAGCTGACGGCAGAGTGATCCATATTGTGGACAGAACTCTCTCTGATGGACGTTTCAGGGTCTTGATATTTTCGGGCGATGTTCATACTCATCCTCTGAACTTGAAGATATTAGATGAGTTTAATACATTCTTTGAGTCAAATAAGCATTTTGGGAAAAAATTCACTCCAGTGAATGCATTTGATAATTCGGTTATTGATGTTATTACCATTCATGGTTCCAGACGTCATGACGTAGAACTCTTTGATTTCCCTGAATTTACAAGGCCTGTTGATTACAAGAACCGTCTTGACTATTGGAGACTCTACACAGGGGTCGATACAACATATCATCAAGGTGATATTGATGCTTATGAAGCATATGGAATTGACAAAAAGGAAGGTGCTATTATAGTTGTCAGACCAGATGGATACGTTGCCAAAGTCACTGGGTTTAATATAAGAGGACTTGAAGATATTGATAAATATTTTAATAAATTTTTGATCCCACAGACAACGAATGTCTTGACTCCAAAGGATAAGCTGAGCAACGATAGGGATAGATTTGTGAAGCCATTATTGGCTGTTTAACTCATGTGCGTCCAGGAAAGTCCATTTATTTATGAAATCATTTCTAACTCTTTACTAAAAGACTTTAATATATATGTTGCTATTTAGATTACTTGGTTTATTGAATCGTGAATTCTATACTTGGGGTTAAAAGTATATTCGTCTACTAATAAGCTTCATTGGTAATCACTTTTATATTGTATTATGTCTATATGCATTTTCAACACTCATAACTAGTTTTCGTTAGCAAACAAACCAGCATAACCTTGCCCGGTAGAAGTACACATCGAAACTACACCTAATTCTTTGTTCTGGCTCTTTAATCCATTAATTAAGGTAGAAATAACTCTACCACCGGTAGCTCCCAAAGGATGACCTAAAGCTATAGCACCACCATAAGGGTTAACTTTAGCATGGTCAATTCCCAACTTCTCAATACAGTATAAAGATTGAGAAGCAAATGCCTCATTCAATTCGAAAATATCAATATCGTTAATAGAGACTTTTAAGCGATCTAATAACTGTGGAATAGCGGCCGAAGGGCCAATGCCCATAAGTGCAGATGGAACACCCGCAACAGATGATCCAATGAATCTTGCAATTGGTTTTATGCCCAATCTGTCTGCATTGGCTCGTGTAGTTAAAATTACGGCAGATGCACCATCAGAGATTTGCGATGAATTACCAGCAGTTGTAGTACCATCTTCTGCAAAGACGGGTTTTAAAGTAGATAACTTTTCATAAGTGGAACTGGCTCTAACACCGTCATCTTTATCAATTAACTTGTACTCTAGTGGTTGATCTGGTTCTGATACTCTAGCTTTTACTGGAATAATCTCTTTAGCAAAATGTCCTGATTCAGTGGCCCTAGCTGCCTTTAAATGGGATTCAACTGCAAAACGATCTTGATCTTCTCTAGAAATTCCATACTTCGAAGCCACATTTTCACTAGTTATCCCCATTGGCATTAAAACATTTTGTGCTTCGTCACTAGCAGATGCCTTAAAGGATTCGTTAATTCTGGTGGGTATACCTCTGTGAGGGAAGTAATCATGAGTCATAGACTCGACACCTGCAGCTATCACAAACTGATTTTCACCTGAATTCAATGCTCCTGCTTGATAGGTCAAAGCTTGGGCTGAAGATGCACATTGCCTGTTGATCGTGTTGACTGTGGTTTTGATAGGAAACCCCGTTTTCTTAATTGCTAAGGCAGAGGCCTTTTGACCACCTAATGTCTGCAAAACTGTACCCACCAAGACATCATCAATTAAATTAGGATCTATTTGTGATCTTTCTAATGAACCTTTCAAGACTTCATAGAGTAATTCTTCTGGATAAAGTTTGGCTAACCCACCCTTAATAGACTTTGTGACTGGTGTTCTTCTTGCAGATAATATGACTATATCAGTAGCTGACTTTTTTAACGACATTTCTTTGTTTATAGCTCAATTTCTATTCAGTTCTTGCTTTAAACATGTATTTGCACTTCTTTTTCATATATATAGTAATCAACTAATCAGTACTATGGTACGGAAAAGGGTAAATCCGGTGACGGAATAGACCTTTCTTAACGGGATTCCAAATTACTTCTACAACAAGAGTCATCTACAATCTTCCGTGTAGTTAGGCGCCGCTATTAATCACAATACTTCATATTTTTGAGGAGGCACTTTTCCGCAATTTGCTATGTTTCAAAAATAAGCTAGACGGAAAAGGATCATCGTCAGAATCCAGTACTGAACTAGGTTGCCGTTCTTTCTCTCTTTTTTAATTTTAACCATATATAGTGTCTGATAAAGCTTCATCAAATATGTTTATATAGGATATGTTGAATTATATCTTTAAGCCATGTCTATCGGTGTCAGTGGCTCACATTACTTTGACAGATTCTTTGCTTTTCCGTCCATCTTGCGGATATTTAATAGCAGCTGCGAAAAAAATATTTACAATGAAATTGGTCTCTAACTTCATGATACCAACGCAATAGCTCATTTTTCATCAATGACAGCATTATGTTTAATATTACTTGAGACCAAGTAATCTGCTGCGGGGATGTCTTTGGCAACGTTTACTTTTATGGGCCGCCTGTTGTGCAAAATTGTTGAGAAAAGTGCCTGTACTAACGATCTACATTAAAAAATAAGCATATTCTACTTTGTGAACTCCGAATCATTTTAAGCAAAGCTCTGTAGTCTATCGAACTAAATTATTATTTAGATTACATGTGGGGGTGTTTTTGGCCCGCATTTTATTGTGCAGATTAGACTGGAGTACGGCTAGTTTTCGTTTCTTTTTCTGTTAATCTGTGAGTGGGGTAAATAAATTAGAGTTGTTTTGCTTCGTTATACAGTGGTGCATAATTCCGTACCGCTAGATTGGACCTTATTTTGAAATCCAATATGTCTCAAGCTGAAATTGGTATTTTCCTTTGAATGGACAGTTGATTGATTGGTTGTATTATAAAAAGAGTAGAATTTCTAATTAGAGAACATTTACGACCTATCACATCACCATGAGGATTTAAAAGGCTCATTCTTCTATAGTCATGTCCGCGTCAATTATCTCCTCTGAATCAGAATCGATTCTTCCATACAAAGCAATTAGTTTCAGTGGAGATTCTAATGAATATGTTGTAATTGGAAATCATAAGTACTTACGAAATGAGTTAATGGAAGCATTTGGTGGTACTTTGAATCCAGGGTTATCTCCGCCACCAGTTCATAAATTTGGTAATGCATCAGCTTTAGGGTTAGGAGCCTTTTCTCTAACTGCTTTTACTCTTGGTTTATATCTTGTTGGTACTTTACATATTGAAAACCCTGATTTAATTGTATCGTTGCTTTTCTTCTACGGGGGTACTTGTTTAATGCTTTCAGGGATATGGGAATTAGTCATTGGGAATACTTTTGCAGCAACTGCATTCTGTAGTTTGGGTCCTTTCTTTTGGGGTTACGGTGCTATATTAGTTCCTTCTTTTGGTATTAGTGCTGCTTATGCAGATGAACCAGAACAATTAGCTAATGCAATTGGGTTTTACTTCCTTGGGTGGGGCATATTTGCTTTCATGTTGTTAATGTGTACATTCAAATCAACTGTTATGTTCATTTCAACTGTCCTTACAACAGATATTGCTTTTTTCTTATTAGCAGCTGGTAGTATGACGGGTTCTCCTACCTGTAACAAAGCTGCAGGTATCTTTGTTATAATTACTTCACTTTGTGGTTGGTACTGTATGTATGAAGGTATAGCAAATAAAACTAACAGCTATTTGGTTCCACCTCCAATGCCTCTTCCTGTCTTAGGGCTGCATTGATTATTGGGATCTGGTTTGATCAAATATTAAATTTTTGATATTTGTTGACACCCTTTTTATAGGTCAGCCTTTCTGCTGATCATTTAACAGATAATATATAATTTGTTAATTTAAGTGAATAGTTTTCTACATTTTATGAATGTTTGTCGGTGACTTATTCCAGCTGGCTGTGATTTAGTTTTTGTTTTAATCACTGGCAGCATTCTAAAGGGTACTGAAGGCTTTTCATTATTTTTTTATTTACCGACCTTTAATATTTATCTTTTGTGTTACTATCTTACTTTTCTATTTCTTTTTGGGGATCATCATTATTACTATCTTATTTTATTGTCTTTATTAAATTTACCATTACTATTTGAAATGATTGTTTCTGTAGCTCAAACTCACTAATTAAAATCTAAACTCTAAGGTTGGAACCAGTTAATTATTTAATTATTCTCCGTACTATGCTAATATTTCTCCGTTGACCATCAAAGCCAGTCGCAATATATGATCCAAGTAAAGATTTATTTAACAAATAAAGAAACATCAGCTCTGGATGTATACTGAATTTTTATGCTAACCATGTATTTCTGACATTCAAGTAATCTAAAATCTAAGTCGCCAAGATTTATATGTCACCCTCATAAGGTTTATTGTTCTGGTATTAAAACTATGAATAACAAAATATCTTATCTTGTTCTAGAAATTCATGTCTATATTTTGCACTCTGTTCTTTGCGAAGTGAAAAAACCGGACTTCAATACTAACTTGTTCGTCTTGGCTGAAGAGTTTCACTATTATTTGACTAAATTTGATGAAACGTGGTTGCCTTGATACTAGAAATTTAATTGTATTAACATTCTCATCATAAACTATAGTATTACTGTGTCCAAAGCATTCGGATTATATTTTGTAAGATAAAACTAAGTTGAAATATAAGACACATAATCAGCTTGAATACTACGTTACATTTCAAACCAAATTGTAATTTTAGTTTAATACACTGCTGAGAAGTGCATCCGGATTTAAGAAGTGTGGATATCAGGCTCGGGGTTATCGTCAAATTTGTAAACACTAAGTCCTAGAATTTGCACAACATTATTGACAATTGCATGCTTTATCTGTATAATTGCTAACAAACAAGCATTGGCACCTTTTAGATACAAGTATTAAGAGCTTAACAATTAATTAATACATACACGATCATATATTCTAAGCTATAAAATTCAATGGTCTAGATTCTATTTAGTTAAATTATACTCTATTAAACTTTTAGCAGAAAATTGGACAAATTTTTACATTAATTAAGCGAGCCTATTTTTCTTATAAAGCCCCCTCTCATGACATTACATGAGATATTTTCAATCACTTCAAGATAATAGATACAATTGTCCCAAAAAAATCGGTTGCGTTAAAATGGTACATACATAGTCACTTTAAGGTATTCGTTAGAATAATTCAGGTGTTGATCGGACTATGTCCATTTTGGGTAAGTCCGGGGTTCATTTATCGGCTCAATTTTCAACGAAATTCTTACTAATTGATTAACTCCGAATATCAATATCTCCATACATATATAAATACATATAGATTTTGATATTTCTCAAATAAAGTCAAAGTTCATGCAATAATTATCGAATATAATAAAAAGCCCATTTCAATATTCAAAACAATGACTTCTGCCAAACATACTGCCGTTTTTATTTCTGGTGCAACCGGATTCATCGCTCAGCATACTATTAGTCAACTTCTTGCTAAAGGTTATAAGGTTGTTGGATCAGTTAGGTCAACTGAAAAGGGAGAAGAATTAGTTAAGATCTTTGACAATTCAAATTTCTCTTACGAAGTTATTCCAATTCTTGAAAAGGAAGGTGCTTTTGATGAAGCCTTGAAGAAAAACTCATCCGTCACTGTTTTCTTACATACTGCTTCACCAGTTACTGTTACTGTTGAGGATAATGAAAAAGATATAATTATTCCAGCCCTCCAAGGTACTAAATTTGTACTCAAATCTATCAAGGAACATGCTCCACAAATTACCAGAGTTGTTTATACCAGTTCTGTAGTTGCTACCGGTACTCCTGCTCAAATTGCCGATCCTGAATATAAGGGTGGTGAACATACCTGGAGTTCTCTTACTTATGAACAATCTAAGGAAAATGGTTATAATGCTTACTTTGGCTCTAAAAAATTGGCCGAACAAGCTGCTTGGGACTTTGTTGAACAAGAAAAGCCAAACTTCACTCTTAGTACCATCAATCCTTCTTATGTATTTGGTCCTCAAAACGCTGCTCCAAAGACCAAGGAATTAAACTTTTCTGCTTCTATTATTACCAGCGTTTTGAATGCTACTGATTCAGTTCCAGAACTTTCAGGTACTTTTATTGATGTCAGAGATATCGCAAAAGCACATATTTTGGCTTTTGAAACTGACCAAGCTCAAGGTAAAAGATTCATCGTTGCAAACAGTCTTTTTAATGGCCAAACTCTTTTAGACATTATCAGAGGTAACTTTCCTCAATTAAAAGACAAACTTCCAGTTGGTAAGCCTGGTGTTTCGCTCTCTGGCCCAAGCAGATACAATGACAAGAATGCCAGATCAATTTTAGCTATTGATTACATTAGTCTTGAAAAGTCTGTTGTTGATTCCGTCAAACAAATTATTGATCTCTGAACTATGCAGTTGTAGAACTAGTTAATATAATAAATAGCGATTATAGATCTATAAAATAGATACTACTTTAAGTTCTTAAATTGTAAAATTAGGTTGAGGAGAGAAGATTTGTATAATTTAATGATAATTAGTCTTAATGATAGTTATTCTCACTTATTAAGCCATGGTATCGGAAATAATAACCGATTTGCAATACCTTAAGCCCCAAAGAGCTTAAAACATGGGGTAAGGGAAAGTATTTTACCATATTTTTTTGTGTGTTGATGTCGCGAAATATCGGGAACGACGTAAGCCATGAATATCTCGGATAAGCATTATGACCGATACAAATTGAGCTTTCTATAGCTTACAATATCATTACTAAGTGATTTCTAATCGGACTGTGTACCCTCATTAGTTCGTTGTATAAATATAGCAATCAATCACCTTAATAATAATGATTTTACCAATATTAAAACTACACCGAAGGCTAATGAGTACTGAAGTAGCAAGAAGAATTCCATTAATAATTGGAGGTAAAGAGAATACGACAAGAGCTCAAGTAGCTGTCAATTCCCATACTTTCCCAGAAGAGTCCATTCACACATTTACATCATTTGATATTAATGACACCAAGTTATATAGAGAATTATTTGATTCAGCAAATAAAGGCTTTGAAGAATGGTCTGCTACACCTTACAACGAAAAAATCAAAGTATTCCAAAAGGCAGTTGTGTTATTAAAGGAGAGAAAAGATGAATTTTTCAAGAGTCATCATGAAATTGGGGGTCCTTCATGGTTTGCTGGTTTTAATGTTGATGGAACCGTTGATCAACTCGAAGAGTATATTAGTCAGATGTCGAATCCAACAGGTGTATTGCCTCAATCTTTAGAATCAAAATTGGCCATTACTATAAAGCAACCAATTGGACCTGTATTAGCCATTGCTCCTTGGAATGCTCCCATTCTTTTGGCTGCTAGAAGTATTGCAGCACCTTTAGCTGCTGGATGTTCGGTTATTCATAAATCTTCTGAAAAATCACCGTTAGCTTCATATTTATTTGTCAAATGTTTACATGATGCAGGTTTACCAAAGGATGCTTTACAATTAGTTCATGTTGCTCCTCAAGATAACCCTCAATTCTTAAATGAAGTATTGAGCTCAGGAACTATTAAAAAATTAAATTTCACTGGATCTACTGCTGTAGGTACGAAGATTGCTACTGTAGCTGCTAATTATTTGATTCCTTATCTTTTAGAACTTGGAGGTAAAAACTTCTCCATCGTAAGAAAAGATGCCGATTTAGATAAAGCTGTTGGAAATATAGTTTGGAGTAGTTGGTCACATAAGGGACAAATTTGTATGAGTACTGATAAAGTCTATATTCATGAAGATATTTACGATGAATTTAAAGAACGCCTTCAAAAGGTTGCCCCAGAAGTTGCAAAAGATCCAGATTATAGTATATGTCAAAGAGATCCTGTCTTTACAAAAAAGATTATTGAATTAGTAGAAGACGCTGTATCCAAAGGAGCAAATATCCTTTATGGAAATATTGATAAAGAAAAAGTTTTAAAAACAAATAGCGTTCCTCCATTAATTTTGGAAGACGTTAATGAAGATTCAATTTTGAATAATACTGAAAGTTTTGGTCCATTATTTTCTATTCACAAATATAACGATGAAGCACAATTAATTAAAGACTTAAATGTTAATTCATATGGACTTAAAGCCACTATTTGGTCTCAGAATATATTGGAAGCAATTGATATTGCCAAGAATATAGAAACTGGAGCTGTACACATTAATAGTTCAAGTGTTCATGATGAGGTTACCATACCACATGGTGGTGTTAAAGGAAGCGGTCAAGGGAGATTTAATAGTTCATGGGGTCTTGATGAATTCAATATAATCAAAACCATTACTCTTAATTGAATGATCTATATATGTATCTATTTTATTGATCTATCAAAGGGGAATCGTATTTAGTTGTTTTATAATCCCAATAGAACGTTAACTTATCAGGAAATCCAGTCTTTAATTGACACTGATACTTAAAACTTAAATCCTGTAATCTGTTATTTATATAATCTTCATATTCAGAAAACTCACATGAGAATCCTGGACCATTTAAGCAATTTCTAATGGGAACAACTGAATCGTTAATAATGTATCGCACATAAGATGCTTGTTTAGCACTTTTATTACATTTAAATTTTTCAATATATATCCTAGCACCTTGAGGTAACATCTCTGCTGCACTATACGGATTTGGGAATGGAATCCTATCAACAGGTAATTCTTTGATAGGATCAATGATTCCAAGACAACTTAGATACATTTCCATATCAGTATCATGAGTGAATGAAAGCCAAATCTTATTATCAGGTTGAGTATCTTGTAATAGTTTTAGCGTAGCACTCACCATCTCAGAACCTATTGTTTTGGATTTAGGATTCCCTGGACCAGTAGTATAATAATTACCTAGATCAGTTGAGTATGAACTTTTAATGAACTCTTCATTGGTGAATAAATCACAGAATGGAGAATGTCCTTTGACATTTATTTCAAATGCACACCATAGAAATAAGGAATTAACTTCACCTGGTGTAAGATCTAAACCAGGATTATCATGTTGAAATCTTGCTAGTATATCATTAAGGAAAGATCTATCATATTGGTTAAGTTTTTCACGATTTACTTCACCATTAAAATTGGAACATGCATACCTTGGAGTAAGTGAATTAATGCCCATTGATTTGTCTTCACTTATGATAACAAATTCTAATTTATTGTCATTGAATTCTTCACCTAAAAATCCTCTTGCAAATGATTCTGATGTATCATAGCAACGTTTTGAATTGGTAGTAAATATTGGTAATATCTTTTCTGGATTATATAAAGAATCATACTTGTTTCTGAATAATGATCCATGTCTATACTCATCACTGATACCATCATAGGGACTATGAGAATTTAAAGGAGATGTTTCCTTTTCATAGTTGTCGGAATCAGTTACGAAATATTCATAATCATTTAGAAATTGTAAATCACCTTTAAATGGCTTTCCATACTTTTGGAACTTGGCTAGTATGGATTCGAATTGAACTCCATCTCCCTTCGAGGGATATCTTTCTCCGTGTCGCGACAAAAGATGAACTTGCTCTAATTCGCACTGATTAGGTAATTCCGTTGATAGTCCAAATCCTGGCCGTTGTATGTAGGGAGCTGATCCTCCTAAATATTTAACTATATTATACTGTTCCTTGGCTACCTGTTGAGGTGTAGCTACCTGTTTATATAGTGATTGTGGATCAACTAGTAGGAGTCCATGATTGAATAGTTGCACAAACGATACCATTGTATCTTAGTAGTATATATATATATGATTACTTTAAGTAGTTGATAGTTTATAGCCATTAATATAGGGTTGGTTAGTTCGAGCACGTGCCTGTCCAAAATAGGAATAGTAATAGTAATAGTTGCGAAGTATAAAAGTAAATATATTAACTAACATAATCAAGAATTGAATATTTATATATAAAGATATATAGGTTAGATGACTGTTAAAGGGAGAATTCAAATTTTAGATCTATACTCTTCCTTTGGAGAGAATAAGATTTTAATATGCTTTTCCTTATGATGAATTAATTCTAAAAATCCTTTTTCGACTCCATCTTCTAAATGAATCTTTGAAGTAATTAATAATTTAGTTTCATCAACAGGAATTAAACCATTTTCTAATGCAGCAACAACATCTTCGAAATCTTCTTTAACGAAACAAATTGATCCTGTAACAATCTTTTCAGAAAGAGTTAATTCCATAGGGAAATGGTCAACTGCTTTATGAGCCCAAACAGCAACATTAGTAGCTACACCTCTAATATTTAATGCTCTAACACTGGTTTGATAAGTAGCTGGTACTCCTGAACAATCATATGAAAAATTGAATCCATAACCTCCTGGAGATAATGCCTTTAATTCTTTAATATTTTCTTCAATTGTTTTACCAGTAGGATCATGAACTGTTACACCTAATCTTTCTGCTAATTGTCTTCTTGCTAATGCAGGTTCACTAAGAACAATCTTTCCAACCTTATTACCTTTTAATGCAAAGATAGTGGTTAAACCAATTGGTCCTCCACCTAAAATTAATGCAGATGCTTCTGGTCTGAAATTTGATATTCTAACTGCGTGCCAACTAACAGCAATTGGTTGGATTAAAGCAGCAACATCCATTGGAATGATAGATTCATCAAATTTAACAACTTTAGTGGCAGCAGTAACCAAATATTCAGAACATCCACCATTATCGAATCCTAAACCTTGTAAACCTAAATAGGCACAAGCATTATAATGACCTTCAAGACAACTTGCACATTTTTCCTTTTCAAAATTTGGAGAATCTGGGAATCTATATCTATCAAAACAAGTTCCTGTAACTTCGACAACAACTTTGTCACCTTTCTTTACACTAGTAACATTGGTTCCAACTTCATAAATTTCTCCACTAATTTCATGACCCATACATTGAGGATATGGTAAATCTGAGATTTCATTATTTGTACCTTTGTCACTGAAGAAAATAGGTCCATCAGTAAATTCTTTCAAATCAGATCCACAAATTCCACAGTAGTGAACTTTTATTTTGACATCATCGGGTCTTGTGATCTGAGGTTCGGCAAAATCTGTATGATAACGAACATCGCCTCTATCGTGATAAACTATAGCTTTCATTTTAAGTAATAGTTATAATAGTAATAGTTTTAGTAGTAATAGTAGTAATTATAATAATAATAATAATAATAATAGTAATAATTAATTATAGATAAGTATGGGGAAGAAAGACTATGAATAAATAAAAAAGATACAAGTCAATTGGGCAATATTATATAGTAAAACTAACTGACACAACAAAATTGGACCTAGTTATGCAGTAATGCCCGTAATCACAATAATCGTAGAATAATAAAGTTGTGATGATTAAGGTTGATGATGGTTTTAATGTACGCTGATTGATGAAGTTTTTTGTGCCGAACACACGCAGTGAAACAGCGAGAAGGGAGTCACAAAATTGGACAAAGAGTGATGGGCAATTTTTAAGGCACTGCTTAATATTTGCGGGTTTAAAGTACTAATTCAGCCATAACGGTAACAGAGTCAAAATGTTTATTTTTGTTTGTTCTTAAAGCATGCTGTACATGATGTAGAACTCTCTTTATTAACAAACTAACTTGTCATAGAAGTTATTTACCGAGATCTGTCTAAACCTAGTTTCATAACCTTACATTAGGCATTATTCGATTCTTTGTGTCACAGAAGCTAAATGGAATACAACATCAAACTAAATTATTTAATCCCCACAATACAATAGCACAACACAACACAATATTTAATCTAATGAACTCTAAAATCGCCTTATCTGTACATGTCAAATTGTACAGTATTAGGCTACTACTAGTAATAATGTAGTATCGGATATTTTTGTCCGTATTGAAGTTCCGATCCTTTTGATCACTCAGTTACGCAGCCCAAGCCTTTTTTTTTTGTTCGCTCCCTACAGATGGGTGCGGGAACGCCATCCGGACCTCATCCCAGATGATGTACCCCAGATCAACCTCGGCGTGGAGCGACGAAATAGAAAATGGTTTGATTCATGACGTATACAGTACTGCATTTACTTAATCATGTTTTCTGTCTTGTTTACACATTTAAGGTCGTATTTATTGTTCCCCAGCTTATTCTCGGATTAATAACCTGTCATGTGGAATATCTTAAACGCTCAGCCCTTTTAGTCGGAATTTTATGCGACGTCTGAATAATTTGCAACTTGTTGTAAGTCTACTTGAATAATTTTATATAGTAATAAACTAAATTTATTACAGAAGAACCCCACATTAGCATATATTTATAATTATATAAACCTTATCTATTAACACATTGAGATTTTCCATCCAAAATCATTACAAATATCTAACCAATCTATACATACTATTCCATAGGGATTTCTTCTCCATGCCTCTCTAACTACATCCCATATTCTTTTAACATTACCAACTTGATATCTTTCGTATATTGAACAAAATTTATCATTCAAATTCTGTCTATCAAATTTATTACAACATGAAATTCCACAGATTAATAATGACATATTCAAAGAACTAATCAAATTCGTTTGAATTAACTCATCCATAATACCTTGAGCATTAATTAAATAGTTTTGCATCTCACTTGAAATAGGCTGACTCTGCTTTAAATATAACGATAAATACATTTTACAAGTAATTCGATATAATTCAAATAATTTCAAATGATTGGCTTGATCAATTTCTTCTAACTGATTCATTTGAGTTTCATTTGGCTGACAATATTCTATCTTATTAGATAGTTCACTTATCTTTTCATTAACTCTTTTCAAATAACTTAGACGTAAATTATTAATGACAGGTCCACTATCACCACTCGTACTAGAGTTCAATAATTTATTTAAATTAAATCTTTCTTCTTTTAGTTCAACATAACTATTCATAATCTCACCCAATAACAAATATACCAGTTGAATACATCCTTGATAGGGGTCAATTCCATAATCGTCCAATTCGAGAATCTTGTTAAATTTAAATAAATCATTATAATTATTCATAGAACATATAGTACCATTCTTTAACGTCTCACTAGACATAACATCATGAAATTGAAAATTTGATATAAGAAATTTACAGTCATTAGAATATTTGAAATCATTAATAAATTTAACAATTCCGCCATAATCTTTAAATAGCCTGACACATCTATTAAAATAATCGTGCCACTGTTTAGTATCTCCTGAACAAATATGTATACCAATAACTATTAAATAATATGCCAATTTAATAAAACTATCGAATCTATCATTATTAGTACTGATTTCATTCTTATGGATTAATTCATTACCTCGTTGAAGATATCGATTCACAGTCAAATATTTATCTTCACCTTCTATAGCATTATCAAATAATGCACCCCATGCAGCTAAACCATTCAGTATACTTTCATTGGTGATTGCTAATGTAAAAAAAGTCTTTAAGAAATAGTTAGATGACTGAGGACTGACAGATATCATAGGAGCTACTTGATTCTCAAAGAAATCAAGATGTTTCAAACCTCTATCGTCGAGGAATAAGTTAAATGTTGAGGATAGATTTATATACATGGGTAGTACTTCTTCTTCCACTTGTTGGATTTGTTTTGAAGTCGATATTAGTTGGCCAGTATTGATATCTGTATCTGTATTTATAGATGATAATAATTCATTTATGTCTATTGAACTTGTAAAGCTGTTATTTCGAGATTTAGGGGTGGTAGTAGTAGATGATACCACAGGTTTATGAACTTTATCAATCTTTTTATTAGGAGGAGTATAGAACCTAACAGTATATTCACAACTTAGACCTCTCTTTGAACAAAACGTACAAGTAGGATGTATTTCGTCACACTTTCTCTTTCGTTTCTTACAAGTTAGACATCCAGTCTTTGATCGAGATTTAGCTGAAGTTTCATAATTATTAATGTTGTTATCATTCTTAGTAGGACTACTAACTATCTCAAGAGGACTATTAGTCACATGTATATTATTCAACGTATTTAAATCCAACGTTGAATACATGATGCCATAATCAGGAATTACATATAGTTTATCCGGTTTCGTAAATTTGAAATATTTTTATCTCCCCTCAATATGTACAATAAAATTATTTTTCTAATGAGTAATTCCTCCACTAAATTTGGATTTGTGAAAAAACAATATAGTTTTGACTTTAGACTATAATTTAATTATCATTGTTCCGTACTTATCGGTATTTGTATTTTGGATCTGTGCAGGGATATCTAATTTGAATAAGTTCAATAGTTAAATCTACAATATTCATGTCTACTACTTCATCAATATCGGACTCCAGTTCGACTCCTAACGGACCTCCTGTTAAGAAAAGTAAAGTTACAAAGGTTAAATCAGAAGATACAAAATCAAAGCAAGCACGATTGAAATACTCTCGACCATGTGATGCATGTTCATTACGTAAAGTTAAATGTGATCTAAAAACTCCAGCATGTTCAAGATGTATAGAACATGATCTACCCTGTACTAATAATAGAGTTAGAAAGAAGTGTGGACCTAAAAAGATTCATGTAAAGACTCGAAATAATATCTTACAACTTGCCAGTACTATCACTACTTCAACCATACCTAATAGTAATATAGATTCAGATAATAGTAATCTAGATTCAGATAATAATAATAATAATCTAGATTCACATACTAGATTACTTAATGATACGTTAATACCTATTCGAACAAAGGAATATTATGAACCTCAACTCCTGATTCATGATCTTTTACCCTGCTTACAAGTATATCAAACATGGTATTATGGAGTATGGCCAGTTGTATCTGTTGCATATCTAATGTCTAAGCTTGTTAATAATTCCACATCTCAAACTAAATTTTTTAAGGATCTGACTGATAAAGAAGCTATATCTGCTTATTCATTAAGTTGTGCAGTATCAGCTACAATTATTCGTCAAGTATTCTTTCTTTCATCCAAATCTCAATTAATTAATTTACCCAATCATATAGATCATGAACAATGTGCTAAAGAAGCTATTAGATCAAGAGATTTTTATGATTATAGATTGGATCCTAGTCCTGATACTTTACTTACTTCATTTTTTTTATATACATACTTTATTAATATTAAAGGAGCTACTAAAGCAGCCATTAGTTATTTACGAGAAGCTATATCAACTGCACAAATCTTAGGCTTACAAAATCCTAATACTTATTTAAATAAACTGCCAGCTGAAATTCATAGATTAAGAAAAATATATTTCTTATTATTGGTAACAGAAAGATTTATATGTATTGAAGATCATGTTCCAGTAATCTTAGAACCTTCAATACCTTTCCCATCATTAAATGATGAAGAATATTCAACTTTATTAACAGGATTTACTGAATTAGTTAAAATATTTGCTATACCTGATAAGAATTTCTTTGATAAATTCTTACTATTACAAATTAATGATAATAATTTAAATAATACAAATATACCTTCAAAAACATGGATTATTAATATTCATCATCAATTAAATTCTATTCCAATATTACAAGAAACTTTAGATATTCAAAAATTAAATCTTTTAATTAGTAAATATTGGATGCAAGCTTTAACATGGAATATTTGTAAGAAATATGATTTATTAACTGATTCTAATTATGATCATAATAGTTTATCTATAATATTTCCATTTGAAATTGCTAAAAAATTCTTAAATGATACAGAACGTTTACCATTATTTTCATTTGAATCAAATGGTCCAGGTGTTTGTATTAAATTATTAGAAATAGCTAATAGTTTGGTTGATGCTATTAGTTTAAGTAAGAATTATGAAGGATTCCAATATTTATCTCAAGTATTTGCATTAATGTCTACTTTAAAAAATGATATAACTTTACCAATTCATTTATATAATAAGATTGAAAGTATATTAATCTCTCATTCTTTAAAGATGTCTAATATTGGTCAATTTAATCATCCTCCTATATTAAATTCTCAACCAGGTATTAAGATTCCAGAAGATACTTATATATTTGAACTCCCTGATGATTATATTACTACCGATGAATTACCAATATCATCTCATAATAAACCATTACGTACGAATACTAATTCTCCATTCTCGACTAATTTCAATTTGACATTTAGCGTACCTAGTCAAACCAATCTTTATGATATGGCTAATTCATCGCCTAAACCCATAGGTATATTTGATTTGATGAGTCCTCAGTCACAGGTGACAATGAAGACAAGTCCATTTGGAATGGACTCTGCTGGTACAGTGTATCCCAAATAGTGTAGAGTAGAATAGAGTAAAGTAAAGTAGACTAGATAGACTAGAATTAATAGAGGATGCATTTGTTATAATATGTATTGAAGTCCAATAACATGGACTTGTATATGACATAAGTAAGCTAATTATAGGAAAACATGATATGGAACAAGTCCTAATCATCATCATCAAGATCAGTCTCTAAATCACACATTGTACGACAATTAGGACAATAAAATTGAGGATAACTTTTAATAATAATAGGTCTAATACATTTATAATGCCAAGCATGAGAACAAGGACTTATGAATAAAGCTTGACATGGTTCAATCTTCATTAAACAAATAGCACATTCTGCTAAATCATTAACATTACCAGTAGTAGCAGCAGCAGCAGCAGCAGAAGTTAATTTACTATCACCACCACTACTATTAGTATTATCATCATCTCTAATTTGAAGATTCTTAAGTTTCTTATGAATTTCAAGATTAAATTGATTAACTTTCCGTTGCCAACTTTTATTGAATTCACATCTCATCTTTACACATCGATAAACTTCTTCAGTTCCACCTCTATAATCCATTCCTAATTGAATAATATCACCATCAATTAATGGCATTAAAGTAGATTCTTGAGATGCTGCTGATAATCGAATATGATTTAAAAATGTTCCCGAAGATGATTTACAATCTTTTAAAAACCATTGACCATCTTCATTACAATGAAATAATGCATGAGTTCTAGATACAACCTTACTTTTAAAAACTATTGGAGCTGAAGAACCTTGAGGAGCATGAGCTGCTGCTTTATTCTTTTCAGTATATCTACCAATTGAAATATCTGATTCAGGTTTAATTTTTCTTATTATAGGTGAAAAATATAATCCAGATGCTGATGATGAATGATCTATTAATGGAGTTAATCTAACTGAAAAAAATCCATCTTTATCCATTCCATTTAATTTTTCTTCTTCTAATATTGAAGGTTCAGGTGGTACTAAATTTATTGTACTTGTAGCTCCTTCAATTTGTTTTGTTGATTCATTTTCATTATCATTTTCATTATCTACTTCTTCTTCTTGATTTCCTTCATCTTCATCTTCATTTTCTTCAGTAATTTTATTAGTAATATTAGTTATATTTGATCCAGTAGTTAAAGGTTGTTCAGGGTTAATAATTGTAATATTATTTAAACTATCTTCATTATTAGTATTATTAGTATTATTATTATTATTATTATTACCATGAGGGTTAGAATTACCATTATTTTGATGTTCAAAATCACTACTAGTCGATGCAGAAGAACTTGAATTATTCTCAGCTCCTGGATTATTAGCATCTAAAGTATTTTGTCTACTTGGACGATGACGAGACAACCGAGGATTAACATGATTATGTTGGCGATGAGCATTTGCCATTGCTTCATCATATAAAGTGGTTGAAGCATAATTACTTAAGTTTGCAATGGTAGGACTATTTGACATAAAGATATTGCTAGCTTCTAAAGGTGATGGAGGCAGTTGAGTTGGTTGAGGATTTATTTGTGATGATTGCAGATTAGAAGATCTAATTGAACTAGTTAATGAATTCAATAAATTAAGACCGAATGATGGTCTTCTTATATTGGCTGGAGGTTGTATAGGACTACTTGTTCCACTATTATTTGAGCTTAGATTATTAATATTACTATTATATAAACTTGATGAAGAATCATTTGTTGGTTTAATGGCTGAAGGAGGCAATAAATCTTGATCTGGATTTTCTTCTTCAGGAACTGGAGATGAAGGCATACTTGGAGGAGAATTTAAAGGGGGAGGTGAATGATTTTTATTATCAGTAGATAACAATCTAAGGGTGGGGCTTACCATATCATTTGAAGATGTGGTTACTGAATCAGACATGGCTATGAAGGATGAATATGACTGACTTAATGATTTATGGGTTATTTATGGTTTATGACTTATGACTAATGACTATGGATATGATTTATGACTATGACTATGGGGAGGGGGGGGGACTCAACTCAGTATTGGTGGGATCGGAAATGTGTAATTACAAATGGTGAGATCCCCGTACACGATACTGAGAAAGAAGAAAAGTTGTACAAGCTAAAGAACTGAACTGAACTTAACTGAGAACTTTACTGTGAACTGGACGTTTATGTACGAGTTCGGTAGTTATTTAGTGTCTAGAAAATAATTTGTCCTAATTAGTGATGGGGTTTATGTAATTGAGATTACGATCGTTTTGTCAATCACTCACTCCCCCGTCGCTACTGTGCTCAGCTCGCGAGATTTATTGCTGGCTATTTTAGGTTATGGTATGCGGTACAGATCTTTTGTTCGTGTATCTCTCTATCTCTAATCGTGTAATTACTGTTCGAGTGATCTCTACTGAATGCTTACGATATATATGGTGACTTTAATATGCCTATATACTACACTAGTCTAACTTATCCACCATAATATTAACGATATTTCTGATACAATCATTACCAGTAGTGAGCTGTAGTGACGACACTAATAAACAGTGATGAAACTAAAAAGAAACCAAACCAGCGCACGTACATGCAGGAACAAAACCTTATTGCAGCAGTCAATTTTGGCTGGTGATAATTTCCCTAAGGGTTCACATTATATATGTTTATTATTATTGTGACTTATATACTACTATCTAGTTAAGTAATCGAAGTAAAACTTGTTGTAATTGATCTCTTCCACGACTACTTTCCCATACTAGATGTCCACTATTTTCCGCAATAACCCATTCAAGAGTCTTGGTACTAATTGTAGATATTTCTCTTTGCCATTTCCCCCAATTTAATGAAGTTTTAATCATATAATCTGATGATACAATACTCATAGGAACATTCTTTAATTGTCCTTCACTACTTTTAAGCTCATTATATGATAATATTCCTGATGTTAATTGCTCTTGTAATCTAGCTCGTATATATTTTGATTGATATATCATATCAGATCCGAAAACTCGAGCTTTACTTGAATGTTTTACTGGATGCAAAAGCCAATGAAGATTAGATATTATGCCTAACGGTGATATAATTCCTTTAATCCATAATTTAAATCCAGTAAAATTATCCATTAATTCTAAATTTCCGTTAAATACTTGAGGAGATTCATTCTTACGATTTATCCCACTAAATGGAAACTTCTTAAGTAAATCTTCATGCCAACTATCAACTAATAAAATTGAATGGATTTTTTCTAAATGTCTACTAGCAAAAATTCGACTGTATAATCCTCCAATATCGAATCCAACTAATGTGAATGGACCCTCTATTCCTTCTTTATCTAATGCCTCTGATAAATATTCACTAATTATTCCTATAGAAACAGGTGATGGTGAACTCAGTGAAAATGCATATCCTGGTCTATCCCATACACAATATCTATCAATTTTATTTAAATGATATAGTTCTTCAATCCAATCTTGGAAAACTTCACTTGAAGTTAATTGACCTCCCTCAACCAATATAATAGGTTGTTCTTTTGTATTATGTACATCTCCATAACATGCCAAATGAATCTCAACTTGCTCATCATTAACTTTGATAAGCTTGCCCCATGGCTTCTCATGACTATCGAAAGCTTGTAACCATAATGTCAAACTTATATTCCAAATTAGTACTACCAATATAATTCGAAAAATACCCTTTATAAATATAATTAACATTTCTGTAAATGTCTTTCTCTTTTCTATTCTTCCAGTATAACGTACTTCTTGATATTCCTTACCTTGCTCGACCCAATAATTTACAATGGAATCCAATAATGCTGTTAACGAAGTCCACACCAAAACTCCTAATCCTATCCATCCATACAGTTTTCTCAAGCTTGTTATTATCACAACCACCAAAAAGTCAACACCCAATAAACCACAAGTTATATAACCTAGAATACGTTCAGTATAGACAGGAACTGCAAACCAAGAAAGACATAACCAATTGGATAATAAACACCAAAGAATCAAATCCAATTCAAAAAATGATTTACCATAATTTGTGACTCCAGGAATAGAAATAAAATCACTAATTATAAATAAAATTGCAGCAATTGCATTTATCCATACAAGTATTGAAATAACTAATCTTACCCTTTTAATATTAGATAAATTTAATGGAGATACTTGGGGATCATCAGGATCAAGATAATGATGAATTCCATGTTGTAATAATGGTTGATTTTCAAGATCAGCAGGTGCATCTTCAACCTCATCTTCTTCATCAATTGTACTTACTGGTGAAGGATTTTGAACAGTAAGTGAACTTGTATCATGATTAATATGAGTGAAAGATGACTTTTTACTTGAACTTGCTGAATTGACACTTGACATTATTAGTATAGTACAATATCAATTACTGATTTAAATCTCATTTACGCATAGATTTTATATATAAATCAATTATAATTAAGGTACATGACTTATTCTACATATAGTTGCTTATTGCTTCTTTGGGGTCATATTCCTGTATACTACCATTCACCAGTTATTGCTACTGCATTTTTGATATATGACACATCACGTGCAGAAGTAGTGGGTGGGTAGAGTCGGGTAGCTGGTTATATTTAAAGTATTTTAGTTCAACTATTAATATCAAATGATCATAAACAGGTTATATACAGAGTTTGTGGTTAAGTCAGTCCAATTATCTGGGGAATATCGAACGTGTTCAAAATCGCATTACGTCCCAAAGTGGTCTTGTGAGAAAATAAAATATCTTGAAAAATATGGCAGAACAAAACCTTATTTGATAAAGTGAGTGGGAGAAGTTAAGGTATATGTGTAAGTAGTTCTGGTCCGATTCCCGATCATTCGGGGCAGTGTAATGGTTACCGTAGCAAAATAGAATATATTCTATAATATAATAAGCAATATACAGTATCTAATAATATACAATTTAATATACTATATACAATATAATAAATATAGTACAATACAAATAGACATTGTCTATTAATAGCCTAACCATATAATGGTTTGTCACTGTATACAACCCATTATAGCTTGTTTAATAGTAATATGTCGATTATCAATTAGTTAGACATTAAATTACATAAATATGTAGAATAACGTAGCATATTGAATTAATCAATGAATCAACTAATCAATGAATGAATTTCTTTTCTTTTTCTCTTCTTTTCTCTTTCAGTTTACGTAATTAATTTCATCTAATAAAACTGTATATCTCCGCCCCGCCAATTTGACCATTAATTACACACATACATATATAATATTCTATATAATTTTTTTCAAACCAGTTGTCCTATATATTATTTTGGTGATACTTGTATTAAACGTGCACTTTTGATATGTGTAATTGCTACAATTCATAAAATAATAATATAATATAATATAATATAATATCTAATATATAAAATATTATATTATCGATCACACACTAACACACTCCCAATATCAACACTCTGGTCATTTTCATTTCTCTCTTTGGTTTACGACAACTCAATCAACATAATAGAATATAATAGAAGATACATATAACAAATAGAACATTAATACCATACCATACCATACTACAACCATACTACAACCAAATCATAGTCTCATAAATGCCATCACTATCGAAATACTGGGTATATCCAAGATTAAGACAAAAGGCTCTTATATTGGCAGCAGGATTGATATGGTTGATTTGTATAAATTTATGGCTATTTAACTATTTTTCAGTAAGTAGTTCGGGTCGAACAATTACGGGTAGTGATTCCGATTTCGAAGTCGACTATTCTTCATCAGACAAAGTCAAAGACAAAGATAACAATAAGGACAATCAAAAGAGTTCTTGGGCTACAGTTATTGATGTTGATAAAGTAACAGCTTTACAAGAAAGTTTAACTGTACAATTATATCTTAAAGAAATAGGAGTTCAAGATGTTCGTAACATTAAACCAGCCCAAGCATCAATATATGATCAAATATTTGAAAATCATGATATTAATTCAGTTCTTGGAGATCTTAATTTTAATGATAGATGTCAACTTTATTTTGCCAACTTGTATATAAAAAATAATAATTGGTTAATTGATCCAAATCAAAAATTACCTGCTGATAACTTACGAGAATTTGAATATAATGAATATAGGAATAAAAAGAAGGAAGATTTTAAGAAAGAATATATATCAGAAAACAATATGAAAGAAGAAGACTTTAAAGCAGATGATAAATTTGAAGCTTTTATTAAATTAAAGTATAATGAATTTTGGGATCGAACTCGAACAGTGGAACAGAAAGTTATGGATAATTTAAGTCATTTAAGAATATTTAATAAATGTTTTATTGAAATTCAAAATAAGGATGTTTATAGTTCAACTAATAATTTTGTTCAAAATCAAAATAAATTCATAAGTCATTTAACTCAAGTTGGGAAATCACCATCTCCACCATTTAGTTCAACTGAGTTTGAAGAGAAATATGCTAATTTAAATGTCATGAATAATTGTAAAAATTTGGAAAAGAGATTATTCCCTTGGTTATCATTTAATTATCCAGTATTTGAAAGATGGAATGGAGAAACCCTTATAGAATTACCAAAATTAGGTAAATCAACCACAAATTCTAATAATTTTCATCGTGATTGTTTCCTTAATGAATTCAAGAATAAAGCAAATGGTAAAGGAATTGTTTTATCTATTAATAATAATTTTGTAGATGATACTATTCATTTAATTCATCTTTTAAGAGCTTTAGATAATCAATTACCAATTCAGGTGGTTTATTATAAAGAAGTATCAAAAGAATCAAAGCAAAGAATTACTCGTGCAGCTCGTGAAGATTTTTTTACTTTACCTGAATCATTTCAAAAAGTTAAACATTTATTTCCAAAGGATTATCTTGTTAATGGTTTACCAAAGCAAGATATTTGGTTTGTGGATGTTTATACTGTCATTAATGATCAATATAGAGGTAAATTTAGTAGGTGGAGTAATAAATTCTTAGCTACACTTTTTAATTCATTTGAAGAATATATTTTAATTGATGCTGATACTGTATTTGTACAAAAACCAGAATCATTCTTTAATTTAAAGGGATATCGTGAAAAAGGTGCATTATTCTTTAGAGATCGTACAGCTATGGAATTTAGACCAATTTCTGATGGATATTTTGTTAAGAAAGTTAGTCCATCACCCATTGATCATGTATTATTTAATATTCCAATGATTACTAATAAAACCACTTCTTATCCATTTTTCGATGGATTATCTCATTTAATGGAATCTGGACTTGTGGTAATTGATCGTAATAAACATTTTGGATCTACTTTATTACTTCCACAATTAAATTTTATGGACCCTACTAGAGCTAGAGTATGGGGGGATAAAGAATTATTTTGGATGGCATTTGTATTTAATGGAGATGAAAATTTCCATTTTAATGAAGCAGCAGCAGCAGCCATTGGAACTTTATCACCTGATAAAGTAAAAGATGATGGTACATTACAACAATCTAAAGAAATTTGTAGTTCACATCCTGGTCATATTAGTGGTGAAGATTTGAAGACATTACTTTGGTTTAATTCTGGTTTTCAACAATGTGGGAAAGCTGATTCTATGAATTATAAAGATGAACTTAAAAAGAATGATCGACATTTAGCTGCGTTTAAAACAATTGAGGAATTAAGAGATTATTATTCAAATCCATTGGATATAACTCATGCAATTATTCCACCATTTGAAGATAAATATCGTATGAATGCTCCTAATGATCAACAAGAACCTCGAAATGCTTGGAATAAACTTTCCCTCTGTAAAGGTTATAGTTGGTGTGCTCATGATTTTATTGGGGGTACTCGGAAGAATAAAAATACTTTACAAAGGGGTACTCTTATTGAGTATAGTGAAGAAGAGAGAAGTCTCTTTAAATTCTATGGTGATATTTGGGGTGGTCTTGAATAATTATTCTGTATTATAATCAGGTTACTTATATATAGAGAGGACTCTCGTAACGGTTTATTATTGAAAATACAAAGTCATTTCATAATATTTCATAAATATTTCTATATCTCTATTTATTTACCTTTGATTCTTTCGTAAGCTTGTTTAGCCTTATCATCACTGAAGTCTATATCAATATCATCATCACTATCATTAGAATCTTCATCTTCATCATCAAGTTTAATTCGATTATTCTTATGTCTCTTAGGGGATAATATAAAGGAATTCTTGTTTGGTTTCTTTGGTGGTTCGAATTTATTATTCTTATTCAGTTTATAATCATTCAATTCCTTCATATTCTTCTTCCATTTCTCAAATTTAGCTCGTTTATCTTCAGCAGAAATTTCAAGACTTCTTTCCTTCGACATACTTAAACTAATCTTCTTTAATTCTTGTAAACGATTAATCTCTTGTTTCCTTCTTGTAGGACTCTTTAATAATGATGATTCAGAAAAGGTTGGATCATATCCAATATCATGAATCATTGTATGAGAAAATGCCAATTCTTTTTGTTTCTCTTTAATGGTTCGATTAGCTTCTTCAACTTGTTTATTGGTCTTTTTGAATAAATTTAAATCGGAAAGTTGAGAACTACCTCCTCCTAATTTTAATAGTTTCTTTTCTAATACTTTATTAGCTTTATCATCTTCAAATTTTCTCTTTTTATTCTTTAATTCCAATATCTTTGGATCATAATATTTAGACTTATCAAGTTTACCAACTTCTGTTTTATATAATGGATTTGAATCCACAATAAAACTTGTATTCTGACCCATATAAAAGGTTTGTTTAACCTTTTGAGGAGATCTCATTTGTGCAGTTCCATTTAATTCCATTCTACGACTCAGACTCTTTTTAAATTTAGAACTATCTTGAGCATCACGATGATAATCACATAATTCATCTTTACTGGTATCAATGGCTGTTTTACATCCTAAAGCTTTACAATGACCAAAATCTTGAACATGGCCTACTTCTAAAATACTGGCTATTGAAGTATCATCTAATTTTAACATAAATCCAAGTCTTGAATTCTCAGCTCGAGTTATTTGAGGATTTAAAATATATACTAAACTACCTTCTCTTAACTTCCAATATTCTTCAAATGATTTCCCAAATAAATATACATCAACAAATTGTCGATAATCTCCTACTGATAATCGAATATATTTAGATCCTTTCTTTTTAAGATTAGTTTCTGATGGTTTAGTAATTAATGTATCTGATTTATTTAATACTATTCCCATAAAACACCAATTATTATAACTAGGTTCAGCATATTTATTCTCAGGATTTACTTTAGCAAATAATTTAGGTCCCTTAAGGAATTTAATTTGAGGATCAGTTTTCTTTATTGTACGCTTTAAAGTTTCAAAAGTTATATAACGTTTTCTTAATTTATATCCTGACACTTCATCCTTTTCATTAACATTTAAATCGACTCTATCTATAGCTGCATAGTCATCATATGAGAATTTCCGTTCGGAATAATCTACTTTCATAGCATCTCGAGCTCGTAATTGATAGTTCATATCGGTAAGTTTTTCAGCAAACTTAGATGCTTGTACTACTGGTCTTTTCGCTATTTCAACTTCATAATCTTTATGATTTGTCATTGACAATTGTTTGGTAACTCTGGCAGGTTTCTTAGGAGTCCCTGGTGGTGTTACACCAACTTCCACTTTCCGTACTGGTGGAGCAGATGGAGGTGGTGGAGGTGGAGTATCATTAAATAATTTTGCATTCTTCTTATCACTTCTGCGTCTGGCTTCATACTGCTCTTTGATTTGTTGGGCTTTCAATTCAAATTCCTTCTGAAGATCCAACAACGCATCTGCCTCTTCGTCGCCCGTTAACTCCTCATCGGAATCTACTGGGTCTCCGTAGCGAGGGTCCTCCATGGTTCACTAATTTAATAATTTAAAAATTTAATGGAATGGTACATACCCACAAATAAATTTCGCAACGCGTTTGTTTAGGCCGATTGAAAAAAATCTCCAGTAGAGTCGGTAGCAAATAGGCTAGCGATTTATATTATTTACCGAAGGTGTCCCTAACCGATTCATTTGCTCACTAAATTTACGCTACACTCTCACTAAATCTTCGCTACACTTTCACTAAATCTTCACTACGCTTCACTACACTTTACACTTCACTATACTTTACACTTCAATACACTTCACCACACTTCACTATGGCTAGAGGTAGAAGTAAATCGATAGTACAAAAGATTGCTGCCGATGTCCCTTATTATAATGAAGACAATCTTAATTTAGGAGATCGAGTTCATCCTGTGTCGGGAATAGCCAGCACATACAAATTAACTAAATCAAAATCATTAACTGATATAACCATCACTACCAATAAATTATTATCAATTACTAATGATATAGATTATCCATTAACCACCAAACAATCAGATCAATTATGGTCTGAATATATTCAAACTTATAATTTTGATTGTTTATTAAATTTTCAAGATATAAGTTCAATTAATGATATGCATATTGATAATATCCTTAATTTTCAAAATAATTGTCTTATAAATCAACAACAAATTGAATCATTTATAGATGAAAGTGATGGAATATTAAATCAAATTCATTTATTATTAAAAAAATATGATCAAATCTCTAATGAAACCCTTGATTTTGATCGAGAATCAAGTGAATTATTAAATTTACAAACATCATATCAACATAAATATGATCAAATTGAAAATTATTTAAAACATTTTGAAAATTTAGATAATATAACTAGAAATCTTTCAAAATCAGGTAATCATTTAATTAATCAAAGACGAGATTATTTTTTAAATACTATATTAAAAGAATTAGATTCATCAATTGAATTTATTAATTTACATCCTCAATTTAAAAATATAGATTTATATGATAATAGATTTAAACAATGTCTTACAAGAGGTTTAACATTAATTAAAAATTATTTAAATACTGAATTAAAAGATATTTATGATGGATTAAATAAAAAATTATATGATGAATCTAAAAATGTTTCAATTGATATTTTAATATTTAATGAATTTTCAGAATATTTAAAGTATAATGGAAATAATTTTAAAGAATTATTTAATCAAATTTTAATAAGAATTCATAATAATAAAGAATATGAAGGTTTATTAGGAGATATATTAAATAATTATTTTAAAATAAGATTAAATTTATTAAGACAATATATTCCTCCTAATTTAATTATTAAAAAGACTCATGATAATTTAGTACAAATATGTCAAGATCAAATTTCTTTCTTTAAAAAGATAATTGAACGAGAATTTTCTTTATTAAAAAAATTCTTTATTGTTAATAATATTCCTTCAATTATAAATGATTATTTTTATCAACATTTAAAGAATGTTCTAGAACCATTATATGATAGTTTAAGACAATTAATTCTTCGAGAATTTAATATTTCAAAATTATGTCAATTAACAACTTTATTACAAAAGTATTATGAATTCGAAGATGATTCTGAAAGTATTCAAGATAATAGTTCATTATCAGGTTTACCAATTATTAATTATGGAGAATTATTTCAACCTATTTTAGATGATGTTCAACAAAGATTAATATTTAGAACTCAAATTTATGTTGATGATAAATTAGTTAAATATAAACCTAAACCTGAAGATTTAAGAGTTGGTAATAGAAAGAAAAGTTCTAAACTTCAAGATTCTACTACTACAAATGAAATAAATCAAATTGAAACAGATTATCCGGATAATTTATTTCCTAATGTTTATTTACCATTAGCTAAAGCTTTAACATTATTATCTAGTATTTATGAATTAATTAATTCAGTTGTATTTGATGATTTAGCTCATTATATTGTTCATGCATGTATATTTTTATTAAAGGGAGAATTCTATAAATTATCAATAACTTATTTAGGTCCAATTGATGCTCAATTAGAATATATTAAAAATTTAATTATATTAAAAACTCAAATTAATAATTTTGATATTCAATATACTAGAAATGATTATTCAATTGATTTTACAGGAGGATTTAGTGATATTTGGAAAATGGTAAGAGCTAAATCTTTTGATCGTAATACTTTATTAGAAGTTGCTTATAAAAGTGTACCAAAAGTTGTTAATAATATGATTGATGCTAATTATGAAATTGAATTAGAATTAAATAATGCTGTAACTAAATTTATTGAAACTTGTGGTGATGATATTTGTGAACCAATATCTTCACTGAAAATTACTAAAGATGAAATATTAAAGGAACCTAAACAAGTAAGTTCTAAACTCAAAGATAATTTATTACTTAAAATTCCTCAATTATACAAACAAATTAAAATTTATATTGATAATCCAAGTATTATTGAATATTTAATGAATAATTTAACTAATTTAATTGTACTAACTTATGAAAATAACTTTTATAAAGTTATTCAAGAAGGTATATCTCAAATTGAACAAAAGAGTCAAGTTGAAGATATCATGGAAATTGATACTGTATTTGGATTTATTAATGATTTAGTTACTAATCTATATGATACTGATGATCTTAACAATACCAACGCCAGTCAAATCAACTTCAATGAAGATATCTTAAATGATCTCGACATTAATGATGATAGAGTCAGTACAAATCTGTCTCCTGGAGCATTAGATCCTATCAGTGCGGTGCCTCAAGCACAAAATGATCAGCCTGTTGTTGAACAAAGCTAGTTAGTTAGTTATTTATTTCTATAGAATGTACAGGGTATTGATTAACAATTAAGTATATAACTATCAATAGATATATTGTCTTGAGCACAGAAACTCATTGCCAAAAGAAGCTTATTAATTCCGCAAGTATTCCTACCAGTAAAGAACCACTCAAAGTAGCTATCCCATATGCTATATAACAATGTCTTTCATTTGGAACATATCCCAATTCTGCTAATACGGGTTGAATTCCACATGTTTCAAAATTGGTACCAAATATACCTTTAATAACAAAACCAAAGAATCCAATAATATATCCTTTCCAAAGTGGAGTCAACTGTATAGGAAATAAATAATTATTACATAGAAGAATTCCAAATATAGTACTTGCTATAATTATCGCTAAAATGATGAATTTCAGCTTGAGTCTTCTACCATCTTCTATAGACATTCTTTAAAGTTTGATTTGCAGCCTATTCTCAGTTACTGCTGGAGTACTAAACTGGTGAAAATAAATGAATAAATGAACGACTAGAAGAATATGAAGTAGACTCTGTTCTATGTTCTATGTTCTCTGTTCTCTGTTACCATAACTCCGGTCAGATATTTAGACTCAACAACTAACGTACAAAGAACTTTGAACGGAGGTACGCTGCACCACCAACGCACTCAGTAACCTTAAATTGCGCTGAAAAAGACGCATTTTTCTCAAGCGCATTCTCTATTGAATAAAGAGACTGATACATCATTTTACAAATAATTAATTGCTGTATGGTGGAATCCTCGGCTGGTTAGTCGATTAGATATACTAAAGCTCCAGAAATATATAAATATATAAATATATAAATAGTGGATAAATTAGATTTCTATTGAATAGATCCAATTAAGTTTATGTCAGGGTACACTAGTCATCAACTCTTCCATTTGCATTCCAATATGTTCTACCAATAATAATTGAAGCAACCTTCATCCGCATCTTTTCCAATGTCAAATATACTTCAGACTGAACTGCAAATCATTATATGTCTGTGCATAGTTCAGTTTGTTTGTATAATGTCTGAGAAACTACCTAAGGATTCTACAGAACTCTATTATTGTTACCTCATTCATATCATAAGAGTATGAAACTCATTGAATATGATCAGTCACCATATAATAATTAGCTAAATTGAATATGACATTGGCTCTGCCACCTTAAGTTTCCGTAGTGATTCAGATACACCACTTCCTCTAAATAGTGATTATTTCTCATAAATTAGAATTAAAATGTATACTTCTATCTCACTACCTTATTCTTCATCAAATGGATTGTAGATATTTTTCGATAATAACTTATTCAACTCTTGCTTGACGATATCTACTTTGTCTGACTTAACCAATAAATGTGTATCATCCAATTCGTCAATAACAATACCTGGCCTTTCATCATTGATTTGTAATATCAAAGCCCGGATCGAAGGATCACACTGAACCAATATACACTTTGAAGCGGTTAACATGGCCGTATACTAGCAAGTAATACAAGTAGAAATGAAATAAAAGTCAATTGAATAATTTTGTTAGTGATATTGGAAGGTGCAGGAAAAAAAAGTAGAAAAACGGACTGCATACAGAGGCCCCAAATATCAAACTAGTGCTACTTTACCCAATAGACTAGTAGTTAAGCTTATCTTAAATAAGCAGTAAACTATCTGGTGAGATGGAAGCGGAATTAGATGAGACTCTGGTGGAGGAGGACAGACCAATTGATATAAATAATGGTACTGGAAATGACATTGTAGCCGAGACGGAAGAGACAACCGCTAAAGAAGAAGTGCAAACACAAGACGAGGCACAAGACGAACCACAAGACGAGGCACAAGACGAACCAGAAGACCAACCACAAGACGAACCACAAGACGAACCACAAGACGAAATGGAGAATAGTGGTACCGAAAACGACAGTAGTGAAGATGAAGAAGATGAAGAAGATGAACCTCCTACACTCAAATATACCCGATTAAACCAACTTCCAGCCAATTTCTTTAATAAAGATCCTATATCAACGAGTACATTTCATGAATCATATTTTATATTTGCAACTCATTCAGGTATAATTCATATATGTCGACCAGATTTTAAACCAGTAAGAACATTTAAAGGTCATAGAGCTTCAGTATTATCTATATATACTGATGGGATATTTTTTGCAACTGGATCAATGGATGGTACAGTTGTAATTGGCTCAATACTTGATGAAAAGGATATAATTGCCTATGATTTTCAAAGACCCGTTCATGGAGTTGTACTTGATAAGAATTATTATAAGACAAGAAGTTTTATTAGTGGAGGAATGAGTGGGAAAGTAATTTATTCAAGTAAAGGATGGTTAGGTAAGAGAACTGATGTCATATTACAAGAAGATCATGGACCAATTGTTGGTATTTATCTTATTGATGATATTGTACTTTGGATGAATGATAATGGAATAACTGTATTTCATTTAACTGCCCGTCAAACTATATCAATTATAGAAAAACCTGAAGATTCTCCTCGTAGTGATTTATATTGGCCAAGAGTTACTTATCCTGAAGTTGATCGAGTAATAATTGCTTGGGGTAATTATATTTGGTCTTTAAGAGTATCACTTAAAGGTAATGATGAAAAAGATGCAGTTACACCTAATGGTTCAACTATGGGAAGAATATTACCATCGACTGCTAGTATATCATTTCGAGCTATTCAAGAAAAGAAAGTTGAAGTAGAACATATATTTAAATTAGATTATTTAATTAGTGGAATATCAAGTTTTAAAGATGATTTATGGATGGTTTTAAGTTATGAACCACCAACAATTGAAGATAATAAGAGAATATTTCATAATCCAGAATTAAAATTAATTAATTCATCTACAGGAGAAACTACTTTTGAAGAAGAATTAGGATTAAAAAATATTAATAATCTTGGATTAAATGATTATAGTTTAGGATATCATATTGCCACCAATCCTAAATATTATATTATAAGTGCTAAAGATGCAGTTATAGCTGAAGAATTACAAATGAGTGATCGTTTAAAATGGTATATTGATAAAGAGAAATATTATGAAGCATGGAATATTAGTGAACATTTAGTGTCGCCTATTAAACGATTAAATTATGGAATTCAATATGTTGATAATTTAATTCAAACTAATGAATGGGAATCGGCAATTACTTTCTTATCTCAATTACTTTATCTTGATGATAATAAATTACCTGATGGTGATACAAGGAGTACAACTATTACAAGTCGTACTTCAAGTAGTCAAGAAGAAAGAGATACTTTTATTAAGGAAATAGTAAATCAATGGCAAATATGGTCAGGGATATATATCAAGTCAGGTCATATACCTGAGATTACAGATAAACTTCCAACTTCAACCAAATTGAGTTTATCACGAGATATTTATAATAATATCTTAGAATATTGGGTAGAAACCAATCCAGAAAAATTTAATGAGTTAATTCTGAAATGGGATATTGATCTCTATGATCATTTAACCATTGAATCAGAACTTGAACAAATATTAAACTATAAACAAAATGATCAAGGGTTAAGACAAAGTTTAACTCATCTTTATACTAAATCTTATCAACCTATTAAAGCAGTACCACATTTAATTATATTAAGAGATGAAAATATAATTCAATTTTTATCAGATAATCATATTTTAGTTAACTTTTTATCTGATTTACCTAGTATTGTTAAACTCCGATTCAAAGATGAAGATGAAATTAATAGATTGCCTATCAATAGATTACAAGAATCATTGAATGATATCATTGATATACTTGTTAATTATCGACATGAAATCAGTCCTCCAACAATAGTTAACTTATTTCAACAAGCTCACTTAAATTTTATGAATTACTTCTATCTTGAGAAATTAAATCTAATTGATGATTTCTTAGTTGAAACATTTGGAAATGAACGAATTAAATTATATTCTCAATATAATCGATCATTATTATTACCATTCTTAATGAAGAGTGGAACGAGTGGTAATGCCAATAATTCATATGATATTTCTCAAGCCATTGAATTATGTGAAGAAAATGAATTCACTGAAGAATTGGTTTATTTATTAGGACGAATTGGAGAGAATAATCGAGCATTAATGTTAATTATTGATAAATTGGAAGATCCTGTTAAAGCAATTGAATTCACTAAGAGTCAAAATGATCATGAGTTATGGAATCTGTTATTAGATAATTCAATGAGTCGTCCAAGTTTTATCAAAGCATTAATTGAAAATTCTGATGATAATACTAATATTTATTATGATCCTATAACAATTCTTAAAAGAATGCCAGCAGATATTGAAATCTCCGGATTGAATAAATCAATTATTAAATTCTCAAATAATAATGATTTGAATTTATTATTAAATCAATTAATTTTAAAGTTATTCTATAAACAAGCAGAACAGGCTTCAGTAGAGTTTCGATCACAAGCACTTAAAGGATGGGAAGTTGAAGTGAAAAATTTACAAGATTTGATTTCAGCATTTGAAACTATTCTAATATTTAAGAATAGTTCCAATTCTACCATTGAATATAAGTTAGCTGATGGAAATGACCAGCACAAATATCATAATGTGGTATTCAGCAATTTAGAAAAAAAATTGGCTCATTTGAGGGAATTGCAAATAGCTTCAGAACCATGAACAAGAACAAGAAAATGAATGTGAATAAAAATATTCGTATAAAACTGATTTAGTATATAATTACGTGTACGATATATGCGCCTATAGATAATGAAACGTTTAATGTAAAAAAGTTAAGAGGGGACAGTTAAAAAAAATCATTTGCAGCTAAAGTGATTATTATTTGTTGAGAATGGGAACTTACTTAATAGCTGCAAAATCTGATCATACATTTACATGTGAGAAGTAGACATGGTCAGATTAAGCAAATCCAACAATACACTTTGGGATATCGTATTACCACCTGAACGATAACGAGATGGGATCGACTTATCTCATCGTCACAAGAACTTTAAAAACACTAAGTGGGGCTCTCTATTTGTATAATGTGGTATATGGCGGGGAATAACTACGAGCACTTTTCTTTTACACACAAACACCGGAGTTACTCCATTATCTCTCTCGTCATATTCAGTTAGTTAGTTCACTCCGGAGTACGATAGTATAGAAAATAAAAATAATTATAATTATAATAATAATAATAAAAATAGCAGTAACAATAGAAGCCGTTATGGACACAGCTATTACGTATAACAATGGGTTTCATATTTGCTATGAAAATAAGAGATATTCATGTGGTTTTGGAGGATCTTTAACGTAAGCCTGTTCATATTATAATTAATTTATTTCTATTGATTAATTTGATTAATTACATGTGCATTGACTACACCTGTACTAATAATTATAAATCTAGGAGACACTACTGATTACTGAGGACTAACATGTTACTGTTACTATTTAGTCAGTCTCATGGTGGGGGAGGGGCACCACACCTGAAATTCGCGAAAGATCAACTCATCTCTGCGAGAAAAGTTAGGTGGGGAAGGCTTATAAAAAAAGAATATGTCAATTCTATTATTATGGGGTAGGGAAATTTATTAGTGTATTGCCTGATTATTCTATTATATCACTTGATTAGTATTCCAATTGAATGTGATTAATTAACTATCGAATTGAACTGCCGCCCTTAGAATAGGATCATATGGGATATTGATCCGTCCTACCCTGTCTCTACATATTTCTTAGATACATTAACTAACTAAGAGGCCTTAAGTCCGCAGTATGGTCGCTTTGGTTAAATTAAGGGGTACGGTTATAGAATCAATCTATGTCAAGTAAAATTAGTCGTATAGTAATTTAAGGCGAATTAACAAACCAAAATGTATAATAATATTGAACGAAAAGTCCGTTATTAATTGTTGATGTCCGCTACTCACAGGTATCCAGAAGTTATCCGTTCTTTATCCCAATCATGTGAATTTCATTTAGTTTAAGATTTTGTTTTAATATATATGAATGAGGGGATGATTTTCCAGAAGATCTAGCACAACAATGATTTAGTAATTCCAATCCTGGCTCAGTAAATTGTGCTTATCCATACTAGCAAACAGACAAAGCAATTCAACAAGCTGAAAAACGCATGTGAAAAGGAATATTGCAGGAACCCTTAGCGAACATCAAATAATTACAATGCATTATGTACAGGAAACTCCGGTGAACATGGGGAAACCTGCATTCAACAACCGCATCATTGGACCTAGCCCAACTCAACCAAACATACATTCCATGTAATAGCAGGTCATTGTTGCTATAGCACGTTCAAATGGCAGTAGTAGTAACAGCAGTTTTTTTATTTAACTTTTTTTTGTTTTATTTTTAATATACATTTATTTTTTAATTTTAGGAGTTCTATTTCTGCGGAGTATTTCATTTTCTAGGTATGCATTACTCTCTAATCGATCTACAAAGCAGATGTGCTATTAATTACTTTCTTATCCTATACTGTATTTGTTCTATAGTTCATAGGTTGTGAATTATATATCATAATTAAGGGGGATACAACATTTTGGCCAGTAGTATGTCCCTAAAAAAAATAGAATTATAAAATATTATACAGAGCTGTGAATTTCCTGTTTGGGTAATTTTTGCTTCTGATTTTTTTTGAATTACCACTTTGTGTAAACTGCGAATTTTGTCACAAATCTCCACCTCCAAATACCCTTTAAATACATCCATATTATCCATCAATTATTGTAATTTCTATACCATGTTAGTTATCTAATTATAATTGTATATTTTTACCTATAACATTAGTTGTTTTTTAATTCATTTAGCTAACTACATTTTATACAAATAATTAAATCTCATCATGGCTATAAGTTCTGCTATTGAGACAGTTGTCCCATATTTAACAAAATGGTATAGTATCTTAGTGGGAGCAATACTCGTTTATTTCGTTACAAACTATATCAAACAAGAAATATTTAAAAGAAAACATGGTTGTGTTGAAGGACCAATTTTACAAGATACTGGTATCTTCTGTATTCCACTTTTATTAAAATTATTAAAAGTTAAAAGAGAAGGAGGTTTAGGTGAAATGACTTACCATTTTTTCAGTATTATGCCCCAATCTTTTGTTATTAGATTGATAGGTGTTAGAATTATAATGACATGTGATCCAGAGAATATTAAAGCTGTTTTGGCTACTCAATTTAATGATTTTGCCCTTGGTAATAGACATGAACATTTTAAACCAGTCTTGGGTGATGGTATTTTCACATTAGACGGTGAAGGATGGAAACATTCAAGAGCAATGCTTAGACCACAATTTGCTAGAGATCAAGTTGCTCATGTTCAAGCTTTAGAACCACACATGCAAGTTTTCTTTAAACATGTTCAAAATAATAAAGGTAAAACATTTGATCTTCAAAAATTGTTTTTTGAATTTACTGTTGATACTGCTAGTGAATTTTTATTTGGTGAATCGGTCCACTCATTATATGACGAATCTGTTGGATTAAAGACTCCAAATCATATTGATGGTTTGGCTGAATTTCCTCATGCTTTTAATACTGTTCAACATTATTTAGCTTCAAGATCGTGGTCTCAATTTATGTATTGGGTTATTAATCCAAGTGAATTCAGAAAAGTTACCAAAATTGTGCATAAAGTTGCCAAATATTACGTTGATAGAGCTTTGAGTTTAACTCCAGAAGAATTGGAAGAAAAATCCAAAAGCGGTTACGTCTTCCTTTATGAATTAGCTAAGCATACTAGAGACAGAAAAGTTCTTCAGGATCAATTATTAAACATTTTAGTAGCTGGTAGAGATACTACTGCTGGTTTATTATCCTTTACTTTCTATGAATTGGCTAGAAATCCAGATGTATTTGAAAAATTGAAGGCTGAAATTAATGAAACTTTTGGTTCTGGTTCTAATGTTGATCTTTCCCTTATTACCTTTGAATCCTTAAAGAAATGTGAATACTTGAAATGTGTCTTGAATGAAGTCTTAAGACTTTATCCATCTGTCCCAATTAACTTTAGAGTTGCTACTAGAGATACTGTGTTACCAAGAGGTGGTGGTCAAGATAATAACTCACCTTTATTTGTTGGAAAGGGTTCTACTGTTGCCTACTCTGCTTATGTTACCCATAGACTTGAAGAATATTATGGTAAGGATTCATTAGTATTCAGACCTGAAAGATGGCTTGAATCTCAAAAATTAGGTTGGGCTTATGTTCCATTTAATGGTGGTCCAAGAATTTGTTTAGGTCAACAATTTGCCTTGACAGAAGCTTCATATGTTGTTACTAGATTAATTCAACAATTCCCTAACTTGGTATCTAAAGATAGTGGTCCATATCCACCAAGAAAGATGATGCATTTAACTATGTGTCATAATGAAGGTGTCTTTGTCCAAATGGATTAAGATCTGTAAGATATAAAGCTAATAAAGTTTTTGATAATGACGAAATGAAATGAAAAAATCATGAATATCTCCTAATATTAAGTATACTTCGCCATTCTATTATTTTAATCTTTTTATTATATTTATTTATGCAACACGTTATACTAAATTATATTATATAATATTATATATATACTCATTTATTAAAGTATTTCCTTTGGTTTATTGCGAATTTATGGTAATATAGTTATTTATTCAGTTGAAAGAATTTTTGAGAATGTAGTCTTTTTTTACAGCCAAATGTACCCGCCCAGTTGCAAAATTCTTCTCTAATAGATGCCATTAGAGCAGGCATTATGCAAACACAGCCCATAACAATTGTTTCTAGTGTATCAAATGTCATTTTCTCATCTCAACTCCAACTCCAATTCCAATGTGGTTCCGCTGATTTCTCCTTCTGATGTTTTACATACTGCTTATGATTTCAATACTTTGTTCAATTCGCAACATTATACTGATAACAACTGTGGAAACACTAATAAGCCATCTGATATTGATTCTAATCTTGCCAACAAGAAGAAGAAAAGAATAAGGGCCAATACTTTATTACGTACTCTTCGAATTAAATGGTTAACTTCAAGTCTGCTCTTCCCAAAAGGTGATGCTAGCACCCACGCTCATCTAAATAGAACTGGCTCTAGAACTGAAGAGGAAATACAAGCAGATAACATTGTCAATGATATTTATGATACTCATTTATTTCTTGATTTGAAGTTTGATAGTCTTACTGAACTTGACCAATCCAAAGGAGACTCTCAACCAGAGTTACAAGAACTTGATCAACCTGAAATGGAAATGGTAAATAATGAAATACCAACAGAAGATGATAATAGTAATGAGAATTCTTCAGAATCCAAATCATTTGATTCTAAGACTAAGAGTAATGAAATCTTTCATACTTCTAAGCTTGATTTAATATCAAATACAACTGTTGGAAGTAGTAATTCCAAGAAATCAAAAAGCTATGAATTAAATTTGAGTTCATTGTTCCCTCCATCTCCTACTATTATCAAAAAATCATTTAATAAATTAAGTCTGTCTAGACCAATAATTAATGAAAATGATACTATGATTGAAAATCATCAATATTCCAGTCTTAAATCTTTTAGATGGTGGAAAAGTGATCCTAATTCTGTTACTCCAAAAAGAATTGTTCCTGATTTATCTCGTCATCCACATGTCATTAAACGTAATAGTAATGTTTATTCCTTAGAAGAATTTGCTCTTGATAATAGTGATGAGAGAATTGCTCAAGCTATTATTAAGCAAAGAAAGGTGTACAAAGAATAATACTAATCAATATATATAGTTATATCATATACATATATATGTAAATATTATAAATCAATTAACTAGAAAATGGATTCAATCTATTGAATAAACTACCTGTTGCTCTGGAAAAGATATCAGTTGCTAAATTATTTGCTTTACCAAATTTATCACATTTAGTATAAGCTAATCCATTAGTTAAAGATAATGAGAAGGAAATTACAATTAATAATAAATATAAGAATTGAAATTTCAAAATTGCTAAGATTCCTAATATAGCCCAAGCTATAGGAACCGCATATAATAATGCCCAAAATACTCTTGAATCAATTGGATTAATATAACGATTAGGATCAGCACTTTCAAATACCCAAACATTTTCAAATTCATCAGGTTTACCTTGAATTGGATTAGTTTCATTCCACCATCTTAACCCCACTAATAATCTACCTGAAATATTCTTTAAATTCCAAAAATCAGCTGCCACTAATAATATAATTGTTATGAAATGTAATATAAATCGATTCTTTTGAGTAATTATTCCTAAGAATAAATTACCAAATATATAAATAAAGATAGGTGATAATCTAAAGAATATAAAGAAAAGTAATGCAATTGGATGAGATGATTCTTTTAATCTTTCAATCCAAGTTGTTGGACCTTGACTTCCTTGTCCATTATTAATGTTTGAATTAGGTGCGACTTGTTCAACACCAGGAGCAGTATATGGTTGTTGTTGAATATTAGAATATGATGATGGATTATAAGTATTAGAATTAGAATTAGTATTGGTGGGACTGTCTGCAGGTATATCAGCCTCAATTGAAGTATATCCACTACTCATTATTATATATTTAAACTACTTTATAAATAGCATAGGTTAGAGTTCGGACTCTGACTCAAACTTACACTATCAAAACTATGGACTTTGAAAATACATAGTGCTCGCTCCCCAGCCCAGTGCGACATACAAAGAAAAAATATGAACCCACTAATAATAAACCATCAGTACTAACATACACTATTCACTATTCATCATCACCATATAATGTACGGAACTTATTATAGAAAGTTTATTGGGGGCATAACGAGAACTCAACTAGAGACTGCCAAAGTATGTAAACTATAATTATTATAATAACTATTATTATTATATATTATGAATGTTATGAATGTTATGAATGTTATACTAACGTCAATTTATAGTTTGGATTCTATTTATTAACACCAATATGTGTTATGTATTATGTCGGTATAGATACTGATAATAAGTTTAATTTACCGGGATTCTGGCCTGATCCAGCCACTTTGAATCAAATCCCTAAAGAACCGTATGAAATTCAAGCTGAAGTGGCTAGAATAAGAAGAGCTAGAGCTGAAAAGAGAAAGAGATTGGAAGAAAGGGCTAGAGCCTTAGGTATAACTGAAGATGATGATGATGAAACTTCATCATAAATGACTTCCTATCACCCCATCTTGTATATATAACGATCAATAAGTAAATAATCAAAATAAACGAATTGAATTTAAATTAAATTAATTACTTAATTAATTAATATATCTATTACTTTTATGTACCTATAAACTACATTAACTCTGAGAAGTTTGATTACTTTGATTTAAATCAATCCGAGACTGTAATTCTTTTAAATTCATATTTAGTTCATTAATGGTGGCAGGTGAAAGTTTAACAGTATCTGAAACAGATGATAATGCCAAAACATTTTTCAATACCTTCATAACTTCAAAATCATTAATGGATTTTGGTAAGGTATTGGGAGAAGTTGTTAATCCATTTCCACTTGATGTTGTCATGGATGTAAGCTCACTAAATGTTCTTGCTGGAGATTGTCTCAAAGACATTCCTGGATAAGAACTTCTCAATGGATTAGATATCAGGGAAATTAATGGACCTTGAGATGAACTAAGTTGAATATTACTTAACATTGGTGAAGGACTTCCTGAAACAATAGGGAAATTAGGCCCAGTAGGATATGCTAATGACCTTCTTTTATCTGAACCCCAATTTATACCAGGATCATCTAATTTATGTTTAACTTGTTGATTTACATTTGCCATCATTTGTGAACTGGTTGATGGCGATGGTAAACTCATAGGACTCATTCCAAATTTATTTAAATTTGGTAAATTAGGTGACATATCATTAGATGCTTTATTAGATATAGTACTGTCAATTAAATTAATACCAGTAGAATCTACTAATGATGGAGCTTCTCTTTCAGTTACTCCTATTAAAGTATTTAAAGCTCTATTTGAATTACCTGTAGTATTAGGACTAGTCATATCTACATATGGTATATCCATTTGAACTTGATTTACAGGACCTCCTTGACCTTGTCTATTTGGAGATTGTTGGATTTTAGTTCCTGATCCGAGTGTTTCACCGAGTAAAGATCCGGGACTATCAGCATATAATTTTGTTCCAAATACAGATGTATCATTAGCTGATTGATACCATTGATCATCATTAACTAATGAACTAACATCATTAGTTGTAGTTCCTGGAGTTGGCATATTATCTTCATCCTCACTAGAATCATAGTTCTCCAGAAGACAACTACCTATAATTTCTTCAATTGATACATAACTAAGAGTAACTTTTCCCATTTCATTTACTAACCCTAATAATTCATCAATTTCCCATGGTATAACTACATTTAAATAACCCATAATTTCTGATAATTTATTATAACTTTTACTTGAATCATAATTTAAAGATCTTGATAACATATCAGATATAATTCGTTGAGCATTTGCAGAAATTTGAGGATTAGTTGATGGCCATGAAATTGATGATTGAGATAATGGTAATAAATATGTTCTTCTCCATGAAGTATATATTTTTTCAGGAGATATTGAATCCCATGAACGTTTTATCCATTCTATAACTTTAATAAGAGGTATATGATAATCCTTTTCTGAAAGTACTTCCATAGCCGATGATGCATTAATTTTATTAAAACTTGATAAATCCATTTTTGAACCTAATTTATTATTATCATTAATAGATTCATTAGATTCTTTTGCATTTTTAGAATTTATTCTTTGTAAATTAATCATTTCTAAATATTGTTGTAGACGATATAAAATTCTGAATTCATCTATAATACCAAAATTCATTGGTAAATAATCAAATCTTCCACCCCCACCACTTGAACCGCCGGATAAATTACCTAACCCACTTAAACCATTAAATACTGCATTACTAGGATTTTTATGATTTATATTATTCTTTAGATAACATAATTTAATATTATTAAATTTTAAATTTATAATTCTATGAGATGAAGAATCATCTAATAAGATTACAATTTTCCGATCAGGAGATAATTGTTGAATTTTATGATCTAAAGTTAATAAATAATTTTGAAACATTGATGAAGTTATCCATTTATTAATATTTGATTTATAATATATTTGATGAACTTCAGTAATTTTATTCATTAAATTATGTTGAGATAAATTTACCGTATTATTATTTTTAAATGCTATATGATTAGATTTTGAAACATCAAATTTATCATATTTACCAACTACTAATGGAATTAATTTTTCTGATCCATCAATATTACATCCTAACATAATAGTTAAAGATTTTTCAGTTGAAGAATTTGATTGTTTTAAACCTTTATCAATTGAACTAACATCAAATATTTGATCTAAAGGTAATGAATAAAATAATTGAAATTCATCTATAACAAAGATATCTTGAGGAGAATAATTCTCATCTCGAATTAATTTAATTAAGTAATTTTTTAATTCAACTTTTTCATCTAATTTCCATACTTTATTTAATTTATTTTCATTACTAACATTTGGATCTCCTACTAAATTTATATTTAATTTCTTTATAAAATGATGACACCATTTTTGATTAAATATTCCATTACCATCCTTTTCATCTTTTGGTAATCGATTCCAAATAGCATTGGCTGTAGATTGTATAATTGGAGTTGTAATTGGTATATTTTCCCAAATTGCTTGAGTTATCCATTCAGTTAATATTTTTCTTAATAATGGATTTGATTGTTTCCTTCTTCGTATAAGTTTAAAATCCGTTTCCTTTGAACCTATTATATCATTCTTTGAACTTAAAATTCTTGATATAGTAGTTTGTGATGGAGGTTTACTTGATTGATATTTATCTTGAGCCCATTTAGCTAGATCAGCTTGAGTCATTTCGGGGTTTGATTCTGATTTCAAACATATTTCAATTTTTTGTTTAATAGTGTACCCCATTCTACAGTGAAATAAATATTAATAAACACACTATATTTTTTATAGAATCTTTTGCTTTTTACTTGCTATTGAATACGATTATGAGTTATTAAAAGATTTATATATTGAAATGATTGCAGCCCATAATTGCAAGACAAACAAAAAAAAACTTTTGGTAGGGACAAGATCCAATTTTAGCACCTAATTAAATATTAAATATGGCGTGGGATTTTATAACAACTAGGCTGCGTCTTATATTTTTAATACCCAACTTAACAGATGTCAATTATAATTATTAGTATATGACATACATACATATGGTAATACCATCTGGTGATATCTGGAGAAAAAAATCCGAAGGTACAAAAGCGAGACCACATAGCAAAAGTACAAAAACAAGCGAAAAACGATCACGTGAAGAACCACAAGTTATAAACTACCCACATATACGATGAAGATTTCCATTTGCTATTACATACAAAACATAAGTTTATTGTAGCCAAATGGCCTGTAATAAATAATAAATAATTAAATAAGTAAATAAGTAAATAAATAAATATTAAATATTAGTTAATTAATTAGATGATTTTGGACTAGTGACTATTTAAGAATCCAACGGTTTTCTTCAAAACTATGTCCCTATATATTGGTTCACTCTCTAAAAATAATGAGTGTTTAGCACCTTTAACTGGTACAAATTCTTTATCTTTAAATTCAATTGAATTAATAAACTTTTCTGAATATTTAGGATCATTAATATTATCATCAGTACCGTGAAGAACTAATACTGGAGTTTGAAAATCTTTATTATAACTAGGATCTAATAATTTTTCACCTCTTTCAAACATATCATAAAATTGTCTGGCTGATCCAAGAAGTTTTGTAGTCTTTTTTCTAATATATTCTGTCCAATCTGGATTAGTTGTAAGATATTCAAATTTCAATTTAGAATCAATTCTTAAATTAGGTGCTAATAAAACAATATAATTTGATAAACTTCTAACAATTATATTTGGTTGAGTTTTAGGATGTAATTTAACTAATGGACCAGAAGTAAGTACTCCACGAATATTTTTACGATACTTTCCTTTAATAACATAATTTAATATAATTCCACCTCCCATAGAATGTCCAAGAAGAAATATTTTATCCTGTGGAGTATCTAAATTGTAATTAATAAAAAAATCTAAATCATCCATAACATGAAATTCATTAGTTAATCCTAATTTATTAGGACTAGTTTCTTCAGCTCCTCTTTGAGAAAAGAAGAATACTTCATAACCTTGCTCACTTAAATCATCGAATAATCTATGATATAAATCTGATTGTTCAAAGAATCCATGAACATATACTATCTTACCCTTTTGGGTAATACCTTCAGGAACTTTCCAGGTAAAGAATTTAAATTTGGCTTGATTATATTCAATTTCACCAGGAATTGGTTCATTCCGACTTTTGTATGGGAGTTCAACTTCAACCATATTTTGCTATGATTATATATAGATATATAGATGTATAGATATATATAGTTATTGATTTATGTATGGGACAACTAAAGTATTTATAATATTTTTCGCGATTGTCCGCGCTTTTCTACTAGGTGGGGTTGGTTAACAAAATAGACAGACATATGATAATTATGGGCATAATCTGATAATCACAGTTTGCAAAAAATATGACTTCGGGTTTCGGAGATAACCTCATTAAGTTTTAAACATAAGCCTCAATTTAAAAATGCATTGGTTACTACTGTACTGTTTATTTATATTAATATTATGGCCATATATAGATAAAGTGAAGGGTTACACGAGTACAACCATGTTACCAATGTAAAGTCTAAAGATCCAGATACAATCTATTACATTTACCATTTACAGTTTGTTACTTTACAGTTTTGTTAGGTTTTATATTTACTTCTCGTTTATAAGAATATTGCAGCAATAGAATACAAACTTATACAGTACTAAATACAAACACTATTAAATAATAGAAGAAATAAAATTCTGTAGTACACTGCCATAAACAGTAACAAACTTTTAACATAGTTACACTTACACTACAATATCACTGACATTCCCATTCAATTTATACAGTATCGTATCTCTCTATACAGTCAATGATTGCCAGTTTTGGACCTGCACACAGACCCACAAAATGTTTCAAAGCGATCACAGCAAAACGGAACCTGAAACAATACTTAAAGCAAGCTACTATAATTACCAATTACTTTAATAGGAACATTCAGTAAAGATCTGAATTACAGGATATAAAATAAGAAAATTTATAAAGGATTTGTAAGATTTTAATTTTCATATATACAACAATGGTAGAAAACGGACAATCGCATACTAAAGTTGAATCTACAACTGAGACAACTTCTACTTCAACAAGTCAAGAATCTACTAATGATCCATTTTATAGACTATCATTTAAAGTAGGAGTAGCTGAAAATAAAAATGGAACATTCAGAAATAAAATGGAAGATGTTCATACTTATATAGCAAATTTTGCCGAAATGATAGATTGGGGTTATTTTGCTATATTTGATGGACATGCTGGAAAAGATACTGCTAGATGGTGTGGAAATAATTTGCATACATTATTAGAACATGAGATCGATTTGGAATTGAATAGTAATAACACACCCAATACCAAAACAGAAACAGAGTCAAAGACAGAGACGGAAACAGAAACAGAAAGCAAATCTACTGATAGTTCTGATAATAGCAATGATACCAATGCCAAGAATAATGATGATACAATTACTAATAATACTAATAATGCTAATACTAATACTAATACTAATTCAAATACTAATGATAATAATGACACTAATGACATACAACAAAAAAGCGGGTTTGACATGCAAGAGAGTCTATTCAAATCATTCATAAAAGCTGATGAATTAATTGAAAAAGAAGGAGTAGGATCTTCAGGTTCAACCGCTGCTGTGGCAGTATTGAGATGGGAATTACATGATGATCAAGGTATTGATATATCATCAACTAGTTCTAATTCTAAAAATCCTCAATATGAATTTATACCTACTAAGAATCATAAAAGAATGTTATATACTTCAAATGTGGGAGATTCAAGAATTGTATTATGTAGAGGAGGTCAACCATATAGATTATCATATGATCATAAAGCCACTGATATTAATGAAATTAATAGAATTAAAGAATCAAATGGTCTTATAATGAAAAATAGAGTTAATGGTGTATTGGCAGTTACTAGATCTCTTGGAGATTCATATATGAAAGATTTAGTAATTGGTAAACCATTTACTACTTCAACTGAAATAACTGATAGTGATGATTTTATTATACTTGCATGTGATGGGGTATGGGATGTCATAAGTGATTTAAGAGCATGTAATTTTGTTTTAGAACAATTTAATAAAGAAAATGCTGATGATCCTCAAAAAGTGGCAAAGAAATTATGTCAATTAGCAATGGATAATTCTACAACTGATAATGTTACTGTAATGATTGTTAAATTTGATAAAGATATCTTTGATCAAAAGGAAGTGGAAGTAGAATTGACTAAATAGTTCTAATTATTCAGATGTATAATATATATGATGTGTATACATTTACTTTTATTATATATTATTTATTATTTATTAATCATTATTAATGTTCAATGGGTTCATAAACTGCATCAGGACTCTTGTTAATTATCGAATCAAAATCTTTCGTACTAATCCTTGGGCGATAAAACTTTAAGGCTAAACTACTTGATACAACACTAATTGATGAAGCAGCCATAGCTACACTAGCCCATACTGGATTTAATCTTGTATTATTATAAGGATAAATGACTCCAGCAGCAATTGGTATACCAATGATATTATATACCAAACTCCATCCAAAATTAAATTTAACTCTCTTAAATACTACTCTTGATAAATCAAATAATGTTAATAAAGAAATTAAAGGAAATGATTTATTTAATAAAATAAAATCACTTGAAGTTACGGCCAAATCAGCTCCACTAGCTAATGCAATACCAACATCAGCCGTTGCTAAAGCAGGTGAATCATTTATACCATCACCAATCATAGCCACAATACCTTTATCACCCTTTAATTTTCGAATTCTTTTAACATGAGCTTGCTTTTCATCAGGTAAAACTTCACTAACAATATTAGTATTACTTATACCAAGCTCTTTACCAATAGCTTCAGCAGTAACTCGATTATCTCCAGTAATCATCCAACATTCAATATTTAATTTATTGGTTAAATATTCAATAACTTTCTTAGTTTCAACTCTAATCTCATCTCTAGCAGCAAGCAGTAATACTAAATGAAATTCTTCATCATTAAAAATTTCAAAACATTGTAATCCAACTAATATAAGTGATTTACATTGTTCTTTCCATTGTTCCAATAACTTTTGATGTTTCTCACTAATTTTAATATTATGATCTTTTACTAATTGTTCATTACCTAAAAATGCAGCCTTGGGTTTATATTTATTCCAAATATCTTCTTCACCTTCTTCATAAATAATATTCCCCTTTAATCCCTTTCCAGGAACTGTTTCAACTTGAGGAACTTTATTTGGAGATCCTTTAAAAGTTTGCATTTTATTACCAAAGTTTTCTACAAATGATTTAGCTGATTTTGCTAATGGATGTTTAGATGCTAATTCAAGATCTCTTGTAATTTGTAAGGCAAAAGTTTTAATGATTTCAGATTTTGATTCCACATCAATATTAAATGAATAATCAGTAATTTGTAATTCACCTTTAGTTAAAGTTCCAGTTTTATCAAAACAAACTACATTTGTTGATGCACCATCTTGAAAGGCAACTCCTCCACCTTTAGCTAAAATCCCATATTTTGCTGCTAAACCTGATCCTACAAATAATGCAGTTGGAGCTGCTAAACCAATTCCACAAGGACATGCAATAACAAATACAGCAATTGAAAATTCTAATGACCATACAACCCAACCTCCAATATCAATATCTAAATAATTAGATGGTAATGAACCAGTTTCTCCTAACACTAACCAAATAATCCAAGTAATTATTGCCAATAAAGTTATTACTGGTACAAAATATCCCGTTAATACATCTGCAGTTCTTTCAATAGGAGCTTTTCTTAATTGACCATCTCTTACTGTACTTACAATTTGATCAATAAGTGAATCTCCTTCAATACTTATAACTCTAGCAATAATAACATTATTACCTATATTAACTGTACCAGAAAAGATTTGATGACCTGGACCATGCTTTACTGGAATTGATTCACCAGTTAATGCTGATTCATCAAATTCAGAAATCCCTTCTTCAATAACACAATCTACAGCAGGAGATTCTCCAGATGCAATTTTAATTGTATCACCAAATTCTAAATATTTGACATTAACAACAGTATCATTAATATAATTCAGATTCTCTAAATCAACTACAGTAGCTTCTTGAACTTTTAAAGCACTTAAAGATGCAATAGCATTGGCTGTTTTACCCTTTGAATAACTTTCAAGTAATCTACCAATTAATAAGAAGAATGATAAAAATACAACCGAATCAAAGTATGTAGTATGAAGTCCCATATGAGTATGAACTGATTGTTGAGAACTTAAAATTAATAATGCTATACTGGCAAAATAAGCAATTGAAGTTCCTAAAGACATTAATAAATTCATGGAACCAAATTTAAAGATTCTTGATTTAAATGAATTCTTATGTAACCATAATGATGTAACTTCTTTAATTGCCTTACGATGGAAAACATCAGCTGCAAAGAAATATACAGGAGTACTTAAAAAGAATAGTATCCATACAACTCTTGAAACATTACCTGACCAAATAGGTTCTTCTACCCATTTTCTAAATCCATTGGAAGATGGTAATAAAGACATGGCAACAATACCAAATATAAAAGTTGGAATTGCAAATATAAATGTTAAGATTAAACGATAAGCCAATCTTAATAATTCCTTTTTATGAAGTCTCTTAACATGTTCATCAATTGATAGAGGTTCAACTAATTCACAATTAAATAATCCCTTTTTATCTACATTAATTTTATAAGCATCTTCATCTGAATCAAGTGGTTCAATATGATTTAAATCAAATAGAAGTTTTCTAATAGTTAAATTTATACCAGGAATATAAGTAAATTTAATATATGGATGACTTAAACTTATTTCATCATTAATTACAATAGCTTCACCATAACTTGATAAATAATTATTAATTAAATTTGGACAATGATCACAATGCATTCCTTCAACACTAATATTAATAGTTCTTGATTTTTTCTTGGATGATGTAAAGTTAATCTTTTCACTATTAATTAATTCATAATCAAATCCACAATCTTCAATAGTTTCCTTTAATTTTATTAAATTCTTATCATCTTCATTTTCTAAAACAAATTGACCAGATTTAGTAACTACATTAATTCCACTTTCAAGAACAAATGGTAATTCATTTACTGCTGATTGAATGGAATTTGCACATGCAACACATGTCATACCAGATATCATAGCTGTAACTTTAGTATTTATAGTTCTTTGAACGGGTAAAACCTCTAATAATTTACATTCAAATCCAAGATCATTTATTGCATCCACAATCTTATTAATAATTTGTTTATTGGGCATTATTACCACAGCAGTTTTATTAATTAAATTAACTGAAAAATTAGCCTCATCACCACCACCTTTTTTAAGATTAATATCTTGTCCATTATCTAATAATTTTGATAATGATTCTGAGACAGTTTGAACACAAGAAGCACAAGTCATACCAATAATTGCAAATACAGCTCGGAATTCTTTATCAGGTTGACCAACTATAGTTTCTATAGTTGAAGAATCACTATCATCAGCGATTTTCTTTTCCTTTTCCTTTTCCTTTTCCGTTTCCTTTTGAGATCTTTCATGTTGACATGCTTTACAATTCTTTATATGATTTCTCTTAGCTCGCGAAGAAATAAACTTGGAATATAAATTGAATACATCAAAAATTCCTACATCTTCTTCAATTTCCGCAACCGATTTATAATCATGAGAATTTGAATTTCCTACCAACTCATCATTGGTAAAAAGTTCCCATGATAATATTTTAAATCCAGCAATTGTAATCAGTTTAATTAATCGTTTTAAAAGACTTTGTAATACAGATTGTGATAATGAATCTCTCAGTTTATAATAAATATTCACATCATTCCCATTTAATGATATATAACTATGATCTGCTTCGAGTTCTTGTAATTTATTAGTAGATGGTATTTCATTCCCACTCTCGGATATCTTTAAATAATTGGAAAATACTTTGAGTAATCCTGCCTCACACTTGTCACAGTGGATATTTGAAAATTTTATATATAGTCTTTCCATAATTCTATATAATACTCTTAACTAATTAATTGTTCATTAATAAAAATTGTGAATTATTTACCTGAATGTGGAATTCAGAGTTATCTTATAAATCAATAGTTTTCACAGCAAAACTTGCTCATTATGCTGCGAGATTATCGCTATAAAAAAAATTAAAATTTAGAAATTAGTGAGATGTTTTTGCTGGCGCTAATTACCAGTCATCGAATTTGCACCCACTAGTTAAATTAATGATAATAAATGATAATTACAAAGCATGAATTAGTTAGTGGTTATTAGGTATTAGTTACTAAGTATAGTCTATTGTTATTATATATATGCAGTATAATTTATTTATTTGTTTATTTGTTGCTATAGATATCTATTATTAAAAATCTAAGATCCATACTATTCCTGGTATGAGCATCCCGCACATTGTCCCCACAAACTTTTCTGGTATAGTATGAAAGAATATACAAGTAATTAAATACATGAAATACCATATAGATATAAATATAAATGCTACAGACAATACAATGGTCTTGTAAAGTCTAAAATATTGATTATTGATGGTAGTTCCTCTAGATAATTCATAATCTCCAGCTTGTTCAATATCATCATTAGGAATCTTTGATCTTGATTGAATACCTAAATGATTTATTAATTCTCCCCATACTAAAAGACTTATAGATATTAAAAAGTAGAAATGACCAGAAGAATCAAATCCATTAATCCATTGATACCCATTCAGTTTACAATAAGATTCAGATTTAATTAAATCATTAATACAATGACCTCCTGTTGCAATATTAATTCTTTCAAAGATCAGAGATCCGAAAAACCATACTTGAGTAAGAAAGAAGAAAAGTGAATTGAGTCCATAACTTCTAAGAAATTGAATTATCTTACTAATAGGAACTTTATAATCTGATTGTATATATAAAAATAAAAAGCTAAAATAAATTAAGGTGAACCATATATATCCATACAGTTTAACTATATAGTCTTCAAAGAATGATACAAGGGGATTAGCCCCTATTATAGATCCATATTGTTTTAAGAAATAATACAGGGGAATAGTTGCAATAAATACTGCTGGATAACTCGCAGCAATTATATATCGTAGTTGTAATACATCCAAACTTCCTACCATAGTATACACTACCACCACCTTTATTGAATATTTCTATACCGTCTTATTAAGATACATAACATTCTATAATAATAATAACAGTACGTACTAAATATGTAGTACGACATTTTAAGATAAAACTGTGGTGTCATGTCGTGTCGTGTCGTGTCGTTTAATAAAGTTTGTCTTCTGCTGCAACCTCCTGAACTGTGTGCAGGCTAGTCACGTGAAATTCTTCAATTTTGGATTTATAATATAATTTGACAGATGGGTGATGCAAAATTGCTATTGATGAAATAATCATTTATTATTCAATTATTGAAGTATAATGAGATCTATATTAAGTAGTACGATAAGGAGGCGAACACCTATAACTGTACTGGCGGTTGCACGTGCCAATGGCTTAAGATTTAAGCCAACTGTAAGAGTTGCAACCAGTTCTAATCCTCAATTAGCATTTCCATGTCTTGATAGATTAGAGAAGAAAACTGAAGAACTTAGTAATTCTTGTGCTATAGATAATATAACTTCTTTAGAAGGAGGTCCGGAACCATCGTATTCAAAAGTTCAAACTGGTTTTCAAGTATTTAAGTCTAAAGTACCTATATTCTTAGATAATGGTGGTTATCTTCCTGAATATGAGATTGCTTATGAAACCTGGGGTAAACTTAATAAGGCTAAAGATAATATAATTTTACTTCATACTGGATTATCAGCATCATCTCATGCTAAATCACAACCATATAATTTAAAATCTGGTTGGTGGGAAGAATTCATTGGGCCAGGTAAATATTTGGATACTAATAAATATTTTATAATATGTACTAATGTATTAGGAGGATGTTATGGTTCGACTGGTCCATCTTCAAAGGATCCAGCTGATCAAGATTATTATGGAACAAGATTTCCTATAATTACTGTTAATGATATGGTTAGAGCTCAACATGAATTAATTAAAAAAGTATTTAAAGTTAATAAAATTCATGCATCAGTAGGAGCATCCATGGGTGGGATGCAATCATTAGCTTATGCTATTGAATTTCCCAATGAAGTTGAAAAAGTTGTTTCTATAAGTGGATGTGCTAGATCACATCCTTATTCTATTGCTTTAAGACATTGTCAACGACAAGTATTAATGAGTGATCCTAATTGGAAACGAGGTTTCTATTATGATAATATTCCTCCTCATGTTGGAATGAAATTGGCAAGAGAAATTGCTACTGTTACATATCGTTCAGGACCAGAATGGGAATATCGGTTTGGAAGAAATAGAGCTGATGAATCTAAACCTCCAGCTTTATGTCCTGATTTCTTAGTTGAAACTTATCTTGATCATGCTGGAGAGAAATTTTGTCTTGAATATGATGCTAATTCTCTCTTATACGTTCTGAAAGCTATGGATTTATTTGATTTGGGTTATATTAATAGATCTCGTGCTGCAAAGACTCGATTGGCTACCGAACAAGAATATAAAATTCAAGCCAATCTTGTAGAAGAATTTTCAGTTCCAACTGAACCTTATAGAGAAACTGTATCACTGGCCACCATCACACCAGAAGAATCATTAAGAGATTTACAAAAAGGTATGGAAAGAATAGCTCATAAAGATGTTTTAGTTATTGGAGTTGAATCAGATATATTATTCCCTGTATGGCAACAAAGAGAAATAGCTGATGTTTTAAGACATAATGATAAAGGAGGAGATATAAGATACTTTGAATTGGGTAATAATGTAAGTAATTATGGACATGATACATTTCTTTTAAGTTTGGATCATATAGGTCCACCAGTTAAAGACTTTTTACAATCCAAAAAGGAATTTTAGTATTAATTTTAATTTTAATTTTAATTTTAATTTTAATTAAGTTTTATATTAATATTAAATGAAAATGATTATGATTATTTATACAGAATGCAGGGAGGTTATAATAAACAATAAATATATACAGTAAGTATTTACTATTTACTATTAAAATAAATTAATTCAATAAATTAATTAAAATCAACTAATTAAAGTCAATTAAATTAAATTAAATTATATGACCATGATTTGGATCTAATTCATAACCTAATCTTCGAGATATAGCATAAATATATTCTCTAATATTTCCAACTACAACTTTAGCTAAACCATTATTCTTTTTCTTATCCTTTGCAACTTCTGAATCAATATGATGAGGTAATAAATTATCATGAGCACTTAAACTTACAAATAATGCAAAGGGAATAAACCATACTAAAAGTCCAAAAAATGAACAAACTTCAACAAATGAAGGAATTCTTGGAGGTTGATAATTTGGCAGTAATCTAACATCTAATGGAGGTATATAAGGATTATGAAAATGATTAAACCATAAGAAATGATTAGCTAATACTAATACACAAGATGCTAAAAATGTTGGAGATATTAAATCAACATAAGGAAATTTATGTAAATTTTGTAAATAAATATAATAAGAAAAGATTGAAAATATAGTTAATAAAAGGGGGAAACCATCAAATAACCATAATAATCCAAAAGTGACAATTATTCCATAAATTATTCGTTTAAGAAATCGTTTAGTAGGTTCTGAATGTTCTTCCACTAATTCAGATATATAATATAATCCTGAAGCAATTGATAGTACTAAGAATATAAATCCTATAACGACTCCTACATATGATAGTAATTGTAAGAACATTTTATGTTTGTGGTTGTATGTGGTTGTATATTATGTATGATGTTGTGTCTTGGAGATATACGTTTAGTGAGTGAGGAAGAGAATGTCAATTGGTGATAGTTAACTAGCCAAACAACAAAAATAACTACTTACAAAATGTGTGTGACGATGTAATTTACGTCGATGCATTAGCTCAGGTTTTTTACGCGCGTGTATTAAGGAGGGAGGGAGGGAGACAATAACTATCACAAACTATATCAATCGAAAATTTCAATCGGAGGAATTCTATCAGTACTGTAAAACCAATTATCAGCATCTAGTTCTGTACATAACCAATCAGCAGGGAAGAATACTAAATTTCCTTGAACTTCAAGTAAAATTCTTTCGGCGGTATTTCTATCAAATATAGTTTCTTCAATGATTGGTCTCTTTCTAGTAGTAATACCTCTTCTTCTTCTTCTTGCTTGTTCCGGTAATGGGGGTGATATATCCTTATATCCATTACCATTACTATTGCTATTGTTATTACCATTACTAGTACCATTACCATTGCTATTACCAGGTTTAGGAAAATATTCTTCTGTGTCATTGACTATTTCATCATCTTGACTTATCTCTTTATCTTTTACTTCTTCATCTTCTACTAGACCATTTCCATTTCCATTTCCATTTCCATTTCCATTTCCATTTCCATTTCCATTTCCATTTCCATTTCCATTTCCATTTCCATTTCCATTTCCATTTAATGGTTGTTCATCATCTTCATTACTTTCAGGAATGCTATTACGAGCATAACTTAAATGACGCATCAACTTAATTCGATTATTAACTTTCTTATCATGACTATCACCATTGGTATGTAATGAAGGTGGAACTTCACCTAATAATCCAACTTCTTGATCTAATTTATTCATATTAATAGTTGCTTGAGTATTTCTTCTATCAGTAATAATACTTTGGGAATCTTCAGAACTATCATTCTCTTCTTCTTCTCCAAAGATTCCATTTCTATCCATATTCTTTCTTCTTCTTGCTGCTTCTCGTTCTTGTGAAACAGTAAATGCCTTTTGAAGTTTAGAAAATTCTTTATACAGTTTCCATGAAGATACTAAATCATCAGGTTGAGTATGAAAGATTTTTCTAAAGATTTCGGTATTTCTTCGAGCATTTTCAAACCATAAATCTTCATAAAATTCATTAGTTAAAGGATCTTCAAATCCATAAGGATCTATAAATCTATTAAGTTGTCTACCTGAATCAAATGAATCAATTAATTCTTGTACTTCTGTTTCAGATAATGAAACAATAGGAACATCACCTCCTGTTACAATTTCTGGAATTACCGGTTCATTCTTTTCTTTCTTAGTTGCTTCTTGACTATCGGGTGGACTTAATGGAGCTGATGAATTATCATTACCATTACCATTCTTTTGAGATATTTCATCAACCGTTATAGGATCAGGAGTTTTCTCTCCATTAGTATTTGAATCAGAATTTACAACAGTTGGAGAAAGTCCAGCTCGAACTCTTCTTTTTAATTCTTCATCTTGAGCTGATTTTTCTTTAGCAGCAACTCTTTGTAAATAAGAAATTCTTTTAAGAAGTAACCATCTTTCTGTATTACGATCAGTTATAATCTTTTCAGATACTTCATCCATTTCATCAAACATATTATGATCATCACTTTCTAAGAAATCTATAACATCATGAAGATTTGGTAAAAATGATTCAAGAGGATTTTCAAACATAGATATTTGAGCAAGTTCTTTTAAAAATCTTGAACCACTATGTCTTGCACTTTTAGCTAATTTACTTCTATATTTATCTAAACCTTCACCATAAACATCCTTTTGATGAATATCACTATGTTGAACTCTTACATCATATGAATGTTTCTTTTTATCTCTAATACCAGTATTAGCTTCATGACTTCCTGTTCTATTATTAAATGAAATTGGTAATGATAAAGGTTCAGGAATTGATCTACCATCTGCTTCAATATCTTCACCAAATGGTATAATATCAGCAATATCACTTAAATCTTTATGATTTTGAAATCTTTGCCATCTTTTAGTACCATTCGATTCTCCAAGAATATCTCGAGAAGCTATTTCAACCATTGCTGATAAAACTAAATTTTCAATATTTCTAAAATTATTTGTAGCAGCCATAATTCCTTCTTTAGTTCTAGCTAATTCTTCAATTCTTTTAAATCTTCTTTCAACAATTTCTAAGATATCTACATTAATTCCAAGATGTTCTCTCATTAATCTCATTCTTAAAGTATGAGCAAATTTACCTGCTAAGAATGGTTTACCATTCATATTTGAATTAATCATTTCTGTATCTCTTACTATAGCACAAACTTCAGAATCTCTAACTCCTCTCATTGATCTTTCATTTATATTAGCACTACCAATTACTGCATATCTATCATCAACTATCATAATTTTTGCATGAATATATAATTGTTCAGTAACTAAATTTCTATCAGGTCCAATTCTACCCCATTTTCTTAATGAAAAAAATTGAATATAATCATCAGGATTAATTCCTAATGCCATAAGTTTACCAAAGATTGAATATTTCCCTCTAGAAATTGATTTATATTGACATTGCATAATAACTCGAACTGATGAACCATCAGGTTCATCAACTTGAGATTCAAATCCTGGCATAAGTGGAATAATTATTACTGCTCTCCAATTTTGTTTCAGATTATGAGCTCTAATAATTCTATCAACTAATGCATCACCAATTCGATTTTTAATTTCTGTACCATCAATAATTGTTGAAGATACAAAAAATTGATTTTCAATATAAACAAAATGTTCTGAAGTTTCAATTAATTTTAAATAAGCATTTTGAATACTTTGTTCATGATCTTTTAAACCTAATGACCAATTACATGCTGATCTAACTAATTGAATTTCACAAGTTCCATTAAGTCCAGTTTCTAAAGCTTCTTCATCACTAATATCAGAAGGAGGAGTTAAAAGTGGAGTTAATCTACTTGGACGCTTTTGACGAAGTAAATAATTCCATCTTTGAACAAAATGTCGACCTAAATCTCGAGCAATTTTACCAGAAGTTACCATATGAACATCATGCCATGGCATTCTTGGAGTTGTATTTCTATCATATAAAGTTTCATAAGGTTTTTCAAGTGATGCAAAATCTTTAACTCGAGGATTAGAATAATCTTTACCAGGGAAAGTTTGAAATTTAATATATTCATCACTTGTAACTCTATCATCTTCATTTAATGTTGCAAAATTAATTCTTGAATCATCAGTTATAACATGATCAGGTGTATCATATCTACCATAACACATATCAATTCCTCCAATATAAGCAATTGTCAGATCAATTATACATAATTTTTCATGATGAGCCCAAAAATAAGTATTTTGTAATAATTGATTGGGAGATCTTATAACATGAATATTTTCTTCATTAAGGGATAAAATTGAATGTTTTGTATAAAGTGAATCAATAGCTACAGTTGATCCAACATTACGATAAACAATTACAAAGATTTTAACCCCTTGTTGAGCTTTACGTTGTAAAATTCTATCAATTCTAAATTGTTGATTCCCATTGGCTGGTCTTCTTAAATAAAGTTCAGGAGTTAACCACCAATCATGAATAAAAATTGTATCTTTAGCTAATTCTAATGCACTAGATATAGACCAAAAATAATCTCGAGCATCAACAAACCATTGAGCAAAACAATTTTCTCGAACTGGAGCAAATGAATCAAATCTATTATTAGGTTGAGACCAAATAGTTGAATTTTTCATATCTATAAGTGATTGAACCCATAATTTATGATCTTTAACTGATCGAGGAATTATCAGAAGTTTCCTTTCAGAATTTTCTAAAGTAATCTTTAAATGATTAAAAATTTTATGAGTATTTTGTTGAACTTCAGTATCCATTTGTTTTTGAACAGCTGATGATGCATCTAATATAGATTCATCTTCATCTTTAACAAAACTAAAATCATAATCTTTACTATAACTAACTTTAAAATTTGAATCAACTAAGAATACATCTAATGGTATAGTTGAATTTATATCAGATACATATAATACATATGATCCTCTAATTAAAAGCCATTTTTCTGCTCTTCTATCAATCATACCTTTTAAATCATTAGCTCGGAAATGTCCAACTCTCCAACCTTGAGATTTAGCTGTACTAGTTATATGAACAACTCCTTGTTTACCTTGAAATCCAGTTTCATAACTTAATAATGAAGAAATTGGTGATAATTCAAAAAAATGAAATAATCTATTAGATTGAGGTTTTAAATCAACTAATATTATAAGATCTTTTAAATAATTATAAACATCTCGAATATATTCTTGATTACTTTGAACTCTATGTCTTACAACTTCTGGTGATTCATCAGAAATTGATGATATACTACTAAGTCTCAGTCTTAGACGAGAAAGTTGATTCATAAATGTATGATCTTCATCATTATCTGCTCCATCAATTGTATTATCTCGAGGAGAAATATTATTATTATTATTATTATTATTATTATTATTATTATTATTATTAATTGACAGATTATCATGATTTGAAGTAATGGTTCTAGCAATAGATTTCCTTATACGAGAATTAGATGAATCTTTCTTATTTCTTAATGGAGGTATAGGACATTTAGGTAAATTATTAATTTTATTTCGAACCACTTCTTGTCTCCATCTTTCAAATTTAAATCTTGAATGTAAATAAAGTAAATCTCGAGCATTTTTATCAACAAACCATTTTTGTCTATTATTTCCTACTCCATATTCTAATTCCATTCGAAATTTTCTTATTCTAGTATTAATACTTGGAGATATATCTATTACATTTAATCCAATTAAACTTAATACAAGTGGAGCTCTTGCCATACCATGTTCATCTTCTAATAAACATGAAGCTAATAAATTCATTGATGTTGTACCAAGAGCAAGATGTCCAATTAATTTTTGAGCTCTTTGACCCGTTTGTTTATCTTGATCCAGAGGTTCAACTCCAAATTCCAAAGCATTCATACTTTGTCTTTTCTTATCCTTTTTCTTAAAATTGAACTTTAAGAATTTCTTTCGAAAATTTTGTTGTCGATTAAGTTCATCTGTATTATGGAAATCTTCATTGCCTCCTAATTGGCCTTGTCCTTCACTATGACTTGGACGACTAAACATTGTTGGTAAAAAGTTAGCAAATGATTGACTATGAGGATGTAATAAAGTATTATTATTATTATTATTATTATTATCAGGATTAGAACTAGCGCTAAGACCAGTTTCTGGTATCCCTTGAAACACACCAGCAATGGTTTGAGATCGATTAAATATTCGTTTATCACCTTCTTCTTGTTCTTCACTTTCATATCGGGACTCATTTTTATCAGAAAACTTATTAAAATATGAAAAGGGATTGGTTATTATTTTTGGAGATTCTTGACTAAATATTGATCTTCTTCTTCTAGGAGATGGAGGGACTTGAGAAATTGGATCTGCTTCATCATCTGAACCTCTTGAAATAGATCTAGCGATTTTTTCAATATCAGGATCTTCTCGTAACGGTCTTTCACTTTCTTTACCATTTTCTTTATTATCATGGGTAAGACCGTGGGGTTGCTCTTGTAAGTCATCACTAACATTATCTTCAATTCTCTCTCTATTATCATTCTCTATTGTATCTTCTAATGGTTCAAGTTGTATATCCGGTATCAGACGTCTATTATTACTTGAAGATTTCCCATTCTTCCCTGGAGACGGCCAAAACAGGCTTGATAACATACTTAGTTAATGAATAACTATGCTTAAATTTTCAATAGAATTTCAATAGAAATTATTCTCAATATGAAACTTTTGATTAATTCAATGATCGCGGTGAGTTACTGTGGTTGATAAATTACTTTTAATTTACTGATTAATTTAATAGTTATGTTAATTATGAAACAATATGGTTGAAACTGGTACTACTGGTGGGTCTTGAAATGGGTTCCATACCGAGGTCTGTGTGCAGGTCGGATGTTATTACACGAGCCGATGCATTTTATGGGAAGTTATAGCGTAGCGTACCTAAGTATACGAAGTGGTAGTATATAGTAAATAGTGTAGTGTATTGTGTACTGTGTACTGTATATGTACTATATATAGGATATACTATCTATGTACTACATTATATATATATATATATATATACTATATTGTACATTGTATATTGTTATCAGGCCTCTTTTTTTAAAAGCTCAGTATCGAGTCTAAGCTTATGTCCAAGCCACAATGCATTGGCAGTATGATCTCTAAATGCACCTTGAGTAGATCTAGGATGGATTAAGACCGATAATTTCCCATGGTGAATTTGGAAATATGGTACAATAACACTAAAGATTTCTGGACTCTTGAAATCAAGTTCCCACATATTTATAGGATGGGGTCCAATAGGCTTTTCCCAAAATTTATAAATTCTTATATCTCCATTTTCAATTTCTTTAGCAAAATCTTTTAATACTTGTTCTCTTAAATTAAATGCAAATTCTGTTTCTTCTTTATTATTATTATTCCAATAAGTATGAATATCATATGATTTAATTCCTCCATAAAATGGACTTGTTTCTTGTTCTTGTGTTTCAGACATTTTTTATTTTGCAATACTTTTGTAATATTATTAACAAAACTTATTTCAAATATACACTTCTACAACAATTATACTATTTCAATATAATATATACTAAAAGACAATCTATAATATCAAAAAATTATCATAAATCAAGTGGACAACCAGCCTCAGTTATATTTACTAAGGCATCGACATTATGCAGGAGCATTTGTCATATTACAAATTATATCTTACGATTAGATTGTTCATCAACATTACCTGTATCATGCATTTGAATTGATACATATCCTTCATCTTCTGTATCACCAACTAATTCTTCATTTGTAATGGTTTGACCAATTTGAGTATATCTATTATTTCTTTTAACCTCTTTAGCTCGTTTAATAAGGTATGTTTGATACCATGAACTTAAACCTACCGCTAATAAACTACCTAATATATTAAATGCAATATCTATTGGATCAAATACTCGATTTTCATTTACTAAACTTTGAATAAATTCCAGTCCAATACCTCCACCAATTGTACAAACTATTAATGTTATTGATCTTAATGTCTTTAATGATTTATGCTTTGTATCAAATGTAAAATAAAACTCTATAGTCAATATAAAGAATGTAATAAAATGAATTAATTTATCATGACCAAAATGAACATTGGCAAATCCCAAATAACCTGCTAATACAAGGGATGCAATAAATACTATATAATTTTGTTATTTGTTAGTATTATAATTCTTATGACAAGTGAATATCCCCTTAACTAAATTACATACCTAACAAAACAGGAATTCTAATTGAAACCATGATGTAAAACTACACTGAACTAAACTAACTTAAAAATAAAATAAAATGAAATGTAAATAAAATATGGCAAAATTTCTAATATTATCCTAAATAGAAATAATCAAAGGGTCTCGATCTAACCAGAGGTTGAGAAGAGTGTGGAGTAATAATTTACCTTGTATAATGTATTGGTTCGCAAAATTTAATATATTAGCCACAAAAAAAGTTAAACTAACTAACGATGAGGTTTTATATCTGATCATGTTATAGCCAAACCAAAGTAAAGATGTTGCGTTATGGATGTAAACCATGTGTGCGAAGTGTTAATGTAATATTTCAAAGGTATAAAACAAAGAGCTATTCTAATTTTCGAAGAACAGAGAGAAGTCATCCGGCTACAATCAGGAACATTATCTACCCAGTCCGAATCAATGAAATTGGTGACAATCTACATGCCAAGTATTGGATTGAAGTACGTAAACGAGCTCCTTCCACTTTAGAAATGGAAAAGAAGCATTGGCTTGAATCAGAACCACCATTAACTAAACAAGAAATAAATGATGCTCAAGCACTTTTCAATAAGGCAAAAGTTAAATTAGAATGGACGCTTGCAGATTATGATGAAATTCCTGACGTTAAGTATCGAAGACTCCGAAGAGAACGGGAAGAATCAATAGAAAATATGGATCCATTTAAAAGAACTGAATATCATAATAATTTACTTAAATCTCGAAAGTTATTGGGAACTCCACCAGAAGCATTAATTAAATTACCAGAAATTTTACTTTTAGGTCATGCTAATGCTGGTAAATCAACTTTAATTAATAATTTATTAATGAAAAAGGGAAGTGATAAGCTTGATAAAATTGCTCGTGTATCTGAAAGGGCTGGTTTTACCCAAACTTTAAATTGTTATAATATTGGTGGGAAACTTAGAATTATAGATAGTCCTGGTTATGGTATGTATGGGAAATTGAATCAGGGTAAATTAGTAATGGATTATATTACGAGAAGAGATCGTTTAGCTGGAGCTTTTGTACTTATTGATATACGAAAGGGTATTCGACCAGAAGATCGGGTATTACTAGAATGTCTTCAAGACAATGAAATTAATCATGATGTAATTTTTACAAAATTCGATCAATTTATTCAGGAAGTTTATCCTTTACGACAAAATCGACCTACTCGTTTGTTAGATATAGACAAGGCTATGACTTATTCTGACCGAATGAATCTGATAGCAAGAGATTGGGTTGATGAAGTCATTAAGGATATGCCTTATTCACAAAGATGTTTCTTTAATAATGCCTTGACAAGTGAGTTTGTACCACAAGTGAGTGGTTATAAACATGTTAGAGCTGCAATATTACAAAAATGTAAAGAATTTGAAAATTAAACTGTATATATGGATCAATTAATTAAGTACGTTGTAAATAATCAAAAGATATAATAAGCAAATTACAAATAATTAGAGCAATTTCTTTCTGAGCTGTAATGCGTTTGATATTCTTAGAAGCTAACTATTCTATCTAACATGAAAAAAGAAAATCGTACATAAGTAAAGATTAAAATGAATAATATACAAACAAGGTGCAAAAAGTGTTTGGAATGAAGGGGGTAGAAGATAGGGTTTAAGAAATTACCATTAACGGCCACCTCTACTACTGAAACCACCTCTTGAACCACCACGGCCTCCAAAACCACCTCTTGAACCACCTCTACCTCCAAAACTTCCACCACGACTACCACCAAAACCTCCTCTAGATCCTCCACGACCTCCACTACTAAATCCACCTCTGGAACCACCACGGCCACCAAATCCACCTCTACCACCTCTAGCACCACCACGGCCACCAAAGCCTCCTCTACCACCAGGAGCTCCACCACCTGCAGATTTTCTTTTTGGTTTTGGTCCAACTTCCTTTGGTTTTGGTAAGAATCTTTCTAATGGTAATAATTTATCTGGTCCAATAAAGAATTTATCACCTTCTTTAAATGATTCAGCTTTAACACCTTCTGAAGGTTTAATGGTGAAAAAGACTTCATTCAATGGTCCTAATATTTCATCTACTTTACCAACTTGAGTTTTATTTTCTAAATAAATTGGAGCATTAAAATATGGTATTTTAACATTTATAGAACGACAAACAATATCTCCTTCACAAGCTTGTAAAAATGAACCCATTTCCAAAACGGTATCAGGAGGTCCTTGTTGAAATGGAGCGGGTCTTCCACCACGGCCTCCTCTAAATCCACCTCTTCCTCTGTTCATGATGTGGGGTATGGATATATAGTTTTTGATATTAGTGGGTTAAGTATATGGATAAATTTTTCACTATAAAAAAAATTGTAGCTCATCGACATATGTGCAGGTCAAAGGAACTACTACACTAACTACTTACTACACTAACTACTTACTACTAACTACTAATTATTAAGTACTAATTATTAAGTACTAAGTACTAAATATCACAATTACTATTATATACTTACAATTACATCCATTCAGATGATCTGAATCATTACTACTTTAGTACTGTTAACTACTCTAGTAATAGTAATTACTCATTAGTGTAGTAGTGCACTACTACTTAGTGAGTACTGCTTAGTGAGTGAGTGGTAATTAGTGAGATTAAGCGGAGTCGTGTCCTCCCCAACCGGCCCTGAACATCCACTATTTTGTTTCCCCTAATTGGGATTGCTCGGTATCGATTTCACTAGTGAGCCACCACTAACTACTAGTAATAAATTTTTATATAAGTACCTCTACCAATTACCACTAATTTTAAAAAAAAGCTTTTTACTATTACGATAAGATGTCGGAGCTCAAAGTAGGGCTTACGGCCGAAGAGAAAAAATTATACTCCCAATTATTCAGATCTTTAGATAGTGAAAAATCAGGTATAATTACCGGAGACAAAGCACGAACAACATTTGAAAAATCAGGTTTACCACCAGCAATTTTAGGAGAAATTTGGCAATTGGCTGATCAACAGAATTTAGGATTTTTAAATCAATTGGGATTTTGTTATGCAATGAGATTAATTGGTTATACTCAAGCTGGTCATCAACCTGCCCCAGGTTTAGCTGATTATCCTGGTCCATTACCAAAATTTATTAATTTAGGTTTACCACCTCCTAATGTTTTACAACCTCAATCAACAAACAGTTCATTTATGCAATCTCCTTCGGCAATTTTATCTCCTCCTCCGCCAGCTTCTTCATTATCAAATGATTATGTAGAACCAGTTAAACCAAATGATTTAAATAATTTTAGTCAATTATTTATTAAAACCGTTGGAAATCCTCAAGGTGAATTAAATGGTAATGAAGCTAGAAATATCTTTTTAAAGACAAAATTACCTAGTAATATTTTAGAACAAATTTGGTATTTAGTAGATATTAATAAATCTGGTAAACTTAATATTGGATCATTTGTTATTGCTATGCATTTAATTCAAGGTTTATTAAGTGGTTCAATAAAGCAACTTCCTCCAAGTTTAAGTGATGAAGTTTGGAATTCAGTTTCACCTACACTTGGTGTATCTCCTCAACAAGGAGGTTCAAGACAAATTTCCCAAGGTTCTATTAGTTCTCAACAAACTACTCTTAGACATAATTCAGGTACAGTTCCAAGCCAAAGTCAAAGTCAAAGTCAAAGTCAAAGTCCAAGATCTCCATCTTTAACTAATGTTCCTAATAATGAATGGATCATTACTCCAGTAATGAAACAACAATATGATTCAATATTTGATAATATTGATAAACAAAAGGTCGGACATTTAAATCCTGAACAAGTGGCAGGATTTTTAATGACATCTAAATTAAATCAACAAGATTTGGCTACAGTATGGGATTTATCAGATATTCAAAATACAGGAATCTTTACAAAAGTAGAATTTGCTATAGCCTTATTTTTAGTTAATAAGAAATTGGCTGGAGGTAAGTTACCAAACATAGTTCCTCATACTTTGATAGAATCTTTGCAACAACCACAACAACCACAGCCAGTGATTGAAGAGACTCGTGCTCCGGCAGTTCAACCTATTGCTAAACAAAAGACTGCTATGGATGATTTGGTAGATATCTTTGGATCATCATCTAATGCTAGTCCTGTACCAGCACAAGCTTCTATTCCAGCACAAGCTTCTGTTGCAGCAATTTCTCCTCTTGAACAACGTGTAACTTCAAGTAGTGATCTTACCCCACCAGCAGAACTTCCAAAAGTTAGAGCGGCACTTACAGGAGCATTTAAACCAACCTCTACTTTTGGTCAATCATTAATTAACAAACAACAAGATGTACAAACCCATGACAATTTATTAGGTGATGATGTTCATCATCAATCCCCTACTAAAGAAGTGGTACCACCACCTATTACTTCTGATACTCCACCAGTAACTTCTCCAACTAAACAAATTAATTATGAAGCTTTAAGAAGTGTACCACCACCACCACCTCCATCATCTAAAAAAGTATCTTCACCACCAACAACTACTACATCAACCACAGCAACTAGTTCAATTCCTGGTAGTTTCCCTACTGGAGGATCATTTCAAAGTAATTATCAATCACCAGCTCCACCAGTTTCAGAATCTAATACTTATTCACAAAATGAAGATTTATTAGCCGATACTAATCCGGAAATTTCTGGACAATTATCTCAAGCTAATGCAGATATAGCCAATGTATCTAATCAAATTAGATCATTAGCCACTCAAACCACTAATTTACATGAAAAGAAAATTAGAGCCGAACAAGAATTACAACGAATTTTAAATACTAAAGTTGAAATTGAAAATAAATTAAAACAATTAAGATCATCTTATGATAATGAAGTTTTACAAGTAAATCAAGTTGAAAAGAATCTTAGTAATGCTAAAGAAGAAACTGAAGCTCTTAGATCTCAAGCTTCGATTTCTGAAGCTAAATTTAATGCTTTATCACTGGATCTTAATACTAAACAACTTGCTGTAGAAGAATTACAAAAGCAAAATGGTTCATTAAAGGAAAAATTAGGTTATTTAAATGCCGAAATTGCTGAACTTGAAAAGAATGTCACTCAAAAAGTTAATGAACATCAAAATTTATCTAATCAAGTGGCAATTAAAAAATCTCAAGTTCAAGTAGCCATTGTTAAAAGTGAAGAATTAAAGAATCAAATTAAACTGGTTGAAGAATCTCATTTAAAACTTCAATCTGAATTAGATGAGGCTCATATTAAGAGTCAAACTTTTGAACAAGAACATTCACAATTGAATGAACAATTACAAACTACCATTAATCAAAAGCCTACTCAACCTTCTCCTCATGTATTAAGTAAGAGTGTAGTAGGTGGAGTGGCTGCAGGATCCATCATTGGTGGAGTGGCTGCTGCGGTGGGTCATGTAGTATCTTCAGACCATACTCAAGAAGAACCACAATCACAAGCACAAAAAGAAGTTGCTCAAGATGACGATAAGGACTTATCGGAAATCAATGAAGAAGATATTAATAGTAAATTTCCTGATATTAGTGGAACCACCGATGGAGGAATTGATAATGTCACTAATGCCACTTCATCGATTGTAACTGATGATAAAGCCAATGATGATGAGAATGAAACTCCTATTACTTCTCCAAGTAATTCTGATTTCCAATTTCCTCAAGGATCTAATGCAGCCGGAGTGGTTGGAGGTTTAGTGGGAATGCCAGGAGTTTTAGTAGGAGTTCAAAGAACTGATTCTTTAACTTCCAGTGTTCAAAATAATGCCGCATTATCAGTTCGTGATGATAATATTGAAGAGATTAGTGATCGTGATACAATTGATAATAGTAATTTAGGTGGTGATGATGAAGATGCCATTCCAGAATCGATTTCTACTGAAAATTATGGTGAACAAGAAGAAGAAGAAGAACATGAAAATAAAGACATTACTCATCACAATCAGGAAGATAATAGTGATGGTGATAAGTTGTCTTCAGGTGTTGAATCATTTGAAATTGTCAATGGTGATGAAGCCAGAGCCAATGAAGCTCAAGCTCAAGCGCAAGCACAAGCACATGCTGAATCTCAAACTGAAACAGAATATCCAGCTCCAAATCTTACTGATGAAACTGAAAGACCATCAGAGGAAGGTACATCACGTGAGTTGGGTGCTGGAGAAGAGTTCCCACCAATTAAGGAATTAGATTATGAAGAAAGTGATAGTTCTTCTGAAACTGCCTCTCAAGATGATAACTTTGATGATGCAGTGGCAGAATTATCTCCAAGTGCTAATCCTCCAGGTTATGAAGAATCTATCGGTGCTATACCACCAGTTAGCCAACCACCTAAAGAAGTTATTACTCCAGGTACCACTACTGCCACAACCACAACCACGACCACTGGACCAGCACCAACTTTTGATGACTTCTTCAATGATTTACAACCTGCAACTCAAGAACAAGCAGCACCAAATGATTTATTTGGTGATGATGAGTTTAGCAATTTAGAGGCCGCTCGAGATGACAATGTAGGAGATGAATTTGAAACCAAAGATTATGGATTTTCAGATGAATTCACTAATACAACTCCTGCAGCCAATTTCAATTCTACCAGTACAAATGGTAATGAAAATGAAAATACTGGTACTGGTAATGATGAATGGGAACAATTATTTGCTGGATTCGGGAATGCCGCACCAGTAGAATCCACCACCAGTGAATCTACTACCACTAATAACATTCATGCTGCTACTCCCATTAGAGTTAGTAGTACTAATGATGTAGCAATTCAAGAATTAGTTGGTATGGGATTTTCTGAAAGTAGTGCCTTAGAAGCTCTACAAAAACTGAATTGGAATTTGGAAGATGCCACTAATTACTTACTTGATAGTGCCTAGTTTTAGAGAATTATATAGCTTAACTTTATTTTAGTTTGTGATTTATGTATAATATGTTGAAATTCAAATTACTTTATATTACTGTTGTTACTATAAAATTCATAACCTCATTATTTAATCCTAAAGGGAAGTGTTTTGTAAAGCAGCAGCAACATCACCAGCATCATTTTCTTCTTTGTTTAAATCCTTTAAGTCTTCAACTGGTCTTTCAGCTTGTGGAGTAATTCTAAAGGCATGTCTTGAAACTGGAGTATCCCAATCAATAATTGCAGAATGAACTACCCGTCTATTATCCCAGATAACAACGGAATTAGGTTCCCAATTGGCTCTTAATTGTAAATCATGAGCCAGTTCAATGTGATCGAAAAGGAAATTAAGTAAAGCTTCAGATTCTTCTTCCTTTAATTCAACAATTCTTCTAGAAAATGGTTTATTTAAAAAGATACTCTTTTCTCCTGTGGCTGGATGAGTTCTAATTAATGGATGAATATTTGAAACTGGTTTTCTTCTTTCAATACCTCCTTGATTTAATGAATTAGTTGCTTGTTCCTTTGATGTATGTAATACATGTAATCCTTCAAGACGTTTTCTAAATTCTGGGGAAAGTCTTTTATAAGCTTCTTGAGTATCAGCAAAAATAGTATCACCACCAGCTTCTGGACCTTCAAGAACTGAAAAGAATGTAGTACCTGGAGGTTGTAATTCATATGATACATCCGAGTGCCATCCGACATTACGAGTTCTGTTAGCAAATACTCTTTCAAATTCACTTTTATCTGGTCTTCTGAAAGTAATATGTAATTCAGGATGGTTTCTTGGTGCACCTGAAGTTGGATGAATATGTAATCTACCAAAATGTTTACCATATTCAACAGCGAATGCTGGACCTTTAGATGCGAAATCTTGTTCTCTAAAAATAACGACCCCTCTTTGAGCAACTAATAAAGCTAATTCATCTTTTCCCTTATCATCTAATTGACTTAATTGAACACCAGTGATTTGAGATCCTAATTTAGGAGTTACCTTTTTAACTTCATAATCACCATCTTTTGGTAATAAGTTTGGAAAACTTGGATCAGCTCTAAGACCTGGTTCTTCATGTTTGTAGAAAGTTAATGGAGCATATTTTTGTTTTGGATCCCAAGTTGGTAAAAAGTCTGGGAAATGAGAGTTATCTCTATTCTTTTTATTAATTACCAATACTCCATCACTATCAACTTCATCTTGTCCATGATAAAAATGGATATCGAAATTACCAAAAGTACGAGACATGTTTACAATTTAGAACTTAGAACTTGGAACTTTTTAAGGTATGTTTATTGTTATTCTACAAAATATAAAACTTCACTACAGTTGGAACTTTCTATCTCTTAAATACTTTCTGTCTTATCGTTATTAACTGAAGCCGTTCATATAGAATCGGGACTAAGTTTCGATATTTTGCAATATTTTCCAAGCCACAACTTTGCAGCCGAGCCGAATGAGTAGGTAAATTTTTATCTTGTAGTGCTGCACGTGAGAAAGACTACTAATTTAGAGATAATACCGAAATAGATTAGCCACAGGATTCATGGATAATCTCGCTTATATCACTATTAATATGATGTGGTTATAAAATAATTACAAACTAGGAAAATAAACGATTGTCTTGGTTATGCATGTATTAGGGCCCGGGCCCGAATCACTCTGATATGTACCGACGGTGTCACCAACTAAGGTAAGGACCGCTAGTTGGGTAAAGACTACATTACCCATTACTTATCTCACTAATAGTGAGGTAAAGAATACCACCACTTAGGCTACTTGTAGCAACATAAGCATATATCATATGAGAGCTATACGATCGAGAACCACATATAGCTTTTAGCAGCAAATGAATCAGATCATAAATGGCGAATAAGCTTGCGAATAAGTTTGCGAACTTCTGCAAAAGACGTTATATGGGGAACTTTTCTTTTCCGACCCGAACCGCGCTCAGTTACCAGATATGAACTGGCTGCTAAATATATATGGTTATGTCATTTTTAATTGCGTACATCATTATCGAACCCTTACGTAAGATGCAAAATCTTCTAGAATAGAACCATAATTTTCAGTAGAATAAGGAATATTTTATTTTAATTATCTAATCGCATATTTAAGTAGTTATATAAACAAATTGTTTAATCGAAAATGGAAACTTTCTTTAAGGCAGCAGCAACATCACCAGCTTCATTTACTTCTTTATTTAAATCTTCTAAGTTTTCAACAGGTCTTTCAGCTTGTGGAGTAATTCTGAAAGCATGTCTTGAGATTGGAGCATCCCAATCAATGATAGCAGAGTGATGAACTCTTCTGTTATCCCAGATAACAACAGTGTTTGGTTCCCAAGAAGCTCTTAATTGTAAATCGTGTGATTGTTCAATATGGTTATATAAAAATTTCAATAAGAAAGTAGACTCTTCATCTTTTAATTCAACAATTCTTCTAGAGAAAGGTCTGTTAATAAAAATACTTTTAGCCTTAGTAACTGGATGAGTTCTAATTAATGGATGGATGTGAGAAACTGGTTTTCTTCTTTCAATACCACCTTGACCTCTGGAATTAGTAGCTTGATCTTCAGATGTATGTAAAACATGTAAACCTGATAATCTTTCTTGTAAAGCAGGAGACAATCTATTATAAGCTTCGACTGAATCAGCAAAGATAGTATCACCACCAGATTCTGGACCTTCTAACACAGTGAAGAAAGTAACACCAGGAGGTTGTAATTCATAAGAAACATCAGAATGATAACTAACAGCATTGGTACTGTTTGCAAACACTCTTTCAAATTCTCCCTTATCTGGTCTTCTATAAGTAATATGTAATTCTGGGAAATTTCTTGGTGCACCTGAAGTTGGATGAATATGTAATCTACCAAAATGTTTACCATATTCAACAGCAAATGCTGGTCCTTTAGATGCGAAATCTTGTTCTCTAAAAATAACGACCCCTCTTTGAGCAACTAATAAAGCTAATTCATCTTTACCTTTATCATCCAATTGACTCAATTGGACACCTCTAATTTCAGAACCTAACTTTGGAGTAACTCTTTTAATCTTATGATCACCATCCTTTGGAAACAAATTAGGAAAGTTTGGATCAGCTCTAAGACCAGGATCTTCATGTTTAAAGAAAGTTAATGGAGCATATTTTTGTTTTGGATCCCAAGTTGGTAAATATTCTGGAAAATTAGAATTTTCCCTATTTTTCTTATTAATGACTAATACTCCATCAGTATCAACTTCATCTTGACCCTTATAGAAGTGTGTATCGAAATTACCGTAAGTAGCAGTGGAAGACATAATACCTGATTAAGAATTGACTGTTTAATTATAAAGTATAAGGTTTTAAAAAGCTTAAAAAGAAAAAACGACACTATATTGATTTTCCACCGTATATATAGCTCAAATATAAAATTTAATTATAGATGCAAATCTGAGATAAGATCACCCGAGAATGTGACAGTTTACGAAATTTTGGCGCAATTGTGAGCCACAGCTGAATTAACTCCATTGAAAAAATATAAAAAAAAAGTTGGTGACTCCGACGCGGTTCGAACGCGTGCATCTTAACGATAGCAGAACTTGAGTCTGCCGCCTTAACCACTCGGCCACAGAGCCTTTCAACTTTCAAATTTTTTTTCTCAGTCGCTGCAGGAGTGTCGTTTCACGTGATAAAAATCACGTGATGTCGCTGTTGGTTGCCGATAGAGGTGTTTAGCCGCAAACCCAAAACGAGGGTTTTAACCAAATGGGGAAAGAAACAGAAATTTTGATAAAAAATAAAAAAATAAAATTTTAAATAAATAAACGACTCGTCTGACTTATTAGTCAGAACTCAATTGGTAACAACAGATAGGCACATAGCAAGATTACTATGAAGATGTTCATATTCAGAATACTACATGTAAATTATTAATAATACAAAAATGTATATTTGACCTTAAACCTATAAAATTACTCCAAAATAGATAGCACTAAAGTACTACCCTCTATATAACCAGAAATAAAATGAAATTTTTTATGGAACTCCAACTAATTACTTGGAATTTGGCATAAATCCTTTTGAGCATTAACTGAAGTGATGACAAATTTAGCTGCTGAAGGTACGGTAGTGGTTGCTTCAACAATACTACTTCTAGCAGATGAACCTGGGGAAGGAACTGTTACTTTTTGTTCTTCTTCTTTTATACCTCTTATATTACTATCATTATTGGAAATTTTGTAAGGAACACTCAATAAAGGTGGTAAAGCAATAAAACTGATATCATTACTATCATTCTTACCATGGCTGAGAGGTGATTGTGAAGGACTTGGGTATGGATTAGTAACTTGTTGTTCAACTTTAACTTCAGCAACTGATTCTATCTTGACTGTATCGGGTATTAAAAGGGAAGAAATAGAACACTTTGTAGACTTTAAGACTGGAGATGATAAAGATTTTACTTTAATATTTTCCTTTTGTACTTTACACTTAGTGGTTGTGACAGTAGTAGGTTCAGGCCAGCAACATTCTAAAAAGTTTCTAGTACATCCTTGACATTTTCCATTCACTTTATCTTCATCACACTTCTTCTTTCTCTTTCTGCAAGTTAAACATCCAGTTTTAGTTCTTCTTTTAATGTTTGCATTAGTATTGTTATTATTGTTGTTGTTAGTTACAGCTAAAGGTTCTGATTTAGCTGTAATACCGCTAGATTTTTTATTAACGGATTTTATGGATTTTGGTTGAATCGATATATTGAGCACCTGCTGGTAGGCTCTGTAAGTAGTTGCAACACTCATCGTAGTTAAGTTTAACAAGTATTGATACGTATTCTGTTATAAAGAATGAATTAGTCATTTGTAAAAATTTTCCTTATTTCCTTTCCATCCATTTGCTTATATATAAAATGCAGTGATATCTTAAGGTTTTTGCAACTGACTCAGTGAATCCAAATCAAGTAACTTACTTCGAGGTAACCGCGATGAATTCGTTAATCAACAACGAAAAGATCTTTCAAAATGGCAACTCACGTCGCGACTTGTTTCCATTTTTGTCAATCGGTTGGGCACTTTGTGGAGTGGCTCTATGCCACGATCGTGTGCCATTTTTGGATATTTTTCGGTCACGCGCCTCGAATCACACTTACGTGTTTTCATTAAGCATTTATGTTCTATAGTACTTATCATCAATAGAAGCAGTTAGGGATTCCTAGAAAAGTATATATTGTTCTTACAGGGAAAACTGTAAAGCATTATTCATATTTATTTACTTCATAAGCCAATTTTTTGGAATATGGTACAGATGTTATTTCGATGAAATGATATAACTGTATACTTTTGCAAATTAAATTTTCATATGATTTAGTCCAAAACTGATCAAAAGTGAATATTTTATAAATGTGAAATTTCTTAAATCTGATTTTGGATTAACTTTTAATTAAGCCATTTCCTTCTAAAGCTATATAGAATACTTTTTCTAAGAGAATTTGCTAGAATAAACCATACAATGTCAATGCTCTATGTACAATTCATACATACATCTAAAAATAACAATAGCACTTTCCAAACCACAAGAATTAAAAAAAAAAAAACAATTTCTGTATCATATCGATACATTGATTCAATTTATTATCACATCTTCTTGACTTGATTGTCACTTTTCAAAATGTCTACGTTATAAACTAAGCTTCCAAAGCTGCTAAAATTGCAGTCAAACTAGAAAATCGGTGAAATTCGCACGACCCCCATAAAGAACAAAATTGACCAAAAAAATTTTCAAATTATGCAAACGTTATTGAAGTAAGGGATAGTAGCGAGTCTATATCTTATAACAAACACATAAATCAAGATGCCAGTCAAAGCTATAGCGAGGACATCTATTGCTCGTAATGGTGTGGGAGCTTTTGTTCCATCATGTCATAGAGTTTCTATTCAATATTGTAATTGGGGAGGTTCATCCACTGGATTAAGACAAGCTTTAAAGACAGGTAAAATCGATAAATTTGCAGGTGAAACACAATATATCTTTTATGAAGTCACTAAGAAGCCTGGTCATCCTATATTAAAATTCCATTATTCCAATGATACTGTTCAAGAAGTATCAGTTGCTAACTTGAAGGCTGAAGAAATTCTTGATAAATTAGATCATTACAGTCAAAGATCAGGTAACAAATTAATTAAATTCAATCATAAAGTCATGTCCGTCAACGATTCTGTTAGAGGTATATGGTCTCCATTACATCTTCCAAAGACCCATAGACACAAGATATGAGAAGACAAGTTACATCTTAATCTAGAGACTTCCAGTTACGAAATTTTCCCATTGCATATATCATTACAACGCTTTTGGACTAACGAAATTCTTACCAATTTTGGCCAATCAGTCAAGAGAATTATATATATGACCTGTAAATAGTTATTAAATCTAATGTCATTAAATTTGCTTGCTTTATTTAAGAGTAGTAGTATATCCACCCACAAGTTAACAATTTAATAATAATTAATATTAATGAGCTACACTGATAACTACAACGATAAATATAATATAAAATATAACGGTTTCATTTAACCACTGTTTATTGTTGAAATAAAAGTAAAAATGCATTTATATACAAAAATGATAAAGAAATTAAAACATGTGTTACGTAGACATGCTATTGTTGAAATAAATAAAAAATTCAATAATGCAAAGTATTATATGCCAAATTATTGTCCCAAAAGATTAAAAATTAGTATAAATTAGTGAAGAAAGTAAAGAATGAATGATGTATGATTTAAATTGGAAGATTCTAATTCACAATTTCCACGTTTTTTTGTTCTTCATGATCAATGTCAAGAATTTCTCTATTTGACCCATCGTTATAAATTCTGTAGATTTTATTTCTCCAGAATCCGTCTTCACCAACAATTTCTTTAGTAACCAAAGTGTAGTTACCTAATCTTGGTAAGATTCTAACCCAGACAAGGTAGTAAACTAAACCAATACCAAATACACCCCAAGTGACAACAGCATGAATCCAGTATGGTAAGTGGGTGTAAACTGTTTGACCATCAGTTGGTGGAATATAAGGAGCAATAATCAAATAGAGAGAAGCTAAGAAGAAGAAGATAATAACTGGTAAAGTGGCTTTGATTGGTGGGTTCCATTCAGTTAATCCTTTATACTTCTTATAGTAAACATATAATAAGCCACCAGCTAAGACAGTGTTAACAACATTTAATGGATATGAAATCAAATTCATAATAAAGTTATAAGCATCACCTGGAGGTGGAGCAAGAATGGTAACAATACAAACAATCCAATGTTGCATTAAACCAACAAATGGAGTACCAAATGGTCTAGAAGTAGCCCAGAATCTGGAGAGTGGTAAAGCACCTTCACGACCTAATTGTTGAATAATTCTACCTTGGGAGAAAATAACGGACATAACGTTAGCCCAAGCAGATAAAGCAACGAAAACAGAGGCAGCCTTTTCAGCTTGATCACCAAAAGCATACTTAAAGAATGAAGCAGCTAAAATTCTACCAGAGTCAGCAATTTCTTTCTTTGGAACAACAGCAAAGTAAGCGATGTTAACGAACATGTAAATAACACCTAAGGAAAGGAAAGCAACTGGAGCAGCAACCTTTAAAACCTTGTGTGGGTTCTTAATTTCACCTAAGGCATAGTTGGCATTAGAATAACCAACATAAGACCAAATAACGTTATATAAGGAATTGACAACACCGAAACCAGATGGAGTTTCACCACTGAAGGCATCATGGAAATTGTGAGTTGGTTGGAAGTTGTTAGATTTAATACCTCCACCAAGAGCAACCCAACCAGTAACTGTGATGAATAAAACAATGAAAACTTTAAAGATACCTAAAGCATTGGCTAAAAACAAACCAGCTTTAACATTGATAGCATTGATTAAGAAAGCAAAGGTAATGACAGCAATACCAATACCTCTAGAGTTCCATTGAGTAACTTCTTGACCAGCAGCATTTAAGATATATTCACCAACAACAATAGAGTTACCAGCAGCCCAACCTAAGAAGAAAACATAAGAAGCATACATAGCAGTAACCAAGAATTTTGGTTTTTTAAATAAGTATTCCAAATAATTCTTTTCACCACCATTTCTTGGTAAAGCACTTCCTAATTCCATATAAACCAATAAACCAGATAATGCAATAACAGTACCAGCAAACCACATCATTAAAGCAGTACCAACTGAACCAGATAATTGGAAAATAGTAGAACCAGTGGAGAAAACACCGGCACCTAACATTCTATTAAGCATTAAAAATGAAGCAGAAACAATACCAATTTCTTTCTTATTTTGATCTATTTCGATTACATTACCAGCAGTGTGAGATGACAAACTGTTGACATCAGATGAGTCAGTACCATCTTGCTTTTCAGAAGTACTCAGGAATTTATTAGAAACCTCAGACATTTTAATTGAGTGTCAATTGATTAAGGTTGATAATTATGTTTCAAAAAGAATGCAAATTAAAAACGCTTCAAAGATACGAAAGATTATTGCATATATATATAATTTTTGACAAATGCAGAATTAGAAAAAACTTCGTAAAACAATCTAATCGAAAATTAGGTTAAAATCCACAGAATGCATTGTACTTTCTGATATGTCAGTTAACAGGTAACTTTCAACTATAAAACGGTAGCAGCGCAATTGCAAACTCTGCAGCCATCAAAATAAAAAAAGAAATTCCGAAAAAAAAAGGAAAAATAGGCTTACATACAGGAGTGCTGCAGAAATTCACGGCGTAACCACAAAAAAATTGCCGTTATACACTAAAAAACTGTGTGAAAGACTGCTTTAACGCCCTTAAGTGGTAAGACTAAAACCAAAAGGTCTTGGAAAACGCCAAAAACTAAACGTAATACTTGACAGAGCTCCACAGTTCAGCCACTTTGAGTTTTTAGACTACTTGGCTTATTACTTATCAGATTCTATAATCTTATCTATCGTTTTTATATAGATCATATAAATCAGGGGGACAATTATTGAAGCCTCAAATATAACTTCTATAGCGTATGCAAAGAATAAACGCCGCCTCTACAAGTACTCATCTCATCCAATACTATGTAATTGTTCCTGCCATTAATAAAAAAATATTTTACATAATAAATTTAGGACTGTGGAAATATGTTACGGTAAAAATTTTCTTTTTTCATAGTAACTAAAAATATTAGTAGCTGCAAATACTTTTCTGCGATATTGGTGATTTCACGTGATCCAGAGAGGATGATTAGTGCCGTCATGAGCTGAATAGTTTTTTTTTTTTCATTCGGCAAAATGCAACTATTGTGCTATTCAATATATTGCAATTCGCTTCCAATAGGATCAATTGTTACCTGTATGCTGTCTATATTCTATTGGGGTTTGGACCCAGATCGCCAATTGACGAATCTGTCGTGTGATCTCTCGGCGCATACATAGACGAACGCCTAATTTTGACCAGATTCTCCATAACACGTATTCCTTTTACAAAACTGTGGAGTCGACCCCTACGATACGATCCAAACCTGATTCGTTAATCTTCTTCATGTCTTACTTACCAGCAATTGTATGAGCTGTTTTATTTGTAACCAGCTAATTTCTATAGTCCGTAGCACGGTTTCAAGCTCATCAGATGCTGCTGCAAAAAAATGTGTGGCGATAAATAATATTGGAGCTTAAGTACCACCGTACGCCAAGTCCAAGAATCAAAGGCACTACTTGCGGTTTTGTAAAATTTCAGTAGATGATAATTGAAATAATAATCTTAAATCAATTTTAGTTCATAAACATGACTTTACTACCGCCATTTTACAAATAATAATGTGGGTGAACTCATCGCATCTCTCTAATCTCCACTGTTTTTCTGTATAATTAGACCTTAATGTATAGGATGGATTAATAGAACATAACTCCACCATCGTTTACTCTTACCCTTTCGGAGATGTTTAATTACAATTGAAACGAAAATATTAAATTACGATTATATTGATATACAGATATGTATTAATTGCGACTGTTTATTATCTTTTTTTATTCCCGCCACATGAATAAACATGTTATAACAAGTACAATATTATTTACAAATGTTAAATAGAATTAAATGAAATGATTAAAGCAAGCAGTAATAAAAATATGATTTTCTTTAGGATGATATATTTTATTGTTATTTTTTTTTTAAAAATTGTCAATGACATGATATCTACACCTCATTATTTGAGAGCAGCATCAATTTCTTTCTTTGCAGCATTCAAATTTTCCTCAGTACCAATTAAATAGATGAAGTTGGAATTCTTATCTTGAGCTCTTGGAACAGTAATAAAAGTATTAGTTTTATTTCTAATTTGACTAATCTTAGAACCTTGAGGTCCAACAACTTTAGAGAAAGTTGATGGATTTTTAGAATAATACCAACCGGTGGCATTGGCGGCTTTAGCATTTTCTAAACGTTGTTCAATTAATTTTGCTGCCTTTGCTGTATCTTCTGTTGAACCCTTCAATCTCCATGGAATTAAACTTTCTTCCTTTTCTCCATTAGATTCTTCTTCTGAATTAACTATAGTAAATAAAGTTGTAATATTATCATCAGTTGGAATAGCTGATTCTGGTGGAGTAGGAATCAGAGAATTAGATAATTTAGCGGCTTGTCTTGTAAAAAGTCCATGTTGAACATCAACATTATAATCAGTCTTTAATTTTTTAAAGATAGCTCCTCTTTCACTAACTAATGAATGATATTTAGATGGAATATCAATACTTTCATTCCAATCATCTTTAGTTAATTCAGTAATCTTTGCCTTTACCTTTTCAATATTTTCTGGTAAACCACTTAATTTAATAATAGATGATTCATCATTTGGTCTTGGAATATCAATTGAAACACCAAATTCATCTTGTAATGAATGACGAATATGTCCATTAGATCCAACAATTAATCTATGTTTTTCCTTAAGTAATTCAAATTCTTCAGAAACTTCAGATTCCTTTTGAGCTACAATTCTCTTAACTTCAGCCACAATCTTATCAACAATAGATTTATCACCTTGAGAGGTAACTTCATCAGATCCAGTTCCTTCATTTGGAATATTTAATAATCTGAAATATCTATTTCTTGGTAAATCATCACCACCAGCCTTGGCAATAATTTGTTTCATGACTGAACCACCTTGACCAATTAAATCACGATGATATTTAGGATCAACATTAATAGTTACAGAAATAAAATTTTCAATTTCTTCAATGATTTCTTGAATCTTCTTATTGGCTTGTTTAAGAGCAGTTCTTGAACCAGTTAATTCAACTTCAGCAAATCCAGTTTTTTCTTCACTTTCATTATCTCTCTTGAATTGATATTCAATACCTGTATCAGCAGCAATATCATTAATAGTTTCTCCAGCTTTACCAATAACTCTAGCAATGGCTTTAATTGGAATCTTAATGGTTTGTTGGAAACCATTTTCTTTTTCATAATTATATAAATCTAATAATTCTTCTTCAGCCTTGGCAACATTCTTAGAGGCACCTCTAATAGTAACTTCATCTTTATGTTTTGGAGAATCAGAACTATTATTATCAGTTGGAGTAGAAGTACCAGCACTTGGGAATCTAATCTTAACATTATATTTATCTTGTAATCTATTAATGTAAACCCCACTTTGACCAATTAATTTTCTATGATATTGATTTTCAATCTTTAATCTTGAAGTAGTTTCATCAGCCCATCTTTTAGCTAATTGAATAATCTTGGCTTTAGATTCTTCAACATTTCTTTTAATACCGACAATCGAAAGATTAGTCTTAGCATTCTTATCTTTATTATTATCTTCTGGTTTACCATCATCACTGACATCAATTTTAACACCATGTTCATCTCTTAAGGCATTCAAATTGGCACCTGCCTTACCAATTAATCTTGATAAAACATGAGTTGGAACTTCAATAACTGAAGAATAAGCATTACCATGTTCTTTAACATCAGCAAGAACAGATTCAATATCCTTTTTAACTTTACCAACTTCAGATTTAACACCATGAATAAGAATTTCATTATCTGATTTACCAGTTCCATTAGAATGTAATTTAACTACTACTGAATTTGGTTCAACAGAATTTAAAATAGATTTTAATGTAGTACCCTTTGGACCAGAAATATCAGCTTGATCCTTTGATGGAACTGAAAGTACAACAGATTCTAAAGTTGAAGATAATTCTCTTAATTTATTTAAGGCTTCATCAACTTTACTTAAACCAATAGAAGTATCAGTAGTTTCAACAAAATCAAAATCATCAGTTTCAGCTTTTTCTTCACCAAATAAAGTAATAGTCTTACCTAAAATAACATAATCAACATTATTGATTTTAGCAATTTCATTAATGGTTTCAGGAACTTTGGCAAGTAAGAATTCATCAATATCTTCAATAACTTTAGTTTGATCAGGAGTAATTTTATTAACCACTTGAACAATGGATTTTCTAGCCTTTAAAGTCTTTTCTGGTTCACCATTTTTACTAACAATTTCAATTGGAATTGAAGAAACTTCATCATCAGATAAAGTTTTAATTTCCGGAACTTTAACTACAAGATCATTTTCATTAGAAATAGTTTTAAAAGTACCATTTTTATCTAAGAAAGCAGCCACTGCCTTAACATGTTTTAAATTACCCTTATGAGCTTTTGACATATCAAGAATTTCAACTTTAAATTGAGAACTAGTTTGTCTAGCCTTTTCCTTAGCTTGAGTAATTTTCTTCTTTTCACCAATAAATTTAACATTAGTTTCAGGTTCAATTGGTAATTTAATTAATACATTATCTTCTTCTAAAATCTTATCAATTGGTAAAAATTGATGTTTAATTACAGGAATTGCAACTTCTTCAACAATAATCTTTTCTGATAATGATTCTAAACTAGTTTTAATTTCTTGTTTAGCTTGAATGGTTAATTCTCTTTCACCATATACTAAAATATTATTGCCTGAAGATTTATATTCTGGAATTGAAATATCTAAAGTATTATATTTTTCAACAATGGATTTTAATTGTCCAATAGCAAATGGTTTAACAATATCACTAACTTTAATCTTAGCTGTTAAATTCTTAGTTTCTTCTTTAACAATAGCTAAAATTTGAGATTTAGCCCGTTTACAACCTTCAGCATCTCCTTCAATAGTAATCTTAATAGTTTTTGAAAAAAGATCATCTTCATCTTCTTCTTCATCTTCTTCATCTTCAACTTCATCTTCGACTTCAACTTCATCAAGATTACCAATATCAATTCTAACTTCATTAGCTTGAATAATTGGTTTTAAAGTTTTACCTTGAGGTCCAATGATTCTTGATCTAAGTTTGGCAGGAACTGTGAAAGTAGATTTAACTGGTTTGGTTAATTGTTTAATAACCAATCTCTTAGCTTGAGATACATCTTCTGGTTTACCAGTAATTAAATAAGTTCTCTTTTTAGTATGTTGAGAAGTTGTACATTCAATAGTAGTATTGGTTTCAGTCTTAATGGAAGTTAAGATCTTAAAGAAATCTTTATTATCGATTTTAATTTGATCTTCAGCATCAAGCGAGAAAGCTTCTTGAATATTTGAAAGCTTTGGCTTACCACTAGCTCCATTAGTAGATCCAGAAGTATTAGTTGATTTTGATTTAAGAGCAGGAGATGCAGCTTTAACAGGAGTTACTGGAGCTTTCATAGAAGGACCCCAAGATCCTACAACTGGAGTAGCAGTTCCACTTGATTTCTTTCCACCACCTAAAGCAGGGAAAGCACTTTCATCAGCTAATGAAGGAGTTGGAGTAGAAGCCTTAGTAGAAGTAGTACTTTCATTACCAACTACTTCATTATCTGAGAAGTAAGAATCCTCATTGGTATTGGAGGAAACTGGAAGATTTTCATTATTGTGACGAGCAGCAATAATTTCAGCAGGAGTTGGCATGATAAATTAAAGTAATGAATCAATTAAGCACACGAGACAATAACTAAGTTGATAGTATAGTAATAGTATAACAAAATGGCAATGTCTAATTCACAATGAAAACAATAAATAATTGATTGTAGATTAAACAGCAGTATAGATAAAAGTTGTATAGACTGGAAGTTTATAAAAATTATCTAGTTAGGGTGGTGGGTGAATTAGGTAATGAGTAATGAGTAATTGGGAATTGGGAATTGGTTTGGTGGTATAATGGTAAAATGGTATATGATATGGGTATTAGAGGTCTATATTATGAATGTGAAAAAAATTAATAAATGAACAACTGGCCAAGTATTAATAGAGGAGTTACACGAGTACTCTAGTTGCACAAACAATACCCTTAATTAAGTGGATGTAAGTAATTAGCTTTTAGTAAAGGTTAATGCCGTGTTGAAAAGGTTGGAAATTCCTGAAAAATGTCTCGATCGACACCTGCGAAAAACAGGACAGCAGAGAACTTCCCAATGAGGAAACGATGGAGGAAAATCTCCTGTACATAGACATACTATGGATCAAAAAAATTATTATTATTATTTTCTATTCTACAACGTCATATATCTGCCATGTATCTCCTATACAGTATATGTACAATGAATATATCTACAATGTATATATGTAACTATGTAGTCTCTACTCTAGTCATGTAGCCGCTAATCCCACTAAACCCGTAGCATGAATAAGGAATGTTCGACAATCACTGGCCTGTTTGGTTGGACGCGTGCTTGTGCTTGTATTAGTATTAGTATTAGTATTAGTATGCGAATGCAGTTTAGTCACGCTTTTATCGTACGAATGCACAAGATCTGCTAGTGAATTATAAGATATAAAAACATCAGTATCAATGGGCTGATAATGGTTGGCTCCTAGAACCTTAAAGTTACTGAGAGTTACTTTACGTCCCTCCCATCTATCATATGAATTAAGATCAGGTATACAATTGATAATGTAGTTCTTTTCCATGTTACTGTAGAGACCATCGTAGCAAGTGAATTCGTAATTATTTATAAGAATATGTGTTTTCTTGGCTAGATTATTGCTCAAGGAACATACAGATAATGATAACTGTGACAATTTAGTATCTTCTTCTGATACAGGTAATGAATGAACAGAAGTATTGTTAGAACTCACCGAATGTCGCCTGTCAAATAATGAATCAATCCCACTAGATCTCGATGATGAAGATGTAGAACAGCGACACAAGTTATGTGAACTTGCAACTATCATATCATCAGCCATATGAGGGTTATATAAATTTAATTCCACTCCATTTCGTAATACTTCACGTTCAATCAGATCTTGGTGATGAGGACAAGTGTTCTCAATGTTACCAGCCATAAATTCATTATAAAGACTTAAATATCTTGGGGGTATCGTTCTGAATCCGTAAGAAGATCTTGTTTCTAATGGAGTACTCAAATCTTTGCCAACAGTAAGCAGTCTAAACCATTTCAACATACCATCAAATGACCACATTTGTAATAGTAATTGCTTATACTCTATTCTCAATCTCAATGTATTCTTGTATTTAATTAAGTTTTGATATTTCTTAAAATTAAAATGTTCAAGAAAAACTGCATCATCTTTATGAATCATCAACTGTTCAAATGATGGAGCTTTCCCTATACCAAGATTCAGTAATGTGTATGAATGTATGAGTTTGCCTTGATATTTTGATTTAAATTGTTTATAAGTTTCTTCCAGACTTGAATCTGTGGGTTCAAATAGAAATTGGTTATCACTTATGGTCGAATAGAAACTTTCTAAATCGGAACTGCTGGAATGTTTAAAGCTTTTCCGAATAGACTTTAATTTAGTCAATGTAGATCCACCACGCGAATATTCCTTCAAAGGATTTATACCCTCATCATCATCATAGCCATCAAACATTTCTGCACTATCATGGCCAAGTCCTGAAAATTCCTTAAATGATTGATACAGATTCCATAAATGGTCTAGCTTATTTCTTTCATTAAATAGATATATTATAGTATCATTAAGACGATTGTTTACATTCAAACTGTAAATGTTTAACTGGGTGGAATTTAATTCGAGAAATACTGGCTTCCATTTCCGACTGCTCTCGTTGCTGCTATAAGGAGTTATAAATTCTGTCTTGAATAGACTTAATCCATAGAACTCTATGGTTGGTTTGTATCCCGGCAATAATTCTTTTGGTTTTGTATACTGAGGTGGGGAATCTAGTTCTTCCTTTTGTATATACGACGGTGGGGATTCACTCGTTATCTTCATCATTATGTTCTGTATTAAAATACGTAACAAATATAATTTTTCTATAACAACTGTTAGTATTTATATATAATGATTCCACAAATTGGCCAACAATCTTGACTAGAAAAGCAGAATCTAAAACCCTGTTTTGGTCGGGCCAAGATCTGAAGTTGCACAAATTACCCCACATAGTTTATAATTTTTAGAACTTTTTTGCGCGCTCCTGTAGCGAAGTCTCCGAGTTGACATGTGCGGATATAGATATATCGCCTAACTTGCGAGAAGAAAAAAGTGACCCATTACCAAAAAGGATCATTATTTCTTGGTTGCACATCTTTGTTGTCTGGTCATTATATCTAAAAGAAGTATAGTAAAAGTTATTTTACCTTTCGGTTGTCTGATGCCAAGCCATTATTGTTTTGGTTGTGGATTTATAACTTTAAACACGATACGTACTTAGTGGAGTGCCAACTCTTTAGTAATGTGTAATGAGTAATGACTAGTGAGTAATTGATAGTGATAATGCCAGCAATAGTTGTAGTTGTAGTTGTAGTTGTAGTTGTAAATCTAGTAATAATATTAATAGTAAATCCAACAGAAGAAAACTATACCTTTATATAATTGTAGTGAATAAATGGCAGCAATATTCGGGCCGACTTCAAAAATTTCACTCACTATATCTGTACTTTTACTGTTAAAGCTGCAATTCCAAGTGTGAAGATATTCACTTACGAGTAGCTCTACAGTGATTTTACAGTCGTTATACAGTTTATAAGACTTTTGTTGTACACTGGTTTTATACAATAAAACCTTGTTTAGTATACCCACCCTTCAATCGATATAGAGATAGAGAAATCGCCATTACACCATATGTAAGATGTAACATTTGCAACACAGCAGTCACACTACTATGAGATGGACCGGCAAGACATATCATGCAGAATATCATTGGAATGCATGATGACCATTGACATTCTTCTTACTGGCTCTTTGCTGATTCAGTTCTCGTACACAAAATCCTGTTTTGTGATCCTCCGTATCAACTCCGTTTCAAATGTGCTGCAAACTTGACTGAACTAATAAAATGTTCATTACGAGCTATACCATTGGGTAAATCACAAACTTATACATTCTTCATATATAGTTTTACTATTGTTTTACTGTTATTAAAACTTACAGGGTCAGATGATTGATTGTCGATCCGATACAACATATGGTAGTCATTGATCAGGCAATTGCGCACCGAACAATGGAAAGCGCAAAAATTAGCTACAGATGGACTCATTAAGTTACGGTTGCTTACATTGTAACGATTTACACCTCCCTAGAATCTAAAAACTGTTTAATATTATCAATCAAGTCTTGCTTCTTGGTTGCTGATTTAATTTTATCACGATATTTTTGTTGAAAGCTCTTCAATTGAGGGACCGTAAATTTACCAAATTCGTCATTTTTCCAGGCTTGTAAAATTCCATCTTCATCAACCGGTGGAGCTACTGCGCTTTGACCTTGAGCTGTTTTCCGTTTTTTAGTGGAAGACGTTGTATCTTCATCATTTTGAATTTTTCTCTTTGCTTCATCTTCATGACTAAGTTCACTAAGTAATGCATTGATCTTTTCCACCAACTGTACTCGATTAGGATCATTCATTAAGTAGCCACGTAATTCACTTAACTTCAAAACGCTCACATCATTCTTAATTAATTTTTTATCTTCATCACTTAAACTGATTTGTAATAATTCACTTTTAATTATTTTATAAAAGTAGTTGAGACTAGGGCTTGGATAATCTGATGGAGAGTAAGTGTCGTAAAAGAATTGACTAAATAACTTCTTTAAATTGAACACCAATTCATCGGAAGTTACTCCATTAGATGTTTCATCTGTTTCAAATTGATTACCCTTAAAGTGATACATAATATCTGGCAAACTTCTTACATCTTCAATCCATGGTAAACGAATTAATAAAAATCCTTGAGGGAAATCCTGCTCATTCTGTTGATTACGGGTAGAATATTCAATACGTGTTGGATAAAAGGCATATAATGTAGGTTTAGCACCTTTTCTAATGCATCCAAATAATACTGCAAATTTCTTAAGCTTAGTACATGATTGATACAATGCTGAAAATGTCGTGAATGAATTCTTATATCCACCTTTTGAAGAAGAGCTTCGAAGTCCATCATTGAGATCAGCAGTAACGAATATTGGAGGTTTGGAATTATAGGTGATATCCAACTTATCAATATTTCTAAATCCAACGAGCTTGAGATAAGGCGATGCAGTTATTTTGACTTGTTTGGTGACATTATTTTCATTGCTTCCATTTTCATCTTCATCTTCATCTGCATCATGAATTCCAAAACCAAATTCATCCACTACATTATTGTCATTCTCTTGATCCTCATTTTTAACTGTAGTGGTTTCTCCAAGTTGACCAATGTTATGATCAAATGTATAATTGGTCATTAATTCTTCGACATTCTTCTTAAGGAATACAACATCACCTCCTGAGATTTCATGACCCTTAAAAATGTTATTCTGAGCCTTTTTCTCAGAAGCTGATTTCTTCTTATAGTTCGCAATCTCTTCCTGTGAAGCATGATTGGATAGTTTTTCAATGTCAATGATCTCTCCATTGGCTGTGTTAACTAGGGAAGATTCAGTGAAAACCTTCTTTAGACTCTCACCTTTATTATGTAACCTTAATTGGGCCCTATACTGTTCTTTATTGTAGAGAGTATAACCCTTAACAGAACAACCAAAATTCCCACCAACTTCTGGACCATCACTAAGGATTAAATTACAAGCAAATTGGATCCTACGAACCTCCTTTATTCGAAATATACTTTCTCTAATTTGATTATTGAGAACAATAGTCTTAAATACAGAAGAATCCTTGTTATAACCTTTAAATGAACCACCAAATCTATCATCATCATCATCGTCATCATTTTCATTTTCATTTACATTATTAAATGGTTGATCCTCTTGTTTAACCCTAGTTTGGCTCAAATAATTAGTATTAATGAATATATCTTTATATAAGGAAGTATCAAATGGTTGAGTTGAATTGGTAGGATTTAAAAATATAGGATTTATATAATGATTATAATTATAATAATCATTAATAGTTCGCCATAAACTCTCTTTGGTCTGGGTTTTAGTATAAGGTTGAGGATTATTAGTTATCCAAAGTAATTTATACCTATTAAATTCCTTTTTTGCTCTTATTTCATCTAATAATCTATTAAATATTATGGGTAAATTTTCAGTATCATGATTGTTTAAATAATCAAAATAATGAGAAATGGATCTAACTGATTGAATATCATCATTTACTAAATCATTTAATAATTTCATATTTTGTAAATTAAGAGAATTCAATTTGAATAATTTAACAAATCCATTAGTGGAATTTTTCATAGGTCTAAGGACAGAATTCTTAACTTCACTAGTATCACAATTATAGAAATAGATTCCAACTCCACTACTTCTCATTGTCATAACTAATTCAGACATAAGATCATTAATTGCTTCTAATATAGTAAATAATTGACTCTTATTATCAAGTTCAGGTAATGGCTTTAATAAGTCGGATGACACCTCAATTAGGAAGATAAACCCGTCTTTGATTTCATACTGTTTATATCCATTATTGTCATCTTCATTATCCAGTTCCGCTCCATACTGACTATTATTATAACTCATAGTTGCCTATATAAATGTTGAGTTAAGTATATAATGAAGCTACAAGTATTACCCCAGACTATAAAGGGACGTGTAGCGAGAAACAAAAATTTCGGCCTGGTACAGTACAGTAATTGTTGCTCGGCCAAATGTACCGAGCGGTCCCTCTATGCTGTCTGGGTTATCTACATACTTAACTACTTAACTACTACATACTTAACACATACATAACCATACAAATGACTATACACTTCCTATTGATTCTAAATAGACAGGGCAAAGCCCGACTTGTGAAATGGTTTAATAATGATTATCTGAATCAAGAGAGACAACGATATTTACTGGAGATTCACCGATTGATAAGTTCTCGAGATGATTCCAAATATCAATCCAATTTTGTTGAATATGAACAACAACATAAATTAGTATATAGGCGATATGCTGGACTATATTTTGTATTTGGAATTGATTTAAATGATAATGAATTAAATTATTTAGAGAGTCTACATTTCTTTGTGGAAATCTTGGATGAATACTTTAATAATGTTTGTGAATTAGATCTCGTATTCAATTTCTATAAACTTTATAATATATTAGATGAAATTTATTTGGGAGGACAGATCCAGGAAATACTGAAATCAAGAATACTTGAACGTTTGGCTTATTTAGATAAGTTAGCATAGTTAGCTTAATTAATTTATAGATACTTTCTTTATAGGATTTTCAGTCAATGCATTAACACCTTTCTTTTCAACTATATCCCATATTAATTTAGTAACTTGTTCTATGTTCTTATTATTGACATCAACTATTTCAATAGAATCATCCGTATCAGTAGGAAGAATTCTTAAGAAACTCTTCTTTACAATGGTTTGAAATTCTTGTAATTCATACCTTTCTTCTCCCCATCCTTTTCTATTACTTAATTCAGCTAAATCCAAAGTTAAGAATAAGGTCAAATCTGGTTTTGGTAATCCTAAATCGGGTCCTATTAACCAATTAACATCACCAATTTGTTCATCCACTGTTGAAGTAACTGTTGAATCATTTGCATTCCGTTTGGAGAATTCATATTTAGCTAATGAATATGCAATCCCACTATATATATATCGATCTAAGATTATGAAATATCCTTCATTTAATAATTGTATAATCTCATTATTCAATTCCCATCTATTGGCCAGAAATAGTAAATGTGCAGACTGATCACTTAATTGAACCAGTTTATCAGTAAGGTATTCATTTATGATGGATCCAATCTTAGTAGTTCTATCCGGGAATTTGAGTAATTTGCTTTTAGAAAATTTAGCTGTCAATATGGATGATTGAGTAGATTTTCCTGATCTATCTAAGCCTTCAATAAGGATCAATTGGCCACGAGGTGACATGGTTGGAGTCCGATTAAGATGTTGAATGTTCACTATCGGACTAGTGAAAATATATTAGTGCACGCGTCTTCGTATATCTAGGCTCTATTCCCGAAAGGGAAGAGGCATACGAGTTGGAGGGTCATTTTGCAATTTACACTAATTAGTAGTTAATCAACTAGATAACAACATACTATCGAATAAATACTTTTTGTATACTTAGTATACTTAGTATACTTAGTCAAGTGCCACATAGAGTAATAGAGAAATAGGAATATGGACATAAGGTGAATAAACGGCTCAAGGATGATCACACAAGAGATTAAACAACAAGAAAGAAATTAAAGATATACACAATGAAATACAGATGTATAAGGGATCATGACCGAAAGAGTCATTGAATAAACTCATCAACCGGAGATACACCCTCATATAAGTCAATCTATTATACCATTCTACTATAAAAGGAAAAGAACATTATAATCTTTCATCACAATTAATGAAAAGACAAATGATACAATTCCGAGAGCCAACGACTATCAAGTTGACGATATGGGGAATTTAAATTGTCAACGACGTCATTGGGATGGATAACTGTAAAGAAGAAGAAGAACAAGAAGTACAAGAAAGTGATATCTACGAAAATTTTTCTTAACTCAAAATCTGTAATCGCACTGGCCAGAATTGGTGTGCTACACGACATCGTATATAAATGTGTTGCAAAAATTGTTAATATTTAGGCGCTAAACAACTCATTATACCATAGAGTATTGGACTATATACTTCGGACTAAAGTTAGTTTAATATTGAAGTAGATTGAATTGAATCACTAACAAGAAGGAGTTAGTTTCTTACCCTGAATAATATCCAATTTGTTCCAAAAGATTCCTACCCGATCAACTATTAAAGTATACAACTGATACTCCAAATCACTATTGAATAAATTCATTTAAAATGCCCTGAATCCCTAGGAACCTTTCTGAGGGTTATAGAATACTACCTATTATCAATCCAAACCTTGAATATTTAGATATGAATAGAGATCAATCACGGCAAAACAATACCAACAATATCATTGCCTTAGTCATAGAATGTGCTAAGTTTTTATTACCTCTTATAGTGACTTCAGTCACTGAATACTTTGATAATAGACGTATGTCTAAATTGGGTTTAACAATCAAGAAGTTCAAAAAGTCTTTTAAAATATATCAGAAAAGAATGAATAAAGAAGTACATAGATTGGATAATAGAGTTGAAGCATCAAATTCAAAAGTCAAGTTAATGGGTAACAAAAAGCCTATAAAACTTTACGGCGAATGGAAAAATGTAAAAAAATCAAATTCAAAATCAAATTCAGAAGTCAAGTTAATGGGTAACAAAAAGCCTATAAAATATTACGACGAATGGAAAAATGTAAAATTTGCCAGAAAAAGGCCTAGAATCTTTGCATATCCTTAAATTGGATCTTCATCACAAAGCTTTAGAGATCAATACAGGTGATATGGTTTCAACAGTTTGAAAAGATTTTGATACTTCACTTATGGTTGTTGCTGGTTATGTTAATGGAGATGATGATTTCTTGACTGGCTTTGGTGAACCAGGTGTAGACTTTTTCAGACTTGCTGGTTTAGTTACCTTAGGAGTTAAAGCCTTTGGAGTAGATGTTTTTGGAGAGGAAACTTTAGGGGCCTTTGGAGTTGATGCCTTTGGAGTTGATGCACAACATCCAACATCCATTCCTCATTAATTTGAAATATTTACCTATTATTCCTGATGTTCATTCTCGCTCCCTCTCTAGTCTTCGTGGTAAATTTATTGGTCCGTATGAAGTTACCAAGGTTCTTTCCCCAGGTAAATATGAAATTGCTTTACCCCCAACCCCCCGCGTCGGGCTCCAAGTATAAGTACTATAAGTATAAAAGTAGAGGAATTGTGTAACTATATAGTAATTTAGGATCTAATAATGTTCTAGACAACTTAGTGATAAGCTCAGTAATGTCGTAATTTAGAGCAAAAGATAAAAGATATGGAACATAGGCAAATAGGTCGTGTGCATGACACTTTGCATATTATTCTGCTTATTTTTGAAAATGCAAATTATTCTTGTAATTGCAAATTATTCTCTTGTAGTTGCAAATTATTCTGCTAATCTGCTATTGCGTAATATTTATATATATACATATAAATACAATTAAATTCACTCTGATTTGTCTTGTCCATTTAACCCTATACAAAAGACCTATTCTGAAAGTGAATATCTATCAAAGGATGGCCAAACTGCTAACAAAATTTGATGTGGGTCGCCAACCTGTTATCATTCTAGTCAGAACAATGATGGAAGATGAGTTTATAAATTATTATCCTCGATATCCGTTGGCTGGCCAAATATTTATTCATAATATCCAAAAATATGATTCCTCTATACCATATGAAAATACTCTGAGTTTTTATTTTGATAACTTTCACAAATTTAAGTCCACTCCACAAGATATTACATTACAATTTATCCTTGGAAAGGATGATGATGGAAGTAGTATTAGACCCTTATTAAAGAAGTTGCTTTATTATAGAAAATATAAACCAAAACTTTCACTTCATATTTATCGTAACTTTAAAGAAGGTATCCGATCCAATTTCTTCATGCCTTATAGGCTAATGTCTAAATTCAAATGGTTTGGTTTTCGATTCGATACTGATTATATCTCTAAAGGATTCAAAATGAAATATCATGACTTGATGAGAAGTTTCCCTATCATTAGGTTAGAGAAGTTAGATAAAAATCTTCAAGAATTACATTTAGGTCAGAAGTTGAGAGTAAGAGGATATAATAGTTTAAGAAAACTTTCCAGTATAACTTTTGAATGTTGTGATTTGGAGTCCCAAATTTCGTGGTATCTCTCTACAATTTTTGTGATTGAAGACTCATGGTGCATCAATACAGCGACTCGAAAGTACCCCAAAACCAGAATGTTGAAACTTCGAAGGGCAGCATGTTGCTGTTTCGAAGCTGAGTCAGAAGAGGAAGAAATTAGACCTTACAATAAATATAGACGCCACTACATCATACAGGCTCTTGATAAAATCAGACAATTTTTTCACAACCAAACTGAGATAAAGCTCAGTGCTCTTTCACTTGATTGCAAAGGAAGATTAAACTATGATAAATGTGACGTCTATTACGATGATGCCGAAAGTGCAATCGAAAAAATGAAGAAGTGGTATTCCGACGACACTTGGATCAGTTTCTAGATGGTGTTTGTAAGATTTAGATATTCAATTTCCTATCTATTTTTGTAGTTGATTATATTAATGTGGTATTAATGATAACATTTTTCTCCTGTAATTCCTTAGCTATGCACAAAAATATTAGAACTTTTAGTTAATAATGTTGAAAACCAGAATTGTTTAATATATAGAAGAGTGTATCTAATTAATAATTCTGACTACACGGGTAGATAGGATTATAAATTTAAGAAAATCAATACAGCCAACAGTACACACACCTAAAGATAACTAGAGTCATTGTCCGTAAACGTTATACAGTCTTTAGATACGTTGCAGTTGTGACTAGTGACATTATCTTAGCAAAAAAATTGAAAGTATAAACAAAAAATAATATTCCTGTACTACAGTAATGATATGATTATAACAATAGTGATGATTATAATCGTGTCCCGATTTAGGATCGAAAATTACTAAAATGGGTAAAATCGAATTTTAGCACCAACAATAGTTTAATTATTTTTATTTTTCACTTTGGCTGCTGCGGTTGCTGCGTAAAATTAAGGAACAGTCGGTAACTCCCACCGGATCTACTGGTACCACGAAAACTATTAGAACTATTAGAACTATTAGAATACTATTAGAAATATAGGTTCATGGATCTGAGAGGATCGACGCGGAGTTAATGGATGTATGTCCGACGTAACCAACCACTTTACAATAACGAATCCTCTATCTTTCTTGTACTAGAGTAGTGTGTTACGTGTAACGAGGCGGAGAGGCTCTTGGATCAGAAATTTTTTTTTTGTACTTGTTTCGGGAGGAGTCGCTGAAGGTACGTTGTTCCAAGAATGTTTTACATCTGCATAGAGTAGACAGAATAGCGAGATGAGGTGGAAAACAGCAGTTGCGCATACGTGTGGAATAAGAATCGATTAAAGTGTCAAAATGAATTTCATATTACTGCAAATAATAAAGGGGGTAATTCCCACATTTCAACAATACAATGATATTCACGTAAACATTCTTTATTGTAGTGAATCTCAGTAATTAGAGAAATCGCAGTAATCTCATTAATATTACTCGCAGCCTCTTTTCTCACTATACTAAAAAACAGTACACCTGTAATATGTTAATATTTGTTAATATTTCTTTCTATCTAAGTATCCTATACACTTAAGCTACACTACAACTATATATAGAAGTAAAACAAATAAAAACTAATAACCCAAACAATTTATTAACCCTAACCAATCTATACTGAAACAAATAGCAAACGTAGCGTACACCGTACTATACACCGTACACCGTACCACAACTCCGGCGTGCATCTTCCAAAACCGCCTACTAAAAAAAGATTTCTGAGCAGGACACACCCGACAAGGCTCAGTAGAGTTCGGTTCAGGTCAGTAAAAGGTCGGTTGAGTGTGTGTTTGACTATTCCACCTAATGTATAGTTATGCTAGATTCGTTGTGATTATCGTTTAGTTAATTATTTACTTACATATATATTAAGTTACTATCATTGAATCGAAATTTTTTAGAACCACAATTTACTTCGAGAATAGCTTTGCTTCTACTACTCGCACACATTCGCTTCCTTAACCATTCTCTATTATTGATCTGGTTGATTTTTGATCTACCAGTCAACGGACCCTTCACCACAGCATAAAATTTTGATTTTCATTTCATATCGTATTATTTGCATTCAAATTCAAATTCAAATTCAAATTCAAATTCAAATTTAAATTCAATTTAACTTTCATAATGTCTAATGTTCAAATCCTTACTTTAGGTTCAAATCCTAACCTTGTATATTATGGTTGGAGATTATATGAAACTATGTCATCAGTAGAAATTACTATGGTTAATCCTTCTATTATGACACCTATTTTATGGTCTTCAAATAATTTTAATAATAATTTATCATTTCAACCTCATTATACTTATCAAAAGATTAATCAAGTACCTCAATCATCTTATAAATTTGATATTGTAATTTTAAGTTCTAATAGTTTACAAGATTTTCAAACTATTACTAATGATTTATTATCTTATATTAATGAAGATACAATTATTTTAATTGAAAGTACTGGTTATGTAAATTTAGAACCATTCATTAAATTAAGTTTACCTCAACATTTACAATCACGAATTATAATAATGTCAATTATGAATGAATCAGATATTAAACAATTATCTTCATCAAAATTTAATCATACTGTTAGAAATAATGATACAAGAATTTATTTTGGTAATTCTTCATCTCAACAATCAAATCCAACTAATTCAGTTAATTATCAAAGATTATATAAATTATTACTTACAGTTCAACAAGATTCAAATAATGCAATAAGTTTATTAAAATCTCTTGTACCAAAAGAATTTATGACTTATCAATGGAAATTAGCTTTACCTCGGATAGTATTTAATCCATTAACAATCTTATTTGAATCACCTTATCCTGCTAGTTTAAATCAACAAATTTTATGTCAACCTTTAATAAAAGGAATTATTAATGAATTATTTAAAATAATTAAAAAAATGGATTGTAAATTAGTTAAAGGATTTGAAAATGAAACTAATTTATTAAATAATTGGTCAAAATATTATCCTCAACCCAATAAAGGTGAAGATGATTCATATATTAATACTAATAATGTATTTTATAATTTTTATCATCAATTGAATGAATTTTTAGAAATAGATTTATTATTATTACAGCCAATTTTATTAGGTGATGATCATGGTATTAAAACTCCTTATTTAGAAAACCTTTATTCAGTTATGTGTCAATATGTTAAAATTAATTCCAAAGCTTCTATTTTATTTACTAGAAATAATGGTGGTTCAATAACAAATAATGCTAATGGTAATGGTCATAGTAATAGTAATGGTCATAAAGATTTTAATAGTAAAGAATTTGAAGCAAAACAAAAGAAATTACATGAAATCGAAACCAGATCTCTTGACTTGAATAATTCTATTAATAAGTCAGAAGTGTATCATCAAGAGTTAACTTCTAAGATTAAATCTCATGAATCCACTTTGGATACATTACAAGAAAAGATCAATAACTATCAAGCATCCTTAGATCAATTGCATAGAGATTATGAATCAAAGTCTAAGATTTTACTGGATAACTATAACAAATTCCAAGCAGACTTTGAGCAAAAGAAACTCACTAACGAACAACAGTTGGACCAACAAAGACGAGACGCTGAAGAAGATATCAAGAAGCGAATTGCTTCTGCAGAACATCAACAGCAACAACAGCAGCAGCAACAGCAACAGCAGCAACAGCAAAAGCAGCAACAGCAACAGCAGCAACAACCACAACCACCACAACCACAACCATCACAACCACAACAACAGCAACAACAGCAACAACAGCAGCAACCTGCAACTAAGAATGTAAGAGATTCAGTTCAACCAACTGACAATTTGGCTGATTTGACTCATATTGCCTTATACGGAGCTGCCATTAACGGTGAAATTACTTCTGCCCCACCTCAGGCAACTGAACAGGCCGCTTCAAATGGATCTGTACCAAACCATCTACATGAAAAGGAGCTTGAATTACAGAGACGTGAACAAGCATTGTTGGCACGTGAAATGCAAGCTTCAGCATCCAGTACTGAATCCTATCAACCACAACAACAATATGTTGATGCTTCTGCTTATCTTCCAGGTCCTGGCCCACAATTTCAAAAGCCATATTACGGAGGACCTCAGCAACCACAACAATACTATAACAACAATAGCGGATACTTCAACCAAGTTTATACTCAACCATCACCTTTGGATCAACAACCACCTCATGGATTACCTAGTCAAGGATTACCACCCAATGCTTTACCTCCTAACTTAAGAGGTAGTAGTTCAATGGTATCAAATGTCAATCGTTATCAACAACCTTTACCACCAAATGGGTACCCTGTTCGTAGAGTTGGATCCATTCCTAATGCAGTAAATGCTTATGGAGATTATCCACCTCAAGGTTATGGACAACAACAACAACAACCTAACTTTGCCAATGCTGCTCCAATTGATTCATTTGTAGAAAACCGATTCAAAGCCAATCCTAAAAAGCTGAATCGTAGATCAGCATTCCCAGGAGCTCTTGAAGGTATTGATATGGGAGGTCGTGGAGGTATGCCAGTTCCAGGTAATCATCAAAAACATAGATCTGTTGGACCTATGAATGGATTAACTATTCCACCATCTCAAGCACAACAAAGGAAATCGGTAAGTAATCCATTAAATGGACAATTCAATAATCTTAATTTGAATGGTCAACAACAGCCACCTCCACCACCATCCCAACAACCATCCCAACAATCAATTCAACAATCAAGTCAAAATGGTGGTAGTAATTATAATGGATCTGGCAATAATTATCTCCAACCTCCAAACTTGGCTTCCAATGCTTCTAGTCAATCATCTACCAATACAAATGATACACCTCAAACATCTAGTAGTAATGATAGTGATGCTAATGGAGGTGCTATAGATACTTCAATTGGTAAACCATTAGGATCTATTTCAGATTCTAATCGTTCCACTGGATTGGATCACAAACAAAGCAAGAAGAGATCGGGATTATTTGGAAGAAAGAAGTAAGAAAAGTATGATGTGTTTCTAAGTTTGGTTTTGGTTTCTTAAAACATGTTGCAAAAGATAATTACATGGGTAATTTGTTTATTTGTTTATTTGTTTATTTGTTTGTGTTTGTTTGTATATTTGTTCTTATATTCCATAATGTTTTCTATTGACGTTTGCTTTCTTATGTACATTATATACTATTATTATTATTATTATTATATTATTATTATTATATTATTATTATTATTGTTAGTTTAGTATGGCTGTAGGGTTTAGTTGATATATGGGTCAAAGCATCCAAACATCACATACCCGTACCGCCACGCATCCATACACACCAACAACATCCATGCCTCCAAAACCCATTACACCAAATTTGGTTCGTTCATACTTAACTACCATACATTAACCACCATACATTAACCACCATACATTAACCACCACCAAATTACTATGGCAGGAAAGCGGACATTCTACACCGACGATGAGTTGGTGATAACTAAGCCCGGCACCAATGTGGAGATCAGTGCGGAGTTAAGGGAAAAGGAACTGGCTCATGGCAACATAAGTTTCATAGAAGGAATGGGGATTAGAACTACACCATACTTTGAAAAGTATGCTAATCAATTTCGATTATATTTGCATGATAAGACGTCTGTTGCCGAAGCAGAATTGAATACACAAATTAGTGCAGTTAATAATGAAATTCAATCTATAACTAATGAAATTCAATCATTTATTAAAGAACCTTTATTACCTAATAGTATTTATATATTAACTCTTACATTAGCTGGATCAATTTTAGTTAATAGAAGAGTATTCCCCTTAAGATTAGTAACTCCTATACTATTTGGTACTGCATCCTTATCCTACTATATGCCAAATACTTTTAAAACAATTACTACCAGATATGAAACTTATGAGAAAGAAACATTTCCTGAGTTTAATACTCAAAAGAATCAATTAATCTTTGATAATTACTATAAATTCAAACAAGAGTTTGAAAATCAATTGGATCTGGCTAATGCTACATTAACTGATTCGGTTCATAGTGCTAGAGTATATATCAAAGATTTGATATCCGATGACGATAACTAGACTGTACTAAAAACTTTTGTGTATATGTAATTCTTTATATAAACAAACAAACAATAATAAATATATAATATTCAATCTATAATGCTCAACTAGCCAAGATTTGATACGTGGTGTAGCTCATGGCTACAGCTCCAATGAGTACCAATACATAATCCAAACCTCCTAATAAATATCTCTTATTCCTTTCCCAATCACTTAACCCATCATGAATTGTACAACAACTCTTTAAATGTAACATTGGAGGATACATATATACCAAAGGTATACAAGCAAAACATCCTACAAATGATACAAATTTATCTAAATTCTGACCTCCTATAATGGCAATGTATGCTACAAATAATACAAATAAGAATCTAAAGAGATTCTTTAACCATTTAACTTGAAGGGAATTCTTACCGGTCTTTCTGAAAAATAATTTAGATTCTAATAATCTAATAGCAGGGAATAATTGTAAAGGAGTAGATAATAAAATAGCAAATGAGTATAATAATTGAATCATTATAACAAATGGAGACTTTTGAGGTAAATTTAAGATAATTACTGTTTGAATTTGATCACCAAAAGTTATATAACCCAAACTACCAATGATAATAAATATGAATGAAATAGTTATAAGAACTTGACATAATACTTTAGGGAAATTATTAGGATATATCATTGATTCTTGAATAGGGATAATTAATCCAATACCTTCAAATGCAAATATAGCAACTCCTATAAATAAGGAGAAATCATTTTGATTGAAAAAGTATTCAATATTAGGACCCAAAGTACCTTTATTTTCAATGATAAGTTCATGAAAAATATAATATAAGATAGTTACTAATCCAAGTAATATGAATAAATTAGCTAATACTGCCAGTAAAGATAATTTAGTTATATCTCTAATTAATGATAATGGAACAAGAATAATAACTTGAAATATAATAAACCAAACAATTTCAAAATCTGATAAGGCATAACCTGTAATATTACTAATGAAAGCTCTTAAATTCTCAGCTGTAAATACAAGATATGCTGCTACAAATCCAATTTGGGATATTACAATGGATGATAAGATTAACCTTTGCATCCAATTACCATAAAGTTTCGATCCAAGTTCTCCAAATCCTGATACTTTGGATGCATTTTTACTATAAATCAATATTAAATAGCACCATAAAGATAAGACTCCAAAGAAAATTAAAGTTAGTATTGAAAATAATAATCCTCCATTGGAAAAGGCCTTAGGTAAGAATAATACTCCTGTACCAACAAATGCTTTAAGAAGTAAAAAGTATGCTTTACTATCGGTTGCAGTCCCCTTAGGATTAATATCTTGACGAGTTGAACCTATTTCACCTAATAATGGAGTTCTTTCACCAGTATACTCTGGGATCTTATAGTGACATGCAATATCCTCTTCATCTTCTAATTCTTCACCAGCAAAATGTCCATAAATACTAAGAAATTCAACAAAATTTCTCGTAAGATAATTAGGATGGATGGTTCTAATTTCTTCCTTATTGAATTTTTGATTAAGAAAATCTCTTCTAAATCCTCCTGGCACATTTAGAGAACTGGCCCCACTACCTCTTCTTTCAGTTATCCAATCTACTGAATCAAAACTACGAGATCTTCTAGGTTTCCTAGGATTTTCATGACTTAATTTATATAAATCTCTCGTAATATCAGCCCCTTCAGTCTTTAAGGAAGCATCTTGAGGAATATGTTTGGCTACTTGTTGGAGAAGTTTAGGATCATCTATTCCTACTGAGAAATCAGTAGTTTCTAATCTTTGATTAGGGATATTAATAGCTCCTGATTCAGTTGATTCATGAGAACTCAGACTATCGATTGCTTCTTCTAATTCATTCACACTAAGTCGAGATTCTGGTCTTAAAAATGGACCATTGGCTACAAATGAATTATTAGCGGAATTCCCCCGGAGTGGTGATCCAGAAACTATAGGAGATGACGATAATGGAGATCTAGTAAGTAAAGCTATTGATCTTCGTCTTGAGTTAGTAGTACTTATGTTTTGAGGCAGACTCATCGTATAGTAGTCAGAATTTCTTGTAAAAAAAGACAGTGATGGTTTCTGAGTCACTTACGGGAGTATAGAGCCGTTATCTGATAAGTATAAATATATAAATAATCCGAGTTATAGAGGATTATGGATTGGACCTGCCGTGCATTATTGTTTATCGGAGCGAGGGAGCGGAATTATTCCCAGATGCGACAGAGCGGAACTTCCCAATGGGGTAGTGGGTGCACCGCCATAAGCCACTACCTTTAAATTGATGCAATTAACCCTAAACTACACTTTACTACTAATTAATAAATTAAAAAAGTAATAAATTAAATTAAATGCATGTAATGTTAAATAAAAAATATGCCTAAATGTATGTAATATATAAAATCTGGTTTAGGATTCAAACTCCAATCTTTTTTGCAGCCTCTGTATACCCCAATTCGTATGCTTTTGTATACCAAACTTCGGGACTAACCGTACTTAATCCCATTGAACTTAATTCTCCCATAAAATAATAAGCTTCTGGAGCTTCAAATTCTTCAATGGCTCTATCACACCACATGACGGCTCGTTCTGGATCGGGTCGTGGAATATGTTTAGATAAACCTTGAGATCCTACTAAACTCCATCGTGATAATCCAAGCATAGCTTGGGGATGTCTTCTAAATGATAATGGTGATGTAGCAGCCTTCAAGTACCATTGAATGGATTTGTTAGCATTCTTTTGTCTGTTTAATTCTCCTAATTCATAAACACTCCCTAATTTAACTTGAGCTAATAAACAATTTAATTTTGCTGATTTATTATAGTAAGTTAAACTCTTGGAATAATTCACAGGAGCTAATTCTAATGATTTGATAATAAATTCATCATCTAATTTTAAATCTCCTGGATACTTTCCTTCATAAATTTTACCTAGTTGATATAATGCTAATCCAATAACTTCACTAAATTCATCCCTTTCTTCTTCCACGATTTCATTCAAATCAATGGCAGATAAGTCACGTAAATATCGGAAATATTTAAGTGATCTAATTGGTGGAACTTCAAGATAAAGCATAGCAACTTTATAAATGGCTCTATTATAACCTAACTTAGCTGATTTCTTATAGTAACTTAAAGATCTTTCAAAATCGTCAGTGAAATCAAACTCATAAATGTCCCCTAATTTATAAAGAGCTTCATGATCATTGGGATTAAGTTCTAAACACTTTTCAAAGTATTGAATAGATTCTTCTATATTTTTAGCAATATTGAAGTTCTGATTGTATAAAGCATCATAATCATATTTTAATAAACAACCATAAATATAGTAAGTATCTCTTTTACATTCTTCTGAAGCTTTATTATTAGATTCAATTTCTCTTAATAATCGAGTGAGATGTTTAATAGCTTCACTGACAAATATGGCCTTACTTGAAGCGGAATATTCTGGTGGAATGGCTTCTCCCTTAACATTGATGAAGGAATATAACTTATAGTTTGTAGCTGCAATTAATGCTTTAACCCATTTAATTCTATTTTCAATAGATTTATTTCCTGATCTAATAGAAAGACGTAATTTAACAAATTCTTGTATCTTTCTATTAATTGTACTATCAGAAACTTTGGGGATTGCAGGTGGAGGTAAAGGTTGAAACTGTGGAATTTGTGGTAAAAATGCCATAGAGCCTCTGTGATTCATTAATGGTGGTGGAGACATCATCATGGAATTTCTATTGCTATCAATACCAATCATACTCATTCTGTTATCAGGATACATTTGTTGCTCCATCATTGGGTTAGCCATCATTTGATTCATCATCATATGTTCTTGAGGTCCTGGTGTAGGCGTAGGTGATCCATAATGACGAGGACTATAGTTTTGTACCAAGTTAGGAGTTTGTGGAGAAGACTTCTTCTTTTTCTGTTTAATTGGTTTTTCTTGTTCTGGAGTAACTCCCTTTGGAGTTTCTGAAGGTTGGGCCTTAGTTACCTGAATGATACTGGCAACTTCATCTGGTTGTGCTACTTTGAAATGAGATTCACTTTGAATTGATCCAACAGAAGAGTCTGAAGTAGTAGAATGCTTTCTGGAAAGGAATTCATTTGATTCGTTAGATGTACGTGCTGATTCCAAATCTTTATTCAGTAAATCATCTTCAATGAATTGAGAGACTGGTTCCTTTTTGACATCTTGATCGCTTTCTTCTTCATCAAACAATTTCATATAGTCGGAAACATATCTATCTTTTTCCTTTCTAGATAATTGTAAATCCAGTAATGCAAAGGCTACTGATTCTGATGTTGGTAAACCTTGACTGGTGGTAGGTTCTTGATTATGGGACTCTTCTTTGACTTGTTCATCAATATTTTCTTCATCTTCAGCAAATCTTACACCTCTCTGTTCAGTAAAAGTTTCATTATTTTGTAAATTGTTTTCTGTATCGTCATTGTCGTAAAGTTCAGTATCTTCCTCATCATCTATACCTTCTTCCTCTTGCTTGGTTTCATTAGATTTAAAATTAGATGCAAGTGAAGAGATTCTTGTAGATGCCGGGATACTTCCTGATGATTCTACTCTCAGATGTAAAGATATAGGTTCGGAAGGATATCTATTAGATCTGATTAATGATTTTCTAGAATTGGAAATCAATTCGTTATCATCCTTTGTAGTTTTGATTTGTCTTACTTTCAAAGTTTTTAAATATTGTTCTGGGTTATCTTCTTTTGGTTGATGTGGTTCGAGAATATCACTAGAGGTGGAAATAGAGACCTTAGATGCGTTTTTATGCTGATTATATGGATAGTTAGCTTGTGGTGATTGTTGTGATTGTGGGACTTGTTGCATGTGATGACTCAGATATTGAGGTTGCATGGCTGGCATTTGCATACCATATTGACCATACATGTATGGATTGTATGGCATATTTGGATACATGTATTCTGGTGTCATAGGATACATGGGGAATTGACCTCTATACATTTGTTGTTGTTGAGCTAAAGATGCATAGTATTGCTTGTATTGTTCATAGTATGGATGCTGTTGAGGTTGGAAAGATGAAGCTGTAGAAGCAGTAGACACAGACTGATCATCATCGTCATCGTCTTCTTCTTCGTCCTCATCATCTTCATCTTCATCTTCATTAGTAGTATTTGATACGTAACGAGATGATCTTTGAGGTTGTTGAACTACAAATGAATCATCGTTGAATGAATTATTTGAATCTGAAGTGGTTCTGGTGTGGCGAAGTAAATGTCCTGGAGGTGATAAAGTGGAATTCAACATATACTGTTGCTGATGTTGAGCTCTGAGCGAATGAGGTGAAGAATGCAATTTACCAGCTGGAGATCTAGATGGTGAAGGTATAGGACTATTATTCTGACTCTTATACATCTGATGATGAAACAGTTGTGGCTGGTATTGAGGACCGGCAGCACGATGAGTATAGTGATGACTGGAGGTGGTGGAAGATTCGGATTCAGCAGAAGTATGTGAGGATTCCGAACCACCAGTCAGAAATTCACTTTCCCCAAGTGAACTTTGAGGTGCATGGCTTATGGGGAACTTAGACAATCTCTGCTTTTCGATTACACCCATTCTGGCAGAGTTTAAATAGTATTAAAGTACTATAAAACTTAAAAGTAGCAGAAGGCAGATATTAAGTAACTGAGGCTAATAAACCAAAACTACTCCTTCCACCGTATACGTTAGTGGAATATAGAGTGAAATATTAAAGAATAAAATAATTAAAGAAAGAAAGAAGTAATAACACGGAATTCCCAAATAGGTGAAGAAAAATTCTATTAATAAAACTTTTAGTCAATTTGTATGTTTTGATTGGGAGTGTTTCTATGCATAATCCGGGACTAATGATCAGTATCAACTGTTATTGTGATATATCGTCTTGGCGAGACAGTAATACTTACAACGTGTGTGATGTAATTCAGCTTCTAATTAATAATGGGTGACTGAAGGAGTTCTACTCTTAATTAAGCAGTACCCCTTGTGAAAGCCCAATGGCGTCAGGTCGGGCCCCCTTTCAGTATTGGAATTATAGTTAGTACATAAAAAGGTTTAAGATGCTAAATTTATCACTTTACCTAATGCGGTAAGTTGTAAACAAATCGAGAATTGAATTTTTCAGTCCTGCATCAAAATAAACGCAAATCATAAATTATGTGCATGGATCGCGCTACCAGACCAGGAAGCCCACATTTTTTAACTATTGACGATTACTACTGTGTTTACGATTACTTCGAATTATTTATAGTTAATGTCAACATATACTCAACTTTGTACTCCTAATATACGAGAGATGACACTCATAATACGATCAATGGGAGATGAGTATCCCATCAAAAGTAGTGCGCAGCATACCTAGTTATACTATAAACTTTCCTTCTATTAGTCCACTAGTACATTCTTTTTCGATCTTTTACGTTTTCTTATGTTTCTTATGTTTCTTATGTTTCTTATGTTTTCCTCTGTCAATAAATGTCTACCTCAGGTAGCAGACGGTCTCAAATGAGGTACAAAACTTAATCGCCGTCGTTAAGTCCATGGACACGGAAATAAGCCTTTCTTATTAGTATGCGGCCGCAAGATCCCCCATACTAACCAATATATAACATATGATAATATCCGATTTATACTCAATACATCCACTATGTCTAAATCTATGTCTCCTCAATATACTGCTTACTTATCATCATGAATATCATCAAAGCTGTCAGATCGGCTTAGCATAATGATAATTAATAATCAGTGCTGACTAACGATAATTGATAAATTGAAATTGGAAATTGGGAAATTGGGAAATTGCGCACTATCGGGCCTACTATCCGAACTATGGCGTTCTCCTATAAAAGACCACCAGTTGCCGAGAGTTTTGCAATAATTCCCATTACAACAACAATATCAATTACCTACAGGACTTACAATGACGGTCATTAAAGCCAGTGCTGTGACATTTACCGAAAGAAGCTGGGACTTCGCCAACAGTTTAAGTTGGACTCAGTATACTATTGATCCCACCACTATTAAACCTCATGAAGTTATAGTTAGGGCCCTTACTACATCAGTAAATCCTTCTGATTTAGGAATTATTGGTGGAGGGTATGGTACTGCACCTAAATTACGTACTGAATTTGGAACGGCTGAACCAGTCCGAGTTGGAGGTAATGAAACTTTACTTCGAGTTGAATATGTTGGAAGTGCTATCACTAATTTTAAGGTTGGAGATTGGGTTATTCCCAAGAGTGTAGGCTTTGGATCTTGGAGATCGTATGCGGTAGTGGATACTGAAGAAGATCCTACTGTTTTAGTAGTGGTGTCTAGTGATGATGATAAAGACTTTACCTTAGAACAGGGGGCTACTATTATGATTAATCCTTCGACGGCGTATCAGATCTTGTACCAGTTTATTAGTGACTGGGATGGACTGGGAAATGATTGGATTATTCAGAATGCCGGTAATTCGCAAGTGGCGAAATACTTGACTCAATTTGCTAAGCTCATTAATGTTAAGACTATCTCTGTGGTTAGAGATGGGAAGTCTCAACAGGAGTTTGATGAACTTTATCAGTATGGAGCTACTCATGTAGTCAATGAATCTGATTTCTTAAGTGATGACTTCACTGCAGTGACCCTACCAAAGTGGATCGGAGAAAACGGTAGAGTTAGATTGGCTTTGAACAGTATTGGAGGAGATACTACTCGACAATTAGTTAACTCGCTTCTGCAAGATGGATATTTCGTGACGTTTGGAATGATCGGAAGACTTCCAATCACTTACGACGGAGGAGTACAACTTCATAAGAATATCACCACCAAAAGTTACTGGTTAACTGCCAATACGCTTCGTGATCCCGAGGGTAAAGTGGCTACGATTAAGGAATTATTGAAGTTATACCGAGCCGGCAAGATTCAGAATGTTCCGTTTGAAAAGAATTACTTTGTTGCGGGTAAGGATGATCTCAAGGCGGTATTCTTACAGGCTATTGAGAGGTCCAAGAAGGGTAAGCAGGTGGTTGTGTATGAATAGATGTCACTACTTACTATATACTATATAATATAAATATACAATACACTGTGATAGACTATACTTACTATACTATACTATACTTACTATCGTCTAGTTGCCATTGGTGGCAGCTGGACTGAAGTCGAGCCAGTTCCAGGCGGAGGACTTCTTGTCGGAGGCGTGATGCTCTTCTGCGTAGTTTTCAGAAAGAATCTCATCACTGGCACCTGTCATGTATGTATTGATATTATTAACAGGACCAGGAGCATTGACATTAGTATTAGTACTAGTAGTATTATTAGTATTAGTATTACTACTATTAGGATTAGTAATAGCATTAGTAATAGTACCATTGCTGGCCCCAATGGTGAAGGAGTCGGACTGGAAGAGGTTGATGTTCAAGAGCTTATCGATCTCATCGTTATTGTTATTATTGGTGGTGTTATTGTGGAATGCAAACGACTGGGTGGGTAAGCTGTGGGACATCGCTGAGGGCGAGGTGTCGGTGGTGGAAGTCGTCAAGTCTAGAAATGTGTCTAAGTTCATCATATCGTCATTGGAAGGATCATGTACAAATCCATGCTGGTTGTGGTTATTGTTGTTAGTGTTAGTGTTATTATTGTTACTGTAGTAATTCTTAGGAGCAGACGTCGATGGAGTGATGGTATGCGGATGATGTTGTGGTTTCCCCATCACTTCGTCAGTGTTCTGTAGTCCATTGAACAAATTGGTGTTACTGTTCAGTATAGCTCTATCGCTGGGGAACTTGATTGGTTTGGATGATGCACCTCCATTCCCATTAGCACTAGCAGTAGTAGTAGTAGTAGTATTAGTAGTCGTATTGCTAGTAGCATTGTTGCTCAAGGGCCTTAGCACTCCATGCAACTTGTAGAACAATCCACAGGCATTACAGAGTAAATCCCCGTTGTTGGACTTTCTCCACAAGGGTGTGGTTTTGGTCTGGCAATTGGTGCATTGGAGAACACGTTTATTGGACGCTGGAGCTAGACTGGCGATACTGCTGTTATTGATATTAATGTTATTGTTAGTGGTAATACTGTTGATATTGTTATTTATATTATTATGGTTAGTGGAGATGGAGGTGGTCGTCGTCGTCGTGGGACTTCTCTTTAGTCTGGGCGGCGATAAGCTCGCTGGTTCATTAAAGGGAGTGTTACTGGAGGAGATGGTGCTGTTGGAGGTGGATCCCAATTTATAGTCCTGCTTCAAGGTGGACTCTAGGGAGTTGATATATGACGATAAGAAATTATGGTTATTGGGAATGTTGTTGTTACTGTTGCTGCCATTAGCCACAGGCATGGAATTGGCTTTGGTTAATGTTGTACTGGAAAGCGTCGTGTCAGGAGAAGTATGACTGGTAGTGGTGGTGGTAGTGGTGGTGTTGGTGGTGTTGGTGTTGGTGGTGGACGGAGGGATGTTGGCGAGATTGTACTCTTCCTGGCTGATTCTTCTGATGTGGGCTACGTAATCAAATTCATCAACATTAGGATCATTTAGGCCCGAAGTCGGTAAATCGCGTATGGGTCCCGACTGCGAGGACACCGAACTGCCATGCTTTCGATCCATAGGATGACTACTGGGTACTGTAGGTTTCGATATCCCATGAGTAGCAGTGCCAGTACCAGTAGACCCTAATTTAGTGGAGAGTAACTTTTTGTTCTGGATTCTCCAGGCGATATTCGAGATCCGCTGATTATGCGGTAAGTAATTCTTGTTCTGGTACATCTTGTAGATCTGGAAGGAGGAGTTGTCTGAGTCTGAGATTAGGTCGGTAATGGAGTAATTAGTGTTAGTGGTGGACTCAGTAGTGGTGGACCCAGTAGTGGAGGTGGTGGTGGTGGTGGTGGTGGCTGGTCGGTAGGTGATTTTGGGAGAAGTCGAGTTGTACGACCGACTTAATTTGGTGGTGGTGGTATTATTATTGTTAGTGGACTTGTTAGTGGAGTTAGTGGACTTGTTGGAGTTAGCGGACTTGTTGAGGGTTGTTGCGGAGGGAATCATACGGTGATTTATGAGATTTATGGCGTACAGTTAAGGCGCAGTGAGTTAGTGAGCATACGCAGATGATGTCTCGCTACGTTTAGTGATGGTTCTTTTTAGTGGTGGTGGTAGTGGTGGTGCTAGCGGTAGCGGAGATGAACTTTAGTGAGGGGCGGGTTTACTTTAAGGACCTTTTTTTAGGGACTGTGCTAAATTGGGGGAGCTCAGCAGGAATAGTCCGGTAGATTTCAGGTGCACTGTAGCGGTAGACTAACTGGATGGATATGCAGTAGGCAGATAGAGTGCTTAGCAGGTGATGGTCTCTGGTTACCGTTGGAGTTAAAGGGTGGAAATCGAAATAAAATTAAAATAAAATTAAAATAAAAGTTAAAATAATATATGAAGGAAATATAAGAAATAACAGAATAAAATAAAATAAAACAAAATAAAAAAATAAATTAATAATTATTATTTATGGACAGACAAAAAGTGCCGACACAACGTCTCCACTTCATCCAACAAGGAACCCTTTACTTTTCTCTGAGTATCGAAAGTTGACCTGATGATGTAAGATATATCTATATATACATATGTGCATACCGACATAGGTTTTGGATGAAGCTGGATTAAATGAATTATGCTATCGTATGACACTCTCAGTATGGCCCGCCTGAAAGTATGGGGAAGTGACTCACAACAACTGCAAAGCAAAATATGGGCTAGTCATTGTACACTACTGCAGACAAAGACAAAGACAAAATGTCTGTCTGATCGGGTCCTTAATTACAATTGACTACCCATCGAATTGTATAACCTTAATTAACTGGGTCACTCAGTACTCAGTACAATGACTATAGCAATCGGTAAACTGTGAATTAAGTAACAGTCATAGCAGAAGGGTAAGTATAGCGAATTTATGTCTAAGACTGCAGCTGCGATTGACCCACTCTCATCTGACAAATTGGTTAGACTGCAAAACAATCAAGTGTCTTCATTCAGCCAATCCAGTATAGACTATATTCTCTTGTGAGTATTATCTAAGATTATATAACCCATTCCATACAATTTATTGTATAGAATCACTGGACATCTAAGCTGTTAAATCAGACAGTCAGACAGACAGACAGACAGTATAAATGATAAATGATAATTGATAAATGAGCGTGCACTTACCGACCGCTTACACCGCCTATACATTTTTCCATCTCTGCTAAACAACTTGGCTACCTAACCACTAAAGCATAACGACGACTATGGCCGACAAAGTTAAGGAGCAAAACGACTATAACCGTCTCAAAGCAAAGTATATTGGCCTCGGCAATGCAGACACTTCCAGAACCGAATTCTTAACAAATGTCCATCGAGATACGTTGGCATCGCTAAGTCATCACCAGCATTTAGTGCTCTACAATTCTGTAATACTAAATGAAAATCCCGAATTATATAGACAATCGTTAATTAAGAAAATGGTTCTGCCTATACAAAAGAAGCCAATACTGAAGGGTTAAAAAAAGATAGTTGAAATACTAATTAAACTAAACTAAACTAACTAACTACTAACTACTAACTACAACTACTAACTGACACTTTTTAATTGTTACCTAATAATGGAGCACCTTCGGCATGTCCCGTACCTGTCCGACGTTCAACATCTTCAAGAATTGGAATTCGTCTGTCATCTGGTAATCCACCAGTAATGGCTACCAAAATACTAAAGACAAATAAAACTCCACTAATGACAAAGGCAAAGATCCATTGCAAGGCAAATAGTTTAGTAAATAATTGTCCAATTCCAACTCCCAACATAAAATATGATTGAGTTAATGCTACTGCCCAATCACCAAATAATAAAAGGAATAATAATGGTACAATTAAGAAATCCCAAATTAATATGTTGGAAATAACTCTTCCTACAAATTCATGAATTCCAAATAATATAGCTCCATTCCAGAATATAGCATATAATAACCATCCTAATGGGAATACAGTGGCAGGTAAATGAACAAATAACCAATTGAAGAAATCTCCTCCAAATGGTCTATACTTATAAGTTTGATGATTGAAATAAACAATCAACAGATTCAAAAGATTTAATAATAATACAACTTCAGCAAGGAAATACCACAGTTTAATATAAAAGACTGTCCATAAGAAATGTCCAAAATTGAATAAACTGAGATGCCAATCGACTTCTAAAGAAGCTCTTAAATTACTGGGGAATTGATATAAATAACCCAATTGTAAAAGATAAAATAGAGACCAATAACTTAATACAATAATTATACTCGAAGAAAATGGTGTTTCATTATTAAGAAATTCTTCACTATTATTATGAGGTCCATGATGACTAAACAATAATCGTAAACTTCCATATACTGAAAGGAAAAATGTCCCTATATTAAAGAATCTATGATTACTGATATGTTCTTGATTTGGTCCAGTAATGGTCTCTGAACTAGTGAGACTAGGAAAGGGATGGGTTTCTGGCATAATAGATACTTACTTACTTGAGGAAACTTGTATAGAAACAAATTGAAGTTGAGTATTATTTATCCTCCTATTTATACCAAAATTTCATACCACAGCGGAACGAAAAATGCATGATTAAACCCTTAAGTTAAGGTTGCTATAATGTATGCGGCGTGCGTATAAGTCTAATTATACGGGGGTGTGTATGGATGTCGAGTGCGCTACCATATTTGTGCACCCGATCGGAGCTCCGAATCAATATGCGTATACGTAACGCACTTGACGCAAATTTATACATAGCGCAAGTTTTTCCATTATACATAAACTTCATAGTCTTTTAGATATAAATATAAATATAAATATAAATATAAATAAAAATAAAAATAAAAATAAAAATAAAAATAAAAATAAAAATAAAAATAAAAATAAAAATAAAAATAAAAATAAAAATAAAAATAAAAATAAAAACCACTATATATCACACACTACTCCCTAACATGTACCACGATAAGATTTCTTATTCTTACCATGATGATTACCGGCATGATCCAAAAGCTTATGCTGGAATTGTTTAGCATCTTCAACACCATTGGAAGCAATTGATAATAATAAACTATAAATAGCTTCTTTATTTTGTTCATCTGAATTATCCTTAGCAGCAATCATTTCACGAACAGTGACACATGATTGAATTAATAATTCAATAGAATCAACAATGTCCACAAATAACTTCTCCAACAAGTTTAATGATAATGAAGTACGAACCACAACACGAAGAATTTCTTTATCATTTTCATCAGGACTTAAATGATAGTTTGGAACGATAAATCCTTTATTTCTTAATAAAGTCGAAAAGATACGTTGAGGAATTTCTGGGTAATCTTCACGAAGTTTCTTAGCAAATCTAAAGGCAACTACTGGTAAACCAGGTTCGAAATTTTCATTTCGAATACTATTAGGACTATGTTTAGTTGATTCTTCATGAGGTCCAGTATAAGTAATAGCCTTAGTTTCTGCATTTGGAATCTTTTTATGAATGACCGATAACACTTCGAAGTATTCAGATCCTTCCAACATATTACTTAATAATCTAGCATTTTCAATACAACTATTGAATACTTTTGTATAACCTTCTCTACCAAGATGAAGGAAATTATAATATTGTAAAATAACTGGGAATCCAGCTCTCGAGAAATTTAATCCAAAAGTTTCTTCAACTCCACCCAAATAATCTAAGGAAAACTTTAAACTCTTTGGTAATAAATCTTGATCTTTCCAAATCACCCAACCTAAACCAGCAGTAGTTAATCCATACTTATGACCTGAAGTATTAATAGAATCAACACGAGGAACTCGGAAATCCCATTTCAAATGAGGATAAACAAATGGAGCCACAAATCCTCCCGATGCTCCATCAACATGAATTCTAACATCAATTCCCTTTTCCTTTTCAATTTCATCTAAAAGATTATTAATCTTTTCAACGGGTTCAAAAGCTCCAGTAAATGTAGATCCAAGAATTACAAAGATCCCTATAGTATTTTCATCGACATTTTCTTTAATTTTACTACTATCAATAACATGACCAGATTCTTCAGTAATTGGAACTAATCTATTTTCAACATCAAAATATCTGGCAAACTTTTCTAAAGCAACTTGAGCACAAGTAGCCATAATAATATTAGGATTATCAATTGACTTCCCTTGAGCCTTTTGCTTTTCTTGCCATCTCTTCTTTAATGCTAAACCTGCCAACATAATTGCTTCCGATGATCCTGTAGTTGCTGCTCCAACAGTATTAACACTTCTTTTACCAGTAGCCTTGTTAAACGTAGCAGGAGCATTCCATAAATTACTAATGATGGAAATACAACGTTGTTGAAAATCAATTAAGGAAGGATACTCATCATTATCAGCCAAATTCTTAACGATATTATCAGTAACCAATTGTAATTGAATATCATCAATAGTGGTATTAACAAATGAAGCTAAATTCAAAGTAGGATTACCATCTAAAGTCAATTCTTCACTCAAATACTTATAAACCAATTCCTTATCTGAAGATTGTTCTGGAATCTCAAATTTGGGGATCTTTTCATCACTGTCATATCTGGAAATGTACTGTTCATTCTTGTACAGTCTCTTTGTATTGTGCTTCTTCAACAACTTATGTTCCAACTCTTCAGCATCTACGTGTTTACTCAAAGTCATGATGAAATATACTTAACTAACAATTAACAATTAACAATTACTACTACAACTACAAATCCAATTCATAGTGAAATTTCAGACTTACCATACTTTATATAGTAAATCCGGGGGGAGTTCTCGCACCACACATCTGGCCGACCGACCCTCCTCCGCAGTGAAAAATTCCTGCCATCGTGCCTGCCTAATTACTTATAGGGGAGCCTAAGCCCTTTATCCAACAATACATAGCAAGTGAAATTACGTTGACCATTTCAGTATGAAATTGTTGGCTGGATCATTCGTTTCTCGTGAGTCCAGCCCAGCTATTCTATTACGATTGTGTTCATATTATTATTATTACTATTATTATTTATTATTATTATTGGATTTCATGGGAATGTTACTTGCCGTCTCCTAATGAGTGCGGATAGCAATGTCAACTTCTAAAATAGACTGACACTATGAAGCCCCTAATTAAGTATATGTAGAATTGTGTAGCATTCTGTTTCTGGTCCATTACACTACCGAAGCCACTATCATTTGCGAATATTCTTTACTCAATTGATCAGGACTACTTCCACAATCAATTCACAGCAAATTTTGGTTGTACCTCGCTTACTAAATTACTGGACGAAACACTACAATGTATTTCTACAATTACTTATTTATTTGTACAAGTTTCATCATGACATACTGCACCTTTAACCTTCATTGAGATTGTGTCATATGACATGTTTAACTATAATTTTTAAACTTTCAAACTTTCTTACAGCCATTGCTCTGCCGGCTATTTATTTGAAAGCGTACAAAATCGCTTGTCGCAAAACTGGCATGTCGCAAAACTTTTGTGTCGCAAAATTTACATGACGATTTACTCCACGAATTACAAGTACAGCTAAATTAGAAATAGACATAGGATTCATTTCAAAAGAAACGTTATGCATTAAATATATATGTATGTTTATATACAATTTTCAAATTATGTAACACTTTTCTTTCAGTATAGATTTAAGAATGGTTTGAAAAATGATAATAATTTACTAATTCGTTTAAGTAGTAATTGTGAACTCCACAAAATATAAAGTAAATAGAAGTTAACCCTTCAAATAAAGTGCTGGAAAAAAAATTGATATCGGATATTATATAAATAGATATAAACTTCGAATTCTTGCTCCATAATTAATTCATTTTACTTCAATTCATGAAAAATCAAAAATGTTGACTAATCCATTTATTCGACATCATCGAAGTTTTGACCTTCAATTAAATCTGGAATATCTTCACCACCGGCGGCAGCAGCTTGAGCTTGTAAGTCAGCTGGAGTCTTACCAGCTTGTAATTGTTCAGCTAATTGTCTTAAGATTTCTAAGTTTTCAGCACCTAATTGTGGTAAGATTTGAGGAATTAAATCAGTAACATTCTTTTCTTGTGGGTAACCAGTGAAGGCAAAAGTGTTATGAGCAGCAGCACCTTGAACACCAACTCTGTTGAAATGTAAGACTTTACCATCTTCTCTGAAGAAGTTAGCTTCTTCAACACCTTCAACTTTAGTAGCTTTTAATTTACCTAAAGCTTCAATTAATTTGGTGTCATCTTGTTCTTTAACAACCTTCTTGGCTTTAACTCTGGAACCACCGACTTTCTTAGCAGTAGCCTTTTGTAATTTGGCTAATTTTTCTGGATCAACTGGCATTTCTTCGTAATATAGTTTAACCTCAAATGAATGAATCTACCACTATTCCGCTTTAAAACTCTTGCCATAAAAACGCAAACGAAAAAAATTGTGAAAAATCGTCGACCTCAATTTGTGGATGCACACGACTTTTTATGAAGTTTTCAGACTAAGTAAGTCACATGCAACACCATGTGACTTCATATCATGTGCCTGATCAATGATCTTAATGTGGCTCACTCTTTCACTCATAATCTCTTATCGGAGTTTTGTACAAATTAGGACGCGCCCGGTCGGCTGGTTGCACAAGTACCGGAAATTGTGGACCGGCTCAAAAGTGAAATAATTGCTAAATCAACGAATGAATAAGGAGACATCCAAATATAGAATATTATATTTACAGTATATAAGCAGTATATGATCTACAACTATCTTATAACATGTATGTTCTTCATAAAGGTGTCAAGCACGTGAATCAGTTTCTCCCCTTCACCAATCACTGGTTAATCTTAGTTGCATCAATTCCGGTTTCCTTATCATGCGGCACCTTATTTGCTTATTCCGTATACGCAACTCAATTGGTTAAGCAATGTCACTTAGATACTTCTCAGTCGGCCAATTTAAATATAAGTGCAACAATCGGTTCAGCCTTTGGAGCAGTCTTTTCAGGTTTAGTTACGGATTATTATGGTACTCAACTTCCAATGCTTATCAGTTCTCTTACGACGGGGTTCGGATATTTATGGTTATATATCCAGTATAATTTAGGTGAAGATAGTAGTTTATGGCAATTATTGGGATCTATGTTCTTAATTGGTATAGGATCTGTTGCAGGATATTTCAGTTCCATTAAGGCGGTTACAGTTAATTTTCCAAATTTTAAAGGTACTGCTCAAAGTATTACGATTGCATCATTTGCTATTTCAAGTTTAATTTTCCTGGCAATAGCTACTCATATATTCAAGGGAGAAGCTGGTCCATTTATTGGGTTTTTGTCAATTGCATGTGGATTAATGATCTTTATTGGATTTGTTTTTATTAGAGTCGATGGTTATATTGACCATACTCCTGTTATCATTGGAGAGATAGAAGAAATTGATGAAACAAGTGATGAGACCTCGACAATCGAATCTTCTGCCACTGAAACCGATCGACTCCTTGGTAACTCCAAAGATCAAGAGATTCGTTTGAAGCAGTCTTCAATAGATGATTTGAAGCATAAAAGCTTGAGAGATACCTTCTTACATCCTGTCTTCTGGTATCACTATGTTATTTTGGCTATAGTACAAGGTTTGGGACAAATGTATATATATTCTGTTGGATTTGTGCTTAAGGCTCTACATTATTATTTCACAAGAGTGGTACCTCCTGATGTTAATTCTTCCATACCTTCATTAATCCATTTACAAGCTTTACATGTCTCCATTATTGCTGTTGCATCCTTTCTTGGTAGATTAACTTCCGGCCCAGCATCTGATTTCTTTGTCCATAAGTTACACAGTCAAAGACATTGGGTATTAATAATAGGTTTAAGTATCATGCTTACTGGTCATCTTTTGAACTCTATATTAATAGATATTGTGGCTCTTGATTTAAGAACTGTTAATATTTACCTTCTGATTGCTTCCGCATTAATTGGATATGCCTATGGATTTAGTTTTGCAAGTTATCCTGCAATTGTATCTGATCTCTTCAATATGAAAAACTACAGTTTTATTTGGGGAGCAATGTATACAGCTACGACTTTTGGTCTTACCCTTATGACAAAGATATTTGGATATGTTTACGATGGAAACACTACTAAATGGGATGATAAAGCTCAAGAATATGTATGTGCTAAGGGTTCTGCGTGTTATAACCTTTCATTCCAAATTACAGCTGGTCTCTGTATTTTGGCAATGGTGCAAATCCTCGGATATATCTACTATAGAGCTTATAAAACTACATAGATTATTATATTATTACATTATAGATTATACATCATTATATTATGGAAGTATTAATTAACAGTGTACTGCCAAATGGGGAAACTGGCCACACGCGAAGTGAACACGTTAAAGCCGAAAAATACGAATATAAAATCCAGTTCAAAAAGTAAAAGTAAAGTAATCGTAAAGTAATCGTAACCATAACAATAATAGACACCAAAGTATTATGGCACAAATACTATTGAATCCTTCAGTCATTGTAGACTATGTTAAGGGACGAGAATTTCAAAAGTTTCTACCTGATTGGATCGTAGCTCTTGTGTTAATAGTGTATTTCTTTATAGTGGCCGAGCATGCAAAACCATTTGAAAGACAATTCAGTCTTAATGACTTAACCATATCACATCCATTCGCTATTCACGAAAGAGTTAGTGGTACACTTTGTCTATTAATAGCATTTTTCATTCCTATTATTGTCATTACTTCGTATACGTTATATAAACAAACAAAATTAACTAATAACAATAGTAATAACAATAGTAATAATAATAATAGTCAAGAAAAGGCATTACATAATCTACAAATAGCATTGTTAGGCCTTGTTATATCATTGTCAGTCAATGGAGTTGTAACAGATATATTAAAAAACTGGATTGCAAGACCAAGACCAGATTTTCTTGCTCGTTGTGGAGCTGCCATTGGTACTCCCTCGGATGTTTTAGTTGATATTTCTGTTTGTACAGCTCCATTAGGTAAGAGAATTTTAACTGATGGAATGAGATCTACACCTTCTGGTCATTCTTCTATCAGTTTTAGTGCATTATTGTATTTATCCCTTTGGCTTACAGGACAATTCAAACTTACACTGAAAACAAATTCTTCTCAACCACTTCATAAATTTATAATTGCGGGATTACCAATCTTATTATCCAGTTATATTGCATTAAGTAGAACTCAGGATTATAGACACCATTTCGTGGATATCATTTTAGGGGGTTGTATTGGAATTTTCTTTGCTATAACATCATACTTAAGATATTTCCCATCGATATATTCTGAAGACTGTGATAGAACTTTAGATGAAATTGAATCTAATTATTCAGAACCATTATTACCTCGTTAATATACTAACGACTATATAGTGACTACTAGAGCTAATATATAGTATCTAATACTTAAAGAAACTGTAATATTACATAATGTGTATAACTAAAAATAAATAATTTAACTTAATAATATAACTTGCATATAGTCATTAAATCACTTTACCATCCTACGTAATATTACAGTATGGTGAAATGAAATATTTGGTGTGTGTATGGCAGTTGTCTCAGGTTAGACATTCTGAAACACCAGAGAACTCCTACAAATGACTGCAAAATTTATTGTGCGACCTCTTTAAAACAGTCCCAATCGGGAAATCGCTTATTATTTTGAAACTTATATCAAACCAGTACTAAAGTTTAGTAGTATATAAATAAATTGTGTAGCCTGCTATGGTCTGTAGTGTATTGTAAGTACTCTCAATAATATTCATAACTATGACTGTCACAGTGACTGCCGGTGCCGATGACACAGATACTAATGTTACTGTCATGTTAACTTTAACTTCAACTTATTTACTTGGTACTAGTAGTTCACAACAACAAACTGTTACTGTAACTCCTGCTAATAATCAACCTCAGACAGTGACTGCTCCTCAAAATTTATATGAACAAACTACAGTAATTACTATTCCCAAGCCCGCAACTTCTACGACTTCAACAGCTCCAACAGTAAGTGCAACACTTGCCGGGCAAGTGATCATTACAGCCCAACCTACACCTACAGCAATATTGGTAGATACAGCAGTTTCTGGTTCGAATATACCAGTTCAATCATCTTCTCATACTTCTCAGTTTTCGTCAACAGCTAGCTCTAGCATATCGTCTACGAGCACTTCGTCTATTGCCATGGTTACAAATAATACAACACCAACAGGTTCAAGTTCATTACGGTTAGGTTTAGCTATTGGTTTACCGGTTTCCATTGTTGGTTTCTTAATCATATTAGTATTATCTTTTATAGTCATTAAGAAGCATAAGTTCAAGAACACCCAAGAGAAAATGTTGACTTACCAATCTCAATTCTATAATTACAATGGTCAAGATGTTGAAAGTGAGAAGACTATGAATGAAAACAATCATGGGGTGGATTTGGAGGCTAATCAACAATCTATTCCAAAGAGAAGATCTTTAGGATATATGCTTAAGGATCGTTTCAGTAGAATTATTCGAGCTGATGATGTTCCATCTTTACAAGAAACTTCAATATTACCCCAACCCCGAAAACAATGGCGTGACTCCATCATTTCCCCTATGATCCTCAAACGATTTAATCTCAGTAGACCATCGCCTGCTGCTGGTAATAAGAAAGAAGTTAGTGCTGACTCAACCCCAATAGAATCAAAGGTATTATCAATTCCATTAAACGAACAGTCTCTGAGACATAAACGGAACTTCTCCCTTCCTCCAATAGTTGTACCTGAGAAATCGTTGGATCCTTTGCTGGGAGGTATAAGCAATAGCATACATTATGACGATAAGAAATACATTGTAATTAAGGCATATTCCAAGAATCTTGATGATGAGTTAACTATCCGAACTGGTGATATGGTAGTGATGCTAACAGAACATTCAGATGGGTGGTGTAAAGTTAAACTAATTAGAAAAGGTGCTGAATACTATGGTTCTATAAATGCTAAAGATGAAGGTATGGTGCCAAGATTATGTTTACAAAAGTTATAAGGAAGTACAGTACAGTAAAGTAGTAAAGGGTCTAAAATAGTTATTGAAATACATATAGAGAATAAAGTAAGTAAATATATAAATGGAAGAATTCATAATACACACAAGAACATCGTAACAAAATCATAACCTAACAACTGAACCAAGCGACTTAGAATCGTCTGGATGGATCAATATTATTAACGTTCTTTCTTTGGTTGGGCGTAGGATAAGGACCACTTCCCCCTCCAATACTAGCAAACGGATGCCTTGATTGTGGTTGTGGTTGGGGTGGTTGTTGATGTTGCTGAGGTGGTGGTGCCTGTTGTTGAGGATAAGCCTGTGCGTATGGGCCCAGGTTCCCATAACCTCTTGGTGGTTGACCAGGAACACCTCCGTTGGTTCTTGGAATTCTTGGTTGCTGCTGTTGCTGTGGGTAGCCTTGAGGAGGATAACCTTGAGGTTGTTGACCATATCCACTAGGAGGATACTGTTGAGATTGTTGGGGACGAGGAGCATATTGCTGCATAGGAGCTTGTGGTTGTTGTTGTGGACGATAGTTTACTTGCTGAGGAGGAGGCGGATTAACCATGGATCTCACTGCTTGTTGTTGTGGAGGTGGAAGGGGTGAAGGTTGTTGAACGTATATTTGAGGAGGCATTTGTACAACCTGTGGTTGAGGTTGTGGTTGCTGTTTGACATAGCCATAGCTCTGAGATTGTGGATATGCTTGTTGTTGAGGAGGAGCCTGTGGAGCTATGGTTAACAGGCCCGAACGTTGCTGCGGTGGTAAGGTTGGCATCTTTATCTGCTGGTGAGCAACTGGAACTGGTGCTGGAGCTGGTACAGGAGCAGGAACAGGAGCAGCCGCATAAGAAGATTGAATTGGTGTAGTTTTTATATCGTCAAAATCTGGAGGAGGTTTCTTACCAGGAGATTTGAATTGAGGTAACTGGTTCTGAGATGAGTTTGGAGATGATATGAATCTTGGTTTATAAGTCGGACCTTGAGGAGGAATAGGAGTAGGACTGGCCTTTTGAGGAGATACAGGATAAGGAGTAATCTTCTCTGGTTCACCTTGAGTAAAAGATCCTTGAGAAGTTGAAGATGAGCCAGTACTTAATCTACCAGCTTCTGAATGAATCGATTTATTTTCCGGGAAAACTTCACTTTGAGGAGTAGTAGAACCTTGTCTAATATGATTTATATTCTCGGATAAGTTATAAGAAGGTTTTGATTTTTGAATAAAATTATAATCATTATTGAAATGGGTTGGAGGAGTTGGAGCTTGAGCTTCATCATCTGAATTATCATTATAAGTAAGTTCACCATAATTTCTAGGTGCATGTTTTGAAATGGTTAATGTTCTATTGAATTGTTCATTGAATTCATTGTATTGAGTCATGGGGGATTGAACTGATGAATAACTACTGTTTCTATTATTATAACTTGGGATATTTAATAAATTACCTCCTCCTCCTCCATTACTACTTAAACCAGAAGAAGAATTGGAAGCATTAGGAATTAATCCGATTTGTCTCTTGGGTTCTTCATCTTCTGATTCATCTTCTGATTCATCACTGAATACTCCTTCATTACCCTTAGGATAAGAATTAAATTCAGAATCATCTAATCTACGAACATCTGCTGGTAAATCATTTTCAGCAATATTCATTTGTCCACTATTCAATATCTGTTGTCTTTGATATTGATCAGAAGGTGCTTGAATAGATGAATACTTTTGATAGATATCATCCAATTGTAAAGATTTATGATTATCCTTATTGAGCTGTTGTTGAGCAGCTAATTGTTGAGGTCTAGCCTTAGGTAATGGCTGAGAAGGATTAATACCGTATTGACCAAATGGTTGTTGTTGAGATTGTGGTGGTATAGGTTGGGGTTTATCCGTATCGATGGATAAATCTTTGATATTTCTTGGTTGATACTCGGACTTTCCAAGCTGTTTCGATGGAGGAGCTGGAGGTAAATGACTATTACTAGTATTATTTGTATTAAGTGATGAACCAAATGGTAAAGAAGTAGAAGAAGCTGAAGGTGAACGAGGTCCTCCAATTAATGGAGAATTAGGTTTACTTAATGATTGAATAGCTCCAGTAACTCCTCTAGGAGTTCCACAACCAAGATAACCACGATCTAATTTTGATTTTAATAAATTCTTAATGTTGGCATTCCAAGTTTTAACATCCCAAGATATAAAATCACTTCTAGAAGTTAATTGTTGTACATCCTCTAATTGTAAATAATGAACATGAGGTAAAGTAGGTAAACCAAATAATAAAGAATCCGGATCAGTTCTATTTGCTTTTAATCTTTGAGGTCTACCATAAAGACCAAATGAATCCATTAAAGGTACTAAGAATCTAATTAAAGTATCAAATCCAGGAACTGCTGAATGAGGTTCAGGCATAATAAATATAGCTGTATTTCTAGAATCATCATTGGATTTTTTAGTAGGTTTTATAGATGGAGATTTAAAATTAATTGAAGCTTCAACTTTCAATAAAGTACTATGATCGATTAATAAAGGAGATTGTGGATAAATAGCAGTAGCAGATGATGCAGTTGAAGCAACAGCCATTAACTGTTTCTTCTTCTTTTGATCTGTTTCAAAGAATAATATTCTACCGGATGTAAAAGATTTCTTCTTTGATACAGAAGGTTCTATGACTGCAAAACATCTTTTCCAAGCCATACCACTTCCATATCTTATACTAACCCAATCTTCATGATCAAACCTCTTTTCAGCTAAAATGGTTCTAATATCTGATAATCGAGATCCTCTAGCTGATAATAATGCCCCAGTATAAGCTTCTTGTAAGGAATTATATTCAAAACTTGATAATCTTAAAGCAGAATACCATTGAGCGAGATCTTCACTGGATTTAAATTGTAAAATATATCTATTTTTTAAGGTAGTTGATACTAAAATAATATTTTCTAAATTTTGTTTTGCTGATGGTAAAGATTTCATAGCATTATATACGGCATCACTAAAATTTATATAGTTTGGTTTGGCTGAAGTTTCCAAGAGAGCTTCTGGATTATTTCTATATTGAGATAAATTAGCTGCATCCCAATACGCTAATTGGTTACCGGTTAAAATCCCATATACTTCTTTCCAAATTCTATCGGCTGGCTTCCCATCACCATTTAAATCATAATAAAGCATAAATACGCCTTCAGTATAACGACGATGGGATTGTGAAGCCATTAAAGTGGCTATAGGAACTAATTCTGGTGATAAGGTATTGGGATCATAATCTCCAAGAGTACTTATTGGTGCAGGACTTGGAGATTGTGATCTCGTATTATCTCTCTTTTTAGGAGACAACGTCTGGGAGCTATTAGAAGAAAATCGTTTCTTTACAGCTTCCATCGTTATATATATATATTATTATATTTATAATATTTTGGTGGTGATATCTGAATTGTTATCGCTGATTTCTGGTTTGAATGACTAGTTTGTCGATGTGTGGGGACCAAACAATCAAAATCTAGTTTAGTATGACGAACAGGATTGAATTAATAAAGTGGGATAAATTGAAATTACGATTTGGATGTCACTATTGCGACGGTGCTTCAGGACTGACTTTGACGGTGACCGTAACTGAGCTGGCTGTAGAATAATGATACTTAATGCCAGTTGTCTGTCGTTCAATGAAAAAAATCAAAGAACTCTTTTGTTTGTTATGTGACTTCGGGTTTTGTGGATTGTTTTTATTTTATTTATTTTTTCTTTGAGTTTTTATTTTTTATGTTGAAAAGTAAATCAAACTGCAATTCGTGTTTTCTTGGATAGACAGCTACAGTTATCTTAACCATTGAATCTACTTTTAATGCGGTGCCAATGGAGGAATGGACCAAAATTGAATTGGGTAGATTAACGATGACTTAGAGATCAAAATCAAGAATATTTATCTACTTTATACTTGGAGTTGTTAAAGGGGGACAATCTCGTTTATATAACATTTAATTATTGTCACAACAACCAAATGTTCATATGACATTAAATCAAAACTTTGTAAAAGGGTATACATGCACAAAGAATATCAATAGGTTATGGCTTTTGTCTAAGCTTAAGATCAACCAACACTATGTTGTTGCCGTTATTGGTAATTGTCTAAGAAAAAATAGTGCAGAAAGCACTGCTTTGTTTTTGACTCTGTTTGGCCATAATAACCCAAATTAAGTAAAGATGCTGCGACGTCCGCATACACGTACGAAGTACGCTAAAAAATTGAAGGCGCTCATTGGAAAAAAATACTCGGAGAAGACAAAAGCAGTTACTGCCCTTTTGTTGTCGAATCTTAACTATGGAGGCTCATTTGGCTTAGGATGTTTAATGGCGTAATAGCATCTTTTTCTTTAACTGGATTGCTGCTTATTCATTTTGTTTCAATTGCTCCGTTTACTTGTGGATTATAGGAATACTATCCTATACTTCCAACATTGGCACACAATACAATACAATGCAACACGCCGCCTCTATATAATCAGGACCAAAGTAATCAGGACCAAAGTATGTAGTATTTTTGTTTAAAAGTGCATCAAATGTTTGCAACCGTTAAAAAGATACGTGTTATTAATTAGAGTTACATTCTTCTACTTCGAACTTTTTGAACTTCTCCGATATCCAACAAATAGAGTTCGGTATTAACTTTCAAAGGGGCTCTATTATACTCTTCAAACTTAATTCTTTACTTTGTTAAACATTCTGTATCAAATCTATTTAAAATTATATAGTATGAATTAAGTATTATTTTGAAGATGTACTTAAGTTTATAATTACTATGACGTAATATTCATATGCTAGAATGATTAAAATATACTATGTCTTTATTCTTACGAAAATAAAAGAAGAACTAACTTTAACCGAAAAGTTTATCAAAATCAGTTAAAACGAACCTGTATCTTACATCACTCTTGTAACAACGAGTAACAACTTCATGAACACCTTCTTCACTGATTGGAACTCTTTCAATCCATGGTTTCAAACCCTTATCAGCATACAACTTCAAAAGTTCCTTGGCTTCTTTGATAGATCCAATTGCTGAACCTCTAACAGTAGCTTGATTACCTAATAAAGAGAATGGGAAAAGAGACAATGATTCAGATAAAGGTGGAGCTGAAACAGTAACAAATTTACCTTCTAATTTTAATACTCTCAAGAAAGGATTAAAATTAGCATCTTTTCCACTAGAGGCACAATTCAAAATCAAATCAAATTCATCTAAATGTTCTTCACTCCAACCTTTTTTAGAAGTAGCAATTAATTCATCGGCACCTAATTTCAAGGCATCGTCCTTCTTTTTATCACTACGTGAAAAGGCATAAACCTTTTTAGCACCTAAAGCATGAGAAATTTGAAGAGCCATTGCACCTAAACCCCCAATACCAATGATACCGACGACTTTATCAGACAAGTCATAATTTAAATTACGAACAATTGGAGAGTAAACCGTTAAACCACCACAAAGTAAAGGAGCAGCAGCTTCATAATCCAAATTTTTAGGAACAGGAACAGCAAAATGTTGATGGACACGAAAGTGAGAAGCATAACCACCTTGAGTAATATAATTGTCATGTCTTGGAGATGGAGCATTATAAGTTCCGGTAATAAACTTATGACAATATTGTTCATTATTACTCTTACAACGATTACAGTCTAAACAACTTTCGGATTGAGCACCAATAGCAACAATATCACCTAATTTATGTTCTGTAACATCAGGACCAACTTCAATAACTTCTCCAACAATTTCATGTCCAACAACTAAATCAGGTCTTCTATAAGGGCCCCAATTACCACTAAGAGTATGACAATCACTACCACAGACACCACAAGCCTTGACTTTAATAGTGATATCATTAGCTAACAATGGTTTAGGATCATATTGTACAAGCTTTGGATGCTCCCAAGTTTCTTGGGATTCTGGAGCAAAACCAGAAAACTTCTTAGGAACGGCAGAGGACATTTTTACTTAGTTTAACCTTTTTTAAGTACGGTTCATAATATGGTCATAAAAATTTATTACTAATACAGATCTACATCTATTTATACAATTTCAGTACATTAATACCCAGCAAATCAAAATTATGCAGTGGAATGATAAGATGGTGTTGTTTATGTGAAATTTGGCAATTTTGGCGTTCCTGCACCCGAAGGTAAGCCCCCAATTTGGCTTTCAGCCGAGCAAAAATGTTCCTTTGTATGGTAATCTCCTTAGAAAAACGGACTAGTATATATTTACCAGCAATAGTACCACAATGAACATATAGGAGGTATCTTTGATCCACCAATAGCGTGCGAGACAACACAATAGCATGCGCCTCGTGTAAGCTATTGCTTTATCGGCGTTTTACAGCCCGGAAGTATTATTGTAAGTACTGGTACTGGTGTTGGTGTTGGTGCAGTGGGTGTATATAGCCGTAGCCGTAGTAAAAGCCATTTCGGATATAACAATCCTATATTCCTTAGTTATCTATCCGCTTTCCGATGCTGCTGTTCCATATATTTCGATATCAGATACATTCGCCAGATTCATGGGCCGATTGGACTACTGTACTAGGTTAATATTTAGTGTATGTCCGAAGGGTATTTTGCAATCGTTTAATAGTGTGCGAAAAACTGTTACAGCCGAGCCTTGCTTGGCTTAACTATGCCAAACTCCTACAAAGTACGGTCTTGTTCATATTACACAATTATACACGCGGAAGAGGTTTCGAAGTAATATTTCGGTTATTAGGTAGTGTTACTCATATTATGTTAGTGATTATTGCTGATTCTATTACTAATTTTGTATAATATTATGTAGCATATACAACTACTCTTGATCCTCCTGTAATTTCAATTTTTTAAGCAAATCTAATGCATCAAGTAATTCCTTCTCGGCTGTTTCAATGTCCTCATAATTCAATGCTGAGATAGCAAACTTAGAAAGTTTCTGGATCTTAGCTATCTATCCAATTCAGCCTCAAGTTCTTTATCATCTGGTTCATCTTTATAAGTAACTTCCCCTTTGATCAATTTTGACAATTGAAATTTCAATACTTTAATCTTATCTTTGTTTTGTAATTCAAATAATTGAGCGTTGGCTGCCTTACCACCAGTCAATTTTTCCCAATCGATAACACTATCTGCATTTTTATCACCAGTAAAGACTGATAATAAAGATAAAAACACTAATGTTGCTCTAAATTTCCCTACTAAAGCCGGTCTATTTGTAGATCTACTAATTTGTGATAAATCTTCAAGACATGAGTTAAACAATTTATAGGCAAATGATAGGACTAAACTTATGGAAATTGATTTATCATTCAAAGCTTTTTGAACACTTTCATCCTCATTATTCTGTTTAATAGCTTCAGTGTCATCTAATAACTTGATAGTAAAAATTTCAATATCTTTGGAAGTAGTATGTAATTTATTAGATTAGATATATTCTAAAACATATATCTTACAATAATAACTAACAACAGGATTAACTGCATTTAATTCCAATGATCTGGCATAGTTTATTTATATTTTCTTATATTATATTCTATTTTTGTGGTTGGGACCTGAAATGGTTAATTGTCAATGACTACAATATTATAATGTACAGTACAACAGCATACTACAACAAAAATAGTCTTAAATAGTTTGAATAGTATTTTTATGGTACGAACAAATTCGACCTCGGAAGTATGCAGAAATAAAATGAACGGCTTGAAAATTATTTGCCCGGTTGGTCTGAAGAAAAAAGTCGGAAGTATGAAAAAAAAGTAAAAAACACTGTATATATATATTCAATTATTTGCAATATTTCTAGCATGCCTTATATCCATTAATGCAATTTCCAACGCCTGACGATCAGATTCTTTGCTTTTCACACTCAGTTGGAAGTTAGTAAAGGTCGATTTACCAAAATCTATTAAAAATACCCTCTGTCTTGTACTATCATATATAATATTATATTGGTGAATATCACCATGAATTAAGCCTAGGGAATGGATTGTTGATAAAGCAACCCTTGCCAACATGCATAACGTCTCAAAATTGCAGTTTAATTTGTCATCTTTAATATATTCCTCTATTAAATAAAAGCCGCTAAATGATTTTCCCGTATAAAACCCAAACTCATATAAATAAGGCAAATAATTAACAATTTGTGCTTGTCTCACTAATAGCCTTCCAGATGTACCACCAAAACTGTCTGGTGGATCTTCACCTAATCCTCTCGGTTCACCTCTGATCCTTAGATAGGCTTTGATTTCTGAAAAAAACATTTCAAGTATATAATTGAACACTTGGTGAAATAATACATCCGATAAGCCTGAAACATTATTTAGTATTGGTGCCGAAAGAGGGTCGTAAACTTTTAAGACAAGTTGTCTCTTTGTACTGACAACGTTGCATAGAAAAACTTTAGAAAAGTGTTTCTCAAGTGGGTCTTCTTTCCTTAAATTGTCTCCAATTTTAAATTCATTCTCATTTCTTGTGTTCCAACCTCTAATTAGATTCTTGATTTCAAAAATATCACGAGGAATCTGAATATCTGGATATTTAGTATGCACGAAAGAATTGTTTACTAAACTATAATCTGAGAACCTATTCGACCATTGATTATGAATAAATTCCGACCTATTTAACAACATTTGGCGTTCTTGAGTTTCAGTTAACTCAAAATATTTAAATAATTCTTTCACTTTGTTAGTACGGTCACTATCGATGTCAGTAAAATAATCCAATAAATAACTAATTAAGATTGTTACTAAATTATTGCCATTAGTACTATGCTCTAAACACAGCACTTCACAGTCAATGATTCTTATAATTGTACCATCACTTTGATTCACCATTTGACTTATAACCGCTGGCAGTTTAATTCTAATAATGATTATTGAAGACCTGTCAAGAATGAATCCTAGTTCAGAATTATAACTTAAGATCTGATATATACTTTGATTGAAAAGCTCTCTAAATGAATTTGGTCCCAAAAATGGTGTATCCGGATTCTTAATTGTGTCTACTGCTCTTCTCAACCCACTATACTTCATTTCAATTGGTACGGTAAACTTTTCATTATTTTTCACCACTTCTATTCCTAAATCAGGACGTACTATACCGCTAGTATTATCTTGTTGAATTACACGAGATGGACCAAATTTCGTTGATAAAATTTTCAAGATACTATGCATAAATAAAGATTGGAACAACCATTCCAATTGAGCTTCATTCTGGGGTCTTGTAATCGTATCAATTGACAAGAAGCGAGTTTGCTTTACAAGATTAATATTTAATGAGACTTTACCTAATTTTAGTTCCAAATCACCGTCTGGAAATTGAAAAGTGGATGGAAAAACTTGGCAATACTTTTCAAAATATTTCCGAGATCCGCTATAATTGATCCTGGTGTTTGATAATTGAGCATCTTCATGAATAAAAGAAGGTAATGAAGTGAAAAACAACTTTGAAATATAAAACCAAGATTGAAAATATTCAATTAGAGGAACATTTTGAGCACCATCTGAAACTATTGTATCCCTTATTATTCCTATTTGACTGAGAGCTTCCTCTGATAGAGACTGAAAATCAATGAAATATTGTGCCGAAGAAAGATAGGCTGAACTTAATCTTCTGATGGGACAATCTGACCATCCACAAAATGCAATGAAATTCGACATCATAAACCCAAGCTTCTGCTTCTCCAATTCAAAACCTTGTCTCTTTTCATCTTTGATTTGTTCTAGTAAGGCTGGAGCTTTAGCATCGTTCAAATCATCAATATTTTGAGAATTAAATATATTGAAATCATTTTGATCGTATTTGCTTATTAAGAAATTAACTGATTTAGTCAACTGTACCCTATCTATTAGCCCGGACATCTTGATTGTAGGAGCTCAAACTTGTGATAAGTAACCTGCAGTTAAGTATCAACTTTGTGTTGTTATTAACTTATCTACTATATACATCCATGCCTCAATCTTTCTTTTCTCTACTACTTATTATAGTTGAAAAATCTTCACCCAAGCATTTATATACACTCTGTATACTTAAAAGAAGGTAAGCCCAATTTGGCTTTCAGCCGAGCAAAAATGTTCCTTTGTATGGTAATCTCCTTAGAAAAACGGACTAGTATATATTTACCAGCAATAGTACCACAATGAACATATAGGAGGTATCTTTGATCCACCAATAGCGTGCGAGACAACACAATAGCATGCGCCTCGTGTAAGCTATTGCTTTATCGGCGTTTTACAGCCCGGAAGTATTATTGTAAGTACTGGTACTGGTGTTGGTGTTGGTGCAGTGGGTGTATATAGCCGTAGCCGTAGTAAAAGCCATTTCGGATTCCTTAGTTATCTATCCGCTTTCCGATGCTGCTGTTCCATATATTTCGATATCAGATACACTCTCCAGATTCATGGGCCGATTGGACTACTGTACTAGGTTAATATTTAGTGTATGTCCGAAGGGTATTTTGCAATCGTTTAATAGTGTGCGAAAAACTGTTACAGCCGAGCCTTGCTTGGCTTAACTATGCCAAACTCCTAAGTACGGTCTTGTTCATATTACACAATTATACACGCGGAAGAGGTTTCGAAGTAATATTTCGGTTATTAGGTAGTGTTACTCATATTATGTTAGTGATTATTGCTGATTCTATTACTAATTTTGTATAATATTATGTAGCATATACAACTACTCTTGATCCTCCTGTAATTTCAATTTTTTAAGCAAATCTAATGCATCAAGTAATTCCTTCTCGGCTGTTTCAATGTCCTCATAATTCAATGCAGAGATAGCAAACTTAGAATGTTTCTGGATCTTAGCTATCAGTTCTGTTTTATTCAAGATAGCATTGACATTGGCCTTCGTTATATGATGTGATGCATGACTATGACTTGCAATTGAACTTGATCTATTAGCAACTGGGGGTGGAGCCGATACAGCAGGTGCAGCCGAAGTAACAGATGCTTTTCTTGATCCGAGTGAACCACGTCTATCAGGATCAGGTGGGAATACTTGGATTGAGGAACTTTTATTAATATGTGTTAAATCATCATCTGGTAAATATTTGGGAGCTCCAGGTAGTTTAAAGTTACCTCCATCTATATCATCATTATTGTCACTATCTTGAGGTGGGTAATGTGGAGCTCCAGGTAATGTGACATTACCTTCATCATCATCATCCTCGTCTTTTCCATCGACATCAGGCTTATCATCAATAAAAGTAGGAACTGTTGGCTCATCATCAGGAAGAAACTTGGGAGCTCCTGGTAGAGCTAAATCAGTTTGATCATCATTATCTAATCCTGGTATTAAGTTTGGTGCACCAGGCAATGCCAATTCATCAGCAGGATCTGTTTTAATTTCTTTGTCATTATCATCATATTCTTCATCTTGTTCAATGCTTTGCCCACCAGTAAGCTCTTGCAATTCTCTATCCAATTCAGCCTCAAGTTCTTTATCATCTGGTTCATCTTTATAAGTAACTTCCCCTTTGATCAATTTTGACAATTGAAATTTCAATACTTTAATCTTATCTTTGTTTTGTAATTCAAATAATTGAGCGTTGGCTGCCTTACCACCAGTCAATTTTTCCCAATCGATAACACTATCTGCATTTTTATCACCAGTAAAGACTGATAATAAAGATAAAAACACTAATGTTGCTCTAAATTTCCCTACTAAAGCCGGTCTATTTGTAGATCTACTAATTTGTGATAAATCTTCAAGACATGAGTTAAACAATTTATAGGCAAATGATAGGACTAAACTTATGGAAATTGATTTATCATTCAAAGCTTTTTGAACACTTTCATCCTCATTATTCTGTTTAATAGCTTCAGTGTCATCTAATAACTTGATAGTAAAAATTTCAATATCTTTGGAAGTAGTATGTAATTTATTAGATAAGATATATTCTAAAACATATATCTTACAATAATAACTAACAACAGGATTAACTGCATTTAATTCCAATGATCTAGCAATATAAGGAGTTACATTTTTATCTGATTTCAATCCTTCAGGAATTGAGTCCAACGTGATTTTGTCGGTCATGTTCGCTTATCACTAATATATTAAGCGATTTATATACTCAATTGATATCTATATATGTCAATTACGGCAATTTTGTATGGTTTCCCCTATATAAATATGTGCATCATCCATATTACACCTTAAAGTTCTGTGGTGCACATTATATATGAAACCTGTAAAAAGATGGCATATCATATTCTAACCTGTAAAATTTGTTCTCATCTTTATGGAAAGGAAGAGCTTCCTTCGATGATATTATCGCTTCAAACCGTCTCTTAGTTTGACCCCTGATATGGTAACTTATATAAATATCACAGAATTATTAAGGAGTGACTTGTGGTATAAATACCCTTATCGTAATCTGTTGATTATCAGTGAACAAATTCTTTGCTGCCATCATGAATTGGAAATAAATTTAACTGCAATTCAAATTAACCAAGCAATAAATAGCGTTCATGGCGATTGCTACCTTGAATTTTATAACATAACTAATCAAAATGCTGGTCAAATAGATATAGTTATTACTTATTAATTTGTTTCAAATTATTTGGTAGCAAACAGCTATCAATACACTATTAATGCTGATAATTACCTGACTTATTTGCTTAATGCCCGAACAGATATTACCAATCGAAGACGTTGAAGTTGACCACCAAGTCAATTTTGATCTCGACCCGTAAAAGTTGTAGTAGATGTACTTGATAACTTATATGAATTGGAATCAAGGTTAATAAAATTGACTTGACTCACCGAAGCATATATGTGATATTCAACACTTCAGTGACCTCATTGACAATGTGCAAAATCTATATATGATATCCGCGGGAAGTTTAACTACAGTGTTTGTATCTTAATTATATGCAATTCATTCAATTTGCTTACTTAAATAGTCTATTTACAATGAGATTTTCCAGTCTATTCCTACTAGCACTACTTTGCATCCAATTCTGGCATTCTTAAAATTTCTCTCTCGTTATTTTCCGCATCCTTTTGTAATAACTGTAATATCTTTGAATTCTTCCATTTATCTGGTAATGGAGTGACTGTATAATTTTTAGTTGCCCAATAGTAAATATCCCAATCAGGTTCATCTAATAATTTGTCATACTCATCTAATTCTTCTTCATTAAAAGTATTCAAATGTTTTTTAGCAAATCTTGATAATAACAAGTCACTTTCAAGAATCCCTCTCTTTCTAGATTGATATACTAATCTTGCTCTTTTTATATCTATAGTTTCTCCTTCTCTTTGAATAGGTTGAATTCTCATTTTGATACTATTAGTATCAATAGGTGGATTTTGGGGTTTACCATAATTAGCAAATACTCTCACTGAACTACTCAAGTTTCTACTCGATAATCTAGTATTAGTTCTTAACATATTATCTATTACTTACTCTTACTATATAAACTTGTTCTAGATCTTTCTACTACTACTACTATTTCTTCTCCGCCTATAAACTTCTGCACAACACTACTAGAGCATTTTTTCATTCAGCTCAGTTTTGGGGCCAAGTCGTGTCCAGGTCCATCAAACAACAAATATATAATATCGACTACTGGTTACTTAACTATATAGAGGATCAGTATATTATCTAGAGTATTGTATTTAATTGATCTTTATTGTTCAAATCTCCAAGTATGGGTAAGGCAGTATCTAAATTATCAAAGGATGACTTAAAGTCACTAAGGCAGGCAACTTATTTTGATAAACGAGAATTGCAACAATGGTATAAGGGATTTATAAGAGATTGTCCATCGGGTCAATTATCTGAAGAAGAATTTTCTAAAGTATTTAGACAATTCTTCCCATTTGGAGATCCTACTGATTATTGTCGATTTTTATTTCAAGTATTTGATATTGATAATTCAAAATATATTGATTTTAAAGAATTTATAATAGCATTATCAATAACGACACGAGGGTCAGAAGATCAGAAATTGAATTGGAGTTTTAAATTATATGATCATAGACGAGTTGGGAAAATATCTTATCAAGATATGTTAGCCGTTGTATCAGCAATATATAAAATGGTAGGTTCAATGGTGGCATTACCAGATGATGAAAAGACTCCTGAACTACGAACTGAAAAATTCTTTTCAATGCTACATAAAGATAAAGATAATGATTTCATAACTTTGGCTGATTTTAAGGAATTACTGAAACGAGATCCTTCTATTGCTAATGCATTAAGTGCTTATGAAGGATTAGTATGACTTGTAATGATACACCTTTTTCTTTCTCTATGTATACGTATATATATCCATCTATCCATCCATCCATCCATCCATCCATCCATCCATGCATAATTTTATTTCATTCACATCTACTGGTTTTAGATAAAATACAAGTATATATTAAACTAACATTTCATTTTAATACAAATGTAAAGAACTGAATACGTAAATACTAAATAATTACACCATATATGATTATTGTTGTCCTTCGACAGCTTCCAATAAACCGTCTAATAAATCATCCACTTCATTGATATCTACACCAGTACAAATACTAACGACTTTTTTAAACTTTGATGCTAATATACTATAATCTTGTAATTCTTTTAAATCTTGTTCTAATTTAGCATTAATATGTTTATAAGCCAGAATTCTAGCATTTAAAATTGGAACAGGTTGTAACAGTTTTAAAAGTTCTTCATTTGATTTAAGTTCATCAATGGATTCTTTCTTAATCAATCGATCATAAATTGGTCTAATTATAAATGGTTCATCTGCATCAAATTCTTTATCATCATCATCATCATCATCATGATCACGATCTTCTCCATCATTATTATCTGATTTTAATAATTGTAATTTATCATTAATATTAGCCAGTTTTATCTTTAAAGTATCAAGTTGAACCAATTTTTCAACCACTTTCTTGGTAAGAAATCTATTATTTGCAGTAACAATGGTTGTATTATGTAATGCATCATTCAAATTCTTTATTTGTTCAATTTTAGATTTAAGTATATTATCATATTCTTCATTAGTATTACTTAATAATTGTTGAATACTTTGAAATATCTTACTAGAAGCAGATTTAGAATTAATTTGTTCATTATTATCTTTAATCGACTCAGTAGCTGAATTAGAATTAGAATTAGAATTTGTAGTAATTATTGATGATGAAGACGTTGGAATAAATTTTGGTACTTCCAAATCTTGAGTATTCCCATTAATATCGAGTCTTTTCTTTAAGAATTCCACACTAGTTTGAATTAATTCAAAGATATGTTCATTAATTTCTTCATTTTGTGCATGCTTAACAATATCTAAATCAATTGGTTTTATACCTCTCTTATTAGCTATATGAATATCTGCTCCTAAATCTAAGAATATTTTAACAAACCAAACTGAATCATTTTCTGCTGCAATATGTAAACAAGTATTACCATTTTCTTCATCTTGAGCATTTATAATAGATGTAATTAATTCATATAATAATTTATCCTTATTAATAATATATTCTAATATTTTAGTAAGATAAAATTTACTACTATCCAATTTCTTATGAATTTGAGAAGCTAAATGATGTAAAAATGACCATTTCTTAGAATCAAATAATTGTAAATTTGGATATAACCATTTAGTTAAAAGATCATGAAAATTCCCCTTCTCCATTGAATTTGTAACTTGTATAGCAGATATTAATGGAGATTCTCCTCTAGCATTACCTCTAATTGGAGAATTTAATTTTAATTCAATAAATGAAGAAACTAAATTGAGTGAAGCTAATGATGATGCAAAATGTAAAGCAGTTTGTCCACTTTCATCTAAAGGAATATCAATAATTGAAGTACCAGGATATTTATCAAGTAAAGGTTGAAAGATTAATTTTATATCATTAAATCCTAATTTATTTTCTTGTTCAGAATCTTCTTTAAATGCTTTACCAAGTTTTGATTTTAATTCATTAGCTATTTCTACATTAGTTTCATTAATTGTAATTGGAGTTAATGTGAATGGATAATTAGGATTTTCAGAAATAAACTTTTCTACAAGTCCTTCATCCAGAAGAGATACATTTGAAGTTAATTTTTCTTTAATAAGTGATACTTTTTGTTTCTTAGTAGGTGAACCCATAAGACTAGCATCATTTTCTTCATCATTAGCTTCAGAATGAAATCTTTTGATTTGTTGTTTTGGTAATTCATCAAATTCATGAACATCAACTAAGAATAACTTTTTAGTAAATTCATAAACATCGAATTTTAAAGCTAAACTAACTGCTTTATCATAAGATATCCATAAACCACGTAATTCAAGATTTTTATGTTTAGATAAATCTAAATAATTAGAATTAGCAGAATATTCAATATTAGTAATCACTTCATTAGTTAAAAATTTTTCAATTTGACTATGATGAAAATGATTTAATTTTTCAAGAATACTAAGTAGTTGAGTTATATTAATATAAGAATCTTGAACTCTTCTTAATATAATTATAGAATCATCAGGTTTAGATCCATGTTGTAGAGTTAAATTTAATTGAATGAATTTTTGTCCTGAATATACAGCCGATGTTACTGAAGATATACTACTAGTTTTTAAATGAGTATCATGTAATCTATTCAGTATTGAATTAGTAGTTAAATCTCCTATATTTAGTGGAGATTCCATTATATGAAAAACTAATTGATATGAATTAAGGGATAAGACAAATAGTTAATTTTATTAATATATTACTTAAATGTTTAATATATATGTCTGACCCGTAGTCCAATGACACTTTCTATATGATAATACAAAGTACTATTGACCTTATATCTGTTTAGTTGTATGATAAATTGAACGCATTTCATTTTTAGGACTTCGAAGAAAATTCATCCCAATTAGGAAGTAGTAGGTTAGACGTGTCTAACCTGTAAAAGGGTGCCTCAGTAATGTGTAATCAATAAAACCTGTAAACTCATCAGGAATTACACACTATCTCAAAGCAAGAGAGAAAAAAAAAGAATATTATTATTAACTATACAAATTTGCATCTCTTCCATATATAACAAGAGAAGAGCTACACCAGTACATCAACACATTATGGATTACTCGGAGAGAGTTAACTCCAAACAAGGCGCAGGTGGAATAGCCGGCCGAGAAGAAGCCAATATTCACACAAAAAAGAGAATTCAAGATTTATTGGCAACTCAAGTACTAGATTTGGAACATGACCCATACGTGTTTCGAAACCATCTTGGATTATTGGAATGTAAATTATGTTTAACAACTCATGTAAGTGAATCATCATACATCTCACATTTAGGTGGGAAAAAACATGGATTAAATCTTGAACGAAGACGATTGTTAGATGAAAAGTATAATCACAATCGAGAACTTAATGCTAAAGTTGCAAATTTAGTTTCAATTAATAATACAGAAAAGCGTCAATGGAAGAAAATAGGTAAACCGGAATTTAATCTCTCCAAAATAAGAGATCCTGATTCCTTACAGGTAGGATTATTACTTCAAATTAATTTTCCTAAAATAACTACCGAAGAACCACTCTTTCGATTTATGTCATACTATGAATTATCTAATAAAAATCAAAATGTAATCATATCATTTTTAGATCGAGAGTCTGATTCTGAAACAGAAAACAATGAAGACAAAGATAAAGATCCTAATTCTTATCAATATTTGGTTATTTCTGGAGAACCTTATGAAAATATATGTTTAGCCATACCAAATGATAAAGAAATTGATAAACCCTCCGACATATCAGACATGTCCAAATCTTATTGGTGGTTTTGGGATACCGATTCTAAAGAATTCTTTCTACAGTTTTTGTTTAAATAATTACTAATTAAATAAAAATAATAATAGTAATAATAATCATTATTATTTAACTAATTTAATTATTTAACATTTTATTCCATATAGAGTTGTATAGTTAATGAATTAATGAGTGCATATTATGAGTTTCCTGTATATGGCCGGATTTTTCCCCCAGAAATCATCCACTTTCGGATGTGAAAAATCGAAGTTGCCGAATATAGGAAAAGGTTAATACTAATGGTAAAACAAGTATATACCATGACTCAACCACAGAACGATCAACAGCATAAGTTCTTAGTGCGGTGTGAAGAGGCGTATAATCTTGTTCAAGGTTTTTTGCATGACACTTTACCAGGAGGTCCTGTACCATCCGGAAAATCTGATTACATATTCAATGCCGATTTGCGTGAACGAGTAAAAGAAAAGGTCATATTAAGTATAGAGAAGTTATCAACTGCTATTGATAGACATGGGTAAGTATAATGATTTGTTAAATTAAATAAAATTAAATTCTTTACTAACAATATTTTTTCTTTTATAGTTTAGAAGAAATAGCTCTTTCATATAATGGAGGAAAAGATTGCTTAGTGATGTTAATATTAATCTTAGCCACTATTCATAAGAAATATTCAACAGTTGCAAATGCTTCAGATTTAATTCCTTATGAGTATAAATTAGATTCCATATATATCAATTCCGAAACCCCATTCCCTGAATTATCTGAATTTATTAGAACCTCTACAACATACTATCATTTAAATCCTATAACTATAAAATCAGGTTTAAAAGAAGGATTTTATAAATATCTTCATGAAATAAATACAAAAGTTAAATGCATAATGGTGGGAATAAGATTCAATGATCCTTACGGTAGTAAATTAAAATATGAAGATCCAACCGATCATGATTGGCCGGCATTTTTAAGAATTCATCCTATATTACATTGGAATTATATTGATATATGGGACTTTCTTATTGGTTGTGATCTTAAATACTGTTCGATGTATGATTTAGGTTATACTAGTTTAGGAGGAGTTAATAATACTATACCTAATCCTTACTTAAAGAAGGAAGGAACTGAAGATGAATATTATCCAGCATACAAATTAGTAGAGGATGCTGATAATAGAGAAAGAACAGGTAGAAATGTACTTAAATAGAAGCATAAACGTTACGATTAATTTAAAAACAAATATACACATAATAAACATAGACAATTTGTTGTAATTATGGATTTACAATTGTACTACCTCTTCTTTGAGATGCTCTATTAGTATTAGCACTCGATACTAATACTTGCTTAAAATAGTCTTCTACTAATGCTGGATTCAGACCAATCCCAATTTCTCCCAAAGCTCTTTCCCCACTAGTAGGGCCAATAGATAACTGCAGATTTTGTAGTCCAGCTCTGTCCTCTTGTTCTTTTAAACGTTTCTTTAATCTAGCTTCGGCATGATTATTATCATCAATAAGCTTTTGTAAGTATTCAATATATTCAAGAGATTTGGTTAAAATTTGACCCTTATTAGGTTTACCGTCTCTAGTACCAGAAGTTCTTGGATTACCATCTTCATCTTCATCATCTTCATTTTCATCATTTTCTTGTTTAATAGGTGGTTTACCATTCTTATTGGATTTAACTGTATCTTGAAAAAATTCAGGAGGTATTAGAGTAAGTAATTCTTGAATCTTACTAGTGACTAAATCAACCCTACCAGGATCACTCTTCTTATCATTATTATTATTATTATTATTGTTATTATTATTGATATTATCATCATCTTCAACATCACTCGTTGGATTAGACTTTATATTGGGAATTAATGAACTTCTTCTAGATTGTGGTTTATTAATCCCTCCACTAACATGTAATCCTCCTGAACCTTGAAATGACTGACTCAATTGTTTCCTAACATCTGAAGATCTAGACAATAAGTCTTCTACATCTTCTCGTTTTATTATCGGTACTCCTCTTGTAATCTCTGAAGCTGATGACCCAGAGGCAGGAATTGTGTCGGAATTATCTGTAGACAATGAGTCCAAATAAGATGTATTAAAGCCTCCGAAATTGGACATCACTCTTATAATTATTAAAATAGAATTAATGGTCTTTAAATGAAATTATTAGTATAGTAAGGAGGGGTCCAGTTTCGTATTTCTCTATTCGCACTTTATAGTTTTGTTTTGCCTCTGCGCACACCCACCACCTCCTACATATACTGTGCTTTAGTAGTTATATACATTCTTACTGTTTACTGTTTACTCCTTACTCCTATAATACACTATTTACAATTGATGAATCCATAATTAATCGTTGATATAATTGTCTTAAACGACCTTCTAATGCTTGACTTCTTCTATTCTCTTCTTGTGACCAAATAGCTGAATGATTTTGACCATTTATACCATCAGCCTTACCAAATCTTAATTGATAATAATCTAATAATACTTGTTTAAGAATATTAAAAGTTTTAAAATCTCCATCAAAACCACAATGCTTCATTTCTAAAAATGTCATTTCAAATGGATATAAATCAGTTTTACCTCTATATATCCAAAGGATTCTTAATACATCATTATAAGTTTCTTGATTACAAATTATAGTATATAATTGTAAATCTTTCTTTAAAAGATTATATAATGATAATGCTGTAAGACCATCATGATATTTAAATGCTAAAACTCTTAATATATGATTGAAAATGACTGAAAATGTTAATGCATTCAATTTTGGTGATTGAGGATTTTCTTGAGTTTTAACAATAAGTTCATCAATAAATTCCCGATGCTTTTCATCAAGAGTAGAATCCTTTAATAATTTATGAAGATAAATAGTTTCAAATAATGATTCATCTTGTTTAACTTTATCTTCATATTTATACCATTCTTGAATAAGACCATCATAATAATCAACTATATCTGAAACTGATTTTAATTCATTAATATAATCCAAGGTGGGTTTTAATGCTTCTTGTACTTGTTTGTTTAATTCCTTCATATAAATAGCTGAAAGTCCAATCCTAGTACTACTAAGAGTACGATCAAATTGTTCTCTCGTTTCTCTTATGGAATTTTTATGACTCCATGATTGACTACCCGAAGGTCCAGACCGACCTGTATGATCTTCCGTTTGTAAAGATCGAAATAAATTGGCTAAAGTTTCTTTCTCTTGTGGTTTCTTTTTAGTTATTACTTCTCTAATCTTACCCATATCTAAGAAATCTTGACCAAATAAATCATCAATAATTGGAGGACTTGTTTGATCTTCTTCAAGCGTTGAATCGAGTCTTCCTCTTTGTGATTTATGTAATTCAAACTCCTCATGTGATTTTAATAGTTCATCTTCAATACTAGAATGGTTGTTAATTTTCTCTTCTTCCTTTAGACGATTAAAGAAATCTTCAAAAGTTTTGGTTGGATCTGTTTCTTGATCATTTGCTTCTACATTGGAATCCTTCGTTTTCATTTCTCCAAATTCTTCTTTAAGAAAGTTATCTATTATGTTGAAGTCATCATAAGAACTGGAACTAGTTTCTTCTATATTATCATCTTTTTTACTTGCTTCTGATTGTATTTGTTCTTGACTACCTTCAGCTTCACCTATACTGTCGACATGGTTATCGAGTAGTTCACTGATTTTCGTCAAATCCAAATCAAAATTTCGTGAGTTTCCTGAGTCAACCTCTGAATCTCGAGCATCTTTCTTTGTCTCCTTATTGCTAGAGTCTTCAGCGGAATCCAATATATCGAATAATGAGTCGTGATCAGACTCGTTCGAAAAATGTCTGCGACTATGCCTTAACTGGTCCAAAGAAACCGGTGACACATATGAAACGCATGGGTATGGCTTCTTCATACACGCCCTTACGCTCCCTATCAAACGTATGGACCTTATCATAATAGACCTTATACTTCTTTAGATACTGTAGAGATAGTAGTTAATATTAAGCTGGAGAGTATATGATCAGGAAATTTTTCACACTAAAGATGGGGGCTGTGTGCAGGAATTGCATACTAATTTGCATACTAATAATCGTATTATACATTAATGCTGTAGTTAGAGAGGTTTATTATAATTTAGATAAATTTTAATCATCATCCACTATGGACTTTGAATTATCGCTTTCGTCTAACTCGATGACTTCGGAGAATTCGGATACAATCACATTTACCCGTTCATTGGGAAGTATGTCCAGTTCCAGTTCCAGTTCCAACTCTTCTTCGCCTTCTAGTAATATCAGTTCGCGCTTACTGCTTTCTTGTTGTTGTTGTTGCTCTTCATCGTCATCATCTTCTTCTTCTTCTTCTTCTTCTTCATCATCATCATTCTGAGGACCTATATCCAATACCCCTACTTCCACAATTTCTTCCCGTTCCTTTTGTTCCAACTCTTCTCTAGCTTTCGTCTCTTTATTAATAAGTTCGTATTCTCTATACTCTTCGTCTATCAAATTAACTTCCAAATTGGATCCTAATGGATCAACTCCCCTAATTTTATTATATTTCTCATGGTCTATATCCCAAGTTGGTCCTAATTCATTTGATAAATAACTTGCCACATCATCACAATATCCTAATAAACTAACATCAAAATTACAATGATTTATAGGATCTTTATTAATTAAGATTTGTGGAACTTGTGGTGGTACTTTATCAACTATATCTGCCACAGGAGCAACTTTCAATGATGTACCTATGCTGATAAGTAAATCACAATCTGCTAAATCTTGATTAATCGAATCATGAAAGGCTCGAGGTAATGGTTCTCCAAAGAAAGTTATATCTGGTTTAAAAACTCCAAAACTTTCAGAAATATATACATCTTCATCATCTCTCAAAAGTTGATTTCTGGTCTTTGTACATTTAGGGCAATATGCAATATCTTTGTTTCGGATTTGCTCAAATATAGTCTCTCCTTTAACTTGATAGTTACAAGTAACACAAGTGGCTGTAGCAAAGGATCCATGACATTGAATTAGTTTAGATGAAGATATACCTGCATAACTCTCAAGATTATCAATGTTTTGAGTATAGTTTCTTAATAATTTCCCCTTTGATTGTAATACTTTGATAAATCCATGTAAGGGACTATAAATCTTCTCAGGAGGAAGTATCATATAAGCAATTGAATAGAATAAAGAAGGATCAGTATGAAACAATTCAAGATCAAATACTTCTTGAGGATCACTCAAACCTAAATGTTGTAATTGATTATAAAACCCTTGAGATGATCTAAAATCAGGTATACCTAAACTAGTAGAAATACCAGCTCCAGTGATAACAAGAATTTTTTTTGACGTCTTGAGGAGTCTTAATACATCATTAATATCTTTAACGTTATCAAGGCGATTTCGGATCGATTTAACTTTCATCATAGCTCGATTCAAAATTCGTATTAATGCCATTAAATTCTCATTATTCTCTTCATCATTATCATTATTTAATGCTGATGATGGTATATCTCGAGGGAAAAATCCTAGTTTTAATATAAGTCTTAATATATCTTCACTTGATGCTGCAGTTGGTAAGTATTTTTCGAGAAACTTGAGCGTTCCATGTTGTTTAAGGTACTTTCTAGTTTCAGCGACTAAATCTGGGGAAACACTTCCTACTTCATCAAATGAGACTGAATCTAAATCACTATCATCTTCTTCATTATGCTCCTCTTCACTTGATACTACTAAAGTACTTGCTGGAGGTGCTAATGATGAAGGTAGTGATAGCACTTCGACCACATCATCATCGTCGTCATCATTATTCTGCTCACTGACATCTTCGTTGGAGATTTGTTTTTGATAATGTGTATGGGTATATGATATTTCTGGTTGTGCTTCGTCTTCTACGTCGCCTTCATCTTCTTCATCTTGATCGCTTTGTTGAATCAGGTAATGCAAACTACTTCCATGAGCATGGACTCGCGTACTCACTGTAGGCGGTATACGAGCATCGGACACTTCTCCAGATGAAGATGACGGAGACGATGAACCAGAAGAACCTCCATTAAATGGAGTTATTGCTAATGGTTTATGTTTTTTAACAGGTGGTTCACTATATTCTTCTTCTTCTTCTTCTTCATTATTCTCTTGATTTGAATCTGAGTCCAATAATATTATCTCATTATTGGTAGTAGTATTTGACATAACCAAACGAATCAGTCAAATCGATATATAAATATATATATATATATAAGTTAATTTAAATTAAATTAATTATATGAACTGATTCTATGATGATAATTGCAAAAAATCTAGAGTGGGGTGGAGTGGAGTGAATTATGTATAAAGGACCCGATTTATTAATAAAATGATAATAGTTTAACAAAAAATATTATGACAATATATGATGTATAAGAAATATTTTGCAATAATTTGATTAGGTCCACAGTTAAACTAGATCTATAAATAAATTATACGAGGGTATGATTTCCTATAAGAGAAACTAACTTTGTTTTCCTGCTTATATGGGAATATTATTATGTTAGATTATGTTGCTGGGCTTATTAGCGCTGGGGATATGCGGTATATGCAGGAGATGTGCCTGATTATTACCCGAACCGGTTTGAAGTCGGAAGTAAATGTAATTAACTAGTTCAAATTGGTTTATGTGAATATCTATGGTAGAAAACTGGACCCTCTTATCTTACAAATCTGGTTATTATTATGGGTCAAGTTTATCCAAGAGCAGAAGATCTATGACCATTCATAATATCGACAATAGTTGCCTATGAGTTCCTTTTTCTACTTTGATACATCGCTTATTCTACTTCTCCTATTAGGTTGCAGAGATGAAAAGGAAATATTAACTACTGCACGGTTTGTATTGGTTCATTAAGATAATTGGTTCGATAATACCGAATTGAGCGTATTCATCTTCTGGCTTGGCTTCATACTCGATTAAAGTTCCGGAATTGCTGTTTTCGGAGCGATTTGTGCGACACTAAATAAGATTTTATTTATGAACGTGAATTTGAGAAACTTTTAGAACGACAAGTGATCCATATATTGCTTGTCTGGTATCTTGCATGTAGTGGGGAAGCAAAGGAACTAGAGACCATGAGTAGGTCAACAAAATCGTGGGTCTTTTACTGTTTCTTCATCAATTGTAGTTAACGCGAGCTTTCCCGTTTACTGTACTGCACGGGGGCTGATGTAACTGCAAACTAATAATAGGAGTTGGCTAGTCCAATTTATATATACTTTTACCATATAAGAGCATAAGCATTTTTAGTCTTAATTTCAGATTTAATTTAATATAGTGGTAAGTGGTACAATAGCAATGTACGGCATTGACATACACGATATTTAAACCACTTTTGTGTTTTTTATCTATCCACTTCCATTTAAATCATAATCTATAATAAGATACTCGACTCGATTGTATCATTACGTACGACCTATATACATAGTGAGAGTACTTCATGATGAACGAAACTACGACGAATATACGAAATCAGAAAATATTTGATAATATCGGTTATCTAGAACAACATTACGATTTTGTGATTACTACTACCACTAGGACTTTTTAATTGTCTAGTTTCAATAAACAATGTGCTGTCCATCGATTGATTCAAGATTCTGATCCAGTCCCCTCTGATCTCACAACCCATAATTGTAGTTGTGATTGTGGTTGTATTTGTGTAATGTCCTCTCTGTTCAATATTACTTACACTACTGGGCCAATTGGTTGGCTGCTCAGTTGCTAATAATTTGGTTACTGCAACACACGTCGAGAAAAAATGGTGTGCGCCTCGACATCTTTTTTTTAATCAAGTAATAGAGAAAATCAACCGAAGCCGAAATTGAATTTAATTTTAATTTTCACTTGTCCTTTTTCTCTCATTTTAGTTAAATAACTCCAATTGTCGTTATTGAAGTTGTTCAATTGATATCATTCTTCTAGTTAAGTGTAATCAACAGTTATTCAATTGTATTATAATCATTTGAATTTATATCTATATATATACTGATTGGTTTATCGTACACGTAAGAGAATAATTATACAATATGTTGGATAACGTAGAATTTATTACTACTCCACCAGCAGCACCTCCAAAACCTGCTACTGATGAATCAGGTGTATTAACCAGTGCTTCTCCTTCAATTCATAATCCTCCATTACCTGCTGATGGTCCAGGTTCTAAACATTTTAGTAATCTTGCTTTATTAGGATTTATTACTATAATTCCTTATTATATTACAAGAAAATTGGGATTGGGATTTAAAACATGGTTATTTTTCACTTTATTATTGGCACTTCCAATATTAATGTCTTATTGGACTGTTTTATCCACATTTTCTCCAAGAATTAATGAAAAGGCAAAATACCCAAATAAGCCAATTTCTCACTATTTAGAATATCATACTGAAGAATTAAAAGCAAAATATGAAACTTCAAATGGTGGTAAAGGTACTAAAATTCCAATTGAAACTTTCCAAGAATTATATTTCGAAGGTAAAGTTAGTTTTAAAGGAGATTGTTTAGATGTTATGGAATATAAACATGATTGGGCTAATTTCAGATTTACTCTTTCATTATTCAGATTCTTCTTATTAGGTATGATTCCTGAAGTTATCTTACATTCTAAATCTCAAGATGAAGAACAAGTTAGAGAACATTATGATAGAGGTGATGATTTTTACACCTGGTTTTTAGGTCCAAGAATGATCTATACTTCTGGTGTTATTAGTGATGTTGCTAGAGAAGAAACCTTAGAAGAATTACAAGATAATAAATTGAAAATTGTTGCTGATAAAATTGATCTTAAGAAAGGTGAACATGTTCTTGATTTAGGATGTGGTTGGGGTACTTGGGCTACTTATGCTTCGTCTCAATATGGTGCTCATGTTACTGGTATTACTTTAGGTAAAAATCAAACCAAATGGGGTAATACTTTATTAAATAAATATGGTGTTGAATCTGATCAATCAAAGATTGTATGTGTTGATTATCGTGATGCTCCAAAATCTGATAAGGCTAATGGTAAGTATGACAAGATTACTTGTTTAGAAATGGCTGAACATGTTGGTATTAGAAGATTTACTGCATTCTTAGAACAAGTTCATGAATCTTTAGAAGATGATGGTTTATTCTTTTTACAATATGCTGGTTTAAGAAAGAACTGGCAATATGAAGATTTAATCTGGGGTTTATTTATGAATAAGTATATTTTCCCAGGTGCTGATGCTTCAACTCCATTAAGTTTTGTTGCATCATGTTTAGAATCTGTTGGTTTTGAAATTGTTAGTGTTGATAACATTGGTGTTCATTATTCTGCTACTCTTTGGAGATGGTACAGAAACTGGTTAGGTAATAAAGATAAAGTTGTTAACAAATATGGTATTAGATGGTTTAGAATTTGGGAATACTTCTTATCATCTTCAGTTATTGCTTCAAGAAATGGTACTGCTACTTGTTATCAATTTATATTAAGAAAGAATATCAATTCTTATAGAAGAGTTGAATATATTCCAAAACAAAAAGGTTTATTAGGACCTCTTGAACAAGGTACCAGATGGGCTAAGCCATGAGCTCAAATTATGAGGTATTCTCTTTTTTGCTATATTTTTATTCAAGAATATGGTTATGCTAATGCTTAACCATGATAGAAATCATAAAAGTACTTAAAAGATCCTTTTAATAATATTAATCATATACAACAGTTAAATGGTGTGTGATATATGTAGTTTAGCTACTAGTTTAACTTTTTGATAGAATCCGTATTAGAAATTCTCTAAAGCTAAATGAATGTCAATTGATTATATATTTACAAATTAAGATAATTATAAATATTCTATAATATCTATGATCCTCGGAGTTGCTAATTATGATTCTTGAGTCATGTATTTAATTAAGCACTATTACATACCTTCTGGAAATTCTACGGTTAATCAATCGTGTATTCTTACATGCGGGCCAAAGTCCGGGGTAAGCCATAAAAAGAAGTCAAATCAGAACTTGTATCCCCCATATTTCCCCTTATCTACAGTAAGGTGTTTTTAAGCACTACGCGCCTCCCTAGAGAATTGCCTTAGTATGAGCAGCCAAATAAATAATGAGAAGTCCTACAAATAATAGTAAATTTTGGATACGTGGGGGATTCTGAGCACGGATTGTTATCAATGGCCTATCATTATTGGCCAACATACTCCGCTCTAAGGATTTATAAAACTTGCCGAAATGTAGTTAGACGATTTTGACTTCTGTCAAAGGTTATCTTGGTTTCGGAGTTTCACATGGGGGATTCATCGGCCGGCCCTTCGTATACTACATTGCCTCGGCCATTCCCATTTAATTATAGAAGAAATAAGGTTAAGTATTGCGGTGTGGGGGTAGGTGCGGAAAGTTCCGATGGACCGAAGGAATAAGTGAGATAATCTAGAAGTCTATCTTATTGGATATTCGCTACGGAACCGATACGGTAGGGAAAATATTTACAATTGTTTTAGTCACATGGTTTAACTTTTGACTCTGTCTACTATTTCTCACTACAAACAGCAAGGCCTGTATCGTTCCAGCGGATGTTTTTCTTATGACTTCTTCCACAAGAGTCCGCATTCTTATTGTGAACTGATTTTTTTTCTTTTTTGTATAACCGCAATCAAATCTGGGGTAGATAAATTTTAAAATCTATGGAAATTGATAGGGCAAAGTTGAATCATCAACCTGGCATTTTTAAATTAGAAATATAAGTAGTATATATACCTTTCATCATCCCCTAATTTTTTAGTAATTTCAGATTTTTCATCTTAACTATTTGAAACATTTTTTTCAATTTTTATCTATATCAATTTATAGTACTATAATAATGTCTTCTCCATTTCCTCAAACTGTCGATAAACTTAAAGGTGTTCAAATCTTAGGTCCAATTCCTCAAGAAGCTAAACATATCTTCAATGCCGAGGCTTTAGGATTGCTCGCCACTTTACATCGTTCTTTTAATGCACAAAGAAAGTTATTATTAGCCAATAGAAAAGAACAACAAAAATTAAGAGATTCTGGTGTTTTACCTGACTTCTTACCAGAAACTGCTCATATTAGAAATGACCCAACTTGGACTGGACCACCTTTAGCTAAAGGTTTACAGGATAGAAGAGTTGAAATTACTGGTCCAACCGATAGAAAAATGGTTATTAATGCCTTGAATTCTGGTGTTGCAACTTATATGGCTGATTTTGAAGATTCTTTAACTCCTGCTTGGAAAAATTTAGTTGAAGGTCAAGTAAATTTATATGATGGTGTTAGAAGAAATTTAGAATTTGAAACTAATGGTAAGAAATATAAATTAAATTTAGACCCAAAGAGACATATCCCAACTTTAATTGTTAGACCAAGAGGTTGGCATTTAGATGAAAAGCACGTCTTAGTTGATGGTGAACCAGTTAGTGGAGGTATCTTTGATTTTGCTATTTATTTCTATAACAACGCTTTTGAATCAATCAAGCAAGGATTTGGTCCTTACTTTTATTTACCAAAAATGGAACATCATTTAGAAGCAAAATTTTGGAATGATATTTTCAACTTTTCTCAAGATTATATCGGATTAGCAAGAGGTAGTATTAGAGGTTCAGTTTTGATTGAAACCTTACCAGCCGCTTTCCAAATGGATGAAATTATTTATCAATTGAGACAACATATTGCAGGTTTGAACTGTGGTAGATGGGATTACATTTTCTCTTATATTAAATCCTTAAGAAATCACCCAGAATTTATTTTACCAGATAGATCTTCTGTCACTATGTCTGCTCCATTCATGTCCTCATACGTCAAATTATTAGTTAACACCTGTCATAAAAGACAAGTCCATGCCTTAGGTGGTATGGCTGCTCAAATTCCAATTAAGGAAGATCAAGAACGTAATAGACTTGCCTTGGAAAATGTCGCTAAAGATAAATTAAGAGAAGTTACAGCAGGCTGTGATTCTTGTTGGGTTGCTCATCCAGCTTTAGTGCCAGTTGTTCTTAAAGTTTTCAATGAACATATGAAGGGTCCAAATCAAATCAATGTTCCACCTAAGGTTCCATACACTCCAGTCACTGCTCGTGATTTATTGAGTCCTTTCGTTCCAGGTGGTAAAATTACTGAACAAGGTATCAGAACTAATATCATTATTGGTTTATCTTACATCGAAGCTTGGTTAAGAAATGTTGGTTGTGTTCCTATCAATTATTTAATGGAAGATGCTGCTACTGCCGAAGTATCCAGAACTCAAATTTGGCAATGGGTCACTCACGGTGCTACTACTGATAAGGGAGTTGTCGTCACTAAGGATTTAGTAAAGAGATTGTTGAATGAAGAATATAATAAATTGGCCGGTTCTGCTAAACCAGGAAACAAATTCAAGCAAGCTTTGAAATATTTCGCTCCTGAAGCTACTGCTGAAAGATACAATGATTTCTTAACTACTTTGATTTATGATGAAGTTACCACTATTGGTAGAGCTTTGCCAGCAGAAAGATTATAAGTGGGTCTATTCCCCGCGGAAAATGATCTAGCTATTAATTTCACCAGTTTGAATTCACGGGGATCCATTTCTTCTTTTTAATAATCATGTTATGTTAACTACTTTATTTATTCATTTATTTATATGTATTAAAAATACCACGTTATGTCATGTTAATTACATCACAGTATAGGTTAAGTGTAGGCTTGCTATATAGAAACGCGGACCATTCTTACATCCGAGATTACTCAATTGGGGCATGTGCGATAAATAGAAAATGTTGAATAGTAAGCTTTAAACTAATGCTTGCGCAAAGTTAGGAAAGTAAGCGCAAAATTGGGAAAGCATACCTGTTAAAGACAGCCAACAAAGCGTGATTAGCAGAAGTAAAATTTGTAGTATGCAGACCAATAGTATTTTCGGGTTAACTAGGATTTTTTCTTAACCCCTCTCCGTGGTACCGTAAATACGGAGCATATTGAACCACGTATTTATAAGATTATGATTAGAAATTTTAATTTAGCGGACATAGAGTATGATTTCCGTGAGACATAATCGGTGAGTGGCAGTCCACTACGCTTGAGCATATGCAACACGGGGATACTGTCACCGATTGAATATGGTATATAACACGACGAGCCGAAATGATGAGTAACTAGAAAATATATGGTATTAACTTTGTTGAGTCGAGAAACAGTATCATATTTATTACTGTTCCCCAATATCACTGATAGAGATAAAGGGAAATGTTCTTAGAAATTCTACTACATACGGTCACCTTCTACAGTTATCTCCATATCCCATTATAACTTGAAAGGCAAATAATTGTTGGACATTAAAACCGTAAGGAAAGTGCTTTCGTACCGATTTAGGAATACCCGAAGGATGGCTGTACACCATGGATCATTCGCACTTTCCTAAATAGGCAATTCCGCAGAAAATTATCATTAATAATAAGCACTTTCATAAGGATAATTTTTGTTTCCTGCTGATTCACCAAAAAAGAAATTGCTTACGAAAGAGGATGCGAAATCTTAGTAACAAAATTAGAGTGGGTGTATCAGCCGTAAACGAGGTTAACTCCTAATGCAAAAATGAAGGCTTACTAAACTTTGAAATCGCAGCAAAATTTATATATAAATACATCTTTTCTTTCTTTCGAATATTCAACTTTATTTACTGTAATCAAATAAGTTAATTAATACTTTTATATTACTATACCACTTGAGTACAAGCCGCATTTTTAAAGCACCTTTAATTTTTCAAAGTTACCACATCTAATATACAATAAAATTTTATCATAATAGAAAAAATGCACTATAGATTTATGAGAGATTCCTTTGTTGGTAGAGTAGTCTACCATCTATCAAAGCATAAGTATTTCAGTCATAAAGAAGAACATCCAGATTATGTGATACCTGAAAAATATCTTGCCAATGAGTTAAAGGCCAAAGAATTTGAAAAAATTGAGGGCATCGAATTTGAAAGAGATATACCGAATGATTCTAGTGCTAGTTCATCATCTAGTACTACTCAAGTTGAAGATCCAAGGATCGTAGTTACATGGGATGGTGATGATGATCCTGAAAATCCTGTTAACTGGCCATTTTATCAAAAGGCATTCTTTACTTTCGAAATTGCATTCTTAACTACCGCTGTCTACATGGGTTCTGCTATCTACACTCCCGGTGTAAATCAGATTATGGCTGAATTTAATGTTGGTCAAACTGTTGCTACTTTACCTTTGTCATTGTTTGTGATCGGTTATGGTATTGGACCAATGGTTTTCTCTCCAATGTCTGAAAATGCCATTTTCGGAAGAACTTCAATTTACATTGTCACTTTATTTCTCTTTTTCATATTGCAAATTCCAACTGCCCTTTCAAATGATATCGTTTCTTTATGTATTTTAAGATTCTTGGGTGGTATATTTGCATCTCCATGTTTAGCTACAGGTGGTGCCTCCGTATGTGATGTTTTATCAATTCCTTATGGTCCTGTTGGTATTGCCTGTTGGGCTTTAGGTGCCGTTTGTGGTCCATCGTTCGGTCCATTTTTTGGTTCAATCTTGGTTGTCAAGGGTGACTGGAGATGGACTTTCTGGTTTTTAGCTATTACTAGTGGTTCAACTTTGTTGGTCCTTAGTTTCCTTTTACCTGAAAGTTATGGTAAGACTTTACTTACTAGAAAGGCTAAAAGATTAAGAGCACTTACCGGTAACGATTTAATTACTAGTGAAGGTGAAATTGAAAATGCAAGTTTAACTGCTACTGAATTAGCTATTGAAACATTATGGAGACCAATTGAAATTTCAATTGTTGAACCTGTTGTCTTATTAATCAATATCTATATTGCTTTAGTTTATTCCATCATGTATCTTTGGTTCGAAGCTTTCCCAATTGTGTTCTACGAAATTCATCACTTCACATTAATTGAAATGGGTCTTACTTATATGAGTATTGTTATTGGTATTGGTCTTGCTGCATCCATTTATATTCCTGTCATTTATAGAATCTTTACCATTCCTATGAAGAGAGGTGATGATGTTGCTCCTGAACTTTTTATTCCTTTAGCTGCGGTTGGGGGTATTTGTATGCCAGTTGGTATTTTCATCTTTGGTTGGACTTCAGCTGCTGATCTTCCTTGGATTGCTCCATTAATTGGGGGAGCAATTTATGCAGCTGGAGCTTTCCTTATTTTCCAAACATTATTTAATTACTTGGGTATGTCATTCTGGAGATATTTGGCTTCAGTATTTGCTGGTAACGATTTATTCAGATCAGTTATTGCTGGTGTATTCCCATTATTTGGTAGAGCATTGTTTGACAATTTAAAGACTGAAAGATTTCCAGTTGCTTACGGTTCTACTATTTTAGGATGTATTACTATTTTAATGCTCCTTATTCCTGTTTTGTTTTATGTCAATGGTCCAAAATTAAGAGCCAGATCAAAATATTCTGGTTCGGGTTAGTTTTTTATAGAGGGGTTAATTATTGTTTCTTGTTAATAGAAGTTCTTTATAGAGTTAGAAGAATAATCATTTAATTTAATATCTACATTTATTTCAATTTTTAGTAACTTTACTGCAAAAAGTTAATATCATAGGCGCAACGCGTAAATGAAGTATTTACTTCAAAATTTGTTAAACAATTGGAGAAATGATTCTAACAAAGTTTACTCATATTCGAATCAGTAGTGCAATTGTATTATCAATTTACACTAGAAATCAAAAGTATGTGAATGTGCTGTTTTCTGAAGAGGTACTGCCTTTACTTCACCGGTATTTTATACTTTTATAAGGAAATAAGGCAAGACACGACATATCATCGTGACTCAATAATCACCGAAATTAATTAACGATGTGCGGAACTTAAATCCCGTGAAAAAACTATACGTAACAAGTAGTCTACACTTAAAATGTTATATCATAATTAGTAGATTCCATCTTTAGATGAAATCTAATTCTAGTTTTGTAGTATTAAATTAAAAAATCAAAACATCTATAAAAAGCCATTAAGAATAATTAGATTTACTTTGCATTATTAATTGTATTAATTGTATTAGTTGTAGCAGAAGTAGTAGTAAGTGTCATAAAAAAAGTGTATTAGTACTTTATCGTATCGAATTGAATTGAATGAATTTCAGTTATTTTGAAATCACTTAGTTGGTAGTCTTAACAGCAAAACCAAAGATATCACCAAAGAAAGAACCTTGGAATTTTGATTCGTATTTAGCGTTGTTAGCTCTAATTTCTTTCATAATTTGAGCTTCCTTTTCGGCAGCAGTTCTAACGACAGGCTTTTGAACTTGAGAAATCATTGTAATGTATTGAGGAATAGATTGGTTATCTTGAGAATTAATATTATTAACAAAGTAGAAGTATAGATTTCAATAAAATTTATAAAATGAAATTATGTCTTATTTATATTAATATACAACATGCTGTTGATCATATAGGCTGTTCCATAATTAAGAAATTGCAGCAACCACACAACGTCTTTAAAAATTTTTCTGCGGACTTTTTTAGCCATCAGTCCGACAAAAAAGAAATTTGTTCAGTTAATCCGAACCAGGACTTAAAAAACAAATTTTACAATCCCTTTAAACCGATTGATTTGAGTCATAAGTTTATATAGTAACATTATATTCATTCGAATGGTGTGAGTTATATGTATCTATCCGAACCAACATTCAACACATTATCTAGAAATTGTATATAGAATACATGGTAGAATATTATCCTATGCTTACACGTCTTTCCTTTATTCTTCCTTTTTGCTTGGATTTTTTACGCCTTGCGGGAAAAAAAAACAACTCAAAGGAAACAAAAAAGAAATTATGAGGGGCGCTACTTCCAAATTAGGTCTACCCCTCCTCTGCTTATTGAAGTGTTGGACCTACCACTATTAATTCAACTAATGTTGGCTATTATAAAGTTCAAGTAATCATTCCACTTGACAATGCAGTATACACAATGGCATCATATAATGAGTCAATGATTTAAGCATCGACCTGACATATAAACTATCTCTTCCTGTTTTTCCCTAAGGTGACTCAGTACGGGTCTGTGGAAAGGAATCAGTTCCTTATTTGTCTCGGGTGTACGGACAATTTTTAGCTTTTCCTGCACATGGAACTTGCACACGATCTAAGCGATGGGAATAACTGTTGACATTAGCTAAACTCCCAGTGATAGGATTTAAGCTCTTACAGTGTTCCTTTATATGATATGTAAACTAAATCTGAAGGATTTTGAAAGAGGACAGATATTCCTATTCTTTCGGATTTTGGTTGAATAGCTTAAATGCATCACCAATAGAACTGAAGGATTTTCGCGATTACTGGTTTTCGAAAGTAACTCACTTACTCATCATATATGAACTAAGGAGATTGTCATTAATATAGCTCTAAAAATTAAACATCTACAAGAGTAAGGAATTGTGAGATTATTTATTCAGTTAAGGTAACGTTTCTTTATATATATCTGTGATTGCCAGAATAAACTGCTAAACGTTTCATAATTGATTATGTCACAGGTTCGAGTTAAGGTATCGTGACGTAGAGGGATTTGAAGATTTTCTGATTCACAAATTTTGGAGCTAAGGCAAATGGCAAAATTTTCACTGCAGGAAACTACTGAATGATTTGAAATGCACAAATAGTTCTAGCTGCAAAATCTTCAAATACCGAAGTGATACAATAGTAAATATTGATTTTCTGCACAACCTTTTATGTCAAAATTGTGCACCTATGTACATAAAAGCACTCTCATTCTTGTGTTGGATAACTTTTATATAGCTACTCTAAAGGAATCAAATCGAGAATATATGCAATGGTTGTAGACAATGAAAGTGAATCTAATGATTGTGTTCAAAAGTTATGAGAATTGTTCAATAAAGGGGTATGTAAACAGTTATGATGCTGATTACTATTTCTTCGTTAATGTTTAATACAAGTATTGATTTTGTGAATTTCCCCTACATACCTTTTCAATACACGTCAACTTACTTTGTCATACTCCAGTCTACATTATACCTCAATTATCGGAGTTACAATAAAACTATTTAGTAGACGATGGATTGCCGTATGTAATTATTACTAGTTTTAGTTACGCATAAAAATACAAATTAGGTAAGATTAATAAATTTTTTTATACGTATAATGACGATGGTTGGTGATATTTGACATATTAACGTTATTAGGGAGGCTTAAAGACCGTAACCAGGTACTGATAGACGGTTCCGCTTAAGACAATAAGAAATTGCAAATTGACGAAAATCACTAAATACTGACAAGCTCCATTCTAGATCGTCTCGGGGTCATAATTGTAGGAGAGATGAGTGAATTAATCAACTTGATCGTGACAAGTGGCTGCCAATTTTGAAAAATTTAAATTGCCAATCTATTATGGCCATAAACCCCTCTAAAAAATAAATTTCGTATAATTAACGTACCGAGAAGGAGAACATTATGAGTATAAACTTAAAGTAAATTTATTATATGTTGCAGGTTAGTGATCGTCAAGTTTCTCCTCCTCTTTGATATTGAAGTGGCTGAAATAACTGAAGGTAAATTTCAAAGTATCTAAGACTAAGTTAGATTAAGAGAAATACTATATGCCAAGACTCTAACATTTCAAATCTAGGCCAGATTGTAAGGCTGCTGATAAGATAGAAAATGATAGATATATGCAAATCGATGAGCTATTCATACCATAATAAAATAATAAATACGATAACATAAAATAAAATAAACTAAAACGAAATTGAATGGAAACGAAAATGGACGAGGCCACATAGTTCCATGGGATGTATTGAAATAGGCGCAAATATTATATAATGAAAAGGGTAAGTGTCAAAATGCAGGAAAGAACACAAGATGTCAGTGCAGCCCACGCATGCTTATTTGTTGAAGAGACTCAGAAATGTGACTATTTCTTTGATGAAAAAGACTAGAATTAGATTAAAGGGTACATATAAGTCAATGTGATGAGTTATATAGTTATTTATTTATTTAGTAAGTTAGTTCATTTGCCTAGTTTATCGGAATTATTTTAAAGAAGCATCGAAATTATATAAATTAATTTATGCATAAGTTTAAATTACTGAAAAATTTCATTTATTATACAAGAGTAAAATGCAATTACTTTTCCTATTTAGGAAATATAACGACTCTTTCTAGGTAATTCTTAACAACCGCGCACGTGATTGGAATCAGAGGACTTCTAGACCCTTATTTCTGGCCTATTGTTTAAGTTGCTCGTCTAAAATTTTCTTCGCGTTTTATACCACAAAAGACTACGGGTATCCTGGGGGCTGACCAGGCAATACTTCGCGACCAACGGGTATTATACATAATCAAAGGTGGAACGAGATGAAAAAGGAAATAGAATTAAGTTAACCAATAAACAAAACGATAAATAAATAGAATAGAATAGAATAGAAACATGAAATAGATTCTAATAATATTTTGTAAATGTATATTGTATACATAAATAATTATGTAGACCATTAGAGATGAGATGGATCATTAACTGTGGAAGAGGAAAGATATTATATGAAACGTAAGTAGTTTGTAGAAAAACACTCGGATCATGAAATTTCATTCCCACTATACCTTTGTTTTTGTACAGGAGGCACCTATTTGATACACGACAAGAAAAATGCAAAAAAAAAAAGAATTATAAAACGTACACAAAATTCGAAAAATTTACAGCTTTGTTTACGATTTATACTTATTAGGTTCGAACGGGTATCAAATTGAGACAAGATGTCAACACTGTTTGCAGGTTAAATTTCAAACGTTTACAAGTTGACTCCTTTTCTCTATTGTTTATTTTCTAACCTGTATATCAACAATGCAAAAAAAAACTCTCCATACTTTAGAATTTTAACTATACAAAACCTGTCGATATCACAAACCTTAGAAAACAATTCGGATACGAAAATGACAACGACGAAAGTTCAAAGACGTATAACCACAAATTTTTTTTTGTATACATATTATCTACCACATTTCTTTTTGGTTATTTCCAACTTTTATTCACTCCTTTCAACTTAACTCATTCCTTTCCTTAGCTATTAGTTCCAACTAAAAGTTTGTATTAACCAACTAATCTCAAACTTTTCATTTATCCATCATTTATTTGCTTTTGTATTAATAAATTTCTACAGTCACTCCTTACAGTATATTCTTCCCTAGAAGTTTACTCATCAAATCAAATAATATATTTACAATCTTTTTAAATTCATTCCTTTGAAAATATTTAGCTATTAAAATGTTATTTAAATCAGTTATTACTATCTCTTTAGCTGCCTTAGCTTTTGCTGCTCCTCATCAACATCATCAACATAAAGAAGAAAAGAGAGCTGTTGATATTGTCACCAAAACAAATGTGATTGTTGTCACTGTTGGTGGTGATTTCACTGCTACTCTTCCAGCTGCTGAAGGTACTCCAGCTGCTGTTACAGCTGCTGCTGCTGCTGCTGTTTCAGTTCCTCCACCTCAACAACAACCAGAATCTTTCACTAACCCAACTACTTTTGAAAGTGTTGCAACTACTGCTTCCACTCAAGCTCCAGTTGCTTCTGCTGATGCTGAAGGTGCTAAGGGTATTACTTATACTCCTTACTCTAACGATGGTGGTTGTAAACCTCAATCTCAAATTAACTCTGAAGTTGCTGCTTTAGCCGGTTTCGATATTATTAGATTATACGGTGTTGACTGTAACCAAGTTGCTGCCGTCTTAGCCGCTAAACAACCAAACCAAAAACTTTTCGCTGGTATCTTTGATATGACTCAAATTACTGCTGGTATTCAAACTTTAACTGATGCCGTTAACGCTAACGGTGGTTGGGATGAAATTTTCACTGTTTCTATTGGTAATGAATTAGTTAACTCTGGTCAAGCCACCCCAGCCCAAGTTGCTTCTTATGTTCAAGAAGGTAGAGCTGCTTTAACTGCTGCTGGTTACACTGGTCCAGTTGTTTCTGTTGATACTTTTATTGCTACCATGGAACACACTGAATTATGTACTATCTCTGATTACGTTGCTATTAACGCTCACGCTTTCTTTGACGGTACTTATGTTGCCGACAAAGCTGGTGATTGGTTATTAATTCAAATCCAAGCTGTCTGGACTGCTTGTGCCGGACAAAAATCCGTCTTAGTTACTGAAACTGGTTGGCCATCCCAAGGTGAAACCAATGGTGTCGCCGTCCCATCTAAGCCAAACCAAGAAGCTGCTATTGCTTCCATTAAAGAAAAGTGTGGTAATGATTCCATTTTATTCACTGCTTACAATGATTTATGGAAAGCTCCAGGTGCCTTCGATGCTGAACAATACTGGGGTATTTTCTCATCTTAAGTTAATTAATTTATTAATTAACTAGGTGGTTTTTTTTGGTTTCTTTTCTTCACTTTTCTTATATCTTCCTCTTATCAACTTTTTATCTTTGATTCTTTATACCATTTGTTTCTAGTTTGATTTCCTCGTTACCCAATGATTTGATTATAATCAATCATTATTATTTGTTCTTTGACTTTTACGTTTTTTTGTTTTTTTTTATACATACATTTTATCATCATATTTTTTTATATCTGATATCCCAAAAGAAAACTCCAAAATTTTTAGAAGAAGAAGAAGTATGAGGAAGGATTTAAGAAACCGTTTTTTATATCAATATTTATGTTTATTATTACTATATCTTGATCTATGCTATTGTTTTATTGCATTGTATTTCTTAAATTAACTAGAATTCAATCTCAATAATATATGATAAATATATTAAATTATTAAACAAACTTGTAGTATACAAACATAATAGAATAAAGTCGAATAAAATAAAATAAGATAAAATAACTAAACAAAGTAAAATAAAATATTATAAGCAGAAATAAAGAAATAAATAAAGAAATAAATAAAGAAATAAATTAATTAATTTAATAAACCAATACTCTCCAAGAAAGTTTTCCTAGCTCTAATTTGCAGCTTGGAATGAACTTCCAATAAATCATTCTCACGAGGAGTATTCAAAGCTTGATCCATTTTTAAATTCCATACTCTACCAGCATAATTAAATCTTAAATAATCTGCAAAACCTTGCATTCTACTTTCACCTTCCTCATCATCAAGAAATTGATAAAAGTTCAGGAAGAACAGTTCAATATAATATTTAATATTTAATTTATCTCCACTACAACTAAGAATGATATGACCAATGAAGTTATCCTTTAATCCAAGCTCTTCAAGAGCTCTAACAAGATCAACTAAATAAACTTCTTCAACACTATTATCAATCTTAAGTGTAGCATTTACTTGATCAAAAAATTCATTTTGAGGTGGAAGTGGAATCTTAATTACATCTGCCATAGTAGTAGTCTCAACATCAAGGTATCGAAGTTCAAATGTTTGATCTTGTGCTGCTGCTAATTGTGATTGAACATCATCATCTGCTTCATCAACTAGTTGAGATTGAGTTTGAGTTTGATCTTGCCTTTGAGATGATAAATCATCATTCTCAACATCTTCAATTTCATCATCAACTTCATCCTCATCATCATCACCAACATTAGCATTGAGAATAGGTTTTAAAATTGCTTGAGATTCTTCATCATTAGCAGCAGCAGCAGCAGCCACAACAGCTGCTACTTGTTCATCATTATGATCATTTTCTTCTTGTAAACGTCTTGCCTTTCTAGCTTGTTGTTGTCTACTATCATCACCAGCAGTTTTAACAAATAATGATGCATCAATATTAGAACTTTTAAGTTCACCAATTTCTTCATCAAGAGCTGATTCAACTCCTGTTTTTCTTTTCCTTTGTATTGGACTACTTACAGTATCAGAACTACCATCTTGACCTGAAGTAATAGTAGTTCTAAATTCTTGAGCAGCTTTAGTAAATTCATTTACTCTAACCAATGGACGAGCAATTTGATTATTTTTTTCACATTCATCATAGTATTTAATATAATGTTGTAAAGTTCCATCAGAAACAAATTTCCTATATCTATCTCTCCAAGAATGTAAAGAATGTTTGGAATTCTTTTTAAACATATCATTAAAAAATGAATATGGTAATGCAACTTTTTTATTTATATCAATACTATCTTCATTACCAATAGTCATTTGTTTAATATAAGCTAAAGCTTCAATACATAATAAATAATCATCTTGTGGGGTATACTTATTTTTTAAAGTATCTGGTAATTCTTCAACCCCTAATTTAATTGGATTACCTTCACTATCTTTACTAATTTTATTATTATCATCAATTTTATAAACCCAATGTAATTTTTTTTCTAAATGTTTACGATATCTGGATCTAATAGAATTCCCAGTATGACCTTTAAGAATTGGTTGATTACTTAATTCTTGAAAAAATCTATGACTATGTCTTAATTTAGGATTTAATCTAATTTGTTGAAGAATAAATTCATCCTTTTCAGCTGTAAATCTATTATGACCACGTGAATTAGGTAAAGCTTGAGTCCCAACAGAAGAAGTATTGGAAGATGAATTTCCTGTATTGATATTAACTAAATGATGATCATGATCATGATCAATATCAGCAGCAGCAGCGGCAGCAGCAGCAGCGGCAGCGGCTGCTGCAGTGGCAGGATCCATCAAATGTTGTTGAGGATTATATCTATAGTCTTCAATTGGTTCTAAAGCTCCATTATTAACAGAATTAATAATATAATCAAAACTAACATTAATTATAGATTCATCACCCAAGAATTCTAATTCTGGTTTAGAACTAACTACAATAATTTCATTAGTATGGAATTCATTAGGTCTACTATCAACCAATATACCACCATGATTAATTATTAATGATTTATATTTATGTCTGTTTGGATCTTTATTAGGAATATAAAATATAAATGATCTTCCATTAGCATAAGTAAATATAGCAGGAGATTTCCCATCATGACTAGATGATGAACCTAATATTCCACCTCTTCTGGCAATGGCTTCATCAAATGGTACAGTATGAAAAGAATTGCTCATTATGTTTAATTGTTAATTAAAGAAGTAGTTGCAAAAAATGTAAACACACCTTTTAATTGAAAAAAAGGTATGGATGTTTTGAAATAAATGGAGCAAAAGATTGATGGTTGGATGTTGTTGATGTTTTGATTTTTTTGAATGATATGTGCGGTAGTGTCCCTGGCTAGGGAGAGGAGAGAGAATTTACAGAGTGGAGAAGTCATGTGCAGTATTAGCTTTTAACTTTTTTTTGCTTCAGAGTATTAACTTTTTGCATATAGTATAAATACGAATATATTTGTTTAGTTGTAGTAAACCTGCAAATTAAGCAAAATTCCTAAGTATTGATGTCATACAGGGAATTAAATAATATGAAGTACCGATTCCGTGATTCCATTGTAGATTATAGTTTTATTCTACTTTAGTACCTTCTATAGAGCAACTGTCAGTAGGTAATGTATGGGTGCAAAAAAAATACAGTGACAACCCTCTTAGAATAAACTTGTTTCACTCATTCTTTACTTTACAATATAGAATAAATATATTTACTTATTTATTTATTTATAAGAATAAATGTAACAATAGAGAAATAGACCAACAAAAATATCAGGCTAGAAAGGACCAATAAATTAGAGATAAACTAGTATGATATAAAAAAGATAGAATAACTAAACACCAAAAGTAGAACAATAATCAATTCATAAAAATGTAACAAGAAAAATACCTGAATATCTTTTCCCGATTATACCAATAAATTTGATAAAAACTAATAAATTTTATATATAAGAGAGAACTTCACACAAGTTACCTTGTAGAAATTTGCACAATGGAATAGTTGGATCCTAACTAATTCATAATAAATAATAATCCCCAATTAAACCAATAGTAGCAATGAAAAGTGAAAATCCTGAGATTGTACTACCAATAATATAAGAAGATTTAAGTTCTTGTAAGTCCTTAATAAATTCTTTCTTAGTTAATGCGACTTCAATTTCATTATCAATTGATTCGCTACTATCTTCTTTTGGTTCATTGTCTTGTTTTTCTAAAGTTTCTTCTTGTTGTTCTTGTTGTTTATGCTGAGACTCGTCATTTATTTCTTCATCACCAGTTTGGTGAGTAACCTGTGGAGAATTTGGAACAGATGCATTTGGAGTAGAGCTAACCGAAGATGCAGAAGATGAACCATCAGACACATAAATATAAGATTTTCCTAAATCATCATGTTGTTCATGATCATTTTCTGATTGAATATCAACAGCCGAAGACTCAACAGACTTAGTTTGTGGGGTTTGAATTGAGGGAACTTCTGACTTTACAACTGATTGTGGGTGCTTTTCTTTATGTGATTGCGATTTCTTCTGCTTGGAGATTTTCTTTGCCTTAGTTTCCTGTTGTAATTTTAAAATCTTCTCTTCATACTTATAAGCTTGATAATAAACTGAGCCTATAGTTAAAGGAGCTCCAAAAGCAGCATATAAAAGATAAGGATGTTTCCCACTTGGATCACTATAGTGATAACCCATAGTAAAAAAAGCAAAAGTTAAACCAGAAAATGCTAAATTCAATAATCTTGAATTTAAAATAATAGATCTAATACTATCCAATTTATTTGAAATAACTGATCCATTGCTTAAAGGATTAACTGATTTAATTAAATCATTTATTATTAATGGAATTGTTTCAATTGATTGATAAGTCAATGAAGTGGTTAGTAACCCTAATGAAGCTACACCAATAATCTTTACACCAGCAATACAGGCACCTTTAGTCATGATTTTAATTGCTTTATTTGATATTTAATATTAATAATATTTATACTTGGGTATGACTGTATATTTATACGAAGGCAAAGAATATATTAAATCTTAAGGGATTGATGTGGGGTGGAAGGCAAAGTGAAGACAGTTAAATGAAATGGACCAAAATAAATAACAATGACTTTTGAGGATAATAAAACGTCAAAACTAATCAATTATACTCAATTGAAGTAACGCTTTAATCAAATTAATAATGATGTTATTAAAAGCTTTAGTACTGTGGGTCTTATGGGATCTAACGATTTGAATCTCCCTAAAGGCAACTCACAAAAAAAAATATATATAGGGAAAGGTCGTGTGTGACAGGATGGTTACTTCCGAATTAAGCTAAACAAGTAAGTAGACTATATTAGGAGGTATCTACAGCTTTACGATGTGTTCGACACTTTTTTATAGAATGTTTAGGTAATTATATCTAATCAAATATTAAACAATTTAAATTATTCTGGAATATACTGTAAGAATTAGTATAGGTCTTCATAATTAAATGATGAATGACTTTAGTATAAACGATAAAGGATATCTAAGGGGGGCAATCGGAGTCGTGTACTTTGGCACGGTATCAGCCTTATGTACACACCCAACCCAACCTAACCCAATTAGCAACTTTCATGAAGCGGAGTTGTATAGTTGCACTAAGGTTGACACTTCGGTGAATGGCCGGGATTTTTACGTGTTATACTGTATTATAGCCGGGGAAATGTTTTAAATTATTAATACTAGGAGAAGAAGAATTATACTATGCAATCAGATGAAATATATATGCATATATATAGTTTGTAATTATATAAGGTATCCAGAAGAAATGAAATGTACTTGTATTAACAATAAGCTTATGACTATATTATTAAATATCTAGCCAATCCGGTGCCTTAGTAGAATCTATATCTACACTAGTAATATCAAAACTTTCGATTAATAATTCTACCAAGATTCTACCACCTCTAGCTCCTGTAAATCTTCTATATTCTTCTGAAACACTGGCTAAATTCCAACCTTGTAAACGTCTTAGACATCCAATAACTGTTCCTGTTCTATGCCTTCCCATTCCACAACAAGTTAATAGTGGATAATTTTCTTTATTCAATATGATTTCTAATGCTTTCTTTATAGTTGACTCATTAAGTGAATCCCAAGGATTAACAGCTATATGATTTGGGGTATTATTATTATCATGATCATAATATTCGTTAATGATTCCTACAAATTCAATATTTATATTATTAAATTGACAAAATTCAAGAAAATCATCATTTGGTTCTTCATTGGCAAGCCATACAATAGTTTTTAAATTCAATTCCTGTAGAAATGATTGATTTATTATAGATGGTTGACCCGATCTATAGAGTTGTTTTTCAACAGGACAAAAATTTAATGGAGGAATGATTCTTAATGTAGGAGGTCGACTTACTCTACGTAATTTTTGATTATTTATATTATCTGTTGTATCATAAGTTATATTTGGATTAAGACTTGTATCAATATTAGTAGTAGATAAACTTTGATTCGATAGAATTCCTGAATCAGATTTTAATTCTGTACCATTACTACCGAACTTACTATATATGTGACTTATTAATGGATCTTCAACCGTTTCAGCCATAATGACTTCTATAGAAAGTTATAACCCTTTTTGAACCTATTCCAACCAGAAAATTAAACTAAAAACAATTATTATAACAATATAAAGGATAATTAACAACTTTTATGAACTCTTAACAAAGATTCTATCAATAAATCGTGTGGATATAATCCATTAATCTCTCATAGTTAAGCTAAAATTTAATGTCAACGATTTTTTTTCCTACGCTTGAAGGGTGACACAAAAATATCTCCATAATGGTGAAAATTGAACAACACGTTTGAAAAATGCTAACATAGTCACTAGACTTATTAACCTATTAAGCCCAATTGAATCATATAATAATAAAATAAACATGGCTAAAAAGGAAGTATCTGCTGCCAAAGCATCTGCAGCTATAAAGAAATCACAATCTGGTTCATCAACTTTAGGTTCATCAACTTCTGGAGTTTCCAGATTTCAAAAGGTTCAGAAATCCATAAATGAATTATCATCAGCTGTTAATACAACTTATAAAGATTATGTTGAAACATTAACTCCTAGATTAAAATTAATAGATTTATTTTTGGTATTTCTTGTTCTTTTGGGAATTTTACAATTCATATATGTCATTTTAGTTGGTAATTTCCCATTCAATGCATTCTTGGGAGGGTTTATTTCTTGTGTAGGACAATTTGTTTTAACTGTTAGTTTAAGATTACAAATTAAAGTAGGATCTAAACCAATTGAACAAGTAGAAGAATCACTTAAATCTAATGTTGAAGATGAAAAAGTTGAAACTGATGACTCTGAAGATAATGACATTGATGAAGAATTAGTTATTAAAACAACAAATGTTGAACAAGAAGATACCAAAATATTTAAAGTCATTAGTCCTGAACGTTCATTTGGAGATTTCATTTTCGCTAGTTTAATCTTACATTTCATAGTTATTCATTTCATTAATTGATGAAATTTGATGATTATTACAGTTATGAAGCCAATTTTTAAATAGAAGATAAATATTTATTTAGTATACATAATGTATGAAGAATAAACATAATGTCGTCTTTCTTTGAATATTGTCATTTGATAAATAGATAAAATAAGACAAGACAGTAAGATAAAATCTCCAAATAAGAGAATAGAAGAAATAGAAGACTTTTTGATCTGATTTGGTTTGATTTGATTTGAGTCGATACGATTTGACTTTATTTGATTTGATTCAGATTTGATTTAGTTTGACTTAATTTGATTACTTGATTTGACTCACATTTTAAATGATTTGATAGTTAAGCTTTTGAATGAAAAGGCAGGATACAAAGATAAGAAAGGAAAAGGAAAAATGAAAGAGACTATTAAAGTAAAAATTAATATTAAAAAGACAAGAAAAAGGAGGTAAGGAAGAAAACAGAAAGAAACAAAACAACAAATCAAAGTAATTCGTATCAACTCATGATTATGATTATGATTCTGATTTGTGAGGACTGTATTCACACAATTACACAACAGCCCGATTTCTCCTTTGCTTGAGCAGCCGATTGTTGAGCTGCCGTTTGTTGCTGCAGCCTCTTTTGTGCTGGTGTGTCTGGTTTATTAGTAGTAGAGCCATTCTTATTCTGTATAGCTTGATTTGCATCATTATTAGGAGTGTTATTAGATTTATTATTAGAAGATGGATTATTGTTTTGTTGAGTTGCAGTTGATGGAGGGTTAGCTTTGGCTTCTTCTTGATCTCTGATTCTTCTTACCAAGTTATAGAAAGCTTCTTCGACATTGATTCTTTGTTTTGCAGAAGTTTCTAAAAATTGACAATTAAAAGAATTTGCTAAATTTAAACCTTCATCATAACTAACTTGTCTTTCAATTTCCAAATCACATTTATTACCAACAACTATAACAGGTACATTATCACTATCTTTGACACGACAAATTTGTTCATAAAATGAATTTAATTCTTCCAATGAATTTCTTGAATTTATAGAATATACTAATAAGAATCCTTGACCAGCTCTCATATAAGATTCTCTCATATTACTGTATTCTTCTTGACCAGCAGTATCCAAAACATCTAACATTACTTGTTCATTATCAATGGTACATTGCTTTCTATAACTATCTTCGATGGTTGGATCATATTCATCCACGAAATGACTTTGAATTAATTGAATTGTCAAGGCGGATTTACCAACACCACCTCCACCTACTACTACTAAATTATATTCTTTCAACATTTTTTATATGAGATTATGATTATGTATGAATTACAGCGAATGAACGAAATGATTAATTAAATGAGTGAATGAATCCCTTATATAAATGAATTGAATATTCAAAGCAATTTAATTAAAAAAACAAGGACGGAGTAACTGAAATATTTATATTTTTTTTATCCTAGTATTTTTTTGTACAGTATCTGACGATTTGAGTTGAACTGTTCGACACCAAAAGGGTGAGAGTTAATGTATGATGCAAATAACAATTAGGGAATTGAAATTATAAGAAACACTTTGTGAACAGTCTTAAATGTCGAGAAAAGAATATTGACAAGAAGACTGTATAACTTGTATCAGATTAATAAAGATGAATCAGAGAAAGGAGGACCCAGTCGACGATGAATGTGAAAAAAATATTTATTTTAAATATGCAAAAAAAGCAAAAAGATAAAAATAAGCAGAATCGACAAATTTACAACAATAACGTGAGGTAACTAAACACGAGTAAATCTTATTATACTTTTAGGGATATATGTATGTTGACTATGATAGATTTTGAGTGTTCTAACTAAATGCAATGGAAAATCAATCTTAGGTCATAGAAAAGTTTTTGAGCTTTAGAATTTAATCAATAAGCAAAAAATATGGTTTAGAAAATAAATTGTGAAATGAAATTTTGTACGTCAAAGTTATATATGATTTAAATACTATTATGGTCCAATCTATTAATGATGGGACGAGAGACATTTTTAATATATGTATAATTATGTTGAATGTCAAGTATGGGGATTGGAGTTGCCCTTATTGTATATTCTATAATTGGGAGTCAACACGCTTAAGGAAATATTGGAAATAACGAGACAAAAGCTAAGCCTAAAACTGCTATTCTTGACTGAGACTGAGGCTAAGACTGAGACAAAACTACATGTCGATATGGTGCTTCTTGTACTGCTGCTGCTTCTTTTTTTTTATTGTGGGACAAGGATTTTGTGAAAGTTGCAAGATTTCGTAGATGTACAGGAGAGGGTTTGTACCAAATTTATTAGATGATTATTCAAAGTACCCAACTCTTTAATATTTCGCATAAATCCTCATCGCCATCGTATACCTTACTGTGTTAAGATATATTTTGTTAATGAGTTTATTATTGTTATTGTAAATTGTGCTATTTTTAAGATTCAATATAATGGTGAATGACCTCTCCTTTGTTGATGGTTAATATTTTTTGGAATTGGTTATGTTTGAAATTTGCTGCTTAAATTAAAGTCACAAAATGAATTAGAAAATGATGTTGGGGTCCAACTATCTCGAGAGGAATGTTCAATATATAGACTGTAACCCGTCGATCATACTTATACATATATATATGTAACCCGAGTTTAATTCATACATTGATTAACTAGATTGTATCACCACCGATCAGTGGTCATTTGTTGAACTAAGCGATTAAAACAAAAAAAAAACTTTTTTGTTATGACTCCCCTAATTTAGATGTTCCATACTTTTACGGGCATTTTTTCTGTAACTTCTGGCCACCTTCCTATTTAGGATTACTTTTACATATAATTAAAAATTAGTTATATAGTTGTTCTTCTACGAGAAAGTAAAACTAACAAGACTTAATAGTTTTATGAGAACTATGAAAATGGGGTGAGTTGTTGACCTTCATTTCCAACTTGATCTAGTCTTATTATCTAAATATTGCTTTTCATGCTTTTCTATAATGTGAAAGTTTAATTAATGACGGAAAAGATTAATTCCTTCTCTAATTTATCTTTCTTCGTGTTTTTCATGATTGGAGAGCTTAATTCTCCTTATCCATATGTCCTCATTTGGAAGTGTGGTTTCGGATATAGCAGGAACTGATGATCTGATAATATAAAGTGGGGAAGCCTCAGAGTAGTGATATTGTGTGTCTCACTGCAATCTACGACTTGCAAAGTGTCTCGCTAGAATTGTGTCGTCGTAATAAATAAGGAGACCGACAGGCTGCAACAAATGAAGAGCAGAAAAATAAATACTACAAAAAAATAAATTGAATTAAAAATATTTTCTTATAAGACGCGGTCCGGCGGTCACTCGGAAAATTATTGAGAACTATCACTAAAAGGAAAGTATTGCAATATTAGCATAATCTAGTATGACTGTACATGCAGAGGATTATCTTGGAAAAATGTATCATAATGTAGACATACATCTTTGATAAATATCGCTAGAAATGCTCAACAAGTCATGCGAAATAGGTTATGAATAAAAATTGTATATGACTATTGTCTATGAAAAGATCTACAGTCAGCCATTGTCCCTGGTTTTGTTTTTCATCTTTACAGTTAATTTTGTACTTTTTAATTTTAGTGTTTAAGAACCATAACCTTTGCAGTTTGAAAGCAAGAAAAGCCTCTTATTTTGTTATTCTTGAACTTTTAACATATATTTGTACTTGGTAACTTACATAATAGTTTGTTTCGTTTGTCAATTGACTATTTTAAGGATTTATTATTTCTATCGCAAATGCATTATTGCGATACGAGTTTTGTCTATTAACGAAAAGAGTTTCTAACTCAATTGCAGCCTAATCATAGAAATACCCCGAACATTGAACCTCTCCAACATAAACCTATTAGTTCTAATATTTCTCATTAATTAATAGGCCATCCCTATAGCTCTTTTGATCACCACCACCTTCAAGTGTATAAATATTGTAGAATCAAATTATTTAATTTTTTTTGCCGGTCAACTCATCCCTTTCCCCTTAAATCAATATTATTCTTATCTCAAAAAATATTTCTCCCTAAATAGCAGGGTGATATAACAAAGAAACTATCTAGAGTACAAATTCTTTTATTGGCATCTGGATACGAGGAGCCTGAAGTTTACAATAAAGTGCGGGTCAGGTTTACTGGGGTAGATAAGACGATGCTACAATGGAAAACAAAACGCGGTTCATTTTACCATCGTGAAAATTGAAAGTAACAAAATGTCATAACTAATTTCATATCTTGTAGATAATTTAATAATAACCGCCACATACCGATTTATTTTTTTGCAGTATATATCATCGGCAATTAAGCATGATCCCTTTACCTCTTTTGCCATCTCCCTGCCATCATCGGATATACGAAAATCAAAACACACAAGGTAACGATACTGAAATGTGCAATTGACCTTGTTAATTGAATTTAAATGTCTAATGGGTTTAAGTTCGGTTTCATTGAAATGGCAGCTATACAATAAGTATGCCCATCTTGTTATAATTCCCGTAATCTAACTTCGGCACTAGGGCCCAATACAGTAATTGCGCACTTTCGCATCTAACCTAATGTGGCAGTACTTCCCTTGTCACCTCCACTGAATATACGGCTCTTTATCCTTAAACTTTTCAGATTATGTTAATGCCATATATATAGGTGGAATATCACCATTTGTATAGGATATCGCTTATAGGTAGATAACGAGAACCACACATAATAATAGTGAAATGAAAACGTTTCATAAATTGTCCTTATTGGTTTTGAGTGCCGCTTCATATGTGGCTTCTACAACAATACCTCTACAAAATGTATTATCATTGAATGATGAACACCCACAAGTCAAACAACCTAAATTCGATACGATCAACTTAAATCAATTCCAAGATCATCAATTAAGAGTTCAAAAATTAAATCCTTCAACTTTAGGACTTGATGTGGTCGATCAATATACTGGATACTTAGACATAACAAATTCCAAGCATTTATTCTACTGGTTTTTCGAATCTAGAAATGATCCATCCAATGATCCAATTGTTTTATGGTTGAATGGTGGACCTGGATGTTCTTCAACTACCGGACTTTTTTTTGAATTGGGACCTTCATTCATTAATGAAACCTTACAACCTCAATATAACCCTTACAGTTGGAACTCTAATGCTTCAGTTATATTTTTAGATCAACCAATTGGTGTAGGATATTCTTATTCTGATGATCCAGAACATATTAATGTTAACAGTACTGAAATTGCAGGTAAAGATGTTTATGCATTCCTTGAGTTATTTTTTACCAAATTTCCTCAATTCAGAAACAATAAGTTCCATATCAGTGGAGAATCATATGCTGGTCATTATATTCCTAAATTTGCCAGTGAGATTATAAATCAGAAAGACAGAACATTTCAATTGGAAAGTGTTCTTATTGGTAATGGTATCACTGATGCAATCCAACAATACAAGGCCCTTATCCCAATGGCCTGTGGTCAAGGCGGTTATCATTCTATTATTTCAGATGAAGAATGTCAACAATTAGAAGAAGTTTACCCAGATTGTAAAGCCGGGCTTGAAAAGTGTTATGCTGATCCTACGAACGCAACTATTTGTGCCGAAGTAGATGCATTCTGTAACAAGGCGATGTTTGGACCATTTGACAAAACTGGTCTTAATCCATTTGATATAAGAGTTCCTTGTCATGAAAATGAAGATGAAACTGGCGATTGTTACAAGCCTATTGATTATGTGTCAGAATATTTAACACTTCCAGCTATCAAGAAGATAGTGGGGGTTGATGACAGTATTATTGGTGAATTCTCAGGTTGTTCTTCTCAAGTATCTAAACTTTTCCATTCGGTAGGGGATAAAGCTATTCCACATCAAGAATTCATTACTGAACTTCTTGAAGCCGATGTTCGTGTATTGATCTATGCTGGTGATAAGGATTATAGATGTAACTGGGTAGGAAATTACGAATGGACAAATAACTTACCTTACAAGAACCATTATTTCTTTAATAAGCAACCATTGCAACCATGGAGAGTGACTAGCAATGAAGTCCCAGCTGGTGAACTTAAAACATATGATAATTTTTCTTTCTTAAGAATTTATAATGCTGGCCATATGGTGCCTCATGATAAACCAAGAGAATCTTTACATATGTTAAACTCGTGGTTGAACAATCAGTTATTTTAAGAAAATGATTAACCATCTTATATATATATACATAAATTCAGTAATAGGGAAATAAACTACAATTATACAGCGAAAAAATAGTTGCGAATCAAATTTTGCAGCATGTACAATCAAATAAAGTATGCGATGTATATGAATGACGACTATACAAGGTATAGCACAAGCAACAACCACTAAATGACGGAGTATTAGAACAGCGATGATATCGGCATCGTCTTTGTTTATTTACTCCAAATCTGGAACAGTCGAATATTCTAACACTCGTGATATATAGTACACTGTCTCTGAAATAAGGATAATGTCACTCAACTGCAATTATATTTAACGCACAACCATCTAAAAATACTCCTACACCTTCTCATAGTTACAACATATAATCGAGGAGCTGCATTCAGGATCTTACATAGATTTCTTTCCTGGAAGTTTTAAAGTATTAAAGTTTTAAAGTTTTAAAGTTTTAAAGTTTTATGTTGCCTATCGAAATAAAGTTGACCACATTCAATTGTAACATTCAATAATTTGGTATAACAACATATTTAAAGTAAACGCACATGTTTAAGTTGTTTAACCTATCTTATTTATAGAAGTTAAATAAATTTTATGATCAACCAATTCAGATCTGGAATTTGTTAGCTCTTCTCCACTTTCCAACTACATAAATAAGTAAATATGGGATCAGTGCGGACGGAATTCCCATTCAATGATGGTTGAAATTCATGGGTTTGCTTGCAATGTAGTAATTTTTAAGAGAAATAAACCAGACTTCGTAATACCACATTTAGCAATATGAATACTGACGCGATCAAGGGGCTTCGAAGAGATAATCGGTGTTTATCGGGAACTGTTCTAAACTTAGGCTCGGAGTACTGAATCCTACACTTATCACAACCTTAGCGCCATTTGTAATCTAATATTTACAATATAAACTCGCAGTTTTTGGAACTTCCGACCTTAAGAATGCAGTCGGAAGTAATCATAACGAAATCGATAGACTTAAATTTGCAATTGATTCGGTGAGTGGAAGCATTGTCGTGTACTCGGGGTTACATTTAATGAGGCCAAGGCACGTGACCGAATATAATTATTTTTACATTTTTCGCAACATTGTAAAAAAGTGCCAATCGCCACTTATAAAGATTCAAATTAAATTTGAGTCGGTTTCGTGGTATTTATGTACGTCAATATCGTCTTTGCTAATCCACAATTTTTGTTACATTTCTAAATGGAAAAAACAATCAATTTTGTCAATTCATTTAAAGTTACTTACAAGGTTGTTGAACTATTTAGCGCCTTAACAGTACAGAAAAAAAGTACTAGTGCCGTATGTATTTGATTTGCTCTGATATTTCATCTTTGCTCATAATCACTCCATATTTATAATCATTGATTATATACATATATACATATATATAAGTACGTATATTTATGTATATATAACTATAGTTTCAAACAAATAAATAAACAATTGGAACAAATTGTTTAAAAACGACGTTTTTGCCATTTCAACCATCTCATTCCGAGAAGTATAGAAAACTGTGGCTCTCACTCCTTCTATTCCAGAAGATAAACTTAGATTTAGGGAATACACATAAACAAGAATCGGGGTCTGTAATCAATTTGATTTAAAATCATATTAAAAAAGCTTTTATAGATTTTATTATCATCGAGCTTATTATAAGTTATATCATATTCTTTTATTTATTACTGTGTTATATCCAAAGGGTACGTATTTTAAATTAATTAATCGGTTGTTATTAATAAGTTGAGGTGCAGGAAATAATAAAGTGAAAAATTAATTGTTGCAATTTTAATTTTATCAAACTAGTAAATAAAATCAAAGTCCATTGGGAATGATTTACGAATAAACTCAAATGAATTATTTGGCAGCAAAAACGTAGACAACGCAGCCAGTCTCCTTTTAATCTTATTATTCACGAGTTTGCCGCTATCAAATACCAGATCTCACACCTTCCGTAACTTTTCAAACGGACCCATTATTTTCTCAACCACACTTTTTCCCAAACCACCTTTTTATTAAACTATTCGAATCAAAACAATTTAAACCCGACAGTACAAATTAGACATAAATTTCCCATCTTGGTTTCTTCATTCAAAGTTTAGTTCAAAACCATTCATTACTATAATTCCAAACAATTTAATCCATTTTAATTCAATTTATGAGAATATTATTATCATTGGATTTATTCAAAATCAACCATCTATGTCAATTATAAAATTATTTACCAAAAGTAAATCTATTCATCTTTGTAATCACAATAACTCCAAAATTAAACACATATTCAAATAAGAGATCGACCATACATATAATCAATAAATCGTTCATTCATTTTTACTCGTTTTTCCTTTGCTGCCATATTCCACCTCTAACTTCTTATGGACAAAGATCAGCCACAGTTTGGTAGATCTCATAACTCAACTCCAACTTCCAATACAAATTTAAATTCAAATACTAACAAGAATAATAGGAACAGTGATATTCGTAGACTTATAAATAGCGGCCCTATAAACCAACAACAGCAACAACAGCAACAACAGCAACAGCAACAGCAACAACAACAACAACAACAACAACAACAACAACAACAACAACAACAACAACAACAACAACAACAACAACACCGTCAAAGATATAGTCGACATAATACTCCAACTCCTGTTGCTCAATATCAACCACAATATCAACCACAATATCAACAGGTACCTCAACTCCAATCTCAAGCTTATCCTCGACCCAATATTCCTCCGTCAAATCAGAATTTAAATATTTCGAGGACAACTCCGACTGGAACAATGTTCTCGCCTCGTATTAGGCCATCTAGTCCATTCAGTCATAACTCTCCTACCTCTGGCGGGGTAGGAGGTTCAAACCAGAGTGGAAGTGGTTCTACTACTGGGACTGGTACTTCGGGCCAACAAAAAAGACAAAGTGCTGCTTCATCGCCAAATTCAAACATAAATTTCTTGCTTCCTACTCAAAGGCATACACCAGGAGCAATAGAACAAAATGTAAGTTATACAAGAAGTTTCAATTCTCCAAGGGGTGGTTCAAATTCGAGTTCTACGAATATAAGAAAGGATAGTTTGACCAATATACCTACACCGCCACTTTTATCAGCCAATACTCCACCATCTCAACCACAACAAACCCAGAAATCACAACAGCTGCAATCCCAACCACAACCACCACAGTCTCAATCAGTAACCGCTATAACGCCTATCAATACAGGATCCAGTCATTCACAGGATGCTAATGAAGATGAACGTTTCTTGAGGTTAGCGAGAGAAGCCTTGGTTGCTACTGCAGCAGGGGCTAACCCAAATGGCTCAGCTCTAGTAGATCCAACTATACAAGACTTACTCACAAGATTGCAATACGCAGCTTCTCCTCATGGCAATCCTATTGGTCGAGGAAGCCAAATTACTACTAACCAAAAGGGACAGCTAAACATTCAAGATTTCTATCAACAATTTCCTAATCTTAGCAATGATATTTTTCATCATACTGATACATCTACAAGTAATGCAAACACTAATGATAGCTCAAATAACAACAATAATAATAATAAACGAAATGCTTCACATCACCCAAGTTCCAATAGTGACGGTTGGAACTTTTTAATAGGTGAACCATTAACTTTTAAAGTAGCTGGTATTCCCTATAATAAAGATCCAATTGATTTAACCACAAGTCTGAATGATGATCGTCATACAAGTATTAGTGGAGTATCTAGGAAAACATCGATCGCTGTGTCTGCATCATCATCTAATATAGTTTCAGCATCCTCGTCATCTTCAGCCAATATAGATGAAAGTGTTCGTAAATTCCTATGTGATAAATGTTCCATGTCTTTCCGTAGGTCTTCCGATTTGAAGCGTCATGAAAAACAACATTTAACAATACCACCGAATATCTGTGAGCTTTGTGGTAAGGGTTTTGCTCGTAAGGATGCACTCAAGAGACACATGGGAACTTTAACCTGTAAGAGAAATGCCGATAAGAAGCTCTATATTGATAATTTACATTATTTACGTGAGATTAAAAGATCAGATAGTCGTGATGGTGAAGCTGATACTAATTGAGAAAGTGTCGATAATACCATTATCAGAAATTCTTTCTAGTAGAAATCAATATCATTGATGATTGATAGAGAAAAACAATTTACTTGTGGATTAATAGATTATTTTGCATCCATTGAATTTTGTTTTTTCCCCTATTTGATGCCCCTTTTATTCTCAAACCTGTACTATTCTAATGTGTTATTCCAATTTGTATTAGCCACGATCCATTTACATCCTTTCAGTTTATTTCTACTTATATGTATCCCTTTTCCTATTTTGTAGTTCAATTTCCAACCTTAGGAAGTTCTGTATTAATATAAATATTAACTTTTTATTTTCGCAAACTGAAAATTACCCAATTAGGAATACGCAATGTTAATTTCCGTTAACGCTTTTTAGAAATGGTAGAATTACAGTCACATGACAAATAGGTCAATGTCAAATGTCCGAGGGACATAAGTCTCTATTAAGCGTAGTTTTGCAACTTCAATGGCTTTAGGATTGCAATAGGTCACTATGCATATATTGAGAATTTATGTTGCGGTGTACATATTCTTTCCATACAATTAAGACATTTATATTTGCCAATAATATTAGTAGATTTCATCTTATCTTAAATTTGAAGTACACTTAATTTTCTTTTTTAAGCACTAGTGAGGTGATGACATAGTGGGAAGATGTTGCAGCTGCAACATGTGCTTATCATCAAAAATTGATACGGCTTGTAATTTATTTATATTATGATACCATTAATTATTATGGGAATATGAGTCATCTTTAAGTAACTTAAGTAGTACGATATCTCTGAGCGATTACTTTTAACGTTATTTGATGTGCAATCACCGGTAGATAGTTCGCACGGTAGAGTAATTTTGTTGGGCATTAATTGAATGCTTTTGAATATTTTAAAGAATTAACTTTCTTACAGTCCCTAAATACGTTTTAATTTAAGCTATGATTCTCCTATTTAGTACTAGCATATTGTGTATCGGTTAAAGCGAAATGATGTAGGTTTTTTATCAATTGTTATATGTCAAATTATCCTGTCTAAGTACAAACAATCAATATACTTAAGTAGTTAACAATGACAAGTAAGCAATATTACATAAGTCAAATAGATAAAACCTATCACAATAATCAATTATAAATACTATAATAAGTAATTACTACGCAATACCGTTTGAGATTTTGAGCATTGTCGACTCTGCTCCATATCTCCTCGGTTTAATTACTCTTTTCTTTTTTCAATTTTTTTTTTGCTGTGAATCATCCTTGTGAAGCTTTATCAGTAATATAAATGTATATATAATATCGATACCCTCGAATTCGAAATTATTGAAAAGTGTAAATATAACCTTTTGTATATATATAAGGGTTAATTCTTATTTTACTTATTTTTGGTTATTGGATATACCCAAACCATCTATTTCCACCATTTATACAATTCCTCGGAATTTTCTATCTTTTGATTTTCTGGGCTCGGTTAGATATTAATAGTTGATCTTTGCTCCTCATCTGAATATATATAATTAATTACTCAGGGCAAAGACTTGACTTTAGATTATCCAAATTGATTTTATTACGGAGAATATTTTATTTACAGCGTCAATCATTTTTAAATTACTCTGCTGTAATATTTAATCGAACAATATTTATATCATCTATCATGACCCAACAGAATAATCAACTACAAGCTAATGAAAGATTGCAACAAGTATCACAAATCTTAAATCCTAATAAAACTGATGCTTCAGGACAATGGCATTATCATAAACGTGAACAATCCTTAGCTCCTGAAAAACCTTTCAGAATTGCCGTTATTGGATCAGGAAATTGGGGTACAACTATTGCTAAAGTTATTGCTGAAAATGCTTTATCAAGACCTCATCTTTTTAGACATTATGTTAAAATGTGGGTATTTGAAGAAAAAGTTGATGGTAAAAATTTAACAGATATAATTAATACTCAACATGAAAATGTTAGATATTTACCAGGAGTTAAATTACCAATTAATTTAGTAGCTGAACCAGATATTGTTAAAACTGCTAAAGATGCTGATTTATTAGTATTTAATTTACCCCATCAATTCTTACCAAAAATTTGTGAACAATTAAAAGGTCATGTATCTCCCGATACTAGAGCTATTTCATGTTTAAAAGGGTTAGAAGTTACACCAGCGGGTTGTAAATTATTATCAACAGTTATAACTGAAAAACTTGGTATAACTTGTGGAGTATTATCGGGTGCAAATTTAGCTCCTGAAGTAGCAAGATGTAAATGGTCAGAAACTACAGTTGCTTATAGATTACCAACAAATTATCGTGGACCTGGTAAAGATATTGATGAATTTGTTTTAAAAGCTGTTTTCCATAGACCTTATTTCCATGTTAATGTTATTCGAGATGTTGAAGGGGTTTCTGTTGCAGGAGCTTTAAAAAATGTTGTTGCATTAACAGTAGGATTTGTTGAGGGACTTTCATGGGGTGATAATGCAAAAGCAGCTGTTATGAGAGTTGGTTTATTAGAAATTATTAAATTTTCTAATATGTTCTTCCCTGCATCTCAATCAACAACTTTTACTGATGAATCTGCTGGAGTAGCTGATTTAATAACTACTTGTGCTGGAGGTAGAAATGTTAAAGTTGGTAGATATATGGCAGAAACTGGAGCATCAGCTTTAGAAGCTGAAAAGAAATTATTAAATGGTCAAAGTTCTCAAGGAATTATTACTGTTAGAGAAGTTCATGAACTCTTAACAAATGTAAATAAATTAGAAGAATTCCCATTATTTGAAGCTACATATCAAATTATTTATGGATCAGAATCAATTGAAAACTTACCTCATTTATTAGAAAGGGATTAAACCGATTTATATTTATTATTTTCAAGTTTGATTTTCAAAACAATTAGTTTAATCTTTTATAGAGTTTCATACAATCAACACTTTTTTAATTTTAAATTTTTAAATTTTAAATTTAATCTATGAGATCCATTGTAGTGAGATGACTTTACTATTATACAGTTATACAGTTATAATTTACATAAGTAAGAATTAAGCTTTTGTACGCTTAGAATCTCCTCCTTCATCTTCACCATTTTGATCAGATCCTTCATGAGATCTTTTATTATGTTTAGCATTATATCTAGTTAAAAATTTCTCCATATAAGCATCAACAAATTCTTTAATTTTCTTAAGTTTATGTTTATCTAATTCCAGAGGAACTTTACCTTTAGGATCTTTCTTAATCTCTTTAGAAGCTAAATTTGCTGCAATATCTTTAGCACATCCTTTAATTTCATCCTTTGGTAAATCTCCTGCTTTCTTTTTAATTAAATTAGGTACATGACTAGCAAATAAGTGTCTCCATTTACTTTCAGTAGCATCACTTGAAGATGAAACTTTTGGATGTTGATCACCACCATGATTACTGTGATGATGGTGATGGTGATGATGATGATTACGACTTCCATTCGATGAAGGAGAAGCAGATGAAGGACTAGATGATATGGATGTTCTTTTCTTTAATTCTTTCTTTTTGGCTGCAAGTCTTTCTTTCAATAATCTTTGCTTTTCCTTTAATTCAGCTTCTCTTCTTTCTTCTTCTTCACGTCTTGTTTGTTCAATGACCGCTTTTAATTGATCTTGTCTAGCCTTTAATTTTCTATAAGCTTCTTCACGTTGTCTTTTAAGTTTTTCTTCTTGTTCATTAGCCAATTCTTCTCTAAATGTATCTCTAGATGGACCTGTATTAACATTAGTTTGTCTAGGTTTAGGCGTAAGACCCTTTGGAGCTATAGGAGGAGTTGCCACGGGTCTTTCCCAACTTGACTTTTGTAATTCTCGATGATAATAATATATCTTTTGAGTTCCTGGATCAAGAGCTGATTCCCAACCTGGGGGCAAATCACCATCTTCCTGAGATTCTTCAACTTTTTCTTCTACATTTTCTTGTTGATTATACTGTTGTTGCTCTGTTTCTGGAGTTCGAGTTGATCTACCATACAGTGATAAATCAGTAACAACTCCATTACCACCATTACTTTTTGGTATTCTATAAGCCATTTCTAATTTACTCCATTCATCTAATAATTTAGTACTTAATTTTCTAATAATAATATTATCAGTAGTTTGTTGAATATCTTTTATAACATCTTCAATTTGAGATGAAGAAATTTTATTCCGATAAAGTTTTGGCCATCTATTTAAAATTTCAAGAATCATAATCATTAAACTATTTGAACCTGAATTTTTAAATTGTTGAATTATAGTTGAAAAAGTTTTATAACCATGAAATCTAATAATTGCTAAATTAATATTTTCTTCTCGTGAAGAATTAATTCTTTGAATTAATTTATTTACAATTGTAAAATCTTGAGATTTCATTAATGCTCCCATAACTTTTGATACTTCAATTTCTTGTAATGGTTGAATTATAAGTTCTTTAATAAATTTTTCATTAATTGCTGTATCATCACTTTGTTGTTTAGATCTTAAAGCTTTATTTTCTTTTAACCATTTTCTTTCTTGTTGAGGGGTAACTCCTAAAGCTTCAGCAATACCTTCAGGTAATAATAATGCTGCATCAGTTTGAGTTTTACCTCCCATAAATTTAATACAATTAGGTTCTCCACAATAACATGGTTGAGATTGAGCTCCATATCTATCAACATTATAATCAAAAGTAATTTCTTCACCTTGTTGAATTAATCGTTTAGCAAATATTCCCATTCTTAATTTACCTCCAACAACCCATTTATCAACATAAGCATTGGGATTACAAGAATGATTAACAAATCTAGCTAATGAACCTTTAACAGTTGCATCTATAAATGAATCATTCTTTAACATCATAAAATAAAAATGTTTAAAATTCTTTGCATCATAATCAAGCATTCTCTTTCTAAAAGCTGGTTCATCAATTACTTCACCAATATATTCATAAATAAATGTTGATTCATTAATTGAAGTATTGGCTCGAAGTCCATACCCCTTTAATTCAGTTTGAAATACTGAAACTGAAGCATATTCTTTCTTTTGAAATCGTTGATTTTGACAATTATCTCCACAATCACAATCTCCATTTACACATTCTACTGAAGTAAATCGATTTATACAATTTGAATCATCTCCACATGCTAAATTTTGTTGAGTTTCAGGATCCCACTGTTCAGTACAATCACATGTCATATATTCTTTTTGACCTGAAGATCCTACAAGTTTATTAGAATAAGTACATTCTGGTATCTCCACGAATGATAATTTAGCTTCATCAGTTTTATCAGGCTCATCTAGAAATAAAGCGGGAGTTCTTTGTTTATCAGGTACAGGGGTATTCCCTGGAGTTGTTTCTGATTCTGAATGATCCGTCATTGACTATGAATTGTAATTTAAAATCAATTATATCTGCTTTGTTTTATATAGTGAATATCAATATCAATATGAATATGAATATGAATATGTATATGAATTTCAATCTATCGTACCTTTATTTCTCCAAAACTAAAGCTAAAGCTAATACTAAAACTAAAAACTAAAAGCGAAACTATGCCCACTCGGAGTCCTTTACTAAAACACAGATACAACACACAACTCTTAAGCTACTAAGCTCGGGATCCCTTTGTGCTGATAGTGAAAAAAAAATTCCACACTCCTCGTTAATTACCTGTATCGAAGTCGGTCGGCATTTTTTCTGGTGAGGGAGGAATCGCGACCATTTAGTTGCAAATAAGTTATGTACTCACTAGTCGACTAGTGATCAGTAATTAATAATTAGTGACAAGTTATATAAAGTCAAATGTTATTGTTATTGTAGTGCTATAAATAAATTAATGGTTTAAATGTATTCTAGAGAAATAAATTTATACATTTGATTTCTTTTCTTCAGTAGCTTCCTTAGTTTTCTTATCAGCTTCATCACCAGATTCCCTATAACTTTCAACTCGTTCTCTATTTTCTGAAGCAGTTTGAACTAATTGAATAAATGCATCTCCTTGTAATTTTTGTTTAGTACTAGCTTTACCATTAATATCTTTAAAATATGGAGATTTTAATGGTGATAAAGATGCTTTAGAATTTTCTGCTTCAAGATTAGAAAGTACATCAGATAATTTCTTCCATGAATATAAAGGATTTGCATGAGCTGAAGTTGGTGTTGATGTTCCAACTTCTGAAATTAATGAACCAGAATCTCCAAAAAGATTAATTTCACTTGGATCATCATCAAGTTCAGTTTGAATAGCTTTCAATTTCTTAATTCTGTTATTTAATTTAACCATCATAATTGCTTGTCTAAATTTAGCCTTTGCATCAAATCCTTGTTTCAATTTAGGTAATAAATCTGTTTCTTTATGATCAGCTGCAACAGATACTAACCAAGGATCTTGTAATAACTGTTGAGCTGTAGGTCTATTATTAGGATCAAATTGTAAAGCTTTGATAATAAATCTACGAGCATCTTTTGAAACATCTTTCCAATAATCAGCATGAAAAATAACCGCATTATTATGTTCAACTTCACGAACAAAATCTTGAACATTTTCTGATCTAAATGGTGAATATCCACATAATAAAGTATATGTTATAACACCTAAAGACCAAATATCACAAGGTTTACCATGACCACTACCAATTATAACTTCAGGAGCTGCATAACCAAATGAACCAGCTGATGATGTTAATTTTTCATTAGGAGTTTGAAGTCTTTTAGCAATACCAAAATCAGCAATAACAATATCAGCATCTTCACTAGGATTTAAATATAATACATTTTCAGGTTTTAAATCTCGATGAACAATATCTTTTCCATGTAAATAAACTATAGCTTCTAACATTTCAACTATAACTAATGATGCATCATGTTCAGTAAATCTACCTTTATTAACAATCCTATCAAATAATTCTCCTCCTGTAGCTAATTGAGTTACAATATAAAATTTATCCTTAGATTCAAACCAATCTCTAAATCCAACTATATGAGGATGATTTAATTCTTGTAATAATTTTAATTCTTCAATTACCATTTGTTCATTACCCTTTAATGCTTTTTTTAAAATGATTTTAACGGCAACTTCTTCATCAGTAATATTATCTCTTGCATATCTGACAATTCCAAATGATCCTGCTCCAAGTGTTTTACCAAACGTATAATTTTGCTTTCTTGCGTACGAACTAGGTTGACCCGATAACTTATTTAGAAATTTCTTAAACTGATGATTCTCAGCATTTGTTGCTGATTCTGCTTCAAGTGGCATTACTAAATAATATTATATTATTTCTATATATAATTTCTAAATTTAGTTATAGTTCAATTATATATCAATTGATCTTTCCCCAGATGTATAGCAGGTGGAATTGGTGATTCGTTCTTGTTCCTAATTTAAGGGGATGCGGAATGCTATAAATACTGCGGCACGGATGCTCTTCGGATCGGGGCTATTATTAGCTGATAGTAATAGTTAGCAATCAATTATTCAAAGTTTTAAGATTTGTTGCAAGTGACTACTTACAGGGCTCAAGGGGTAATTCCAATACTTATAGTTTACTCCTATAATAGTATCAAGGCTTGGCAACTAAGCGGCTGACCGGTATTGATTGATCATGCTTTCGATTTTTATCAGGGCTGTACATACTTATTTGTAAGTCACGTGTTAAGTTTATCCACATTTCTTGACTAGGTAAGTTAGATAGCATGTATTCCTTAGAATCACTTCGATGATTGTGGTCCCATGACCAATTTATAAAAACCATTCTTTCATTATTAGGTAAAATTTCCTTTTTACTTAAACGGGCAGTAAATGTAGCTCTACAATTGGTTTTTGCTGAAAATTTCTTAAGCTTACGTTCCTCAAATTTGAGCACTGGCTTGTGATGACCATATAAGTTACAGCGATAGGTATGTGACCAATATGAATGAGCGGTTTCTCTCCTAATTGACTTACGAACCCAGTGCTCTGAAGTAACCATCTTTTCGAGCCATTTCTTATATTCACTCTCCAGAAGACGAAGTACCACCTTTTTGGATGAGGACTTGGGCAATGACTTTGTTAAATCTGGTTTGGAATCACAATTAGATTGGGGTTTAGAAGGGAGTGACATGGATATTATGTTATGATGAATGAATGAAGTTATTTAATGTTAATTATAATTGAAAGTAGTGTTTTTATTCTTTGTATTTTTTATTCCTCTTTTTTCTCTGATTGGAGAAAGCGGTTTCAAATAAAGGGTGGATTCCAAAGATTCTTTAGATTAACTTATGATACATAACGCAATTTAGCGGATATGTTCTATTTTCTTGCAAAATATGTTAAAAATGTCAAAAATAAAATGATAGAATTCTAGGAAATTGAGCACCAATTTTTACATTCCATGCATCTTATGGGTTGTACAAAGTGCTTAACATAGCTGTTAATTGATTAATAACTTACATATACTACTGAACTACTGTTTTCTTTAGGATTTAACAAATCCGTATATACATTGTACACAAAAGCGCAATTTGTTTTTCTCGTAATGAACGAACGAACGCGCTACCATATGAATACTTTGTTAAACGCAAATAGGAGCCTTATTTGCTCCACTTTCAAAGGGGTTGACAGTTCAATTAACTGAAACAAAGAGTGACATAATGTGGTTAATTTGGAGCCTTTACTAAACTAAGACTTTTGGTTTACACTATTAGTAAAATCCACAAACACATCTGAATTATCATCCATCACAGTTTCTGATTAATAGCATTTGATTGGGCGATGTCACTAGACAGCAAAGTTAATGAAAAGACAAGGACTGACCCTCCTACACCAACTACAGGTACGTATTTAATTCTTGCGACTCTTATCATTCAGTGTCTGTCTACCTTCAGGAAACACACCGTCGGGATGATCACTGTATGGATCATGTATGTGTTATTCACTTGGTCGTACATAATTGATCAATGGAGATACATTAATGATTATAGGAATTCAAACATAGTGGCTAATGTCAGATTGGTAGTCAATCAGAATTTGGTTGTTTGGGTAGCAGGAACAGTAGCAGCCATATCCTTCACAGTGATTGGGAAGACTACAGAACCTAATGGCTTAAAAGAAGAGAATTTATGGTTTATCATCTTTCCAAGTGTATTATGTTGCTACTTTACCCACAATTTTAAGCTTACCTGTTGGCTTCTAATAGCATTGACGCTAATCAGACTAATTATTACTTTTTATATTAGAAACAACTAAATAAATTATAAGAAAAAAAAATAAATAATTATACGTATTTTGAACTTTTTATCAATTCGTCAAAGGAAGATAAAAAGACAATGCTGAATTGAATGATTGGTTGGTTGCTTTTGGTTTTGGTTTAATATAAAAATTTCAAGATTAAAATTTAGTAGCATTCTTGAAATCTTCTTCAGTAATGTTTGATCTTTCACACATTTGTTCAAAGATACTTCCTTTAGAATTGAATAAATTCCATGGAGTATCAAATTCTTTAATTTCTCCCTTATCTAATACTAAAATTCTATCATAATTAATAATAGTCTTTAATCTATGAGCAATACATAAGATTGTACATCTTTCAAATTCTTTAATAATAGAAGTTTGAATTTTTGAATCTGTTTCATAATCAACAGATGATGTTGCTTCATCCAAGATAAGAATCTTTGAATCTCTTACTAAAGCTCTTGCAAAGGCAATTAATTGTCTTTCACCTAATGAAAAATTAGATCCTTCATCTTCTACACTTTGATCTAAATGGAATTTATGAATACTTGATGGATCATAATCAACATCATCATAATTTCTAGTTTGTTGTTTAATTGAATCTAATTTATTAGCTTCAATTAATCCAGTTCTTCTTAATGCATCCCATAATTTATCATCTGAACTTTGATTAAATGGATCTAAATTCTTTCTTATAGTACCTTTAAATAATACCGGATCTTGAGGAATAATTGATAATTTAGATCTTAAATCTTTTAATCCTAATTGACTAATATCTACATCATCAATTGTAATTTTACCACTTTCTAATTCTGATAATCGATATAAAGCAGTCATAATTGATGATTTACCAGCACCAGTTCTACCACAAATACCAATTTTTTCACTTGGTTTAATATCAAAAGTTAAATTTTTTAATACTAATGGTAAACCTGGTCTATAAGCTAATGAAACATTTTCAAAAGACATTTTACCATGTTGTGGCCATGATGGATGAGGTGAACGTTCTGGAATTTCATATGGAGCTTCTTCTGGTAATCTAAATGCATAATCATTTAATCTTTCAGCAGAATTCATTTCATTTTCAACTTGAGTATAAGTTCTAATAAGCATAGATAATTGTCCAGCAATTTGGAAAACATAAGATAATAATAAACCAACCGATGCTGCACTTATATCAAATATACGATTAACACATAATAATGCAATTAATAATGCAAAAAAACATGCAATTATATCCATATGAATAGCTAAAAATCGTTGATTTGCAATAGTTATATAATAAGCTTCATTCATTCTATCAATCAAATAAGAATTACGATTTAAAAATCGTGATTGAGCTTTATAAGCTTTAATAGTTGGCATACCACTTAAAGTTTCATTAAAATTATTATAAACAAATGATCTTTGAACTGCTTCTAAACGTTTAACTTCTCTTGCAGATGCTTGATAGAAATTAGCAATTGCCACAAACATAAATCCTAAAAATGGAACTGCAATGGCAAACCATGGTAAATAAATAATACACAAGATTAAAACACCAATAATATTTGAAAATACAAAAAGGAAGAATCTTAATTGATCACCAATTTCATTATCTAAAACATCAGTATCTTTGGTAAATCTATTTAAAATTCTACCCATTGGTGTTGTATCCATAAATCCCATTGGAGCATGTAAGACTCTTTTAACTGCCATAACATTTAAAGTTACAGAAGCAGTATTAGTAATATAAACTAATATAATAAATTCTAAAGTTAAGAATCCAAATGATAAAAGGGTAAACATAACATAAAATCCAATGTAAAAATTATCATGTAAATTATGAAATTTATATTCAGTCCAAAATGATAACCAAGCATTTGTAAAAAGTTGACAGAAAGTAGCTAAAATCATAGCACATAACATAAGTGGAAGTATACCCCATGGTTTAAATTTCCCAGTACCTAAAAGAATATATTGTTTATAAACATCAAAACTTATACCATTAACAGCTCTAATTTCTTCTTCCATTAATCGACCATTTTCTCCAATATTTTTATTAAAATCTTTATGTTCAGCTTCTTCATCTTCTACAATAGTGGATTTTCTAGTTAATTGACGTTGAATATTTTCTCGTTCAATTTCTGCTTCTTCTTCATAAAGTTCTTCCTTCTTTTCTTCTTCATCATCTTTTGTTTCAGAACTATAAGCCATTAATTTATTAAATCCAGAACTTCTTTCTCTTAATTCTTCAGTTGTACCAAAATCCATTGATCCATCACCATTTAAGAAAATAACTTTATCAGCTGAACCAATTAATGATAATTGATGAGTAGCTAAAATTCTTGTTTTATCCTTTAATAATTCCATAATACATTGATTCATAATATGTTTACCAACTCTTGCATCAACAGCAGAAAGTACATCATCCATTAAAATAATATCTCTATTTGCATAAACAGCTCTGGCTAAATTAATTCTAGCCTTTTGACCTCCAGATAATGTAATACCTCTTTCACCAATTTCTGTTTGATCACCGGCTGGTAAAATTTCTAAATCACTTTCTAATGAACAAGCATAAATAACATCATCATATTTCTTTTGATCAAATTCTGATCCAAATACAATATTTTCTTGTACAGTCGCATTTTGCACCCAAGGATATCCACATAATAATAATGAACCATCAACATTAACATGACCAGAAGTACGTTTCATAAATCCAGAAATAGCACTTAATAAAGATGATTTACCTGAACCAATTAATCCAGTAATAACAATAAACTGTCCCTTTTCAATTGTAAAATTAATATTACTTAATCCACTAAATATAACTTCATCAGAAGAACTTGAATCATCTAAATCAATATCCTTTTCTGATGATGAATTTGTTTTAGCATCAAGAGATTTTTTACTCGATAAAACTTTTCGAAGTTTAAGATCTTGTTTAATTTCCTTTTCATTATGTTCTTCTTTATGATCTTCTTTATTTTCTTCATCAAAATTATTTTCATCAGTTTCATTACCATAAGTTTCCCATGCAAATGAAGCATTTGAAACTTCAATAGCAATATTTTCCTTTTCCATAGCAATTAATTTTTCTCCTTGAGCTTCAATTTGAGTTTCATCAGTTTTAATTTCTTCAGAAGCTAAGAAAGCTCCAACTCTTTGTAAACCAAGATAAGCATCTGAACCTGAAGCTAAAGCCATTGGAATTAAAAATACTTGTTGAGTTAAAGTATTAAATAATGAAATAGATGAGAAAATAGATGCAGGATCTCTTCTATGAGATCCAATACCATATAATACTAAGAAAGCAATCATTGAAGCAAATAATGATAATGACATTGCAAATGCTGTAACAATATTTCTTAAAACTTGCATTCTATAAATAATCAGCATTTCCTTTTGTCTTATATTTGAAATATTTGCATGATAAGGAGGTTCCCAAGAATAAAATTTAATAATTTTTAAATTATTTAAAGCTTCTTTAATAAAATTAACTCTTCCATCAGTATACTTATTAGCACTAAATCTATAAGCAAATAATTTTTTAGTTGTAAATGCAATTGCAACCATAAATAAGAAAAGAATTACAATCCCAACTAAGGCTGATACACCAATATTAACAATTAAAATAGCAGTAGCAATTGCAATTGGAATTGGGAACATAAATAAAAATGGTTGAAATCCAATAGCAAAATCAATTCTTGATAAATCTGTACCCATCATAGAAGTAATTTTACCAGTTGGATATTTATGTCTTGAAGTTGCACTTAAAACAAAAGATTTATCTAAAAGAGCTTTTGTTAATACCGCTTTTGCTTGAGCACCAGTTATCATTGATCTATAAAAGAAATGATTAATTGATACACCAATAATAAAAATAATAACAACAGCACCAAAGGAATATCCAATACCTTTACCAATTCCTTCTTCTATTCCAAGAGCTTTATATTCAACATATTGAATTAAACGTTTTGTTAAAAGTGGATTAGTAGTTTGTCCAACATTATTTATTGTTAAAAATAAACATGCTATTAAATATTGATATTTAAAAGTTTTAAATAATGCCCAAGGTGTTAATAATTTAGGTAATTCAAAATCTTGTAAATCAACTTCTCTATCAACTGTTGAATTTTCAATTGTTTCACCTCTTTCTTTACATTTTTGTTTAATATGATTTATTCTTGCCTTTTCAATATCACTATAAATAATTGATTTAAATTTATTAGCCATAGCTTCAACTTTAATTTCATCAGTTAAAGTAAATAAATCTTGAGTATCTAAAGTTCTTAAATATCCAGTATACATAACTGGACTTAACCACCAAAAGAATAATCGACTTATAATATTTGATTTCTTTTCTGGATAAGGTATTCTTTCTTCATCAGTAGGTAAATCAGGTACTTTCTTTGGGAAAAATGCACTTAACATTCTCCTTTGACGTTGTAGAGTACTTCCATCTTCAAGATGGATATCATCTTTATTGGCCATGAGATTAATTAGTTTCTATTAATTTTCCTGGTAATTTATTAAAATGATACAACTTTATTAAAGGAGTTTATATGACCAATCTCACAATAATTGATCTACAATAAATACTAAATGAATATCAAACGAATACTAAAAACGTAATTTAAAGTGCCCCATTATCAAATGGGAATAGAGATTGGAATTCTTCGTAGTTTTATATCAATTCTGTTATGTCTGCAAGAAATTGAAAAAAAAAAAAAAAAATTAGAACGCAAAAATCTTAAAACGGTGACTCTTGTATTTCCACATCCGAAGCCGTAAGCCGTAAACCTCAGCCTTTTTTTATGCTTTTTATCGTTATCGGCTTAAATACTCCTAATGGATACGATCAGGCTTGTCATGACTATCATGGTCTTTCAGAGTCATAATCATAATTAAATAGACCTTATATTGAATGATTAATGGACGGTATTTGCAAAGTTCTTCCGGTACTGTATATATTGTAATTGCTTCAATTAAAAAAATATATTCTGCTATTTCGCATCTACGTCCAAATTGGGTAACTCTACGACGGAGTTAGACCTTAGGTATACTCAGCCTAATTTTTTTAAATAGAATTTATAATACTTGAAATAAGCCAAAATATGGCAGCGATAGCCAAGATAATCAAATAGATATGAAATCCCTGATAAAATAACGGTAAGAATAAGTATAAGTTGCACTTTATAGATAATTAGGCTTATTAGCTCATTGCAATACCCCAATTTGACATTTCTTTTTTTTTTTTCATAATCTATCAACCGCACCAATCCAAATCGAGCCTTATTTCCTTTGGATGGAGCTTGCCCTTTTGGATGTGTGGCAATAGCTGGAAACTACAGATTTTCTTAAAACTTTATTATTTTATCTTTAATATCCGCTTATTAAGCAATTCGTCTAATATATTATCAATTAATTTCCCAACATTGGATTATATTTATGAATGATCTTCTTTATAAATCCAGCAATTTTGAATGAGTTAGAGCAATCTCTCTTGTAAGCAAATCTAGAAGCCGAATTACATAGCCTCTAAAAATATAACTTAGCTCGTTATAGATCTTAGAAAATTGCTTGAAGATGTTCTTTCTTCGTAAAATGTTTCGTAGATACTTCCGTATATAGAACATGCAGGACCGGCGATATCGGCCTAAAGATTAATTGGGTAACAATACAACATTATATAAGCAATCAAAGTTGCAACTATAATTACAGCTGATTTAATTCCTTTTAATCTGCTTAAACTTTTCCACAGTCTTCCATTTTTTGCTTTATCTTGGGCTTCATTATGATTAGTATACTAATTTATTGGCTAAAGATCACGATCTTAATCATCACTTCCTTCATCCTTCTCATTATAAGCATCTGAAGATGAAGTTATTAAAATAAATGATCTTTTGATTTTTTTGGGGACTACAGAAATTGACTCGTCTGAATCACTAATAATAATTAAATTCTTATCATCTTCGTACTCATCTTCTTTCTTTTCGTCGCGAGCTCCTTCATTTATTCTTTGTGAATTATAGTGTAGTCTTGCGGATTTTCTTAATCTAATATGTCTTTCCGATGAGGTGCTTTCAGGGAATGAATATTTTATTGGAGACCCGTTAAATTGTGGGTCGTTTATGTGGTGCTTTCTTGGACGACCTCTGCCTCTTCTTAGTTGATTTGAATCATTTTTTTGATATTTCCTTCTTTCTTTTCTTGGCTTTTGAACCTCAACAGATTTGGAAGCCTTTTCTGAATAGTAATTCTTCAAAATTGAGGGAATGTAGACTTCTTCGTCATAAATCTCTACCTTTTCATTGGTAAATACATGATGGAATTTGATTGAACTTCTCAATTTGATTCTTTCAAGGTGTGGTTTGGTACATGCTTTTACCGTTCTAGGCTGAGTTAGTCTTGAGGACAATTGATATATCAAAGCATATAACTCACAATTGGGTGATAGCATCCATTTAGAAATTGATAGAAGCCAATCAAATAAATCATCAATCACTTATATCTTAATGATACTGTATTGATTCTACTTATATGGACCAGTGATTCAAGTGGGATTTGGATTGTTTGTTGTTTGGCCGTCATTTTCATTCGTCGCTACCAGTTGAATTCAGAAAAATGAAGTTCGTAGCTTATATAATCAGCCACATAAATAACTAATGATTTCTATATGATATATATGTTTCATAATCAATAAAGAATTTACAAAAGCAGCCGCATGAGGTAGTCTGTTTAGCAATCGAATGATTTATGTGCAATAACGAATTATATTGGCAATATTCAACCTTTCGGGTGCAGTTCGGGTCGCTTAAATTCGAAATTTCTCAGCCGAAATTCCACAGAGCCACACTTTTCAGAATTATATTGCAAACTGATCGCAACTATAACCATTAATGGTCCAAGTTTAAACGGTAGAGCGACTATATAAATGTAAAAATGTATTAGATTCTTTTGAAGATTGATCTTTAAATTGACAATATAGTATCAGATAAAATGACTGAACAATCAAGTAAAAGAAGAAAGAAGCATATCATCATCAATGCATTTGATATGGCTTGTAGTGGTTTACAATCTCCAGGGTTATGGAAACATCCAGAGGATCAATCCAGAAATTATAATTCAATTGAGTATTGGACCAACTTAGCAAAGCTCTTAGAGAAGGGGAAATTTAATGCTTTATTCATTGCTGATGTATTAGGAGGTTATGATGTCTATAATGGACCTAAAAATATTGAAGCTGCTGCAAAGTCTGGAGCTCAATGGCCAGTTAATGATCCAAGTGCTGTTGTAGCAGCCATGGCAGCTGTGACTAAAAATTTGTCTTTTGCAGTTACTTTCAGTACTATTAGTGAAGCTCCTTATCATTTCACAAGAAGGTTAGCTACATTAGACCATTTAACTAACGGTAGAGTTGGTTGGAATATTGTTTCTTCTTATTTAGAGTCGGCCGCAAGAAATTTATTAAATAATCAACCTTTACCTCCTCACGATGAAAGATATGCTAGGGCACAAGAATACCTTGAAGTTGTTTATCAATTATTTTTATCAAGTTGGGCTGACGATGCTGTTAAATTGGATAAGAAAACTGGTGTTTTCTCTGATCCTTCTAGAATTAGAGAAATTAACTATGAAGGTAAATATTTCGAAGTCCCAGGACCAAATATTACTGAACCAACTCCACAAAGATTACCAGTTATCTTACAAGCAGGTGCTTCAAAAGCAGGGTTAGAATTTGCAGCAAGAAATGCAGAAGCTGTTTTTATTGGTGGTTTCACCCCAGAAGTTTTGAAATATAAAATTGAAGAATTAAAAAAACTTGCAGTTAATTATGGAAGAGATCCTTCTGAAATTAAAACATTTCAATTAGTTACTGCAATTGTTGCTAAAACGCACGATGAAGCTGTTGCTAAGTATCAGGAATATCAAAAGTATGGAGATCCTGAAGGAGCACAAGCTTTATTTGGAGGTTGGACCGGTATAGACTTGAGTAAATACGGCTGGGATGAAGAATTGAGTAGTGTTGAAAGTAATGCTATTAAAAGTTTTGCTGATTCCTGGACTAAGAAATTGCCTGGAGAACCAGAAGGCCTTCGTAAAACTAGAGGTTATCTTTCTGAAAGATTAAGGGTTGGAGGCTCAGGTGTTGTATTTTATGGATCTCCCGAAGAAGTTGCTGATGAAATTGAAACTTGGGTAAACGTTTCTGGAGTCGATGGGTTTAATTTTACTTACGCTATCTCGCCAGGAACTTTTGAAGATTTGGTAGAATTATTGATTCCAGAATTAAGAAGAAGAGGATTGGTTTGGGATGATTATCCGAAAGAAAAGCTCACTTTCAGGGAAAATTTGTATGGAATAGATAGAGAAGAACCAACTTATCTTACTGAAACTCATCCAGCTTATAATCTAAGATGGAGAGCAGGCGAAACAAAAGAAGAATTTGAAGAAAAGTTGAAAAAGACAATAGAAGAGAAGTTCACTTTTTAAGTAAATCGTTAGATAAAATGTATATTATATAAATGCATATTCGAAATATGGTTCAAAATAATAAATATAATAAATTGTGCTTGTAATAGGTAATTTTGCTATATTAACATTTTTAAAGAAGTTTTAACTAAATGAAAATCAACTACGACAAAATTTTTTTGTAGCAAGAAATAAATAAGAACGGGTAATGGATTTTTGTTATTGGCCAGGATGGACCGCTTAAAGAACATATTGAATAAAGCTAACCAATTGTTTGACCGCCCAAACAAATATAATTCTTAAGTCTGTAGTATTGGCTAAGATCTTCTTGATAGTGTTTATTACAATTCCTGATTGTTCTAATGATTGGATCAATTCATCAAGAGTTACAGTCTTATCTTGAATAATGGTAGTCAAAAGGTTGACTGTGAATTTTTGCATATCCGATGGTTCTAATGCTTCCCTAATCACAGAGACACCTAATCCAGATTTTTCAAGAGAGATACAGATACTTCCGACATCGGCAATTTGAGTAACAAGTGTGACTAAAGTATTGATAGCAAGATTTTCAGCAGTGTTGAAAATACCTCCAAGGAAATCAAGAATTCCTCTCTTAGCAATTTCTACCTCTTCTGCTGTTAATTCAACATTTTGACGTTTTTCAAATTCTGGGTTCACATCACGTTTCAAATGAATGACACCACTTGACCATAAAGATTTAAGAACAGTCCATAATCCTGGTAAAAGACTAGGATCTATAAACATTTCCATTACAACATCTAGAGCCAAGTTGGATTGATCAAGTGCAACTAAAATAGTAGTCAAATTTTCATGTTGTAAGAATGAGTTAATACTTTTAATGGCAACACCAGATGTAACAGAAGAGGTACAAATGTCGTGCTCAGCTTGAACACCCCAACCAGTAGTGTTTAATACAGTACAAATTTGAGTTAAAGGAGTAAATTCTTTGTTTGACCTTTTATCAAGGGATGATGGTAAAGTATTAAGATATTCAACAAGCTCTTCCAAGTCCAGTACATCTCTAGTAAGTAATTGGTTGTCTTGATAGAATTCAATATCACTAAAAGCGAAAGTTAAGGCAAGGAGGTAAAAAGATATAAACGAATAAAGCAATCTCATTTTCATTAGGTTGTTTAGATATGTATATGTTTGTTAATTACAATGAATTAAACGAACGTATGAATGAGCTAAACGAATGGATGTATCAGAGTTTTTCTCCAAAAAAAAGTAGTAACATAGAGTGAGGAATGATTTAAACTTTATATGATTTGTGATAGAAATGATTGCTACAACATACTGCTACAACATACTATTACAATTAGCTGAAACAGGAAAAGTTCTTGACCACGAATTAATTGCAATCACATTGATATTATTTCTTGTGTAAAATTATTTGCAGTAACATTGCAAAATCTTCAATTGTCTATTGACTGCGTATTTCCTATTGCGGTAATGTGAGAGGTCCCAAAATTTCCCAATTGAGAAATTTCTTGAGATTTCGCATCTAATTTCTGTGAGGAGAAATGATTAAGAATACATTTGAGAGATTGACGAGAATTACGAAGGCGCCTAATGACTATTGGTTTCATCTACAGTTTATTAAAGCCGCTTCACAAGACAATGGGATATAAGTTTCTGGAATTTTGAAACGTAGGGCGGAACACCGCTAACTCATTTTTGAAAATAAACTACAAAATCCAAGAAAAAGTGAAATATATGTCTATAAGTCGCAAATCGAAATCAAATGTAAAAGAGTTATCTATACTAGTAATATAATAAATATAATCTCAAATAGGAATAAGAACTAAAATGGTAAATTTATGAAGTAAAACAAATCAGATCATTCTTCGTACTCTTCACCTGTTAACTTAAAGGAGTAGAAGAATGCTGCCAAAGAGAAAATTCCAAGTAACCACCAAGAAAATCCTTCGTAACCCATTATTTCGAAATGAGCAATAATCCACCCCCAAAGTATGGGTCCCGCACATCTTGAAAGGGCTGCAATACTCATATTGTAACTATTGATTAAGGCTCTTTGACGTTTAGGAGAAGCTCTATGAATTAAAATAATTCCTTGAGAAGCAGTTAATGAAGACGAAAACGATGTCAAACATGCTGTGAAGTATAATAAAACTTTCGAGACTATTGGAGGAATGGATGAATTATACTTTGGAATTGTAAATATATATAAAGGTATCGAGACATAAATGAAAGGATAACAAATTAACCCTATTCTGTAAGCAATTCTTGGAGGGAAGAATCGAGTTATTACAGGGAATAAAAATGATACAACAAACACTCCCAACAAACCAGTAAATGAAAGCAACCATCCAATTGCATCAGAGTTCCATCCAAATCCACCTCTAATTCGGAAAGGAAACTTAAGATCGTCAGGCATTACTACCTTAGCCAAGAAAACAGGGAAGAATTCTGCATAAATGATGTTCAGGAATTTAATCATGAAATCATTGGAAATAATATGAACTACTTGAGTAGGTAAATTTGAAAATGTATCGTGCAAAGACTCGTTGGTAGAAGATGCGGAGGAGGATGTTGTCGAATCAGTAGAAGTAGTAGATTCTTCGGAGTTTTCCTTCTTCATATTGAAGTCTTCATGAATATGTTCCTTTTTATTGCCCTCCTCATCATAAGAAAATTGCTGTAACTCGACATTTTCAGTAGTTTCATCATCTTCAATTAAATGTTCTGCCTGTTCAAAATCATTTGTATACCTTTGAGTCTTCCATGGACGATCAGGAACTTGAAAACCCAATCTTTTTCTAATGACATCACCTATTTCTAGTCCGATATCTCTCTTATCTTTATAGTCCTCGTGGGTCTCTTCTAAGAAAAGGAATCCAATGGTGATAAAGCACGATAGTATACAAGCCACAATAATGTTCGAGAAAGCAAATGGATGTTTATCAAAAAAGGGTGTGTTAGGAGTAGCACCTGATCTCTTTCCTGATTCATCATTTGCTCCAGCATGCGTTGAAAGATTCAATTTATCAGTGTCAGTTAAGAACCCGCCTAACCATCCACCCACACACCTTCCAAGACTCCATAAAAGGGTCAAGTTTGAAAAGGCCAAAGCTTGATGTCTCTTTTCATGAGCAATTTCACCAACAGTTGTTCTAATAATGGATACATTCCCATTAAGCAAACCCATTAATGATCTAGCAAACATTGCCATATAGAAATTGCTACTGAATCCGAACACTAGCATTGATAAAGCTGTTCCTAAACAACCAAGAAGTAGAATAGTCTTTCTTCCATATTTATTTGATAACTTTGCCCATTGGACCGTCGAAATAAATTGACTAAAGGCGAATGATGATGCTAAATATCCACTATATCTTGAAGTATCTGCTTCATTCTTGGCGATTCCAAAACTTCTAATCATAAAATATATATAGGGAAACATGGATGTGAACGCTATAGGTTCACTTAAACGTAATGTTCCGATGATTATCATCTGAAATAGAGGGAATCCCTCCAATTGTTCTTTAATGGTGTAAGTTGTTGACATATTATCAGCAAGTTATGGTGATGACTATTGATTACAAAAATTGATTAAACCTAGCAGAAATGTTGCGACAATTAAACTTAATAGGTTATAATAATCACAAACAGCACAGATATTCAATAAACGTAGTAGATATGGTAATAAACTATTAATTCATGTGAAGGCAAGCAAAAGAAATGAAAAGGAAATCAATTAAGATCTTTTTCGTTTTATTGTAGATATTATTTTTTTCGTTTGGGACAGATAGATGGGAGAGCCGTACCTTTCTTTTTCAGGAATTCAGGAATTTATGCCGATTATTAACTTGAGCTTTCTTTTTGTCGGTACTAATTATCTGCGAGATAGCACCTACGTATTAATGTTGCTATTTGTTTTATATAAGAGAAGGGTAATGAGTAATTTAAAATTCTTTTATTTATTAGGGGGCAATAAATCAAAGAACATCACTTCCTACAGCAATCATTAAATGTAACATTAATATGAAAGTTAAGAGTATAATAATAACATAATATCACGTCATAGTTTATATAATATAGATTAGTTAATAATCAAATTATGGATTCATAATTATTAAATGGGTGGGCATGGTTGACTTTAGGGAGTTGTGGAGGTGCTAGATGTATTTTCTTCGGAAGAAAAGCTTCTTCTGCACATAATTACACTTCCACATTGGGACATATCTGCGATTAATCCCGAGTTGCAATTTGGGCCCATGCCTCATGATAATGAGATAACTGTTATCTAAGATAAAAAAATTCAAGGAGACCAATTTTGGTATACCGGGAATCATGTAAATAAGACGAAAAGTTTGTATATATACTCTGCAACCAGCATAGTAACTGAGATACCAATAAGCAAATATTTTTAATTATAAGAGAGATTTTCAGTAATTCAACTTTAGTAGATCCTCTGGCGTATAGGCATATGTAGATTTCAAAGAATAGAGCGATTTTAAACTCTAGTCCAACAATTTTGGCAATCATTACCGTGTTGAGTAGGAGGAAGTAGGGTAGGTTCATTATCTGAACCCTCACCAGATTACCCAATTGGGTGAGAAGAGAACTTTAGAATATGTATAGCCAACACATTTCCGATAACCTTGATTTCTTATCGGTCCACAATCGGGTCTCTACACATTTTGGATTTAAGCAACTTTCTTGTTCCTACACTACTAGTTAATACTTATGATTTTTCTTTGACAGTTTATCATGCAAACCAGATACTTCGGTAGTTTTGTATTGTAGATTTATTAGCTGCACTCCATATTTTAAGTAATGTCATCGAAGACATGCAAGATGCGGGTTCAAAATAAATCGATTAAGTAATAAGTTTACATTAAAGCATTAATTACTAATAAATAGTCGGGTTTATTATGTCAGACTATAAATCACACGCCTGTAACATCACCATATGTTTAATTATAATCCAAACTTTAACTATTTCTACTACCGGCACCTAGTTATTGTACCCCTGGTCCCACCTAAAAAAAAAAAAATAAAACAAAGAAAATGAGGAGAATAACACAATCAACCCCAATACAAAAGTCTAATAGGACATATTTTTAAATATCAATTAACTAATTTACACTTTGCAAATAACTTGTCTAACTAACTAACTAACTAATCTAATTAATATAACCCACAATTAAACTACTTCTAATTATAAAATTATCGCCGTATAAGTATGCTGGCCGGAGCAATCAAATGCTTCACTTCGGCCAGCTTTTTTTAAAATTATTTTTTTTGGGTTGTAAACTTTCGAGCATGGTGTCGTGCATCGCGGCAAAAAAATGGCATGAGGTATAATCTCATTTACCTTAATTAGTAGAATTTCATTATAAGTAACTAGTTCTTTGTAGTCTAGTTTGTCTTTTTTGATTACATTATAGTTTCTTTCGTTTATTTCCCTTTATACCTAGTCAAACTTATCCAAAAAAAACAGCTGTTTACTTAGTATTATCGGTTGCTTATTAGGCAGTTACATAAATCCGATATATCATCTAGTATCAGTATTCATTAATAATATATTATTAGATTGGGTTAAAGTTTGGGAAACAGTTTGTTCATCTTCGTAAGATATCCAGCTTAATAACTTTATAATTGAAATATCACCATTCGCTCGTTTGTTCGGTGATATTTTCGAATTACACCTTATACCTTATAATTCCATTCGCTAGTCAATTATATCAATTTACCCTTACAATCGCTTTATTAGAAGAATCATAGCAAGAATAAGAAGAAGATCAGAAAATACCTACCTAAAGTCAAAAGAATGAATATTAATTTACAGTATATACCTCCTCAACTTCAAATAACTATTGAAAATCTGTCTCCTTATCCTGCTCAGACTAATTCAATAATGTCTTCATCTTCAGGTAATATGAATCTGAATTCTAATATGTCACCAATATGTAATAATGCTCTTCAACAGTTTCAATCTCAAACCCCCCCTCCTCCATATAGTGCTACTGAACAATCACCTCAGTTGGCTCAATATCCCCATTTGACTAATCAAAATCATCAGCAACTGCATTTACAGACTCCGCAAACTACAACCAGTCCAACATTCTCAAACTTTATTCATAATGAAGCAGTTTTCTTTTCACCGGTTGTTCCCATGCCAAATCAATTTATTGGTACTCCTTCGTTAAATCAGAATACTAGTCCTCTTAGTACAAATCAGCAAACAAATACTCATCCAATGATAACTCCTATTACTCCCAATATAGGAAATGTGAAAAAGAATTATAGTGAAGTAATAGTGAATGCTCCTACCTCTGTTGTTTGGAATTTGAATGCAACTCCTTCACCAGTAGTACAATATTCTCCTGGAGCAAATCCCATTATAAGTCACAATGTTCATAATACAAATTATTCAAAATCCGATACCACTATTGGTTTAGGTTTGTCTATGGACGACTCGTTGCATCAACAGAAATTCCAGCAATTGCAGCAACAGCATATTCAACAACAGCTACAGTTTAATCAACAACAACAACAACAACATCAGCAGCAGCAGCAGCAGCAGCAACAACATCAGCAGCAACATCAACAACAGCAACAACAGCAACAACAGCAACAACAGCAACAACAGCAACAACAGCAACAACAGCAACAACATCAACAACATCAACAACATTTTTTCCCTAATCCACCACCAACTATAAAGACTGAAGATCAAATCCAATTCAACAATGGACTCTCTGGTTCCATGATAAATACCAATATCCCTTCCCCTAATAATTCAAATGTAAAGAGAGAGCCAGTCACCAAAAAGGTGAAGAAAGAAATCGATTCACCACTTCCTCTATCTGAACAATCATTCATAACACAAGTTCCTCGAACAATACCTATGGGAGAGTCAATATTGTATTCTCCACACTCTCATTATGGTGGTAACTCTACTGTTGATGAAGGCGAATCACCAAGTACAATTCCTGCGTCAAGTCCTCAGTCACCAAGATCTCTGACAACTAATAGTGGTGGACGACATGGGTTTAAGAAAGAAGATGTAACTGTTGATGATATTTTGAGTGGTGATCCGTTTGAAGAATTATCATCTTCCAGTCCCGATAAGGGTATAGATGGTCATGACGATGAGGAAACTTCTACAGATGCATTAATTTCCGAATTTATAGATTTTGATTGCGATGAAAAGGAAGAAAAAGATGGTATAATCAAAACTGAAACTTTATTATCATCTCCAAGTTTATCTGATTCTACTCTGCTGTCCAAGCTTGCTAGTATTGTTGAAAAGAATTCTTCTAATCTGTCTATTAAGAATCTTAAGAAGAAACCTTCTGTATCGAAGATTAATAAGACTCCTAGAGCAAATTTAAAAAAGTCATATTCATTTAGCGGTAATATTATATCTAATGGATTATCAAATTCTACAGCAACCACTATTACTGCTGCTAATGCTAATAGTATCTTAAATTCTAAGATGAGTAAATCTCAAACTACTTTGGTTCTTGATGCAGGATTACTGACTAAGAGATCTACACAAGTTATAAAACCAACAGCATCTTTATCATTTTCTGAATGTTCTCAACGTATTCCAGTATTTGCTTTAGGTAATCATTACTCGTTTGTTTATGAAAATTTAGATGCTAAATCATCTAATGGTAATAATTATAATAATCTACGGAAATCAAAATCAACTCAAAATTTCAAGACTTTAAGTCATAATTCTCAATACCAATATGATTATTATAATAATACTGGAATAAATGAATCTACGACTAAGAAAGAACAATCACCCAGAGTTTTAAAGAATATGAAGGCTGGTTTAATTGAATTTCAGATTGATTTAAATCATAAACGGTAAACGGTAATTGCCATCTGTAATAACGACATACATTAATTAATATTAAACTTGATACTAAAAAAGTTGTAACGAAAATTCAATACTGACATTTAATTCATCATTTATTTGCATATATATTCATCTATATATTGTTATTATTATTTATTTATTTATTAATTAATTAATTATTTATATTGTTATTAATTCTGTATTTATCTACATCTTTGTATATGAATTAATATCACATAGTACTGGTACATAAATAAGTGTGTATATTGTAAGATTGAGAAGAATGCTAAATGAGGGTTAAAGAATATGTTTATTATCATATTCTAATAAATCTATATGGTACATGTTTAATTGATTAATGCTAATAAAGAAGTGAAGAAATTGTAGTCACTATAAGAGTGTCTCACCTTCTACAAATCTTTATCTCTAGGAACATAATCTTCAGCTCCCAAAACATTTTCAGTTCTAAACCTTCTATATAATGATAATTGACCATCATTACCGTATGCTATGTATGCTAATCCAAATGGTACAATTCCCATGGCTATTATATTAAAGAATGCAGATCTTGGTTTGAATCTGAAATAGTTCCCAAAGTTTTCTTTGGCTGCATTGAATCTTTGTAATTCTCTATCTGGTCTTAAAGTACCTGCCATTATGATTGGAATTGTTTAGCTTTTGTATAGTTTCCTAGTATGGTATATTGCTTATTGGTATTGCACTGTATGAATGTCGTTTTTTTGTAAGCTGGTTTTGTTGAAATTTTTATTGGTCGTATATATGCAGGTCCTGAGAAGTAGAATATTAGGTGTCGTGAAAGTTTGCACGTGATGTTATGATTTTCTTAAAGATTATACATACCATAAACAAATTTTATATAAGTGAATTATTTTTATTATTGATTATATCCAGAGTGATTCAATGGAACCATGACGGAAATTAATCAAAAAAACAGTTCTGTTGACTATAGAGTTACATCTCTATTAACTGAACATTTTGGATTCCCACCATTAGCATTAATTGATGATGTTATTAATGCTGTTAATGAAATTATGTATAAATGTACAGTTGGAATTGAAACATATTTAAAGGAGAAGAGACAACAAGCACTTGATTCTATACAAAATGGAGGTAGTAATGATATAAATAATAATGTATTTGTTAAATTACCAAGTGATGAAATTGAAATTGGTACAGGGAAATTAGAAACATTATTAGAGAATCAAGTTGATAAAAATTTTGATAAATTTGAATTATATACTTTAAGAAATATTATGACATTACCTCTGGATTTAGTTGAAGAAGGATGGATTAAATTAAAACATCATGAAGGTATTTCATTTGGTAAAAATAAAGAGAATCAAATAAAAAAGACAAAAGTTGATAATCAAATTAATAACTTAATTTCGAATATTAAGTTAGAATTACATTTACGAAAGATTTTTAAATTACAAATTCAGAAGGCTAAAAAAGTAATTAAGATGCTCGAATTATTTCGAGATAGTGTTAAATTTTTAAATAATTCATCCTCATCAGGAGAATATCAATTATCGCAACAAGCAAAGGACGCGTTTAAAGCATTATCACCAGTAGAGGAAACATTATTTTTCTTATTAAATCAAGTTGATGATTTAATAAAGCAAACAAGAGCATTAGCAACTCGTGTCAATGAAGATACAACAATTTCAAAAATCAAATTCACTCCTAATTTGAGAGATCGATATATTGATAATAAAGCCATCAAATTACTTCTGAAAGTTGGTATAACGGATAAAGTAATTAATACAGCCACTGATGCCATGGATATCGATCAGGAGTCAGAAGTACCAATTGAACATGAAGTTGAAGATGAAGTTGAAGTTGAAGTTGAAGAAGTAGAGGAAGAAACTGGAGAATTTAGAATTAATAGTCAAAATAACATTGCTGATGACGATACTCTAGAATCGAATTTTGTGCCCGATATCTCGCTAACTACAGAACTAGAATCTATAAAAACTATATCTGAAACTTTAGCGGATAAATCGTCAACTACAGATTAATTCTTGTCTTAGTTCCCCATAGTTTCATATGTGTATTATTATGTAATTTAGAATATAATGTATTATACTTTGCAAGCGCGCTTATGGTAATCTTTCCCTTTTCGGTAACTGCAAACGACCCTTACTCCCAAAAGCAAAAAAAAAGCCTTATTCGAAGATTGTTGGTCAGATGACATAGATATCGTAAATTGGATACAGTTAACTATATGATCAAAATCGTTTAATAATTTGAATTATAGATCATATAATAAACAATCTGAAAATAAATACTAAACTTCATCTATTGGTAGCCCAAGATGATTAATATAGTAATGTCAGTATTGACATCGGAGCCCGTTGTCGAACCATGGAGACGACAAATATCAGGATTAATGGGGTCAACTTCCTTAGCATGTTGGATAGTATTATTAATGCCTCAATTAATAGAGCAATGGAGATTAAAATCAGCAGAAGGAATTGCTATTGGTTTTATTAGTATTTGGTTCTTAGGTGATGTATTTAATTTAATAGGATCTATTTGGGCTAAACTTTTACCTGAAGTTGTCTTCTTAGCAGTATGGTTTTGTATTGCTGATTTCCTCATGATATTTTCATATATTTATTATACTCATATTTATCCTAAACATCATCAACATCCTCATCATCATCATCATCATCCAAATCAACATAAGAAGAGTGTCAGTAGTACTCGTTCCCAGGGAACTATTGAACCTAATGGCTCAACTCCTACAATTAGAGTATCAGAATCAACACCTTTGGTTACAGCAGGTCAAGATCATGAACATCATCACCATCATAGTCATGATCACGAGCATGATCATGATCATGAACATGAACATCACCATCATCATAGAAGAAGATCTTCAACTTTAACAGACATTGCATTAGAACCAGAATATCATTCTATTTTCACTAAATACATATTACCAATTTTATTTGTAGTTGCTACTGGTATATTGGGTTTTTATTTAGGTAGTGCAATTCCTGATAAAGATACTGATAATCCAAATCCAATTCCAACTCCTGAACCTCAACCAATTCAAGTTGGACCACAAATTATGGGATATTTATCGGCTTTATTATATCTTGGAGCTCGTATTCCTCAAATTATTCAAAATCATAAACGAAAATCTGTCCATGGATTAAGTTTATTATTCTTTTTATTCTCTACTTTGGGTAATTTGACTTACGCTGGACAAATCTTATTTTATCGTAATGATCATGAATATATTTTATTGAATTTGAGTTGGTTATTGGGATCATTAGGAACAATTTTTGAAGATTCAATAATTTTCTTACAATTTTATATTTATAAGGATAGTAAAAGTGAAGACGATGATGAAGATACAACAAGCCTTGAAGGGTAAACTGAATCTTATAAATTAATTAATTAATTATTCCTTTCTCTACACTTGCATTTTATAAAATATTCACAATAAACAAATTATGTACAATAATAATAACTATAATAACTATAATAACTATAATAAAAAAATAAAATATAAAATATAAAATATAAAATATAAAATTAGATTTGAAGTAAAATCAAGTGAATAAATATTCCACCAATGGCCAATGTCAATATAATAAATAATAGTAGTAATAATACTGGAAGATGTAAGCTTACATATACTGTAGCTTTGCAATTTTAGCATTTTTATTTGATTTCTTTCCTTTCCTTCTTCCTTTCTTTCTTCCTTTCTTTCCTTTCCTTTCCTTTCCTTTCCTTTCCTTTCCTTTTTATTTTCTCTTCTTTTCTTTTCTTTTCTTTTCTTTCTTTCCTTTCCCAATTGATAATATATTGTACAGTCTATAAATCTAAAATTTTGTTGTTTCTTGTCTGTTTGTTTGTTTGTTTTTCCTTTCTTCCTGTGATTGCCTTTTTATTTAATTTACCCAAATATGATTTGACATAGTATACTGTTTTGTTCTAAAAAATTCTCCAAATAATAAAAATAACCGAAACGAAATAAAATGAATTGTAGTTTACTTAATAATGATGGTCTTATAAATATTTCTTGAAATGTTCATCCTTCAACCATCCAACCTTTTCAAAAGCAGCATATAATCTAGATGCCTTATTAACATCTATTCTACAAGCTTTTTGAGCATCAGTTCTTCTGAATTGTTTACCTTGTTTAAATCTTTCAATCTTTTCAAAGAAAAATCTTCTCTTTGAATCTAAATATACAGCAACTGGTAATCTTAAAATTGAAGCCAATACTAATTCAGCTGGATGCAATTTATTACGAAGTGGATCGTTCGATAAATCCATTGGTTGTCCCTTCCATTCAATACGCAATGCCTTAGAATTGTTAGGTGGTAATGTTTCAAATGCATTTGGTGATAAATCAGGAATTGATTCATCAATAAGCATTTGTTGTTGTAAAGCAATTGAAGGACTCTGATTATTTGACAGACGGAATCCAGGAGAAGAAGCAACCTTTCTCTTCTTTGGAGCTGGAGATGAAGATGGTGTGACTGTTGATGTTGGTAATTCTTCAAAATCTGATGAAGAGTCATCTCTAGTTGATTTAATAACTCTTCTGGTTCTAATTCTTTCAAATGTAGAACCCAGCCCATCATTATCAGAGAAATCGGTAGTTGGTTGTTGCTTTCTCTTGGTGTATTTTCTTACTGGAATTGGAGCAGCATAAGATCTTGAAGCTTCAACTGAAGAGATCAAACTATAATTATTAAGAAAATTTTGATGATATGTTTTATAATCAGTAGTTGTTCTAGAATTAGGATATGGATTAATGGTTAATTTATAATCCCTAAAATTTTCAATTTTAAATGGTTGATTTGGATTAGTAGATTTTAAAAATGATTTTTCTTCAACTGTAATAATTGGCTTTGAAAAGGCACCACCAGTATTTAAAGGAACATCATTTCTTTGGTAAGGAGATAATGGTGGAGATAAGATTGTAGTAGAAGTAGATGTTGAACTTGTAGCGGCAACAACTGCAGCAGCAGCAGCTTGAATTTCTTTTTCTTTACCATTTGTAACATCTGGATTAGTAATATTTGATTCTACATTATTTGGAACTGGAGTTGGAGTGAAATAAGACTTTGGGTAAAAATTGGATGTGGTTGGGATAGTAACCTTAGGTTGATATAATTCGTTGGTAGACATCTTTGGAGTGGTTGGAGTACTGGGAGTATTTCTAGTATTTGATTCTGATTGTAAAGTAGGAGTTAAACAGCCTGTTATATCTCTTTGACTAAGTGATTTAGATGAGATAGGATGATATAACAAGGACATATGGGGTAGTTTATAGTGGAGGTATATTCTTCTTTTCTTCTTTGATGTTTATTATTAATTAGTTCTTTACTTAAATTGATTTAATACGAATAAAATTGGATGGGATGGGGTTTTTATATTCAGCTTAAGAGGTAATTCGTTTTGTGTGCCAAAAAAATTTTGTAATTTTTGCAATTGATATGGGGTTTTTTATGTAATAATTTAAATATTATATTATGGAATGAATGTAACGTGCAATTGAAACTCAATTGAATGGATATATAAGGTCAATTCGTTAATCGATACTATTAAAGAAGAACAATTGATGTTGTTATAAAAGTTTTAAATTTTATCTTTATAAAAAAAGGTGATTTTGCATATATATATGATTAAATTTTTTTATATGGCATTTGTTTACAAAAAATTTTTTTAGCTTTTTTTTAAAAATTATTTGAAGTCATTTCTTTTTTTTGTCTTTTTTTGTTAATTAAATGATGACAAGAGCTAATATATAGGAAAATCCGGGACTATATACAGTACCGTGTTACAAATTTAATATAAAAAAGAAATTTATATAATAAAATTAAAAGAAAAGAATAAAAAAAAAGAATAAAATCAACTTGTGTGCAGTATCTCTTCTTACCGAAAGACCGTTTCGTTTCGAGTCACACTATAGCTAAAGATAGTTAGTCATCTCCTTCTAATAAATAGTTTAGCAATTGCGGAACAATTATGGTGCTATGTTCCATTCATAAGCAGATATTTTTCGATTCTGTTAACTTACCACTTCGTTAAGTATTTCCTAAAACCGCAATCGAACTTACTCTTGAAGCTTACTATTGTCAAACCTCTGATAAGATAAAAAAAAAACAAAAGAAAAAAATTGTGAATTATAATGAAAAAGAAATTTAGGTCGTGCCTTTCCATTCAAACGGGTATTTATAATTACTATGTTTGGAAGTAAATAACAACAGATTTCATGTTAGATCTGAGTATCTTATCTGGTTGTGAAGTGTTGGGGTTGCTTATAGAGAATACGCAAACATTGAGATATAATGTTGGCACTTTTACTTGAATCGAATAGATAGCGGCTTTTCTTTGTTCGATGTTAATGTGTCCCCACAAAAGTTAAATATGAAGGGCCACAAAGCAATAAAATATGAGCCCAATCGCTTTTCATTAACTGACAACATTCTTCGGTAGAGTAAAACGCCTGTAATGGTTTAGTTGCGCAGTAAATCAAAGTGTGCACATAACCACATTGACCTGCCAAAGTATTAATATTTACATTACAACACGTACGGCATAACTTGTTGTTTAGATAAGTTAGCAACAGTCATTCAACATAGCTATGGAATATTCGAAATTTTCCATCAGTAAACAGATCATTTACAGTTAAGGTTGCATGCAGGTCTCGGAGCTTCACATGAATATGTCTGCTTCTCTGATACGATGAGGCTTTTGTTTTAAAACATAGTATTGCTTGATTGCAGTAAAGGAGAGTGAGCTACTCTTAATATAACCAAAGTGGTACGATTGAAAGAATCAAAAAAAAAATTGAATAATCCAATATAATGTAGTATACAAACAAAAAATTTTGAAGTGCGTAGTTGACTGCAAAAAATGCAATTATATAAGTTTCTGTTTAAGCTTTCAATCAGAATAGTAGAATCCTAAAAAAATAAGATATACAATTTATCTATTGATTAACAAATATTCTAGTTTTATCACTGAAGTAGGATGAATTAATTGGGCAACCTTTATCACAACATGTATAGACTCATCTCCTTAAGTATGAGCAAAGCTTACACGCACTTCTAACTTTTTTATTTTAGTATACTGCACGACCATGGACATTGCTGCCTTACAAAGAAAAATATTAAGTCAGCTTAAAGAATAGAATGCAAATTACATTGATATGTGGAAAACCAATGCTAAGGCAAAGTTTAGCTTCAACTATGATGAATTTTAAAGGTAAGCTATGTCTAGCACCCATGGTACGAAGTGGAGAGCTTCCCATGAGACTTTCAGCTCTACGTAATGGTGCAGATATAGTATGGACTCCTGAATTGGTGGATAAGAAACTTATTCAGACTACTAGAGTTATAAATTCTAAAATAAATACAGTGGATTATGTATATATTAATGAAAAGCAAAAGAAAAATTCACTTGTATTTAGAACATATCCGGAAGAAGAAAATTCCAAAATAATCCTTCAACTTGGCTCATCAGATCCAGAGTTAGCTGTTGCCGCATCATTAAAAGTTATCGATGATGTTAATGGGATTGATTTAAATTGTGGATGTCCTAAAAACTTTTCTACTCATTCTGGTATGGGTGCTGCATTATTATCTACTCCTGATTTACTTTGTTCTATTCTTAGTAATTTAGTAAATCGAGTTGGTAAACCTCATGGAAAATCAATTAGTTGTAAAATTAGATTACTTGATGATTACAAATCGACTATATCATTAATCGATAAAATTTGTGAAACTGGTATAACTAATTTAACCATTCATTGTCGTAGAAGAGATATGAGAAACAGGCAAGATGTGATTTGGCACTATTTACCTGATATTATACCCCGTATTCAAGCAAAAGGTATTTCTGTCATTATTAATGGTGGTTTATTATCCAATGTTGATTTTAGGAATATGCGCTCATTATTATCTCAAGATGTTGGTGGTATGATTGCAGAAGCAGCAGAATCCAATCCGACTATCTTCAACAAAGATGGACCATCGTTACAGCACGAAGTTGTTTCTAATTTTTTATCTCTCTGCAAAATTTATAATTATGACTGTTTTCCAAATTCGAAATACATGTTGCTTAATCAAATTCCTGGAAAATCTCCATATTATGGTAAAATAGCGAAATGCAAAACCTACGATGATATAGAAAATGTTTTAAATGATTCAGAAAATTTCAAATCTGATAAGTTCTTGTCAAAGATATATATAAAAGATTTGCAACAGAATAAATTTTTCGACTCATTGGTTGATTTCAAAAAATACTTGGAAGATAGAAAGAATAAATGGACAAATTTTCTTGAATCATTTGATGCAAAGGATATTAAAGAGCCAGAAGTATTGGATCCAAGAAAAAGATCTATAGAAGCTGTATCAAGTTCACCAGCTAATAAGAAACCAAAATCAAATTCCGAACCGGTCGTTAATTCTAATACCGTATTATCCACTTCAATTGGATCTAATAATATTGTAGCGTCTTCGGTTATTTCCAATTGAGTTATGTTAGTTATTAATTTATAGATAGTTTTAATGGTAGGTTAATCAACGGTTAAATAGTAAAAATGTATGTATTACATGATTAAAATGTATATATATGAATAATATTTTACACTAATATTATGAAGGGGCAAATGAAGGGTCATAACTATGTACAAAACAAGATGGCAAAAATGGAAATAAGATTTATTGTAAATATCTCTTAATTCCGCACCAAGCTCCAGCAGCTCCAGTAGCCAACACCGAAGAGATAAACATTGGTTTAACACCAGCACTGGCTCTGAAAATTGCACCAGCCAATGCACCAGCACCAAGAGAATTTAAATCATCATGTTTACCTCTAACAGCGTCCAATGTAGAGTCAATAATATTATAAGTCATTGCAATAACACCAGAAGAATTACCTAAGAAAGGACCCCTTTTAGTTATATGATTTAAAATAGTGTTTAATTGTAATTTTGGTGGAGCACCTTTTGGAATATTGTTAATACCTTCTTGTAAACCATATAAACCACCAAAGCCTAAACCTAATAAATAAACTGCCCCAGTACCATAACATAAATCATCACTCCAACTTCTAGATGGAATTATACCTTGAGAACCCTCGACATTGTTCAATTGTTCATCTTCTAAGTCTAAATATTCAATGCCCTTGTCTAATCCAGCCAAAGGATGTAATCTAGACGAATCGAAAATTCCTGGAGCTTTCAATATGTTGGAGACATCAGTAACTGATGAAGGATCAAATCCCAATGTTTGTTTCAATTTTTCATTATTATTGTCATTATTAGTAGAGGTAGCATCTTTGCTAGATTGTGATGATGATGACGATGATCCAAATAACCAAGATGACATTGTGAAATATTTTGATTTATTTGTAAGTATATATATTTAAAGTGATGGTAGTGAGGTATGCCTTGAAATTAATTACAGGATGAAATGAAAATGTTACGAAATGAAAAAAAATCGAAAATAAGCACGATTGATGGGAAGTTGATCTATGGTATCTATTACTATATAGGCACCCCGATCTCTATTTTCCTATCCGTATGATATCAACTTGTTAAGTATTAGTGAAAAATCTTCCCTTGACCGAAAAGATTTTTTTTCTAGCAGTGACCGGTAATTTGCATGTTTTAATCTCTAAACTGGAATGTTTTACATGTTACAAATTACACATTACTTGTAAGTGAGATGAAGCACGTGATTAAATGTTAAAGAATAGGCAATATTTGAGCCGGAGACGACCTAAGATTATATTGTGGTAGAATTGGCTGCAAGTTTAATTACACATATCAATACTTGTAAGAGATTGGCTGTTCATCCACGATGATTGAAAAGTTTTCTCTCTAATTTGGCGAAGGTATAAATATGGGCAATTCGCCTCTATCATTATATAGTTACTACTTTATAAATTAGTGGAAGAAGTTTGTAATATAACTCTCAATTTTGTAAATTAAAAGTTAATATAATCACTAAGGTTAGACTTGTTATTAAGTTTCTGTTAATACTTTACATTTATTTATTTACTCTACAATACAATTGTTAAAAGTATTATATTAATAAATCTATTGGATTAAAGTTGACAAATTTAAATGTATAACTTCGAACGCAAACTCGATTATTAGAAATTCGATTATTAGAAAACCTGAAAGGACAAAACTTTCATGTTTATTCAACATTCCATCCTATCTGGCACCCCTGAGGTTCCTCATTCTTGTCATATATATAATGGAATCCATAAAAAGAAAAACAGCGTAGCTTTGGAAAGTGGCCAATGTTATCTTCTATCCATGTTACTAAGTCTCTGATATTTCCCTCTGCCTCTTTCATAGGCTCCTTGACCTCAGTATAATATAAGTCCATTAAATATAAACCACTTATCTCATTTTCACTAGAAAAATTGTTGATCTTGACAATTTCAAGAGTCGAACCGCAATTCTTAAACAAATCCTTAACTAAGTTGCAATTGGCTTTACAACTGCTTAATGCGTTCTCATTCAATATATCAAGAGAAAACCTCCTAAGCGGAAAGTTTTGTGATTTCAAAGTCTCACTAATTTGTTCACTCATATCATCTATTCTTATAACAAGTGTCTTTATGTTTGGCATATATTTCATCAAGCTGAGAGTGATGTTCTGATTGACAAATGTTGTTTTAAGTTCAAGTTCCTCTATATTTTCACAAGAGATAATCTTCAAAAAGGAGTTTATTATAGGTTTCGTTACGAAATCGTCAATAAACACGATCAACGATTTAACTTTAACAAAGGTTCCTTGTAATTGGTCTAAGATTTCAACAGTTGTATCAACTAATGAACATGCAACTTTCTTGAACAAACCTATAATTTTCGTATTTTTTATACGATCAATATATGCTTGGGAAATATCACGTAAACTAATCCACAATAATTGATAAGATATTTGATTAAATTGATCAGTTGGATGTATAGGTTCCTTGTAGTCATCAATTCTAACGTAATAGTCGTGACCCTCTTGATAAATATCGGTATCAAACTCCTCCCCCATACAGAATTTAAATTTATCCCATGGAATACCCTCGAATTTGTTTAAAATTGTGTAATTTGTATTAGTGAGTGTATTTAATTTTCGACAATGTAATATCTGATGCCATTGTGGGTTTATAAATAAAACTCTCTTGAATAACTTGTTCATACATAACGAGTGAAATCTGGAGTTGGCAAGACATAAAGCTAACACGTCGAATTGATTCAAGTAATCTATGATTTCCACCAATATTTCATCAGGTAAGAATTCTAAACTAGTGATTAATTTCGGTGCTTGTAAAGATGAATTCACACATGCAGTGGTAGATTTTGCATCATTTCTGGACCATATTTCAGCAATAAAACTACAAAACTTATTACAGACTAAACGAATCATAATGAAGCATTGAACTATAACTGAATGAATGGTAATACTGACTGAAAGATTAAGATAATTATTGCCTAATTGTATTTTCGCAATTAACTATGCAATAGAATGCAAAATGAAAAAAATCTAAAGCAAGAACTAGAAAACCGAATTCTGAATTATAGTTAAAGGAATTTTTAATAAAGATTTAAAATGTCTCTCAAGACTATAGGATAAAAGCATATCAGTTAAATATATATTGGTGGCAATTTAATGATATTTAACTTTATCATATTCTATATACATGTATTTTGCAGCTTTATTATCAAGCTATTGTACAAGCAGAGGAACTGAACTACCAAGAAATTGCCTGTAAGTAGCAGGTGGTGCTCTGATAATATGGATCATCGACTTCTATAAGACATATTTATAAACTACATGAGAACAAATCACTATGGTGATATATAAAGCATTTGGTCAATTTGGTTAAATTAGAATAGATTATTTGCATCTTATATTTAGCCTCATGCACGACCTCCGACATTCCAATAATGACGTATCTAATTATACTACTACAGATACTCTTTATTGTCACTTAGCCATTTATATTCCCTCACATCAATTATGTGTGTATCGTATCGATACACTACTCCTTGATTTCCGCTAACTATTTAAGTAAGGAGAATTCCTCCTCCTTTATGAAATAGTTAGGTTTTTATACTCTATCAAATATATACGCTATCAATTATACTATTAATTCACTATCGATTCTAAAGTTCTATAATATCTGGTCAAATCAACTACCTTAACAAACCCCTTCCGTAGAGTAATTGCTAACTTACTCAACCTCTGTCATCACTCTTGTTACAAAACCAAACCACCATATTCTTCAGTCTCAGTATTAGTCTTCCCATTAGAGACATTAATACACCGAGTGCGACATGTTCAACCAAAATACGTAACGTGTAGGAATGATAGAAAAATTGGATGGAATAACTTATCAATTTCTTTTTGCATAGACATTTCCAATTGAGATTGGATCGATCGACCATTTCCATAACGAGTCGGAATGACCTGCAGGCGGCTTGGCTATTCTACCATACAGAATACTTCAGCATTTCCATATTGTTTTCGTCTATCTAAACCTTTACCGAAATGAAAAAGAGATTGCAAATGATGTTAGAGAAAAGACAGTAATGGACATATTTGAAATCTTATTAGCTACTCGATCTCAAGTAAATAGGAGTATCATTATCATTAAGGTCAATACAAAAGTCTATAATCTCTTGAATATAGGCCAATCAGAAAAAATGGTTCATAAACTCTTCCATAATATTTGGATAAAATGGATTAGTCTTTGTTTGGTAACTTATCAACTAGCCGATTAAATGGGAGACTACAGGGAAATGATACCGCGCAAATACCCACAAATGCGATAATACAATATATCCAGGGCTCCACCTCTGAAAGATCAGGGAGTGTACTGTCTGGTTCCTCTAACATTATTGATGGAAAGGGTATAATCAAACAACAATCTGTTGCAAAAAAGTGACATATACTATTTTTTTTTACAGCACTTTTGGCGCTACCATACTACAAACTGAAACACATCGATATAGTCATTTTCTACAATTTACAAAATGTTAAATAACCAATATAGGTGAGAAAGTCTTTTGGCAATAAAAATATGCTTCTAACTTAAATAAATTAAGCATTACTTTGTCTTTTTATATTGGCATAATTGGGTTGTAAATATGGCCCAATTTGGCCATTTCCGTACCTGCATGTAGTCTAGTACCAAAAAGGATCACCAAAACTGGAAAAATTACAATATTTGTAGGTAATTCAGTATAGGGAACTGATAAAGAACTCATATGTTCGGGACATAAAGCTAAGGAAACATAGTTTTAAAACCGTTAGATTCGTATATTTATTAGTTTACTAAATATAACTTAAATTTTATATTTTATTTTTGAATTATTTGATTGACAGTATTGCATTAATTTCCTTAAAAGTATATTACACTAACGAATATCATGAATGGAAACCAAAGTACATTCAAAGATATACCGTCTGATTCAGGAATTCTAAAACCGCAAGTAACTTATGTTGATGATAAGGAAAATATAGAAGATTTTATAGGACGAGAAGTTAAATTAGATAAATATGAAAATCATTCAGCACTTGTAACTTATCACCCACAAATTCAATATGTACCTCCTTTAAATTTTTCATTAGTTGAAGATCAAATATATAGATCTGGATTTCCTATGCCTATAAATTATCCATTTTTAAAACAGTTAGGGTTAAAAACTATAATCTATTTAGGAGATCTTGGACATGAAAAGCCTAAAAAGGAGAAGAAGAAAGAGAAAGAAAAATCTAAAGATAAAGATAAAGAAGGTAAGAAGAAAGATAAACAAAATACAGTTGATACCTATAATAATTACTTAGAATGGATTTCAACTACAGATATAACTTTTCATAATCTTTTGATCGACTCCTCTCAGGAACCATTCAACAAGCCTGAAGAGTATAGACAGGCCCATGAATCATTAACAAAGGCTTTGTACATAATTTTAAATAAAAATAGTTTTCCTATATTAATCCATTCAAATAAGGGTAAACATAGAACAGGTTTATTGGTTGGATTAATCCGAAAAATCCTCCAAGGTTGGTGTATCAGTGGAATATTTGAAGAATATGAAAAATTTGCTATGGGTAAATCCGAATTTGATTTAGAATTCATAGAGTTATGGCAGCCTGAACTATGGATTAATGATGAGTTAAAACCAGATTTTGTAAGAATATGAATTATGATAATAGTATATTAATAGATGTTATATATAGATAATAAATATAACAAAAAGCAATCAGTAATCAGTAATCAGTAATGGATAACAAAGAATTAAAACTAAACTCAAACTAAACTAAAATACTTAAAACTATAGCTATTTATCTTCTAGAAACTATTTTTTAATTCTCTTAGTTTATTTATAACGTCTGAAGGATTAGTAAATCCAGTCTTTTGTTGCACTATAGGATCCAGTAATCTCATGAAGGGATTAAATTCTAATTCATCTCCAATGGTGAATTCACCAGTAGTGAATTCATTATCATTTGTAAACTTTTCTAATTTCTTAAGAGCTTCATTATTCAAAATTGTCTTGGAAAATTTTATATTTGAAGCAGTATATTCATGACCTGAATATACTTTAGTATCCTTTGGTAATTTTCCTAAAATATGATTTAAAGCTTCATTCATTTCTTCTCCAGTTCCTTCAAAGAATCTTCCACATCCACTTGTAAAAAGAGTATCACCAGTGAAAACAGCTTTTTCTTTTGTTTTTGTATCTAAAACATAATAACAAATAGAATCCTGAGTATGACATGGAGTATGTAAAGCAGTAATAGATAAATGATCACCTAAATCAATAACTTCTTTATTTGATGGAGTATAAGTAACTAATGAAGATTCTTTACCAGCAATAATTGGTAAATCAGGATATTTTGAATGCCAACTTTGATTTCCTCCAGCATGATCATAATGATGATGAGTATTAACAATTGCTTTTAATTCAAAATTAGGTTTCTTTTCCTTAATATAATCAGAAACTTCTTCAGGTTCAGCTGGATCAATTAACCATGCATGCTTTGTCGGACTATCAATTAATAAGTAAGCATAATTATTTCCACTACCCCACCTCATAGGAATTGATTCTATATGCATTTTATTAACTAAAACTTTAACAATTCTTCTTGAACTGACCTTTGATTTAACAATTGATCTCGTAAAAAGCATAAACCTTGAAAATTATCTTTTTCCGATTCCCTTCCTTGTTATCTATTATGACTAAACTGGTGTCTTACAAATCTTGAAATATTGCTATCACAAAATTGGGGGTTTTCGGGTATATGCCGGACATTAGTATCCGAACTTTTACATGTACCAATAGATCAACTTCCATAGCAAATCATTAATTATATTAATTTATAATAACTTATTAGAGTATAGCAAATAGTATATACATCATTAGCAATAATTATTAATTGATAATTATCATCAATTAATTGAATTTAAGTGCCCCATTTCTTAGCTACCATACCATCTGGAGGACTAGTTTCAAATTTCTTATCTTTAGCTTCTGTCCAATTAGTAGTTAATACAGTTCCATTAGATTCAACATATGATTTCATCATAGCTCTTCTTGTATCATCATCTACATCCTTATATAATTTTTTAAAGAAATCATTTTCATCTGCCTCCTTTTCATCATCATCAGTAATCTTAAAGTTTGCCCAATTAACTGCCTTTTTAGATGATGATGGATAAGATAATGGACCAGTATTGGAAGAAGTATCGGTTGTATTTGTTATTACTGGTTCATTAGAAGTAGTAGTAGTAGTAGTAGTAATTATACTTTCTTCTTCATTTCCCAGACCTTCTAAAGTATGCCATTTCTTTTGCACTTTCTTGACAAGATTTATTTCTATTTTAGTTCCATAAATTTTGTAGGATGATTTAGTTTGATCAATTTCAGCATATAAAGGATCTAAATTATAACTATATTCGGAACTTGATGAACTTGGGAATGATACTGAAACAGCATGAGAATTAAATTCTATATTCAATTTTTCTTCTTTAATACCTTTAGCATAAATAGTAATAATTACTGTATCATTAGTTTGATACCAATCATCTCTAATCTTGATTTTTAATGGTGCTTGTTGATTAATTACATCAATACTGGTTGATGGTTTATCAGATATATCCTTAATTTCTTCAATTTTAGGTATATCCTTAACATCAGAAGATATTGGTTCTGTTTGCTTTATTCCGGCAAGTAAATCCAATTCATCTTCTTCCTCTTCATTTTCATCTTGTTGAGGATTATTTTTCAATTCAAATTCACATTTAGCTTTCCACATTTGATATTGTGTGTCATTCTTATTGATGGCAAGAGCTTTTTCAATTTGATCTAATGCCAACTTATATTTCTTTTCTAAAAAGTAAACATTCCCCAATCTAAAATAACTTAAGGCAATATCATCTCTTTTACCTCTTTCTTCAGCTATAGTATAAGCTGTAGATATATCCTTTTTAGCTTCATCATAATTTTTCAATCTTATATATGCACTCGCTCTATGAATTAATGCTTGGAATGCTTTAGGATTTGTCTTAAGAGCCGAAGTAAAATGGCCAATTGCTCCAAGATAATCACGATTTACTAAGGCAGTTTCACCTTTCTTAATATCTACTTCAACTGTCATTTTGTTGGTCAATAAAGAGAATAATATGATACGCCAGTAGTTGGAAACAAATTGGTATTTAATGATCTCGCTAAGTTATAGAATGGTCTAGAAACATCTCTACCGCAATAACTAAGTGTGCAAGTTGCCGCATTAGCTTACTGCAAATTACTATATATATTTAATATTACATTCCTATATATATACATTTATATACATTTACATTTTGGAAACTATTAGTTGGACTAATTACCAAATTCTGTCTAATAGTTTAAACTTACTCAGAGATCTATTTCTATGTTCAATGTTTGGTAAACTTATCCACATGATTAACATTGAAGAATATAAGGCAATAAAAACAGGCAAAACAACAAAAGTACCAACTTTTTGAGATAATAGACCAACAATAAATGGGAATAATGCACCACCAGATGATCCAAATGCCGTCATTATTGTTAAAGAAACCACTTGAATCTTACGAGGTAATAACCCTTCCAGAGCACTATACATAATAAGTAAAGAATAATTTGGACCAATTGCAATACCAGCTAAAGCAACAAGAACTGCTTCAGCAAATAAATTTGGTATACCCCAAACTAATGCAACCATTATTATGGATATAATTGAAACAATAATCACACCTCTTCTTGCCCCTAAATAAATATGTAATGGACGAGTTAAAAGTAATCTTCCAAGAGTTAATCCACCCCATAAACCTGAAGCTGCATAACCTACAGTATTAATATTCCCCTTTCTATAATCTAAGAAGAATGTAACAATCCAACCAGCCAATGAAACTTCTGAACCCTGATAAAATAAGCAAAAGAATGCAATTAACCATGTATTTTTATTTTTCAATGCTAATGTCATATCACTTGGTTCTTGTACTATAGACTCTGATGAATCTCTTTCAACTCGATCTTGTAATTCTATAGTTTCAGGTTCATCATAATCCCATTTTTTTAAATCTTCATCTGCTCCTTTAAAAGATATAAAGAGAGCTATTCCATTCATTATCATAAGACCCAAAAGGAGTAAATAAAAAAAATGCCACTTAATTCCTCGTGAAACCATTACGGTTGCAAGTATAGGAGATACCGTTGCTCCAACTCCATAAGCACCATGTAAAAACGATAAATATTTAGATGCTTTATCAAATCTAGCAGTAAATACATTACTTTGAGATAAAACAGTTGCAAATCCAGCTCCACCAAAGAAGAATGCAATAACAATTATAGGAAATTTTGTACCACTAGATACAAGGGCATACATAATTGTTTGAGATGCACAACCTAAAACCAATGACTTTCTTTTACCAAACCAAGGTTGAATTTTATGAGAAATTGCAGCAATAAATATAAATCCAAGTGCATTACCAATCCAAATACATGATGTAACAGCATATGAAGTACCATAATATGCTTCAATATGAGGTAATAATGCACCGGGAGTAGCATCACTAAATCCACCTGAAAAACTCCAAAACACACAAGCTGCTAATCGATAAAGATTTCTAGATGGATTTGATAATGTCATCTTTTTCATAGGTAATTGTTGCTCTGGTATCTCTTCTATATAAATTGGATCATTAACCATACGAATTTCAGTAGTAGACATGGTTGATTCCATCGGTGGTCTACTGATTACCCCAATAATTGGGACTACATCCTTTTGCAGAGTGTCGATTTGATTATTTGTTAGTGTTTGAGATGGCATTTTACATTCTACTAACAGGAATACCTCCTTCAATCTATAAGTATATTACTACAAAAGTATTTGTACAATCGGTCATGTCGGGGTTGATGTGGGGGATTTCTGGGGGAGGGTATTTTTTTTTTGTCATGAGCATTAGTATAAATTGCTACTGTACTACACTTAAACTATTCTAATTGACTAATATACATTTATTAATTATATGCTATTGGTAAATAAGTAGATTAAGAATCTCCAGCGGCTTGAACCAAATCTAAGAATTTTTCCTTTGAAATTTCATTCATAAGTTCTTCCTTCTTAGTTCTACCAACCTTTTCTTTACTAATTTCTTGATTGGTTTTAATTTGAGTAGATAAAACTGCATTAAATAATCTTACTACCCCCTTTTGAGCTACCTTCTTTAACTTTCTTTCATGTTCTAAAATTTCTCTAACTTTTTCTGGTTGATCAGCACTTGGTAATAAACTTTTAATTCTATATTTATCTTGTAATTGTTTCTTTTCTGATAAAATGGCATTTCTAGCTTTATTTTCAAGTTTATCTGATTCTAGTTTCTTTAAAGTTATCTTATTTCTTGCTAATATTGGATCTTTTCTATTGTGTGCTTTTAATTTTGATCCTATAATAGCACTAAAAGCATTGGCAAATGATTCAGAACCATCATCAAGATTCTTTTTCTTTTTCAACTTTGGAAAATTCTCTTCTCCTTCGTCTTCGTCTTCGTCTTCGTCTTCATCTTCATCTACGTCTTTGTCTTCACCTTCATCAGAATCTTCATCATTGGAATCAGATGAGACATCCGCAACATCGACTTCGTCATCAAGTTCGAGATCGGACAATCCAGCTTCCTCTTCTTCATCAGAATTATCTTCTTCACTATCGAGTTCTTCTTGGTCTCGTATATTTTCTTCTTCACTAGAAACTTCCTCTTCTTCACTGTGATCTTCTTCCACCGTTATCTTGGCCTTTTTAACAGGCAAATTCTTTGACTTTGTTGGTTTTTCTAACCGTTGTTTCTTTAAGGCCGGTCCCATTATATAGTTCGGAAGTTATTTGTTTTATAAATATATGAATCTAATAATAATAGTACTACTAACTATTGCTTAATTATATCCATCTCATCTAGTAAATTATCTGAAAAATTTAGTATACAGGACATTGACTGGAAAATGTCGGTCCTTTTTTGTTGTATGTATTTCTGATTTTTGCAAACACAATGTCGCGGCTCTCAGCTCCCCAAACGCGACATAATTGCGACCCTTTTACTAAAAATGTAAACATATAGGTTTTGAAACTGTTTACATATTGTAAGAGATTTGTAAGAGATTTGTAATAAAGTTATATGGGATGGAATATCATGATGATAATGTTGACCAGAATGGCAGCAATAACAATAGTATCAAACAACAGGAATTAATAGAAATTTCTAGTGTACTACGACGTACATCTGAACTGAGCTTAAATAGTTTAGAAAGTATTAATGAACCAAATCGAAAAAGATTAAAAGTAATGGAACAAACCAAATATTCAATGTATAATGATTTCGAAGATACGGCTATTTTAAAGAAACGAGAATCATTAAATTATAGAAGACAACGTATTTCTGAATTAAGATCAAAGATATCTACTTTAATTACTAAAAAGGAAGAACATGAATTAAGGAATTATGAATTAGAAGAGAAATATTCTAGCTTAAAAAAGGGATTAGCATTAATTGAAAGTCAAATAGAAGAAATTAATGATATAGGACAATCATCAATGGAAAGACTTCGAGAGAAATTGGTTGTAGAAAAGAAAGCAGCTCGAGCTAATCATGATCAACAAGTAAATAGTATGAAAGAAAAGTATACAGCTGAAGCTGAAACAATAATAAATAAATATGAACAAGAATATGCAGAAAAATTAAAGACTTTAGTAGCTCAATCAAATCATTTAAAGGGAGAGATTAAATCAGAAGATCAGGAACATAATAGAAATTTAATTAAATTAAAAGAAGATTATCATAAGAAACTTATACTGGAAAGTACAAAGATTGATGAAAATATACGACATATTAAAGATAAATTGGTTAATGAAGAATTAGAAATAAAGAGAAAAGCTATTGATTATAAGAATACTGAAGATATTTTAAAAAATGACTTAACCAGTACTAATACTAGATTAAATGGACTTTATTCACAAATACTGTCTAAGTTTTCAAATAAAGAATCAGAAATTGATTTATTACGTCATACAATAATCAATAAAAAGAATCAAATTGATGAAATCACCAGTAATTTCAACTTAAAATCTAATAAAATTACTGAACATAAACAAAAAGTTGAATTAATTAATAAGAAATTAACTAATTATGAAAATAAAAGAAGATATTTACATAATAGACTTCAAGAACTTAAGGGAAATATTCGAGTATTTTGTAGAGTTAGATATGTTCCTGAATCAATTGATAAATTATCATTAATTGAAATAGCTGATGATGATATTAATGAGAATGCTAATCAAGAAATTATTATATCAAAGAATCAAGATGATGGATCTAAATATTCCAACTCTTATGGTTTAAGTAATATAAACAATAATTCATATACTTTTCAATTTGATAAAGTATTTAATATGAATAGTACTAATGCTGGTATATTTGAAGAGATATCTCAATTGATTCAATCTTCATTAGATGGTTATAATGTATGTGTATTTGCTTATGGACAAACTGGTTCTGGTAAAACGTATACTATGTCTCAACCACAAGATGGAATGATTCCTCTTTCACTTAATAAGATATTTGAAGATATTGAAGATTTAAAACTGAAAGGTTGGTCATATACTGTTGAAGGTCAATTTATAGAAATTTATAATGAAAATATTATTGATTTATTAACTCCTAATGGAATTAATGGAAAATATGAAATTAAACATGATGATATTGAGAATAAAACCATTGTTACCAATGTTCAAACTATTCAATTAAAATCAGAAAGTCATGCTAATAGTATTTTAGAAACAGCTACTAGAAATAGATCAACTGCATCTACAAAGGCTAATGATAGATCATCTAGATCCCATTCTATTTATATATTTAAATTACAAGGAATAAATTCGGCAAAGGGTATTAGTTGTCAAGGTACATTAAATTTAATTGATTTAGCAGGATCGGAAAGGTTAGTATCATCTCAAGCAAAGGGTGATAGATTAAAGGAAACTCAAGCAATTAATAAATCTTTATCATGTTTAGGTGATGTAATATATGCTTTAGGTCAAAAGCAAAACAATGGTGGTCAACATATACCGTATAGAAATTCCAAATTAACATATCTTTTAAAGCATAGTTTAGGAGGGAATTCAAAGACATTAATGTTTGTTAATGTATCTCCTTTACAAAAGAATTTGAATGAAACTATTAATTCTCTTCGATTTGCCACTAAAGTGAATACTACAAAACTTCAGCCTAGTAGACCCAGCTCAAGATAGGATAGAAAATAGAATAGTTTGGTTTATAGAAGAATTTAATAAGACTATAGTTTGTATTGAGTGTCTAATAATTGCATATATACAAGTAGTAACAAGCTATTAATCTGTTTGTCCAGCAATTAAATTATGTGAAGGCATATAATTAGATGCACCAGTCAATAAACCAGAATTAACAGCCTCTTGCCATAATTTGGGATAGTTGGATTCTGCCCAATTTGATAATTTCCTTTGCCCAGCCTCTTCAAAGCAAAAATTATTTAGAGCAATTAAGATATCTGTAGTCATAAGTAAATCATAATCATCCATTTCTTCAATTAATTCAAAAGTTTCATCAACATATCCATGATATACATGAGCAATTAAATATTGTTTATACATATCATGATTAGGTATAATTTCAAATTGTGATAAATTATTCCAAAATCTTTGTACATAAGCAAGATCTCGATAAGTATATGCCTTTATCATAATTTGAGCTGTTTCTTCATTAACTCCTCCATATTGTTTTGGATTTGAAGTCATAGTTAAAAATAAATCTCGAGCTCTTGCAACATCTTGTAAATTTGCAAAAGCATTTAATATACTATTTTGTAATTGAATATCTTGAGTATCTAATTTAGTATCTAAATTTAAATATGAATATAATTCATTTATACCTTCTTCATATAAATTATCTCCAAATATTTTAAAGAGATACATATAAATTTCTCTCAGAGGTGGTAGATGATCAAACATTTCACTCTTTTGTCTTATTCTACGGAATATTAATAATGCTGCATTAAATCTTCCCTTATTACAGAAGAATTCTATAGCAGGTAAATAATCTTTATAAGGAATATTAAAATATCTTTGAATTTCTCCATATATTACCCAATTAGTTTCAAATGTTTCTTCATTACAATAAGTAATTGCAAATTCATGTAATTGCTTAAATAGATGTAAATATTTTATACCATACGGCTTCTCTATAGGTAATCTTATACTTGAATATTTATCTATAGTTGGTAATTCTCTTTTCAACATTTCAATTAAATCTCCTATAAATTCAGCTTGTAACATCTTATTAGAAAGAGCAGTTATGGCTTCAATATTACAAGTTCCCGGTATATGTTGTTTAATTCGAGTGAATATAGGGAAAATATCAGAAATATTATCATAATGTTCACATACTAATATTATTAAATCATTTAATGTTTTAAATATAGCAGGATTAGAATCAGAATGCCATTGTATAGTATAAATTTGACTTTCATCAAATATATCTAATGCTTCTTGACAATCCTTGGTTTGTATAGATTTATCTATTCTGAACTTAAATGATTCAGCCGAGAATTCTATATGATGTTGACTTCTAAAATATTTAGTTATGGCATGAACAGTCTCACTATTGGGTGATACTATAGATGTACTAATACATTTCATAATTTTAGTATAAATATGATTCATATCCAATTCATTCAACTGATTAGTGGTGGCATCTTCAACGGCATATATTATAGCTTCAGACATATCAATATCTTCTGGTAAATCAGAATGGAGTATCTTGTAAATATTAGCCTGTAATCTCATCGTGACACTAAATTTAACATCATTCATCATAATAAATTCTGATAATTGAGTAGAGAGATCACTGAATTGATCATTACTCCAACATGTATATAATATATTTTCACATACACTCTCATTCTCCAAATCTTGTTGGAATATAGCATCCTTTATTATATCATGGTTTTGATTACGACTATTGTTCATTAATTGATTTAATACAGTTAACACTGTATTTTTTAATTTGATATCATTATTAGCTGAAAGTAATTCAATCGCAAAGGAAATGAGCTCTATTTTGATTTTATTGGATATATCAGGTTTTATAGTTGAAAGCATTTGCCATGTCATATACTGAATTCTATCTATACTTCTTTCAAGACTCTTATATGGGTGAGTAGTAGGGGCACTTTCTTGAAATAAGAATTCTATGAATTGTATGAATTGGGTATAATATGAATCACCTAATATATTGGCAGATGGGATTTTAATTGAACTTGATAATAAGATTTCAAATATGTCCATTACGGTCTTTTCTCTAACATCATTGGCAATTTTTTTTTCATTTTGGTAATAGTTTAGAAGTTCATTAGTAAATTCAGGTGAGATTTCATCCTTTTTACTTATTATTAAACTATATATTACCGTCTCAAGGTCTCGAAGTGTAGCACCAAGATCGATAATTTTTGAAAATATTCTCATGGGAATTTTATTTATATCTGATTTTGAAAAGATTTCTATTAACATAACCATATATTTAGGTAACTTGAATTGTGGTCTTTTCACTTGTTTGTTCGTTTGGATTTCTATTTGGTTTTGAATATTGTCTTGTTCAAGGATGCTTGTGCATGTGAGCTCAAATAACTTTATGAGAGTTTCTATGGGATAATAGTCTAGAATATGAGCTCTTTGTTTTCTGATAGAGGTTTGAATCTCTCCGAAGATTTTATCGAGTATTTCAATCTCTGCTGAAGATATTGTATGAGTATGTTGTATATAAGTATTAAACTTATTGGCTAATTTCTGATTTTTCACTTTTAATTTGCCTGGTTCTCGTAACAAATGTTTAAGTTCTTCTAACAGATTTTGGGTATTTGATGTTTCTGGAACCTCTATAGATGGTTTTGATGTTTTTGACTGTATCAACTGCATTGTTCCTTTGGTATTGAATTTACTCAATGGATTATACCATGATCTTTGTCTTGATTGGTATATCATAGGAGTTAAGGGCCGTAGACTCCATCCCAAACCCCAATAATTCCCGGTTGAACTGATACATCCAACTCCAGGAGCCCTGCCAAGCACTATATGTCTACTTCGCATTGGTTGTCTCCTTATTTACAGTGATAGTGGGGTCTAGTTAACTATTTCTAAGGCATTAACCAGTAATTTTTCAACTATGGAGCAGAGAAAAAAAAATAGTGTGCACAAAATAGGAAATGGATGGAGTAGAAATGGCTGTGAAATATCAAAAAGAGTCTAAACTGAATTATTATATAATTATTAAATTAAATTATTAAATTATTAAATTATTAAATTACATGAACAATATATTACTTCTTACTATATACATTTTAAAATTGTCTGTCATTAATGTGATACCATTATTAGTCCTTAGGCTTTGTTGGAGAAAAATCAGGTAAATGCAGTTGTAATCTTCTAATAGCCCAATTTAAACCAGAAAATTTAACATCTGGATCACTCATTCCTTCAGTTGATGTAAATATTTTCCAAAATTTTGGATCTTTAAATCTTGGATCTTCTGGTTTAAATACTCCAAGTGATTCTCTTATAGATAATACTGCTTCTCTTAATTCAGCTGCTAAATCTGATCTAATTTTTTGAGCTTTTTTACCTGTTTTTAATTCTTCGGTGAGATCAGTAGGATTTTTTGGATCTATATATTTCTTTACCAATTTTCTCCATTTTTCTCTATATTCTTCTATTTTAAAATCTGGAAATTGTTCTCCAATACTGATATGAACTTCTGCTCCTAAATTATCTGGTAACCATCTTCTAAATCCTCTATCTTCGGTGGTTTCAGGAGCAATTTTTTCAAATCCAAATGCAAATACAGGAACTACAACTGGTGCTCTAGTACTTTCCAAAATAAGACGGGATACACCCCATTTGAAATATCTCATTGAATTATGATGAGGCTCTTCAAGTTGTAAAACAAATCCTTCAGGGAAAATGTGAAACCATGAAGTTTTCGATCGTATAAATGGAGATTTAGACATTAATACATTTGTAGATTCAGGTGATGGTTTTATAAATTTAACCAACTCTTGAGAATTTTTTGGTTTAGGACCTAAATTATTAATCTCTTGTAATAAGTTTGGCTTTTCAATATCTTTAACTCCCGGAGTAAATTCAAGATCCAAAGTATCATCGGGGCTTAAAATTCTAATGGCTGCATCTAATGAACCTTGAAAAGGACCTTCACCAAATCTTTTAGTACCTAAAATCTTTCCTAAATTGAAGAACCATGATTGAGCTAAATTTGAGAAACATACATTATGAGCTCCAAATCCCCATCTAATATCATCAACATGTAAATGAAATCTCATTGGTAAGGCTGCAAAGAATGTTGGATCATCTACTACAGACATATGATTCATCACAGTTAATAATGATCTTTTCTCTTCCCTTGCCTTAGTTAAGGCAACATCTAATTTTTCTATATTATGCAATCTTGGTTTATACAATACATTTAAAAGTAGCTTCGACTGCAAGATCATAGCTAAGCAAGTAGCATGAGAAGCATAATTCCAAAATGCTGACCGTCTAGGATATTCGGAAAGAAAGTCGTCACCTCTTTTCAACACATCTTGAAACGACATCTTTAGTTTAACCTATCTCCTGCCCTTATAAAGAAACAGCACAACGCTTCTTACCTTAAACTGATGTAAATGACTATTTTCTCCAGGATTTTCAATAATTTTTTTTTTTGGGTTCAAAAACGTTTTTCAATTTTTTGTCGTGCATAGTACATCATCATAGTTTGCAGCACGTTGTTTCTTATATTCTTATAACGTAGTCTTGAAGATTTGTTCAAATGTGAGTCTGCTATCAATTTGTAGATGAGTTTTATCAAGTGGGACATCTTCTTTACTCTTGGGAATTTGAAAGCCTGACTTCATTACTTCATCAACTCTGGGTAAATATTCATGCAACATAAATTCTGTGAAACCTTGTACATGACTTGGTTGTACTTTATAATGTAACTGTTTGGAAGTAAGATAACCATCAGCTAGATTTGATTTAGATACCTCCTCTATAGTTTTCAGTTTAAAGTCGTAGAAATCATTTTCATGGATGTGTATTGGATGGTAGGGGTCGAATCCTAGTTCACGATATAAAGTTGCAAATTTATTATTAATGTATGGTGTACATCTGTACATATCATAGGACATACATTGCAGTTGAATAGATCTCTTTAATAGCATCTTGAATTTAATGTCTTTCCATTCCAAATATCTCAGGTCGTCTATAATATCTGTAGGATCAGTAGATGTCATACTTTTGTGAATAGATGAAGATTGATCAAAAGCGCTATTGAAGCTAATGTAAAAATATCCAGAATATAAATCCTTGTAATCAGGTACTTCAATGTTAGCAGGCTTTCTTGCAGGTTTATATTTCACTAATCGGGGTTCCTGTTGTGGTGTTTGGTTAACCAGTGGCATTTTAGTGGTAGTGTTCTTACCCGCTAGTAGTAACAAATTTTTTAAAAATTTTAATTTTTGCAATTTTCTTTCTTATGATATTTTCTCTTATCTTCAACCTAATTATAAATAATGAGTCTGGGTGAGTCAAACCAAGATATAGGAGACTTATTCAAAGATGCATTCTTATATTGGACCAGAAAACCAATAGATCCATTCAAATATAAGAAGAACCAACGAGTAGAAGAGCTTATGAAAATGTTTGAAGTTTATAATACTTACACTGTCAACTCTGAAGAGGTACCTACTGATACTTGGTTACTAGAATTAATTCTCAGATCCGATTTAAAACTTTCCCAAATTCAAATAAAGACAATTTTAGGAATAGACTCTACAAATGAAACTCATAATCTAGTATTCGAATTACTTCAATCTTCAATTGCCGCTGTTGTCAAATCTTTGGTCACAACTGTTGGTTCTACTAATTTATCAGAATATCCATTAACTGAAATTAAATATATTATATATAAAATAGCTGTCAATTTCCAACCCCTCTTCTTTGTTCCAGTAAAGGATAAATTCCCCATATATGGTTCAACCGTTAGGCTCGCTCCTATATATACATTTACTAATTCAAATCCATCATATCTAGAAGTTGTTAATACTATTAATACTGATACTATTACTGCAGGAGTTAATAAACCCCAATGTGAAATAATAAGATATCATGATAGATTTAATCAGATGTGGTTATTATTCATTATGTTTAAATCAGAAATGGAAAAGTTAAAGGTTAATGAAATGAATCCCAGGCGCTACCAAGTTTTTGCAGCATCTCGATCCTGTACATAGTTCTTAACTATGGGAAATTTTTTTTTTTTCACTCATCTCATCCTAATAAATCAAAAAAAATGCCTGAAGACTACAAATGTATATTACTTATTGAATAAATTAATTTAACACACAAATTACAACCATGGCTAAGATTAAAAAGAGAGGTGCTTCAGGTAATGCTAAGAACTTCATTACCAGAACTCAAGCAGTTAAGAAGTTGCAAGTTTCTTTAGCCGATTTCCGTAGACTTTGTATCTTTAAAGGTATTTATCCAAGAGAACCAAGAAATAAGAAGAAAGCTAATAAAGGATCTACTGCGCCAGTAACATTTTATTATTCAAAAGATATTCAATATTTATTGCATGAACCGGTCTTAGCTAAATTCAGAGAACATAAGACATTTGCAAAGAAATTACAAAGAGCTTTAGGTAGAGGAGAAGTTAGTGATGCACAAAAATTAGAACAAAATCGTCCAAAATATACTTTAGAACATATAATTAAGGAAAGATATCCTACCTTCTTAGATGCTTTAAGAGATCTTGATGATCCTTTAAATATGTTATTTTTATTTGCTAATATGCCAGCCACTGATAAAGTTAGTCATAAAGTTACTAAAGAAGCTGAAAAATTATGTAATCAATGGCTTGCTTATGTAGCTAAAGAAAGAGTTCTTAAGAAAGTATTTGTATCTATTAAAGGTGTTTATTATCAAGCCAATGTTAAAGGTCAAGAAGTAAGGTGGTTAGTACCATTTAAATTCCCAACTAATATTCCAACTGATGTAGATTTCAGAATTATGTTAACCTTTTTAGAATTTTATTCTACTTTATTGCATTTTGTTTTATTCAGATTATATAATGATGCTAATTTAATTTATCCACCAACAATTGATATTGAAAAATTGAAAGGTATTGGAGGTATTTCATCTTATGTTTTACAATCTAAAGAACAAGGTGTTAATGCATTATTACCAAGTGAAAAGAAGGAAGAAGAATTAGATAATTCTGTTGAAGGAAAAGAATTAACTACTGAAGAAATTAGTAGAGCTATTGAAGCTGATGAAGATCAAGGTGAAGAAGAACAAGAAGATCAAGATGATGAAAATGTAGAAGAAGCTGATTTAGATCAATTTGAAAGTAAAAATAAGACAACTGGTGATTTATTAGCTCAACCTTCTAAATTTGCTTCACCAACTTCTACATTATTTTCTAAATTTATATTCTTTGTTGGTCGTGAAGTTCCATTAGATATTTTAGAATTATGTATTGTTTCTAGTGGAGGATCAATTATTTCCGAAATTGCATTGGATGATTTAAAGATTAATAATCCAGAAGCTTTTAAAAAATTGGATTTATCGAACATTACCCATCAAATTATAGATAGACCAAAATTAAATCAAAAAGTTCCAGGTAGAACTTATATTCAACCACAATGGGTATTTGACTGCATAAATAAAAGTGAATTATTACCTGTTAATGATTACGCACCGGGTGAAACTTTGCCTCCACATTTATCTCCATGGGGAGATGCTGGTGGATATGATCCAGAAGCTCATAAATCTAATGGAGAATCTGAAACTGGAGAAGTAGTGGAAGAAGAAGGTGAAGAGGAAGAAGATGATGATGATGAAGAAGGTGAAGAAGATGATGATGAAGAAGAAGAGGATGAAGAAATTGATGAAGAAGAAAGAGAAGAACTTGAAGCACAAAAGGAATTAGAAAGAGAAGTTGCTGGTATCAAATATTCCGACACTACTAGTGAAGAAACTGCTTCAGCCAAGAAATCTAAAGGTAAGAAGAGAAGTGCTGAAGATGAAGAAAAGGAATTGAAGAAGATTATGATGACCAACAAGCAACGTAAATTATATAAGAAGATGCAATATGGTATTGAAAAGAAGGAAGCTAGACAAGATGAATTAGCTAAGAAGAGAAGAAAGATTGAAAAGACTAAAGCTGAATTAACCAAATTAAACAAGAACAAGAAATAGAAATACAAATAGGAATAGGAATACAAATAGTTTAAATCTTACCTATGTAAATTAGTACCAGTTGACAATGTATATATAGTTAATACACTTTAAGTAATACCTTTAGGGATCTGCTGCTTCTGTAGCATATAGCGATTTTTGTATTTTTGTATTTTTTCTAGGTGCGAAATTTATCCCCTACACTACATTTTAGGTGAAGTTAATCTCCTCTCTCTATACTATTTCGTACCAACTTCAGTCTTCAGTATGTTGCGAAGGGGTATTAGACTGTTTAGTATATCAATAGGTACTTGTCAGAAGGCAAAAGTATCACAAGAAGTTTTATCGCGGGATGAGATTCTGAAGTTGTTGAATACTCCTACTTGGAAGGTAGGAGATTTGATGAAGACCACTGAGGAAGATATACAAGATGTTAAAGTTGATTCTAGTATAATACGAAAGATGCTCAAACTTTCTGGATTAAAAGAAGATGTTCTGCCTGAACGAGAAACCGAATTAATACGAGCATTAAAATTGCAGATGGGTTTTATTAAGAAATTGTATGGAACAGGTGAAGAAATGAGTGTTCGGGGGAAGAAATCTAATGATACGAATTTTAGATTGATGGCGGAGGATCATAAGCCAGATACTCCATTGACATTGGATATATTACTTGCTGAAATTGATGCCTTACCCAATAAAGTTGATCCTGAAAAGGGAGAGTTTACATCGTCGATTGATATTAAAAAGTTAAGATCAAGCAACAATCCTTTATTCAGTTCAAAATCAATAGAGAAAGTATGATTCATTGATGACTATAGTTTACGACACTACTTGTATATAAAAACGTATATTTCATTATCTTTTTAATGGTACTCTAGAATCCATAAACATTCTATCGGGAATTTCTAATTTAAAGAGGTTCTTCAAGAAATCTTGTAACTTTAATAACTCTTTTGATCCTTGACTTATTTGTTCTATATCTGTTGATTTTGGAATATTAATGTATGTTCTAATTTGGAAAGTATTAGATTCGTCTAATAGTTTTAGTTTAATCTTTTGATGTTGTTGTTCTTGAGCTGCAGCTGCATGACTATCATCTCTTATGAAGATTTTAAAGATTTCAATGACAATATCTCCATGAAAAAATCTAATCCCCTTAATCCAGTACTGGTTAACTACTCCATATCCGAGATTGTCTAAGAATAATAAAAATGAATCCTTTCTACCCACTAAATCTGGATCATTGGATATGTTAGATGACCCTTTGGTCATAGTGGTATCTTCATTGTCTTTCATTTCAATATCTTCCTTTGATTCTGGTACTGGTGGTTCTGCTGGTGGTGGGGATGGAGCTTGTTCTTCATTAATCCTTGCATGAACATGTATTAAAGTACTTTCATATATGGTTTGAGCACTGCATACTTGATTTTTACCTGCTATTGGAATATCAGATATCTGTAATGTCCAAGTTCTCTCTACTTCTTCATTACCACTGAATAATCTATCCACTAATACTATACTATTTTCATCTGCTCCAATGATTGGTTTTGCTATATCAAGATTTCTTCCACTATCATCATCCCAAGTAGTTATACATTTCATATAATACTGTTCTATTTGATTAACTTTACCTGGTTCAAATTTAGGTTTAAATACATATGTTGGTTTAGTCACTAATGTATAAGTAGATATAGGTTGAGGTCGGAGTAATCCTGTCATGGCCTGAAGTGTAGATATAGTCTGTACATACTTACTGTGTGGAATTGATGATACCAATGATAGTTGATGAACCATTGTTACTGCAATTAGTTCATATATGTTATGTTGTGCTGTGGATTGATCAATACAGATAGTACGGTGGGATAAACAAACTATTCCATAGTTAAGATTTTTTTCAGTGCTATATTGGAAACTACACAGCAATGCAAAATACTATGTAAATTAAATATTATACAATTATACAAGTAAATAGAAAAGTTATACAGGAAATTATACAAGATACTATATGTATAGGGAAGAATTACCTCTTCTCTTCAGTAATTGAATTTTCACCTCGATTTCTTACTCTCACCTTTATCGTCCACTTCGGTATTACTAGTATCCTCCATGAATGCTGCTACAACATAACCTATTAATACGATATTTGCCACTGCAGCTGCTGCACCACCACTGAGTATAGCATTATTTCCAAAGAGATATTGAACAATAAAAAATGTAGTTATGGGGAACACTATCATACCAGCCGTGAAGAAAACCAACTTGTTGATCACTGATCTACAATTAGAATTAGAATTAATTAGTAACTTAACTTAAACAACCAAAATATGAAATGAATAAATACTTACTGAGGAATATCGGGACGTCCAGCCATATTGAATAAACTCTTATATTGTACTGGAACTATACGATAATTACTAGATACTTTTGAATTATAACATTGGCTGTTTGCATTAGGTATGGGAAAGCTGTTAACTATGGGAATTCAACGGGACTGCACACAGGACCCCTCCTTCCCTCATACAAATTAATTTTATCATCGACAATTTTAAAATGAGCAGGGGACACAATTGGTTAATCCGAATTCCTTTATCAATTGACACTTGTAGTTGTTAGATAATATGAAATTTGGTGGCTTGCACTTGGTAGCCTCAGTGTTGGCATTATCCGAGGGAGTAGTTGGGTTTTCAGACACTGCGTCTTTCTATTCTTCTATTAAGTTGAATGGACAATTCGACTATATAACAGAAGCTTCTGTCCTTTCAAGATCTATACAATCAGTTACTAATAATGTTTGTCGTGATAATGAAAGATTAATTATATATAGAGTCAAGGGATTATCTCATAATGGTGGTATATTACCAGAAGAGTCATCATCATCTCCAATATCATTTATAAAGCATGTTCACTATAATTCACCAAATGAAATTGACTTTGAAATAGGTGAATCATGTAATCAAGATAGTATTAAATACGTTAATGATATTAATAGTATTGAACAATATCTGAATCCAATAGTCATTGTGGATGTTGAAGATGATCATCATCATAAAGTTGAAGAATTCTTAACTCATCCAAGTAATATTAAAGTCATTGTTCAAGGTAAACCTAAATTCCATTCTAAGACTAAATTAAAGGATTTAGAACGTTTAATTGAAGATAAATTATATGAACATTTGAATATTGACATTGCTTCTGGTAGCAAGACTACCAAGAGAGATCAAATTGATCATGAAGAAGAAGATTTTGATAAAATTATAGCAGAAGTAGAAGAAGATTTTAGGGCTGCTGAATCATTTATTGCTGAAGAAGGTGATTCTGTAGTAAGTATTTTTGATGATGAGGGGGATGTTGAAGCCACTGAAGATCAAATCATCACTCCAAAAGCTACTGGTTCTAATCTTTTCACTAATTATCAATTCTTTTCATCAGGAATATGGTCAGGACTCATTGTATCTGGATTCTTATTATTCGTATTATACAATGCATTGAGTTGGATTTCAACTATTGAAGTTTCCTATGGTTCATTTGATAAACAAATTGATTTTGAAAAGAAGAATGAATAACCAATCACGCTGGTTAATAATAAAATATTTTACAATTATTTCTATCTATTTTGTCTATGTTATTTTATATACTATAATATATAAGTTTTAGAATGCTTAAGTATTGAGGAATTCGTGAAATCGTGCTTCATATCCTCATATAGTCAAGTCTAAGAAGAAAGTCAAAAGGTTGACTTCAAGCACTTTGTTTCACTTACTTAGATTGTAATTAAACACACAGCAGTCTTCATGTTAAGGAGTATTAGTATATCTAAAGAGGGTAATGTGTGATGTAGGTAAGAAATTCCTAGACAGTGGGTCACGTGAAATGGATAACTGCAATTTTTTATACTCACTCTTACACTTTTTTTGCAGCTCCCTTGGCGGGAATGGTGAACACTCTTCTCTTCTTTTGGAAGTATTGAAGAGTTCTATATGGTTGGTACTTAATTACATAGTTGATTGCCTTGATTGTTGGCATTATTGCAAAGGTTTAGGATTTTAAGAGTTGTAACTAATTGGGTTATCGGAATGGACTTATCCTGTTAGTTGGTGGTTATCAAGCGTCTATTTCAATCATTTTTAGCTTACAGTATCAATACATTGGGTGTCATTGCTATAGTATGTGGTTAGTTATGTTGCTATTGCTGGTGTTATAAGATAGTTGCTTACATGGTTTTCTTCATTGCTGGTTGTATACATTCCTTGCTGGTTTAAGGGTTTGTTAGGATCATCAATTATTATTCTATTAACAACACTGTTATACTTCTGAAGATGCATCACTAACTTTACTTTCTAGGTCTGTATATTCCCCCCTTTAAGCAAGAATCTATTTAGGTACTTATTAACATCCTTTTTTATAGAATCATTTGGGCTTTTTGGCTAAGTCTCTTTTGTGTACGGCAATTTAGGTGGTATTCTACGGAAATTACTTCCGAAGTCCGTTTGGGCAACGCTGATTAAAGCGGCTGAATTTACTAACACTTTTCTAGCCATTATATATTAACTCTATACTTTAGGACTTACTTGACTCTACTTACACTGAAATTCTAGCTTTATTGGCAATCAGCTAAGAACAATCCCCCGGGGGAGCCCGCATAAATTAATAGTGGGTAATAGTGGGAAGTGGGATATAATAGTGGGATATAATATTGTGATATAATAGTGGGTTTAAATAGTGGGTTTTAATAGTGGAATATAATAGTGGGATCTAATCAGTATTAGTGGTAGATACTACTATCAGTACATTGAAGATACTAGTTTTGAGGGTGGTGTCACAATCAACAAATCCTAAATCTGTTCATATTATGAATCTCATAGTATTACTAACAACTTGCTTATACGAAGGGGGAATTTGAGATATAACTATCATTCAGACAATAGTTAGTGACAATATATTGATATAGTCACTTATATAGAGGTATATAGATATCTACTAACCATTTTCTTATAGAGCTGACTACGGTAAATTAAATTATACTAACAACTTGCTTAAAAGGGATTACTAACAACTTGCTTAAATGGGATTACTAACAACTTGCTTAAATGGGATTACTAACCACTTTTTATAGCCAACGTATGTTTTGTAAATTTCTAATTTGCAAAAAACATTTATTAATACGGACAGTTATAATATATGTCCTTTATATATAATAGTAGTGATGTAGAGTAACCTAACCTAGTATACACCAAGTAGAGGATTAGAAAGGATTAAGGTTCTCAGATAAAACGGGTTCAGTGGTAAGATCAATTATTTACTTATTAAATAGTATTCCCAGAACTACATACTGTAAACGTTTCAAGTAGACATATAATTTAACTCGTATTACTATCAGTTATTTACTATAAACTACATGGCTTAAATATACCTAGGTATTTAACAATTTACTGAGAAGTTTCCTAACATAGTTTGATCTTGAGTATCTTCTTCCTTTTTACATGAGATGAATTGGCTGTGAATAGGACTGAGTTCTGCATTTAAGAACTGAAGTCGGAACGGAAGATAAAACTGATGCAATACCTGACGGGTGCAAAAAAATTGGTCCCGCGCAGCACGGATAATTTTTAAAGCTCCCGTCTATTATTATAAACTATTTTGCATCCATAATCTAAAGAATATATAAATACGATAATACTTTTAACACTTTTACTAACCCTAATAGATTTGATATTTTAAGAAAACAAATAAGGGTTAATACAAAAAGATAACTACAAAATGAGTGCCAAAGTCAAAGTTCCTAGCGTGTTTTTTCAAACACAATGTGCCTTAATGAATGGGTTTTTTCCAGCAAAGGCTCAATATACTGAAGTAGATTATCCAAAATTGGATGGTAAAGTTGTAATTATTACTGGAGCTTCTTCCGGTGTTGGTTATGAAGCAGCTAAATTATTATTAGCTGTTACAAATGCTAAGGTTTATATCATTGCAAGAAACAAGAGAAAGATTGAAGATGCCATTAAGAAATTGCAATTAGAAATAGCCCAAGAATTCAATAAGAAGACTATTAATGTTGATTATGTCTTAGCTGACTTTAGTGATTTAACTACCATCAAGGCTGCTGCTCAAGATTTTCTTTCAAAAGAAACTAGATTAGATATTATTATCCACAATGCTGGTGTTATGACCCCGCCCCCTGGATCCAAGACTAAGCAGGGTTATGAATTACAATTAGGCACCAACAATCTTGGACCCCATTTGTTACAAAAATACTTAGATCCTATTTTTATTGCTACTTCCAAAACGAATAAACAGGGTGAATCTAGAATTATTTATACCTCAGCTTCGGCTCACTTTTCTGCTCCATTAGGGGGAATTCATTATGCTGATCCAAATTATTATAATACTAAAGCTACACCTTTTACTATTTATGGTCAAAGTAAAGCCATCAACATTTTACTGGCCAAGCAATGGACCAAGGAACATCCTGAAGCAAATAATGTTATATGTGCATCTTTATGCCCAGGTTTTCTTAAAACTGATTTACAAAGATACATGTCAGGTTTTGCACATATTGTTGTTAACAGATTATTTCACGAACCAAGAAATGGAGCTTATACAGAATTGTTTGCTGCTTTGTCTCCAGAATTAACTAAAGTGAAGTCTGGTTCATACATTGAATCCTTTGGAAAGTTTGCCACTGAAAGAGCAGACCTTCAAGAACCAGCTGCTGCCAGGAAGAGTTGGAATTTCTTAGAACAAGAGGTCGCAAAATATTATGAACCATAGTTGTTTCTTTATATTAAACACTGTTTAACCTACATTGATATTACAATTATATTAATATTATTTAAATTGAAGTCGATTCAGAAAAAGCCATATTAATCCTTTTCTCTATGTAATTTTATATTTTACAATATATATACAAGTTTTTGTTTAGTATACATAAGGGATTATTTTATAAGGAACTTTGGCCTCATATTCTTCCCATTGTTTACCATATTTAGCTCTACATTTAGCTTCATCTCTCATTTGCCTATGTAACAATAAAGTTCCAAAATATATAACATAAAAATACGTTAATGGAGTTTGAAATCCAGTTGGTAAACACCATGACCAACCAATTAACCAATCACCTAAATAGTTTATATGTTGGGATAATCCCCACCATCCATCACATAACAATTTGGATCCTGTCTTGGTAGGAATGCTAACTAAATTAAGATGATCGAGCTTACCCTGTCTGAAGTCAGACTTTTGTTTGTTGGAAGAGTGGAAGATGTAATAGCCAAGGACTTTTATACCAAGAATTAATGCAATGTTTGAGAATCCCAAGCTGACTTTATGTTCAGGTAAGCAAACATATCTTGCTGGAAGTGAATATGACCATGGTAACCAGGCGAGATCACCGAAGGCAAGCATAAAACCAAACCCATCAGTAGTAATATCAATCATAGTTAATAACCCTTCTTCATTGAGGACTCCATCAAATACATAGAAAGCTTGTAAGGCATTGATCAAGACTAATGAATCTGTGATTTCACCATATTTATGATACTGATTATGAATGCATGATAAATTAATGAGAAACCATAATAATAATCCAGGACGTAATTCACAAAACAATTTGATATCCCAAGTACCTATTCTAGGATTCAATTCACGACCTATAAACCAATCATAAATGACAGATCCTGTATTCCCATTGACCGATAAGACTCTCTCTCTGGTTTTAACACCATTGGGGGTAATCAAAGGTATGAAAGAGGTTATGTATACAAATATGGCCAATAAGAAGGAAAAAATCGTGGTAACAATAGTTAATTTCAAATGATTGTCATAAATGAATTGTAATTCAGGTAAGTACCAATTGGTAGATTGGTATACTCTAGCAGCCAAAACGGCGAGTAAAGTTCCTGACATAGCAAGACCATTGATCTTATAGTTTAATTTAGTATTATCTCTGAGAGTAACACCATTTAAACTTCTACCAGGAAGAATGAAATCTAAAATGACTAAACCAAAAAACCATGTGAGGTATGCTAACCAACAAGTTTTGTCGAAACAAAGATCTATCCATTCAGTACTGTTTTGAGGTAATTGATCTATGATAGCTTGAATATCAAGATTGATGCCTGTTAAAGAGTAATTTTCATTGGTAATTAGGGCAAAGAATATAATTAATGTAGGTAATCCTAATGTAATTCCTATAGCTCCTGGTAATCCTGAGAACTCCCAATGAGTTGTCTTTGGATTTAGGGGTGATGACATGATGCTGTAGTGAGTGCTAGTAGTTCAAGATCAATATTTAGCTATAATTTTTCAGTTCTCGCTATTCACTATTTACTTTTCGTACCGAGACTCGCCAGTAGTGGTGATTCAGAAGTTTGGACTATTCATTTAGGCAGTTTAATTTCTCCTTGATTTGGGTATGAATATCAAAGCAAATCAGTCTTCTTAAGTACTTTGGACTATTGGACCTACAATGAACTTCACATAGCCCAGGCTCTTCGACCTCGTATAGTCGCTATACGAGGAGATGGTTGCTCGCTAAACGAGCACAGAAAAATACTTACTAGCATATAATAAATATCTCTCCTAGCTGGAAAAAGCTCAACTTTATCACTAATGAGATTATTAGAGTAAATAACCCACATCTGTTATGATCGTGTGTTATGATCGTGAAAAGTGCCACTTCAACATCCTGAACTAATTAACCAATTTTGGGTCCTGTAACAAGACAGAAAAAACTGAAGTATGTCTCTTAGACTGAGGTAGTTAAATCTACTTTTACTAATCATCATATCCTTATATCTAATTAGTAGACCGTTAATTTCCATAAGCTAACTTCTATCTTAAGATCCTCTTGTATTTTTAGGTATATAATTATGACTAGCTTTCTTATCACTTATCGGAGTAAACACAACCTTATCCGAAGACAATAAGATGCTATTGTTATCGGTTCTCTTATTGATATTAACGGCGCTTGGTCAAGTTATTACATTCAAAACATTTGATAATGTGAATCGCTTAATGATTGCTACAACATTGAACTTCGTTGATACTATTCAAATTAATCTCATTGAGTGAATAGTATCAATGAAGTTTGCCAAGGGCAGTTACGAAATAGTCATGTAGATACGTTAACGTTCAATATAGTTGCTATAAAACGTTGGTATCAAGAATATTTGACTAGTAGTAAGACACAGAGTATCAGTATCGATGACTATTTTAACGATATATTCATCCCTTTTACAGGTGTACTCATCTACGATGGTGTATCATTCTATAATGTGGTTGAGGCAACCAATGAAGGAAGACTGTTTGAAAGAAAGTCATCATTCCCCTAGTTTCAAATTGAGGAGGAGTTCGATTACTACTTTGATAGTAAAGCCGTAAACAATGGCTCTCCATATTTAGATGAACTTACTGATGTAAATGGCATTCAATGGATGATATATGTCACTTTGAACAAAAAGGGAACGAGGAATACAACTGCTATCGAATAATTCAATGATTACATTGTCTGGCAAGAAGCCTATAGTAGGAGTGTCTGATGAGGAAGGACAAATAATAGTGATAACAAGTATTCCGTGCTCATAAAACAGTTATCAATGGAATGTAGAGTCAAGCAATACGACTTTGAATCTCTCAGTTGCACTGGTTAACTGCATGGTATGTTATTATTGATTTCTGTATAAGAAAAATTAGGTTTTTAAAATCATACATTTTAGCAAAGCCAAAGTCAACAAATTTACTTCATCTGTTTGAGCCATTTCGACTGTAGGATATTATCTCAGCGATACTCACACAAATCATGGGTTATCTTTAAAATCAAAATGGCTTAGCCCTTGTCTCCTATCTCACTCGGTTGAGTGGCTCTAAAGATTATAGACGAGCTCGCTAAAATCTTAAAAACAGAACTCTAATTCCAGACAATTCAATATCTATCAGGGATACTACTGCAAGTATAGAATAATTGTAGTTGTTCTTTGTATATTATACAAAAAGGCAACTTATCAGAGCCATAATTTTCTTAATAAGATCACCGGTATTAAGAAGCTTTTTTCGTAAATTATTAGGGCAACTTTTCACTGATTGCGAAACAATTGAACTTATCTAGAACTTAGAACTTATCCGTATTATCAGAGGCCGGGGTGAGGTGGGGAGAGTCAGTCAAGAATAAATATATGCATATTCCACAGTTTTAATGTGTAATGTTGTGTTCCACGGAGGTCTTCGTAAGTGTGTATGTTTTTGTCTTGTAATACTGTATTTCGTAAACAATAGGGGCCAAATTCCGCCTTTTTTCATTCAGTATGGAGCCGTAGACAGACAAGGTAGGTAAATATTATGACAGTTTCATTTGCAAAATGTAGAATAATTGACAATGACATATCCGGAAATTATAATAACTAATTAATGACATTAATAGAATACAAGACAAAAATGCATGGCTGGACAATTTTCTTATATATTTTCTGACTTATAAACACAATTTATTATAATATTAGAGGATCATACGAGAGATCTGTTCCATCATGTCTTATTCTGTGAGTCAAATAGGCTTCTCGACTACCCTGTAGAGTATTGTCATATTTATTATTTACTGTGACCATATGTCAATTTACCGATGAATAAAGTTGAAAAATATTTGGGGAGATTTGTTGCGTAAATTTTAGTTTTTACGTTAATAATTAAATCAATAAGTGTGAACATAATTAGATAACGGTTACTAAATAATATCAATAACCTTATCTGATAACAGCCTATACTACAGATACATTTATATGCCATAGTATGTTCTATAATATTATGAACTGTGGGCGCGTAATTAAAATAACGGAGTTCCTAAAGCAGTTAAAAAACATCTAATTTAACCCAATTAGGTTAAATTACATGCATATAAATTAAACGCGTCTTAACTTTAGTTCTTCGCTGACTTTTTTCTATCAGACTTTTTCGTTTCTAAGGCTATCATGCTGCTGACAACGGTGTTTCCCCAGATTACGTTTATTACACATAGCAGCTTAGATAAGAGTTGTGTAAATTGTGAAGCAGGAGCAAATTTTGTTTAAATTTCCATTAACTCGAGATCTGTTGGTATATCTTAAAAGAAAAATGTGTTTTTGTCTGTCAGATTGTGCGAATCCAACTGCCCGGCTTTCAATTAGGCTGAAAAATTAACAATACTGGATTGTGAATAATGAGACATTTGACGACGACAAACAATAAATAATTGCTATTATTATTAAACTTATAGTTAAAGTATATTATTGTTCTGTTACTAATAATTTATTAACTGTAAACCTTTGCTGGTTTATGTGGGTCTGTGCAAACACCTAAATTGTCGACGGCCTATTAAAGCGGAGTTGGTCATTAAAGAAGTGGGTTTAATAGAAATAACTTCATTTAACTTATCCCTACATTTCTTCGACTAAGTTTATTATTTTCAAAATTGTCAAAAGTGGGAAGTTTTTACTAGAAGGGGTGTTGCAGTGATTCACTGCCAAAGCAATTTAGCAAATGAACTAAATCCTATCAGTGTAATTAATGTATTTATAAACCTTTTGTAATAAGTAGGCAAGGAAGGGGAAAATGTAACCTAGACCATCATAAAGCAGTTAATTTGAACCAGCCAAGCAGCTCACTTGGCAGCGAAAAAAAAAAAGGTCAGTTGTGAAAAATATGAGCAGTAGCAAACCTAAGTTAAACGACAATTTAAACTAAGGAGAGTTGAGAAAAGCTATTCTTGATTTGGATCTTAATAGATTCGAAGGTGAATCCAGGTAGAATAAAACTAGAAGCAAGTCAAGACGATCTAATAAACTCAGGCACAAGTAGATGAGGATTTATGTTGCGTAGCATTAAATTACAGACAGGTACTTCCAATATATCTGTTACAATATGAGTCAATCATATATCGAACGAGTTTACTCTTTACATATTTAGTTTATAGTTGTAACATGTCAATTTCATTAAGAATTAAGCATGAAAGATGTGTGTAGAAGATTCTAACTTCAAGAATATTCTGGTTAGTAATCCGACAAGCTTTTTTTATTAAGGACAAAAGAAGTGTGCAAACAGCTGTAATTACCTCAATTTATTAGCATTAGTGGTTAGCATTCTAACAAGCTTTCTCATAACGTTACAATGCAATAAACAATCTTGTGGATATAATTAAAATTAGAGAAGAACCGTCACTGGTTCCTGACTTTTGTTCATTCCCATTGTCTTGGTGCTTTGCGTCTGAAATTTTTATGCTTATTTGTCTGAAAATTCCCAATTTCCTCTGCCATTAGCCTATGATAGGATATAACATGAGGAGAGAAACTCAATATATTAAGTTTGCTTTAGTTAAAATAAGTCGAATGAGGGGAATACTTAAACGTTATATCGAATAAGATATTATAGAGACCAAACTGTAATAAGCAACCTCCTGCTGTAGGCAGAAACTCCTGCCAAATCGTACTATACAATCTATCAAGTGTCTGTCACTGAAAAAAAAAGGAGGTGTTCCATCAGACATTTTTTCGTGAGCTGAATTTCTCTTTTTTTTTTTTAACAGCCCTCTTTTATATATTCATTTTGATATCCTTTTTCTTCAATTTTTCCAGAATCGACAAATTGAACTTTTATATATCCACACCGTATACCCACCCCGGAGCCCTAACTTGATATTCGTGGTTTTGTATCGGTAGTAGTATATATACAAATCAGTTTGAGTCAACTTTTTCCCATAGTTGTTCGTTGCCCACTAGTTTAAAGCCAAATCACTAGGTCACTAGGATAATTGGCGAATTCAATTCCAATTTACAACATACCTACCCACCCATTACTTTCATTTAAATTATCTAGTCTTGTTCAGTCTTTAGTTATCTGGTGATTATATCCAATCTTTGTATCTTAAGTGTTGGAGCCATCTATCTACCCTCGTTAAATTTTGATTCTTCACTATCTCGGTCAATTACCGCACTAGTCTAACGAGAAAAATCATCCACTTGACTACAATAGCCCCATGAAATCTTATACTGTAACTGTTGCCCCACGACCAACCTTAGATCAAATTAATTCCTTCATTGGTCCTGATAATAACCTCCCCATTATGTATGACAATCAACAACATAATCATCAACAAGCTCCATTAAATCATCAACAACTCTACAATCACGACACTTCTTCCGCTAATAATATCTTACCACTGGCCGCGAATTATTTCCCCCAGCAAAATTCTTCGGCACAAAATTTCTCTCCCCACAATCATAGTCAGAACCATAATCATAGTCAGAACTTGAACTTAAGTCAGAATGTTAATCAAAATCTCCTACAACAACAACAACACCACTCTTTAGATCAAATGCATAGTGACCAACTTGGTAACCCTCATTTAATTCCGCATTATCTTCCGTCTCCAAATCCAAGACCAAGAGCCAAAAGTGCCATGACGATATCTCCTCGGAAACCAGAAACAAATATTACTAGAAATGCTAGTATGCCTAATAATCCTGCTCCATGGCTTGAAGAACCCGAAACTCCAAGAAAGAAGAAAAGAGGTAGACCTCCTAAACCCACTTCATTAACCAATCAGATCACTTCTACTATGAATATTAGTGTTAATACTTCACCTCTCAACACAAGTCCAATTGCAGAATCAAATTCATTACTGATTGCTAAACGAGGAGTTCCTGACTTTTTCACGCCATTAATGAGAGTATCCCCTAGTTCAAGATCTAGGAAAAAGAGTAGAAAGAATTCCACTTCAAATACATCTCCAACATTAATTAAGAAACAAAAATCAGCTTCAAATTTATCTGATGTTGGTAGATCCACTTCTAATGCTAATATTATGGAAAATGTGTTGATCACTCCATTATCTGCTGTTAATAATGTCAATTTGACTCCCTATAATCAAATTAATAGTAAGACTCTTGATAATTTATCGATGGTTACTCAATCAGCTTCGAGCTCTCATATGTCAGATTCAATCCCTTTCTATAATACTCCTCCATCTTCTTCAGTCAAGAATCAATTTCCTTCGTCATTCAATCAACCAAATGTTTCTACTGATGTTGATAGTCGTAAATTATCTTTATCTCCCGACCCTTCACCTGTAGAAACATCAATCAAGCATTCTCAGTATACAAAGGCTTCTACTAAATCCATAACACCTTTGACAACTCCAACAATAGGTGGTGGATCCAATGTAGAAGATTCAAATCAAAATTTATTACCTCCTGCTTCATTAATTACCAAGTCTCCCAAAGTTTCATCTAATGGTAAACAGACTACTAATGATTTCCTGTTGAAGTTATTGATTGATGAGCTGGGTAAAGCTGTGTTATCTACTGATTTCTTTTCTTCTAGTGCAAAGGCTACTTTGGTTAAGCAAGAAGTTAGCAATGGTGCTGTTGAAGATGTTGAAGTTGATACTGACTTGGTATCACCTTTGGATTCAAAACCCAAGAAGGATAGAAGCAAGATGCCCACGCTTAATTCTTTACAAGAAGAGCAAGAACAAGAGCCGGTCAAGCCTAAATTGGTACATAATGATACAGTTCTTGGTATTGAAGCTAGTTATAATCAAGATACTGGATCTGAATTATCACCTGGATTATCTAATTCTAGTGGAATTAATAGTAGTAATAATAATAATACTAATAATAACACCAATAATGATTCTTCAAATCGTCCAAATTTATTGAGAAGATATAATTCTGATGTTACAGGCTTGAATGGCTATAATCAACCTACCACCAATACAACTTTGGCTTCAATTAATGAGAATGCTAATCTTGGTGGAATGGTTCAACTTCCTCAAACTCCCAACTATAAAGAGAATTACTTGTATACATCTACTGGCTTAACACCCAATAGCAATTTAACGTTTAACTTGACTCCTCAATTCAATTCCATGATGTATTCAATGATGAATATCAATTCTCCTCAACAAAGAAAGGGAGGTAGTGTGATGAATAATCAGCAGTTCTTTTTGACTCAAGATTTTTATCATTCTGATGCATTAGATGGTCAAATGCAGTATAGTCAACAGCCACAAGAGAATTTACCACAGGCTGAAACACACCCCAGTCAAGCATCGCCACCACTATCACATCAACAACAGCAACAGCAACAATTACAACAATTACAATTACAACAATTACAATTACAACAATCTCCTGGTAGAACAATCAACATGAATGATTTGATGAACCTTCGCAAGGATCCTACATCCAATATGGTTATGGCTATGACCAAATCGGCTCCATCATCTTCATCATCTTCGGCGTCATCCTCAGAAGATACAGGAGATGCACGACTTGCATTGAAGAAGATTATCTACATCAAGAGAAAGTGAAAGAAAGTGAATGGTCAATGTACCATACTGCCATGCATTCTATTATTATATTTCATCCCCACTATTCAGTTCTTCGTCGTTACGTTTCTTTCTTTCTTTCTTTCTTTCTTTCTTTCTTTCTTTTTATAGCTCATTTGTTTTTCTTTATTTCTTTCTTTTCATTATTACTGATCCAGCTTCTGCTTTTGTCATTTGTTTCTATAGTTCTTCTTTATATTCCTGGCATTATTCACTACTATTCTACGTCTAAATGTATGTAAAATATTACTAGAAAAATCGAAAAATCCGCGTAACTATGAGTACAGTATCCAGTAAATATGAGTACAGAACCACAAACAAAACAAGACCTAAAAAAAATTGAAAAATGGCCTGTACACGACACTCACAAAAATTTTTCAATGCCCCATAATGAAAAAAAAATTTTCACCTACCAGTACTAAAATTCCTTCCTCCTCTTCTTCTTCTTCAGTTGTTAATAACACATAGATATATCGAAATGTCTCACAGAAAGTACGAAGCCCCACGTCACGGGTCCTTAGGATTCTTACCAAGAAAGAGAGCTGCCAAGCATCAAGGTAGAGTTAAATCCTTCCCAAAGGATGTTAAATCTAAGCCAGTTGCTTTAACTGCTTTCTTAGGTTATAAAGCTGGTATGACTACTATTGTTAGAGATTTAGATAGACCAGGTTCTAAGATGCACAAGAGAGAAATCGTTGAAGCTGCCACTGTTGTTGACACTCCACCATTAGTTGTTGTTGGTGTTGTTGGTTATGTTGAAACTCCAAGAGGTTTAAGATCTTTAAGCACTGTTTGGGCTGAACATTTATCTGAAGAAGTTAGAAGAAGATTCTACAAGAACTGGTACAAGTCTAAAAAGAAGGCTTTCACCAAATACTCTGCTAAGTACGCTCAAGATGGTGCTCAAGTTGAAAGAGAATTAGCTAGAATTAAGAAGTATGCTTCTGTTGTTAGAGTTTTAGCTCACACTCAAATTAAGAAGACTCCATTATCTCAAAAGAAGGCTCATTTAGCTGAAATTCAAATCAATGGTGGTTCCGTCTCTGAAAAGGTTGACTGGGCTAGAGAACACTTTGAAAAGACTGTTTCCGTTGACTCTGTTTTCGAACAAAATGAAATGATTGATGTTGTTGCTGTTACCAAGGGTCACGGTTTCGAAGGTGTAACCCACAGATGGGGTACCAAGAAATTACCAAGAAAGACCCATAGAGGTTTAAGAAAGGTTGCTTGTATTGGTGCTTGGCATCCAGCTAATGTTAACTGGACTGTTGCTAGAGCTGGTCAAAACGGTTACCACCACAGAACTTCTATTAACCATAAGGTTTACAGAGTTGGTTCCGGTGAAGATGCTTCTAACGGTGCTACTGAATTTGACAGAACTGAAAAGACCATTAACCCATTAGGTGGTTTCGTTAGATACGGTAACGTTAAAAACGATTTCGTCTTATTAAAGGGTTCTATTCCAGGTACCAGAAAGAGAGTTGTTACTTTAAGAAAATCCTTATACGTTGACACCTCTAGAAGAGCTTTAGAAGAAGTTAACTTGAAATGGATTGATACTGCTTCTAAATTCGGTAAGGGTAGATTCCAAACCCCAGCTGAAAAGCACGCTTTCTTAGGTACTTTAAAGAAAGACTTAGAAAACTAAATTATTTAATCTGATTTAGTTGACTAGTTAAAACTTTAATGGGATGTATATTAAATAATTCTTTATCTTTGTATATCTATTAATTAATCGACATCTACCCTTTTTTAATACTTTACTATACTTTAATGTAGAATGTTGTGTACTTATGTATTGCAGCATGGATTCCGAGCGGCATGGACCTTTTGCTCTCACACACTAAAAAAAATTTAGCCCTCATCTCACATACTCTAGTGAGATTTTTCAGCTATAGTAAATCAGCATTAAACAGCATTCTCTATCTCTAAAGCATATACCGAGGCATGTCTAGTTCAAGACAAAGAGTTCCTCAGGTGAGGAATGCCACGTTACCATCACAGACCACTCCTGAACAAAGATACTGGAGAGGATACGCCAATCCTCAACTTATAAAGGAGAATCATCCTATAACTCATATTCATTTTAATCCTGTATCACCTTATGATTTTGCAGTAGCAAGTTCTACAAGAATTCAAATCTTTTCATCAAAGACTAGACAAGTTATCAAGACATTTTCAAGATTTAAAGATGTAGTATATTCAGGAGAATTTCGTTATGATGGGAAATTATTAGTAGCATCTGATGCTACTGGTTTAGTATCAATTTATGATAGTTATCAACCACGAAATTTATTAGTAAGTTTACACCCTTCAAGTCATCCAACTCATGTAGCTAAATTCCATCCAACTATTGGAAATCAATTAGTTACTGGATCAGATGATAGAATAGTAAGATTTTATGATATATCTCAAACTACTAAAGGTCCAATATTAGAATTTAATGATTCTTATCATGGTGATTATATTAGAAGTGTAAATTTTATACCAGGTAATCCAAATTTACTTGCAACTGGTTGTTATGATGGTATAGTTCGAATCTTTGATACCAGAATATCTTCATCAAATGATCAACAATTAATTACAACTTTTAAACAAAATAATCCAGTAGAAGATGTACTTGCTATATCTCCAACAACTTTAGTAAGTGCTGGAGGTCCTCAAGTTAAAATTTGGGATTTGGCTAGAGGGGCACAAATTCGTGAATTAAATAATTTTACTAAAACAACTACAACTTTGCATAATACCGGTGATAGAGGATTATTGGTAGGATCATTAGATGGTCATGTTAAAATCTTTGATTATACTACTTCAAGTTGGGAAGTTAAATTTGGTTGGAAATTTGGTAGTGGAGGTGTATTAAGTTGTGCTGTATCTCCTGGAGCAAATAATCATAAACATTTTGTAACTGGTTTAACTTCTGGTTTAATATCTATACGTACAAGAAAAACTGAACCTAAAGTTGTACAAGGTGTTAAACAAGAAAGATCTAATGCTTATAATAGAATGATGAAAGGTAAAGATTATTTGGGAGAAGAAGAACATCGAATAATTCAAACCAGCAGTGCTCAAACCAAAAAGCTTAGACAATTTGAAAAACATTTGAATGCATTTAGATGGACAGAAGCATTAGATAGTGCATTTGCTTCTGGATTACCTAAAGAACAAACCATTACTGTACTTAATGAATTGAAAAAGAGAGGTAAGATAAGAATATCTTTATACGGTAGAGATGAAATTTCTTTATTACCAATCTTACAATGGTTTATTCGTAATTTAGATGATGTCAGATCCTTCAATTTAATCTCTGATTATATTGCTGTCATTTTGGAAATGTATGGATCTCTCATTGATAAGAGTGTTGTTCTTGAAGAATGCTTTTCCAATTTATTGAAGAGAGTTAATGTTGAAATCAAAAAATGTAAGGAAGCCAACGAGATAGGAGGTATGTTGGAATTACTTACCGTATAATTAGCATAGTATATATACATTGTAATATAGAAATATCCTTTTATAAATTCGGGCCCTACCATCTTCTTCTTTTCTTTTTCTTCTTTCTTTCAGCTATCACTGCATCCTTAGCTTCAACTATCTGGCGACAATGATCAGAACAGAACCATTTAAGTTTCCCAGTAGAGTATTTTAGTGCATCTACTCTATTCAATAATCCTACACATTTATAATGAAACCATTCACCATTTGGACATGATTCCTCGTTATCACATGCTATCATCTCACCAAATGACCCCTGCTTACAGAAACAGTATGATTGTGGCTCTTCTTCCTCTTCTACTAAGGGTAATTCTTCAGCTATCTCTTCTATTACTACAGGTTTTTGATGAGTCTTCTGCTTGACAGTCTTAACATTATTCGATCTTTTGTTATCTGGCTTGGTGGGCTTTTGTATCTTCGAAGGTATTTTGAGTAGTATTTTTAATCCAGATGGAGCTGAGGGGGTTTTCTTCCTCTTGGCAGCCTCTTTAATGAGTCTAGCCTGTTCCTTTAATGCTTCTTGCTGAGAGATCAACGGATGTTGTCTGTAATGTTGATCAAGTTGCTTTCTCAAATTCTCTAGATCTTCGTGGTTATCTCGGATTTGGTTAGATCGAGATTCATATAATTGTTGTAGTTGTTGGAGTTCATCAGTAAGCACGATCTTATGAGTTATTAGTTGATTATTGAGGGCTTGTATTTCACTAATGGATTCAACTGTAAATCGATTTATTTCAAACTTCAATTGTATCATGTGATTCACCAATGTTCGTTGAAGATCTTTGGCCTCTATTGGGATGGTTTGCAATTGCTCAAGTAATTGATCTAGTCTCATCTTCCGTTTGTTTATTTGTATATTACATGATTGTACTAGCCATAACGATCGTATGACATCACAAGGAAGATGGTCGATAGTGGATATGAATGAGTTCTGGAGTGACGATGAGTTCAGTACCACCACATTCATGTTGGTAGTGAAGTTAATGGCTGCAATATGGAGGTTTATGCGTTGTTATGGTACTTATGATTTTATTATTGTTTGTGGTCGGATTTTGTGAAGTTTTATAGAAATACTCAAATCCGGTCTGCGTAACGTGACTTTGTGTAGTCGGAACTCTTCTGATACTAGACTAATAACCTGAATTAAATAAGTTAAGCAATTAAATTGAGTATGGTGGTCTCAAATCTGTAACCTGATAAATCCCTGCCTGGACTTTAGGAAGTTCCAAGATATTTCAGAGAAATATACTCTAGTAGTTATTACTTTTATAAAGAATATTACTTGGAAAAAGAACAATTCTTGGTATAATTTTCTTTCTATGCCTTCATCTTTTCTTATATTATTCATCTTCAGACACTTTCACAGCCCTTCACCTCCTCTGACCCCAATAAATGGAACAAGGATTGTTTCGTTAATAAATACTGTAGTAGTTAACTGATTTCTTGGCGATGCTCAATGAACTCATGTTACAAAATATAAATAGCCGCACCTTTTTTGCAATCAAAAGGTTTGAATAATTATTTCAATAATCAACACTTGCAATGGTTTACTATGTTAGACATACCCATTCTCATGGGGGCCATGATGATCACGATGAAGATGAAGAACTTGTTTGTTCCTCTGGTAATGATTATAATGGTGAGATGTTAGGAGCTAGAATTTCCTCTATATTTGTTATCTTAGCAGCTTCTGCTATTGGATGTTACTTCCCATTGATTGCAAAAAGATATAAATTTTTAAAAATCCCTGATTGGTTCTTTTTTGTAACAAGATTTATTGGTAGTGGTGTTATTATTGGTACAGGTTTTGTTCACTTATTGGTTGAGTCAAGACATGCTCTTACCAATCCTTGTTTAGGAGAATTTCTGGAATACGCATGGACGGAAGCTATTGCTTTAATGGGAATATTCGTCATGTTTTTAATTCATATATTTGGACGTAAAAAATTAGAAAACATTTATGGGCATTCAAGTATTCTGATGGAACAAAGTTCTACAGAATCTAATGAAAAGGGTGAAGAACATATTGTTCAAAATGTTGAAGAAGAAAGTAAAACAGATTACTTGAGAATTATGAATGTTTCACTTTTAGAATTGGGAATTGTCCTTCATTCGATTTTTGTTGGTTTGACATTAGCTGTTACTGGTAGTGAGTTCAAAACTTTATACATTGCTATTGTATTTCATCAATTCCTTGAAGGTGTAGGTTTAGGTTCAAGATTTGCAATGTATAGATGGCCTCCCAAAAAGACTTATTTACCTTGGGTATTATCATTAGTTTTCACTTTGAGCACTCCAATATCTACTTCAATTGGTCTTGGTCTTAGAAATACTTATCCACCTGGTTCTAGGACTGCTCTCTACATTACTGGAGTTTTTGATGCTTTCTGTGCTGGAATTATGATTTACAGTAGCTTGGTAGATTTAATTTCCCACGATTTCTTCTATTCTGATGAGTTTGACTACAAGAACAAATTCAAGAAAGTATTATTTGGCTACGGTCTTCTTGCTATTGGTGTTCTTATTACTGCTTATATAGGTAAATACGCATGAAATAACTATAAAGAATATCTAAACCCTTTATTCTCAAAGTCAGTCAAACCCTTAAATCCATCTAAGATAGCTTGTTCTGCTTTCTCGTTATCATAACCACCTTGTTCTTCATTCTTTTTCTTATTTCTATACATTAATAAAACTCTTAACAAAATTGCAATGACCATAATTCCAACATAGCAAATGATTAATCCTACCATACCACTTACATACTTGGGTGCTTGCCTGGCAAAGAAAATATTTGCACCAATAATATTCCCAGTAGCATATAAAGTAAACCATATCCCATTAGAAATGGTTTTCTTTGAAAATCCGGATACGTTGGCATTTAACAAGATCCAACATAAAATGACTGGACCACCAATTATGAATTGTAAAAATGTGCAACCAACTAAAGCCCATTTATGCTCCATAGAGATGGTATGAATCCCAACAAGACCAGCCAAAGGAGGAATGCAAATACAGAATAATACTATACATCGGGAATTTTTAACATTAAAAATGACAAATCCAGCAGCTGCTACAACGACAAGTTCAATTGCCCCCGTTGGAAGCTGTAAAGCAGTAGCATTCAATCCACTAAAGCCATAACCTCTTATGAGAGAAGAAGCAAAATTAGATACACCCCCATTTACGATTCCACAAGCAAGACCCACGAATGCTATCATCCATACTCCAACATCACAAAGAGCTTCAACAACTTGATACTTTTTGAAATGAGAATCCTTTATACCTTGATTATTCGAGGCGACTTCTCTCACTAATACTGCTCTTTCTTCTTCAGTTAGAAATTTAGCCTTGTCCGGTGAATCAGGACAAAACCAAAGAAAAACGAAAGACCATGCCAAATTCAATAAGCCAATAACCAAAAAGATAAGTTTCCAAGATTCCAATTTTGCCAGAGTTACGTGACCCAAACCAAAACCTAGAAGGGCCCCAAGCATTGTAGCCACACCGTTGAAAGAAAGGAAAATACACATTCTAATAGGTTGATCTTTGACGGTATAAAATGATCCACATATAAGCATGCATGAAGGACTTATCAGGGCTTCGAACATTCCAAGAATGAATCTTATAACCAAAGCTCCACCATAATTCTTTAATCCAATATGTCCTATAAGAATAATTGACCAAGTAAAAATTAAAAAGCCAGTATATTTAGCTACGGGAACTCTTTGAATAATATAATTGCCAGGTAGAGCCCAGAAAAGGTATCCAAAATTAAAAATTGCAGCCACCCATGAGTAACGTTGGCCAACTAAATTTAAATCGTCTACCATGGAATACGCAGAAGCATAATTAAGGGAAAGTTTATCAAGAAATTGAAGAGTATAAGTAATGCATAATAAAGGTATAATTCTCATATCAACTTTTCTTAATACTTTCTTTCTAATTATTTGTTCTTCTTCATCAGTCAAATTTTTGGCTTGTTCATAAAGTTCAAACCCCACAATTTCATCTTCATTTATTTCCTGGATAAAACTCTTCACTGATATTTTAGGATGTTTAATGGTTTCAGTTTCTCCAGTAATTCTACTGGCTGTAGATCCAAAATCCACCAAAGCTTCGGATTTTTCTACTGAATTTTTCATAATTAATGTTACTTATGTGGGATTTGAAAAATGTCAAAAATGTCAAAAATGTCAAAAATGTTTGAAAGAAAGAGAAAGATTTGGAGAATTAAATAGAGACTTTAAATAATGACTAGTTCTAACTTTATCTCTTAGCGGGAACACGTACCGAATGGGGAAATTGCTTCGCATGAGATAGCCGCAAAAATTCTTGGTAGTCTAATGATAAGGTTTTATGACTTAGGCTACTAACCAATAAAGATCTTTGGCCGGATTACGCACGCCGATAAGAGGGGCAATATAAGCTAACTAATTCAGCTAATTACTTGACTACTTCCTCTAGTACTTTATTACATGATATGCAACTAACCTGATAATGGCATAATTGCTAGAGGGGGAAACTTCTGCATATCGTTTCCAACTTCAAAAAAACGCAGCCCCTTCCGTTTACGGTATATTTTCCGCGGCATCACTATAATTGCGTTCTCTATTCGATCTATTGATCGACTGTTTATTTACAAGCTATTTACAGGTAAATTATACATACTGAATCTTCATCATTCGTATTCGAAGACTACTTCATCTTCGATAAAATCCACTTTACTTAATTTAATTTCATCTGAACTTAAAACAGATCCAACTTTAATGGTACCATTGTCAAACTCTTCTATTAATCTAGGAGAAACATTAAGAGTACAACGTAAATGACTAAAATCTTCTGCTATAACTAGAATAGAATCTGCAATTTTGGGATTTCCTTGAATTAAGAGTCGGAAATTAAATGGTTGTTTTAATTCAGCAATTTCCTTTAGGAATATTCCTTCCCAAAATCGTGACGATAAAAATTGAAAAGCTCTATTCATAGTATCACCATTCTGTAAAGAATTTGAAATAAATCGGAGGTTCTTATTATCTATGAGGGTATCTGAGCTTACACCTGATTTCCGTAATAAATACTCTCCAAGTTTCCAATGATTTACCATATCAACAAATCTTCTTAAAGGAGATGTCACATGAGAATAATAATCAATTGCAAGTGCTTCATGCCTTATTGCTTCAGTATTTAATTTTGCTCCTACCATAACTAAACGAGATTTATATACATCCTCGAGTGAAGTTTCCCCTTTACTTTCAAGTAATTCTTTCAATTCTTTAGTTAACTTTGCAGGTAAATTAAGATCTTGACCTCTATATATATAACCAATTGAGTTATCATGAGCAAACTTTGCCGCTGAGTAGTTGGCAAAAATCATGAGATTAGTAACTAACAAAGTCGATTTAGGCTCATCTCCTGATTCATTTGTTAACATGATTACTTTATCTGATTTACCTAGACTTAATTGTCTTGAATCATCAACGGATGGTGCTTCAGTAACTTCTGATTTTTGAACAACTTTAACATTAGTCCTTAGCCTTCCAAATTGAATAGATCCTCTACTCTTACCCAATAATTTAGATATGTTATATAATTTAAACAAATTATCAAAGTTAACGTCATCCGACTTGTTTTCTTTAAAGTTTGCTAATTTAGTCTCGTCATTAAGTAATTTATTGACATTGTCATAGGTGAAATTTTGAGGAAAGTTTCTAACCTTCATGAATTTAATATCAATTGATTCATCAAGTTGGTTTCGAATCGTTTGTAGAACAGATTCTTCATCCTTAGCTGCACTATCAGGATCATTCAAGTATTGTTCAATACAGTTATCAATTAACTTTTTATCCAATTTATATTGAACTGTGAATGTATTCAATGGAACTCCATCGACTCCAAGTTCACAAAACAGGGAAATAATCTTAGGAAGCATCATATGAGCAGTATCTGGAGTATAAGTTGTTGAAGTTTTCGAGAATGCAATTAAACTAATGATAGATTCAGGTTTTAATAAAGCAGTTGGATTTGCTACATGAACAGATATAACATATTTATTATTATCTTCATGAATGGAAACTCCATCATCTACTTCATAAGCATCTTCTTCATCAATACAATAAACGGGTATATCACCAAAATCTTCTCTAATGGCTTGTAAAGGATCAGACTTATAACCATCATCAAATGTAAGAGTACCTTCTTCAGTAGTAGGATCACCAAAAGATTCTAAAGAAGTGATTTCCATAGGATTAGTAGTAGATGATTCCTTATTAAGTTGTTGAGGACGAACAAGATCTTCTTGACTAAGATTTTGTTCAAGATATTTATAATATTGACCAGCTAAATCAGACAGTAAACTTATACCACTTCCAGGTAAATTCATATGTCTTGACCATAAACTTGGATCTTCATATGGTTGAGATAAAGCACCTATTTCACTCAATATCATATAAATTCTAGCTCTTGAGTATTCATACTTATACTCAATAGTAGTCTGTTTAGAATTATGAGATGAAGATTCATCAATTAATCTAATGACTGAAACTATAGCAGTTTCAAGAGCTGGATCACTGGTGAAATTACCAACGACATAATCTTTAAATAATTTAATAACAGAATCATAATGTTCTGGTTTCTGAGGATTCTTACCTTGCATAAGTTTAAAATAATATTGCGCAAATAATTTATCACCCTGTTCATACTTTAAATAATTCATGATCTTTTGAATAATTCCTATATTAGTAATAGGTAATATTGATACATTAAGTGGAGTAAAACCTGCTCTTGGTATATCAATACTCCAAAGTCTTGCTTGCTTTCTGAGTGATAAGATAGTCGATAAGAAGGTAGCTATTGGATAACTTTTACTATCAAAATCCACAATCTCCTTTAATTCTTTACCTAATACTGAAACTGAACTTTCATAAGTTGAAGTATCATCCAATTTAATAAAATTCTCATTTTGCATATAATATAAAAGTTCAAACATACTAATAGATCTTGGAACACTTATAAGATCATCATTTTGATCATATTGTAATTTTTTATGTAATATATCCAACTTTTTACCAACTTCTGTCATTTCATCAAATGATCGAATAGATATATCAGTTAATGCTTGAGCATATAATTCACGAGCAGCTAAGGGAACATGATATGTATTGACACTACTATCGGTTAAAAGTTGAGATGTAGCTTGAGCCACTAAGAAATCATCATCATTGGCAGTTCCCCATGAATCACCTTCAGAATTTAAATCATCATCATTATAATCCTTTCTTAAAGATTCAGGTAAAGAATCTTGTGATCTAGAAAATCTTTCATCTACCATACCAATTGGAGCAATGTGTAAATGTTTGGTTTCTAATTGAACTAAACTTTCTATAAGTTTATGATATTGTTTAGGTATGACTTGAGGAAATCTTACTATAACACTAGCTTTACTTGCATGAACTATTTCACCTAACCTATCAATGAATGTATATGCATGATTATTAAGACTATCGGGACGTTTGATTACAAGATAATATTTGACACTATCATTATTTAATGTAACAACATCACCTACATCTATGGTTTCATAAACTACTTGTGGCAGTATAGTTGCAGAAGTTATAAATCCCAGAATCTTTTTCTTGAAGTAGGAGTATCTCTCATCCTCTGGTACTGATTTATCCATCTCTATTTCACTAGTGATTTCATTAAACTTTTCGAGCCATCTCTGGGAAGGCTCTTGCCAACGTTTCTCCATTCTCATTTCAACATCCTGGGAGATCTGTCTATATAAGATCTTATTATTAAGATTTAAATTCAACCGTTTGTTTTCGGGATTGAAGAACTGCAATGGGGTTTTGGATCTAGTGCCGGCTACAATTTTCTTTATAGATTCTATATCCTCTTCAAAAATTTTAGCTTCTGCTTCTGCTTCTGCTTCAGCTTGAGCTGGAGATTCAGACTCACGCCTTTTGGACATTTTCATAATCTCCATAATTTCCGTAACATTACCAGATGATATTTCTGTATTCAGTTGTACTCTGGTATTCGACGCTAAGCCTTGCAAGTCACGTAACTCCGAGAATATAGACTCAAAGTTTTCCTTCGACTCATCTAGCTTTGATTGAGGATATGGACTCCGACTTCTGTTAGGAAACTGGGACGACTTAGGAGTGTGATTCTTGGACTTCTTGTAAGGATTCACCGAGTACAACCGCACTGCACACAGATACGGTACTGCCCTCAGAGCCACTCTTACTCTTAACATGTTTATAGTGGTTATAGTAACAAATAAGTTAAAATCAGTAGTTGCATCTCATTGAAAAATTAATATTTTTGGGTTGGGTTGTGATTCGCACGTGACTGAAAAATTAAGATATAATCATAGAAAGCGAACAATGTCACAGCCTTCCCAATTCGGCAGCCAACATCGCAACGCGCGCAATATGCCAAACATAAACAAAAGCCAAAGCCAAAGCTGGAGATACTGAAATTGGTAATTGAACGGTGATAGGGGACTAAGATGAAAGTTGAAGAGCTCATAATTGATGGGTTTAAATCGTATGCCACCCGGACGGTGATTTCTGGGTGGGATCATCAATTTAACGCCATCACGGGACTTAATGGATCAGGCAAATCAAATATACTTGATGCTATATGTTTTGTATTGGGGATCGCATCAATGACTACGGTAAGAGCATCTAATTTACAAGATTTAATATATAAAAGAGGTCAAGCAGGAGTCACTAAAGCAAGTGTAACTATAGTATTTAATAATTCTGAAATTTCCAAATCTCCTATTGGATTTGAAAATTGTTTAACTATAAGTGTTACAAGACAAGTTATATTAGGAGGTAGTTCAAAATATTTAATTAATGGTCATAAAGCTCAACAACAAACTGTACTTAATTTATTTCAATCAGTTCAATTAAATATTAATAATCCTAATTTTCTAATTATGCAGGGAAAGATTACTAAAGTATTAAATATGAAACCAGCAGAAATCTTATCATTAATTGAAGAAGCTGCTGGAACAAGAACTTTTGAAGAACGGAAAGATAAAGCTCAAAAGACTATGGCTAAGAAGGAAGCTAAATTAATTGAAATTAGAGCGTTATTAAAGGAAGAGATCGAACCAAAATTGGATAAGTTAAGAAGTGATAAGAGAAATTTTGTAGAATTTCAACAAATTCAAATTGATCTTGAAAAATTATCAAGAATAACTACGGCTCATGATTATTTAAGTTTATCACGAAATTTTACTAATCATTCTAATTTTTTAAATGAAAGTCAATCGAAAGTTATCGATTTAAATAATGAAATGGGGAAGTTAGAACAAGAAATTACTAATTTAAATGAAGATTTAAATCAAGTTAAGACTAGGCGAGAAAAGGAATTAGATAGTGATGGGAAACTTAAAGCATTAGAAGAATCAGAAACAAACTTATCTAATGAAATAGCTAGATTAACTACATCTAAAGATATTACTGAAGATAATATAAAGGATGAAATAACTAAAAGGAATAAACTTGAACAACAAATTCAAGAGATTCAATCTTTATTAGATAATAGTGCTGATATGTATTCTGATTTCGAATCCAAATTCAATCAATCCACTAATGAATTGAATGATTTGAAAGAAGAATTTAATAAAAAGGAAGATTTATTATCTTCTTTATCTACTGGGATGTCATCCAGTGGTGCTGTAAGTTCAGGTTATACTTCACAATTAAATGAAGCTAAAGAAAAATTGAATTCTGGTAAAAATTTCATAAAGACTTCAACCATGAAAATTTCTCATCTTGAAGCTCAAGTAAAGAGTGATTCAATTAAATTACAAAAGGCCAAACAAGAAAATGAATCATTATTAAAAGATATCCAACAGTATAAGAATGAAATAGCATTAAATGAAATAAAAGTAGCTAAGAAATTAGGATTTATGCCAAGTGTAATGAGTAGATTAAGAGAAGAAGAATTAAAATTAAGTAAAGAATCTCAGAAATTAAATAATGAACTTAATTATGTTAAACGAGATGTGGGGAATAATATAGATTTTAATTATTCTAGACCTTCTCAACAATTTAATGATAATTCAGTTAGAGGTTTAGTATCTCAATTATTTGAATTACCTGATAGTTCATTTGAAAAGGCTTTAGCATTACAAGTATGTGCTGGTGGAAGACTTTATAATGTTGTAGTTGATGATTCAGATACTGCATCTCAATTATTAGAAAGAGGACAATTAAAAAGAAGAGTTACTATAATTCCATTAGATAAAATTAATGCCCATTCTATTGATGATGGTATCACTCAATATGCTAAGAAATTAACTCCTAATAAAGTTGAATTGGCTATAAATTTAATTAATTTTGATCAAGAATTATTAAAGGCCATGGAATATATCTTTGGAACAACCTTTATTTGTAATGATCCAAATACCGCTAAAACCATAACTTTTGATCCTAAAATTAGAGCTAGATCCATCACTATAGAAGGTGATGTTTATGATCCCGAGGGGAATCTTTCAGGAGGATCTCGAAGAAATGATTCATCCACATTAATTAAGATTCAACAGTATAATAAGATCTTTGGTAAACTTAAACAAGTTAATAAAAGTCTTTATGCTCTTAAAGAAGAAATAGCATATAAACAAAGATTACTTGATAGTACTAAGGAATTAAGTAATGAAATCTATTTAAAGAAGCATGAATTAGAATTATTAGAAAAGAAATTGAGTAGTAATCCTTCATCGATGATTTTAAAGCAGAATGAAGCCAATGAACTGGAGATTCGTCAATTAAATGAACAAATTAAGGAAGAAGAAGCTAATTGTATTAAGTACCAACAAGAAATTCAAGCTATTGAAAAGGATATTAAAGAGTTTAGTAATGATAAGGGATCTAAGATTAAGGATTTAAAGAAAGAGGTGGATCAATTAAAGAAGTTGGTCAATAAGAAACAATTGGAATTAGATGATCAAACTGAGAAGTATCAAAGTTTACAAATTGAAAATGAACAACAAAAATCAGAGTTGATTAACATTAAAGAGTCTATAGCTAATTTGATACAATCTAGTCAAGAATTGGTTGAGAAAAGAAGTTCAATTGATAATCAAATTGAAGAACTAGGAGATAAATTGGCTGTAGTAAAAGTTGAATTGGAAGAAGAAAGAGCTAATTTGTTAGGATTAGATGAAGAGATTAATGAATTAAACTTGATGATCAAAAGTAAAGCTGATCTCATTAATGAGTATAAGTTGCAAATACAAAAATTAACTCATGAATTAGAGAAATCAGGTTCTATAACCAAGAATTTAAAGACACGATTAGATGCATTAATTAAAGAGAATGAATGGGTAACCGATACTCAAGTATTGAACAATATCATTGAGACTAATCCCAACATTAATTTGGATGAATCTCGAGAACAATTGGGGGTATTGGAAGAGAAATTTACAAGTATGAGACGGAAAGTTAATCCTAATATTATGAGTATGATTGATAATGTAGAGAAGAAAGAATCATCTTTAAAACAAATGGTGAAAACCATTGAACGTGATAAGAATAAGATTGTCGGTACTATTGATAAGTTGAATGGTTATAAACGAGATACATTAAATACAACTTATCAAAAGGTATCGATGGACTTTGGACAAATCTTTGCCGATTTATTACCAGGATCATATGCTAAATTAGTACCAGTAAATATTATGGATGTAACTCAAGGACTTGAAGTTAAGGTTAAATTAGGAGAGGTATGGAAGGAAAGTTTGGTTGAATTATCGGGAGGTCAAAGATCATTGATTGCGTTATCATTAATTATGGCCTTATTACAATTTAAACCAGCGCCCATGTATATTCTTGATGAAGTTGATGCAGCATTAGATTTATCTCATACTCAGAATATTGGACATTTAATTAAGACTCGATTTAAGGGATCTCAATTTATTGTTGTGTCATTGAAAGAGGGAATGTTTACTAATGCTAATCGAGTATTTAGAACGAGATTTCAAGATGGTACATCTGTTGTTTCTGTTATGTAGGTAGTTATAGAAGGGAGAATATAGATTTCACACTAAATTAACTGTACTCACTAGAAATCGCTGATCATAGTGTGATCCTCACTCTACTACTCTACGATACCCATATACTTCTCACCGTCACTCATCATTCTCTTACGATATTCTCATACGATAATTCTCGCTTTTACTCGCACATGTTGTGTATAGCTTACTCTACGCATACTATAATCTACGGTATAGTTTTCTAGACTAATGCTATGCTTTACAGTATAGTACTACACACAATAATCTACCGTATAGTAGTCTACACATATGATGTACTTATAGTAGTCTACACATATGCTGTACTCATAGTAGTCTACACATATGCAGTACTCATACCTATACCATTATAGTATGCTACTATAGTATGTCATAGTAGTATAGTGGTAGTACAGTTAGCATAGTTAGCATAGTAATAGTACACTCATAGTACACTCATAGTACACTCATAGTACACTCATAGTACACTCATAGTACACTCATAGTACACTCATAGTACACTCATAGTAGTGTAGGCAGAGAACAATAGTACTCTGACACACACATATACTACACAGCCACTCATCTTCTACACTACAGTATTCTATACTCTATCCTATACTCTATACCAGTCTCTGCACTACTATACCATACTATACTACACTATCCTTTACTCTACAACTCGTAGTTGTCTGTACTCTACTCTATATAGTCCACTATCTATGCTCAACCGTTTCAGGTACAGTTTACCCGGAACAGTTTGTTTTGCTTTGCTTCGCTTTTTTCACTCAATCTATTTTTGATCGCTACTACGTTTCTGCCAACAACGCCGTGATACCTCCAGTCTCATTCATAGATCCTTCACCACATTTGTTGTTGGTGCGTTTGTTGCTCACGTGTGCACTTGTTCAATTCTATTGCATTTCTATTTAAATTCTTCTTTCCTTTATACTAATCTCGTGCATTAATTACATCATCAATCTTTGAATACAAAATCATGGATCCCTATAATATAGATCAATCAAAGAAATACTACTATAAGTATTATCCGAAAATTATAAATATTATAAAATCTATAGTAATAACATTGGGTGTAATAGGTTCTATACTATTTATAACATTTAAATTCGGAATACTAGATTTATCAAGTCCAAGTTTATATACTCCTGATTTTTCAAAACACTCATCAATTCAATATTTTGATTTGGATAATTATCTAGGTTCTCCAAATGGATGGCAATATGAAGAACGGGTATTATTTTTAGTACCTTTAAGAGATGCTTCTGCTCATTTACCTATGTTTTTTGGTCATATGAAAAATTTAACATATCCTCATAATTTAATTGATTTGGCATTTTTAGTAAGTGATTCATCCGATGATACTTTAGAAGCTTTAAAGAAAAATTTACTAGAAATTCAAAATAGTAAAGATACTTCCATGAGATTTGGAGAAATTGAAATTTTTGAAAAGGATTTTGGTCAAGTTATTGGTCAAGGTTTTTCAGATAGACATGGATTTGCTGCTCAAGGTCCAAGAAGAAAATTAATGGCAAGAGCAAGAAATTGGTTATGGACTGTAGCTGTAAAACCTTATCATTCTTATGTGTATTGGAGAGATGCAGATGTTGAAACTGTGCCTCCAACTATTTTGGAAGATTTAATGCATCATAATAAAGATGTCATAGTTCCAAATGTTTGGAGACCTTTACCTGATTGGTTAGGTAATCAACAACCATATGATTTGAACTCATGGCAAGAATCTGATGGTGGTTTACAATTGGCTGATACTTTGGATGAAGATGCATGTATTGTTGAAGGTTATGTAGAATATCAAACCTGGAGGCCGCATTTAGCCTATCTTAGAGATCCATATGGTGATCCCGAAGTAGAAATGGATCTTGATGGTATTGGTGGGGTTTCTATTTTAACTAAGGCTAAAGTATTCCGTACAGGATCCCATTTCCCAGCATTTTCATTTGAAAAACATGCCGAAACAGAAGCTTTTGGTAAATTAAGTAAGAGAATGGGTTATTCAGTAGTTGGATTACCTCATTACGTAATATGGCATATTTATGAACCTTCAAGTGATGATTTGAAACATATGGAATGGATGGCACTTGAAGAATCTCGACAACAAGAAGAAGAAAAGATTAAAAAAGTATATGATAAAGTATGGAATAAAGCCTTTGATGATGTTCAAGATGTATGGTCTAATGAACGTAATAAATTCTTAAAGAATACAGATATGAGTAAATTAAGACCTATCCATATTGATTGGACAGGAGTTGATGATTTTGATATCGATAAGACTAAAAAGGGAGGTGTTCATTTGGCAGATTTCAATCCTTAATAAGGATTAAGGATTAAAAATAATTAATCTACAGTTACAGTAAATAGTACATACAAATACGACAGTTCATAAACTATGTATAATTATATAACTACAATTAACAGCATATTATTCTGGAACTAACACTCGTGTGACAATGAACGAACAAGAAGTATAATAAATACTCCTCCATCTAAGCTTATACTTGAGCACTAAAAGTAAAACAGCCGACTCTATTACAAAAGAAGTCAAATCACTAAAAATATTCTTACGAGACAATGGATTTATTAGTTTAGATAAGGAATATACTCAATTACTTCTAAAATTAGAGTTTCGTATTTTACGTATCTACGATAATTGAATTGACAACAATTCTTTAATGAGGAAGTTATTATCGATATTGGCTGAAAAATATCGAAAACTTTGCTCCAATGGAAAGGATTTGAAATGGTCCTATTTTTGGAGAGTTGGTTGTCTTGCTAATTTTAATTGTCAATCGACAGTGCAGTAGAGAATCACTAAATTGTTTAGAAATAGTCTTACTTGGCACAGCAACACTAAGTACGGGGTTCACATTCATTGTTAATTCTAATTATAAATACATGGCTGGCTAATTACAATGCCTAATGTCAATTCATGTTCTTTAAAGCAATTGTCTCGGCTTCTTCACATGAATCTATGCCTATTACTTGAGAGTAGCCAGCTAACGCTCATGCTGTACGTACTCCATGTTTTACTTAACGAATACTTCTTTACTTGAACCCTTTTCTCTCACCTTCACCTTCACTTGCTTGTATCCCTTCTGGCTCTCACTTAGCAGACAGTGTTTTTTTAAGGCGAAAAAAAAAATAAAGAGGCGGTACTACGAGGACGATGAACTAAATCGATGTAGATTGCCATGTCATGTGGTGTCACTCCTTACTAACTCTAAAGGTTTATCTTGAGATTCAAATAAAGACTCATATACAACAAGTCCAAATTCTACATCACAATAGCAATGGGAAATCGGGATATTATTAATGCTAGGGACTTGTATTTTATAAGCCCATGAAATAATATACAAAAAATATATCGTTTTAGGAAGCGTCTTTACCAACTTAGAAAAGAGTCTTCATTTGACTAAGGGCAATTGATCTAGGGGAAAACCGAAGGGAGGGGTGAATAGAAGCCCGCCGCAACAGGTGGTGAGGCCCTTTGGGGGAGAGATGGGATTAGAAAAGGTCAATTTTACAGTTTAAGTACTGGTCAATATTGTACATTAAACAGGAATATTTTATATGCACAATGCAAGATTCATTTAGACTGTAATGTTCTCAATAGAAAAATAAATTTAAGTGGATTTACAGGTTGGACCTAAATTGATAAAAATGTCAACACAAAACGTTTAGGGAGTTATTTTTGCACATTAAGAGTTTTTGTAATCGCGAAATTTTTTTTTCAACATTCCGGTGTCTTTCGTTGTATCTAAATTTTTCTAATTCAATAATTGGGAGTATTATTGTACTTACGAATATTAATAAAGAAATCGCGAAGAAGGTTAACTTACGAGTTATGGTATTGTTCAATTATTATTTCGATGTTATGCTATAATTGAGGAGTAGAGGCGGATGACTAGAACTTGAATCTAAAATAATTTATTTAGCTAACCTATTTTTATGGGATTTGATTTCTCTCCTGCGGAGCGCTAATAATTTCCCTAAATGTAGTAGGCTTATCTAACCCATCTCTTTTAAATCCTATAAAAAATTTTGCAATTGCATAAACTGTATTAATCGAGTAACCTAACCCCGGTCAGAGAAGGAAAATCATGTACCTGTTTATTATGTGATGTTGTAAATTAAATCAATTAGCTAACTCGTTGCAAAGTGAAGTGAGTTAGAACGATCGGCGACATTTAGCGAATACTTTCGAAACGATTAACACTAAATTAAAGCGAGTAGCAATCAACAATAAATAACAACCTAGACCCAATGTTGCACTAAGAAGTTACATTTCTAGACGGGGTTATGTACAATATGTAGGTAGGTACACATCTTATCAGATGTGGAAGTAGTACTTCTGTTCTGAGATTATTATTGTAGGGATATGTAATCTCAATGGATAGCCACGTTGTACCTGAAAACATCAAACTACAACATTTCAGTTTTAGTAACTCTATTACATAAATTAGGAATCAGGTAACTTTCGGGAAGTGTTCATGTTTATGAAAGGGCTCAGTTTGTTCAGAAGCTATCCTAGAAAGGGTGTGTAACAATGATTCGCTTGAACATACACACACTCTATCAAATAAATTGCTATAGATGCAACACTAAGTAAGGATTGTACTAAATCCAAGACCATCATTGTAGTAAGAAATCTCTCGTATTCTACTTACTTATGAAGTCAAGATTTACTAGGGGCTTGCAATGCTTATTCCATTACGTATTGCTTCAATGCAACCTATTATTTACCTAAGATAAGAAATATTTATTGAGAGTTTTCGCTACATCCAGTTTGTTGCTGCCTCAATTTGAAATGCAGATTCTCGTAATCCGAATTAGTATTTCAAGTTGGAGAGGACGGTACCTAAATTAACGGAGCCATCAAATCAACGCATGTTGCAGCCTCAAAATTTTTGTTTTGAATAGACCATTAGCACGTTGACGTCAATAAACTTGGTCTCTCATCGTAGTATTTTTATAAACTTATGTTTAACTTCTGCACTTCAATTGAACTACTAATGAGGTAAAATAAGCATATTATATGAAGTCTGCAATATTTCACGGACGTCTAACTCAGAGAGACCGGCAGTAGCATATTCTATGACTAAGATTATGTGAAGGCTTAGTCTTTCATCGTGTACTTGGCGTCACTCATTATGTCGGAACTCCTACTTGAAATGAATCTCTTCTAGGACTTGCAGCCTACATTTGCATATTATTCAAACATGTAAATTGCTAACCCAACCTGTAAATGAAAATTACACATCTCCGATATGGAAGTATAATTGCAGCTTCATGAGTTTGTAATATTTGTTTTATCATCAGTTGTAATCGGGAAGAAATCCCACCACAAACTGTCCTCTATTGTTAACGTGTGTAAGCAATTGTTAAGGGCTTCAGTTTCATGTTTCTTTCGTTCACTCAAAAGTCAGCTTCTTTGTTTGCGGTCATAATTTTTTTTGTGCGTGCAACTCTTTGTTCTATGGTCCTTTGTTACGTAGTTCCTACAGTTAGAGAACCTTGTTCTCACTAAATTTTTTTTTAATTATGTACATAATTCACTATTATAAGATCTCATTCAAACCCAATTGTGTTTGCATTACGATTTGTCAGCCCACAAAGCAAACAAGGTAAATCGACTCAAATCAATTTAATTTAATTGAAATGAAATGAATTCGCTTTGGATAGAATGAATTAGCTCAAACATCGACAGTATTAGAAAAAGAGACAAAATTCAACTAAGCATTAAATTCAACTGTATAACACTTGTGTATGAACTAATTCATTTCTTATATGTAGCAAAAGTTGTAGATATTTATATAATTCATATTGATATTAGTAATTATTTTGTGCCAGTTTTAATGGGTTGAATATAACCTGTAAAAAATCTAAATAAGGAAAAATTAAAAAGAAATTTAAGCATTAAAGTTATTATCTTGACATACTTAACACATTTACTAGTCAAAATCCGCAAAACACCTCCTTGTGGTTAATTGAGGTACACGCTTTTTTTATTTATTTTGTCTTCAATATTATCCTTCTCCTTAAATTATTTTTCAGCAGATATTCTGAATTAGTTCAACGCTTTTCCCGATTTGATGAATCAGAAAATAAACCTGAATCAATAACAAACAAAAGGTACATCAGTAGCAATATTAAGAAGTTATCTACATCAGATTATCAGGGGACAGAATAGCTGTAGCATTTTAAGGAAAGGTTAATTCTTAATTGCTACGATTCTACCAAAAAGAGTCTGGGCAGAATAGCAAATCGTTAAATCCTACCAAGATTAAAACATAACCTAGTTGCCATCAACCCCTGACTTCAAAATTGAATAATTTAATTTCTTGAACATGTTACATCATTAACCTTTTAACTTTTATTATGTGCAATTAAGGTGGCACGGAGTACAGGTCCCACTTCCCATGTATTTTGTCATCGTAGAAATATTATATGGCATCAGTATATGTAGTTTACGAATTTGGGGTTTAATGTGACATCTTAGGCCTTAACCATTTAAAGATTGAGATCTTGAAATTAAAAGTAGGTCCATGTATGTTTATGTCAATGAATCTTCGAATTGGCGGTGATCTGTCAGGCAATTTTGAATTCTCATCGCCGATTGGGTAGCCAAGTTTATTCAATAAGTCATCGCGTAACAGTGCGTGAAAAATTTCTGAATGCATATTTAAAGATTCCTCTCAGTTTTCAAAAAGATGCGACCTAACCATACATTTACATGCGGGAGCATGGCACATCCTGTTGGTATGGAATCAGGATATTTCATTTCGATGATAAGTGCATACGAAATCTTACGCTACAAAATGAAAATATTATTTGTAGATGAGAGTCAATTATTTACAAAATTGTTCAGTTGGTCGATATTGTGGAAGATTTCATACAATTGTTTGGAATTTGTTTGTTTATAAATTTTTGTAGTTAGCGGACCATGCGCACTAAACTGAAATATTTTGTGTGTAACAATAGTTGTATATTATAGCTATGGGAGTTCTCATTAGTGGGAGTCCATATTCGTAAAAAAATTGATCCAACTAGGATTATTTTCCATCGTGGTCCGACTTTTACAATGAAATCTATTATTAGAAGACAATATCTAGCCAAGCAGTCTTGAGATGATAAGAACATAATAGTGACCCTTGTAGTATATATGTTCTACATCACTGTGCAACAATATAAATATAATTACTCAATAGTGCTTAAACTACTAATAATAGACAGCATATATTAGGATCTCCCTTACAAATCGCATGACATCCATTTGCTTAGCCTTAATTAGGCTTCTGTCAAAATGTTTCCTCTCGGTGGCTAACAAATACGGTGAGCTTAATATAGCTGCCTTACGGAGCGGATCAGTCCCCCTCATTAAAAGTCTATATTTTGCGTAAAATATAACCTGTAAAAACTCTAAAAAAAGAAGAACAAACACACAATGAAATAATATTCTAAAGAAGTTTCAATAAAATAAAAATAAAATAATAGATATTTTTTACCATGTTGGCTGCAGTGCATAAGTAGCACAAACTGCCTAATCGCAAAAATTTCCATCCCAACTGCTTTCCTCCTTTATTGCACATTACATTCAGCCAGTACACTTGACTAATTCCTCCTTAAAATATTTATAAACCTCGAATCCCCCTAAGAATTCCCTTATATTTTGCATATTTTATTCTTCTTCCATAAGAAAAGGTCTAAATTTTATTCCCTCGCTACTTTACCCTTTCCAAAGTTAGACTATATTCGCAATGAAGTTCTCAGTTAAGAGTTTAATCGCCACCGCTGCTTTAGTAACCAAGACCCTCGCTGTCAATGTCGCCTGTTTAGTTGAAGGTGTTGAAGTCGCTATTGTTGACTTAGACACTGGTGTTTGTCCATTCACCATCCCAGCTAACTTACCAGTTTTCTTTGACTTCACTTCTCCAGAAGATTTCAACGTTGAATTCTACTACTCTGTTGTTGGTAACGCCAGATTCTTCAACGATATTGTTGCTGCCGGTAGAATCATTAACATTCCAGCTATTGATTTATTCGGTTTACCAGGTGCTCCATTATACCAAGTTCACGTCCAAGAAACTCCATCTGTTAACTCTACTGCTGCTATCAGAAAGAGATTATTCAAGGATGACTCTGAATTATTAAAGAGAGATGCTGCTTCTGATTTTGCTGCTTCTTTAGAATCTCTTGATGGTACTTTAGTTAACTCTGGTGCTTTCCAAGTTGTTGCTTTATCTTCATCTTCATCTGCTCCAACTTCTGCTCCATCTACTATCCCAGTTTCTTCTGGTGTTGAAACCTTACCAACCGGTACCGTTACTACTACCCTTGAATCTACCACCCTTATTACCATCACTTCTTGTAAGGACCACTTATGTACCCCAACTGTTGTTCCAGCTACCCCAGCTTTAACCACTGAAACCATTAACGGTGAAGTTACCATTTACACTACTTACTGTCCATTAAGCGGTGAAACCGAAACCACCACTGTTGAATCTACCACCATCATCACCATCACTTCTTGTAAGGATAACAAGTGTGAAGAAACCACTGTTCCAGCTACCCCAGCTTTAACCACCCAAACTATTGAAGGTGTTGTTACTGTTTTCACCACCTACTGTCCAGTTTCTGGTGAAACCACCGCTGCTGCTGCTACTGGTACTCCAGCTGCCCCAGCTGCTGCCGGTACTTCTACTGAAACCGAAACCCTTACCAAGGGTGCTGCTGCTACCACTGGTGCCGCTGCTGGTACTCCTGGTGCTGCTGCTGGTACTACTGGTGCTCCAGCTCCAGGTGTTGCCACTACTCCAGTTACCGTTGCTGCTGAATCAACTGGTGCCGCTGCTACTACTGGTGCTATCTCTACTTACGAAGGTGCTGCTGCTAACTTCGGTGCTTCCTTATTAGCTTTAGCTTTTATTCCATTAGCTTACTTATTATAAGTTAGTTAATCAACTTTAATTGCATCTAATCTAATAAAAGAAATTGTTTTTCCTGTTACAACTGTGTTCTATTTTCATGTTAATTATTAAATCTAATTTCGAATTATTGGTTTTTTATTTTCTTCTCGATTAGAGTGAAATGTAAAGAATTGATCTTTGAAATGGTTATTTAATTGGAGTTCTTCATTTTTAATTTATGTGATCCATTACGTACTTCAATTGAACTTTAATCGTTTACCCATTATCTTTCCATTTCGTGTGTGGTGTTTCTTTAAATTGAAATCAACTGTTATATTTTCGTATTTTAATTAATTGGGTCATTGGACTTTGATTCCAAGTATTATTTCATTATTTCTATCATTATATTGTTAATATTTAAGAAGAGAAAAGAAAGATGATAAAAGTAAACGAGTCTTTTTTATTATTCTTTGAGGATGTACTATATGTTTTATTTTTATCATTAATCTTATTTCAATCGTTTCACTATAAATTAAATATACCGTTATATTTTTATAGTTGATTTTTATTCCAAAAGAACGTCATCAAATCATTCTTGTTTTTAAAGAAATGGGATCAGGGGAAAATTGTTATTTATTCATTTTTAAGTAATGGTATCTTTCTTAATCCTGATGTTTCTTTCTTAGAATATCGTTTCGGTTTCATCCTTATTTTTCTGGTTACTAAAGTATTCTATTTTAAACATTCAATTATCGATTGATTGTTTATTTATATTCGAAAGGTCATTTTATAAAGTATTTTTACATAGTATTCTATTATTTTGAAGCCTCAAAGGGTTCTGTTTATTTCTATCTCTTCTATTTCTTAGAGATGGTACTTTTTTAATTCTTCAACTTGTTTAATATAAAACTCATTAAAAAAATTTAAAAATGTAGTTGAAAAGCTGCGAAAATTTTAATTCCGTAGTTTTTCGGGCGTTGCTTTGCTAACCTGTAAAAAGCTTATTTTTTATCCTGTTTGGGCAAGGTCGTGTCTTTTTGGCACAACCAGCCTTTTGTTTGGCCTTGTTTAAGTATAATCAGCCAGCCATTCCAATCAGATCTGTATAATTGACGCCAACTTTCTCTTAATTAAGCGAAAGCAACTTGACAACGGTCTCGTTACTCCGCTACACTTGAGCCTTGTATAAGTGAATGACTAATGGTTTGATTATAAATACTACAACAGCAACAACTACAACAACGAATAATAACCACTACTAACAGCTCCAACCATATAAACTCGCGTAAGATTTCCATATTGTATTGGCTTGCAGCTATATTCCAAAAAATATTATGTCAATCTTTAACGTGATGATTATAATAACTAAATCAACAAATGCAGACTGTAGTCTACGCCCCCAATATTGATTTAGACTTAATTCCTTACAATGGAGACCCATAACCGTGATTTACGTTTTTGATTGTCAAGCAAACCTGTAATCCCTCAAACTGCCTAGCTCTACCTTTAACAATTCCCTCAATTGGTTAAATTAAAGCGTCAACTGAACTCCGTGCATGCTTGAAGCTGGAATGCACATGTTCTTTGTTTCTCTCAGTTTCTCACTTTTTTCCCACCGCGTCTTTGTACGACATCATATAAATTAGTAAATAAAAACATAGTTGCATTGTCATAGTTTACTCGTTTACTTTCTTATTTGAAGTACGCTTAATGTACATACAGTTTATTGTTTGTTGTGTTGGTAACAAATGTTTGTTACTTCAGAAGAACCTCGAGAAATACACTAAATAAAAAAATGGTTATCTTATAGAAATTGTATTTACTTAGTGAGCAACCTGACCTTTGTTACAGTTCTCTAAATCAGAACATGCAGAGCACAATAACTATTATTGTTTATAGTCCAATACCATGAACAATATATACAAGTTGATGGTTACGTTCGATGGTTATATAGTTCTTCAGCTCGTATATTGTGTGTCGTAAATGTCCAAGACAGTTAGACGAAAACACTAAGCCAAACAAATCCTTTTCAAACCCTGAATTAATGGTACACGAAGTGTTCATAATAATGGAGTAGTAATCTGATTTTGGATATAGGCTAAACAATCCCGATGAAATATGTTAATAACTCTAAACTTGAATACCTTATCTTTTCAAACTTTTTTTTATTAGTGATCATTGATCAATTATCAGTGATCAATTTAGCTATAGCTTAAAAAGAGAGAAATGTTGCACAATTTATAATTCGATTAGAGCCAACGCGAACGAAAACTCCAATTGTAAGGAACGATAGACCAAATATGGTGAGATTTCTACTCAATTGGATTCTGTGAATGGGCATTTGACGAAGTTGGAAATCAGCTTACCCTTTTAGGAAGCTTGGATCCAATACATTCTATCCTAATGCTAAGAAAAAGTTAAAATACTACACAAATGGGAAAACTTTAAAATACTATTCTATTTTCGTTACCGCATCTCCATGTTTTATTGGTGGCTTAAATATTACAGTCGGCAACATATGAATGAGATGTGCCTGCGCCTGAGCCTGTAACCATATGTGGAGATGTTGATTTATAATGTTGTGCAAGAATCAGAAAATTGGTCTTAGAGTTGTCAGGACATCACTTGATACGTACCTTTAAGTTACATATCATAGTACTTCCTATTTAGATGTCCTAGTAGACTTTGCACTAGCCTGTACAACCTCATGGATCAAATTTAAATTAGTTGGATCCCATTTTTCTTGTTGTTTGTTGTTGTTAAATTTGTTTGTTGCCCGTTTAAGCATTTCAGACGCAAAAAGATCAAAAGTTTAAAGTTGAAAAATTTCTTGTCTTACTGATTAGTGTCGTTTTCGCCTATTATGAGGCCATATGTGAATCTACACGATAGTTTTAAGTTTTTTAAAGTTTTTGCAAGGCTCATACTCATCCTCCGTCTTCAAAAGTAAACAACCTAATATCGCCTGTAAACATTATAAAAGGGACTTGATTCCCAATATAATCGAATTATAATTGTTATCTTTCTTCTGTCTTTATTGAACCCTTAAAACTAACTCATACATTCGCTTATAATCAAGATGCAATTCTCCGCTTTATTATCCATTGCTACTTTCGCCGCAACTGCCCTTGCCGCAGATTATGCCAACACAACTGTCACTGAAACTGAGTTATCAACCACTCTTATTACCATCACTTCCTGTGACGAAGAAACCTCCTGTACTGCCAAGGTTGTTCCAGGTACTGCTGTTGTAAGCACTGTCACTGTTCATGGTGTTGAAACTATCTTCACCACAATTTGTGAACTTACTGAAACCCCAGCTGAAACCCCAGTTGAATCAACCCCAATTGCAACCGTCGTTGTTGTTCCAGTTACTACTCCTGCTGCTGCTACTACTGAAGCTCCAGCTCCAGAAGAATCAACTGCTATTGAAACTATTTACAGTACTATTACCAAAGGTAATGTCACTATTCCTACTGAAGTTCCAACTTACGAAGGTGCTGCTAATAGTGTCAAGGCTGGAATCTATTTATTAGCTTTAGCCCCATTAGCTGGTTTACTTTAAGTAAATAGACTAAGATAGAAATATTCTTGCCTAAAACTAACGGATATCTTTCTTTATTCTGAAATCAATAATTTATTTCGCGTCTCTCATGTTCTACTAGTTTAGAAAATATACAATTTTATCTCTAACTAATATTTAAAGAAGTGTCTGCATAATGACTGGCTCAAACGCTTCACTTAATAGCTAAACTTAATACATAACTAATGTTCTCCACTCTTCTATAATACATCAAAATTTGTATAATACATCAAAATCATGACCAATATTTTTGTTTTTGAGAAAAATACCACCAACAGGAAAACGGAGTCATGCAGCAAAAAAGTAAAAGTCCCCAATTTCTTTTTTGGGGGTGTCTATAAAAAAAGATCATGAGATATCCACATTGTTACAGAGATCGCTACAATTAAAATGGGACTGTTTCCCTTTGCAGCTAGTAGAATATACCATGCTTTTACCGCCTTTCTCAATTCCCTTAGGAATAATATAATTGCTCGGCCGGATTGCCAAATGAGCTTTTACATCCCTCATTTCGGATTTTAAAATGAATTAGGATAAACAAAAGAATTTTGTCTCACTCAATACAGCAGACAATTTTAAGTACCCATTTCTTTTTATTACATCACACCCTGCACATCATTCATGCAAAGCTTAAAGGGCTGAAACATTGATGTAGTACTTGACCCATAATCTAACATTCAACACCCCACAAAAACTCTACAACAAAAGTGATTATCGTACTAATATTATTCGTTAATTAAAATAGTGATATATAAAGAGAACTAAACTAATTAAAAAATTCCTTTATAGTATCTAGGGAAGTAAATCGTAAACACATCAATTGTACTCAATATTAAATTTTATATGTATCAATCTAAACTTGTTCCTTTTCTTCAGTAGAACCGGAGTCTGGAGTGATTAAATCTTGACCTTCTTTATGTTCCACGTTCATCTTGTGAGCTAATTCAGCATCAGATAATAATGGAACATGTGGTTGCCATGAAGCAGATCTCCATGCTGGAACCTTTTCGTCCCACATTTGACCAATTTCTTCCAATCTCTTACCTTTAGTTTCTGGGAAACCGAAGTAAACATGAATAGCCATTACTAAACAACAAACTGCATAGATAATGTAAGTCTTCCATGAGATGTTTTGGAAAGACGATGGAGTGTACATAGCAATAGCAAAGTTTAAGATCCAGTTGGCAGCAGTAGAAACAGCAGCACCTCTTTGTCTAGAAGCAGAGTCACCCCATACTTCAGAACAGTAGACCCAGATACCTACACCCCAAGACATAGCAAAGGAACAGACGAATAAGTAACAACAAGCAATAACACCTCTAGCAGCGGTCTTGTGTGAGTCTGGAATTGTAATGTTAACAGTCTTGTTACCACCTACACCACCTGGAACTGGAACAGAATAGTTACCTAAGATACCGGCGACACCAGATTGGAATGTCATCATTAAAATAGCACCAGTAATTAAAACCTTTCTTCTACCAACTTTATCCATCAACCATAAAGCTGGAACAGTACAACCCATATTTAAGACATATTGAATAGAAGAAGCAACTAAGTTAGTGTTACCAGTGTAACCAGCCATTTGGAAAACGTAAACGATATAGTACATCATAACATTCATACCAGTCAATTGTTGCCAGATTTGAGCAAACATAGCAGTGAAAGTTCTGTAGATATACTTCTTTCTGAATAAATCAGCGTAAGTGAAAGCCTTGATGTTTTCGTCGACTAAGATTTGATCTTTAATTTCAGAGATTTCAATCAAGACATCTGGGTCTTCTCTGTTACCTTTGGCTTGAACTTGAGCAACAACATGTTCAGCTTCATCCCAGTATCCATTCTTAGCTAACCATCTTGGAGATTCAGGAATGAAGAAACAACCAACGAATAAGATTAAACCTGGAACAATTTGGATACCCCAACCAAGTCTGAATGAGGCCTTACCGTTAATGAAATGTAAACCGTAACAAATGTAGAACATAATTAAGATACCTAAGGTAACAGCAAATTGGAAAATACCACCAATGAAACCTCTGATCTTTCTTGGAGCCAATTCAGCACCGTAAACTGGAGCAACAGCAGAACCAAAACCAACACCGAAACCGGAAATAAGACGTCCAATCATTAATTGAGCTCTGTCTTGGGAAGATGATTGAACAGCAGCACCAACAGACCAGAAGAAAGCACATAACAATAATGATAATCTTCTACCGAATGGTTCAGAGATGAATGTAGAAGCAATAGAACCGAAGAAGGATCCTAAAGGCATACAAGAAGTAATGAAACCTTGAACATTAGCAGATGGAGTGTGGAAGAAGTTTAAGTAAGCATCTTCACCGATGAAGGCTGACATAGAAGAGATATCAAAACCAAACATCATACCAGCGATGGTAGAAATAGAAGCAATAAGATAGACATTGTAAATATTTGGGAATTTATCAAAGAATAATCTAACCTTTAAGGCAGGTTGAACAAATCTGTCTTCAAAAGCCATTTTGTGAATGAGATTGTAAGTGTATAATTATGATTTAAAAAGAATATAATAAGGACAGTCCCTAGTGGGAATTTCCATCTCCTTATATACTTTTTCATTCTATGACAATATGCTTGCAGGAAATTGTAAAGTTGGGGAATCTGTACGTTGAATATGGAGAAATCTGGATTAATACATGGATTAGCCATAAAAATTTTTCCTTGTCAGCATAATATTTTTTTAGCACCCAACTTCATGCATGAACTCCAAATAATTGACAAAAATTATCCATTGTATGTGGGGCAATTTTCCCGGTGCGTGAATTGAAAATGCAGACACTTTCACACATTTGTCAGTCTTTTAATCATCGGAAAGAGGAATTTCTTTTTATTTTTCTCTAAAATCCATATACAAATCGATATTGTGTAAAGTCTCCAAATAAGCATGATCTTTTCTTTACTCTTCTAATTTCAGTTTCAGGCTGTTTGCCCCAGACGCTTCTCCAGACTCATACATGAGCTACCCCAAAGTTTTAAATGAGCTTATCATTAAATCTATACGGCACGAAGGTCCCCACTTGGATATGTGTTTCTGCTATTTTACTCTCTTCGGCTCGCAAACAAGAACGGCACATTTATTGCATGGGTTCAGTGTATAGTATTTCTTGTACTGAAATAATTTGACCTACTTTATTAGTAATATTTTATTCAGCGGTTGGTGAAGGCCTCTTGACTTACTGGTGTTGTTATTAAAATAAAAGGATTAATATCATCTCGGGAAGATTTTTTCCGATATGCTAATGTTAAATCTAGTTTACAGTGAAACCCCGTTAAAAGAATAATTAACTGCTGTTCCTGATTTTATCATCCCATCAGTTGCACAATATTTTTTGGGACAGCGTTACACATAGGTAAGAGCATTAAAAGAGTTTGATTAAAAATAGTTCATTGTCTGAATAACAGGCGACAGGAGCCGCTTGAATGGTTTTCAAGTCTTCTCCGAGTCAAATTAAAAGATTACTTTAAAACGCTGTATCTCACCATTAAAAGAAATTTGCATGAGCATTGCAAAAAGTAAAATCATGTGGTTTGCCTCAGCGGCATTAAGCGGTAAATATTTTTTTGTCGTTAGAGGGTGTTTAGAAATACAGTTAAACCTAAAACAAACAAAGACAAAATAACTCAAAATAATAAACTAATGTCAACATAAAGTCATATCATGTATCTTACTGAAAGAAGCTCGACAATAACGGTTTCTCGGAAGATGACTAAATGTCAACCCTTTACAGTAGTTAAATAGATGGGATCGTTCGGGTGTGTTTGAACCAGATTGCCACCTAAAAAGTCAGTCATGCTCCTGAATTGCTCCTTGAGTCTCTACTGTTTAAACGAAAATATATGCTGCATTGTCTCTCCCTAGTCCTCAGTGCAGAATTGGTTTACAATATTTGCTTGCTTTTACTTATATCTTTTCTGAGTTCCGTGTTGTGTCTGATAATGAAATGCAGTCAAAAATGTCTGCATATTTCTCCCCACTTTAAAGATTTATTTGCATATTTTCAAAGTTTTTGCGGATTTTTTTTCTGCAGTAAGGAAAAAATTAACCTATTACGAGTCAAATAATTCTCCCGGAGGATTTTTCCTAAATTTTTACTTCTCACATCCATGGACAAATTGCATAAATGCCACTTGTGTTGTAGCTTATGAAGTTGCTAAACTAAATAAACGTTATGAGAATTTACTAATATAGAGAAATATAAGCAATGAATATGACTATTGTTTCGTCGATTAGACCTGATTTGCCCATTTTGGAAGTCTTTGTTCAGCGTTATTCCAATGTTTGAGAAAAGCCTTTTCCGGAATAACTCTGGGGGAACTTTTGTTTTGTGTAATTTACCGCTTTAATACCAGCAGAACAAACAAAGAGTGGGCAAAAAAATAATTGAAATAGCTAATAATTAATTAGTTTTTCCCCACTTTGTTCTGCAGTTTGATGAATAATCCTGCTGGTAAATTCCACTCACTCGTTACTAATAAAAGGAATTTATCCGCTGGTAATAATTGACTAACAATTTTTGTTGTACAAAATCTCTAATTACATCCGTTGACAAGCAAACAGACCAATAACAGGATAAATCGTGAGATTCTTTTTATTGTGTAAATAATATTCTCCACTTGTTCAAGAAGTACTAAGTTCCGACACAATTCTTCTTTTATTGTTTTTAGATTAACTTTATTTCTATCTCCTTGAGCTGCACAAAAGCTATATAATTTGATTTTACGAAGAATGGTAGGCTCCTGACTCAATTACAAGCGGGGACCTGAATTGTTGCCATGTGTCTGGTATTAGTTACAAACCATCCGATATTGAATACAAATCTACCCCCTCTCTAAAGGTGAGTCAATACATTTATGACCCAACATACTACAGACTCGTAGAGTTTCTACAGCCTCTGATTCACCTTTTGTTCAGAGTTTGTTCATATCTCAAGCTACACCGAAGAATGACAACTTGCCAAAAGCAGAGGTATGTTTGATGAGGCAGGGATCAATTCGAGTATCAATTAAAATTAAACTTGAACATTTTTTTCGCTTACATCCCCTAGATTTTGTTCCGTGATTTGATTACTTCAACTGCTGTTGGCACTATTCTATTGTAACGTTACCTTTAATCCATTTGAATAAATGAAACATTACATGAAAACGCTCTTTCCCCTCCTTCTCCCTCATTTGGGGTTATTGATCTGTGTAAAAATAAATCGTTCCTTTGCTCCTATTGGAGAATGACGAGTAATAATAACTAAAAGAGTGCGGAGACATTGTTCTTGACCCGGACCCCCTTTGGAAAGAAAATCTTTAAAATCTTCGTTAACATACACAGCTGCTAATTCGTGCTAATATTTGAATACAAATTATGTACATACCAGCTACGCCATTATAAAGGAAGTTAGTTACGCTCATAACTTTATCGTATTATTAATATCGTTTGAAATAGCTTAAAAACCTTAAACGGATGTTGGGAACTATATAACTGTCAGATATTCCTGCAGCTTTTGTCCACTAGTGCTCATGCATGTCGGTGGCTAGATGCTGGTCCGTATGTTGCACCAGAAGTTTATTCTATCTTATCAATACTCTTCATTGTTGATATAACAATGGAACTATTGCTGATGTCCTCACTGCTATACCTCGAAAATGGAGCCAAGAATTTTCCGGGAAAAAATGGATCTCCAGTTTTTCCGGTACTTAAGCCCCATTTACTTTCCAATATTATGTGTCTGTCTCATATTTTTGATATTTATCCGTTTGACCCCACAAATAAGCTGGAGATTTTGAAAAAGATGATCCGAAGAGTACTGTTTCTTGTTTAAAATGTTTCATTGCTAGTGTGTTTGAGTTGTCGCTTCTGTCAGGTTTAGCTACTTTGGAAAAATCAAAACTTGACAGGAAAATGTCTGCTGCATTTCTTGGCCAGAAAAACAGCAATCAAGAAAAGCTATTTCCAAGATTATCCGTTTGCTGATCCAAGCATGTAGTGCTGCAACTTATCTATCTGATCATGGTTCCTACAGGTTAATACGCTTCGCGCCTTAAAAACAGCCTCTTGTCTTGTATACGTTTTATTCACAAGAAAAGGGTAATTTTAGATCAGTTATATAAAGCTACAAGCATTTAATAATGTTTAATTTTGCTGTTCAGTCTGGTGGTATTTATCAAGAGAGACTTCTTGGTGTCCAAGAGAAACTCAATAAAATGAGAGATAGGAGAGATATTGTAAAATTGAAAATTGTTATTCAATTTTGTTGATACAATTTGGAATCAGGATTGACCTATCTAACTAGATGATGCGGAGAAAACTACACGTGATGGTAATCATGTGATTAAATACAATTAGTGTCAATCATAAGATAGAGTTATCGTATTAGTTGAGTGGAGGAGTTCATTTGGACTGTTGCCTGCTTGTTTTTTAAATTTATAAGTACATGAGAAAGAACTTGCCTGGTCGTATGCTTAAGTCAGTAAAAGACATCTATAGTAATATAAAATAAAAAATATAAGCACAACGTGTGAATCCCTTTACAACGAATTCCAATCTATCATGAATGTTACCTCTTAGAGTAGTTCAATTTTATCTTTTTACTGATATGATCAATCCAATACACTTTGTAGGTATTTTGTTGGTTGTCTATTTTGCGCAGAGAGATGAGGAACGTTCCTGGAAAAAAGTATTTGAACTCTGGAAAAAAATTCTCCGATAGCCTATAAAATAAAAGGTGTATGTCATACTTGTGGAGAGCTTTCATGTCAAGTATCAAGAGAATTAAGTTAGATACCACTAGTGAAATGGTTAAGATTTGTACACATTCTGGTTCATTCCATGCAGATGAATCTCTTGCTGTCTATTTATTAAAATTATTACCAAAATTTAAAGACGCGGAGTTAATTAGGTCTAGAAACGCTGTTGACTGGGAACAAAGTGACATTGTTGTAGATGTTAGTGGTAAGTACGATGGAGTTAAATACTTTGACCACCATCAACGTGAATTTGACACCACTTTTTCAAGTGCCTATAAGACCAAATTATCATCTGCAGGGTTAATTTATAAACATTTCGGTAAAGAAATTATACAAGAAGTATTAAAGATTGAGGATGAAGCCAAGGTGGAATTATTGTATCAAAAAGTTTATAAAGAATTTGTCGAATCTTTAGATGCCAATGATAATGGTATAAGTAACTATTCCAGAGAAATTGAACAAAATAAAAAGTTCACGGATAAGCACATCACTTTACCAGCTTTGGTTTCCAATTTAAATCCATCTTGGATCGAAAATCCAACTGATAAAGATTTTGATAGACAATTTTTATTAAGTAGTGAGTTAATGGGAGTTTCATTTTTGAACTTATTAAAAGGTTATGGTAATTCATGGCTTCCAGCCAAGACCATTGTCGAAGAAGCCTTTAACAATAGATTTAATGTTGATAAATCAGGAGAAATAATCATCTTAAATCAATTCTGTCCATGGAAGGAACATTTATATAGTATCGAAAAGGATAATGATGCCGAAGGAGCTATTAAGTTTGTATTGTTTAAGGATTCAAGCAATGCTTGGAGAATTTCAACTGTCTCACTTACATCTAGTTCATTTGAATTCAGATTAGGATTAGTCAGTGAATGGAGAGGTTTGAGAGATGAACAATTGAGCGAAAAGAGTGGAGTAGAGGGATGTATATTTGTTCATGCCGCGGGCTTCATTGGTGGTGCTAAATCTCAAGAAGCTGTCTTGAAATTAGCCCAATTATCCTTGGAAAAAGCTTGAGCATACTTATTTCTAACTTATATATGCATGCGAACATTTGTAAATATCCTCATGTAACATAATTAATAATACAATATACATTTCTTGGTTTTGCATTTGCTTATCATAATTATAAATTTGAATTAAATGTTTGTACGATAAGTGTGGTGCAAATTAAATTTCCTGTATTCCGTTGCTAAAATAGGAAAAAAAATATTCACAAGCTAAGATAGCCTGAAAGCTTGCTGCAAGAAAGTGACCCAAATGGGGAGCATACTGAGATAAGGGAAGGTGGAATCGAAATTTATCGTTTACGAAAAAATTTTCATTTTCAATTGCTTAATTTTGCGCTTTTGGTGTGGTGCTTTGTTAGATTTAGTCCGTTTTCAGCGATATTTCCGGCGCTTGTGATGATCGACATTTAAAGCCATGCTGGACATTACATCGTACAGTACTTACAGGATTATTTGCATGATGTACTCTTATTCTTATCTTAGGACACGCATTTGAGAGTCGTTCATGAACTCAAGTTTGAATCGGAGTTATCAAAGCCATATTTAAACGGCATTAATTTCAATTTAATTTAATTTATTGTTTATCTGTGTTATAATTTTTGCGCTTTCCTATTTAGGAAGAATATTGCGCATCATTTTTATTGTTTTCTTCCAAAGGAAAACGAATTTTAAAAAAATTAAAATCACTTAAATAGTTCAAGTAACCATTCCTGTTTGATTCGAAGAATTAAGTACATGCTTTTTTTGAACTCTGATTTTCTTAACTCTGTTTAAGTATGAGCATATAGCTTTGAAAAGTTAAATATTGTCCAAAATGGAGTCAACAGTATTACAAATCCCTCCCCACAAGAGAGTTGGGCTACTGGTAAGAAATTTATCAGTCATAGTTAAAGCACAAGAACAGACTCAGAGTCAAAAGGAAGCCCAAAATAAAGTGGCGACACAACAAGCTATTAATATTGAAGAAGGAATATATGAGGATGACTTGAAATCTAAGATATTGAACGATATTTCATTTGACTTGGAAGCTGGTCAATGCCTTGCCATAGTTGGTGGATCTGGTAGTGGTAAAACTACATTACTTAACACTTTATCTCAGCGAACCAATATCACCAACAAGAAGTTAAAGTTTGAAGGTGTTGTAAATTATAAAACTTGTCAAGAAAACGTAACCCACATCAAACATGCATACCTTTTACAGACAGACATCTTTCTCCCTGGATTAACGGTGTTTGAGACTTTGAAAACACAAGCAGACTTAAGATTACCCAGCTCTGTCCAAACTTCTGAGAAATTGGAATTAATAGAATCATTAGTGGATGTGTTGGAATTAACTCATGTTCGAGATGTAATAATAGCGTCTTTCTCAAACCATGCAACTACATTATCAGGCGGAGAGCAACGTCGAGTTTCCTTAGCTATTCAGTTGTTATCACGTCCATCTATATTATTTCTTGATGAGCCAACGACTGGATTGGATACGACAAGTTCATTAAAACTAGTGCACGTTCTCAAGAAATTAGCATCTCCTGCTTATGGAGTGACAATTATTTTATCTATTCATCAACCCAGAAGTGAAATTACTGTACTATTTGATAAGATTTGTCTTTTGACAAAAGGAGGTCGACTTGTTTATTATGGCAGTTTAATAGATGCCACTTCGTATTTTAATGATTTACACATTCTACGAGATGCCGATGGTTCTGATGGTAATAATAAGCAAAATTTTATAGAATATATTATGGAACTATCAGTTCGAGATACTACTTCGGAAGAGTTGGAAAGAGTTACAAATGTTCGAATTAACAGTCTTGTCACCAACTGGAAGCAAACATCATCAATGTTACAACCAATATCAGATTCTGATTTTAACAAGAATCTTCAATTATTTGCTCGACAATCAAAAGATAAAATCTCCTTTTTAAGAGAATTAGAGATACTAACGAAAAGAACTTTCTTATTAACCTACCGAGATACGCTCTCATTAATATCTATGAACTTGGGAGCTGCACTATTAGCAGTAGCAACTGGTTGGTTATTCTTTCAGCCTACGCCAGATCTATCTGGGATAAGATCTATTACTTCAACATTATATGTCATGTTGGAAGTTATTGGATTTTGTCCAATGTATTTTGAATTAGAAAGACTATGGGCGACTGATGGAGTCTTCTTCTATCGAGAATACCTGGAGCATCATGTATCTATTCCAGGATTTCTTCTTTCAAGAAGATTAGGCAAATTACTCTTGGAAGATTTACCAGCATCTATTATATTTGGTTCAATAACCTATTTCATGTGGGGTTTACGTACATCAGCTGAATATGGTGAAGGAGAATTTACCAGCAGATATTTTGGAATCTATCTTTCCATATGTATTCTAGTTGAATTAAATGCTATGGGATCTACTTTAGTATGTTTTGCAGTTGCCAATGATTTCTCAATAAGTTCTCTTGTTTTAAATATATTTTACCAATTGCAAAATAGTGCTTGTGGTTATTTTGTTAATGCTGCTACTATGCCAGTATATGTTAGATGGATTAAATATCTTGCATATTTTTGGTATGGATTTGGAGCATTAGCTGCTAATCAGTTTACAAATTGGATGGGTGCTTGTCCATACGATGAATCTGATTCTCGTTGTATTCAATATTCAGGAAATTATCAATTGCGGTTATTGGGATACCCTATGAATTGGATTGCTGAACCCATTGGTATTTTAGTAGCTTGGATGGTGGGATTTCATGTATTAACATGGATAGCATTTTACTATAAGACATTTGATGTATCCATTGCTAAGACAAAGAAAAATAGAATTGACAAACCTGTAAAGAAAGGAGATGAAGATGAAGATGAAGAAATGACAGATTCAATCATTGATGATGAGAAGAATGATCCTACATTAACAGAACCTATAAGTGGCAATATAGATATTACCATTAAGAACTTAACTTTCCTTGTTCAAAAGAAGAACCTTTGGAGAAAGACAGTATTGGACAAATTACTTTTAGATAATATTAATTCTAGATTCAGTGGAAGTAAAGTAAATGTAATTATGGGACCATCAGGTAGTGGAAAGACAACATTATTAAACTATCTTTCCAATAGATTACCAAAATCTCAGGGAAGTGTTTTTAAGTCAACGGGAGATATTGAACTAAACAATTTTCAACCCATTAGCCGTGAGCAATTATCTCAGGCATCTGCATATGTAACACAACATGATAATTCTCTCATTCATAACTTAACTGTTAGAGAAACCTTATATTACCAGGCTAGAATCAGATTACCTGTGAAACAGCATAATGATATTCCATTCATCATCAATGACTTGATTAGGAAAACAGGGTTAATTGATTGTGCTGATAAATTGATTGGTTCTGAATATGTAAAGGGGATCAGTGGTGGTGAGAAAAGAAGGGTATCTATTGCTATCCAATTGTTACTGAGACCAAAGATTTTATTCTTGGATGAACCAACATCAGGTTTAGATTCAGCCACTGCCTGTAAGATTTTGCAATTATTGGAGACTCTTGCAGAAGAGAATCGTACGACCATTATTATGACTATTCATCAACCTAATGACGAGATGTTTAGACGATTTGGATCTTTATTGTTATTGGCAAGAGGTGGTAAAGTAATCTTTAATGGAAGCATTGACCATATCCGGCCATACTTTGATTCATTAAATTATTCGATTCCTGCTGGTGTGAATATGGCTGATTACATTCTCGATTTGATTTCGAAAAAGGTTGATGAAGACAAGCAAGATTCACAAAATAGAATCACTAGTTTAATTCATGAATGGAAATATCATAAGAATAATAATCAAGGAAATGCCCATGATGATATTGAGGTTCAAGTAAAATCACATAAAATCATTAATATTTCTGATTATTATCATAAGAGATTACCCTTATACGTTACTTTCTTAACGGTTGCTGAACGACAAGTATTAACATCCTATAGATCCAAAGATGTTATATTCAGTCGAGCTGGTCAAACCATATTCTTAACTATAGTTCATACGTTATTCTTTTCTCCATTGAGAAATCTGCAAGAAGGAATAAGCAATCGACTCGGATTAATTCAAGAAGTGTTGAATTTATATTTTGTTGGATTGGTTAATAACATTACCCTTTATCCAACAGAAAGGAATTTGTTCTACCAAGAGTATAAAGATGGAATATATGGAGTTTTCGAATTCAGTGGTTCATACTTGATAAATGAGTTACCCACTGAAATAATCCCATGTTTATTTTTCAGTAGTATGATAGTATTTGTGGCAGGATTACCCAGAAATCCAGGAATGTTTTTCAGTATGTTTGTTACTGGATTTATTTCCATTAATTCAGGTGAATCATTGGGAATTATGGTTAATAGTTGTTTTAATCATTTGGGTGTAGCCACTAATATATTATCCAATTTAGTTATTTTAGCAATTTTCATGGGTGGAACCATGTCATTACAAATGCCACCATTCTTTGAAGGAATTAATTATATTAGTCCTATGAAATATGCAGTGGGTATATGTGCCGAATTAGGATTTAGAAATCAAGTCTTTACATGTGGAGATGAGGAGAATTGTATATTAAACTCTGGTCGAGCTGTATTAGATTATTATGGTTTAACCAATAATATTGGGGCTAGTTTTGGTGGTTTAATAGCATGTTTGATACTTTATAGATTAATTGCTATTGCATCTATATACATTAGAGTTAAGTATTACAATTGAGACTAATAAATAACTAAATAAATAAACAGATAAAATAAATAAACAAATAAAAATAAAAATAAATAAATAGATAGAGAAGTACGTGAATAATGAATGAAAGAATGTATAGATATCGGGTCCGGATTTGCGTATATAACCAATAGAAATAGAGTTTAAATGCACGCGTATAGTGGCATGAGATGATTCAGAGTCAAAATACAACCATCTTATTATTTCGCTAACCCGATCCAAAGTATCTTGAAACTGAAATTACTCCATATAAAAATAATTACAATGTGAAAGGAAGGTGAAGGAAAAAGAAAAAGGGATACAAAAGACTATAATCATCGTATCCAAAGTGTGGTATTCTTAATTTAGTAACATACTCAAGCCCCCTTAAAAATGGCAACCTAGTAACTAAATACACCATATCTTCCTTCCTATATTTTATAATATGTATCTGTTTATTTACGTATTTATACTTTCGGCTTCTCTCTCATCACACTTAGAAGCTAGCTCTTCTGAATTGCGCTAATCCAACAATATAAAATCTCCTCGTTGATTCAACTCTTCCCCACCTGCAGCTTATCTTTTTGTGTTAACACGACAACTCCCTAAGCTCTCAGCCTGCGCACCAACAGTATGCAGGGATTTTTAATCCGATAAGCACCATAGTAAAGCTACAAGCTGATTAATATACTCGATGGTGTGACTGCTTAGAATAGGCATACCGTAACAGAACTGGGATGAAGATAATGTCATAATTCCGAACACATCAGGGCCAAATAAGCACATTACGCGCTAATAAAATAGGAGTTTTTGTAACCAACTGATAAATCTGATTAAGGGATACCCACACCAACAAAAAAAAGTTTAAGGAAGCCAAATCACTCCCTGAAAATAAATAAATAAATAAATAAATAATGGAACAATTAAATGCTAATTAATTCTGGAAATGTTTCTATTCTTTCTTTTACCTCTTTGTTCTTCTTACTCATCTGTTCATCGTTTCGTCCAATAGCAAATCGTGTAAGGCTAACATGACGTACTATACTTATACGGTTGAATGGTATGTTGCATTGCGATCCAAAAGCTTTATCTCATTAGACCTATTTTTTTTTTGGCTGCTTTTCGGCCTGATAAACCCCCTTAATCTAACCTCACGAGGTATCCATAGCAAGTGTTGATCTGATATATCACTATATGATTCAAGTCTCTAGCCAATCAATCTAGTATTATTAACTTATATATCATTGCATGATTATAAGATAGATCTTTTGATCAGATCTAAAAAGATTCAGCAATGATAGCTAGCAAGGATCAAACGGCTGCGTGTACGCACTTAGATCATGAAATTTCCACACCACAATCTAATGAGATCTGAGTCATTTATATAATAACATACTAACTTTTAAACATTATAGGCCATCAATTAATCCTGATGAGATTAAGTCCATTCAAATTACTGGGAACTTTGATAATTGGTCCAGATCCTTACCAACTCAATCTATCGAACAAATTAAACAAAATAATTATACATACACTCAGAAGATTAAATTACCTACTAAAGAAAAATTAATATTTAAATTCGTTGTTAATGATTCAAATTGGATTACAAACCAGAACTTATTTAGAACTGAACATGATTCAAGTGGTGTAGAAAATAATGTCATTGATTCTGATAAATTAATTGAATTTCATGAATTTGAACAAGCTCCAGTTGAAGCTTCTCCTGCTGCTACTTCTGCTGCCCCAGCTCAAACTGAATCAGAAGAAACTTATGATGAAGTAGTCACTGAAAAGGATTTCCCTGCTGAATCTCCTGTTGTAATTGGTACTGAAGATGATGGCTTGCTTTCTGATTATGAAGCCAAATCTCCAACTTCTACGAGTACTAATACGTTCGCTGCATCAAAATCGAACACTGATAATTTAACTCAAGTTTTAACTGGTTCTTCTTCATTTGCTGCTGTATCAATTCCGAGTTCTAGTAATTCTACTAACGATTATGAAAATCTCAATCACAATTCAAATATTGATAACGTCATTGATGATTTTAGTACTCCTACTAATTCAGTACTTAATTCAACTGTATTACCTGAAAGATCTCAACAAACCGTAAATAAGCCTAATTTATTATCAATAAATTCAGAATCAACATTAAGTAATGCATCCAATGTACCCAAAGATTCAGTATCAAGTGCTGCGGATGATGACGATGTGGTTGAAATATTAAAGGCTCCTGGTGGTTATCCAACTACCCCTGAGAAATCAATCCCTAACAGTAATTCGGCAGCTTCTACTGCAATTCCAAGTAGAACAGCCGACAAGACTAGAAGAGGTGAAAATCTTATTTCTAGATTCAAAAGCTTATTCAGATATTAATTTAATTGTTTGATGATCTGAATAGTTGTACGTGTATTTTGGTTTTTTAATATCATCCTTCAGCTATTTATTAATTTATTTATTTATTACTATTATTCTGTTATCATCATTTCACCAACCCAGTAATACATCATCAAGTCGCCTATTTGTAATATACAATGGGCTAGTTGTTCTTTTTATATTTCTTTGTTTCTTATATTCTTGTTTGATCGATATATACATATATATAATCTATTGTATAATTTACCAATCTTCCTCTGTTTGTTACATCTTTCATAACTGATTTTTTTTACAAAATACACAAACGCCTAATTCTTCTTCTTTTTCTTCTTATTCTTTCCCTTACCACTCTTGGTAGTTTTGGCTGTAGTTGGAGCAGGACTTCTTTCAGACTCAAATTCTCCAACTTCTTCAGTGACTGCTGGTGTCCCTTCTTTTACTTCTTCATCACCTTCAATTTGTTGATATGGTACACCACTCATTACACTAGATAAACCTTCAACATGAGTTTCTCCAATATTAACTCCCCTTGGACCTACAAAACTTAATAATCTTGATAATTCTTTACTCTTAAATGTTTTAAATTTAAGAACTTTACCAGCATGTGGTTCATATAATTTAATATTGACTCTATTAGTGGCTACATTCTTTTTAGATACAGATCCTGCTACTTTATCTTTCTTAGACTTCTTTGATTCATTACTATACGTTATGGATAACAAAGTAGTATTGGGATATGCGGCTAGTAAATCAGATGATAACTCTATGAATGTGTCGATTGACTTTACAGTGGGCATTATGACTTTCTATTATATATTATGTATGTGGTATTAATGCAAGTATTGTTATTATGACTAGTTTATTTGACTTATGACTATTACTATGGCTTGAGGCAATGATCTTCTACGGCTAACTTCCGTTCTGGTAGTTGAAAAAAATTTGTCTCTAGATTTCTATTTTACATTTTACAATCTCATTTTTACAGTTTGAATACCGTATATTTATTATGCTGTCCTATCTATCTACAAGAAGTCTATAACAGATTGAAATAATAAAAGACAGATACAATTCAATCATCTATATTTAACAGATGGTCCCTTGTCTCTACGAGCTTCTAACTTCTGTTGACGTTTACTCTTTCCTGAAGCACTAGATCCAGTATCAGCCCCAGTACCAGTACTACTGGTATCAGCACCAACTGGTCCTTTAGATTTCTTTAAGAATGGGGCAACAAATCCAAATATCTTATATCCGGCAAAAATTGGAATTACAGAATATAAGAACCATACATAATTAGTACCGAAAATTATCATTAAAATGTCTAAGAACCAAGTTACATAAATAATGTCAAAGAAATATTCATATAATGATCCACTCAATTTTAAATCATCTCCTACACGAGTCATCTTACCTTCCCCATTATAACGAGGTCTACCACCTTTCTCGATAAAATATTGTAATCCCCAAGCTGGAAGTGAAATAATTATCCACGGTATCCAATTAGAAGGCCGATGTAAGACGAATAATCCCAAGATTGAAAGTATATTGATGACAAGTGATATCACATGAAGCTCGAATAAAGTCTTGATATTCGACTGGGCTTGTTTCTTACTACTTTGGGAGGCCATGATTTAGTAATTTGTTCCCTTTCGTATGCTGATGTGATTGTCACTTTGAAAAATTAAGTATGATGATATTTGTTGCTGATCGCTGATATGTCGTAGCAATGTACGCCGCACGCCGCACGACAATATCGTGCTGATCAATTCGTGTAATATACATTTATATATTGATATATATTAAGTACTGATAATAAAAAGACAGAAATTGAACTAGGAGTAAAGATACATACGCAAATAATAATAGTAAGAGAGATATAAAAATTGCAATGAGTTGCTTTGAGTAGGATTGTCAGAAATAGGTTGATGTCTCAGACAAGTTACTTTCAGCTGATCAATTCTTCTTAGCAGGTTCCTTGGAAACTGGAATCTTAATCGGATGAATGTATTTTGGAATAAATTGACCCTTAAACCATCCGTTATAGATTTGACTCAATTGAGGGATTCTAACCAAGTATTCGTTTGCTCTTGAGTCATATTGTTGAATGACAGTCTTTGTATATTGATTTGAATCAAATCTCAATTTAATAAAAACTGTGATATAAGCAACAGTAAACAATTTAACTAAGAAGAAAAATAAATCTCTTTGAAGTATCAAATTAAAGAATATTGTTGGTATAATTTGGAAAACTGACATTACTAATAAAATGACTTCTGCATTAGCAGCTAATATTAAAGCTTGTTGATTATAATTCAAGGTGAATTGATTTATAGCTGAGTTTAAATATTGTTGAGTTTGAGCACTGGATACACTGACTTTTAACAAATTGTTTTGGAAATATGTCAAAGCATGGAACACTGAAAAGATTATAAATGAATAAAGACTTCCGGACACAATTCCGATTTTAAAGCTTGATAAATATAATACAAATGCTAATCCAAAATATTGTACATTGTCATCTCCAACGAATCTTCCGACGGATCTGATTTGCAATTTATTGTTTCTGAAAAAGATTTGTTTAATAACAATCACATAAGTTACTAAGATGGACAATAAAGCAAATCTATAATATTTCAATGCTAATCTTGTTGAAAAGAATGAAGTTACAAAGTTGAAAGCAAAAAATAATAAGGCAAACACATGTCCTAAGAACCAATAGAACTGTTGAGTAAATGCTAACTTTTGTAATTGTTGTAGTGGTGTAAGTGCTACAGATGATGCTGATGGTGGCGCCATGGTATACTGATGATGTTTTCTTTATCTGTAGGCGTAAGGGGATCAAAAAAGACTAAGATAAGGATTCACAAGTAACAAGTGAAACACAAACAAAACTAATTCAAAATATTCAATTGGATTCTATAACAATAACTCTCTCAATATATTAATAAAAAATATTGAATAGCTCTTTACGTTTTCCAGACGTAGTCAATTACTAAATCAGTATTTCTCCTATTTCAAATAGAAGTTGGTGGAAGCAATTTTTCTTTTTTTCCACATTGGCGTTCCCCAAATTTATATACAGGTACAATGCATTAAGCCACTTTGTTTTTTGCATCCATAGATATTGCTACATTTTATATGAAAAGAGTTATGCATATAACTATGTATATATTAGAATACTAATTAAATATTAAGGGAGAAATATGAATGCTGATGATCAAAAAAAAGAAGAGTAAAGATATTAAGAAAATTACCATCAGACTTTGGTGTAAGAAAATAAGAACCGTTAAGCTAGAAATCACATAAACACATAATGGATATCGTTATTAAAAACTTCTTTATAGAAGCCTCTCTTAAGCATCCTCAACAGCTGGAGCTCCTAATGGTGGAACTGCGGTGTCACCAGAATGTCTTGGGGTTTCAGGAATAGACTTCTCTGCATCAACTCCGTGTCTGTATTCTAAACTAACAACATTCTTAAAGAATTCTTCATCAACTTCTCTAATTAATGGCCAAGCTAAACCAGCTGGAATAATAAGGAAGATGAACAAATCAAGAATACCATAAAATACAGATTCAGAATCTGGTTGAATGTAGTTACCACCTTCACTCAAACCCCATGCAATTGGGTATAAAATCCATACGATCAAATAAAGACCAAGGAATAAAGTGCTTAACCCAGATTGCTTAAAGTTGTTATATCTACCAGAAATACTTTGCCAGCCAACTAAATAGACACCGACTAATAATGAGAAAGTACCAAAAACAAAGTAACCCCATTTATAAGTAGAATGAATAAAAATACCAACCAAGTAACTAATAACAAAGAATTCGGCAGTTAAAACCTTTGTAAATAAGCTACTAGCAAATGTGAAAATCTTTGTAAACAAATCTTGTTCAGTACTGTTAAAGTCAACTGGATGATTTGTGAATTCAATTAAAGCCAAGGTAAATGGCCAAGCAAGGAACCAACCAACATATCTAGCATAGAAAACTTGTCTAATACCAGTACCATCAAAAGTATCAGCATGAGAAAATTCAGTATCAATACCAGTATAACCCAAATCAGATGCCATAGTATAATAAGCAAAACCTAAAACGGCACTAATGAAAATTGGGAATGCTAATAAAGTTCTCTTGAAAGTATGATTCTTTGAGAAAAGGAAAAATCCTCCATGAACAAGGGTACTAACAACATAAAGAGCAAAACAAGTCCATAACCAATCAGTACCATGACTAGTTACATGGATGTCAACACCAACAGTTGGTGGGTTAACTGAAACTGATGAACGTGAAACAATATCTTCGATGTAAGCCATTTGTAAATAATTTTTGGAACACTATTACCTATTTGGGAATCTAATGTATATTGGAAGAGGCTAAGTAAAAAATAGGGGTAAGATTGGAATGCTTTACCCCTATTTATATTCAAAGTTGTATTTAATTGAGGGATAATCACCCTCCATATCAAAGAGTAGAAGTCGTCCGAAAGTTCCATGAAATAAAAACTATAGAGTCATTCTTTGGTTATGTTGCTCAACCGATCGGCAAACATTTTGGACAGAAAAATATATCTTATGACAAAATATGTGCTCAACTGAATAAAATATGTCAAACGTAAGATAACATATTTCGAAAATGAATGATTAGTAATTTGTCTGGAATATTCTACTAGCTGTGACATCTTTTTTATGAGGTTGGAGGGATGCAAAAAATGTCGCAATTGGTGAGACATATGCACAAATGCAACTTCTGCGACATTGTGTGATCACTCTTACAATTATATAGAAAAGCATGTCATTGTTTGACCCCATCCCGAATATCCGTCTTTATATTCGTCTTAACAACTTAACTACTAATAAAGTGGAGGAGAGCTCATATGATCTGATTCGGGGAGATTATTTCTTTGAGGTGTTATTTAGTAAGTGCACCAAGTATCGACCCGATAACTACAAGGGATATGGCTTATTTGCGACAAATTAATTCGAATAAACGGTGAATATATCATTCTAAAAAGTTTAGATAGTGGAGTATCAATTACCGATAACTTCTGCTTTTCTGGATTATTGGCTGTAAAGTGGCCTGCTGAAAACTGCCGAACATATAATTAGAGATCATCGCAATTATTTGCGCGGACCAAAGTGAAGTGTGCGCAAATTATTTTGAATACTTTATCACGGTACTAACGGAATTGATCACCAATGCTAAATTATTTTTAAAATTTTAGTTAACACTTCAAATCCCGTTCTTTATATGTATGTCGTATAATGTAGTCTTAAAACGGCTGACTCGGTAGAGCCGTTTCCACGGTCCTGCACAATTGACCTACTTCTCCCTTACCATTTGCGCTTCTAGAGAAATATCATGAGATTTTTCAATCCAGACTCCGGCTTTAATATATCCAGAAGTCTAGTGGGGGTAATCTCCATAAGTGCGGTGAGAGAATATCCTACAAATTTAGGGATTTTACCAGTAGTCGGATGACAAGCTTAATAATATTTAATTATTAATAATAATCTACAAACTGATTTTACTAACAAGTCATTAACATTTAATTCTAACATTATTTTAATCTGTAATCTTGTGAAGAAATAGTGCATGCATTATCAATTGACATGAATTCGTAAATTCTGAATCTCCAATGCTATCCTAGCGCTACTGGCTGACCCAGTTTCAATCTATTGACAATATCGTCATTAATGTTTCCCGAGGCACCGCAAATTGAACATTTCAATCGTTTTGAATAATAGAATGGTAATACGGGGATGAAAAATAACGTTACACAATTGATAGTTCGAATTGCATACACCAGTTGATTATGACAATGACCACAATAGCATGCTATATGACCAACATCGTTCAAGGGTTTGTTAAACTCTTTAACTTGATGGTTCGTAAATAGTTAGTTCACCAGCTCGTAAATTATATCAATTTATATGAGGATACTTTAATAGATATTGGTGATGGATTTTCCCCCTTTAATCATCTCCTGTTCTCTCTTAATTAATACTTATTTGACATCAGTGATTAGTTTGAATGGGGTCTGTTAAAGCAACCTAAAGTATCGCCACAAATTTAAGAATTAAAAAGAACTTACATCCAATAAGAAAAAACATGAATTCCATATTATGAGTGTATATCTGAAAGTAACCAGTAGTTCAGTGTGATTTATTTTCTAATACCAACAGATCTGCTGTTAAATTAAACCTGCAATACAACCAAGAACGTTACCAATTCCAAGTTAAAGGACTCATTATATGCATATGCAGGTACAAAATTGTGCTATATTCGGTAAATACACGCTCATGAACAAAGCTATCAGTTTAAGCAGTGGTATTTAAACATGAGAGGTATAAGGTAATGTTATGCCAAATCGTCTTGATGGTTGTAACGTTCCCATTATTTGTATTGTTTTCATAATATTAGTGTGATACTGTGTAAGACAAAATATAAATTGCCGTTCTATCAATTCCGTGGGTAGGGAGCTATACAACTTTTTTAATATACTAATTGACCTGTTTATTTGGTTAACTCGAATGGTTCGATAACCAGAAAATGTGATACATTTCTTCTGCTAGAAGTATTCTAACCAAGCTGGATTAAATGTGAAAATGCAGACAAAATTTCTACCCAAGTTTCACGACTATATTTCTTATGTACATGAACGATTTCCGGATTAGGCAATGCAGTACAGACTGCAAAATTTGAATGTATTAGCCGCTATTCTGCCTGGATACCCACAATATAATCAACCAACATAGACCATGTTCATCCAGTCTCCATTAAAGTATGTAGACATACTGAAGGATGTATATGAGTGGGCTAATAAACAGAAAAGATTGTATTATTTTCCACATTTATTTGAGAATTACTTATCGAAATCATATTTTGAACATAATGACCTACTTCAGATCTACCTAAAATTCACTCCATATACGACTATCCATCCTGGTAAGTTAACAATACAAAGTTGCATGGAATTGTGCGATGAGAGAGTAGGAAGTACTTTTGATGTTTATATGGATGTGCATCGATGGGCTGATTTTAACGATTCACCACCTTTGTCAAACTATCAAAAGTTATGTAGAACAGTTCAAATATACCAGATTAAAAAGAAGGAAGAGATATTGAAAGATGATGCTACTGACTATCCAGATGAAATAATAAAACTTAGAGAACAATTAATAACTTCAATTTTGGTTGTTCATCATTGTCCTCACTTTAAATTAGAATACCAAAGAGATTACTATAAGATTATGAGGTATATTCAAGATCTCATACAGTTTCTAAATGATGAAAGAATATATTTCAAGAAGTATAACAAACTCTCCAAAGATGATATTCCAGAAATTCCTTTAGAAATGATAGAGTGGTATGATTGTTTTTTACACTGTGATTTTAACAAGATTTATGAATTTGAACCTCCTATCTTTCAAATAAAAGTTACGGAATTTGCTGGTAGCAAGACCGATCAACTTCAAAAAACTAACAATGCATTCTGCTCACATTTACAATCACCTTCAACTTATTCAAATTTTGTGCCAACAAATCCATCAACTTCTGAATCTACAGTATTAGAAAAGTTCTCAGATTTCTGGAAGTATGCTTATGATTATTATAATATAAAAGCGATTTGCGGAGAATATAGATTTTTGAAACTTTTTAAAGATGGACACAAAAGTTGTGGAAAGGGAGATATAAAGTATAAATGGCCTAGACATATATTGAATCTCGAAAACCAGCTTGAATATGAAAAAGAAAGATATCATAATGAATTTTATGATTTGAACTCAGAAGAAATGGCTGACAGATTGATGTACCTTGAAGATCTAAAAAGGACAATTGAAATTGAAAAACATAAGTTTCCACAAGCAAGACTCACTTCTTTAGCAGAGCCAATGAATGATTTGCCAACCATATTAGTTAACAAACTAGCTTTTTTCAAGAATAATCAAGCACCATCTCCCAAGCAGATCATTAAATCATCAATACTCAAGAAATTTAACGAACTCAAACTTGAAGTTGGCAAAGAACTTCCTAATGAATCAAACTTTGAACCTTACCAAGTAAGGGACACTGCTGATAAAGATTTGATCATTTTGAATGATAATGACAAAGAAACATTCGAAAGTTTGACAACTGAAAATATTAGCTCCTTATTAGAACTATACCATCAAAATGAAAATAACAAGTCAACTGAGAGAAAACCTTCCAGTACTTCCACTAATGTAACTTCAATATCGGCAAACAAACAAGCTTCTATATTTAGTAGAAATACCACTGATGAGAGTGAACAAGAGTCTACTGAGAATATTTCAATTTCTGCTACTGCAATCAGAGCTATTGCCCGAGAAGTCAACTATAATGACATATTCAAAGGTAGAGACTATAAATATCAATACGTTCCACTTGAAAATTCGCCATGGAGCCGGGAAGAGTGATGGTTACATTTATCTGATAACCAAAAAATTAATATGATACATATACTAATCTAGAAGCTTTTTATATCGTATAAAGTACAATTTGTAGAAAATCATAACAAAGAAGGCAAACATATAAAGTCTTTATAAATTTTGAAAATTTTGAATAAAATACAATAGAGAAGAAATTAAAAGTTTTGGGAATAATTAAAGGGACATGAAAAGCAAAATCTATTAATATTCAGCTGGATAGTTAGAGTTGAACTCTTGAAAAGTATGGAAAGTCTCGTCTCTTGAATTAGACAGTATGTTTGAAGTTCCAATTGGCACGGTCGGGCCTTGATGGGATTGTTGAGAATTGACTTGTTGATTAACCTGTGACTCGGGCTGAGGTTGTTGCTGTTGCAGCAATAATTGTTGTTGCATTATTTGTTCTTGGAATAAACGTTGGTGTAACATATCTTCATTCTCTTGTTTTAGAATTGGATGTTCGTTATTAACATCTACATTTTCATCGCTACCAACATGAGTACCGTTTAACCCTGTATGGGATTCTTCTGGGATACTACCATTATTCTGAATCAGACCACCCACAGCATTCGGATCTTCAGGATGACCCCCATTGTGATTAATATAACTATTAGATCTCGACAGAGTGTAAGACTTTTTAGGCTTTTCTTCTTCTCTAGGTACCACATCAATCAAAAAGTCGAACATATCACTCTTAGTCAATGCAGCTGCGATATCGGATTTTTGTAGTGTTCTTCTTTTATTCTCTTCAGCATGGATCCATGCTCTCATGGTTAGTTCAGTAATGAAGACATCACACCCTTTTGCAAATAATATTGGTGCTTCAGCACTTATCATTCTAACATCTTCATCAGTTTTCATTACTTTTTTAATTCTAGCTAAAGGTAGTTGATGATTCTTAAAGTCATGATCATCGTGTTCAATAGAATTAATAGTCTCTTGCCAGTATTGCATCATCATTTCTCGATGTCTTCCAGTTAATCCCTGTCCAACATTACTGAAGGCGCCTCCTGGTTGTCTCAGTTGTTGAGCTGCTGCTGCTTCTGCTGCAGCTTGAGCAGCTAATAATTCCGCCTCATCGACAATAGGTGGTTGTGTATGTTGTACTTGACTCTGTTGATGTTGAAGATGTGAAGACAACTCCTCTTCATCCAAATAAGAATTCTCGTATCTTTCCATAATGAACAGCTATACTATTAATGTTTATTGTGTTTTTTGACTGTTAATTCAAATCTTGAATCAACTTAACTATTTTATTAGGTATAATTTTTCACACTAGTTAATACTATCAGTGTTTATAATTCCTGAATAATTACGATTTTTTTAACTTTTCTTTGCTGTAACAATTTGAATTATTTATGGTAGTTTCTTTAATACTTTTATAGGCTTATACTCTTAGACAATTTATAGCATTAAACTATTGTCCAACAAATCTATACAGTAGACCGATTTATGTAACCATACTTTTTTCTATTTTTTTTTTTGTTCGAGTTTCCCCGGTGTTCGCACAAATCCGTTTTCTACGCTGAAGTTTGGATGTTTCCGATTCTAAGTTTTTTACAATTACCAATAAACTATACAAAGCTGAATTATCATCATTATGAATATCATCATTATCATTATCAATGTCGTAAATATTATTCCTCTTGAACAGCAATGACCTTCTCGTCAAATCTGACGGATTTTCTTCGTTCTCCCAGGAATTCAGTTGGAGTTTTCAATTCAATACCATCTTCTCCTACTTCTTTTTTAGTAGCAGCTAACATTTTTCTAACATCAGCTGAATGTTGAGGATTTGAAGTAGATGAAGATTTTCTTTTATGTTGGATAGTTATATCATCCTTACATTTCTGACAATTACATAAGAACCCCCAATTGACTCTTAATTCACGTTGTCTTTGTTGAACAGTATGACTTGGATTGACATATGTAGTAGTCAATTCTTCTCCAGCTCGGATATCTCTAGCAGCATAAACCTTCAAACCAAAAGTTCGAGATATAGTAGAACTTTCAACTGATGTATTAGGGTCACAGTTATGGTTCAAATGTGATTGAATAGAATAGATGTTGGAATCAAGATTATTGATGTTATAAGTTCCCATCATATATAAGAATTCTTGATATGTAAGAGATGAAGCATCATTTGGGAAAACTCTTAAGAATTTTTCATAACCTTCTTTCCACAATGTTTCCTGTTGTTCTTGAACAAAGAGTGCACCACCTTGTAATGAATCAAAAGCTCCAGCTGAAGAATCAAGCGCCTTATATCTAATATCTTGTGATACTCTGGCCATTGCTCTAAATTGCTTCTTTTTGTCACCAGACTTATCATTCAAAATGTTAGCATATATGAAAGTAATTGCAAATAATGCATTCCATTGCTCTTCTAAACAATAGTCTTGTAATTCAAAAAATGCTTCTGAATCAATTGGTTTTGTGGTGGATTTCTTATGAGGTTGATAAACATTATGCTTTAATAAACCATGTAAAGTACCGTCTGATTTTTTACACATTGGAGAACACCATACTTCAGTACAGATATTACAATCTAATGCTCTTAAAACGTTGCCTCCCAGATTAGATTTTAATAATTTTCCACAATAAGAGCATGCTTTACCAGTCTTAATAAGTTTAATGTTCGCTAAAGGTGGAATGAAAAATAAAGGTTCTTCTGACCAAATAATCTCACCCTTATCAATCTTATGTTTGGCATAAATCCCTTTACCTCTCTTCGTGGTCATAATAATTTGAACGTTTGATGGTAAATCTAAATCTGGTGCAATCTCGGACTTGATTTCACTAGCGTAAGTGAACTGTTCATTATTAGTATTTGGTGTTAAACCAAACTTCTTAAGTAAGTTTTTTAATCTCTTTTCAGACACTGACCAGGTTGGATGTTGTGCTTTAAATAATGCGTGTAATTTAGGAATTCCTAATGATTCGGTCGATGGATCTTGTTTCCAAATGGCGATGATGCCATCTACAACTTGTCTTTCATGCGGCACTATTGGCTGGGTTGTTAATCGTTCGGGCTCGGCATCATTAATAGATATCACTTCGATCTTCTTAGCAACATTGTCAGCACTAGAAACAGTCATTTTGATACTCCGAAAGTTTCTTGTTTGTAGTGTTGAAACTTCTCCTCATTCGATTTCTCCATGAAATTTCCAGATTCAGAAAATTTTTTACTCGTCTGACAAGAAACTCTATTTTTTCAGTGGTCATCTTTTAGTTGCAAAAAGTATGCGAATATATTTAGCTATCCTATATAATGCTACTTAATTATCTAATTTGAATCTTCCTCTTCTTCTTCATCATCAAATTCATTGTAAAGGAGGGTTCCACCTATAGGAACATTGCATTGTAAAAGGGAAGCATCTTTGACAACTACACAATGGTGAGCAGGTTGTCTGTCGGCAATGACTCTCATTCTTTGCAACTCATCAAGCATTGCTCCTCTTTCATATTTATGCATAACATTATCATAATAGATACGAGTTGTGGTTGATTGTGGAATCTGAACCATAAATGGTTGGACATATAATTGACCAACATATCCTTCTTCAACATTACAAGAATATGAGTAACTAAATGTTTGAGATGTTGATGTGGATACACCTGCATTTAGACCAAAAGTATAACTTCCTATTCCTTGGGAAAATTCAAAGTAAAGTTTTCCATTTGCAGTAATACTGAAAGAATAACTTCTAGCAATGCCACCTCCTGAACCTTGAGTGCTATCCAAACAAGAAGTCACAGGAATTTTATCTGTATAAGGAATAATTAAATCTTTCTTGGGAGTTTTTTTATATTCCTGTATTATCCAGCTATCTTCCTTTTCGGAATAATACATTGTTTTCTGGTCTTCCTTTAATATAATACCGTTTCTTTTATTTTCAAATGCTTCAGGGTGCTTTTGAAGATCACTTTCTGTATTAAATATATATATATTACGATCTTCATCTCTCTTACCTAATGCCTCGACGTGTTGATCATCATATGGGATTTTTGTTTTATTGCTTAGGGATAATGGTCCAATGGTGGGATTTTTATTAGTCCAATCTATGGCCCAGTAGTTTACACCTTCAGCTTCAGAAGATTTTTGTAATATTCCATCAATAGTATCAGTTAAAATTATTGCTGGATAAGCTTCAACAAATACAATGATTGAACTCAACACAAGTACAACGCTTTTAATTACTCTCATTTCAGTTTATTCTTTTGATTTAATTGCTAAAATCAAAAGAATGTATTAAAGAAATGGAATGCATTGTAGAGCCAAACTAGTCAGTTATATATGGATTAGCATATTGAGTAGAGACCTGATATATGTTCAGCTTATAATAAATTACTCTGCTTCTTAGAGAAATCAAAGTTATAACTAAAATTAGAAGAAACTCCAAATGTAGTAACATTGCTTAAGTCAATGGCAGTTGGGACCAATGGTAAGCATAATGAATAAGTATTCGTGACTTGAATCACGCGCGGTTGTATTATCTATGCACTTTCCTAAATAGGCACTCCTGCGCATAGTTACCCCGTTGTCACAATCTGCAAAAATTGCGTCAACAGTGGCTGCGACGATATATTCATCTTCGAATCATGATTACTGTGATTTTGTGCTAATCAAGAGGTAAGATAGACAAACATTAATTCACCACCACCACCCCCTTAAAAATGACAGGCTTTGTTGTTATGAGAAAAAAGTATTTATTTGTATATAAATAAATCTTCATATATAAATTGAAGTTTGCTGCGACTCTGGGAATTAAATTTATTTATAGATCAATATGGTACAGTCACAGTCAGACTCACAAGACACCTTTAATATGACTAATATCGATCGTGCGACTTCTTACAGTAGCACTAGTGATTCTGATACAGAAGATATTTCAGAATCTCTAAGAGCTATTCGCAGCAATGGTACTACTCATCCATTAATTAATAAGAAACCAAGCAATATAAGTACAAGCATTCAATTGATTTCAAGTGACAATGATTCCTTAATCAACGAAGATGATGAAGAAGATGAAAGTGAAAATCCGTTTATAGACTCAGAAGTTGCAGACTACTATGAAAACTTGTATGAGACCTCTCAATATGAGTGTAGGCACCTTTTCGATCCCAATTTTAATTGGTCAAAACGTCAAGATCAAGTCATTGTTCATAAGCTTGATAAAGTTATTGCATTGTTTGCTTGTCTAATGTTTACAGGATTACAATTAGATAGAGGAAACCTCCCACAAGCCATTTCTGATAATATGTTAGAAGATTTGGGTTTAACGACTAATGATTACAATAGAGGTAACACAATCTTCTTGATTTGTTTCCTTACCGGAGAAATTCCTTCTTCGATACTTTCAAAATGGATTGGAGCTGATAGGTTCATTCCATTCCAAATGATTACTTGGTCCATTGTTGCTGCATGTCAGTGTTTTTTACAAGGAAAGTATTCATTCTTCTTAGCTAGAGCATTAACTGCTTTCTTGGAAAGTGGGTTAATTGCAGAGTTGGTATTATTCTTATCAACATATTATAAAGCAAAAGAATTGCCTATAAGATTATCTTGGTTATGGGTAACATCAACAATGGTTCAGGTAACTGGAGCAGTTTTAGCATTAGGAATCTTGAAATTAAGAGGATTCTTAGGATGGGAAGGCTGGAGATGGTTATTTTTAATAGAAGGACTGATTACTTTATTTATTGGAATAGGTGCAACTTATATGTTAATTCCTTCACCAATTGAGTTGGTTGATAGAGGTTGGTTTTCTGAACATGAAGTGAAAATCATTATCAATAGAGTTCTTAGAGATGATCCAACAAAAGGTGATACAAATAATAGAAGTGGAGTTACATTTAAGCAATTAGTCAAAGTGTTTTTGGATTATGATTTATGGCCAATTTACTCAATTGGATTGATCGCCTTTGTTCCTACTGGTGCCATGACCAATTATATACCCATCATTTATAGGGGGCAAGGGTTGACTACTTTCCAAACCAATCTATTATTGATACCACATTATATTTTGCATATTACATTTTTAATTCAGATTACAAAACTATCAGAACGATTAAATCAAAGGGCTCTAGTAGCTATACTAGCCCCTATTTATTTAATACCACTATTAATATTTTTCAAAACTCATCGTGATACATTAACAACTACAGGTATTTGGTTGGTATCTACATTAATTTCTGGAGGACCATACATTCATGCTATTTGTGTCAGTTGGGTTTCAAGAAATTCAGGTAGTATAAAGACAAGATCTGTCAGTGCGGCTGTTTATAATTTAATAGTACAAGCTGGTGGAATTATTTCGGCAAACATTTACAGAGATGATGATAAGCCATTATATCACAGAGGTAATAACCATATCTTGATTATTGGAACAGCATTACTTCCATTATTATTATCAATTAAGTGGTATTATACCTGGAGAAATAATTCAAGGAAGAAGATTTGGAATTCTATGTCACCAGAAGAGCAATATCAATATATTCATAATTCACCTGATGAAGGTAACAAGAGATTAGATTTTAGATTTGATAGTTAGTTAGTTGTTAGTTATATTTATTTATAGACATTTTGGGGTAGCAAATACTCCAGGTTACTACTAAGAATAATATTTATTCTGTAAATAAACCATATCAGGGCTCTGAGAATTAATTCTGTAATGCATATTACCCATTTTCTTGATACGAAGATTTATGAAAACCTGCCATATCTTCATTTAAAGTACCAGTAAATTTAATATATAATCAATAACTTTTTTGAATCGTTTCATTAATATTACAATCAATACTTTAGAGACTAACAATCAATCTCATTTGGTATATTGATTTTATATTCGTTGGTTATAAGCTATATTGCTGTTTAATTGAATAAGAGGCATATATATATTAAATTATAAGAATGAAATAAATAACCAAATCATTTAAAAAGTTCACCTGGCCGATGATATTCTGGTAAAGGACCTTTTTCTAATTCCAGAGGTTTCCTGATCCTCTCTAAAACATCGGAGGTAGTCATCATTGTCACATTTAATTGTGTCGTTGTATCTCTTACGAGATTTGGGAGAAGTTATACTTATTCTTCCCTTTCTCTTATTAGCTTGGTCACTGTATCCAAAATCGATGACATAGGCTGTATAAGTTCCATCAGGATTTTGTTTAATCATTATGTTACCCAGATGGATATCATGATGCACTATTCCCAAATTGTGAACCATATCTATAGTCTTTTTACAGCATGATTTAAAAGCCTGTCTTTCTTCAATAGTATAACAACTTAAAGGTTTACCATCAATATATTCTATAATTAAAAAAAAACCAGCTAATTGATCAATATCAACGTCAAATTCATCTTTATAGCTGTCAACTTTAGAGTTTAAAAAACCGGATGAATAAAATTTAGGGATACCATCTATACCTTTGAGAATTTCATAGCTCGACACTTCTTTGCTAAAGCATTTTAATGCCTCTAAATAACAATCCAGAATATCTTGGTTGATTTGGAATTCACAACTCCAAAATGAGTCATAAATTTTAATAACTTTGCGATCATGTGAGGTTAGATCTTCGACTAAAAATACTATTGAATTACGACTTTGTAGTTTATTACCAGATAATATTTCCAAGAACTTGTATTTTGTTCTTAATTCTTCCATGGTGGTTGACTTCAAATTTGATTTACGAAGAGTCTTAATCCTAGTTTGGGTTATTTTAAGTTCGGTGCTGCCTTGTAATTCGGAAATAATCAGACCGCTGCTGGAAGGTGGAGTTGGTGTATCACCCGGTAAGTGATTTTCATCGATTGGACTAGTGGTGCAAAATTGTTCAATTTCAGTATTGTATTTAATAATTTCAGAATTGATTCTTGGATATAAAGAACTAAGATTTTGCTGTTCAATTAGATATTGCAATTGACTTCCACCTTTACACGTTTGGAAATAGGAAAGTAAATAGATAAATAATTGTGTACAAGTGGAAAATTCAGACTCATCAGAAAGATCGTATATCCGGCAATCTAACTCCCTCATAATGTCATTTTTATCTATAATTGTTTCCTCAGAAACCATAGGGTTTTCAATGTCAATTAAATACGTAGTTAAGTAATCTGAGATGAACGCTAAATGACTATTAAGAGATATAGCTTCCCTAATACTTTGGGAAAAGCAGTGTATAAAGTCCCTTGCCTTTGAGTCGGTCTTTTCATTATTTATGAAGTTAACATAACTTTCATTCAAATCTTTGCGTTTTAACTCGATAGGAATACTTAATGGTTGATTTGTAATCATTAAATCTGGAATTATTCTGGTATATTTACCGGAATCAATGATTTCTTCCGAAGCATGTTGAGGCTCACACCGTACATCAGTATAATTTAATGTCAACGCACTTATGATTCTATCGGTAACATTAAACTCAAAGGCATGCTGAATGGAGCTTTCCAAGTGATTCAGCCTCACCAATCTAAAATGTAAGCTATAGTCAAATTTATTAAGTTTTTTCATATCTACTTTTGCAGATAATTTATCAAAATTAACTTTAGTTGAATTTGAATTAAATTTGGGAATAAACAAACCAATTATAGAATTAAGGTGATGAGATCTTCTAAAAGAAGATTTTGGGGATGATATTATTTCCGGGAGATTTGGTTTAAGTCTTTTAACTGAGTCTGGAGCATATTGAGCGTGTTTTAAAGTATCAAGTTTTAGATTGGGTATCTTGATACTCAAAATAATAGTTAATTGAAAATATCCACGCAATTTCTTATCTCTTAAATTAAGAAGGATTAAATCTTTGAACAGACGATATAAATCGTCTTTTAAGACAGGATCAAAATTTATTGGAACTAAAAGGTGGAAGTTAAATAATCTCAATATAAGTGGTAAAATATGCTTATAGTTTGAAGTAGTTGATTCATCTAATTCTAATTCCTTCAAATCTTCCTTTAAAAACTTCTCTATTTCCTCTTCATTAGGAGTTTTAAGATAAACCTCTAAGCGACGTTGAGCTTCACGATATTCATTAACGCTCTGACGATGGATCAAAAATATATCAATCAGTGGTCCATTTATTAGGGGCAACAAAGCACGTTTGACCGGATCAAAATTAATGATCGATTTTAAAGAGTTGTCCATGTTTGTTAAGGTTAATACTGAATTGCAAGGACAATCCAGTGATAATAAACTCTTCAGTATTCATTTGTGGCTTTAAAAGGGTGCAAAAAGGTAAGTGAGACGTACGCTACATCAGACGGCATTAACTTACTTTCATATGCATCAGTTTGTAATACACATAAAAAATCTCTTAATGACTGTTCTATATAGCAAATAGGCTAATCTAGTTATTACATGTACGATATTGATGGCTGCAAAACTTAACTTCGCAAAGTCTGTATTACTATTTTTTTTTATCAACATTAGTTATTAATACTACGTTGAAGTGAAATATCTACAATAAAGCCTAATATTGATAATATAGTTACTTGGTTATGTACTACAAGATACAAAAGATTATATATATAATGAGATTATTCAATTGACTTTATCATTTAAGCGTTCTTATATACAATGCGTATGTAACATAATCTTTGCTTTCCAGTTTTATTTTAAAACTTAGATCCGGATTTGGTTTAAATATATGCACACTTACAGATATTAATATTTCACTTCCAGAAACAATTAGAATCAGTTTATAGATAAGTCTTTCGTGATTACAATGGGATAAAGTATCGTCGGGTATATATGATAGATCATGTATTAAAATTGCATACTTTAAGCTTACAAATACAATTCGGTTGTTTATCTTCTCATAAATTAAGTAATAAACTCACTACACTTAACAGTATTTATCTTACTAAGGTTAGTATTCAGTGTTGGTAGCTCCTATAAATGTACTATAATAGTTTAATAATTTGGTAATAACTTAATGTAAAAATACCAATATTATACAGTTCTACATAAGCTAAAGCCATCATCATACTTAATGATATTTCCTATAAATTCGTTTGTATATATTTCTCATGTATATAGGAGCGCCATCATCGCGTTCCCATTTAGGAAATAGCATGATGATCTTATATATTTGAGTTGATTGAGTTACATCAACCAAATTATGCATTTCACAATAATCAAGTAACATGATAAAGAATTTGATTCATCATGAAGGGAAGAACCACCTACGTAAACAGGTGAAAAAGGCGTTAAAGACCATACCTCAAGAATCATTAATTACACAATCTGATCATATCCACAAACAGATCTTAGAACATCCTCAATTCAAAAAGGCAAAGAAGATTGCATTATATATGAATATGCCAGATCTGGAAATCAAAACACTAGAAATAATTCGGTCTTGTTTTAAGTTGGGGAAATCGGTATATTTACCCAAATGTAATTACCATAAAACATTAATTCGTAAGCATAATCATTTAACCATGTTGAAAATGGAGACATTTGATGATGTATTACTGCTTCATCCACGAGGTAAATATAAATTACTAGAGCCAGAAGTAGGTCATGATGTTATTGATGAAGAAACTGGATTAGATGTCATTATAGTTCCCGGAGTAGCCTTCACTACAGAAAGACAAAGAATGGGTCATGGTGCCGGTTACTATGACGAATACATTACTCATCATCTTAAACATTTTGGGAAACGACCCTATCTTATAGGAATAGGATTAAGTGAACAATTAGTTGACCATTTGCCTATGGAAGAACATGATTGGCACTTGGATAGTATAATTATAAGTGATCATGACATTATATATTAGACATAGAATGTAGAAAATAAATACATTAATAAATAAGTAGAGGTCCATAGTTTTCTATAAGTCTATTTCTAAGCTACTAAAATCCCTACCATGCAATTAGATAACATTCTATCTACATTAACCCAACTATGATATTTATAAAACAAAGCCGTACCATCTCTACCAGCACATTTCATAATTTCATCAACCCCTCCAGGATGGAAGTCTACATAAGGAGTAATGTTAAATACTTTACCATTAATTGAAGTCCAACAATCATTTCGAATCTTATGTTTCTTTAATTCATCTTTAGTTATGCGTACTATTTGAGGTGGTGGAGTGGAAGGATCAACACCTCGTAAAACATGAGATGCAGTCTTTGAATTCAATTCAGCCCAATCTAAGGGTGAATGACCAGGCTGAAGAACAACCTTGTGTCGTTGTCTACCTACTCGTTGTGCAGAGTTTGGTGCTGGAAATAGTGCAGATGATGTATTACCGGGTCTTAAAGTGTTAGCATTGGTATGATTGGTTTGAGGCTTTGTAAAAGGTGATTCCACAGAATCTTCATCCTCATCGTTTCCAATCTTAATAGTTGGCTTTGTCGGCCTGCCAGTTATGTTATTTCTTGGTGCGGTGAACATGCCTGTTGTATTACGGAGTTATGGTCTATATATAGCGAAGTCCGTTATGTCCTTTATATTTTTTTTTCTTTGTGTCTAACTATCATACAGTATATCTATCGGTAATAAATGTATATTTAGTTAACTAAGTATTAAATAAGTTAAGCATGACGGTGATTGCGCGACTTTACTTGCTTACGTTCGACACGCTCATAATATATCATATACACACTTGAAGTTTCTACTAATACTTGACTCTTAGAAACTTCAACTACTGTAGCATCACTAATTCTCCAATATGGAGACTTAATGACGGAAGGAATCTTCTTCATCTTAACTTTAGAAGAAGAATGTGATCCATGTTTCTTTTTAAAGTCATCTTCTGTCAACTGAGTTTGGAAGTAATCTGTAGTAGTTGCATCAAGATCATTTACTAAGAATTCAGCAGGAGTGGCTATACCAGAGTGAACAATTTCTTCAATATTCGATTCTTCGGTATTGGCTTGATAAATTACTGATGGTCTTCTTCCCATAATATTAGATAGTCTACGTTTCATAGATGTCGATCCTGTCATAGAAGTAGTATCCGACTTTTCTGTTATTACACTATCACCACTTTCTGAAGTTTTGAAGTCAGTACTTTCCAACTCCTGGTCATCTTCAATATCGATTTCTCTCGATAATTTAAATATATGACCTTCTTTATCTTTAACAAATAATGGTTTACGCTTATAACATTCGTAATGACCCTGTGTATGAGATCCTTGATGCCTAATTACAGCTTTCAATGTATATTTATAAATATCATTGTCATTAAATTTAAATTTCTTGAAATGTTCCTTTAGGTCATATTCTTGATCGGCTGAAATTGGAGCATTATTAATTGTTCTTGATGAATTTTTGTTTGCTCCAACCCCATTATTTGTACTTGAACTATTCGGAGCTGTGGTCTGTGTACTAATTGATGGAGGGTTTGATACTGATGTGTTGCGAGACGACGCAGACGATGTATTGGAAACATCTTCATCTATATCGTCGTCATCATCATCATCCGCTGATACACCATCAGTAGTGGAATCATTCTCTACATCACCATCATCAACAACATCCTCAGCTTCCTCATCGGGACCCTTCTCGTCAACATCTTCTCTCTGAACGTATTCATCTTCCATATCATTAACATCTGTAGTCAATACATTAGTGGATTTAACATCAGCGGGTTCAATTTCTTCATTAGAGTTAATAGATTCTTGGAATTCCTTTAACTTCTCATGATATTCAGGACCTATACTTAACGTTAAATTATCTTTGTATGATACATGACATGGATTTCTAGTAATATTTACACCATTAAATGATGATCTAGATAAATGAATTCCAAGAATTCTAGGAGGTTTTAAGATTTGGGTCTTTCTTATAACTTTTGAAGTAATTTGAGATATTTCAAATCCATTTAAGGACTTCGTAGAATATGAATTTATATATGATTCTAGACCTTTCTCTAGATCGTCATTAATACATAAAGCTTTGAAATTTTCATTATAAATTTTTGTTATATCATGTAAATATTTTTCTTCTTGTTCATCCTTTGATTTTCGATTTAATAACTTTTCATTAGCAACTATATTAGAAACCCTACATTTCAAACAATTATAACCATCGATAATTTCATTTTCTGATTCATCAAGTAATGTTGATAATTCAGTAGAAATTTTCTCAGGTGTATGTAAAGTAATCATAGTGAAGGGAGTAAATATAGGTGTTGAAAAGCCTTCACATTTCGAACATTTCAATTGAGATAAGATTAAGCCACCGAATGGGAATTCGGGAATAACAATTGATTGTAATGAATCATATTGAGAAGGCAGTGGAGTCGATGTTTCTGTATATTTATGTAAGTTCTTGATAACATAAGTCAACAACTTCATAATTTTAATATTTTCATTTTCTAATGTTTCATTAATTAATTGAGTTAATTCATGAGCATCATGTTGAGATCTAGAAATTTTAGCATTGAAAATTCCTTCTAAACAATGTAAAAATGTCCATACTGAAATTGTCCTTGAAGTCAATTGAGTTTCTTGTAATTTTTTAATAATCTCTGCTAAGGCATAATGTAATGGAATAGAAAATTTAGAATTGGAACTTTTGAATTTGGCTGATTGATGATTAGGTTTACTAATTGATTGTTTATCCTTAATAACTAGATTAATATCAATTTTATTATCAATAATAAATCTATTAAATAATTGAAAATTCTTAATGAATTTATTAAGATAATCAGTTAAACCAGGTAAGGCCAGATATGCTTGGATTGAACTGTTTGCAAAACAATCATTTCTTAAATTTATAAATCCAGTAGTATATTTATCTGGTCTTTTAGAAAACATTTTAGGTGAAGGAGCTAATGTGGGTGATAATATATAGTACAATACTCCAAAAACAATAGAAGTTTGAAGGATTATCAGGCGTTGTTTTCTAATAGAAAGTGAATGCCAATAGTTAATGAGATGATTTAAGATATTATTGCTACTATTGTAATTGCTATTGCTAGAATTAACTATGGAATAATGATTGCTATTATTTATAATTTTGCTACTAGTAATTAAAATTCGAAGTTGATCTAATACAGTCCAATTGTCCATTTAATCAGATCTCCTTCAAATTCAGTTTCTATACATATATGGAAAGATAATGATATTCCACTACCACCACAATGTCCCAGTCTACCCCGAAATTTCAGAGCTCGGAAAAACACTACCTTATGTCGCACGGACCGGGCACAAACGTTCGCTTAGATGCGGAAACGGATCTTAAACTAAAATCGGGGGGTGTGAGTATTATATTATGTATTATTAATAGTATATATGTCTATGTATCATGAAATACAATCGTAGATTGTATATTTATATGTATCAAATAAGGAAGATATTAAATTCTTAGTCATCAATGATTAAGAATTAATTAACTTAAAAATTAATTAATTTCATAGTAGCATAACCAATAGTAACAATAATTGAATAAGCAATAACAGAACTTGGAACACCTCTAGTAATAAAAGTTCCTACAGTTAAATATGGTTTACCAAATTCATCAGTCATACAAATGGCAGTAACATTTGGAAATCCCGATGTTGGTAAACCCATAGCAGCGGAACATAATAATGCACTAATCATAATCAATAATCTTGGATGAGGATTTTCCATATTATTACCAATTTCACTAACTAATGGAATAATAATTAATGCAGCCACTGTATGACTAACAAATGTAGCCATAGTTAAAATTAATAATCCAAAGGTTAAACTAACTCCAAATAATGAGAAATCTTCAACTTCATGTTGAATTGTAACGGCAATTGTTGATAATAAACCTGATGATGCTACTGCTTTACCTAATGCAGTACCTCCCATAGCTAAAACTACAATATTCCAAGGATAATTATTAAAATCTTCTGTAGTTAATAACCCAGTACCAAAGAATAAAATAATAGGTAATAACGCAATGATCCCCATTTCACCAAAAATTCCTGTTAATCTAGATGCAATACACCAAAGGAAAATGGTGAATGTCGATACAAAAATAATATACCATTGAATTCCAGTGAATTTATCATCTATCATTCTAATAGCTACTAAATGTGTGTTTCTAGAATTACAGTTGAAAGTGATTAATAAAAATACCCAAATAAGTATTAATGATAATAAGCAAACAGGTAAGGCAATTACAAACCATTGACCCCAGCTAGGTTGAGGATCCATTGCACCAATAGCAATCATATTTTGAGGAGAAGCGATTGGAGATGCCATACCACCAATGTTAGATGCTAAGGCAATACCTAAAATCAATGCATTTATAAACTTTGAACCCTTTGGTAATGTTCTTAATAAAGGTTGAATTAACGAGAAACATAACACTGGAGCTGCAACATTTGAAACCCACATTGACGCAAATAATGCCACTCCCATGATGGTTAATAATACAATAGATGGATTTGTACCCGCTTTAGATAAGATCCAAGTTGAGATTAATTTCGCAATGTGATACTTTGAAAGTGCAGCAGCTAAAGTGAACCCACCCAATAACAATAAGATAACTGAATTCCACATAGTTGATAAGATATATTTTGAAGAATCTACTGAATCCATTAATGAACCATCATCATTTTTCAAAACATGTAAACTAACAATCAAAAGTGGGATAAGTAAAGAAGTTACAAATAATGGAATGGCTTCTGTGGCCCATAATAATGAAGCACAAATTAATAATGCAAAACAATGTTGTTGGGCTTCATCATCAAAAGGCGAGAAATTCAATAAAATTACAGTGACAGTAGTAATTAACAATAATTTCAACACGATAGGATTGGTTAATGAAAGATTGAAATTCTTTAATAATTGATTATTTTTCAAATTAACATCACCATTCTTCTCATTTCCATCACCAGTTTTAGTATTGGCGGCATAGGTTTTTCTTTCTAAACCAATCATATCTCTCCACACAGTATTTCTTTCCCAGACGACATGTTCTCTTAAATGGATAGATAATTCTGATTTAGCTAATTCTAAATCATCTCCATGATTACAAATCAAAGCATATAACTTTATAAGTGATTGCAAACGATCTTCAACCTTTTGAATTGTTGTTACTTGGAAAATATAAGATTTTGATGGTAAACTTTCAAGATAATCATCCTTAATATTTGTATTTAAAGATTTATCGAATTTTTTTAGAGCTTTCTTAAATCCAGTTTGATTTAATTCAATATATGATTTTAATTCTGACATAGTAGTATATAAGCCAATAATTCTTTTTCTTAATAAGATTCTTGATTCAGATAATAAAACTAATTGAGGGGGTAAATTAGACGTAAGAGAATCATTGAGATTATTCCAAATTTGAGATTTTGGAGATTTGAGATAGTCATCAATGGATTTAATTTGAACTAAAGGATTTGAAGTTGATCTAGTTAATTTTGTTGCAGAATTTTTTCTTTGATGTTTACTGTTATTTCCAGAATAACTGGTCAAAGCTTGAGGATCTTCATCATCCTCTTCGTCATCATCGTAGTCTTCGGGTTGAGTGAATTCAGTGTCTGGATCAGTAGCATTAATATAGTTAACATCAGAAACATCAGACAAAGTACGCGAACGACGAATATTTGATTTTAAATCATTTGATGATTTTAAGCCATACGCAGCAGTTGAATCAACTTCTCGTTCAAAGTTTTCAATATCAACGATTATTTCATCGACACTCTTAAAAATAAATGATTCTTGTATTTGATAAAAATCATCAATCTTTTTTAATTCTGAATCTAGAGCCGTTATAAACACTTTTGAAGGCAGATAATCATCATCCAAATTACCAGTTGATGAATAATTAGTTGAAGATATTAATTCTTCTATTTCTCCTAATTCAAGATCAGGGGGTACACCAGCACCTGAACCTGAGCGATTACGTTGATGGTGACGTCTTAAATTATCTCTTTGTAAGGAATAAATTAACTTTTTTAATGTTGTGTAAGCAATATATTTTGAAGACCATTCAGGTACAGCATTAAACTGTAAAGAATGTGAGAACTTCATCTATGTAGTAGTACAATGAGATATACCAATTTTGGTGATGTGTATCAAAAGTTGGATATAGGTGAGGATATAAATAATTGACAAAAAGTCAACACTAAATCAAAACTTGAGCAACCAGTTGAGGGGTGATAGGTAATATATGATAAGACTGATAAGCCCACAAACACGTATTGTAGATTGTTGAACTTTGATATATCACTTTAATAAAGGGATGAGTGTGCAAGTACAACCTAGAATTCAAGTTGGGTATAAAACTTCCTCGTTGCTAGTTGAGTTTGTAAACAAGACGTGGACTTATATACTGATCTTAGTGATCTGTAGTTTCGTTGAGGTTGTAATAACAATAATAATTATTATTTTAAAGTAGAGTCAACACAAGAAGTCGTAGGACAAAGGAAACTTGCACAAAAAAAATGGTGCTAAAGATGGTACTGTATTTGACGTCGAAGAAGTCTCAGGCGGACAGTGTAACACTTTAATACTTTGATAAGTGATCGCTATTCTCAAAGGATTTAAAGATTATCGTAGATATTTCACTTTATTGATATAAATGTTCAAACCGGATTTACAAATACTTTTGTCTACTAATATCTATCCGATTTTTATGGTTCCCGATTAAGCTGTGAAAATTAATGTTAATGAAGTTTAATTAATTATGTTTTCTTTTTTTTCTCTGGCAGTTACTATGGTTATGAAAGCGAAGGGTTGCAGTTTAGTACTAGTTTATTACTTGGGGTATAGTAAACGTGGGTTAATATCGTGTGAGGCTTATTTTTATGTTGTGAGAGCTCTATAAACATTTACATTCTAACTATAATTACTACATTTACTAATGTGTGGATAAACCTGATGTCATCCTCATCATCACCATAAATGTGCCTCATGGCTCCTTTCAATTTCCTGTCTCTCCGATATATTTTTTATTTTTTATATGTATTTTTTAATATTTTTTTATTCTATTAAATTGATTTTTGAGCCTCATAGTGTGACCTGGATCACGTGCATGAGTAAGTCGAAAGAATAACACCGTTATACATAATTTAATACCTAGCAAACTAATTAATATTATCGTTAAATAAACTGATATATTATCATTACTATATATATTGCAGAAAAATCGTCATTATTGCTTTCTATCTCTACTTTTTTATTTTATTGGTTCAACTATAAGCTATAACTATTATTGCTTTCTCGCCTAGTACTGTATAGTAATACTCCACACCACTAAAATTCTCACCTTTTCTTAAGGGAGATCCCCTAATTACTAAGATCAAGCTTATTGTATAAGCTCAATAATCACCCAATATTGCTTTAAAAAGTTCAGGTTCAATTTTAGTTTTGCTTTTCCTTTATAATTGTGGTTATATTCATTCCCCCACTCCAATTGCCCCCCTATCCTTTATTTCTCCATATATATCGCTTGGCTTCCTCCCAGTCCCTTGCATACTTCTTCATTTCCCTCTTCTCTTAATGTTTGCAAGGAATTCAGTTCATTTAATAAGAAATTGTTTTATTAAATCAACTACTTGTATATATAAGCCTAATATACTATCACACATATCAATTGCATCAAAAATGCCTTTAATAACAATTTCGCAATCCCTCGATGAATCTTATAACAAGCACAATATTATTCCTGATGTTATTGATCCATTCGTAACTCAGGGTCTATTAACTATAGCATATAGTGATGAAGATCAAGTGGCTTTGGGTAATACTCTTAAAGTTCTGAAAACTCAAAATAAACCTAAAATTCAATTCACTTTAAATAGTTCACATCAAGATGGAACGTTTGAACCAATATCAAATAATGATAAATTCATACTCGTCTTGACTGATCCTGATGCACCTTCTAATACAGATCATAAAAACTCGGAATATGCTCATTGGTTAGTCACTGATTTAAAGTTATCAACTTCGGATGCTTCAGATTCTGGTAATGATATATCCCATTTCTTAGATTACTCGAAAGGTAAAGAAATTCTTTCATATACTGGACCTGCACCTCCACCAAAAACTGGTAAGCATAGATATGTTTATCTTTTATACAAACAGGATTCTCAATCTTCAAATTTTCAGACTCCAAAAGGTAGACCAACTTGGGGAACTGGTATTCCAGGTAGTGGAGTCAGAGATTGGATAAAGAAAAATTCACCAAATCTGAAATTATTGAGTGTTAATTTCTTTTATGCTCAAAATGAAGACAATTAACCATTTTGTTCTATGGTTTCTTTAATTCTTGTAAATAGTTCCACCCTTATATGATTATCATAAAATTAATATATATATATATAATTTCTACCTATCCCTTCTAATTGCACTGTAATCTCGGGGGCTTACGACTAAACCTTTACCCTTTTTAGCACCTCTATAAATAGTTTCAATAATATCAATTAATTCTTGTTTGTCATTTATCATAAAATTCAATTTATTATTATTTCCTGTCCCAAAATCACACATCATATGTTTATTTCGATGGAAAAACATTATTGTAAATGGCTCCGACCGGTCTTGATCTAGTTCGTACATGGCATTGAAATCTGGTACTTTATCTATATTACATAGATATACAACGGCAAAATTTTTTATCTTTTCACTAATCAGATATAATATTTCATCCATTATCATACATTGAGTTTCTTCCTCTCTACCAAAACGAATTATTACCAATCGATCATCTTCAGAGAGAATGGCTTGATCAACGTGCCACCCAGTTCTTAAATGTGGTAAGAAGATTGATCCCATTCTAAGTGTTATTGATTTTCATATTAGTTATGTATATATTTTCAGATATTACTTTTTTTTGTACTCGATGAAGTTGATGGTGCAAAAAATAGTAGCGGCTAGAAAAACTGCTGCAAACGATTACTTTAATAGACCACAAGCTCTAGAATTACTAATGAAACTCTTAAGAAGGAAAAGCTGGTCTTGGTCTTCTAAATCCAATATTTCCAAGAAGGGGGAAGAAGAAAGAGATAACAAGGATATTCAAATCTTATCATCCACTATAACATCAACATTGAATCTCCATGCTCAAGAGGAAACAGATTCTTTGGAAAGTATAGAGTCATCTGGTGTTGTTTCTCTACCTAAAGTAGGGAAAAGTGTTTCCCTTATTCTACCACCTCCTTTACCAGAGGCCATTCACTCAAAACAAGGATTGAACAGATCCAGTTCCATCTACCAAGTTGATCCCCCATTAAATCCAATATACACAGGGATTCCGGTGAATAGACTTGCTTTAATTGATAAGAGTGATATTCTTGCTTTTAACCACCAACTACTGTGTGAATATCTCCATATTGAACAGAATTATTATTTCCGTTGGTTGGTGTGGTACTATAAAGAAAATAAAATTAAAACTATTGTAAAATGCATCGAAACTAGTCGTGATTTAATTGATTTTATGAATCATGAATACAATGACTTAGTTCATAAAAATATTTATCGTCAATTTTTTATTGCAAGATATGGGATTATTCCTAATAGAAAATGTATCAAAGATGGATATACTATTGAAATTAAAATTCCTATTGATGACGATTCAAAAGATTATGAAGAAAATACTAGTGTTGATGATCATGATGAACAGCTTATGGAAGAGCAGTCGATTAAGAAATTCTTTACTTTACTTTTAGAGAGTACTTGCTCAAATAGGATTTACAATACTATAGATCATTTAAAAATATCTATTTGCGGAATAAATTTAAAATATATTTCAAATCATATAAGAATTTCCATTTGGATATATCCAATTCCAAATCAAACTTATAATAAAGAATTTATAATTGAACAAACTGAAATGCTAATTAATGTTTTGAGAAGTTGTATAACAAATGAATTTAAACATTTATTTAATAAAGTTTTATTTATGAATAACAACGATGATTCCACAATCATACTAGAATTTATATAAACTAAATAAGTTAATTAGTCATCACTAAATATAATATCTCTATATCTAACAGTATTATTGAATTGATTATTTTCTCTGTCATATTGAATATGAGAATCTACATCACACTTTAAATCCATTTTATCTTCCGTTGCACAATAATAGATTGGATTTTGTTCCATTAAATATGTCATTTGCTCCAATTGTTTCCATTCCTTGGTAAACATCATATTCTTAATAAAAGTGAATATTATATTTCTATGTCTTGGTCTAGCTTGAATAGTAGTTGGACTATAAAATAATCGAAGTGCTTTCCCATCTTTAGTATCACAAGAATGTGAACCTTCTATTGACATACTTTTCCCAGCTGATACCGAAAATCCATACCCAAACCCTATTGTTATGGAAAAGTTATGCCAACCAATTGAAAATGATCTTTCGAGTGTTGGCCTTATGTATGCATTTAATTCAATAGTTGATGAATAACCAAAGCTGACAGATCCTGAACCTCTACCGGAAGGAAACTCTAAACATGCAGAGATTGGAAATAATTGATCATTTTTATAGGAAATCAAATCCTGAAAATCCAATTCATTATATATTAAGTCTTCACCATTATCTCTCCTCTTAGTGATAACTTCTTCACCTCTAGTTAACATATCATCTTCGGGAATAAGAATTGTCTTTGTATCTTCAAAATAAATGACCACTTTAGGGTCTTTCTCAACAAAAGCATACAAGACATCAGAAGTCAAATCACTACGCCTTGATAACACAGCCGGCGTATATGTTAAATACTCATCTTTGTCAGTGTTTTTGGTTTCTGTATAATCAATAATTTTAATTCCTCTTTTTGACCTCATATTTGAGTACTCAAATTCTTGGGCAAAATCTTCTTCTGTCCTCTTACGTTTTTCTAAATGATAAGAGTCAAACTTCTCTTTGTAACTTTGGATTTGTTCATGTAGGTTTTCTTTATCTCCATATTGGATAAACTCGTCCAATCTAATAGGTTCCAATTTTCTGGTCAGGTATTCGAAGAACTCCGAGTCCAATTTAGAACCAAATGGTTTGAAAGAACTTTCCAATGTTGGAACAGGGACTTGATAATTACTTGTTGTTCCTGATTCTTCAGTTAAACTAGAGTCTCCAAAGACTATGTTTAAGCTTAAGTACAAAGATAGTAATAGCATCATGTTAGTCTATGGGGATAATTTGTTACGAAGCAAAAAAAGAATTCTCAGCTAATTATCACTTTTATATTCCATCTTCATTGATCTGCTTATGTTTAAATTACGCTTATTATACTTATATCACGCTTAATCGATGTCCATTACGCTTATAACCTGACTGCGAATTTCTTCGCAACTTTTTTTAGCGTAAAAAAATGCACCAAAACTACGTGGATGAGTAGCCAGATCTACAGAAACTACATTTAACCATCATATAAATTCATTCAAGAAATAATTAGTCTTTGAGGGTAAAAATAAATGCGCAAACCCGGAATCGAACCGGGGGCCCAACGATGGCAACGTTGGATTTTACCACTAAACCATTTGCGCCACTTTTCATGTTAGCTTTCATTCAATTTTGAGGCACTTCTGTTTGAGTCCAAAAAAAATTTTCAAAGCAAAATTCCCGGCGTATATTACAAGAGAGTATCCTGATCAAACATTGTACAAGATACATCTAAATACCATTTTAATTATTTTGTACGAACTTGACTATTGGTATAATTTGTCTGATTTTATACAACAAGAAAAATATGCTTCATACTTTTTAGGAACTCTATTGTGAAATTTATGAAATTATTAGTAAGAGATCGTAACATCTGTTTAAATTCCTCTTTATAAGGTTCATAATTTTCAAGCAATATTTACACATACTTCGGAAACATAGAGTTAGGGAAGCCAGAACCTGAATTAAATTACTGCTGTTAGATAACATCGAAAAAATTGCAGCAATTGGTTTCCTAAAGCGGACGAAAAAAATTGGACATCGGAAAATAAAATGATTTTCGATTTTTCGACCCCATAATTCGAATGTTTGTATAAGCAAGAACTGCAACAATAATAATGACTAATGAAATTGAGTTAGGTGTCACTGCTGACTTACATGTTCACCTTCGTGAAGGTGACATGAAGGATTTGATAGTTCCGACAGTCAAACAAGGTGGGATCTCGATTGTTTATGTGATGCCCAATTTATCTCCACCTATCACAACGATTGAAAGAGTCAGGCAATACAAATCTGAATTGGAAGCTCTAGATAAAGAAACTATATTTCTTATGAGTTTCTACTTACACTCACTGTTAACACCAGAGTTGGTAAGAGAAGCTGGTGAAAAAGGATTAATCCATGGTATAAAGTGTTATCCTGCTGGTGTTACAACTAATTCTAAAGAGGGTGTCGATCCTAATGATTTTTCCAAGTTTTATGAAGTTTTTGAGGTTATGCAAAGTTTAGGATTGGTTTTAAATATTCATGGTGAAAAACCGGGTCATTCTCATGGAACAGAAGATGAATTCAAACCAAGAAATGAAGAAGAAGATATTAATATTTTGAATGCAGAGAAGAAGTTCTTACCTGCTTTGAAGAAGCTTCACGAAGATTTTCCAAAATTAAAGATTGTATTAGAACATTGTACTACATCTGATTCTGTTGCACTCATTCGTGAATTAAATAAAGGTAAAGCTGTTGGTGATGAAATCTTTGTAGGTGCCACTATCACTGCTCATCATCTATTTCTCACCATCGATCAGTGGGCTGGTAATCCAATTAATTACTGTAAACCGGTTGCTAAATTTCATGACGATAAATTAAGTTTAGTTGGGGCTGCTACGTCAGGAGAACCATGGTTCTTCTTTGGTAGTGACTCTGCTCCACACCCAATTGAATTAAAGTGTGTTTATCAAAATGTATGTGCTGGAGTATTCACCCAGTCTCATGCAGTTGGATATTTAGCCGAGGTTTTTGATAAAGTTGGAAAATTGAGCAATTTGATTAAATTTGTTAGCAACAATGGAATAAAATTTTATAATGTGGCTAGTAACAAACATGTGGGAGCTAAATACGAAGAATTGAAATCGAATGGTAAAAAAGTTTGGTTAATTAAGAGGAAGAATGATGTTCCAAAAGTCATAGGAAATTCTAAAGTTACAGTTGTACCATTCAAAGCTGGTGAACAATTAGAATGGACAATTGAGTGGAGATAATCGAAGGTTAATTAAATAAATATAGTTGTCTAATCTATAGTCTAAATTAAAAGATCTGAATGTACATACAAAACACGAACACATACAGATGAGATGTATGCATTTAAATTGTGAATTCATTTGCAATATAGATCGTCGTCAAGAAGTTCACGGTCCAGCGGCGAATACAATGGCCAATGTTTCGCCAATGTGACAACGTTTTTCTGGCTTTGTTTTAAGCACAACTTACAACGAATGCACGTATACGAAAGAGATATTTGAAAGATTTAACCGCACAAGCAACTTACGCGCAATTCTTATACGGAGTGTAACGATTAAGCACTTACGAATAGGCAAAACGCATCACAGGGTAAGCGACTACAACACGTTGCTGATCTTTAAAGAAAAAAAAGTTGGTGGCTATTTACCGAAACAGGAAACATAAAGCACTGTTGACGTAGATATATAATTGCGTTTAAACGCCATAAGAAGAGCAGCTGCAATGACACAAATGACAGCCAAGACAGCAGATGGCTGTATACACTAAATAAAGAATTTAAAATAAAAAAAAAATTCGCACCCAGTGAACCCACGTTGTTAGAAACCTAGTAAAGCAATTAACTGCAACATGCCTTAGTTAAGATCAGCATAATTACGAATTAAGTGAAGAAAAAGTTAGACTATGTGACTTATACATTGGGTCCGAATATGTGTTCCAAATGGAACGATGACATTACCGAAAAGTGGAGAAGTAAGTTGTAGGGCTGTAGTATAATCTTATAAAGTTAGATTTAAACAATGTACATTCTTTTAAGTCCTTCTATAGGATTTTCAAAATGGTCTTGGCAACTTTAATGAGTGAAGGAATCTTAATTCATTCCCATATTCTTCTGACAACTTAAAATTCCTACCTAAGCCCTGAATGATTATATCAAGCTACTACTTGATTACAGTATGCTCTCTAGTCTATGGAATTCAGGTGAGCTTTACCGGGTAAACGTAAAAATAATTAAAAATAATAATACTAGAGCTTTCTACATGCGTACGTTAACATATTGGACCTGTCACCCAATTAGGCAACTTGGCGCGCACCAATTTTATTTTTACTATTGTATGTTGGATGTCGCGGTAAACTTGGATGAGTTAGGTTACGAAATGAATTTTTTGAGGCAAATGAGGTAGGAATCTGTCGTTGGTCAACATGTATATTTTAACCTTTTATGGGGATTTGTGATCTATTCATACTTCTGACAGCTTTGTATTTGGAATCTTTTGAGCTTTAAAATATTATCTTATCTTATCTTATCTTCAGGTACACCTTAGTTAGTATACTCTATCTTCTTACTCCCTTTTATTTTAGATGTCTTGTGACTTGTATCCTAAATTGGTTAAATAAAACTATAATAATATTAATAAGTTTAATGTATGGAATAATGCTATTGTTTAAAAATAAATACATACTTCCCTGCCTGTTTGATCGTACACCCTTAGCAATATAATGAAATTTTTATAATTTAACCCACGTTGTCTATCTCAATTACAATTTTCTCCTTAAGAATGTACTGCATATAATATGTCTTACAGTCAATTTTCAACTATTTTAAGCCCAAACCAACGTGTATTGCTAGTAGCATTATACAAATCTATGTAACAATATAGTCTAAAAAGTAAAACATTAACTAAATAAGTAAGTAAGTGAGCTGATACAGAGATTTACATAAATTGCTACGTTTTAATACTCTAACATTAAAGAAGATTTTTCATAAAGCCCATGTGTACTATCACTTAACAAAAATACGCCACTGATCCAGTTCTTTGTATTTCAATTAAGATTGCCTTGTGAAAGACAATTCAGATGATCTGGATAGTCTAATTGCAAAGCATTCTTGACCCTTATACTTTATAGTTATAGCGGATTAAACTTTTTTTTCAGTTTATTGAATTCTATTTTCTGCTATCTAAAATATTGTGATAGCTAAGCTCGGTAAGTGAAAAGACATGTATCTGTACGGCACAAGCCTACGAAAAAAAAGCTCTTTGAGTAATTACTCTTTCTTTTTTTTTTAATATTATATTTTCTAAATAATAATTTCTTTTTTTTTTGACACCCCTGGTTCTGCTATCAAAGTAGTTTTAGAATTGATGGTTAGCGCTCAACCAACAGCCCTGTTAGGTAATATCACTTTTCATTTCGCTTGTGTTTGTGCTGCGGCATTCTATAAATTAAGAGATCCACGTTAGCTATTGAATTGCAGTAATAAAATATATAAAAAAAAAGTTTTTATTTTTTGGCTAATTTATTAATTTTATTTTTGTATTTACTACTAATGTAAGTAAGTGCCGGAACTATCAAAATTAATTTCCCCGTTCCATATCTTTTCAGTATATTAATCTTTTTTCAACTGCAACTAACATTAACTGCAACTTTCTATCTCCAGTACATAATTTTCGTCTTCTTAATAACTTTTCCAAAACTATTTATATGCATTGAATTATCCTTCTGATTTTTCATAACTATTAATTTATTTCCCTTTTTAATTTTCTATTAATTCATTAGTTCTACTCCGATTGATATCAAATAGGTAAATAGTATATCCCTATTACCATTCATTAAATAATTGTTTAAATTTTACCAATTATTTCACTCCACATTATATTTGATTTTCCCCAAACAACTCAATAATATTAATATATAAAAAATGGCTAGTAGAGATCTCCCAAGATCATTCGGTGAGTTCGCCTTCGGTTGGACTAAGCATTTAGCCGATGAAATGACTTGGAATAAAACCCAAGAGCAATTAATTGAAGAAGATTATCAACCAGATTATATGGAAAAGAAGACTAAAGTCACTGGTAAATCTTTATTGCCTGCTTTTGCTTCTGGGGCTGGTTTATTCTCCGATGGTTATGTTAATAATTCCATCGGTACGGTCTCCTTTGCTTTAGGTCAAATTTATGGTAAGACATATACCAACTCTTCTGCTATCTCCAATGTTTCAGCTATTGCTTTCGTTGGTACCGTTGTAGGTCAGTTATCCTTTGGTTATATTTCTGATAGATTTGCTAGAAAGGGTGGTATGATGGCTGCTAACGTTGGTTTAATCATCTTCACTCTTTTATGTGCCGTTGCTACTTGGGGTACTTCTCCAGAAGGATTATTCGCTTCTATTGTTGTTTTCAGAATGCTTTTAGGTATATCTATTGGTGCTGAATACCCAACTTCTTCTGTTATTGCTTCAGAATTCGCTAATATGTTACCAGCTGGTCACAGAAACAGATACTTCTGTTGGTTCACCAATGCCATGATTGATTTAGGTTTCGTGGTTTCATCTTTCGTTCCATTAGTTCTCTTATGGATTTTCTCTCCAAGACACATGAACGTCATCTGGAGATTAACCTTAGGTTTAGGTGTTTTCCCACCATTAATATTATTCTTCTTAAGAATGGGTATGAACAACTCTGCATCTTTTGATAAATTAAACATGAAAAAAGCCAAATATCCATATCTTTTGATCTTCAAATTCTACTGGTTTAGATTAACTGTTGTTGCTTTAATTTGGTTTATTTATGATTTCTCTGCTTACTCATTTGGTCTTTACTCGTCTTACATTATTGGTGCTATTATTCCAGATAACGATATCTACAAGACTTGGGGTTGGAATGTTGTCTTCAACTTATTCTACATGCCAGGTGCTTTCTTAGGTGCTCTTGCTGCTGATTATATTGGACCAAGATTAACTTTAGCTATTGGTGTTGGTTTACAAGGTGTTATTGGTTTTATCATGGCTGGTCTTTATCCACACTTAAAGCACAATATTGCTGGTTTCGTTGTTGTTTATGGTATCTTCACTACTTTAGGTGAATTTGGTCCAGGTGATAACATTGGTCTTTTAGCCTCTAAGACTTCTGCTACTCCAATCAGAGGTCAATATTACGGTATTGCTGCTGCTGTCGGTAAAATTGGTGCTTTTGTTGGTACTTACATTTTCCCAATTATCATCAAAAATGCTTCAAGAGGTGGTACTGACCCAGACAGAGGTCAACAAATGCCTTTCTACATTTCTTCCGCTCTTTGTCTTTTCTCCGCTTTCCTTGCTATCTTCTGTTGTCCATCTGTTGGTCAAGATTCCATTAACAAAGAAGATGAAGAGTTCGTCAAGTACTTGGCTGCTAATGGTTATGATATTTCTCAATTAGGAGATGGTACTTTGACTGAAGTATCATATGCCCATGATACTGTTGTTGAAGAATACGACGACGCAAAGAAGAGTAATGATGTTAACATTAAGACTGAATCTTTATAGTTGACTATCATTTACGCATAACAATATAGCTTCCTTTATAATTTTATTTCTACTTTAATACTTTAACAAAATATTTTTCATTGTCTTGTAAATTATTTCAACATAAAGTCAATTGTAGTTAATGTGAGCTATTAGTTCGAGGGGCAGAAAAGCTTGAATTTTGCAATCAATGAGATGCAATCGTTTCTTTTTCTAAACTTACGCAGGCTGTAATCTCTTGCACCCCATCCCCCTCATTATATCTATATTTTAATATATAAATAATAACATTAATTGTAATAATATTAACATTAATTGTAATAATATTAACAATAGCTGATAATGTTTTATTGAAATCATGAGATGAGTTCCAATAAATTGATAGAGCAGGGACACGTTTGATTACTATAAATGGGATATTTTTCAGATTATAGGCGTTGCGTAAAAATAAAATTATATATTTTATACTTTCACATTTTGTTCGGAAAAGTGGATTCGATTAGCTTGGCACGAGAGTCTATGGAAAAGAGATAACACCACTAAGCACGAGCATATTGGATAATCAATTATTGTATATTTACATATCCATCATTTCGTAAATTAATTTATATACATTTTTAACATCAAACATCATTATGAAATTCAGAAATGGTTAGCCATCTAACTAAAACTCATCTATTCTCTTGACTTGAATACTTGTAGCATCATTCATTTCATTATTCACTACAGAGTTTGTAGAGCCTAGTCCGCCGGAACTAGTATTAGTGCTTGAACTTGACCCATCATATCCAAATCTACTTAAAGGCCATATCACAAAGACCACCTTCCCCACAACCAAACCCTGACTGACAGGTCCGAAGTTATTTGAATCAATTGAATGGAAACTATTGTCCCCTTCGACCCATACATGATTTCTCGGTACAGTAACCTGTTGTTTAGGATATGGTGGTGATTTGGTTCGTACTACTTCACCTTGGGTTGCAATTATTCTCTTTGTGAGGATTTTCTCTGGATTACTAGGTGATCGAAACATTACTATATCACCTCGATGAAGTGAATTTGCCAGCTTTAAGTTATATTTCTGTACTAATACAATATCTTTACTCGTTGTTGAAGTCCCTGGATTAAATGTTGGAGTCATCGAAGAGCCGGATATTTGATACGGTTGATATACATGGTTGGTGAATGAATAAAGAACTGGGAACCACGTTAGCGTAATTAGCGTTGTTTTCAAGCCATTGGGTATAGCCATCCTTTCTATCTTTCTATATAGTTGTCCTTGTTAGCAATTATGGTTCCGTTAGTCCTGGTGGGGGGTTGATATTGGCTATTTCCTTTGCGTCTTCCTTTTTTTTCTGGATGCGAGTCATAGACAAAATTTTTCAGTTATCAAGAAGTTGCATTTATTGTTTGCTCTCGACATTATAAGATAAATAACTATTCAAATACTACTATGTCTGCTCAAAGTGGGATACTAGACCAGATATTGTTGGAGGATATTGCCAGACATTGTCCTCATCAATTCTTAGCTTTTCATAATTGTATGTCAAAGCCAGATCCAGACCCGGAGTTTTGTGATACTCAACAACGTCAACTTGCTTCATGTATTAAAACTGTTGTTCCTTCATTTCAAAGAATACAAACTCAATGTGTTGCTAAGTTGAATGCTTATGAATCATGTCTCAAATCAAATAATAGTAAGGCTGAAAAATGTTCGCCTGAATTACAATCATTAAGAGACTGCGCTCTTGGAAGTTTAAATAAATGATGAATGTTATGATTTTATTATGATATGATAATATGACGGATATACATAGACTACTTATAGAAAGTTTGATTTTACGTACTACTTGGATCTTTTATATTTGTCCAGTAAATTAATAAGATTAACATGGGACAAGAAATTAGATGTAAGCTTTCTCAATTCTTCACTTGTACTATAATGCGATTCTTCTATTTCATGTTCATGATATAATAATTCATGTTCAATATCTTCTTTATGTTTGATAAGGACATCTGGATCGTCTTTAGCATGATATTTCTGCCAATGATGTTGTTCATATTCTAATTCAAAATCAAAATGATGGCCCTGTCCATAACCAAAGTCAGGTAATTCACCTCCATTATTAGTGAATTGTTTCCACTCAGCTAAACTAATCTTCCCATCATGATCTTTATCTATAGCATTTAAAATTGAAGTGATGACAAATGTTTTGGCATCTTCATTAATAATCTCTTCATCATGATCTTGATGTTTACCCATTCCCGAACCATCTCCTACTATATTGGTCCTTAAAAGTCCATATAAATTTAAAATATCCTCTTCATACCAGAATCCACGATTCGAAACATCATGTAATCTAAAGAATAAATCGGCGTCATAACTTTCAATACCATGTTCTTCGATCATATGCCAATTTTGCCAACTCAATGTCGCAGGTTTCTGTTTGATTTGGGCTCCTGATCCATGATCTCCGTGAGCCAATGCAATGGCTAATATACTCAGAAAATTCAATAGTATTTTACCCAATTTCATATCTATGTATAGATTGACAAGCTACTATGTCTCTATGCATTCCATCGGAAGCATATCAACTTTTTAACTCTCCTTTCGGTGTTGATTAAATTTTCCTGCATATAGGTAGAAATTTCTAAACGTGGAGTACTAAGAAAAATTCACTTTTTAGTCATAGGCTATAGTCTTAGCAAGTTGCCACTTTATAAGCTATCAAGCGATCGATATCCTGATTAGGCATTCAATTGAGTACTTCATACAGCAACTTGTAATGACCAATGTTAATCTACCTGTGAGACCGACCGAATCTCGTGTAGGAAGGTCTAACCAACGATATAATTCGGAAACTGGAGCTCGAATGGTTGCTGGTTGTATCTGTCTTAATGAGACAAAGGATAAAGTTATTATGATATCTTCATCTTCAAAGACTGATAAGTGGGTATTACCCAAAGGAGGAATTGAATTAGATGAAACTGACGATTTTGTAGTTACAGCCGTTAGAGAAACTTGGGAAGAATCAGGTGTTGAAGGCAGAATTACTGAAAAATTACCGGTAGTATATGATGCAAGAGGTAAATCGGCACCAGTATTAAAGGGAGAATTTGATCCTAAAGTTCAAATACCAAAGACAGAATATCATTTCTATGAATTAATAGTGGATGAATTAAGTCAAACATGGCCAGAAAGTAATTCACGACAACGAAGATGGTGTACTTATTCTGAAGCAAAGCACGAACTACTTAAAGCAAAGCGATCGGAATTGGTCAATGTTTTAAATAGTTCAAGCATTATTAAAGACGCACCTAATGACAATATTGACGAATATTAAAAAGCATGTTATAATTACATATATATAATATACGATAAATTTATCTTCCTTGTCTATTTAAATAAATCGCCCATTAAACTCGATAATAAGTTGCCTTGATTGTTTGCAGAGCCTAAGCTAACATTGAAGTATACCTTTCCAAGGTATTCAATCGATGGCAAGATTTCATAAGCCTTCAATAAAGGTTTATATTGATCATATAGCTTTAAGAATTTATTGGTCGAATTTTCCTTTTCTAAGGTTAGAATCAACAATTGTAAGAATGTCAATAATGGGAACTTCTCATAATAATATATGCGAGAACTTTCCTCAGTAGCATTATTATTAGTGTCATTGCCATTATTTCCATTGATGACTTCATAAGATGTATGCTTTGTAATTAATTTAGTTATGAAAATATCACGAGCGTCTTTAATAAATTTCAAATTCTTTAAATATCCATAATTTATAATAGCACGACTTAGGAATAATCCCGGATCAACATCTGACTCACTTGAAGCTTCGTACCATTTATATAAGTAATTCACATACAAAGGTACCGAATTGTAAGTACCCAATATTAAATGTAATTCAGCAATTGTGAATAATTTATATCTGTCATCTTCGCTTTTTATTTCCTTACTGATTTCTAATTGATCATCTTCAACTTCATCTTGTACAGCTTTCAAGAATTTGACACCAAATACGTGATGTAACTCATTATCTCCGAACTTATCAATATCATTTCTAGACCATTGAATAATTTGTTTAGCTAAATCTGGTAAACTAGTTTCATTAGATGGTAAAGAGTTAATCAATTCAATTAACTTCAATTTATAATCTCCTTCAGAGGGACTTATATTAAACTGTTCATAAACTGTTATCAAATAAGTTATCAAATCACTACTTGATGCATATTGTTTATTCTTAATTAAGATTAAAGAACCTTCATACAATAAATCTATGGCTTCTTTGAATTGGTTTGATTTAACATATCTGTTAACAATTGTTCTTAAAGTTTGATGTGCCTCATAATACGATCCAGTATCAATCTTGGCTTTGAATCTTTGGATAGTCCTTGCTAATTTAACGTCTGACATGATTACTTGATTATTGAAGGAATAGTTAAGAAATCAAATAGGCTTCATTATTTAACTGGTGTTCATATGTCCATCAAACATTTTTTCAGGGCAGTTCGTGGGGCTCACAAAATTTCATTAGCGGGAAAAAGCTGCAAAATTTCTTTATTTATAGTATAGTATTAATAAATATATATGCCTAATTATTCTTGCTAAGGATCTTCTTTTTATAAGATTCGATTCCTCCAGATACCTTTGTCGCAGTGACCTTCCTTTTAGAATTAGTAGAAGTAGCAGGTTTTATTTTAATTACCATCATGGAGCCTGTGAATGAACTTTCATTCAAAATTGTTATTTCACAATTCAGATGAAATTTAAATAGATTTATTGTTAGTTTGAGGTATGAAGCATCGTCTACAATAAGGAGTTTAAATTTAGGGAAGGAAAAATCAAGGGAAGAAGATATTGAAGATGAAGGGCATGAAGTGGGGAATACTAAGAACAAATCAACCTCAATAAACTCCAAGCATTCTAAAGTTTGACGATTTGCATTGACAATATAATATATTAATTCCCCTAATGAAAATAATCCTGATTTAAACAATTTATCATTATATTTTTCAAAACTTTGAACTGCAGGAGATCTGAAGTAATCTTCAAATAGATTCTCTGATTGTTCGAATCTCCCAAAAATTAAGAACGATGTATGAATGGTAGATGATTTTATGGGAACACTAGCAGATTTAATTGATATTGATTTCAAGTGGGTAAATCCAGTAGTTGTATCATTGTCATTTTTGGTGTCTTTAAGTTTTTTGATTAATCCTCTAACGTAGCTAGCTCTATTGAAATTATACCACTTGTAGCCTTTAACGACAACATTCAAGTGTTGAATACAAGAAGAAGAACAAGTCTGAAAATAATTCAATAACCTTAATCCATAAGCGTCTGATAAAACCAAACTAATTGAATTTAAATATTTGAATAGCTTTAATGATCTCAATATTAACTTGTCATAAGAGCTCAAACCACATCTCAGCAGTGTATACAATGTCATTCTATTACTTCTCTTAATAAAATCATGAATTTCGATGTCTCTTATTTTTGAACACTCATTGGAGTATTTGTTTACTAATATCAGTAAATCACTTTCACCTTTTACTGCCACTACTCCATGAATAGTTTGATCACCGGTTATAAGTAATGGATTATTGAACTTGTAAACAAGATAATGAAATGGATAATACAATATTTTGGTAGTATACAACAAAGATAAAACATCATGACAGGAACCACTTTCTAAGTGTAAAAAGAAAATAATATTCTCTATAATTTCTTTTGGTAAATCAAGTAGATTTATTGAGCGGGTGCAAATATCATTGCAGCCATTTTTGATATCTGTTAACTCCAATTCTGGGTCAGAAGCAACGGTATCAATATTCTCAGTTATATTTTCTATAGAACCACTGATATTTTTTAGATTATTATAGAGCATTTCCAGTTAAAGCTATCATTATAAGATAATAATATATACACCTTCAGTATTTGTGGTCGTTAAATCCAATATCTCAATTGGTAGTGACAATGTCTATATGCAGGTATTGACTAAATTCTCCGGGACCAACCGTCTTGAAGGGAAAAAAACCGAAATGTTAAATTAGTGATGAAATGCTAACATATAAGAATAACATTTACATAAACGTTCATATTATATCAATATATAAATAATAGAAATGAGATCATCAGCAAGACTATTGAAACATGTTCCATTGATTAAATTTGTGGGAGGTCCTCACACTGCCAGTAAGTATAATAACAATGGACAATTATTATTGGAGAAACAACGAATAACTAACCCATTTTTTTTAGAACACATTTCACACGAAGTGAAACCACATCCATATGCTCCTAATGGAATATTACCTAGTTCCATTACTGCAGCCATTTCGAATTATTTCAATTCAAATCCAATAGAGCCAAAAGAAGGACAATTCTTCTCAAGATCGGAATTATCACCAAGATTCAGATACAAAGCTCCTAAGGATCTTGAAATTGATGATATCCTTAGTGGAGGTGCTGATATACTTTATTGAGAATTTCACGTCATTTATCCAAAGTCATATACATATATATTTCATTTGATATCTTCAATGGAATCTTAGAGTTCTTCACACATCCATTAAAAAATCTTTACGTACTTACATAAAATTTATGAATACAAATCGATACAATTCTGCTTATTTTATATACATGATTAGAATCTAAAATCTATTCAATCCCCAGAAAAGGTGAATTGGAAGAAGTTGTTCCTTGTAGTTGTAGTTGTAGTCATAAAATTATAGATAGTTAAGAATAATTTCCTGCACACAATACACTGTAGAATTTAATACAACGAAAAAATTGGCAAATGTATGTTGCCACTCAGAGTCGATACTCCGTTTGTTCAACTTACAATCAAGTTTAACATCGTACGGAAATACTCAATTGTGTTATCTATTAATTGAATTATCGTCTCACGGATAGAACTGTAGCCTATTTTAATAATTTTACTTGTTTATTAGTCCATTTTAAACTTATCGATCATATAATAGCCACTGACTTTAATATAAAATGAATCACGATCCTTTCCATTGGGGTAGACCAAATCAAGAAACTTATGGTACCTACAATTATAATATTGCACAAGCATCAAATCAACAACATGAGAGTCAATTGGATGATTTCCCAAAAATGCATACTCAACAACCAATTATAACTGGTACATCTGTAGTATCATTAAAATTCAAAGATGGGATTATAATTGCTGCTGATAATTTAGGATCATATGGTTCATTATTAAGATTTAATAATTTAGAAAGATTAATTAAGGTTGGTGATGAAACTGTTGTTGGTATTTCTGGTGATATATCTGATTTACAACAACTTGAAAGAATTTTAGCTCAATTAGAAATTGAAGAAGAAATTTATGATAGTGATGGTGGACATAAATTAAGAGCTCCACATGTTCATGAATATTTATCCAAGATTTTATATAATAGAAGATCTAAAATGGATCCCTTATGGAATGCCGTTATTGTAGGTGGATTTAATGAAGATGGTACACCATTTTTAAAATATGTGGATTTATTAGGTGTAACTTATGGTTCATCAACGTTAGCTACTGGTTTTGGTAGTCATTTAGCTGTACCATTATTAAGACAATTGATTCCAAATGATATTGATTATACTAAAGTGGAAGAAGAAGATGCAAGAAAAGTATTGGAAAATTGTATGAGAGTTTTATTTTATCGTGATGCAAGAGCTGCCGATAAGTATTCTTTGGTAACAATTAAATCCCAAACAAGTGAATCTGGTTCCAAGCAAATAACATTTAATCATGAAAAGGAATTGAAGGTTGAAAACCAAAGTTGGAAGTTTGCTAAGGATATAAGTGGATACGGTAGTAAGCAATTATAGGTAGAACTATAGCTTAATAGAAAATTATTTTCTTTATGAAACTAATTGTAGACAATCCAACCATCAAAGAAAAGTGGCTGTGATTTCTATGCGTTCAAAACCAAACTGTAAATCTCGTTTCAATTACGACATCTATCTATATGTATTTCAGTTGAATCCAATTATATGCCGTACATGGCAATATAGCGGTGTTCCTCGGAAAGTTTATATGAACTTGTTAGAGTCAACTTTTAAATGATAACCGAATATAAGTAAAGTAAAGTAAATTGTATTGCTAATAAAAGTCAATTTTAGCCTAAGCATAGCCGGAATTAGTCTGAAAAAATTTCCAACGTAGAGAATAGAATTATTTAAGCCATTACTGGAATTAGTTAATTTATTACCGATAAGGAAGGAAGAGGTTATTTTTGTTCTATTACATATACGGAGACGCAACAAAGAAACGGAAATTTGTACTTTGACCCACCATGAGGTGAGAAATAAAATAGTGATTTGCGGGTACATTACAAAGTAATTAGATTATATCGGCCCATATATATAGTATTTCTACTAACCATAAATACCCGGAACATGTAAACTAAATGCCGTTACTATAACGTGTCGAACGAGTTTTCTTTGCAGAAATTGTGGGAAATAATGCAAAGCATCAGGGAATTAAGATTAAAAAAAGGGGGGGAGGTATAGAACGATTCGATGCAATAATAAAATAGAAATAGAAATAAAAAATCAAATTAATAATTAAATGGAATAAAATTTATTGGGCAAAGGAGGGGTAGGGCTTAAATTTGTGGAAGCCTGTGGGTGTGTAAATAATTTGTTCGATTGGTCTTCTTTTGTGGTTGACATACTTCCCGAATGTATCAACTGATGGTGAATTGATTCAAGGACCATTAACAATATTACTGTAGGATGTAGTAAATAATTCTTCACAGATCTGAATTGCTTCTATTAAAGATCACCTCACCAAAAAGTATACTTTTAAGATGAGAAGACCAGTTTCTAGAATACTTCCTAATTGGGCCTAAAGCTTACCCCAAGAAAAAAGACAGACGAAAAGCTAAAGTTTAAAGTAAGACAAGCATACATAGATCGGGTTTAAGATATGTATGATGTTAGGAGATCAATATGTACATCATGTACTTCGCCTGGGATTTATGGGCGTGTAAGTATACTCTTAACTATAGACATTCTACTTCGATTACTTCCAAAATGTTTCTAGAAGCTGATAAACTTAACCAGCAGAATTAATTTAATTATTTTTAATATTTTTTTTTATTCAATCCTAAATTTATTTTTTTGTGGTGTATTTTTCGAACACTGAACGGTAACTATTCCCGCCGATTATTACCTATAAATACTTGATGGAATCTTAAAGTTAGATGGAGTAAACATACAGATGGGCTGAAACCTCATTGATCTTTTATCTCTATCATTTTAATTTTAATTTCCATTTCCATTTCCATTTCCATTTCCATTTCCATTTTGTGAATGTTCATCAATATTGTTCTTTAGGGCAATTCATTGCATCTCATAGTAATTTAGCTGTATGGAATCTCCCTTATTGCATTGATTCTGTTTCATTAGTGCTTTGTTACTTGTCTTTTACTTGCCCTTCTTTGTTTGATAATTCTACTTGGTATTGTTTCAATTTCAAGATTTATTCTTGTTGTGGTGTTCTTTTCTTAACTTTACATTTGTTACTTTATTATTATTATTATTATTATTATTATTATTATTATAATTATAATAGGTACCTAATTTCGCTACCTTTTTAGATTACACTTCAAGCAATAAATTCTATTTTTACTGATTTCCCCCGCCTTATAAGTTAATACGCTAATTCAATTGTATTTCCGAATTAACATAATAAAGTTATACATTATATTTACATTTTGATTCCATTACCTCATCCCAATTAATCGTTTGTGATTCGTTTTTAAGTGTGTTGTCTCAGAAACTTGTTATCTCACCTTAAATATATAATCATTAGATTCCCTTATTATTTGCCGGTTTTAATCTAGCACAATTTATTATTCCACTCATTTCCAAAAAGTTTCCCATTTTAACCCCCAAACAGTCTTTTCAAGTCCTACAACTGTCATTACTAAATGATTAAACGATATATCTTATTATGAGTTTTGAAATTACATTTTTAGGATCCAGTGGTGGACCCATTGAAGGAACAAATTGTTCAATTCTACTTAAACCTGCAGGTATAACTTACGAAGAAATTGTTGATCAAAATCTTGTTGATGAATTGGTATGTATTGATGCAGGGTCTGGTCTACATCTGTTGGCAGAAATAATCAATCAAGAACAAATTCATCAAAAACCAGATTCAAAATTATTATCATTATATACTAATCCTTTATCACCAACTCAATATTTAGCTCCTACAGTACGATCTTCTACTCCATTCAAATCTTTACCAGGTACTTGTTTTAGAGCAGCTCAAAACATTTGCAAAAACCTTCAAAATTATCTTATAACACATCCTCATTTAGATCATATTAATGCACTTGTTATTAACTCATCATCATTTTCAAAATCAAATCCTAAGCAAGTCTGGGGATCTGATTATACCATTGATGCTTTACAAACTCATGTTTTTAATGGCGTTATATGGCCCAAATTAAATCAATTCAATCTTGTCAATTTTCAAAGACAAGAATTTTGGAATATCTTTACTATAAATAATGATAACTACCTTGTTACTATGGTTGATTTAAGTCATGGTAAGACTGGTGAGGAACTGGTTTGTAATTCCAAACTCAATCATATTAATAATAATAATAACAATAATAATATTAATAATAATGTTAATCATAATAGTTTCAATAGTCAAAATAATACTCCAAAGCATGAGTGTTATTTATCACTGGGATTCTTTATAACATCTACACGTATCAATAAATCAGTACTTATATTTGGAGATTTTGAAAGTGATCTAATGTCTAGTTTGTCTAAGAATTTAAGGGCATGGAAATTTGCAGCTCCATTAATAATATCAAAACAATTAGTGGCAATGGTTCTTGAATGTTCCAATCAAAATGATCTTAATGAAGATGAACTTTATGGACATCTCATACCAGATCATCTCATTCATGAATTACAAGTTTTAGAAAGTACTGTTTCACTACTTCGTACTGATAATGAGTTACATCCTCTTAAAGGTTTTAATATAATAATAAATCATATTAAAGAACCTCCAGATACAGATAAGGATCCAAGACAATCTATACTTCGAGAATTAAATCGATTGAATTCAGAAGTCGGTTTAGGAATAAATTTCTCCATTGGACTTAGTGGGATGTCATTAATTATTTAATTTAAAAATTTATTTAATATAAGTAACCCTGGATGGTTATAATTAGATAAATAAATAAATTAAAAATTAATAAATAAATAGGTATGTATGTAATTAGGTAGATAGGTAGATTGGGTCAATAGATAGTACTTGTATATATATAAGATCATTTATATGGATGTATATGTATTTTTATAAAAGTTGAATTATATGTTTATATGTTTAGAATAAACATAATTAGAAAGTAAATAAACATAAGAATGGAATTTAATTGACTACATAACTTTCAGATTGTAAATTATAGTGTAAGTCAAATGGTAAAGATTCTTCATCAGAACTTACAGATACTACATCAACAACTTGAATCTTACCTAATGATATATCACTTTCATTACTTTCAGTTTGATTAATTTCAAATTGTAATTGAATTGGGAATAAAGAATCTTCTTCATCAATTGGAATAGAAAATTCAAAAGATCCTTGAGGTTCATCAATTGTAATTTTTTCAATATTAAATATAACTCCTAATTCACTTACTTCATATGATACTAATTCATTAGATTCATTATTTAAATTAACTTCATGAGTTGCAACAGGTACTAATATCTTAATATCTTCAAAAATATTCTCAGAACTTGAAGGATGTGCTGCAACAAAATCAGAAGTTAGTTCATATTCTAACGTTACTTGAGCATAACCTTCATCATTAAGATTAACCCAACTTGTAATAATTATAGGTACAAATTCATTATCATCTTGTTTACCAGTGGCTCTCCATTTTAATAATCCAATAGCTTGATCATTAGATGGGAATGATTTAGCTTTATCTTTTAATCCAATTATATTATCACTAACAAATAATTTACGATCAACATTTGGATGTGGTTTATATTGAATTTTACTTGATTTATCATTAGCAGCAGATTTAACTAAAATCTTAGCATGAGCTAAATCAGCATTATTAATTCTTAATTGTAAATCACCCTTTACATCAGATGATATCACTGAACCTTCTCTACTCAATTCAGCTGTGATCTTTTCTTGAATAGTAATTAATATACCATTGTTAGGAACTTTAGGATTACTTGGAATAGGTGAAGCACTTTGAGAAAATGTTGGAGTATTTTGATAAGATGGAGTGATTGCATCACCACCATAACTTTGTGGAGTTGCTGCATCAGAAGTAGGTTTTGTATGATGGAATACTGGTTGATGTTGAGCTAATAAAGGTTGTTGAGATTCAATAATTGGTTTAGTGGATTTCTTACCTAATTGTAAACCACCTCTACCAGCAATTGGTTTACTTAAGGAATGACGAGCAGCATTACTACTATTTTTATTACCATCATTAACTTCTATAACTGGTGGTGGTTGATATGTTGGTTGATAAGATTGACTTTGATAAGAATCACTTCCATTACCTCCATATACATTATTAAATGTTGAAGATTGTTGCAGTTCCAAATTCCTTCTAGCCAATTCTTTTCTTTGTATTTCCTTAGCCTTTCTCTTTCTTTCTTCGGCTGCTTCCAATTCTTTATTTCTTTCAATAATTTCTTGAATTTTCTCTTCATGAGAATCCATCTCTAAGAAGGTTTGAACTTGACTTAAGGTCAAATTTTCCTTATAACCTAAACTAATAATTTCATCAAATGAACTTATAATTTCAAATGAATTATCAAATATTTCTCTTTCATCAATTGTTCTTAATAAATTACTAACACAACTTGCAAAAAGATGTAAAGTATCAATATCTTGTAATATATTAGAAGTTTTATTAGTGATTAATACAATATAAAATTCTTCCAATGGTTGATAAACATATCTAATTGATTCATCTTCAACAGAAGTATGTTGACTAGCAGAATTTGATATTAAACTTGGTAAATTGGCTAATAATGCAGTAATTCTATCATTAGTTAATTCTTTAAATTGTCTAGCCAATAAGGGCTTACCTCCACGAGTACATATAGCTGCTGATAAAACGGCCATAACTATAATATAATCAATTAACTTATAATCAATTCAAAATCCAGTCACAATTCCCAATCCGTACAAATGTCCGATTAGCTGATATATTTTGTTGGTTATATGCTATACACTATTATATGGGTCCTAACTAGCTATCGCCTCGAATCAATTTTCAACATCCAAGCCAATTGTTTTTTTCTATCCACTCAAAAAGTTTTCGTGTCAACAAATTTCATAGTGCGGGTCGTGTGTTGCGGCAAATAATTATAGGCAAAAGTTTTTGATTTTGCAGTCTAATCATGTTTGATTAACTGTTTGATTGTTTTGATATTTCTGTTTAAAAATTTTATGGCTAAATAATTAAGAATGAAGTTGTAGTATTAGTTTTATATTGAACTTCTATTGTGAAAGGAAAAAAAAAATTCAAATTTTTGGGAGAATATCTTAAGGTGCTACAAATGTCAAATGCGATAAGGTAGTTAGTTACAAGTACGTACTAATGCCACAAAATGTTCTACCGTTTTGAACATGGAAAAAGCATTAGACGTAATAGAATATAGCTGAGAAAATGGTGCATTGTTCACAAGAGTCAGCTCTGTTGATCTGCACATACGTAATATTCTGTCAAAGAAAGTGATGTATAACAGATATTATCTAACAAAAATTCTGAAGATGTTTCAAATTCTCTAACAACGCGCTTCAATCTTAAAATAATCATATGCTATGATTCTCAGATTGGATCAAAGAAGTAATACTAAAACACAAGAAGTACGCTGTCTGATTTTAAGAGTAGAAAGTTCGAATTGGAAATTCTTCGTTGTGACACACTAGAATAAGTTGAGAATGTAAGTATGGGGGTTGATTCCGAAGAGGATATTCCGAGTCAGGCACCTAGTACCGTTTGGTAAATGATTTGTTCTCTATCATATTGTTATTCTGTAGTCTTTTCGTGTAGGATTATTTGAGCAATAGACTCTGTCTGACACGGTCTTGTTAATTGTATAGGAATTATTGAGGTATTTATATTGTTGTTGATCACTATTACATTGAGCCAATTAAACTTGATCTATGTTAATTGTATCACTTAGCATTCAATTGTTGCTTTGTTAGATAATAAAACCATTTGATATATGCAGTTAATTCATTCAAAGAATCGGGCCGTTATAAGAAGTTCGTCAATTTTGTGATTATGAAGCTTTCGACACAAATACGTTCAAATAGTAAAAGAAAGTTCTTGGCTCAATACTTTTTTTTTTCTTGTTTAACCAGATTGAATAAGTCACCAGAGAGCATCAAACCAGATTGATCTCTCACTTACGAAATCGTTTATCCCTACATTAGATTTCTCTAACCGCAAATCTATTTCGTTCCCTTGATTGACGCGTCCTCGATTGGTTAAATGGGATTAATGATTATTGTAGAGACTAACTACCAACAATATAAATAAATGCAGTTCAGCTATGCATATTGTACATATGAAGGTATACAAGTGCAACATGAACAGCATAGTTACATATATATGCTTATTTATGCTTCTGACCGTGAAAGCCGACCAGTACTATGTTTTCTTTTTCAAATATTATACTCGGCTCCACCCCCAATTCAAAAACTTTTTTTGCGGGCAAGTGGCTGTTACGTCATTTGGAATGCCCCTTGCATTGTTTAGAGGAAAATATTTAAACAATCTCAAAACCTATACTTTAAATAGCTAAACACAGCGACTTTTAAGTTGAACACAAAATAACTCTTTTGTTTGACCTGGAATGAGATTGATAATTTAATTTTGAAACAAGAAAATACAATGAGCAAACCCTTGTGAAACAATAAAACTTTGTTCGCTATTAATGGCTACACGAAAAAAAACTTTTGACTTATTATTGCATTGTCACATTTTCAGTTGTTTATTATTATGAAGTATTTTGTCATTAAGATGTTTATTTACTTTATAATTCATTCTTCTACATGTTTGGTACCTTGCATTAAATTTAGTCGAGCGAAAATATATAAGTATATAATTCCCCTGTAATTTTCTCCACTGTAATACTTTATTCTTATTTAACAACTATCTTTTGCATATTCACTCTTTAATTACATCGTTATAAAAGTCTAACTTCAGTTTATCAAACATAGAATACCAATTTATTTCTCATAGCACGATTCAAAAATAATGTCATCAGCTTCTTTACTAGTGGATACCAAAGCCAATGCTGAATACACTCAAGCTTCGTTCTCTGGAAGCTCTTTATCAGGTCTTGAAGTTGTAACAGAATTAAAGTACCAACAACAACAGCAAGCCATAACAAATTCAGATTTATCCATAGAAGTACAAACAAGTGGGGTTACAGCTACAGGATCATTTTCTGATAATTCATTTATTCATACCCTAACCTTAATAACACCAACCTATTCATCAATACAAAGTATTCAAACATCAAGTTCAAATTCTGCGGGTAGTCTTAGCTCAAGTTCTAGCCCGGATTACAAAAAATTAAAATTTATTTCAGTATACATGGCCCTTGCATTTGGAGCTTCTTTGTTGGTTTTATGATTAATGATCTATATATTTTCTGGGATTTGGCGTCTAAGAGTTTGTTGTTGTAAGGTCTTGGTTTCATATTATTGGTTTTATTTGCCTACATTTTAATTTTAATTACTTATTTATTTCTTTTCTATCGTCATTTTATTTATTTATACATTACAGCATCCTCTCTATAAATTCACATCCTAGCGTTTTCATAAAATTATCAACAGTAGACTAAGAATGTAAACTAAAGCCTCAATTAGAAAATAATTCAGGGGGTAAGGGACGGAACGAGCAAAAAATAAATAAACGAAAAATTTTCCGTTACCCTAATTCAGAAGTTTTGATACTGATTTTGGAATTTACTCCACCTAATACTTTTAATGATGTGGTATGTTTAACATCAAAAAATCGGTTAATACTACTAACTTCTCAACTTCGTTTACATATCTCTCTATTAAATACGTTTTGCCATGTTATGAGCTATTTCACACAATTAGGTATCTCCTATACTCTTATAACTTATTACTTCGAATAAAAAATCTGCTTTCCTTAAAAATGAAGGAATAAGTTTCAAATAGGAGAATATTCCAAAGAGTGAGAGATTGAGTTAAATTTTTTAGATAAGCTTCAATTTTGCAATTGCAATTTTAGAGTACATAGTAATTACATTTTAGTGATTATTATTAGTGCAATCAAAAATTTTGAAGTTTCTAAAATTCTGTTGCAAATTTTTACATAAAATAAATTCCAACTTTTATACTCAGTATGATATTCTTCCGTATGTCCTTGACCATTTATAAATGAATTTTGATGAAAACGTTTGATGTGTAATACATGCTTTAATTTCCTGTGTAGATTGTTTTATCAGAGGAATCCTTAGAAAACCAAAATTCTCCACTGAAAAGTCGAACCTAGAACAAGTTTGTATCTCCTTCTCTAAATCTTTGGATTATGATAATTGTTTTATCGTTTAGATTTGTTAAACTACAGTTAGGTGAAGAACCATTGCCTAATGATCTTAATTAAAAAAAAATGTTAAATCTCTTTGTAAAGCGTGTCATCTTTATGCAAGGACAATGCTAATCTTCTCTGTATTGTTAAATTTGACAAATGTACTATCCCGAAAGATAGTACGAACATTTAATTCCGCGAAAAGCATTTAGCCCACCAATATCACATGATAAAACTCACGAGAATGGGCCTAAACTGTAAAATGTGAGTTTAACATGTAAAATTGTTGTCTTGTTCGTGTGCGCAAAAAAATTTCAACAGTGAAAATTCTTTCTGAAGAAGGATTGCAACGAACCATACCTAAGTTATAATAAAGGGTGGCCCACTTGTACATATATAGGGAGATCATATTAAAGCCAACGTTACAATATGTTAAGAAATTCAATACGTCGCTCGTCGACTCAATCTACCATCCCATTCCAACCCGTGCCCTTAAATAGATTTAACCAAGACAGATCAGCATTCAACTTCAAACCTCCAAGAGATAAAGTTAAGAATATACAAGGTTTAATACATAACCCACCAGCTGCCATTGTCAAACCATCAATAAAGACCCCATTTGCATTTCTTCCTGCCAATGATCCAAGAAGATCTTTATCCAGGGTTGAAGTTTTCACCAAAGAAGAATTGAAAAATTATCCTATCATAACCAATTATAGAACATCCGAAGAAAGAGATTACAACACGACACCAGAAACAGTTGCTGAAATAAAAAGATTAAGAGAAGAAGACCCATCTAAATGGACAATTTCTAAGTTGAGTATTAAATTTAATTTGTCTCCACACAGAGTAAATGTATTCGCAGGAACATTACCAGATCACTTAAAGAAGGATGAAAATGAAGGATTGACTCCATTACAAGTTAAGAGAAAGGAAGAAAAGAAAAAGAGAGTTCAATTATGGTTAAGAAATGAATTCTAATCGACGGGAAATGACTGATTAACTGATAATTGACTAATTATCTTTTTTCAATAATGATAGTCTACATAAAATCATTGTGACTTTGTATATAAAAACCATTTGTAAATAGTCTTGACGACATGGTTATAGTCTCTACATACACATATTTGCATATCTTATTCTCTGTCTAGCACAATTGTAATTGTAATCGTAATCGTAATGATTTAATCTCTTTCATTTTGGTTAGTACACTTCAATTTTTTTTCCAGCTCGTTCAACAGTTTGGGCTGCACAAAGATCTTCTTAATAAGATGGAATAGTACCAGTGATCGTATAGAACACTGTCATATAAGTATAGAAAAGAAGTTAAATCAATATGTCTGAAAGGGTATGTATTATTATTTTCCGGTGATGTTGCTTGTTACCTTTTGTAATTCAATGGCAATGTCATATTCTGAATCTTTAACGATTGACTAACATTATTTAATTATAGAGAAACGATAACAATAACAACAACAATAACAATAGAAGAAGAAATAAGAACCAGAATCAAGGTCAAAAACAGGAGGGACCCAAAAGGGAAGCTATTCTAGACTTGGGAAAGTACAAAGATCAAGGTATCAGAGTCAAATTCATTGGTGGAAGACAAATTACAGGTATATTGAAAGGGTTTGATCAGTTAATGAATTTAGTATTGGAACAAGTTGAAGAAACCTTAAGGGATGAAGATGATGATACTGTATTGACTGATAAAGTTAGAAAATTCGATGGATTAGTAGTAGTCAGATGTACTTCTTTATTAACTATATCACCAGTAGATGGTAGTGAAATCATAGAAAATCCTTATGCTCCAGTTGAAGTTGAAGCCTAAAGAGTTTTTAATGTAATACAACATTACCAATTGTACTATAGTATTTAAAATACAGATTATACATTAAATAAATAATATGTGTATTCAAATGCAAATAATAAATTCGCAATACTGCTCAAAGTTGTACATATCTCTATGACCATTTCTCATGAAAACCCATATAAGCTCTACATTTCTACTAAAAAGACTAACACTTTGAATATTTCAACTAATAACTCTTTTTAACTTATTATTTACCCCAAACACACATTGGAGTGAATAATAATAATAATAACAATAATAATAACAATAGTAATAATAATAATTTCGTAAAAAAGTTCCCCGGCACTTGAGACACCGCCAGAAAAAATTACGAGCGCTATCTCAGCTCATCTTTAAAACAGCGTATTTTGCAATAAGTACTTCTAGTTATTCTTTATCGCCAAACAACATGTCAGTACCTCAGGAAGTCCATAAGAATGTCATATTACTCCCACAAACCAATCAATTAAGAGGATTATATTCTATCATAAGAGATCAAACCACTAAGAGAGGAGACTTTGTATTTTATTCAGATCGTATCATTAGACTTTTAGTAGAAGAAGGTTTAAATCAATTACCAGTAGAAGAAGCTATTATAAAATGTCATGGTGGTCATCCATATAAAGGAGCTAAATTTCTTGGTAAAATTTGTGGAGTATCAATTGTTAGAGCAGGAGAATCAATGGAGATGGGTTTAAGAGATTGTTGTAGATCAGTAAGAATTGGTAAGATATTAATTCAAAGAGATGAAGAAACTGCATTACCTAAATTATTCTACGAAAAATTACCTGAAGATATTAGTGAAAGATATGTATTTTTATTAGATCCAATGTTAGCTACTGGTGGAAGTGCAATGATGGCAGTTGAAGTTTTACTTAGAAGAGGTGTAAGACCAGAACGTATATTCTTTTTAAATCTATTAGCAGCTCCTGAAGGTATAAAGAATTTTCAAGATAAATATCCTGATGTTAAAATAATTACTGGTGGTATTGATGATCATTTGGATGAACATAAATATATAGTACCGGGATTAGGTGATTTTGGTGATAGATATTACTGTATTTAATGATTTATTCTATAATAATTTATATTATTTAAAGACATTTAATATGTACAATATCAGGATTCTCTTGATATTCTTCATGAGTAATCCACATCTTTTTGAAAGTCGATAATCCAGCCAAGATAGAACCTCCTATCCAAGTAGAATATTTTCTTTCTGGTGGAGCATATATCTTTATTTTCATTTTATTTTGCTGATGATATTGTGAATTCTTTAATTCAAGCAATAATCGATCACCAAAGTTTTTCAATAGCGTATTACCTCCTGATAAAATTAAATTCTGATACAATATAGGCCTTAGATCTAAATCAGTCTTGCCAATTGCTAATGTAATTAAATCATGTATTCCAGCACTTTCATTACCTATTAATTGAGGGTTAAATAAGATTTCTGGAGAACGGAATTTCTCAACTCCAATTGGTAATGATTTACCATCTGGCAATTTATAGACTGTTAAATTCTCATTATTATTATAACTTCCGCTATTTCTAGCGGTACTATATGCAATTGATGAATATAATTTTTCATCTTTTATAGGATCTTTTGATATAAAGCAGCAATTTTCTTTAATTATTCGTAATATTTCAAATTCAGAACTACTTGAAGTCAAATTAACTCCAATCATACGACGTAAATTATATCCCAACTGTTCAGTTATATCTCTACCTCCAATATCCAAACGTTTTATTGATGTTGGTAACGAAAATCCTTCATATACGGGTACTATATGACTTATACCATCTCCGCTATCAATAACAACCCCAGTAGTTCTTCCACTACTATATAATGATAAAACTGCTTGAATGGAAATATATATACATGGAATACTAAACAGTTCGAATAAGATTTGACTCATCTTATCACGATTCTTTCGAGGATTCAAAGGTGCTTCTGTTATCAATAATGGGTGATCCTGACTATTGATCTTCAATTCTTGTTGATATGTATGATTCCAAATTAATTCCATATCTTCCCAGTTTTCAACTATTCCATGAGATATGGGATAATTTAATCGAAGTAATCCTCGATATTCTTGAGCTAAATTACCTATAAATGTATCCTCTTTACCTCCACTTGCTCCACCATCTGTATTGACTTCAGGTAATAATGAACCAGTCATTATTCGAGGATATTTTGGTCGTCCGACAATAGCAGAAGCATATGTTTTTGGCTTATCTTCTCCAGCAAATCCTGCCTTAAGGTTTCCTGACCCATTGTCTATTACCACTGGTTGGTTATATAGATTACCTTCCATTTACAAATTATACTATACTATACTACCTATACGTTTTATTGTCTGGCCTTATACTACTTTAGCCGTGACTTATAATGTAAATATCAATCTACGCGTATAAATTTCAGATCTTTCGCTATATTTTTGTTTACTTTTCGGTAATCGTCTTCGTCATCAGTGAGGAATTTGAATTCCCAGCTCATACTTTTACGAGAGATCACTGTTAAGCCTATACAGGTACTATAAATTATTATATTTATATTATATATACATTATCTATTTTTATCTATTTTATATTAAGGTTCAGATTGAAAATGCTGTCATCGTTAAGTACGTTGTCAAATAGACAGAAAACTCAGATTCGGAATGCTTTCAAATTAATAGATGGTGAATCAAGAGATGCCCTAATAACGAAAACAGACTTAGTAAAACTATATAAAACTCTTGGGATTAATGTACCAAGTAATGCAACTTTAAAATCAATGTTGGAATTTGATGGTAATAATGAAGAAGGAATTAATTTCACACAATTTCTGAAAATTATAGCTGATGAATTGGCCAAATTAGATGATAAAAATACAATATATAATGCCTTAAGGTCATTTACAAACGATAAAGATAACAATGAATCATTGGAAATCGAAGTAGATAAGTTAAAATCAGCTTGTTGCTCGGTACAGTTAGGAGAATTAGGGTCGGGTGATCATAAATTATCACCGCACGATTTTGAATCTATTATAAAGGGATATGTTAAGGAGACAATCGATGGAAAGAAATTGTTTTTGGCTCAGAATTGGTTAGATAACTACATTGAATAAGTTTTTAATCTAAAATAATTTCGATTAGGTTACATATTTTTAATTAAGGTAAATGGTTTTTAGTATTATACAAAATATTGGAAGTAGAAATATACATAATGCAGAAATGATCGAGAAGAAAGTGATTCAAACCCGAATAACTTAACTTTTCATGTTGACTTTGAACTGTCTTGGCTTATAAGCATATGATTATTCAGCTTAATGATCAACAATTAATTCATCACAGCCCCAGTCTTCATAAGATCCATCAGGTAAATATCTTCTTATAACTAATGGAATCTTTCTTTGAGCCAATTCTTTCATGGCTATTTGTAAAGGATCAGTTTCACCTTCAATATCAACTAATACTGGAGCATTTAATGAAATTTGTAAGGCTCTAGTACCTAATACTCTAGCTCTTTCATATTTAGTCATATATGGTGTAGTTGATCTTTTATCCTTAGGTATAGCAAGTTGTCTAGATGTAACCTTTGTAGAAGGTACAACTACATTACCATCACCACCATTTATAATGGTTCTTCCATCGGTAGTTTGACCATAATCACCTCCATTTAATTCTTCATCATTACCTGGTTCATTAAATTCTTCTTCACTGAAATGTTCTGGTTGATCAAAATCGTCATAGTTTTCAACTCCTTCGTTAAAGGCATTATCCTCGTAATCTGACATTATTCCTATATGATATTGAGTCCCCAAACAACAACAACTACAGTTTCAACAAGTGCTACTACAATATGTAAAGCATCCATCCATCCATCCATCTGAAAAATCATTACAGAAAAAAATGCTCGAAATTCAACCATTTCGCACGACCATACCAAAAGAAGACTGGAAATTAAATATATACTAAAATTATCAGAAAGCTGCAAAATTCATATCTGGAATGCTATAAATCGTATGTTTCAGCAATATATAAAATTTTAAGTTATATATTAAATAATAATAGAAATAAGGGAAACTAACAAGAATAATAAAGAGAATAATAAGTAAAGAATATTTAAGTTTTAGGTTGAATCATGATAACAATAAATGTCTATGAAGGGTAAGTGGTGAATAGATGGAATTGTATGGTATGGTATGGTATGGTACGATTTTATGCACATGTGTATATTTAAAGAATGTATGTTAAGGATGATGGTTTGTCTAAGAGGTTATTATTCTTATTTATAATTCATCAGCGTATGGTAAAGCATCGACTTCTCCAATAGCAACATAGTTGAAAGCACCTAATTTAACTGGGGTAGCTTCAGCTTTGAAGGATAATGGAGATTCAAAAGTAGATTGTAATGCAATGGATAATTCAGCCTTCTTGGTGGCAGCCTTGACATCAGCTGAATCAACAATAGTTTTAAGTTGCTTGGCAGCAGTAGAAACAGCAGCAGCAGAACCTTTAACAGAGATGACAAATAATCCAGCATCTTTGTATTTAAGAACAGATGAAGAAGCATCAACACCAGCTAATTTGTATAATGGAGCAGTGATATCAGAATTTAAAATAGAAGAACCAATAGCAGCTGATAAGACTTCATATTTAGCAAATTCAGTTGGTTTAATTGGAACACCTATAAATACAGCAGATTCACCACCAGATCTGATTCTGGCTTCTTTACCTTTGAAAAGAGTTACTGGAGCAACTGAAGAAGCATCACCTGATGGTAAATATGAGAAAGAACTATCATTAATGAATTGAACTAAATCTTCTTCAATAGCACCAGAAGCAAAGACAGAAATATTACTCTTGGTATAAGATTGAGCAGCAAATTCTTTAATTTCATCAAGAGTGATTTTATTAGTACCATCATATAACAATGGATTACCTAAACCTTTTCTAAAGGATAATTCATGTAATTCTTCTAAAGCAAGATAAGAGTTTGACTTAATGGCAGATTCATATTGAGATTTAACAACTGGTAAAACATTTTCAACCAATTCATGAGGTCTGAAACTAGTATTACTTAAAACATTACCTAAAGCTTCAACATAATAAGGTAAATCAGTCTTTAAGAATGAAGTATTTAAAACAATGGCATCTCTTGTAACATTGGAAGAAAATTGACCACCTAATAATTCAGATTCTCTAGTAAATCTTAAAGCAGATTTAGCACCAGTGTTTAAAAAATTGAAACTTGATAATAAATGGGAAATACCAGATTTACCAGCTTTTGAACCACTATTGTTAACTACAACAGTTAAATTGGTTAAGTTACCAGTAGTATCTCTGGCAGTAGTTTTAACTACAGCTTGAACAGCAGTACTGTAAGAACGACGGGTGGCGGCGCGTGACAACATAATATACAATTATTCTTTCGATAGTTCCTTCGACAATTACGATGACTTCTTCGTACGCTTTGAACTATTGTATTTGATATTTTTTTCAGTATGGTGCACTTTTCCTTTTGTCGATTTTTTATTGGAGCTTTTAAAGTATTTACAGGTTAGGGTGCCGCATTTACATGTTAGGGTATAACTTGTAAAATACAGTAACGAATTATTGCAAAATCGAATGTAATATATTGTAAGCTGTACTTTTTCTTTAAATATATATATATATATATATAAAATATATAAATATACACTTAATACATAACCATTTTAGAAGTAATACTAAAAAGGAAATTTGGAAATTTGGAATTTTATATTTGAGTTAACCTTAATTTTTCAACTTGCTTTTTATCTTTTATTTCATTATCAATTATATAATCAAAGGTTAATTTAGCCCAAGTTATATCCATAATTATAAATAAATATATAACCCCCCATATTAAATTAATACTGTAGAAGAAATTAGAATTACCATTCCCAAGAACAATCCAACAATAGTAGAATATAGGAGATAAAATGAGACAAACAATGAGCAAAATTATATAAATAACTGAAAACTTGCAATATTGAAGAAAACTTGATTTAAAGATTGGAATTATTGATAATACATACCCTAAATCTCCAATTGTAGGATATGATTTTGTAAAACTTAACCAAGTTAATGACAAAAAGAATGCAAAGAATCCATCGTTAGTAAATCTTAATGTAATTGGGATAACAAATATTATAGAATATAAATTAAACACTCCAACATAGAATGGTGTGAAAAATTCAAACATTTCTGTAAAAAGATACCACCATAATCCCACATTGGGTTGAATTTTATTAAACATAAAGATTGTTCCATAAACTTGTGGAATAAATTGCCATGAAGCATTAATTAAAAATGACAGCATAATAAATAACATTAATCCCATTATATAGAATCCTAAATTTCTTCCATATATTTCAGCTTTAGGAACATTAGGATTAGTATTACTCATTAAAGACAATAATGGAATAATTAACCAAAGTGGCGTATATGATAAATAACTTGCAATTGATAAAGCAATCATTGATCTTGGTAAGTTTTTAACTACCAATAATTGATTTAATGCTTCAATAATGAAGAGTATAGAAAATATCAACGTGGAATGGGACAAGTTGGTAACAATAAGCAATGGATTGAACAAATAAAAACTAGCTATTAAATCATCATTATATCTTGTGGAACCTTTCCATTGTTCATTATACCATTTATTTAAAGCAATTAACTTTAATGTAATGTATAAATCTACAATTGTGTATAATAAATTGAATAAAATATTACTGACAAAAGATGATCCAACATCATTTATAAATGATAATAAAATCACTAATACAGGAGGATGATGATTAATTCCTCCATCATATAAGTTAATGTCATTATTAAGATAATAGAATGCTTCTTGTAATGATTTAAACGAATTTATTGGTGTTGAAATTTCTATAATGGATGATAGAATATCCACCACTTGTGGTAATAAGGTTGGAATAATGAACCGAATAAGGCCCCCTAGTATCAATACTTGGTTCAATTTGGTCATACCATCTATATTTAGTCTGAAAGCTATTAGTTGAATGCTCGTAACTGTTGTTTGAAATATTGATCATAGTACGTGTTTTCCTTGTATGGAGAAAGATTTTTTGTTGCGGTGTGGATGCAATGATTCTAGCACAGTAAATTTTCAGAGTTAACAGTAACAGTATATTTTAGTGTCAGTGGATTAGATTAACATTGAGACATCAAATTATAGTAAATATAATATAAGTGTCGGACATAGCATATATCATAGAATAATGTCATCAGTAAGTATTAGAGTTTAGCATTCAGACAACGACTATAAAATAGCATAGTTTTACTAACATTATTTTCTAGTTTCATCCAATAAATCCTAAACCATTCTTGAAAACCTTAATAGATAAACCAGTAATAGTAAGATTGAAATGGAACAAGACAGAATATAGGGGAAGACTATTGTCAGTGGATAATTATATGAACTTACAATTGGATAAGACTTACGAAATATTACATGAAGATGGAGAAAGAAAAGAGGAGTTGATTGGAGAAATATTTATTAGATGCAACAATGTATTGTTTATCCGTGAAGATGTGAAGAAGCATGATTCTCACAACGGCAATGGTACTAGCGAAAAGGTGCCTAAACAGGAAGATCAGCTACAGGATGAGGAACAAGAACAAGAACAAGAACAAGAAGAAGATCAAAAAGAAGAAGAAGACAAGTCTAATGAAAATGAAGACATGAAAGAGTGAGCTCCAGAGCATATACTGCACAATATACACTGTATTATATATATTACACCATCTACATAGTCACTATAGTTTATATATGTAACAATGAATGTAATCTCAACAACCATTTAATATTTGGCAGTAAGTAAGTAGTATCAAGATCGCGAAAAAATCACCATGAGCGGCGAAGACAAAGACCACAACGACTGCCAGCCTCTTTAAAGTTAATCGCAGGTCAAGTGCACGTACAGTCCAATAAAAAAAGATCGCACTATAATGACCGACCAGCCAACTGTCGCTCCATATGGAGGGTTCATTGTCAAGACTCTCGATGAGGAAAAAGAACGAGAATTGAAACTTCAACAACAATCTACTATTGAAGTCAATATAAATGGTAATACTGAAACTCTTAGACCAGAGGCCTTACATATTAGAGGAGTGGATAGTTTATCAAGTGAAGATATCAAATCATTTGTAGATTATTATGTCAATTATTTGGTCACTAAAGATGAAGAAACTGGTAAAGAAACTTATGAACAATTACCTATAGATGAACAAATTACATTCAGAATTCAATGGGTTAATGATTCAGATATAAATATTGCTTTCAAAACTCATGAAGATAGTTTCAAGGCTCTCAAGAAGTTATCAATTACAGCTTCTAATCCTGCCATATATGAAGAGGATAAACCTCAAGAGTTGACAGTTGAAAATGTTGATTATTTGACTGAAATAATTCAAGAAAGGGAAACGAAACCATATAATGCGGTGTTGAATTTTATTAAACATCGAGATTTATCAGCAAGATTAGGTTTAACCAACCAACCACTGGAGCCTAACGGTGATGAACCACAGCAAGAATCAGAAACCATGGAAGAAGATCATTCATCAGTCGTTTTACACATTAGACAATCCTTCCAATCTGATAGGAAGGTTAAGAACGCAAAGCTTTATTCAAGATACTATCTTTTACACGGGGAACCAGAAAGACAACAACATAGAAGAAATAACTATCGAGACAGGGAACGTCGTCCTAGACGTGATAGAGACCAGGATAATAGAAGTCAAGAACAACAAGATGAAGACTTATTTGCAGAGAAGTTAGCTAATCCGAATGTTGCTATTTTCAATAGAAGATCAAACGACGATATTTCTGAAGATGCTATAATACCAGATGATAAGCCTCTGCAGGTAGAACAAGAAGAAGAGGAAGAAGAAGATTTATTCGCCTATAAGTTGAGAGAAAGATCGCCATCCAGGCGTTATTAGAATATGTAGTCATTATGTATATTACTATGCCAAAATAAAGATTTAATATATCAATTATATATTGGATAAATTAATTACCCTCTTGACCAAAATCATCAGTAAATTTAACATGGTTTTGAATATCAGCAGCATTAACTGTGGGTCTATTATTCTTAATAGCCTTAATAAAGTCTTTTATCGTTAAAGGTGGTTCTTTCAATTCATCGGTTTCAATATCCATCCAATTAATTTCCTTAGCTCCTTCATCTCCAGGAGAACATGGAGTTAATTTCTCAGAGCCATCATCATCCTGAACTGTTTTAAAATGAGTTGCCTGTTGGATTTTTCTAATTGGTTCCATCAAGGCATCCCTCACAGCAACAGCAACATCATGACCAGAATAACCATCAGTCATTTCTGCTAATAATTTATAATCTTGATTGGTACATTCACAGGGTACTTCTCCTATATTCAATTCAAACATTCGAGTTCTAGCTTCCACATCAGGTAATGATATATAAATTCTTCTTTCAAATCTTCTTCTAATGGCAGCATCCAATTGCCAAGGAATATTTGTGGCACCTAAAACTAATACACCAGCAGAATCATTCCCAACCCCATTCATTTGAACCAATAATTCAGTCTTAATTCTTCTCAGGGCTTCACTTTCTCCTTCACCTCTTGGACCACAAAGAGCATCAACTTCATCAATAAAGATAATAGACGGTTTATTTTCTCTAGCCATAGTGAATAATTGTTTAACTAATCTTTCAGATTCTCCCATCCATTTAGAAACTAAATCAGATGAACTAACAGAAAAGAAAGTAGAATTGGCCTCAGTTGCAACTGCTTTAGCTAAATAAGATTTACCAGTACCTGGTGGACCATATAATAAGATACCACTAGTTGGCTTTCTATTACCAACAAATAATTGAGGAAATTTGACAGGTAAAATGACAGCTTCCTTTAATGCTTCCTTAGCACTTTCCAACCCGGCAATATCACTCCATTTAACATTAGGCTTTTCTGAAAGAATAGCTCCAGCCAAAGCACCTCTCAACTTTTTGGTATCGGCATCATCTTCATCTCCACCAGCTCCATCCTTCTTTGCTTTGGTTGAACCATTCGTGGACGAGCTTTCGCCTCCACCATTCTTATTTTGTTGTTTCTCCAAATGGTCCTTTAATTGTTCTGCTCTTGTCAAATATTCTGTAAATTTAGACTTGACTAATTCTTTGGACTTGGCATTCTTTTCATATTTGATTGCTAACATAAGATAATCTAATCCATTATAATACAATTTATATGCTTCTTCATATCGAGTGGCTGTATCAGCATCTATAGCTTTCTGAACTAAATCTATGCCCTTGGATAAGAAATCTGATGCCCCCGACATAGTTCCCAACTCACCTGTTTGTTATTTGTTCTATATAATTAATTATTCAAATGCACTACGTGGTGATAATATTGAATTATAATGTTACAGATGTTTGAACAACCCTTGGCCCCCTATTACACTTCCTCCAGATGCGGTTTGATATCGCTCTCCCAGTGAGCTGGGACTGTATATAGCAAAAAAACGCTACACACTTCCGGTACTAACTGTACTACAACAATGCCATCTTTAATAGATGTCAATAGCAATGATATATATAAGTGCTACAACATTAATACATAATGTAAGACTTGTTAGATATCCGAGTTACGAATATATGTAAAAATAACTCTTTGAAGCAAAGATGTTTATGAAAAATGACTGTAACTTATTTTGAACAATGAATTTGCTTCGGAGAAACTATCTTAAAAGAATGTAGTAATTGATCCAGAGTCTTTTAATCCCATTTGGGATGTCATCGCTTTGCAAGTATCATTGTTTTTGTCCTAACTAATTACTAATTATATTGGTACTATATCCTCCGCTTGTCCAGACAATTTTATTACACAAAATCGATAGACTGCAAAATGCTGTTTGAGGCTTATTTTTTTCATTATGTATAGTATGATGACAAAGATAAATGCCTTATAATCCTAAGAGTCGTCATGTGTGCTTCAGTATGAGCCATAATTGTTGAGATCTATTAGGCATACACATAAATATATATAAATGGGATTAAATAATATTAAAATAATTCAAAGGAACTTTCAAAGTAGTCTGAACTAAATCATGTCTTCAGGAGTTAATAAACAAAATTCAATATTAATGGAAAGAAAGTTAGTACAAGATATAAATGTCGAACAAGAAGAATATAAAGATTATCCTAAAGATGGAAAATTTGCAATGCTTATATCCATCTGTGCGATGCTTCTATCAGTCTCTTCATGGGGGGTAAACAGTGCATACGGAATATTTTTAAACTTTTACTTAACCACAAATCAATTTCCAGGTGCAACTGAATATGAATTTGCTTTAATCGGTGGTCTAGTTGTATTTTTGGCACAATTTTGTGGTTCATTAAGTATAGTCATATATAAGACTATTGGGTTTAAGAAGACAACGATGCTTGGAGTTGTAATCCAAACTACAGCCTACATCCTTTCTTCAATTTCTACTAAAATATGGCATTTATTCTTGACGGAAGGGTTATTAGTTGGTATTTCATTTTCATTAACATTTATTCCTTCTACAGTTTTATTACCTACTTGGCTAGATAAAAGAATGTCAACTGGATTGGCAATATGTTCTTCAGGAGCTGGGTTTGGAGGAGTGATATTCTCGCTAGCCATAAATGCTTTAATTAATCTAACTGGCAACCAGAGATGGGCTTTGAGGATGTGTGCCATAGTGACGTGTGTTATCTCTTGTGCATGTATTGCAATAATAAGAGAACGCAGGATTAACAAAAAGGTTGAGCCACCAAAATTAAGTTTTCAATTGTTTAAAGAAAATATGGGTCAATCTTTAGACTTGAAGCTTTACAAATATTACGTAGTGTGCTTACTTTGTGGGTTTTACACTATTGCAGTATTCTCTTTTATTCTACTTTTATTCACAATGGCTTCCTATGCTAAGTCAAACGGGTTAAATTATGATCAGTCATCTGTATTAACTTCACTATTAAATGGCTTTCAAGTTATTGGTAGACCTTTGATGGGGATAACTGGAGATAAAATTGGACGGATCAATACTACAGCTATCGTTTCAATCACTGCCTCATTAACACTATATGCGTATTGGATCAATGCAACTTCTTATGGATCTTTAATTGGTTGTTGCATTCTACTTGGTTTGTGTATTGGAGTTGGAGGGACAATGTCACAAAGCATTGGTAGTGATTTATTAATTCTTATTGATGGTAAACCCGATAGACTCCCCGCATTATGGTCAAATATGAATATAGTTCTGTCAATTTTCTGTTTAGTTGCGGAAGTGATCGCTCTAGCTATGGTTGTGCCATCCTCGAGCCATCCATTTTTACACACTCAGATATTTGTCGCAAGTTGCTTTATGGTATGTTTCATTTTAATGCTACTTATAAGAGAATGGACTATTCGTGTGACTTTGCAGAAAAGGTTGAGCCCTAATTGTTTAGAAAAGATACATAATCAAAAAGTTATAGAAATGTATCAAAGGCTCTTACAACCAAATACTTTGAGATTCTTGCAAAGAATGTTTTATCAAATGGGAGTTTAAAAGAAACATAATATCTTTTCGTCTTTGATAAATGATGCACCGCTATAGGAATTTCTTTTGTATTCTTTGGAGTACAAAAATTAAACTTTGCAGCAAAAAAGTAAAAACAGAGTCAGATTTCGGAACGGACGCTCCGACAACGTCTCGCGTAGCTATCGGTTAGATAACCAACAGAACGTTTTTTTAAATGATAAAAGACAAACCCTTACGGAAAGAGCCATATAGATCGTTTATACTCTTTGGACAAAGATGAATCCACTCTGTTCAGCAAAATTAACTATGGTAAAGGCTACCGTCTTTTTAGGTATTCCTAGCCGATATCTAGCCAAGAGCTTTTGTTTGGAGACGGCTTCGCGCTCCTCACTTCGCATTACTCGATTTGTACGTAGGGCCGGAATTTTCAAAGTCACAAAAGCGGTTAAACATTAGTAATATGCGAGAAGAAGAGCTTCAGGCAATAGCCAGAGCTAAAATCAGAATCAAAGCCCAAGAAGCTTAGAATAGAAACATTTTTATATATTAGTTATTTGTAGATTCTTTGTAAGATATCTTTTAATTTCAGTATAATTTTAGGGTGTAAGAACTTATACTTGATAATTAATTTAATTATAGACATTATCTTTTCAGAGATTTTATTATTCGTACGGCTGTTGTGTTCCAATTTTTTTTTTTCACAAGATAAGGATAGATGTCAAATGATAATAAATCAGACTTAGAGTCTCATAAGTCATATTCGGAAGGCACAAGCAATTCTATAGCTGCATTTCCTATTCATGGAAATAGTCCGACCAAGGCTGGAAGATCTTCATCTTTAAGAAGTAGCTCAGAAGATGGAGAGAGCATATATAGGACCAAGACAAATCAGACTGAGTTGTCGAGGATACTAAGTGGGATAAGAGATGATATAACTCAACAATTTCAGGATAATTCTGAAGCAAATCTGTATAATGAAAGAGCCTATGCAGAGCCTATTTTGGTGAATCAATTAGATATTATCTCAAGACATAGCACAAGACTACCAGAGATAAGTAAAGCTTCGAGTCGAGTTTCACAAGGTAGGAAAGAACAAGAGGACGAAAGAGAGGAAGAAGAGTACGAAGAAGGAGAAGATTATTATGAAGAAAAGAAAGAAGTGAACCCTGAAGATGAAATAATTGATGGAGAACATCCAATTGATGGTTGGTGGTCTATTTTAATGTCCTTGTGTACGATGTTATTAATTGTATGTTGTTGGGGAGTAAATAGTGCCTATGGGGTGTTTTTGGATTTTTATCTATCAAGTAATAGATTTCCAGGTGCTACTCAATATGATTTTGCATTGATTGGTGGGCTAGTTGTTCTCTTAGCCCAAGCTATGGCTCCCATTAGTATTATTGCATTTAGAATGTTTGGCTTCAAAAGGGTTGCATTTTTCGGTGCTGTTGTTCAAACAATAGCCTATATATTAGCATCATTTGCTACAAAAATTTGGCATTTATTCTTGACTCAAGGTTTATTAGTTGGAGTTTCATTTGCATTTGTATTCTTACCTGCAACTTTAGTGTTACCAACTTGGGTTAAAAAGAAGAGAGCTACATCAATGGGTATTGCTGTATCTGGTGCTGGATTAGGTGGTGTTATATTCTCATTATCAGTAAATGCTATTATTGAAAAAACTGGAGATCAGCAATGGGCTTTAAGAATGTGCGCTATTGTAACCTTTTTCTTATCAATGTTGGCCGTATTAATTATGAGACCAAGACGATTGAAAAATCCACCAACTTTGAAAGAAACAGCAACCTGGAATAATCTTAAAGTTAGTGCTAGAGTAGTATTTGATATAAAAGTATTCAATAACTATGCCTTAGTTGCATTAGCATTTTGGTTCGCCATTGCTTTATTGGGTTACATGTTGCTTATCTTTTCCATTGCTTCTTATGCTACGTCTGTTGGCTTAAAGCCTTCTCAGGGTTCCGCATTAACTTCAATTTTAAATGCTGCTCAAGTAGTTGGTAGACCATGTATGGGTATTATCGGTGATAGATTTGGTAGAGCAAATTTAACTAGCATTCTTTCATTATGTATTGCTATACTTATATTTGCATTTTGGATTAATGCTACAACTTATGGGACGTTAATTGGTTTCTGTGTACTCGTTGGAGCTATTGTAGGAATTGGTAGTTCTATGGCCCAACCTATAGCTACTGACATAGTAGAAGATACACCACAGAAATTACCACCAGTTTGGTCAGGTATGAATATTTTCGTTTCAGTATTCTGTTTAGTTGCTGAAGTAATTGCTCTTGCAATGACACAGAAGAACTCTTCTCGACCATTCTTGCATTCACAAATATTTGCTGGTTGTTGTTTCCTTACATGTATGGGACTTATGCTAGTAGTTAGAGAATGGTTAGTACGAGATAGACTTAAGAAGATATTGGCTACGACTATCAGCAATCATAATATATTGCAAAATCAGCAAAGAAAACCAATCACCTATTTAAAGACTTCTGATTTGCAACCACAACAATCGGCTCAATCTGATAATAAGAATGAAGAGGAGGAATTACAAATATTAGAAGAAAGAATTGCAAGGTATAATACTTTGTTAGGAAAAACACCATTATCATTCTTCATAAGAATGTTTTATCCTATCAAAGTTTAATGCTAATTAACGTAAACTTATAGATTTTCGTAAGAGTAAAATACAAATGACATTTAAATTTTAAAAACTCTTTTAATTTTTATATTTATATTACGTATGACCTTTAAATATATATATATAATGTATTAGATCATTAGGTGGTTGTTTGATTGGATGAGGTGATTGATGATATGTTTAAATAAATGACATGAACAATGATGAAAGAAATAATATACAATTTTCTTAACGATTAGATTTAGCAACTCTTTCTAATTCATCCTTCTTCTTGATAGCATAAGAAGTAGAAGAACCCTTGGCGGCGTTAATTAATTCTTCAGCTAAACATTCAGCAATAGTCTTGACGTTTCTGAAAGAAGCTTCTCTAGCACCGATGGTTAATAAAGCAATAGCTTGGTTAACTCTTCTTAATGGAGAAACATCAACAGCTTGTCTTCTGACGGTACCGGCAGAACCAATTCTGGTAGAATCTTCTCTGGCACCGGAGTTGACAATAGCATCAACTAAAACTTGGACTGGGTTTTGTTCAGTTAAAACGTTAATGATTTCTAAAGTGTGCTTGACGATTCTGACAGCCTTTAATTTCTTACCGTTGTTTCTACCGTTCATCATTAAAGAGTTGGTTAATCTTTCAACAATAGGACATTGAGCCTTTCTGAATCTCTTGGAGGCGTATTTACCAGCAGTGTGGGAGACAAAGACGGCATCTCTGATTTGAATGTAGTCCTTTAAGGAAACATCTTTAACTTCAACATCAGCGAAAGACCATTTGTTGAATAATTTAACTTCTTGTTGAGCAGCTTGAACATCAGCTGGGATAGAAGTAGCTAATTCAACTAATTGTAATTCTTCTTGGACAACTGGTTGTTGTTCTTGTTCTTCAACGTATTGTTCTTCAACGTCAGACATGGTTGTTTACTGTTGGTATTGACTAGGTTATAAGAAAGAAGCTATCTCTACTGAAAATTATACATACACTGCGTTTGCTTAATACAATTTGATCCTCTGTACAAAATTTTCGCGAAACCCAGTCATGTTTACCCGGATTTTTCATACTCAAAATTGTGCATTTTCTTCTTAAGTATTGAATTTTGTAGCACACTTTCCTAATTAGGTAATATGATGAGGAAAGAGCCCTAAACAGTAGCACGTGATTTGATTTTAAATCATATAGGTTAATAGTGGAATATTTTAAATAGGGTATAGTTTTCATAAAACAAGATCCTAACTACATATATGAGATGCGTTACTCATTTTTATAAGCTTTATGATGCCTTAGAGCTTGAAAGAGGTTTTACGTGGCGACGATGGGGTTGAAACCTTTGATATAAAGATTTCAGATATTTACCAAAACAATACGCTGTTCATTTTCTTCTTCATAAAGATGTATCAAATCTCCAGTACTATGAACATATACTACATTATTCAATATTGTTTGAAAGATGAATTAAGATTCGAATCAGCTAATGTCTTAAGCTTCCTGATCCCCATGTTTGAGTTGTTGCTAAAACTAAAGGTGGTTCCAACCCTGCATACAGCATCACGACTCAAAAACTTTTTTATCGAAAATTTTTCCTCATCAGCCCAATTAGGAAATGTAAATTCTGGAATGTGTGAAATTGTGAGCATGTACAAATCACGTGAATATTTGAGGCGTTTCGCTATCTTTGCCCTTTTTGCAGCTTGTTTACTCTGTGTCTCAAATCCTTAAAAGTAGGTCCTGTGACAGAAGACGATAAAACGGATTGTAGTATAAAATAAAATACAGGTTAGATATGACTTTAGTACTATATACTATTATATGTATGAATATTCATTCAATTAGAGAATGCATATAATTACTTGATCCAGTGTATAATATTTTTGGTAAGTCAGAAAACATTGAAAGGCAGTGAAACGAAGTAGCAAGAGACCTAATAACAAATTGATTAAAACGTCTCTCCATTTCCAGAATTTATTTTGATATAGCCTTCCAGCTGCATGGATTTCACCGACAATATATGATTGAAAAATTGTTCAATAAAAAAATTGAAGGGGAATCCGCGCTTTATATACTTTTGTCTCGATTTTTACAGCCAAAATAGTTTTAGCTGCAGTAAATTAACATTTAACCATGCCGTTTCCACATAATGTCTTTATAAAAAAGCACATACCATAAGGACAAATTGATAAATTTAATTTCATTAGAAAGAGTGAACCATTATTATGTGTTTAAATTGATTGATTAGATATATATAGAGTGCAGTAGAAGTGAAATAGTATGAGCAGGCGAATATCTTTCTTTCTTTAAATGAAGTGGGGCAGCTTCTATTGAAATTTTGTATTACTTTGACCATGTAATGGCATATATGAGCTTAATGATACCTTGTGAACTTTGATATGATAATAATTAGAGTAATGTCTGTTTAAGTTATTTTTATCATGTATTTTGTACTTTTTTGGATCTCTCAAAATAGATTAGTCTCGAACATCAACTACTTGGAAAGAAAGTAGTATTGCATTTATTCCGCTTAAATTCATTTAAGCACAAATTTTATTAGTATTAGATAGTATCTATCTGTTTACTTATTTTTACTTCAACATAAAATAATAGCCCAAACAGCAATGGATATATTAGAATTTCTTAATATTATATATATTATGAATAATATCGCTCTTTTCATAAGCATTGGTTTACAAGCTTTTGTTTTTGTCATTCGCTTTTTATCTTCAATTAATATAGGCAATTGGAAGAGTTGCTTAAACTGGGTAACACTAATTTCTAGTTGTATCAAAACTTTTCAGTATGGCATGTTTTATGCAATTCCTCATATAAAGAAAAAAAGTGAGTTATACAAGAAGATAAAACAATCTGAAGATTACCTAAGTTATTATAATTCAACCATTCAATTGTATGATATAATTATTGCTATATATCAAAAAAGAAGTGATGCTTTCGTTCTGAGACTTGCTATTTATGAACAGGGTCAAAAGTGATGCTTTCGTTCTGAGACTTGCTATTTATGAACAGGGTCAAGAAGATTTGAATTTCACTTTTCAAGATATGAGAATGTTGAATTACTTAAAGGAATGTTTAACTATGTCTCTTCTTATTGATAAGCAAATCTTAAATGAGCTCAAATTTAATCTTATTTATTTTGAGAATAGCTTAGACCAATTAAAAATATTATTTGAATCCACTAAGCCCAAAGGTATTGATGAACAAGTTGAAATAGTCACAAATAATTTGTCTAATGTTATTTCTAAAGATAATGAATTTATTAACTTTCAAGTTAGGCTTAGAAGAGCAGCAGAGGCAATCCCATCCCAGCTTCCTTAAATCTAGGTATTCAAAAAGGGATGCAAATTGGTCAAGTTATCGTATCAAAAAGCCACCTGTTATTCTGTTGGTGTATTAATGTTTCTAATGGGAAGACTAATATTAATAGTGAGAATGAGTAATGTGTGGTTTTGGTTTTGTAACAAGAGTGATGACAGAGGTTGATTACGGTAGTTGGTTTGACCAAATAGTATAGAGCTTTAGAATCGATAGTGAACTAGTAGTGTAGTTGATAGCGTATAAATTTGATAGAGTATGTAAACCTAACTTTCATAAGTTGGAGAAATCCACCTACTTTGGTTAGAGGAAATCAAGAAGTAGTGTATCGATACGATACACATATAATTGATATGAGGTAATATAAATGGTATAAGAATAAGTGTCAATAAAGAGTATCAGTAGTAGTGTAACATTATGCGACATTATTGAAATGTCGGAAATGAACCATGTTGCCTGAAAGTAAGGGTTAATCCACGACACAAAGAAGATTGTACATTGGAGTTGTACTTTCTTGATTAAATGAAAATAATCGCACAACTAATTATTCAAAAGAAGAAATATTTAGCATTTGACAGTAATGAGTGAGCCGTTGCTTTCTTTCTTCATAATTTCCTCAACATTAACATAAAATAACTCCAAAAGTAGTCATATAATTGTATGGCACAAATATTTTCTAACTGGTGTCTAATCATCCTTCAGTTTGAATCTGACAGATTGTTAAGTACAAACATATGATTAATGTTTTTGCATTCAAGTCTTTGGCCATTATTGTCGATATTATATTAATGGAGCTCTAATTCTCTTTATTCATCAGCAAAAATAGTAAATTATATATACTATACATACCAACTCTCTTATAAAACGTCAATTCTCTTAATCAGTGTCCGCAAATATGTGTTTTTGGGTTAAGAGCACTTCAATATATTTAGTAATGTCAATTTTCGAAGCATTCAACAGTAATGTTCCATTTCCTTAATGCCGAATTCTCCGTAGAAGGCGAAAAGCAATATAGGAAGAATTTAATTGGATTTTAAAACTGAATTTATTACTAAAGATCAATCTCATGTGTGTTTTCCATTTTAAAAAAAAGATTTAATTGAAGGTGGGGATAACACCCGGAGCTGCTGGCTCAAAATTTATTTTGCAATTTGAAATCGAAACCCTCACTAAACCTGTGATATAAAGAAAACCCTAATTAAAGAAATCAAGGATATATAGGCAAGAGAATAATCAAAGGTTCTAGGTGGCACTTACTAGAACCGTCATAAGCCCAGCAACTTCTAATTAATCTACAAGTTATCTACACAAAAATCTAAGACAACTACTCACTGGACAAGTATTAAAATGATCAAAGATTTCATTTGATTATAATCAGCATCAAATAAAAGTCCGAAAATCTAATTCAGATGGGAAAACTACGTAGATCTGTTCAAAGAACACTAAATATATCTATGTGAAACTGCTCTACCCCATATGTTTCTGGTCAATTTCCACTATTTTATTTAATAAACATACCTCATTGGTCTATCGGACTTTCAAATTTATGCATGTCCATTAAACGGAAGCAATATCCGTTAAGTTGGTGCACAAAACACAATATTTACAATGATGAGGGGTGGTGTAGGGTGTTAAATTCCGATCTGGGGTACCAAAAATTAAAAACCTGCATGCATGCATGATTTTTTTTTATGTATTATGCTATTTGGGTTGCAAGATGGGGGAACAGTTCGCAACTGTCCTTTTTGGAGTGCAAGGTTAGACAACAAGCAATGTGAGTAGATACATACAGATTACTTGATTGCTATTGAAAAGACTCTTATCGAGTGCTAAGCATCTTAACTCCTCTTATTATCACCACGTATGATAGTACTTCTCATCCTTTTAAAGTTGAATAAATATTATTTGTTAATCATCTCCACCTCATCAAAGCGGTTACAAATCCCTTAGGAGGGGTTTGTTAGGAGCCCCGCTACTCGCGAGCGAAGATTATTGATACATACTAAAACAATTTATTATTAAGTATATTGTTAATAATTGCTGCACTTATGAATAAACCTTTGTTGATACTAAGTCCTTTTCTCCATTTCTTATACATTTCTATAAATATAGTTGCAATCGCAATCAATTTTGAAGAATTTCTTAATTATTTTCTCTTGCATTATTATCATCTCATCCATTTGAGCAAGGGAATTATAGTGCTAAATTTTACATCCAATTTATAAATTTTTATAGGCGATATATAATGTCATTTGTTAGCGATATTGATAAACCAAGTAACGTTCATGTTGAAGATATTGAACGTGGGGAAAAAGCTTCTGTTCAGGAACTTGACCCAGAACACCATGACTATCTTATGAAAAGACATGGTACTGTTGATTTAGATCCTTTACCTTCAAGTGATCCTTTGGATCCACTCAACTGGCCAGATTGGAAAAAGAATTTCCAAATATTATTGATTGCTTTGCAAACTTTCAGTGCTACATTTATGGCTGCTGGTCTTACTCCTGCTTTTCAGCCTATGGCTGAAGTATATGGAATTAGTGTTCCTAAGGCATCTTATTTCACTTCTGCACAAATTGCTGCTTTTGGTGTTATGCCACTTTTATGGGTTCCATTAATGAATTATTATGGTAGAAATCCGTTTTTAATTACTTCTAGTTTACTCTGTGCTTGTTTGAACATTGCTGGGGGTTTCTGCAAAACTTTTGCTCAACAAATGGCTACAAGAGTATTAGTTGGTATTTTTATTTCAACTGCTTTTGCTGCTGGAGCTTCCTTTGTTGCCGACTTAGCCTTCAGTCACGAAAGAGGTAAGAAAAATGGTTGGTGGTCATTAGCTCTTGTTGTTGGAACTCCAGGTGGTCCATTTGTTTGTGGATTTGTCCAACAACATGCTGGTACAAAGTGGGTTTACTTTGTCTTTGCTATTTTAAATTTTGTTCAATTTATTCTTTGGCTATTTGCCGACGAAACTGTCTATTTTAGACATGGTCCACAACCAGAACAGAAAGGATTCTTTAGATTCTTGGGACTTAAGAAAAACCCAGGTAAGCCTTTGGCTTTGAATGTATTTTGGAGACCATTCAAACTTGTTACAAATTTCAATGTGTGTATGGCTGTCATTGCTGCATCTATTGCTTTCTGTTATGCTAATATCGTTCTCGTGGTTGAATTACCACAAGCTATGGGTATATTGTTTGAATTGGATGCACAACAACTTAGTTACCAGTATATTGCTCTTATAATTGGTTCAGTCATTGGTGAGTTATTGGCAGGTCACCTTTCGGATTGGTGGATGAAGAGATGTATTGCCAAGAGAGGGGGACAGAGAGTTATTGTTGATAGATTGTGGATTTCTTACAATGGATTCGTTTGCATTGTTGTTGGATTGATCGTTTGGGGTGTTTATTTATACAAAGCTGAACCTGGTCACTGGAAAATAAGTCCATTAATCGGTGGTGCTGTTGCCGCAGCAGGCAACAATATTATTGCAACTGTTCTTGTTGCTTTTGCTATCGACAGTGCTGCAGACAAAGCACCAGATGTAGGTTTGTATTTAAATTTCGTCAGATCAATTTATGGTTTCCTTGGACCATTTTACTTCCCAAAGATGTTTGATAACCTTAACTTTGCAGGTTCTGCAGGTTTAATGTCAGCTCTTGTAGTGGTATTTGGTGCTGGCCCAATGATCCTTGTTCATATTCGCGGTTCTAGAAGAGCTTAAGAGTTACAAAATAGAAGGTAATTACAATTTATGATGAAAATTTAACGACGGTAAGACAAATGACTCTCGCTAGTCTATCTTATATATAAATATATGATTATACTTTAAGTTATTATTCAAGCTTAATGACATCTATAATTGTAGTTTTACAAGTCCAGATTGTTGATTTGGTTTTAAGACACTCAAAATTGAATAGTAACGGGTTCATTATAGTTGAGCTTATCAAACTGCTTATATATATATATAGCTTCTCAACTTTATTATTTGTAGATGTTCCTACAGATCTAATATAGTTTAATATTTGCTAACTTAGAATCTGTGCATTAAATTAAATGATGAGTTGATTTCTAAAGCATTGAAAAACAGAACCTTTCCCGGAAATTTTAGCTCAATATTATTTGGATTGTTCTACTAAATATTGTAAGATGCTTTTCCGTCACAATTTTAGTTGAAAAGAGATTCGTGTAATTAAGACTATTAATTATCTTTTTCCCCACAACTGTTGCGCTTGGTGAATGTAGAGACTAAGCTGCAAGATTAAGTCTGAATTGGTCATTTATATACCGATTTTGTAGAGATCTCCTCCACCCTTTTTGTCGGGCGCATCTTCGGGTACTTCATCCGAGATGATTGTTGCAACCAAAAAAAATATTTGCGAAACTTCCGCACGCATCCATTGTGCATTACAAAAGACGGATGTAATTCTAACAATAGAGTACCTCAAGTTTCCAGGACTAGGACCTTAATGGAGTTTATAGAAACCACATTTGGGAGTTTTAATTTGTCAAATATTGATTTCTTACTACTTGGATATTTTGCTTAATTATATAGGCTTTTAAAGATTCGGTTTCGGGATTAACACATACTGTATCGTCACATAAATCATCTTAAAGTATAGTCTAAACAATATCAAGTATTCCTTTAATTTAACCCCAACTGATATAATTGGAGTAAAATGTTCTAGTATATGAAATATCAAGTAAGGCAGGGCATGTGAAGAGAATACCAGATCCAAAATTCGAATTTTTGTGCCATAGCCAAGCTACAAAACATAAAAATATACTAAAGAAAACTTACTTCAGTTCTATTTCTTGATTAATAATCTCTCTATGATTATTTTAAACATTGAGCAGACACTCCTAAATATCCTTTGTGTAGAATTATTGGCTAAAGGGGTTTATTCTTTATTTTTCAACTTTTTACCTTCCTCTTGAGTTATAAAGGTAAATACCTTCTTTTGATAGCAAATTTCCTAAGGAGTTTATAGAGACTTTGGAGGGCAAAGAATTTTCTTTATTAATACATTAAAATATATAGACAAATTTATTACAATTATACATAGATTGACGCCGACCTGATCTACTTATGTGTATTATTATAATTTTTCAAACCTTTTTTTTATTCATATGTATTAAGCTGTAAACACAAAGGGAAAATCCTATAATAAGAATAAACTTATCATTAGGCAAAACCTATATAAGAAAGATATAGGAATATTATAGATACCTTAATAAAGGATGTGTTGGCTTTGTGTCACAATGTGAATTCTTATGCTTGTTTACTAAGGAAGTTGCAAAAAAAAAGCAACCGCGTATCGCAATCTTCTCTCCTATATTTACCTTTTTCAAACCACCTTCTAATCAATATTTCCAGTGCTCCTGAAACACAAGAGTATGAATTGTTCAGCAGGTTATGCATTTTGCATTTTCAAGGCTAATACAAGGAAAAATAGATTTGCAACATGTTTAAGATCAACTATACAACCACCAAAACCAACCTCTAATTTAGAGTCTTTACCTGATGAAATTTTAGTTCAAATTATAGATCACTTGAATCAGTTTGATATTCTAAGCCTATGTATTGTAAACTCAAGATTTTATTCCTTATGCATGAACAAGTTATTCAAGAGAGCTTTGCTTATTGCTTGTCCGAGTCTAGACAAACCAAAATTTCATAGAAAATTGAATACATTTATACACACAAATTTCACAATTATACATCCAGATATAGATTTGAAGTTCTTTAATTCTCGTGTTAGGAAACAATTTCAAGTAGTTGTGGAAGTAGGATCTTTGCCTAAACAAATAAAGGATGCACATTACATGAAAATCCATCAACTTGAGGAACCCAATTTGCTTTGCATTTCAAATTTGAAGTACAGAATGTTACAGATAGACATCGATAGCCATAGGAATATCCAAGGCTATATCAATGCTATAAATAGAAATAGAAATACCATTTGTTTTTTTAAACAATTGAAATTCGGTTGTAGCGAAAACCTACCCATTGAAATTCTCGAGCAATTACAAGGAATATTCAATGGGGTGAATTCTTTATGGTTGGCATACTTCAGGTTTCATGAACAAGTCTTGTCTTTATTCCAATGTGAAAATATCAAAGAACTTCAGCTAAGTTTGGCTTTTGGTGATGATTATATACGTTTTCTTCCACTCATAATAAAGTCAATGCCAAACTTGAAGACACTTGTCATAAATTTAGTGAATATTAAATTTCCAATAAAAGCTTTAGAGCAATTATCTAAGTGTTCCCTTCAAAAGTTTTGTCTAGATGATAGTGTATTCGCTTCATTAGAAAAAGTTAAACACAATTGTAATTTAATCAAGACAGTGTTTAATTATTGCGGATCTAGTCTTGAACTTGTCAAGATAAACTTGATAATATTTTCAGAACATTCAACAACATTATCAACTATTGATTTGTTTTACATCAGTGAGTATTATGATCGCCACAACAGTAGAGAGATGAAGCAAGAAATTAAACAAGAAATTAAAGATTTAGTCCTCTGGATAAAAAGAAATATAAGATTTTACCCAAAGCTTCAATATTTTACATTCTATAATTATCTGTTTGTAATAGACAGATCAGTTGAACCATGCCAGTGGATTGAAATTAGTCTGAAGGAGTTGTGAAGTAAACTATGTTGTATTTTATTAAAAACATAATGTCTTTGAAGTAAGGTGGTTTCAAAGTAAATAAGGTGAACTAATGTTAATGGACTCACTCTATTATTTAATAACTTTATTTCTAGAGTAAGATGGAATTCTTACTTCTAATTTGAATGATTTCTCATGGTTGAGTCCAGATTTACATTATTTAAATTTAATACATTCTATAATATACTAAAGAAATGTTTAAATGACGAGCGTATGTAAATATGTGCAAATAGTAATTGTTTTAATCGTATTCAACCAAAGAATAAAATATTTAATTAATCCTGAGGTAGAATGAATAGATTCTGCATTCAATATAGAATGAAAACTTTTCAGACATAGCAAAGAACAAAGCATAAATGCATATAAAGTGACCCATCTTAATGTGAAATAATTATGTAAACTTTTGATCTTTTACTAAAAAAATAGTAGCGTGTCTGAACTTTCCCAAGTTTCTTTACAAATCTTGTAGAACAATCCTTCCTTCCCTGACGAGGAACGGTTGGAGCATATTTTAAGTTCTTTTATAAATTTGGAAAGAGTGGGCTGTTGAGATCTTCTGTTCGCTCCTGAAGAAGTGTCGAGAAAATCTAATTAGTTAGTCGATAACCATGGAAGTTCATGACAAAGTGTTCTTGAAGTAGCTGTTAACTAACATGAGCATATCTGCAGTTGAAGGTGCTGTATGTGAGCCATCTCTCATAGTAACGGCGCAGTTGTCTTAATACGAAGAGAGAAACTTGTTTAACGAATATTGAGATTCGGCCATGAGACTAGCTTTTTCTAAGTCCTACTTTTTTTAATGATTTCACTAATAAGAATTCTTTGAGTGTGTTATCCTACTTTTGTATATGTAATATCGAGAGACAACGGAGATAATCAATGAATATAAATTTAATTACAGTTTGCCTCTATACAAACAAATTTGCTGTTTCTGTTTTGTGAACTATACTCATAGGTAATTCTTTTAAGACTTCTTCAAAATTCATTGCCACTTTCTTAGTCTACTTATAGCGTTCCACTTATGATAACTGATACTTTTAATGATGAATTTTTGTGCCAAATAATTATTTTTGCATAAGTTCGAGGCTTCTTCTTTTTAATCTACTACATCATTCGAATTGATCTTTGAATAAATAGCTTCATGACAAATTATGGACCATAAAATCCTTAGCAATGTCATTTGTTTTAATGAATCTACGCAGAGTGAGTGAACCATGATTTATTCCTTGTACGTTTAAAACAGAGAAATTTCACTTTCATTTTGCAACTATTTTCACAGAGGTCTTAGTTTCTATTACGCAAAGGGGAAAATCCTACGGTGAGATAGACTCAGTAAAAGGCCTAATTTTGTTAAATTTCCAATATTACTCCAGAAATACTGAAGTGGGTAATAGGTTGGTTGAAATGTGTGTCATGTTCTTGAAAACATCCTAAACTATTTTTTTGTCTCCTCACATCAATAATTTCAACAGCCAGAGGAGAGAGCAATTAAAAAAAAGTATAACTTTAATGAACGATTTGTGTTGGATAAGATGAAGAATTTTAGAAGCCTTGGATGTTTGGGACTCGTTGAAATGAAAGTTTTGTCCAATACAAACCAAGTCGGATAGTAAAGCTCTGAAGCCTTTAGCTCTCTAAGATGTCTTGATATTTATGACAAAATCTACCTACAATACTTTGTCAAATGTTTTTTACAATTTATTTTTATGCTTTAGACAAATTGCCATGAAAAAATACTTGAAAGGTTTGCACTATTTATATAGAAGGAAAGATATAACGAGGATTGTGGAGAGAAATGACTTTATTTCTAAAAAAATTTCCCCAAATATAAAAAGCCACTATGACTGTGGTAATGAAAAATGAAAAACTCGTATTTGTCCAGATTTTAGAATTAGGACAGATACTTAAGTAATGTTGGTTTTCCATCCGGAAGATTAATCTTAACCATCATATAATAATCATATAACAGGTCTTATGATGGTTTCCTTAGTTGAGTCATATAAAACTTAAAAAGATGCAATCTGACATATATTAGTCATTGGCTACCCGCCAAAATATCAGCGGCTACTTCTGCATAAAGAAGGTTTTAATTATCAACCGGCCCGTTCCTGTATATAGCTTATGATAAGGCGGAAAAAAGCAAATTTTTCCCCAGTTTTAGCCTATAGCGGCGAGCGAGACAATGATTCATAAAATAACTTCGTACATTTAGATGTATCTTGACACCCCCACTTAAATTAGGTCCGAACGATGTCCACAACGATTGGTCATAATCAGTATATATAAAACGATAATGAAGTATCTTTTTTAAAAAAATTGTAGGCAAGAATCTTTTTCTCTGAGGCGATCATTTCATAATTCAATTATAATTAGAAATTTTGATTCAAATTAATTCTAATTTCTATCAATAGATCATAATGTCTAAGTTGGAAAAAGTAGGTGTTTCAGATGGATCAGATCCTGAATTAGGATCAGATGGTTCATTGTACAAAGAAGATGACTTTAGTCAAGTTTATACTGAAGAGCAATTAAATCAACAAGTTGAGGAATTAGCTCAATCATATGGTATAAATCAGAAGAAGTTAATGTGGAAAATTGACCTTTGGGTTGTTCCACCATTTTGTCTTCTTTATTTTCTTTCATTTTTAGATCGTGTCAATATTTCAAATGCAAAACTTTACGGTTTAGCTGAAGATTTGAATTTAACTGGAAATCAATATAATATTGCTTTAACAGTATTTTTTGTTCCTTACATTGTTTTTGAAGTTTTGGCTAATTATTGTATTAAATTTGTTAAACCTCATATATGGTTGAGTACACTTATTCTTTTATTTGGAGGAATTTCAATAGGTATGGGATTTGTTACTACTTTTGGTGGTTTGGTCGCTTGTCGGTTTTTAATTGGTATTACTGAAGCTTCGACTTTCCCCTCAATTTTCTACTTATTATCTACTTATTATTCAAAGGCAGAATCTCAAAGGAGATTTTCAGCTTTCTTCTCGTGTACTGCTTTGGCTGGAGCTGCTTCAGGAGCTATTGCTTTCAAAATCAATGATTTAGATGGTGTTCATGGAATTTCAGCTTGGCAATGGGTTTTCATTATTGAAGGTGCTATTACTATGGGTTGTGCGGTAATTTTATTCCTTACTATTGCTGATTTCCCAGAAGAAAGTAGATTTTTAAATGAAGATGAAAGAGCTTTCTTAAAGAGAAAGTTGGAAATTTTAAGTGGTTCATCTTCTGCTTTTGAAATCAAAAATACCTTCAAAGATGTTGGTAAATGCTTTAAAGATATTTTAATTTGGATGCCAGCATTAGCTTATTTCGGTTTAATTATTCCTTCTTATGGTTACGCATATTTTGCTGCTACTATTATTCAGCAAATGGGCTACACTGCTGTAAGTGCAAATCAACATTCAGTTTATCCATGGTTATGTGCCTTTGGTTTAATCAATATAACTGCATTTGTGTCAGATAGGTATAAAAGAAGATTACCTTTTGCTATAGGTACTTCACTTATGGCTATTGTCGGTTTAGCTATGGTTTTGGGGGCTACGAATGCACCAAGAGTAAGATATGCAGGTTGTTTCCTTACTGCTTCTGGATTATATACTTCAATGCCATTAATTGTATGTTGGGCCGCCTTAAATAATGGGTCACATCTTCGTAAATCTGTTGGTACTGCTTGGCAAATTGGTTTTGGTAATATTGGTGGTATTATAGCTACTTTCATCTTTTTAGCTAAAGATTCTCCAGTTTATAAGCCAGGTTTAAGTACTTGTATTGCAGCCGTTGTTTTTGCAATGCTTTCAATGTTCGGATATTTCTGGGCCTTATACAGAATAAATAATGCTAAGCAAACGGACGCTTACAGACAAAAATTCCAGGAATTATCTGACAGAGATAAAATTAATGCTGGTGACAGAAATCCAAGATTTGTTTACTTGTATTGAAATCTTGTATATTAGTTTCTCCCATTGACTTTTTTCAAAAGTTTAATAATCAAAAAATTAATAATCAAAAAATCAAAATTCAAAAAATAATCATATTTTACATTCAATGACTTAATGAATTCACATATCTACATTATCTACATGTACAAAAACTTTTAATATAAATACCTAATCTTATAATCTACTCAGTTACTCAGTTGTAGTTAATTTTTAGAAATGTAACTCTAATTGAAAGTGGTAATTGTAATTGTAAGTGTAAGTTTAATTGTAATTATAATTGTAATCGAAATTACATCTACCGATTCGAGTACGTCACTTACAATAGACCTCTCAACAATCAAAGATGCGGAAACAAGCGGCTGTTCCTTCCCGGTTTCGGAAGTGTTCTAGAAAACATAAAACTTTACTTCGCTTGTAATGGAATATAAGTGGTCATCATATAAGTTAAGTTCACACTTCGACAAGGCTCCGCGAAACTTAGGGGGCTGACATGTATGTACTATACAATTTGGTTAAGGTATTGCCTCGTCCACAGCACCAAGAAAAAATTACATGACTTGTTACGCTTTGCACACTGCCCTTCCGTTCTGTACGAGTAAAATCCTTAGCCGAAAAAGTAAAACTAATAATAGACCAATTCGTGGGTTTTTAATTACCTTAGTGTGCATAAACAGTTGTTAGATTTTCACTTTTTTACTTGTAAACAGTAATAGACTAATTGTCTTTAATTTAACTTTACTGAGTGTTGAATCGGTTAAAACTATAAATAATAGAAGATAGATACTAATATGTCTAAAGAGTATAATCCACCAACCGGAGCTCCACCAAATTGGGGGAATGAGGGAGGACAACAGGGCTACGTTCCACAAGCTCAACCATCATACAATACTCAACAACAAGATAGAGGATATGGTGGATATCAACAACAACAAGGTTATGGAGGTGGATACCCCCCTCAACAAGGTTATGGTGGTTATCCTCCACAACAGCAAGGCTATGGTGGACCTCCACCAGGTGGTTACTATCAACAACAACAACCAGTATATGTTCAACAACAACCTCAAAGAGATGATAGTTGTTTAATGGCATGTTTAGGTGCTTTATGTATTTGTTGTACTTTGGATATGCTTTTCTAGACGCATGAATTTACGATGAAATCATCAGTTTACTTTCCATTACTACCATTCCCTATTCTTTTTAATGATGTTCATAATATTAATGCAAGCATATTTGGCTCAAATACTGTCTCCATACTGTCTTTATTCAAAGGCTTTTTAAATCTGTGTTGTACGCATTTTTTATTAATTGTATTCCTTCTGATAGGGAGCTTTATTCATTCTATGGCCCGCATTGAATTTGGAGTAAGTTCCATTACGGTGTTAGAGACCTAGCCGGGACATTAGATTCACTTACAGACTGAGAATATCTAGAGTGTTTATCAAAATTAATATATTAATGCTATTCATTACATCGTAAATCTAAATAACCTCTGGTTTCATTAACACCAAAAGTTGAGAATACGCTTATAAACTGGGCGCAATTTAGCAGCCTCTATCTCTTCAGCTTTTTCTTGTAATAATAAATCTATTTCTTCTTGAGTTCTTCCCGTATCAATATCGATTTCGTCAACGGTTCTGTAAAACTTGAGCGTTCTACTATATATCTTGTGACCAACGTAAAAAGCTATGACAATAACAAATGCCAAATTATTCTCGAAATATGCCTTAGCATCAGGTTTAGCTCCAATTGGCCAAATTCCAATCCAAAATAATTGAAGTCCTAAAACAATTGCATTCATAATCAACCCATACCAAGCTCCAATAATCCCTGTATTAGAAATATATGGCAATTCTTGTAAATCTCTTCCATGATATTTGTAAGCAGCTCTAAATCTCAAGTAAGATGCATTAATACTTCCCCAGGTAAATAAAGTTGAAAGACCCGATAAAGCCACTAACCAGGCAAACACTTCAGCTTCTTTTGGTGAAGCAGAAACAAAAGCCAAAAGCCCAATAATTGCACACACCATAATTCCAACCAATGGTCTACCTTGTCTATCAACATAGTTGAAAATCTTAGGTGCTAATCCTTGTTCTGCCAAAGCTAAAACCGTTCTAGAAAATCCATATACTGCTGAATTACCAATGGCTAAAAGAGCAACTAAAACAATAACATTAAAAATTGATGGTAAAACCTTTATTCCTCCCTGTCTAATGGCAATGACAAATGGTGAAGCAGATGCACCAGATCCACCTATAAGATCTTCCGAGTTAGCTGGAACAAGGAATCCGATCAAAGTCAAGGTAAGCATGTAGAAAATCATGATTCTCCAGAAGACTTGTTTAATGGCTTTTGGCAACATTATTCTGGGATTACCTTCTGATTCAGAAGTAGTTAAACCAATTAATTCTGTACCTGCCAATGAATAAGTAGCTGTTATCAAAACTGATACAACACCTTTGAAACCAGTTGTGAAAGAACCTGGGTTACGATAAAATTTCCCACCAATAAATCCTTGATCACCACCACCGCAAATTAAAATAATGGCTAAGATATTGAAACCAACAATACCTAACAATTTGATTACAGAAGCAACAAATTCAGTTTCTCCAAATCCACGATTTCCACACAAGTTTAACACTATAATAAGAACGTAGAAAATTGCTACCCATGCAACTGAATTTACTGAAGATTGCCAAAAATTGATAGTTATGGAAGAAGCAACTAACTCTAATGGCATGACAATAACCCAAAAAAGGGCATAATTCCAACCCATGGCAAAACCCCATGATGGGTCAATAAATCTATTGGCATAAGTTGCAAATGAACCAGATAATGGGAAAGCCGATGATAACTCAGCCAAAGATTGCATGGTACAATATAAGAATGACGATACAATGGCCCATGCTACTAATAAAGTTCCGGGCCCATTTCTAAGAGCCATACCAGATGCAACTAATAAACCACTTCCTACACATCCCCCTAATGCAATCATTTGAAGCTGTCTCTTTTTAAGACCCTTCTTTAAATCATTGTTTTGAAGATTATTTTTAGGTTGAGCATCTTCTAAATCTAACGAAGAACTTGAACTTGAATTTCCATGTTCCATACGTTTAAATGAATCTCTGAAATTTTTCCATCTTGATTGTTTTTGAGATTGAGATTCAATTTCTGATGTAGTTTGGATATATAATTTTTCATCACAATTCTTAGCGATGGACTCGCTTTCAATACTACTAGTGACTTTTGCTGACTGTTCCATCTTGATTATATTTAGCACTTGAAAATGAATCAGTTATTCCTTTCCGTAAAAATAATATCACTGCTAAAGTTATACATAAATATATATATATATATAAGTTAGTCATTTTGCATCTCTCCGCTACAGGCATCTTGTACTGCCTTCCTTGCGGCAATTGGACTGCAAAAATCTTGGTGCACGGCGAAGTATCGCAAAATCCGGCATATAAGATTAAATGAGCTTATTTTACCGACCATTAAAGTGTCTAAATGCAACATAAGGCCGAAAAAAGAAACTAAAAGAAGTCGAAAAGAACATCTGTATAACAATCATGTGGTGATTTGCAAGACCGAATACTGCCATTTTCTTTTTGTCGGCCCTGAATAAAGCGTCGTATGGTGATAAGTTTGGTTTGAAATGTTTTTTAACCGTTTAATATGAATCCTGCTATTCTAGTACTAAAACACTAGAAGCACACGACTTTTTATTGAATTCTATCTTCTGTTCCTGGTAGGATAGACTATCTCGCTTTATATCTCAATTTGTCTATTCTCCAATCTCTTTAGTATAAGACTAAAATAGAGGGGAAAACTAAAAAAGCTTTTGCTTAAATTCTTATATATATTTTATCAAAAATTTGAAAATTTAGGGGTTGCGGCCTTCTGGAACAGGACCGTGTCTAAGAACTTGATAATAACACTTTAGCGGCTATTCAGATGGAGTTCTAACCCATAGCATGATATCTAATTCCCATTAACTGATCTCCTTTTAGTTTATAATAGTGGGGACCATAACTGTTTTTGAATACTCAAGATCTTAAAAGCTGTCTAAAAAAATGTCTCTCGTGGGGATTATGACGTAACCTAAAAATGGAAATTAGCGCTTTTTTATCCCAAAAAAGGCAAAAATGTCTACCACCATCTAATTATAATTAGAATAATTGATTATGATTGCTTTCAATAAACACTTTCTCTATAGACCGTATCAATCTTTGCAATTATGTCGACTAAATTCGCTTTCCATGCTACAAATGATCCTAAAAAGCTTAAAGAATTATATGAACTTTGTGGAGTAGAATGGGGTGGTGGATTGACGTCCTCGGAATTTGGAGATGTTGAAACACAACAGCATATTGACTCTTTAACTAAGGGCCGTAAAATTCAAGGATTCTACTTGGAAGATAAAGCTAGTGGAACACTAGTTGCAACCACTATTATTAGTGAAATTAAAGGATTTGTAAAACCTACTGATAGAACAAGCTCAATTTCATCTATTCCCGATCCTTCCTCAATTGGACTTAAACCAATTAAATTCCTATTAATTGGATTTGTGGTAACACATAGAGATTATAGAAGACAGGGATTAGCCCAATTGATAGTAGAAAATGCAATTAAATTCACAGAGGAAGAAATTATTGCTACAAAGTTACATGATAGTGATACTCTGAAAAATGATAGTTTTGCAAATATGGTCACTGACCAAGAAGGAAAGGTAGATGGTACATTGGCTAATTATTATTTAGGTAAAGAATATATGTGGATCCTATATTCTGGGGTTGGTAAATTTTATGAAAGGTTTGGTTTCAAAGGGTTTCCATTGGAGTTTTTTAAGATTCCACTTTCTTCACTTTCAGAGCAACAAGAAGTATTAATTGAACAACTTCTTGATGAAACCAATAAGAATAATTTTCGAAAGAGAGTTAGATTACTTAGAGGTACGAATCCTGATGATCAAGAAATAATCAAAACCATATTACAAACGAAGGAATTGACGATAGTTAGCGAATTAAATAAGACTATTTTCCATCTGGAATTACAATCAACATCTAAATCCTCATCATCATTAACTAATATGAATGATATATTAGCGGCAGCTCATGAAGGTAGAACTCCATCATTAGGATCTATCGTAGAAGATTCGAATAGTACTGCTTCTAAAAATCAATCGGGAAGACGAAAATCATCAGTACATCATTTCGCAATTCCAAGAATTGCACTTAAACCAGATTATGATGTTATACAATGGGATGTTGCAATTGAGAAATTTACCGCACATTGTTCAAATAATGAACAAGCCGTTAAATATACAGATATTCAGGGTTTAATTCTTCATAATGAATTACAAAAGAAAAGTTACTACATCATCTGGAATACTTTAATGCAAAGAGCATTATTCATTATGGGTATAGGCGAACTTCAATCTGGTTTTGAGTTCAATCCTACTTCAGCTCCACGTAGTAGATCATCTTCATTCAGTGAATTAAATGAATTAGGAGGTTATAATTTCCAAGATTATGATATTCTTTTAAGTGCTGCCTGTTATGTAAGTAAGAAAAGAAATATTCCCGGCAATAATCCTGTTTATGTATCTATAAATGATTTACCTAATAATATTCCTACGCAGGTACTTTACGATTATCTATTAAATTTTTTCCCTAATCTGTTAACTGGATCAGTGAGCAATAACAACAGTACCAGCACTAGTAAAAATACTGAGAACAAAATCCAGATTATTAATGATGCCGAGTTGGGAGTATTACCCATGTTAAGACGGTTTGGTGATTCTTCACCGGAATTCGAAATAGACTGGTCTCATAGTGGTATGTGGTCATTTGGTTAAATTTGGTTAAATTTGGTTAAATTTGGTTAAATCTGGTTAAATTTGGTTAAGCCTGAGTTTTATACTGTATAGTGGCCTCGGCAATAAACGCATAAATCCTTGTTTTTTCCGGTGTGCATATAGCCATGTACCGAGAGGGCTAGATAGATATAAGTAAAAAAAAAATATATAGTAAATTTCAAATGTATAATCACGACATATCGAATAGAACAGGAGCTATAGACGACACTGTAGTTAATTAAAATGTCTAATGGGACGGGACAAAGATCTCTAGATAGTTTGGCACATATTGCTAACATGTCCCATGAATTACATGCCCTCAATAATCAGTTGAATTCTCCTATGGCATCGAGTCATCTCAATAATAACCTTAGCCTTACGGCACCAACTTCAACGGCCAGTACTCCACCTCCATCGGGATCTAATCACCAAACACTTACACAAGCTCAAAAGTTTGCCAAGGCAAAGAAAATGGCATGTGTAGAATGTCGTCAACAAAAGTCTAAATGTGATGCTTTTGAGAAACAACCAGGCCCTTGTACGAGATGTACTAAGAAGGGGTTAAAATGTGATTTGAAGGCTGATTATAGACGTACTTATAAAAGAGCCAGAGTGGCTCAGATGGAAAGAGAATATTTGGAATTGAAGAGATCGTTATCTGAAGCACAAGCTGCAGAACTATTGACTAAGGGTGGTCCACCCAGTACATCACCTCATCTCATCCCTGGCCAGCAACAACAACAAATACAACAACAACAGCAACAACAACAAGTACCTCCCCCAATACGACAGGCTCAGGGTCCAGCATTACCATCATTGCTGTCTGCTGTATCATCACTTCCTTGGCAACAAAATGCTCCGAATGTAAATGCAAATGCAAATGCAAATGCTACATCGGCATCTCCGTATCCCTTCGATATCAGATATTCTCATAATTCTTCGGATACAAATACTTCAATTCCAAATACTCCTTCAATATATAGACTGTATGAAGGAGTCATTAGTAAATCTCAATCTCAATCTAATTTAACAAAGCCAGATGAATTAAAAGTGGTGATGCCAGATTATGCTCTTGTTTGTGAAGAAAAGTCAATTGATTCAATAACTTTATCTCCAGAGACTATCCGATCATTATATTTAGAATATGTGGAAAGATATCATCCAATATTACCAGTAGTAGATGTTTTAAAAGGTCCAGAAAGAATCTATAGATTATGTCCAGCATTATTTTGGACTATAATGTTTGTATCTTTAAGAAGATTTCATGAAGATTCTCAAAAATCATTATTATTACAATTATCTCGAATTGTTAAAGGCATCTTAGCAGAAATTATGATATCTCCAATTACTAGATATAATCCTACCGAAGAAGATGAACCAATATTAAATGCTAGTTCTGTTTATTCAGTTCAAGCTTTCTTACTTTATTCTTATTGGCCTCCAATTACATCATCTTTAAGTGCTGATACTTCATATACAACTACTGGTACTGCATTATTCCTGGCTATTCGCATAGGATTACATTCACCAGGAGCATTTGAAGTATCAGAAGTTCGTCAAAAGACTCCTCAACAATTAGCAATGGCTCAAGAACTGGCTAAAACATGGATTGTATGTAATATTGTATCACAAACTATTGCCACTTCATTTGGTTTCCCAGCATTTGTACAATTTGATACTTCCCTCTGGGCTTGTAGACCAGGTGGTCCAATAACAATTCCCAAAACAATTCAGTATATGATGGAAATTGCCCAATTTGAAGATCAAGTCGCAAGAACTTTAAATTCAAATCCTCAAGATGCATATGGATTAGTTGATCCAACAGAAAGATTACCATTATTAAAGTTATTGTTATCTCGTCTTGATGAAATTGAAATGAGATTATTACATGAATTACCAGCTGAAGATGGATTCCGAAGATTTCAATTATTATCGGCAAGAGTTCATTTATTAACTTATTTCTTTATGGATTCATCACGTATTGCTGATTTTGAACTTAAAAGAGGATTGGTTAATTTATATAATGCAGCCACTGCATTAATAAATCTCACTCTGTATTTCCAATCTAAGGATAGAAAATTTGTCAAATATTTACCTGGTGTTTATGTATTAAATATTTGGCAAGCATCATGTATTATTGGAAAATTAACCCATTCTCCATTAAAAAAAGTTGTAGATACTGGATCAGGTAAACAAAGTTATCAATCAGCTATTTCATTAGCTGCCAAAGCATCTATATTAAAACATGATATGGCTCATAGATCTAGTGGTATCATGAGAAATATGTGGCAATTATTTAGAACTTTAGATGAAAAGAATATGAGTACTTTAAGTATTGATATTCGAGCAAGAAAGTCAGCTTCTGTATTTTTTGATTGTTTATACCTTTTGAGAGATCAAGTAGGTATGACTAAATTAAATAGTCGAACTGATCAAAAGATACCAGAAGAAGATGAAGATATTGAAGATGGTTCATCTAATGATGGAGAAGATTATGGTTATAAAAATAATGATGATAATGAAGAAGCAGTTGAATCTGAAAGTGAAGAGAATGGAGTTTCAGCTGATGGTACTCAAGTGAATGGAGGTAGTCAAAAATCCACTCCTGGTAGTACTACATCTTCGGCTAAAATGAGGAAGCAAAGATCGTTATCTAATACAGTTAATGCTGAATCAAATGCCAGAAAGATTATACGTACTATACCTTTAGATCCTCAACCAATAGCTGTCAGTGGGAAGAGAAGTTCGATATTTAAAGTGGTGAATGCTTCAAATGATAGCAGTCCCTACGTCAAGTCTGAGGGATCGCCTAACTTTATTTCGCCATCTCAGCATCAGCAACAGCAACAGAATCATCAGCATCAACAGTCATCTGTTTCACATTCTTCAAGACCCCAAGTTACATTTGAAGCTTTATCCGATAGTTCGGCTCCTCCTGAGAATTTACCAACGCCTCAACATATTCGTCAACTACAACTGCAACTGCAACTGCAACTGCAACTGCAACTGCAACAACGAACAGGTGCAAACGCAAATCCAAACGCAAACCCCGTAGTGTCTGTGGTTGCAGCCGCACAAAACATCCCTACCCCCACCAATCATTTGAATTCATCTTCATCAGAAGCCATCTTTAATGAATCTCCCATACAAGTAGGATTAGAAAACCTCGAGATGGATAACTTCGATATGAATAGTGATATGCTTTGGAAAGATGTTGATAGCGTTATGAATGACTTTGGGTTCCACACCCATTAACACAATTGCTAAGTAGTTTAATAATGTTTAATAATGTAATATATGTAGAATTTTGTATATGGTAGCGCGTGTTTTTTCCTTGAGGACCATCACTTTACTAAAAAGTAGCAGCAGCAGCAGTCGTGTGCCGGTCAAAGAGCCTGTCTTCAACTCAATCAAAGAAACGAAAAAAAATTTCATCTCCATACAAATTGGGTAGGATGAATCACAGATTAGTGTAAGACTCTATATAAAATAAAATTAGTAGACTAGTACAATATGTCGTACGATGATATAGATAATGCTGTTCCCGACATTGTGATTGGCGGCACCATGGAGGATCCAGAAAATGAATATCACTATGATATCGAAAGTGATAATGAATTAGGTGATGAACAGATCAAAGAAGAAGTAGAGACTAAAGAAAAGAAATCCGTTGCATTTGCTGGATTAGATGATGAATTTGATGAAGAAGAAGCCAGAAGAGAATTTGAAGAAGGTGGAGGATTACCTGAACAACCAGAAAATCCTGATTTTAGTCAATATACTCCAACCTCTGCTGATATTATTAATAGACAAGCTACTATAAATATTGGTACTATTGGTCATGTTGCTCATGGTAAATCAACTGTTGTTAGAGCTATATCTGGAGTTCAAACTGTTCGTTTTAAAGATGAATTGGAAAGAAATATTACTATTAAATTAGGTTATGCTAATGCTAAAATCTATAAATGTGATAATGAAGAATGTCCTGAACCAGATTGTTATAAATCATTTAAATCAGATAAAGAAATCAGACCAAAATGTGCTCGTCCTGGATGTACCGGAAGATATAAATTACTCAGACATGTTTCATTTGTTGATTGTCCAGGTCATGATATTTTAATGAGTACTATGTTGTCAGGTGCTGCTGTTATGGATGCTGCTCTTTTATTAATTGCTGGTAATGAAAGTTGTCCTCAACCTCAAACTTCTGAACATTTGGCTGCCATTGAAATTATGAAATTAAAGCATGTCATCATTTTACAAAATAAAGTAGATTTAATGAGAGAAGAATCTGCTTTAGAACATCAAAAATCCATTTTATCTTTTATCAGAGGTACTATTGCTGATGGAGCTCCAATTGTTCCAATTTCTGCTCAATTAAAATATAACATTGATGCTGTCAATGAATACATTGTTAAATATATTCCAGTTCCATTAAGAGACTTTTCCGCTACTCCAAGATTGATTGTTATTAGATCTTTCGATGTTAATAAACCAGGGGCTGAAATAGATGATTTGAAAGGTGGTGTTGCTGGTGGTTCTATTTTAACCGGGGTATTTAAGATTGGTGATGAAATTGAAATTAGACCAGGTATTGTTACTAAAGATGATAATGGTAAAATTCAATGTAAACCAATTTTTTCTAATATTGTATCATTATTTGCTGAACATAACGATTTGAAATTTGCAGTTCCAGGTGGTTTAATTGGTGTAGGTACTAAAGTTGATCCAACTTTATGTAGAGCTGATAGATTAGTTGGACAAGTTGTTGGTGCTAAAAATAATTTACCATCAATTTATACTGATATTGAAGTCAATTATTTCTTATTAAGAAGATTATTGGGGGTTAAGACTGAAGGTCAAAGACAAGGTGCTAAAGTTAAAAGATTAGAAGCAGGTGAAGTATTAATGGTTAACATTGGATCAACTGCTACCGGTGCTAAGGTTTTAGCTGTTAAAGCTGATATGGCTCGTTTACAATTAACTTCTCCAGCTTGTACTGAAGTTAATGAAAAGATTGCTTTATCTAGACGTATAGATAAGCATTGGCGTTTGATTGGTTGGGCTACTATTAAAAAGGGTACTGTTTTAGAACCTTCTGCATGAAACTTTTATGTTTAATTGGTTTATTCTAATTCATGACATCATTGTATTTATAGTTTAGTAATTTAATATATACTATCTTGTTTATAAACAAAACAAAACAAAACAAAATAGAATCTTGTTAGATTTCAAAGGCATCTCTATACATCGTACTGCTTAAGAATTTAGGGAATGAATCAACCTCCATAAGTCGATATATATGTTTTGATATCTCTTGAAAGATTTGTGATATCTTATTCAAATTGCCTAGTGTAGAATCCATATCAATTGGATTGACAGATGAACTATAGCTCTTGGATTCATAATAGATATCCTGACTTCTGATATTTTTTGAGTTGGCAATAATCCCTGTTTCTAGTTCTTCTGAGTTTAGAGTATCATCTGCCTCTTCCTCTTGTTCATGTTCATGTTCTTGTTCTTGTGCTTGTTCTTCTTCCGTTGTACTACTTATTCTAGGCTTAGAATCAGTTAGTTGGGAGTCAATGTCTTTCCCAAACGTAAATTTCATGGTTGGAGTCTTCAAGTAGTCTCTGTAGGCATCTATTGGTGAAATATTCGAATCTGCCTTAATCATAAGGGAAGTAATCTTAGCCCGTAACCTATAGTCAATATTCAATACAAATGGAGCTTCAGAAGATAAATATGAAAAGAAAATATGATAGGCTAAACTCAATGTAACGTTTGAACTATTAATCAACTGTTGATTAAGGAATTCACCTTCTGGCCCCGATTTTTCCGATTTTGCACCCAAAAGCTTTCTCAATCTTTTAATACTCTTTTCAAATAATTCAAGTTGCAAATATGCATCTAGATTCTCAGAACATAATTCTTTCTCTAAATGCTTTCTAAATAAGTATCGTGTTCCTGGGTCATTAATAACGAACAGCAAAGACATCTTGGAACCCTTAGTTTCAATTGGTTTATCAATATAGTCTTCAAGGCTACTTTCATTACTTGCATAATGCATCATTTTTTGAAAGTTGGGAGAGTTTAAGTCAAGTAATCTTTTGCTTGGTTTGTTCCAATAACACACTTCTTCTCCGAACTTCGATAAAGTATAGAAACAGTCACGATTGGCACAAAACTTTAGTTGTTGACTTTGAGATGGTGAGAAAAGTATTGGCTTTATTAACTTGGATTTCAAGAGTAATGATGCAATCTCTTTAGCATGTTTCTGAGACATGACATCAGTACAATCACACAACCATTGACAAATTGCCTTGCCTGTAGCTACATATGGAATAGTAACTTCTTTACCATAATTTGTCCTGAATACCTTATCCTTTATAAGCCTAACTCCAACATATGATACGTAGTATTGGACATGAGAATCGGAATCTGGATTGGTAAAGAAACGGTGATAAAATGGGCTTTCCTCTTCTTCGTGATGTGACTTAGTAGTCCTTGATTTACCTCCAAAAGTTTGTGCTGAAATTGAAGCTGGAGCAACAATACTAGCAAATCCATCATATTTATCGTGACTAATTTTAAATCCAAATCCAATATCTGTTTCAGTGATTTCATCTCTAGAAGGTAATTGGTCAGGAGGATTTTTTGAAGTCCAAACATTAGGCAGATCTCCAAACAATTTAATGAATAATAAATGTAAGAAATAATCAGAATAAATGATTTTATCAGTTAATGCATCTCTATCAAACTTAAATAAGTCCATTGAATTGAAGGTACTACTTAAAATTGGAGGAAACTTGGATCTTTTCATACCTATCTTTTTGCAAAAATCCAGAAGTATAGATACACCTTTGGGAGTTGGTTGAAGAACAACACCATTTTTAGGTTCACTTCTAGTTCTATCAGCTGGTGAATGTAATAATTTTGCTTCATAAAACTTCTTAAGAAGTGCAAAACCTAAATCATGCTTTATATTATAAGAAATTGAAGTTGTTGCAGTTGAAAGTTCCACACTAACAAGAAGGTTTTCCATAGTATTCAATGCAGTATCACAATGAAAGGAATAAGGAAAATGTTTCTTCTTAATAGGAATGTTAAATCTTGACTTGTTTGAATCGGACAAGTTTAAACAAATGAGCATCATTGAATATATATCCTTAATATCCTTTTCGTAAATCTTACCAGTTTGAGTTTTATTGAAATTGTTGAGTACAGTTTCATGAAGTGGCTTGGAATTAACCAGTTGATTAAGGGGTAGAGTCAAATGTAATGGTGCAACATTAGGGTTATCAATTTTTTCAATCAGTGATAATGATGTAGTACTATCTAATTCAAACATGAATTTTACTGTTGAATTGAAAAAGTTATATATTACCTATAAATGAATATTAAGGATATTTATAATGTATTTATATAAAGTTTAATAGTCACCTTCCCACTGCAACAACAAAGAAATTAATTAATGTTTCATGTTAAAGTAACCAAATGGCTGCACGAAATTTATGTTTCATAATGCCCAATTAGGAAATATTTTGTAACCAAATGTTTGCAATCTAAACAAAGTTCGGATATCTGCCTTTCAGTTTCCAATAACTTCCTACAATACTACTGCGATCTATTAGAGTACTACCGGGTTCTTGTTATAGTTTCATATTGAACTTCATGCAACAGAATAATGTGTGATGACGGCGCTATGGTACATGTACCCAATTGGTAGTCCATCCACCCACAGCGTTTAAAGCGCATCTTTTATGTTACTCGTAAAAATAATTTTATGTCCGAGACTTCAGTAGTATACAAAGTAATCTCCTACGCTATATAGTAACCAGCCATGAACGGAGATCCACATGACTCCAATGAGTTCTCTAGTGATTTCAGACCCGTGAGGCGATTGTCATCACAGGAATTGAAGAGTGACAAATCCTTTCAGAAAATCAAACAACGATCAAAGTTATTGTATCAACAACCGGATCAACTGAGTCTGAGTACTTCGGAACAAACAGAGGATTCTGTTATAGGGGTTAAAAGAACTGGTGAATCTTCCAACACAAACCAATTACTGAAAAAGGCAAAGACTATTGAAATTCCATCTGTGTCTAAGTCAATTCCATCGAATCCTAGCAACAAAGTAGATAAATTTGCAAAGATACGTGGAATAAAATTGACGACTTCTCAACCGTTTTCAGCCTTTCAAGATGTTTCCTTCGGTGTAGAGAGGTCAAGTGATCGCATACGTGTCCCCTCAACTAAAATTACAATTCCTAAGGATCCTATAACTAATCCTGCCATAGTTTCGAAAGACGACTTAGAAACAGTAACTAATGGTACTAAACCACTAAGTGTGTCAGATGGCATTGAAAATGATTTGGTTAATGATACGGAAATAGAAGGTAACGGTGAACTTAAAAAAGCAGACTTATCAGATGTAGATTCTGTCAAGAACTATGTTTTATCACAATTAATAGGTAAATTTACTAAAGTCAGAGAAGCTAGTTTACTTCGTGAAAAGTACTCTGAAATCTATAATATGTTTGAGAATACTGTTGTTCATAATGAAGGTCATTCAGCCTTGTTATTTGGATCTCGGAAGTCAGGTAAAACTTCATTGATAAATCAAGCTATTGATGATCTTTCCAAAAATTATAAGGATCAATTTCTTGTAGTCAAATTAAACTTTTTCATCCATTCTGATGACAGTATTGCCTTACGAGAAATAGCAAGACAGTTAGATAAAAAGGTGAAAGAATTAAATCATAATGCAGGAGATGACATTGAATCAGATTTAGAAGCAGGAAATTTCGAGCAGAGATCCATAAATGATACATTTGCCAATATATTGTCAATTTTAGACAAAGATTTACTGACCCAAATATCGACACAATCAAAGATTCCAATAATATTTATTATAGATGAATTTGAAAGATTCACTAATAGTAGTAAACAGACACTTCTATATAATTTGTTTGATCTTTCCCAAAGTAGTGAAACTGCAATTACAGTTGTTGGTGTATCTTCAAAAGTTACCACTAGAGAACTACTTGAAAAGCGTGTCAGAAGTCGATTTTCACAAAGAATTATATCGTTACATAAGCCAAATACTGTGGAAGAATTCTGGGATAATGCTAAATTAAATTTACTTCTCGATGAAGAATTTATCAATACTTTAGTTGATCCAAAGTATGGTTATCTGTGGAATGAACTGATCAACAATATTTATGAAGGTAAGAATAACAATGGGGTATCATCACTCAGCAAATTAGTTCTACATAATTATTACACTTTAAAGAATTTTGTTGAATTCAATAATAATTGTATTCCAGTGATTTCCGAAATAAGTGAGAATGAACCATTTCCTTCGGAGTCATCATTCTTGAAGTACACCAATTGTCAAGAAATCAATAATCGACAAAGTATTATCAATGCTCTATCTGATTTAGAGCTTATGTTAATAATTGCTGCAGCTAGATGTATTGAAAAGTTTGATCTTCCAACAGTTAATTTCAACTTAGCATACGCAGAATATCAAGGAATGATTAAAGAATTTAATCTTAATACCACCACTGGAGTAAATTCTCTTGATAGTCGATTCAGAACAAATTTCAAAATCAATCAAAAAATCTGGTCATCCAAGATATTAAAGAATAGTTGGGAAACCCTTTATCGATTAGGAATTCTATTGGATTCAGCGGGAATCACCACTAACAATGATGGTCACATTATAACAAATGTTAATTTAAACAAAAATTTGATTATAGAGGAAAACAAAATGGTCCAGGCAGATATTACTTTAGAAGAACTCAGTAATTTGTTAAATGATCTGGTCATATTTAAGAAGTTAACTAAGTTATAATGATGTTTTACTATTACTATTACTATTGCTATTATTATTATTATTATTGCTATTACTATGTATTTATTATATATATACCCTTACTGGGCTATTTCTTCATCATTCAAGATAACTGTAATGTGGGATAATTTAGTTCAAGTTTCCAATCACCTCTCTCCGCTACCTAATCCCATCTGTATGGTTTTGCCTCAAATATTATTTCCCCTCTTGGTCAAAAGAAAATAATCTAATCAGTGAAACCGAGCTTTGGTATGTCGCAAGACCCTTCAAATCTAAAATAAACAGGATTAATAAAAGCAGCTATACTACAGCCAATAAAGAATTCGTTAAATATGGCTGAAAACCAAAATATCGTATCACCGTTGTTCAAAACTCTTGACTTCATCGCGATTCTACTATCAACAATCCTTGCCTACAATGAATGTTATAAAATGTCACTATTCCTTATCAATCTTATATTGCTTGGTAGGGCAATTATTACTCACTAATGCAACATAAGAAAGTAGACTAGTCCTTTAATATCTACATACTGTGTCCAATAAGAGTATCTCGATGAGAGTTTTCACTAGTTACTAGTTTCTCTCAAAAATTTTGCAAGTATTTATTCACTCTATATATAATTTTATATCGTGTATATTGAGAATACATATATTGCTACGGAAAAAAAACTATATAGTTACACAATTCTTCTATACTTGCATCTACTTCGTTCTCTTGGATGCGAGTTTTATCTCAATATATAAGTATATTCTACTACGTAAACTATACTTAGTACTTATACAGTGTCTAAGGTATTTGGGCCCTCTATTTCACGAATAGACTTCCATATGGCGCTAGCTTAGAACAATCTCTATTAAATGAGAACACATCTCGTTTTCTGTATAAGTTTTCCTTTTGAATATATATATAATAAATGAATATATATAATAAATGAATGTACATAAATGTCGCGTCAGCTACGTGCGACAATATCGCACACCAACATCAAAATTACTAGTTCATTATTAATGAGGTCATTTTATGATTACATTCTTCAATTGCAGAGCATTTATAACAAAGATATGTCTGATAAAGAATCATTACCAGAATCCGTGACTTCCTTGTTGAAGACCACCAGATTTATTCATTTGGCAACTTCTTTCAAGGATGTTCCTCATGTATCCTTAATGAATTATACTTATTATCATACAGAAAATAATGATTATATTATTATATCTACTCCAAAGGATACTACCAAATATAATAATATATTACAAAATCCCAATGTGTCTATATTGATTCATGATTGGATCTCAGTTAAAAATGGAAGTACTGAAGCCGAATCTGTATCTACCAAAAGAAGAAATTCACTTTATGAATTATTAGCTAATTTGAATAAGAATGAAATTAGTAGAGTATCTGTAATGCTTGATGGTAAGGCTAATGTTATAGATGAAACTAATGAATCTTATGACTTTTATAAATCGTTGCATTTGAATAATTCTAAAATTGATGAGATTCAATCAAAAAATTATATTGAGAGTAATGATAATGCAATTATTCTTATCACCATAAAGGCGTGTAAAGTTACTGATACTGAAAATAATATTGCCGAATATTAAGATTGTTTATATTTTACTTAGGAATATAGTCAACTAGTTCAGTCCTAATTAAATGTACAAAGTCTATTTATGTTTTGATTCTCTGAATGTAGCTGTCTATGACCGAGCCGTATCTTTGAAGCCAGATTGAGCGCTAAGGAAAACATATTTGAACTTCATACTGATAATTTCTCACTCTTCCGTTACAATTAAAAGACTCAAAGAAAAATATGGAACTCTATGGGACTCTTAATTATTCATTTATCATCCCTATTCTTTACAATTTCTGTGCGGGCTGGGGCTCAATAGCTGAACAAATCCGCATAAAAATTTGCAACTACGAGTACTCTATATCTTGTGCGTGACAATCGTAAAATATTAGTTATAACTACAAGAGATTATAACCATAGAACATAATTGGGCCAAAGGTAGCAGTATATTTAAACGAAAAAGATTTGTTTGAAGAAAAATAATTTCTAGCAGAATTGGACCTAAATTTATATAAAATTGAACATTCTAATTTATTTTACTCTATAAACAAAATTATATTATTCATTCTAAACAATGGAGTTCTTAATAGCTGTAGAAACATCCTTGAGCAATTGTCTTCCCTGTTCAGTTACACCATCCATTACCATAACTGGATGAGGCATACCAGGATATATATTGATATCAGTTTTTACACCATTTTTTCTCAACTTTTCACCATACTTGATACCTTCAGATTTTAAAACATCACATTCAGCAACTGCTACTATACACGGAGGATTTTTTGCAAAACTTTCATCTGAGTAAAATAATGGGGATGCTTCAACATTAACAAGATCCTCTGAATTAGGTAAGTATAATGTACGATACCAGAGCATTTTTTCTGCAGGCAACTGGGGAGTAAATTCAAACTCTTTCCAAGATTCTGTATTTGAAGCATCTGCAGTACAATCTGTCACTGGTACAATCAATACTTGCAACTTGATAGGTGGATACTTAGAGGTTTTAGGATCATTAACAAACTTATGACTTATTACCGCAGCTAAATTTCCACCAGCAGAAGAACCACCTACAGTTATATTGTTGACATCAATACCTAACTCTTTGGTACCAAATTCATATACCCATAATAAGGAATCATAAGAATCGTTTGGTGCTGCTGGGAAAGGATGATCTGGTGCTAATCTATAGTCAACTGAAACAACTAAAGCTTTGACCGAATCAGCAATATGTGTACAGAATGAATTCTCAGTACTGATGTTTCCCAACACATGCCCACCACCATGGAACCATAAGAAACATGGCCATCCATTTGTAGGAACTGGTCCCTTAGGAACGAAAACTCTAGCAGGAATTGATCCTGCTCTTCCAGGAATGCTTATATCAAAAGTTTTGGCCATTTCAACCAATGGGGTTTGACCAGGAATAACATTACCACCTTCTCTTAATTCTTTCAAAGGTACTCTATGAGTGTAAAGGATCTTTGAATTTTGTGATAAATTTTCCTTATAAAACTCAACATAGACAGGATCAAGTTTTCCAATTACGGATTTGTCTATAGTATAAGGTGCTGGAGGAATTCCACCAGCAAAGCTGTAATCGGCTTGTAAAGTATACATTTTGATGATTGTAGTATCTCTTAATTAGCACAAGAAGTTGTCATGATTGTAATTGCAATTGATAATCTTATTTATAATTACAGTCATACTTCAATATTTACGAATTTGTCACAATCTCTGCCGTGCATTGCCGCAGTTTTTTTGGTGGAGGGCACTTTGTTTGGATTGGGTGGGGGGCCTTGTGCGATAGCGTCTAATATCGATATCAAAATGTCCTTCAATTGGCTAATGATAATTACGATATATTTGCTGTTGGTGGCGGATTCAACATTTAATTCTTATCTCATGTTGCCGACGTTTTGATTGAATCAGGAACAATGATTAAATCCTTATAAAATGAACTTCAAGTGGTCTACAATTATGATACTTGTGGGAGTTCCTCACTACACTATACTACAATGTCATACCCTTCAAAATTCACACCAATTCCCAACAAAGATGATTTGATTCATGCCTATAAGGGAAGATCAATAAAGGATTTACCAACTCCGTCGATTATTATCAATAAGAATAAGTTTGAGATTAATTGTAATAAGATGCTTGAGAACGCAGCTAACTTAGGCGCTGACTTTAGAGCTCATATCAAAACTCATAAAAGTATCGAAGGAACAATCTTACAGTTAGGTACTGCTAAATACAAAACCGACAAGATAGTTGTATCTACTATGATGGAAGCTTGGAAGGTATTACCCTTAGTAGAAAAAGGATTAATAAACGATATCCACTTTAGTTTGCCAGTTGTTAAGTCTAGATTGTCAGAACTTGCCGATTTCAGTAAATCGGTACCTCACTTAAGATTGATGTTGGATCATGCCGATCAATTAGATCTTTTAGCTGAATTTAGTAGAGTAAATCCAGGTACTAAGAAATGGTCAGTATTTATTAAAATTGATATGGGAACCCATAGAGCTGGTTTAGAAATAGGTTCGAAAGCTTTAGATCAAACATTGTATAAAGCTATAGTTGACAACTCAATTACAGAGCATGTGGAAATTTATGGTTTTTATTGTCATGCTGGTCATTCATACAATTCTGATAGTAAAGAAACTGCAAAGCAGTGCCTCATAAATGAAATAGTTCATGGTAATAAAGCTGCTTTAATGGCTAAGAAGTTAAACCCCAAGTTAGACTTTTTCGTTTCTGTTGGTGCTACTCCAACAGCCCACGTATCTGAAATATTAACTTTAGAAGACTTAAAAGAAAATTTGGAAGGAGATGAACTTATTGGAAAATTAGAATTGCATGCTGGTTGTTATCCTTGTTGTGATTTACAACAACTTTCAATTGGATACATTCTGCAACCAGATATTTCATTATATCTTATTGCTGAAGTGATTTCTACTTATCCTAATAGAGGTAACTCTTCCCCAGGTGAACAATTAATAAACGTAGGAGTTCTTGGGTTAGGAAGAGAATTTGGACCTGTAATAGGACACGGAAAGGTTGTAGAACAAAAAGGCTATGGGGACTGGGTAGTTGGAAGAATTAGTCAAGAGCATGGTATTTTAACTCCCTTAAATGATACAAACAATAATAAATTTATACCCCATGGCACTCAAGTTAAGATTATGCCTCAACATGCATGCATAACTGCAGCTGCTCATCCATGGTTTTACATCGTTAATGATGATGATATAGTTATAGATATATGGATACCAATGAGAGGTTGGTAATTCATAAACTGTACATTAGAATTGTGATAAATACATCTTCTCACAAGTAACTGACTTTCTACCTAAACTTCGTTCTATACAATTTTTTAGTAAATAAGAATATTCAATTCCCAATTCCCATTTACTAGTTTTAAAACTCTTATAAAATAATTTCAAAAGTCCCACTATATGATTCTTATTCTTTATGGAGCTTAACGTATTAGCGTGTGCCCTAATTTTAGCATGATATTCTGATGGTTTTATGCTTATTTCTTCCATACCATTAAATGATCCTGCATTTGATTTAGATAATTCCTTTCTGATTCTTCTTAAATACGAATATCCATCTTCTATATCAGGATAATAATCACCACATTGATCAAAAATATTAGACTCTGGACCCTCTCGAGAAAAATTATAAGCAAAAATCACTAACACGGCACTGATAATTATATTCTTTCGATGAAGGAAGGGATCTGAATTTGGGTCATAGATATAAGTTATGTCTTCAGTGCTTGGTGATAATAACATTTCACATAAAATTAAATAAGCATGTATCACACTAATTGCTCCATTCAAACTGTGGGACCAATCATGGACACGAATTTCAACATTCTCATATTCTCTGTCAGTAACTTTAACATTCATTCGACTAGGTGCACCAGCATATACAATGTAATCATAATGAGTTATTCTCATATAAATTTGAGCAATATGATAAAGACTAAATTTACATCTTGTATCAGTACTTCTCAACATTGATGGTAATTTCTGATGATCAATTTCAATTAGATTTACTGCACTTTCTGTATCACAACAACCATGAGAACATATTTGTACTTTCCATACATCAATTGCTAAGGAAATAGTCTCATTCCAAGATTCTTTCATCGAGTCCCATTCTAAGAAAGACAATTGAAGATCTCTTTGCTGCATTTGAAATAGTATTGTTAGCAATCCTGCTAATAATACACTTCTTCCAAACCTAGTGGTTTGTACATTTTCTCGATTTAAAACTCTCCTTAAAGCATCTAGGAATTTTGGTGATTGTAAACTATTATAATTCGCTGCATCCAATTTTTGTTGCAGGTTATCAAATTCCCATATACTATCTTCACATGGTAGAGATAACTTAATTTGATAAGCATATAGAATCAAGGTATGCCCATAAACTGTGGCATTAACAGTCTCTAAATAGAATGCCATTAAACAGGCTCGTTTCATAGACTCATATTCAATCCATTGTTTCCATACATGAGGTGGTTTTTCTACATCTTTTCTTAAAGGGTCACCCCCTAACAAAGGACTTCTTCTTAATATTTGAATTTTGGTTCCATGATATAAAAATGCTCTTTCATGCAATGATCTAGATGTATTATTAATCTCAAATGATTCCAATAATAACAAACTTTGAATGATATACACTTTTGCAGGAGGCTTGCAATCGGAATGAGAAAAGATTAACCATCTCAATGGTTCAGCAATTTCCTCTGCCAACTTTTGGGCATTATTAAACAATGTTTCACTCGTCCCACTACAACTTGATAAACTCGCTCCTAAAATAATCATAGATAAAAGTAATAAAGGGTGAGCCTCATAATTTGAAAACGAAGGCTTATGCAAAATAGGATACTGGGGGTGATAAAGCAACCAATAAAGTTCAAGACATCTCTCAATTTGAGCTATGCCAAAATCTAAATTAGAATTCAATGACGGTATCAACTTTATGAGACTCTGCCGTATACCTTCATCGACACTTTTTCTATTATTTGAATGAGGAAAATCTGGTGAAATTGCAAATACATTTTCTAGAAAAGAAGAAGGTGATATATCATTAGGGAAGTGATAAAATTCACTGTTTGAATTATTTTTTGAAAAAGAATCATCTTGATAGAGCCATTCAATTAAGTCATAGGGAGATAGAACTCGTGGTTCATTCTGGTTAGCCGTTGCTAAAGGTGAGCTTGCGTTGGGGGACGAATCATGAGTAGATACTTGATCATTTCCAATTTGATCAATTGAAGTTTGAGGATGTTGATCCTGCTGTAGTTCAGCTTTTGCCAAATGCCTCTGATAATGTTTCTCTCTTATATCATTCCTTGAAAACGTTTGATGACAATGGGGCCAAGAACAGTGTAATTTTGTAAACGGATCATGGTTTCTTTTATGTCTAGATAAATGATCGGGTCGAGAAAATGATCGATTACATTCAGGATAATCACATACAAAAGTACCATAGGTCCTCTTCCTTTTCTTTACAGGAACTTCTTCCATTATCACTTCATACCTATTAAGACTTTTATATTTTAACTATATTCTATACAAGAGATAATCAAATTTTGAGTTACCAATTGTGAAAATTGGGGGATTTTTCGGGGACTCTCACTGAAAAATTTTGTCAAAAAATTATAACTAATCTTTGGTTGCAACAACTTCTAATTCGACTTTAATAGCTGGATCCATGAAAGCAACAACTACACAGCTTCTAGCAGGCTTTTGTTTGAAAACTTTTCCATAAATTTGATTAACAGTTTGAGAATATTTAGCATCAGAAATGAACATCAATACCTTGAAGACTTTATCAGTAGAGGAACCTGATTTTGACAATACATTAGCAACATTAGCAATAGCAAGTTCCGTTTGTTCTTCAATTGACTCTGGAATAACACCAGTAGTATAATTTTGTCCAACAATACCTGAAGTAAAGACATGTCCATTACTAATCCAAGCTGGACTAAGAACTGGATGTTCTTGACCATCAATTGCAGACCATTCTAATTTTTTAGCAGACATATTTGTTTAGATTTTTGACAAGAAGCGAAAGAAACAAAGTAGAATTAAAAAAGAAGATAAGTAAATTAATCTAATTTATTAGAATCATAATTTCTAATTATATTGAAATTAATTTTGCAATGTATGTTTGATTAAATAGATTAGTCAGTTGGCCCTCCACCAGAAAACTGGCCCCCACCGCGGCTTGCCCTCCACTCGGCTTATCTAATTTTTAGCCCAATTATTACTAAGTAGCTCTTATCTTTCGCATTGTTGCACTGCCAAATTAGGTTATATGTACAGAAAAAAAGGAAAAATTTTCGAACGTTAATAGCAATAGCCGCAAAATATGACATGTTTGTTAGGTTCAAATTGATATAAGAAAGATAAAAGGATACAATTTGATAAGGTTGAGTAATAACCACTAACTTTATAAATACGCATGCATCCGATCCTTTTCTGATCTCTAAGACATACACAAAGGCATTATAACAAACATATAAGCCACGATGCAAAATCAAGACTTAAAAGATCTCAGTAATATTTCCATCAAGGAAGCAGGTAACTCTCCACGCACAAGCAACGAAAGTGTTGAAAGAGGCGATTTTGAAGACACACACTATATAGATGAAAATTTAGAAAGAAGAATTATCAGAAAGTTTGATTTTAGAATTTTACCATTGATAGCTTGTGTATATTTATTCAATGCTTTGGACAAAGGTAATATCTCGAACGCTAAGACGAATGGTATTGACATAGATTTAGGTATAACTGGTTATAAATGGAATTTAATGCTTTCAGTATTTTATATTCCTTTTGTTTTATGTGCTCTTCCATTTGCCATGATAATTAAGAAGTACAACGCTGCTAACTGTATTCCTCTTTTGGCTTTTGGTTTTGGAGCTATTAGTTTATTAGCCGTATCCGCGTTCAATTTTGGATCCCTTTTAACTGCAAGATTATTTCTTGGAGCAATGGAAGCTCCAGTTTTACCTGCTTTAGTTTACTATTTAACAACTTTTTATCCTAGAGCAAAACTTGCAAGTCGTATTTCAATCTTTTATTCTGCCAGTGCCATTGCTAATTCTTTCTCGGGTTTATTGAGTTTCGGGGTATTTCAAATTAATTCATCTCGTTTGAGGGGATGGCAAATTTTATTTTTAATTGAAGGTTTCGGTTCAATTTTAATTTCTGTTCTTGCATTCTTTTTATTACCAAGATCAATTTCGAATTCAAAGTTCTTGACTGACGAAGAGAAAAGGTACATTACCTATAGAATTAAAACTGATTCCAGTGATGTTGTAACTACTAATAAGATTTCATTTAAAGATTCCATCAAAGTTTTTAAGAATCCAGTTGTTATTGCATGGATGTTGGTCGAAATCTGTATTGGAGTTCCTTTAAATTCAATTAATAATTGGTTTCCTCAAATTGTTGGTGTATTGGGTAAATCAACGGTTCAAACTAATTTATACACAGTTGCCCCTAATATATGGGGAGCTATTGTTTTAGTTGCCTTATGTTTTGCTTCAGATTATTTTAAAGTTAGATCAATATTTGTTTGTTTTGCTGTCTTATGTACGTTACTAGGCTTTTTGGTATTCGGAGTAATTGAAACTCAAAAGCATTTAGGAGTGGCATATTTCTCATGTTTCTTAATGACTATGGGGGCTTCTGCTTCTTCTGTCTTAACATCAACGTGGTACACAAATAATACACCAAATGCTAACAGAAGAGCAGTTATTTCAGCTATTGGTGTACCTTTGGCTAATGCTGCTGGTTTGATTTCAACTAATATTTTCCTTCCAAAAGATGCTCCTAAATATGTTCCTGCTTTAGGAATCACCGCTGGTTTCGGTGGTTTAGCAATTGTTATTATAACGTGTATGACAGCATTTATGCTTTTTGACAATAGAAGAAGAAACAAAATTCAAGGTGTGGTTAAGACCTTTCAAGATGTGCCTACCTCAGAATTAAGTGAAGGGCCAGACAATATTAATTTCAGATGGATGTATTAGATTTGTAGATTTGTGAATGTTGTTATTTTAATATATTATTTTTTTTATTCTCAAAGATTATTTAGCGCCCAAATAGTTGTTCATAAAATGATTGATATCGCCTCAGCAGCAACGTTATCTGAACAAAATGTATGAAATTATCAATGAATCAACGAGCAAGGGTTTGACCATTTTAAGTATTGTGGAACTTACACACAACAAAAAGTACTCCATCTCAAAACATCTACTAAATCATCTAATTCAGTGATTTCATTTAAGCTTCATGAATGTATTGTTCCTCCACACAAGCCAAACACAAGTCATGACAATAATTTAAGTTGAGACATTAGTATATCAAACCAAGGAAGGAATCACGAAACTGTATGATAATTAATGACCCCTATTCGACTTTATTTAATACTAAATTTTATTGGTTCTCTCCCAATCAATTAAGGAAATACAGAATGAATGTAACGTTACGAAAAAGATATCACATGTACGCCCTAAGTTGCAAATAGAAGAATTCATATTGACCTCCTAATATCGATGACATCTGTTTGATATACGATAATAGGTGTGAAAAAATAGTTGCAATTAATATATAGAGCAGAAACAAATACGGAAAAAAGACTCCTAAAAAAACCCCTAATTCTATTGAAAGTTAAACATTGGAAGAGCTGTCTAACTCAACAAATATACTTAAATTTAACAATTTTCAATCAATCTTTTCAAATACCACTGAAGATTTCTTTGTTGAATTGGTGGACTTTTAGGTATCCACTTTAGAAAAATTTGCAAATTTTGTGTAAATTACCGGTTTTAAATAAACTGGGATTATCCTCTTTTAGTCTTTTAGAAAGTGATTTATTCGAACAGAGATACACCCTATCAAAGTTTCCAAGATTCTGAACATAGGTTCTTCCCAAATTTCAGTACGACAAACGAATTTCACTCTTTTGGCCAAATGAAGTGCATTTTAAGTAAAAAAAGAAATTAGTACTCAAAAAGTGATTTTGCAACCTCAACTTATATGTCTTGACATGAACTACGCATTTTATGTGCCAATTTAACCCGAAAAACATATCGAATAAATTTATCAGACAACAACATAGATGTGCCACGCTCTCATGTATCGCAAAAGAAGGAAATAAAACCTGAACCATATATAAATTCAAGAAAATCAAACCAATTGCAAAATATCCTCAATTATCAAACTAAAACTTGAATTAATATTATTTTATTAACAAAATCATTTTAATATTCAATTGCTCTCTTGAAGCATATATTTAACCCTGAAATTATACATCCTAAAAATATCCTAATGACAATGATTATATCTCCCGGAAACGAAACCCTTACAAAAAAAACCACTCATAATGATTCTCATACTCAATACAAAATTTCTATTAAAGAAATCTAAACTGTAACATATTATTTCAATAACACCACTCTTGTTACCAACGTTTCAAAGGTCATAACGATACTTGGCATTCCAATTCAATATTCCAAAGACCTCTCTCCATTCATTTTTAATCTAACAACGAAATCATCAATCTTGTTCGTTAAAATTTGTACAATCCATAATGTGTAGTCTTAAAAAAAAAGTAATTAATAATTACATATGTAGTTGGGTTATTCAGCATATTTCTACTCTTCTATTGTATGAACCAGCAGATAGTTGTTCCTAAAGGACTAGATGACTCCAAATATCACCACCTGCTCTACCTTTATCAGCACCATCTGCAAATGTCGTTCGGTCCTCAATCTTACAATGAGATCATCAATGTCTTGTACATTTAGAGTTAAAGATTCCATAGTTAATGTTTCTTAAACAAAATACTTATATTATCATAGTTACTATATAAAACCTATATAATTATCTATAGGGATATTAGAGGTCTATTTATACCTCTGAGTTCACACACATGTGTTGTAACAACAACTCTAATAACACATTATTAGAGTACCCCCTTTCTATTGTTACAACCCCCCTTTTATTGTTACAACCATTTGTAGCAAGTTACAACACTCTACCTGTCTTCACAACCATTGTAGCTTACAAACATGTTGCAACAGCCTCCCTTAAGGTGGAATGGTTGTGAGACGGTATGCCTCCCTTAATCTGATAAAAGCTGTAATTTAGGAAGATTACCTATTCCAGCAAGTGTGCAAAGATGTGCATGAGGATCGGCTGGCAATGATTTAGTTAAGACATCAGCGGGCATATGCTTAGTATTAAGGTAATGAACAGTAAAGTCCTTATTAATGTGGTGGCGAATAAAATGGTAGCATCTCTTGATATGTTTGGTTCGACTGTGGAAAACGGGGTTGGTAGCGATTTTCATTGCACTCTGACTATCACAATTAAGTTTGATGGCTGGTAAGTCTAACTCCAATTCCTCAAAGATTTCTTTTAACCATAAGAGCTCCTTACTGACCAGAGCTAAACTATAGTATTCAGATTCAGCACTAGACATAGCAACGACTTTTTGCTTCTTACTTTTCCAGATAACTGGGCCATCAGCATATTTAACAATGTATCCGGAGGTTGATCTGCTATTGGTGGTATCTCCACACCAGTCGGCGTCACAGAAACCAATAATTGAAGATGTATCTGTTTTCTGATATCTAATACCAAACTCCATAGAACCACTAATATAACGAAGCATGCGCTTAGCAGCTTTTAAATGGTAGGTGGTAGGAGATTGAAGGAATTGTGATAAGCTTGAAACAGCAAAGCTGATATCGAGCCTGACAGTGTTTGCTAAGAATAACAATTTTCCAACGAGACTGCGAAATTCCGTAGCATCAGCAGGACTGGCGTCAGCAGGCACATCCTCTAAGTGCTGATTGGCTAATAAGGGGGTCCGAACTGGATTTAAGGAATTCAGTTCAATTCCATAAGATGTAAAAATGGACTTACAATAATCTTCAGCAGTGATTCCTTTAGTTCCATCATGGAATTGCTGAATGTTAAGGCCTAGGAACTTGTGGCATTGGCCGAGATCTTTCATCTTGTAGTATGCCAGTAAAGTTGTCTTGAGTTCGAGTATTTCAGCTAAATTGGAACCACTTATAAGCAAGTCGTCAACATATAAAGCAATAATTATGATTCCTGATGAACGATGTCTAATATATAGACCATATTCAGATTCCAAACGCTTAAACTGAAGTTCCTTTAATGTAGCATCAAATTTAAGATTCCACTGGGCCGCAGATTGTTTTAACCCGTAAAGGGCTTTATGCAATCTGAGAACCTTGTGGTCATCGACTTCATATCCTGGTGGTTGACGTAAATATAATTCTTCATGGAGATCTGCATTAAGAAAGGCAGTCTTAACATCCATTTGGTGAATAATAAGGTGTAGTTGAGCCAGAATAGCCAATAAAAGTCGGACGGATTCGTACCTAATAACAGGCGCGAATGTGTCGTGGTAGTCCACAGAAGGTATTTGTGAAAAGCCTCTAGCGACTAGGCGGGCTTTATAACTTCCATCACCTTTTATGGAATAAACCCACCTACAGCTAATGGCTTGACGACCTTCAGGAAGCCCAGACAACGTCCACGTATGATTGGCAATTAAAGACAGATATTCATCATCCATGGCGGATTTCCACTTATCATGATCCTGGGATTTCATTGCTTGTTGAAACGTATTTGGAACCTTAATGGGCAGTTGGACATGGTAAATATAATCCACAGGAAAGGCATCAACATAAACAGCATATTCTGGATCATCACTAGTATCATCGGCAATTGAAGAACTACTGGGTGGTGGATGATCGGAATCATAATACATGATTTGGGGTTGTTCTGTCGTACGACGGAGTTTCTTGGAGTCTGGAGCATAAGAGTCGGAGTCAGTATAACCATAGTCTGAAGTAGCTGTCATTTCAGGCTGATATGGAATTAAAGCAGTGGAATGTAATATAATGTTACTGGACGGATCAGCTTCACGTCTCTTCCGTTTCTGTTGTGAACGCAGAACAGTTAAAAATTCTAAAGGTGATGGAGATACGAGATTTTCTTCAGCATCCGGCGAAACAGCAGGTTTAATGGTATCGGGTACTTCGATAATGGAAGTAGGTTCAGCGACATCTTCTTCGTGGGAAGTCATACTATCATCATCACCATCATAAACATCTCCATCATAAACATCTCCATTATAATCATCTCCATTATAATCATCTCCATTATAATCATTTCCATTATAATCATCTGCGTGGGTGATATTAACTTCATAATCAATAGGGTCGGTATCCCTAACATTTTCTGACTTAGTTGCATCGAGTTCATTCATACTTGCATCAGATCGGTAGTGATCATCATTGGTAACTCTAACAGGAGGTGGCGAGCGGTCGGAAGAATTATAATATCTAAGAGAGGAAATTCCACCACTAATCCCCAATGTGGTATTAGAATGAACATTAATTTCACCTTGGTAGGCTAACTTTTCAAAAGGAAATTCATCTTCTATGAATCTAACTTGACTGGCAGAAAAGATTTTCCGAGTGACCAAATCATATAATCGATAGGCTTTTCTGTTTGGGTCAAATCCCAACATAATAGCCTCCCTTGATGTAGAGTCAAATTTGGACACTCTTAATTTTGGGGGAACCAAAGCATAACACAAACACCCAAAAACTCGTAATTGGTCATAATTGGGAGGATTCCCAGTCCATTTCTCATATGGAACGACCAACTGATGCTTGGGAGCATGACGAGGCATTAAGTTAAGCAAGTACGTAGCAGTGAGTACAGCCTCTGGCCAAAAGTGATCTGGAAGTGATCCATCACGAAGTAAAGATCTAGCAAATTCTTGAATTGTTCTGTGGGAACGTTCAACAACTCCATTCTGATAACTGTGATATGGTACTGTCAATTCGTGACGAATTCCGGTTTCATGAAAGAAATTAGTAAGTTTGACATTATTGAATTCAGAACCATTATCTGTTCTAACTATTTGAACCTTTGCAGAATTCTGACGATCACAGGATCTAATGAAGTTGATAATAAGTTGACCAACTTCAGCAGTAGAAGTCATTGGAAAAGTTGTAATGAATCTTGATTTA